AAGGGTGAGTCTTCTAAAAGTAAGGGTGTCTTCTAAAAGTAAAGGTGAGTCTTCTAAAGGTAGGGGTGTGTCATAGAAAAGTAAGGGTGAGTTTTCTAAAAGAAAGGGTGAGTCTTCTAACAGTAAGGGTGTGTCTTCTAAAAGTAAGGGTGAGTCATCTAAAAGTAAGGGTAAGTCATCTAAAAGTAAGGCTGTGTCTTCTAAAAGTAATAGCGTGTCATCTAAAAGTAAAGGTGTGTCATCTGAAAGTAAGGTTGAGTCTTGTAAAAGTTAGGGTGTGTCTTTTAAAAGTAAAGGTGAGTCTTCTAAACATAAGGGTGAGTCATCTAAAAGTAAGGGTGACTCTTCTAAAAGTTTAGGAGTGCCTTCCAAAAGTAAGGGTGAGTCTCCAAAAAGTAAGGGTGATTCTTCTAAAAGTAAGGGTGAGTCTTCTAAAAGTAAGGGTGATTCTTCTAAAAGTAAGGGTGAGTCTTCTAAAAGTAAGGGTGAGTCTTCTAAAAGTAAGGGTGTGTCTTCTAAAAGTAAGGGTGAGTCATCTAAAGATAAGGGTGTGTCTTCTAAAAGTAATAGCGTGTCATCTAAAAGTAAAGGTGTATCATCTGAAAGTAAGGTTGAGTCTTCTAAAAGTTAAGGTGTGCCTTATAAAAGTAAGGCTGAGTCTTGTAAAAGTTAGGGTGTGTCCTTTAAAAGTAAAGGTGAGTCTTCTAAACATAAGGGTGAGTCATCTAAAAGTAAGGGTGACTCTTCTAAAAGTTTGGGAGTGCCTTCTAAAAGTAAGGGTGAGTCTTCTAAAAGTTTGGGTGTGCCTTCTAAAAGTAAGGGTGAGTCTTCTAAAAGTAAGGGTGAGTCTTCTTAAGGTAAGGGTGTGCCTTCTAAAAGTAAAGGTGAGTCATCTAAAAGTAAGGGTGAGTCATCTAAAAGTAAGGGTGTGTCTTCTAAAAGTAATAGCGTGTCATCTAAAAGTAAAGGTGTATCATCTGAAAGTAAGGTTGAGTCTTCTAAAAGTTAGGGTGTGCCTTATAAAAGTAAGGCTGAGTCTTCTAAAAGTAAGGGTGAGTCTTCTAAAAGTAAGGGTGTGTCTTCTAAAAGTAAAGGTGAGTCTTCTAAAAGTAGGGTATGTCATCTAAAAGTAAGGGTGAGTCTTCTAAAAGTAAGGGTGAGTCTTCTAAAAGTAAGGGTGTGTCTTCTAAAAGTAAGGGTGAGTCATCTAAAAGTAAGGGTGAGTCATCTAAAAGTAAGGGTGAGTCTTCTAAAAGTAAGGGTGAGTCTTCTAAAAGTAAGGGTGTGCCTTCTAAAAGTAAAGGTGAGTCTTCTAAAAGTAAGGGTGTGTCATCTAAAAGTAAGGGTGAGTCTTCTAAAAGTAAGGGTGAGTCTTCTAAAAGTAAGGGTGTGTCTTCTAAAAGTAAGAGTGAGTCATCTAAAAGTAAGGGTGAGTCATCTAAAAGTAAGGGTGTGTCTTCTAAAAGTAAGGGTGAGTCTTCTAAAAGTAAGGGTGTGTCTTCTAAAAGTAAGGGTGAGTCTTCTAAAAGTAAGGGTGAGTCATCTAAAAGTAAGGGTGTGTTTTCTAAAAGTAATAGCGTGTCATCTAAAAGTAAAGGTGTATCATCTGAAAGTAAGGTTGAGTCTTCTAAAAGTTAGGGTGTGCTTTATAAAAGTAAGGTGAGTCTTCTAAAAGTTAGGGTGTGTCCTTTAAAAGTAAAGGTGAGTCATCTAAACATAAGGGTGAGTCATCTAAAAGTAAGGGTGTGTCTTCTAAAGGTAAGGTGTGTCTTCTAAAAGTAAGGGTGAGTCTTCTAAAAGTAGGGTGAGTCATCTAAAAGTAAGGGTGTGTTTTCTAAAAATAATAGCGTGTCATCTAAAAGTAAAGGTGTATCATCTGAAAGTAAGGTTGAGTCTTCTAAAAGTTTGGGTGTGCCTTCTAAAAGTAAGGGTGAGTCTTCTAAAAGTAAGGGTGAGTCTTCTTAAGGTAAGGGTGTGCCTTCTAAAAGTAAAGGTGAGTCTTCTAAAAGTAGGGGTGTGTCATCTAAAAGTAAGGGTGAGTTTCTAAAAGTTAGGGTGAGTCTTCTAAAAGTAAGGGTGTGTCTTCTAAAAGTAAGGGTGAGTCATCTAAAAGTAAGGGTGAGTCATCTAAAAGTAAGGGTGAGTCTTCTAAAAGTAAGGGTGAGTCATCTAAAAGTAAGGGTGAGTCATCTAAAAGTAAGGGTGTGTCATCTAAAAGTAAAGGTGAGGCTTCTAAAAGTAAGGGTGAGTCTTCTAAAAGTAAGGGTGAGTCATCTTAAAGTAAGAGTGACTCTTTCTAAAATTAAGGGTGCATCTTGTAAAAGTAAAGGTGAGTGTTCTATAAGTAAGAGTGTTTCTTCTAAAAGTAATCATGAGTGGTGTAAAAGTAAGGGTTTGTGATGTAAGAGTAAGGGTATAGTCATCTAAAAGTAATGGTTTGTCATTTAAAAGTAAGGGTGAGTCATCTAAAAGTAAGAGTGAGTCTTTCTAAAATTAAGGGTGCATCTAAAAGTAAAGGTGAGTGTAAAAGTAAGAGTGTTTCTTCTAAAAGTAAGCATGAGTGGTGTAAAAGTAAGGGTGAGTGGTGTAAGAGTAAGGTATAGTCATCTAAAAGTAATAGTTTGTCATCTAAAAGTAAGGGTGAGTCATCTAAAATTAAGAGTGAGTCTTTCTAAAATTAAGGGTGCATCTTGTAAAAGTAAAGGTGAGTGTTCTATAAGTAAGAGTGTTTCTTCTAAAAGTAAGCATGAGTGGTGTAAAAGTAAGGGTGAGTGGTGTAAGAGTAAGGGTATAGTCATCTAAAAGTAATAGTTTGTCATCTAAAAGTAAGGGTGAGTCATCTAAAATTAAGAGTGAGTCTTTCTAAAATTAAGGGTGCATCTTGTAAAAGTAAAGGTGAGTGTTCTAAAAGTAAGAGTGTTTCTTCTAAAAGTAAGCATGAGTGGTGTAAAAGTAAGGGTGGGTTGTGTAAGAGTAAGGGTATAGTCATCTAAAAGTATTGATTTGTCATCTGAAAGTAAGGGTGTGCCTTCTAAAAGTAAAGGTGGGGCATCTAAAAGTAAGTGTGAGTCATCTATAAGGAAGGGTGAGTGGTGTAAAAGTAAGGGGGAGTGGTGTAAAAGTAAGGGGGAGTGCTTTAAAAGTTAAGGTGAGTAGATGTAGATGAGTAAATGTATAGTTAAATACATACCCAAACAATATTACGTAACCACTGACATGATGTAACTGTAGCACCATGTTCCCCATTAAACTTTAATGTGAAAAGCCTGACTGTTCTTCTTTTCTAATTTCTTGAACTTTAGGATGGCTGTGATTTAAAATATATAGTTTTAATGGCTTGACATTCCTCATCCTCATCTTCTAATTGATATATAAACAACAATCAATCATTATTATGTTAAATATGAAAAGATAAAGCAGTAGTAATTAAAAAAAAATTTAAAAAAAAATGAAAATGAAGTTCTGTATTGTTGTTGCTTTTTTGGATTTTTCATTTTGAAACAACGATCAACCCACCAATTTTACGATAAACATGTTTCGACTTGTTTACAATGTCAAATTTATAATATAGGAGGATACATTGTACATGATACATATTAGTTAATAAAAGTTAAAGATGAATGACTTAATGTAAGTTTGCAAAAAACATGTTTATGGTAAAAAAAGTTTACAACAAAAACCAATCACCTTTTGGTATAAATATAACAAAATAACACCACACACCTGCTTTTTTCGGTCAGCTGGATGGAACAAACAAAGAACCTGAGTTGTTGAGTGTCCTCTCTTGACGTACCCGTTAGGAGTTCTCATTTTGACAAAGATCTCCTTTTACTTTGGGATATCGATTTGATTCTCTGTCGTGTGATAATGCAGGCTCATCATGTTTTCAAAATGTTTTCCTCCCCAAAATGTTGGTAAGAAAGATTCCCATTGGATACACGTTAAGAGAAATGGAAAAAAATTATATATATCTTGTTATGAAATATGTTCATTGAAACTTTCAAATTCAAAAATGATCATGTACTGCTCAGCCATTTAAACTCTTTGAGCAAGAAATCTTTTTGAAACATAATGGCGTTACCTTTTGTCATCTCCTCGTAGTCATTTTAAATCATAAAGTTCACTTCTGCTTATAAATCTATCTGCTGCACACTTTTAATCATAACGTCAACGCAATTCAGCATCAAATTAAACCCACCGAGCCATTATCAAATGTTGTCACACAACAAGATGGCCGCCATCTATTCAGATGACTTCCAAGCCCCTTCCTTGCTTGCCGAACTGTACTGCCTTCGCCGCCCCCGACTTACTGCTTTCCCTGTAGTGTCTTCGGCCCCCCTTGACTTACTTAATACTGCAGATTATATTACAGGTCACGATCGATATTCATCAAACTATACAAATTATTTAGTAAATCATTTAATTATTCATACTACTTCAATTCTTATTCCGGTTTTTATGTACAGTCTATCAATTCATTATGATCATTACAGGAGTATTATAATTACTTTAAACTATTGACAAAAAGACAATGTACAATATTATTTTATTGTACATTAAAGCATTTAACTTAAACTTCATCTAAATAAAGTAGGAAGGAAGGGGAACTTCCAACTTTATTTACATTGCCAATTATACTTATAGTGGAGCCAAACTAGAATCTATTACCATAAGCAATATTACCATTAACGCAGCATTATTATCATCGTTTCCCTTCAATTTCACTTGTATCGCCATCTAAAAATAGAATGTGTTTCCAATAGATTTTTAAACACAAAACACATATTAAACATATTTCATTTTGATGAAGTAAAAAATGAAGATTTTATGTTTAAATTGGGTTGTAACATTATACAACAAATTTCGAATGTTACTAAAAGAATGTATAATCTTTGAAGATGAGTCATCTCAAAAGCAATATCTGCGAATTATCATCAAAACAAGCATCGTAAGGGAAAAATGCGACGAAATTTTAGATGGAAAACATAAACATAACATACCATGTTTGTTGTCCATTATCTGCTGACACAACGTGCAATTTTCTCCCAATTACTCCATTTGCAGCCAGAGTCCATTGACTTTTACTTCTTTCTAACACACTTCTTTTGCATTTGTAGCGCACCAATGTTCATTACATTGAACTCCACTGCTCACAATCTTTGACGATGTGTCATCTCAAAAGCAATATCTGCAAATTAAAACCATTCGCAAAACGCTTCAATAAAACACTTAGGAAGAGAGACAATAACAAAACATACCAATTCTGTTTTTTATCTATAGTCCATTATCTTCCCCAATAACATCAACATTTCATTGAAATAGTCATTTACACTCATAAAACACAAAATAATTCCTTCTTCAAACAGTACATAAGCTGCTAATAATTTATACAAGAAAAAAAATATCACTCAAAAAAAATTTCTGGAAATTTTTCTTAATATTACAACAACCTAGGAAATCAGCAATACAACCTCCTAGAAAGTATATTACTCATGAATGTAAATAAACTCATATAAACAATTACAACAACAATTTCAACAACCAACCAGTTTTTGACGTTACAACTCCTTTCATTTGTTGCAGCATGTTCTTCTTTCTTATAAGGGAGTCCCACACACAAACGAAATCCATCACCTTTTTCCTTTTGCATGAGCTTGAACAAAAAGTGCTTAAAGATACAAAATACAATTAGTAACATATCAAAACAGTCGTATTAATTGAAATACAGAAATAACAACTTCCCTTTTATTTTCTTTGTCAATGAAGAATTTCATTCTGAAGAAGTTGACATGCACTTTCACCATTGTTCAGAAAAATCACAATTGTTAATAAATCTTTTGTCATTTTGGTTCCTTCACGCATGCACAATCATTCTATACAACATACAATTAACGACAATTAATACACTGCAAACAAGCAAAAATAGGCGCTCTGGTCCTCCTAGATGACCTTCTCTCAAAGGGAAAAGGAGCAGGAAAAGAGAAAAAACATTTTAATAATTACTCCCACGGTCGATAATAACAGGAATTAAAAAGCGAAATAGCTGCTAGTATTAAATGATATGTTTCATTATTAACAATCAATTAATGACCAACAACAGTAACTGTTTTAAAGTGTGTGTATTTTTGTTACATATTCATGAAAGCCGCGTTGGATGATGAAAACTACAACGATGCAGCAAGGGGCTGCTGCGTATTTGTCCATTGTTTCATATTTCAAATGGTTTTGAATACGACGAGATGACTTTCATCACAATACCTTTTTTAAACGTATTCCTGACGCTGGCAAACGTGAAAATCAAGTTGTTATAATGGCCTATTTAACTCCAAATATTGATAAGGATATGCCTTTCAATTTGATGTTCTGTCATGTAATAAAATGACATAAAGTGTTAAAACTTTTATAGATCAGTCTGTATCAAATTTTAAAATATCATTCAGTAACATAATTTATTCATATTACATTAATTTTATTTTGGCATTTGTCCAAAGTAGAATCTATTCATTTATTGTACAATTTACAATCATAATAAATGGCTTATCAATCATAAGTACATAATATGAAGATCAAAGAAGCAATTCAATGTTACTTGTGTCGAATAATCAAAACTAATTACACATTCAATACAATACTTTCAAAGAAATAATATAATTAATAATATAATTAATAATATAATTAATAATATGATTGATAATATAATTAATAACACAAATAATGAATCAACTATAGACAATATCTACTAATATCCATATATTTTTATCATGATATGAGTGCAGTTTAAGTTGATATGAACTTGAAAGCAGATATATTATATACACAACTTCGAGGAAAGGAAAAGGGACTTCAATACCCCAGTTATATCATCACTTAAAGATGGCTTAGTGCAGAGTTGATCATCTTTGATTATCAGCTGACCACCGTTAGGTGGGCTCATACAACAATGGGGCCCATCATCATTATATGAACAAACAACTGACATCAAGAATGAATCAAAACTACACATAAACAATCTTGGCCATGAATCACCATGACACATTCGTAATGAAAAACTAGTGAGAGTAATTGAAGCAAAGGACACAGGTGGCAAAGGGACTTTCACAACTCTATCTACTACATCCATGTTGGATCTACAATACAAGAAAACATGAAATAATGATATGCATTTCTTTCATATTATATTACATTGACTCCCAAAAACTGTTATAGTCTAAGCCCCTAAATCACAAATATTATAATGAATCCACCTAACTCACTAACACTATACTTCTACTATACTTCTTGCATTTAACTCATAAACACTATAAGTCACACAATTAGCTTGCATTTCACACATCTAAGTACCAATAATTAAATACAATACATTTATACGAGATGACGTTCATCACAATACCTTTTTTAAACGTATTCCTGACGCTAGCTTATATCTGCTACATTTGATTGAAGAAAAACATCGCTTTGAACTTCATCGATAATGGCTTCTTCACCAAACTTCAACGAACGAATTGATTCTCACATTCTATTTAAATTTACTTTTCATGTTCTTCAGCCAAAGCTGCGTGTTGCTCTTTCTTGTCTTCATCTCATCAGGCCAACATTAATAATAATTTTGAAAACAGCAACACTTTCAAAACGGATCGCTTTCTTCTATGCCAATTGCATGTTAAAAGTTCATTGCCAATGGCTGCTTCATCAAACTAAATGTAAAAGTGTGTTCAAAGAAAGCAAAATGAGACATGATAATATAGACAAAAGAAACAGCCACCATGGGTTGCTGCATAAATGCAACGTCAATTTAAATTTATTGCAAAACAAATCAAATTGATTACACTAGTTTAAATTCATAAAAAATTTTAAGTTTCAATCCGTGCCACGCCTTATAACAGCTTTCTCTTAATTCTCTACTAATCTTCCAAGTTTACTTTTGTAAAGCATTGATATGTGGTTAATCTCGCGTATTTTGTTGTATTAGACAGAATATTTCACAATAAAACCGTCTGTGAAAACTATACTTTTAAAATTGTAGTTGCGCTATTCACGACAGCTAGCTAATCTCTCCGGTAAAAAAATAAGTAATGATGAGCAAAGTACATACAACATGTGGCTTTGAGCTTCGTAAACATTGTTCTTCGTTTGTGGCGGTGACAAAACTACAACGAGAATTTCTTCTTTAAAAGTACATGTTATTACTCTATAAATCTATTCAAATAATCGCGATGATTCTACTGCCCTGAAGCAATTGAATGAACATTGATGAGAGACTTGCGGCTCCTTGCTGAAGAGTATTTGTCCTTGAACTGAACCAGCAGCTGGTGGAAATGTCGGAGAAAATCTTCCACTAATAATTAAATATAATAGATTTTTACGACATGACTTTCATCACAATATCTCTTTTTAGACGTATTCCTGTGATTGAAGAAAATAACCAGCCAAGAACCATTTAAAGATATAGAAACATAACATAACCTTACCACATCGCTTTCAACTTCATTGACAATGGCTTCTTCAGCAAACTTCAACAAACGAATTGTGACCTTGCCTATCTATATGTAAAAAGAGTAATGTTGCAAAAGAAGCAAAACGAGAAGTGTCCAACGTCAATATATCTCACATTCAAAATTTACCTTTCATGGTTTTCAGCCAAAGCTGCTTGTCGCTCTTTCTTGTCTTCATCTCTACAGGCCAACATTAATAATAATTTTGAAAACAGCAATTCTTGGTTTTTATGTGTGTCTTAAGGGAATAACAAACAAAGAAAGGGCATCCACAAATTAATATTTCCATAAATTAACCAATTCACAGTTTAGTTTGAAAACGGGAGGTCATTATCTCACAGTCCAAATTCACTTTAATTTACATACATATGATGAGAACTGTAGAGACGTCAATTTAAATTTATTGCAAAACCAATCAAATCACCATTCATATTCATTACATTAGTTTAAATTCATAAAAAAATTTAAAATTTTTCATCCGTGCCACGCCTTAACAGCTTTTTCTAATCTTCCAAGGAAGCAATACGAGACGTGTCGGACGTCATTATCTCACAGTCCAATTACTTTACACGTTTAGTATTAGCATGATAATTAATGAATAGTTTGTATATGTTAAGTACCATTATTATAATAATCCATTTAATGTTAATTACTGTCAAGTATATAAGAGTTAAGTATTTGAGATATTAAAGCAGAAGTCTGCAAGCCTTGAAAGATACGCGAAACACATAGTTAGAATTTGAAAAGTCAAAACCAAATAAAAGGCTAGCTAACCTTATTGCAGTTTGACTCATTGAAATCGAAATTTGTTGCATCTTTGGTGGGCTCAAAGAAATGAGAGAACGGTCCATGGCCAATATCATGTTGTCAAAGTCTTGCTACTCTGATGCATTAGCATTCTTTATCAATGATTTGAAATTTTCCTTGATGAAGCCTTTTTAATCTATCGATAAGTCCACCACACAAATGAAATGTCCAAGACAAATGTTCGACCTGCTCGTTTCGCTTGGTAAGATGCTTCTGAGACTTTCATCTTTAATGAAGTTTTTACAAATCTGCAACGCCCCGTCTGCGTGGTCCAAACAAATAGAAAATACAAAGGAAATATAATCAGATTTTTCCATACACGAGCAACGGTTTCTTCGCGAGGTTTGTAAGGATGAAGATCTGAGTCTTTGTGTTTAAAGCCATGAAAAAAGTATTGCTTGGCTGTTGTTGCAATTGAAATGCTTCCATTTGCTCGTCGAGTACATACATTTCTTATTGATTCAAGGTTTCATTCACTCATTTGTTCTCCTCTAGCAAACTTAGTAAATCATTCATTTTCCGTTTCCACTTTCAGACTTGTTATGTAAGAGGTTTCTCACACTTTTATTTTGGCTATCTGTTAAAATCTCTTCCAAAGGGAAAATGTTAAGTGGAAAGTTAATCTTCTCAAATGTTGTTAGATAAGATCGTTATTGTTTGTAGTTGTTGCTTATAACATTACGTTATACAATGATAGCATTCTTTTTGTTTAATAACATTCCAACTATTTAACCTTGTGATTATACTTATACATATCGGCAAGCGGGATGCTTGTAACAATCTATGTTTAACGTCGATATTATTAGATTCATTCTTTTCCAGTGGAAAGCGGGATGCTTTGTCCATATGAACTGTTCAACATGCTTCCAAACAAAAATGAGCAGGAATATTCAGTTGATTAATCTTTGATAAACCTTTCACCTTTTAACTCTGCTATACCGGTCACAAGCCCGGGACTTGTAGCGTATAAGGCTCTCTGCTTTTTAGTAGAATTGTCTCGTTTACAAGGAAGAGGAGTGGAAGGTTGATTTTCTCAAATGTTGTTAGATAAATGGTTTTATTTATCAATCTTATGTACAGCAACACAAGCACAATACACAAACATAAGCACGCTAACATAAGTACTTAACTATTTCATTGTCTTCTTGAACTACAGACTACTGCAAAATGAACAACCGGATGATCGCAATGTTAGAAGGAGCGCAATGTTAATACCACGAGTATGCTGATAAAATGATGCAAGACCAATTCATGGCTGATCTGGTGTCGGAACAATTGCGAGTAAAATTAAGCGGTAAAAGACATATAGACATCGAGAGGGAATCAAACGAAAATGACCCTTCGAGAGGTGGTAGAAGTGCAAGATGAACACAGCGTTTAGTTCCAAAAGCTATCCAGAATAAGTGAATAGCTTATGACTGAACTGTTAGGCAAACATACGTATGAACGTTTTAGAGATGAATATTCTTTGTATTAAAAGACAGTGAAACTGTTCAAGGTCAGAAACTGTTCAAATAGACTAAACCTATCTATCAGCTTGATAAGCTTTTACTCCGTTATAGTGTAAACGCAGCCTAAGTGTGCCTTACATTGACAATTGTTCCTTTTAACAAACAAAACAGTTTTATTCTTTGCACAAGTGATGTTTCATTGTTAATATCCGCATAGGGTTGTTCGTGCATACAGTTCATTGTTAATCTTAGAAAGGTATGCAAACGAGTGCTGTCATACGTTTTGGGCGTTCTTGTCTTGGACAAAACAATCTTCCACTTAGATTTTAACGCAAGAATGTCGTTTCTCGAAGTACAAAATAGCCTTAAACATAGTAGGCTAAAACTTACTTTTGACAAGTGTAAAGAAAAATAAGCTATTCACCTCTTGCTTTCGTCTTTGTCAAACGCATACCCTCTTTGTCGGCTTCCGAATTCAGCTTTTCGGCTTGCTTTAAGGGAACAACTAAACAGAAACGTTTTGGTACGTTAAGTAGTAGAACCGTATTTAAAATGAAATGAGACACAAACGACATATATTTCAACCCTGAAATCGTCGTTTCTTTGCAGAGATGATGTGAAGAAGTTCCCATTTTAACTTGAACGACGCGGGAAAATTATCTCGTGTTTGAGAAAGAATTTGGACGTCACGACGATAATTTCCGATCGTGAGCTCGTCGGAATTATTCAATATGGCAACTCTACTTTTCTCAACAAATCTTCAAAAATATTCATTATTAAAGAATTTAAGAGCTTCGCGTAGTTACATGATTGTTAGTGAAAGAGTGAAAGGTTGATGATAAAAAGTTGAAAAGTTCTTGATAGTTATCATCGCCATAAATCACCAATGGAAGAATTTACCACACGACAAAATCAATATTAAAGTAAATGGTATGAACCCGGGAGTATCGTTACATGTTTGTAAATGTAGATCGTTCAGGTTTGTATAGTAATATGAGGAGTTAAATGAGTGGGTGTTAATTGTGTATTGTTATTGTGAATTAGTATGAAGTATAATGTTTTTAGTTGATCGTTTGTTTGTATTGTGAATAAGTCTTTTAAGGTGCTGGTAATTGTAAGTAATGCACAATACACACTTGACACCCACACATTGACATCCACACATCCTACCTACCTAATACACACAATACAATGACGTAAGAACCAGATAGTAAATGTGGCTAACCTGATGTTTACTCCTCATATGAGTCTGAAGACGACTACTGCTAAGGTTGCCGAAACATCAGTCAACAACAAAAACAGTCCTTCTCAGGATTGTACCAACCTGGACGATCTACATTTAGAAACATGATATTGAAGTTGTTCATATAGGAACTTGTTGAAAACTTTGCTTCACTTTATGTGACAACAGAGGTACTTTAATTCAAAATTTTGATGATTTACATCTTCTCATAGAGTTTGATGACACCGTTTTCAACTTACTAATGTTCATCAAAAGGTTTTGCCGGTTGTTCTGTCCCTTTCACAAAAATTTTGCTAGAATCAAATGTTGATAGAACGAATAAAAATGCAAAACTGTGATTTTGTATTACAAAAGTATAGTAAAGTGGGACTGATACCCCACGAAGGTCATAATCAGATTAGCCAACTTCTGGCTTCAATTATCTTACTATATTTTATACGTGGTGCTTTATCCAGTGTAATATACATATCAGTGAACTAAACTGACTCCATAATCTGAAAGGAAATAGCCAAATTGATGATAGTTACACGACTCACTAGAAATTGTCATGTTGATGTAATGTCATAAATTGACATTCCTGATTTCTGAACCAATATTGCATATTTAATTTACAGCAACTTAATTCAAATTTAATTCACTTACACAATTGAAAGTTGTTTAATAAATATCAGAATATTACAAGTATATAAATTGAGTAAAATTGCTATCTATCTAACAAAGACCAGGCTTGAATAACCGATTTGATACATAAACTGACAGTGGCTTTGCGAACAAAGAACCGTCTATCCACGCTTACAGATGGTGGCGTTAAAAGCTTGATTCTGAAATTGCCCAAAAGAAATGAAACCAAAGAAAAGATATTCCATCAGAAAGATCTTCCAAAGATTAGGGATATTGACTCTGATGAGACGAAATATGGATGTTTATTAGGGTTATTCAAGTTTATGGAGATGAAAATAGTAATGTAAAGTTTAGATATTGAATCTTAAGTGAGACGAAACACGGATGCTTAATTGGGAAGTTTGATTCTTATTAAGGTAAAATTTTCTAATTTAAAGCCAATAAATATTTTGTGAAAAACTAACAAAACCTCCTTTTTTCTTCCTCTTTAGTCCATCATCTTTCATTCCTAAAAAAAAACAACATTTATTTAAATGAAAATAATCAAGTTTGAAGGGTTTAAGTGCTATTTTAAAAGCTTACATGAACATGGGTATTAGGGATTTTCGAGTCCTAGTAAGACAAAAGAGGGATGTTTAATAGAGATCTTACAGAGATGAAACAGGAATGCTTTAGTGGGAAGTCCGAACGACTCTTATTGAGACAAAACTGTTCTAATTTAAAGCAAATAAACATACATGTTTTTCTTACTGTTTAATCTTCTTTCATTCCTAAAAGAAACATTTATTTAAATGAAAACAATCAAGTTTGAACGTTTTAAGTGCTAGTTAAGAACTTATAATGACATATGATGTAATATTTAGTCTTTGTTCCAAAGACATCATCAGACTTATGAGTGAATAAGTCTGATGATGTCTTTGGAATAAAACAAATATTACACCATCTTTAGAATGACATGGGTATTGGGGATATTCAATCGCAGAGACGAAAACAGGGATTCTTAATTATGAAGTTCGGCTCTTATAGAGAAAAAACTGTTCTAACTTAAAGCAAATTAATATTCAGGGAAAAAAACTAACAAATCCTGCCTTGATTTTCTTCCTCTTTCATCCATCCTCTTTCATTCCTAAAAAGAAACATTTAAATGAAAATGATGAAGTTCGAAAGATTTAAGTGTTACCCTTAGGGTTACCCTTTTAGTGTAAGATTTTATTCTATTCTTGCTGTGCTTAAACAGGGATGCTTAATTGAGAGGTTTGTGTCTTGTTGAGACGAAACTGGGATACTTTATTGGGAAGTCTGACTCTTATTGAGACAAAACTGTTCTAATTTAAAGCCAATAAATACTTGGGAAGAAAACTAACAAATCCTGCCTTGATTTTCTTCCTCTTTCATCCATCCTCTTTCATTCCTAACAGAACAGAAAAAAAACTACACAGTAGAATTTTTTAAACTTGGCCATATTATAGATATTCATATTGTCTAAAATATATCCAAAATCTGGAGAGCACAAAAATTTAAAAGGAATAATACTCCTTGAGAATGTACTCTGGTATAAACTGTGAAGTTGGCACCACTCTCGACAAATAGCTATAGTTAATTATATAAGATCATATTAAGCGTATTCGTGTCATCCGACTTTGTTGATGATTTTCTACAACATATAATTATCTATATATTCTGGCCAAGTTTCAAAAATTCTACCGTGCAGTTTTAAATTATAGGCTGCTAATTAAGAGAAATGGAAAGTACACTGTAATATAAATCTTAGTGTTTTCTTCAATTTCTTGACTTTTTATACATTTTATACTATAAACCTGTGAAATATGTTCATTGAAACTTTCACTTGTTTTATTTACTAACAAACACACACCGACGACTTTTTCTGACAGGTGTAAACAAAGCAAACAACTGAGAAAGAAACAATGTGAAACATGGCGGCGTTACCTTTTCTCCTCTCGTCGTAGTCATTTTAAATCATAGTTTCGCTTCTGCTTATAACTCTCAGATGCACACTTCACGACTGAAGTAATATTGCGAATTTTTCATAATATCAACGCAATTTAGCCTCAAATTACACCTACCGAGCCATTATCAAATGCAGTCACACATCAAGATGGCCGCCATCTATTTATTTGACATCCATTTCATCCACCCCCCCCCGACTTACACATTTATTAATGCTTCAAACCCCTTCCTTGCTTGCCGCTTTCCCTGTACTGCCTTCGCCCCCCTGACTTACTGCTTTCCCTGTACTGTCTTGGGCCCCTTGACTTACTTTATACTGCAGATATTATAGGTCACCATATTCATCAAATTATTCATCAAATTATACAAATTATTCAGTAAATATTTAAATTATTCATATTACTTCAAACTTATTCGGGTTCATTATGATCATTACAGGAGTATTATAATTACTTTAAACTATTGACAAAAAGACAATTTACAATATTATTTTATCGCATTTATCTATCAAAATTGTGTGGGGCAATTTTGACAGACAAAGCATTTAACTTAAACTTCATCTAAATAAAGTAGGAAGGAAGGGGAACTTCCAACTTTATTTAGATTGACAATTATACTTATAGTGGAGCCAAACTATAATCTTAACTATATTACCATAAGCAAATTCACTGAACATCAATTCTGGGCTGGTTTTCCTTGAACAATTACCATTAACAGCATTATTATCATCGTTTCACTTCAATTTCACTTGTATCGCCATCTGAAAATAGAATGTGTTTCCAATATATTTTAAACACAAAAACATATATTAAACATATTTCATTTTGATGAAGTAAAAAAAATGAAGATTTTTCATGTTTAAATTGGGTTGTAACATATACAACAAATTGCTCATCGTCGGTTTTCAAATTATGGCAAAAAAGAATGTTACTAAAAGAATGTATAATCTTTGAAGATGAGTCATCTCAAAAGCAATATCTGCAAATTACAACCATTTACAACACAACGCTTCAATAATTGACACAACAAAGTCAACTCATGGTTTGAAGAGTTCCGCAGAAGCCGCATTGTCATCAAAAACAAGCATCGTAAGGCAAAAACTGCAACGAAATTTTAGATGGAAAACATAACGAAGCAGCAAAATCGACGCAGAATTGATAAAACGACACAGAATTTTAAAATCATCTCAAACGAGTGTGCCGTTAAACGCATATCAATTAACAAAACATACCATGTTTGTTGTCCATTATCTGCTGACATAACGTGCAATTTTTTCCCAATTACTCCATTTGCAGCCAGAGTCCATTGATTTTACTTCTTTCTAACACACTTCTTTTGCATTTGTAGCGCACCAATGTTCATTACATTGAACTCCACTGCTTACAAATCTTTGACGATGAGTCATCTCAAAGCAATATCTGCGAATTAAAACCATTCGCAACAACGCTTCAATAACCTGTGCGAGGGAAACTTAAACAGAAGTTCAATTCTTGGTTTAAAATCGCATAAAACACTTAGGAAGAAATTCTTCTTTTCTCAAAAACAGGCATCAAAACATAACCAAGAAGCGAAAACGTCAATCATGGCAGCGACTGTCGTACTTAAAAAAAAAACATCTGAAGAGACAATAACAAAACATACCAATTCTGTTTTTCATCTATAGTCCATAATCTCTAAAGACTTAGCCCAGTTTCTTCCCCAATAACATCAACATTTCATTGAAATAGTAATTTAGTCCAACTGCTGAGATGTTCACAACATATTTTTCTTTAACTCCATTGCTTAGATGGTCGAAACGAATTCACTGTTTTTGAGTCTATTGGCTTCTTGTCATCAACGCGGGGTAAATTACTCCAGATTATCGTACTTTTGGTGAAAATCACCAAAAATTCAACAAACATTACAGTCATAAAACACATATTTTCGGACCAATTTATAAAAATTCCTGGGAATTTTTCAAAAGTTAGAAATGTTTTTAAAAAACATGTTGAAATGAAATAATTCTTTCTTCAAACAGTACATAAGCTGCTAATAATTTCTACACGAAAAAAATATCACTGAAATAAATTCTCTGGAAATTTTCCATAATATTACAACAAACTAAGAAATCTTTGTACGCTTTTGTCAGAGTAATTTACCCCTCATTGTCATTTAGCTCCACTATTGATTTGCATCACAGCTTTAGTTGCTTTCATATCTGAAATGATTAAGCACAGAAAAAGAAATATCATCTCAAGTATATTATTCATGAATGTAAATAAACTCATATAAACAATTACAACAACCAACCAGTTTTTGACGTTACAACTCCTTTCATTTATTGCAGCATGTTCTTCTTTCTTTTATGGGAGTCACACACAAACGAAATCCATCACCTTCTTCATTTTGCATGAGCTTAAACAAAAAGTGCTTAAAGAGACAAAATACAATTAGGAAGAAATCAAAACAGTCATATAATTGAAATACAGAAATAACAACTTCCTTTTATTCTTCTCTATCTTCTCGGCCTGCACGACAAGGAGCCTATTCCGTAACCTAACTAAGATCGGGATCGAGAGAGGTATATCCATAGTCCGGCGTGTGACAGTACCACCTCCCCCGCTCGTCGTGGCCCCGCATGCGCCTTATGTTTTTTATGATATACTTTCGAAACATGTGTTAAAAAATGAAACATTTTGGAATTATATGGTCAGAAGTGAAACATTGTCGAAATATGTAATCAAAAAAATTTTAACATTAAATTTTTTTAACATTGTTGAGAATTTTTTTTGTCAATGAAGAATTTCCTACCTAACCTTGAGTATTACAATTTGTTACTAATCACAAGCAAAAACAAAATAATACATACAATGGCAAAATCAGAAATTGAAATTGTTAACTAAGCACTCCCCACAAATGCTTAGTTGCAATTTGACCGGCTTTTTAACTCCCCTTCTGTTAAAGAAGTTGACATGCACTTTCATCGTTGTTCAGAAAAATCACAATTGTTAATAAATCTTTTTGTCATTTTGGTACAAGTAGTAACAAGTTGTAATGCTCCTTACTTGGTTGGTACCAATACTCCTTCATGCATGCACAATCATTCTTTTTTTTTCAGTTTTCACATAATGAAAATTCAGGGAAGTCATTGGGTAGCTGGGTCAATGTGCGGTGACGCCACCCAGCCAGCAGAGCTGAAAAAAAACAACAACATACAATTAACGATGATTAATACAGAACTGCAAACAAGCAAACTTACCTCAGCAACGCAAGTTTCTTTCATTGTTGCTGAGATGGAAGTGGGCTTAATGGATTTGTTGACGTCTTGGCAAAGATACATGTCCCCGTATTGACCTTCAAGGCTAAACTCACCAGCTTAAACCTTACAATGACACCAACTACACACAATAACATAGACCCTTTTATCTTGCTCCCTCAGACAAACAAAGAAAATTTTCTTAACTTAACTGCTTGACTTAATTATCTAAGAATGTATCTTTATCAGAAAATTTCATTGCGGGAGCCTAATGGGGCGCTCTAGTCCGACATGACCACGTTACGTTAAAGCGAGCTCCGAAGAACACGCAACCCGTCCTTTGTCAGGGACCTTCTCTCAGCGCACCTAGCTAAAGGGAGGGAAAAGGAGCAGGCCTTGTACCACACGATGATCATCTAAAGCAAAAAAAAAGGAATGAGAAAAAAAACCATTTTAATAATTATTCCCACCGTCGATAATCCTTGCACAGAAATTCAAGCTTGTCACCTGAAACAATAATCAAAATAACAGGAATTAAAAAGCGAAATAGTATTAAATGAGATGTTTCATTATTAACAATCAATTAATGACCAACAACAACAGTAACTGTTTCAAAGTGTGTGTATTTTTATTACAAGACAACATATTCTTAAAAGCCTTCGTTTTGCTCTTTATAGTTCAAAAACAGAAAAAATTAATATTTCATACATACAATGCGACATGTATACACGACGAACGACACTTTTCGCTTTATTACAAAACACATGGCAAAACGGCAAATCATTCATATTCATTAAATTCATCATATAAAATTCAAAATTTTCAATCCTTGCCACGCCCCAACAACGGCTTCCTCAATTGTCAAGTTGACTTTTTTGTAAAGGAATGATGTGTGGTTAAAAAGAATGTGTGCCGAAAACACTAGTTTTAATTAAAGTCATGAAAGCAGCGTTTGATGATGAAATCTTTGTGACTATCTATAAACATCTTTACACTTTTCAAAAGATCACATTCAGTTTCAGTTTCAAAATACAAATTTCTTTCGTAAATATAAAGCATTGTGTAAGTTGCGCAATTTATAACGGTTTGGCTTTCTGCTAATAAATAAGTAATAATGAGCAAACTACTTACATCATGTGGCTTTGCGCTTCGTAAACATTATTCTTCATGTATGGCGGTGTCAAAACTAAAACGAGAATTTCTTCTTTTAATGTATATTGCTCTATAAATGTATTTTTTGAGGATGGAGCAAGAGGCCGCTGAGTATCTGTCCATTGTTGCATATTTCAAATGGTTTTGAATAAATGTCGGAAATGTCGAAGAAAATCTTCCACCAATAATTAAATATAATAGATTTTTACGAGATGATTTTCATCACAATACCTTTTTGAAAGTATTCCTGATGCTGGCAAACGTGAAAATCAAGTTGTTGTTGATTATATCCGCTAAATACGATTGAAGAAAAACATCAAGCCAAGAATTATCTAAAGATTATATAACATAAACTTACCACCACATCGCTTTCAACTTTAAAGATAATGGCTTCTTCACCAAACTTCAACGAACGAAGTGTAACATTGCCTAAATATAAAAAGAGTTATTTTGCAAAGGAAGCAAAACGAGAAATGAGACAAACAATCAAACAATCATAATTGTCACAAGAAACCACCAATACTTTGCATAAATTATCAAATTCACAGTATACTTTGAAATCACAGTCCAAACTTACTTTATTTTACAAACATACAATGCGAATTGTACAGACGACGACGACACTTACCACTTTATTAGAAAACACGTCATATAGAGAAAAGAAATAGCCACCGTAAGGTTGCTGCAAAAGTGCAACGTCAATTTAAATTTATTGCAAAACATCAATCAAATTCATTCATATTCATTGCACAAGTTTAAATTCATCATATAAAATTGAAAATTTTCAATCCGTACCACGCCCCAACAACGGCTTTCCTTTAATCTTGCAAGTTGACTTTTTGTAAAGCATTGATGTGTGTTTAGTCTCTTTTACCGAGAATTTTCTTGTAGATGGACAACATTTCGAATTAGACAGAATATTTCACAATAAAAAAACCGTGTGTGAAAACGAAACTTGTAAAATTGTAGTTGTTCATTTCTTTTATGCAAGAGAAACCGCATGTTATTGGCAGCCTTACAGATCTTCTTTCTCAATCAGTGTAAACCATATATTTTCTTTTACTGCTCAACAATCTTTTAAAGAAAAAGAATGTGTTTGAAACCAGTTTCAGATTATATTTTAAGCTATGAAAGCCGCATTCAATGATGAAATCTATAAACATCTTTACACTTTTCTAAAGATCACATTCAGTTTCAGTTAAAAATTTATATTTTTCTCGTTATTATAAAGCATCATTTAAGTTGCGTTATTCATAACAGCTTAGCTTTCCGCTAATAAATAAGTAATGAACAAAGTACTTACAACATGTGGCTTTGAGCTTCGTAAACATTCTTCGTTTGTGGCTGTGACTAAACTACAACGAGAATTTCTTCTTTTAATGTACATATTATTACTCTATAAATCAGTTTATTGACGCTTAAATAATCGCGATTATTCTTACTACCTTGAAGCAATTGAATGAACATTGATGCGAAACGCGCAAAGCGCCTCAGAGTATTTCTCCTTGTCACATATTTCAAATGGTTTCTTTCAAATATTTCAAATAAACGGAACTTTCAATGAACTGAAACAGCACCTGGTAGAAATGTCGATGAAAATCTCCCACCAATAATTAAATACAATAGATTTTTACGAGATGATTTTCATCACAATACCTTTTTTAAAAGTATTCCTGACTCTGGCAAACGTGAAAATCGAGTTGTTGTTGATTATATCTGTCTGCTAAATACGATTGATTAAAAACATCGAGCCAAGAATTATCTAAAGATATAGAAACATGACATAAACTTACCATATCGCTTTAAAGATAATGGCTTCTTCACCAAACTTGAACGAACGAATTGTAACATTGCCTAAATATAGAGTTATGTTTGCAAAACAAGCAAAACGAGAAATGTCCGACGTCAATATATATCACATTCCAAATTTACTTTTCACGTTTTTCAGCCAAAGCTCTTTCTTGTCTTCATCTCATCAGGCAAACAATAATAATAATTTTGACAACAGCAATTCTTGGTTGTCATGTGTGTCTTAAGGGAATAACGAACAAAGGAAGGGCATCCATCATATCGCCTTATAGCAGCGATATGATGGATGCCCTTCGTTGTTTTGTAAGCAGTCCATCAGCAAGGCGCATAAGAAAACCACCAATACTTTCCATCAATTAACGAATTCACAGTTTGAAAACGGATCTCTTTCTTCTCTGCCAATTGCTTGTTAGAAGTTCATCAAACTAAATATAAAAAATGTTATGTTCACAGGAAGCAAAATGAGACATGTGGGAAGCCATTATCTCACAGTCCAAGTTACTTTACACGTTTTGCTGCAAAAGCTGCTAGTCATTCTTTCCTGTCATACATACATAAAAAAACAAACATAAAAAATTTTTCTCAACGCTTTCCATAAAATTATAGATTCGTGGTTTTTACATGGACGGCAACATGCCAATGCGAGACTATTTTTCTTCAATCAAAATGTAAATTAAACAATCACTTTCTGTCATGTTTTGCGTCTCACATGATCATATGAAAAAGCATCAAACCTACTCCTCGCCTGAATAAAATTGCGGTGAGTTTGCTTGCTTCTTTAATTTAATTATCACACAACGCCTACGACGACCGATCTCAAGCAGGGGTACCGTTAACCAAGCCAAGCATTGCATATTCAATATAAATGATTGTCATCAGCTGTCAAACTTGTCATTTTGGTGGGTGTAACTTAGGCCTGTTTCAAACGTCGAATTTTGCATGTGTTGAACGAATACAATAAGCAATTTTATTAGACCAAAATGGAAAATTTGACCGTGGATTTCAAACGTCAAATTTTCTGGCGTTCAATGCAATTATTACCCTTCGCTTTATCTCGTTCCAGACTTTGTTGTGAGTGAAACGCGAGAGCCAAATTGTATTCGACACATGCAGAAATTGTATTCTTACGTTTAATGTGTAATTGTCAGGGTACAATTCTCGGTGAATAAAATTACATTACTGCATGTAGTAGGTCAAGAAATTAAGACTCGAAATAATAAAACAAAAGTAAACCAATCTCAAAAAATTCCATAGTAAAAATTCAGTTAGTTGTGATAATTTTCTATTGTTAAACCGGAAACAGCAAACGTATATTATTACTCACTTTAAAAGATTTTTTTTGAAGACATTTACCATTATGTGTAATGCCCAATAACAAAATAGTACATAGTTCTCTGCGCTTGATAACATGAAAGTTGTTCTATCTACTACACACTTTCGTAGTTAGAGTTCATTTTATATTTCTACAGAGATTCGGCTAATATTCATAATCAATCAATTTCAACAATCAATATCACAAGAGATCACTTTATCTCACATCAACTGATTTCCGTCATTCAGTCATTACTATCAATTATACATCGCAAGTCAACAACACGAAATTTCAAAATTTTCCCATTTGAATCGAAAATCGGGTTAAAAATTAGGTTTAACTTACTCCTTTCTAGATTGTCTAAATAAAAATATATCTAAAAAAGTGTAACTGAAAACATTTAAGAAAAAGTAAAATTCCTGAGAAAACACAACAGACAAATCGACTAATTTGTCTTCACAAAAAATAATGGCCTTTTGCTATATAAATACAACAAACAAAACGTAAATTCAATCTAATTTAAAGCAAATATACGGGGGAAAAAAACTAAGAAAACCTCCCTTGTTTTTCTTCCTCTTTAATCTATCTTCCTTCATTCCAAAAATAAGAAACATTTGGTTAAACGAGAATAATCAACTTTGACCTGTGATGAATAAATGTGTATTTCAAAATATTTAGTTTCCTTTCAAAACTTATCAAAATTTGTGACCTTGATCCTGATTAATGTTGCAACTTCCTCATGGCAATGTGCCAATTTTCATCATCAACTCTTAAGGCTGAAACACACGAGGCAGTCGCTTTAGTCGCGCGTCTAAAACTACCGCTTTGCGTGGTTACTAAGCTAGTAGCGTAGTCGCGTCAGCTAGTCGCTTTGAAAGTCGCATGAATAAAAATGGAGGAATATTTGTTAATTCCAGTTCCACAACACCCCCCAACAATGCCTTGGCCAGATGAAATAACATTATCCAATATTATCATACATATCTTTTTAACATTAATGTTGGACAACTTTTGTCATTCAAAATTGAAGCTTTTGGACTACAAATTTTGTCCATAACTAACCAGAAAAGAAGAAACACTGCCCAGGAAAATAAAATGGTGGCTCGTTGATAAATAATAAAATTAATTGTTTCAAGCATTGAAATATCGTCACAACATCCTATCTAAAAAATTATTTTTGTGCATGGGCATACTGAGTCAAATTATTATTTCATATTATAACCATCACCTTCGCCAAAACTTCGACAACTTTCAAAATTACTGCTCTCAAACTTGAAGACTTTTCTTCTTTAAATATTTCAGAAGCTGCTATCAGCGTGTGGGTTCTCAAGTAGTTGTTGACATATAGTGCAATGTTTTTCCCTGTAAATTTCGTTGATATTTTATCTATTGAGTTCAGGATAAGGAAACGAGAAAGAAAACCCACCCATTTTGTGGAGAAGCTTTTCATCCTTGTCAAACTCAAAATGATATTTTAAAAGGTTACAATTTACAAGTATATACAAAAATACGCTTAAAATATATGGGTAGGTACTCACGCAGAATGAAGGACCATAGAATAAAAAAAGTTCAACCTTTTTGCTCATAAATATATAAGGTAAACAGTAAGCACAAATTCTACTTTTCTTCTTCTTTTACTACACATTGCCATTTTGAACGTTTTCAGAAACGTGGTGGTGAATTGAGTTTGGTGATATTGTATGACGTCACATGGACGTACAACTCCATAACGTGAAAAATATTAAGGGCCTGGTCATTCATCAAATAAGAATTTTTGCAGTATGATCAAATTGAACAAGAACAGAAGATGCAACAAGAGTCTAAATCTATTCTTGTTTCTTTAAGTGGATCGGGAATCCAACCTAATAACCATACAATCCCTACTGCAGGTCCCAGGCATGGCCACCCTTTTTTGTTGTTCTTTAGAGAGATTCTCTAAAGATGAGGGAAACCGGCGTAAAGCCGGAGGAAAACCCTCAGAAATCCAACAAGCTACGAAAGCCAGTCGGTGGATGCACATTATTAGGTTTACAACATTTATTATACTGCCTTTATCTTTACAAGGTTGTTGACAGAGGTGTCCTGTTGGCAATATGCACCCTTCATCTTTGGAAAAAACCGAAACTGGCTCCATTTTTACGTCATTTGTAGGACGTACGCCATTTTTTGACCGCTTTTACCTGCGCTATTTTTCCTAAGCGCATTCTTAGCTAACTAACCCTGCTGATCAGTGGCATGTAATAACCGATTGGAATGTCTACTACCTACGAACTATTCTGCACAAAAATAAGTAAACCATACCTTTGAACGATGAGACACCTGTAAAGCAACGTTAGTACCCGAGCCGAAAGGGAACCTAACGAATAGGAACCGCCTCCTGGGCCCTTATACTTTACCAAACGGCGTGCCAACCAATCCTTCTTGTGTCCAACACTCGATCACCTAGGTACCAATTTGGCACCGTTTACGATTATTCCTACCTGGAACTACATTAAATGTATCGGATAAGTTTGTCTCACTGTCTATCAAATCATCTTCCATGCATAAAATAGATGAAGATGTTCGATTTGATTTCGAGACGATCTAATCCAATACATCATGAATAATTGAACTATATTCCTTCTCTGAACTATTTTCTTCAAATTAAATAACAGTGAGTTAATTAACTTCGACATGCCAGTGTCATAACATTGATTTTGACAGCTATTTAGCAAAAGCAATGCCAGGTTTCATGCACCTATTAATCTGTTTCGTTCTTTATTAAACCAACGTTGCATATTCGTCTTGATGATACAAGTCCCTTATTTTTTTCTAAAAATATTTTAAAAACTTTGACTTGTTTTTATTTATTTTCAAGCGTCTGGTGAACATTTCAAATTTTGCATGGTTCAAAATTCAAACAGTTCGAACTAAACGTAAAAATGATTTATAAAGTATCATCAAGCAAGAATATTTCAGACGTTTATAACTTTAGATTAATTTAATTTGCGCTATGCAGCTTGCATGCCGGATTACGCCATGTTTCGGTCCGAATTTCTTTTGTTAATTTAACGTGCAATCTGTGATTCGGATTTCGCCATTTTTTGGACCGCAATTTTCTAGTTTGATAACTAAATATACATATGATTCAGTTTTAAGAAGTAAATATACAAGATAATAAACACGACCAAAACTCAAAGAAACCCATGCTCATTTCCTTGAAATTAGATCGTGTATCCTGGTGATCAAAAGAAAGAAAAACTTATAAAAACCGACATCAGACATATATATTTTACCTTATACAATGATAATCTTACATTATACGACAGTTTTATTTGAAAACGTTTTGGACAATATAAGATGTATCATCGTTTTAGGCAAATGTTTCAACCGCCAAAGCACTGCATCACATGCACAAAACTAAAAAACAACACTAACAAGAATCAAAGAACAACTAACTTTATATTCACTCAGCCAATGATCAATCATCTTCCTGTTAGTATAGATCACCAGGACTTTAACTAAAACACTATAAACCTGCTACCTTAAACGTCGTCTTTGGTCTTCATTCGTGGACTAAAAAACCGCAAATAAATTTATTGTAAAATGATAATAATTTTATTGTGAAAACGTATATATTCGGTGTAATGTTATAACAATTAGTGTAAAGATGTTTTTGCAAGACAAAACATTCCCAACAAATAACATTGCTTTTTGCTAGGCTACTAATTCCCATTTACAACATTATCTTCTGCTCTTAGCGTAGCCAAAAAGCAACTATAAAGATTGGTCAATAAGAAAAATACACATGAATTACCTATAAATTGATCGTCATGAGCACCAACTGCCTCTTTAAAACTTCCAGCAGTGTTGTGTAAGGTGGTTTTGTTCATAGGATGAAACATACTCTGACAATCAACACGTAGTGTTAGGATTTATTCTGTTGATAACTTTTGTGATTCCCTCATACAGCTTTACTCAAATCTTGATACATATCATAATTCAACAAACCACCATGAAATTATCGTGTGTTTTTTAACTCGTGTGGCACAATGTCAAATAGATTTTGAAGTGAAACAACAAAGTTTATGAACGGTAAGTTAACGTTTGATTATCACACCATTGCTCGTCGTCGTTCTTCATTCATAGATTAACGTAATCCTTAGCCCAATATTAGTTTGACAAAATCCACGACAACCACGATGTAATCCACGACAACCATGACGTAATCCACGACAGCCACGATGTAATCCACGACAGCCACGATGTAATCCACGACAACCATGACGTAATCCACAACAGCCACGACGTAATCCACGACAGCCACGATGTAATCCATGACAACCACGATGAAATCCACGACAGGTACGATGTAATCCACGACAGCCAGAATGTAATCCACAATAACCATGTAGCAATTAATCAATATAATACACCACCATTCCTTATCTACAAAACAATGAAGTTCAAAAAATAAAACATGAATGCATTTAAATTTGACAAAAGAATAACGTTATATAACAAATCAAAATGCTTTTAGCAATTCCTTCAATTTTTCGGCTGCGCTTGCTCAAAACTCTTGGTAATTTTATATGAATTAGTTGGATGACTTTATAAATTTAGTAATAAAACACAACCAAAAAGCATTATTCCAATTTTGAAAATTTATTAAAAATTAAATGCTGAATCATTTTTTATTATGACATCATACTGTAATCATAACTTTTTATTATGACATCATACTCAATGTAACCAGCTTTGCAGAAACTGTAAGTAATGATCAAACAAGTACAAAAGGTAATTACAAGAAAAGTTTAATACCTGTAGACTCATCGTCATAAGCAGCCAACTGCAACTCCTAAACGTTCAGCAGTGATAAAGGTGGTTTAAGAAAAAACAGTTTGAAGAAAAATTTCTGAAATGAAAAATCATTATACTATTATTAGTTATTACATCCATCCACCTGAAACGATCGCTTGTTTGATATCGAACAGATAAAAACACATCAACAACCACTTACCAAAATATATTTTAAGCTTTGTGGTATTAGGATGAATAATTTGTTTCCTGATATTGAGTTTATAGTTCACCATATCAGTTTTAAAACTTCCACACAATGTCACCACCATGATTATTAACATTTCTATTATGCAGCATAACAAACCATAGATGGACAAAGCACCATAACTCATTAAATGAATGCTTTTTCCTAAAATTCAGGTGGCAAAATATTCAAATAAGATTTAATGTCTGTGCATCATCTAATGTTCATCTTACCTGACGTCCATCCTTCATATTGTACCAACTGCAGCATCTCTAGAGATTTACTTGTGCACACTTGGTCGAAAATCACGTGAAAGTCAAAAACAACAGAACATAAAACTTCGACGATAGCTAGGTTTTACATCTTAGTCTGAATTAAGTTGTTCAAGAGCTTATTGAGTTAAGGTAAGTTATACGAGACAATTAAGTCGTGTCCTTCATGTTAGACGATGAAACCCACAAACAGAAGCAACATGTAAAAAAAAAATTATATCTGCAACAAGAAGTCTTCAAAAGTCATGCATGGGCTAAAGTGCCAGGCATTGTATTTACAAGTATAGTTATAGAGTCGTGAAATCTTTGTCTTTCGTCACAAGATTGCTTTGTCATTTTTTTCTTGCACCGTTTCACTGTAATTTTTTTTCAAAACATAGCAGTGAACTTTGCCTTTAAATTTCTCGCTTTTCTTTCTTTGTTGATTTTTCTATCTGATCTAGTTTGATCTATCTGACGCCTCGGATCAAACTAGATCAGATAGAAAAACCCACTCCACTTGAAGAGTCTCTGAAGAAATAAAGTGCCTCAACAACAGAAAACGATGAAGTGCCTCAACAACGGAAAAGAATGAAGTGCCTCAACAACGGAAAACGATGAAGTGCCTCAACAACGGAAGACGCTGCGCGCTGGCAAGATTCAATGAAGTGCCTCAACAACGGAAGACGCTGCGCGCGCTGGAAATTCGATGAAGCACCTCAACAACGGAAGACGCTGCGCGCGCTGGCAAAATTCGATGAAGTGCCTCAACAACGGAAGACGCTGCGCGCGCTGGCAAGATTCGATGAAGCACCTCAACAACGGAAGACGCTGCGCGAGCTGGCAAGATTCGATGAAGCACCTCAACAACGGAAAACTACATTCGCACGAGTCGATGAAGCACCTCAACAACCTAAGGACATTGTTTGCTCAAGATGTGATAAACGTCCCAAACAACGAAATGGTCTGCGCCCTTTCCAAAAATTGATAAGCTCCCCAAACAAAAGTAGATGCTGTTTTGCTATCATAGGCTCATAAACGCACTACTGCTTTCTTATGTTTCCTTGTTCTTGTCTAATTATGAACTTGTGGTTCCTGAAGTGACCTCTTCCAATGTGAGGCTTCCATTAATTCTTCTAATTATTCTCGACGTCTTGTACATATTTTACATAATTTGTGGAACGCTTTGTTCAAAGAGTACTTTTTACAACAATACTTTTGTTTACTTTTTTAATTAATAATTAAATGAATATTGGACAAATGAAGACTTCAAGTTGCTGATGTAAGATTACGTATGATATTTTACTTTCATTTTATAAATAAATTTCTTCGAATTAATGTGTCTTTTCATATTTTATAAATTTCAAAAGAATGAAGTCGTAAAGAATTCTTCATTTTCACTTAAACGTCGATTTCAAATCGATCGTTCACAATGGCAGTTTTGACTTAATTATTGTCTGACAATCCTTACCCAAAACTCAACAGCATTTTGTTTAAAAATATTGACAACATTTACTTTTGATTCATGAGTAAATTTCATCCAGTGAATATGTCTTTTTATGTATACATTTTATAGGAAGGAAGTCGTATAGACTTCTTTATACGCCATTGAACGTCAATTTCACATATATAGGTCATTCACAACACTAGCTAGATTCGTCTTATTGTTTGCTAATCTTTGTACACCTTAAACTCAGGAGCATTTTGCTTAAAAAATGGAAGGAAGTCTTATAGACTTCTTTATATGTCATTGAGCGTCGATTTTTGAAATATTATTCACAACACTAGATTTGACTTAAAAATTTAATCAAAATCGTTAGCACATGCACACAACATTTAGTTTTGTTTCACGAAGGAATGTTTGTTTTAATCCCTTACACATTTCAAATGGAGGAAGTCATATAGACTTCTTTGAATGCTTTTGAACATCGTTTTCAGATAGATCGTTCACAACAATTGTTTTTTTGATCTATTGTCTAATCATTTTCTACCCTTACTAGTACTCGTCTACCAGCAGCAAAATACGACGAAGATAGTGATTGCACAACAAAAATGTTAAACAAACTTTTCGTGCAAAGTTTTAAGAAAAAAGGAAAAAAAAATTTTGTAAATCCATAAAAATACGCTCTGTCTGTTGCTTTCATTTGAATATCCTATCAATTCAAATCAAACGAAATGAGCTTCTGCGTTTTCACCCATTTGATACATATTATAAAAATTGCAATATTAAAATAAAAATATTAACAGAAAAGATTACTACAATAAAAGAATATTATAACAAAAATTTTCAAAAGCGTTTTCGTACAAAAAGAACCAGGCAGTCGATGAAAGTTTTAGAGTCGAAAAATTTTGAGTTTCCTACCTTACTCCTCCTTTGTTCTCTTCCAGTTGTTTTGATAGCGATCCGTTTTATCTTTGCTTCAAATTTCAACCAGGATACGACTTTGGTTGCATTCTTTATGATTGCTCATAGTAAATTCTCAAGAGAAAATTATCTTCTTTTCCTATAGAATAAAAACACATTTATTGGTAAAGTGTTCTTAAAATAGTTTTCAATAACAACTTTTCTAAATTGTACTCAAGTAGCGTACATCGTATTTCATTAAAATCTTTCTCGCCCACTGAAATTGCTATCATTCGAACTTATTGAATTGAAGAACCTGTAGCCGTCAACACTCTTCAAATTTTTCCCTGTATCCCACTCCATTCAAAGATTTTGTGGGTATTTTCGTAGTCAAGCTAGTCATTTTTGCATAATTCGTGCCCAGGGTTCTTCGTTTTCACGCGGAACAAAATTGGCGCCAATTTTATCGAAAGTCCAATGTCCACCATGCACCAACATTTTCATATTTTTTTACATATCTCAAAATTTTCGCTCAAGAGTCAAGAGAGCATTTTTTACCAACAAAAAATCAACCCATGGGATAAGAAATACCCTCCTTATCGCTACTTTTGCAATACTATTACTTTTCACCTAGAATTTTTACATATTTTTGTGTTGAAACGAGGAAGATGTCGGTCGCACAAATTTGTCGCTGAAAAAATATCGATTCAAAAATACACGCTAAAAGCAAAAATATTCGACAAAGTTTCACTTCGAAGTATTCAAAACACCAGCAGTCACCAAGCACACTGAAGTAAAATAAAAAGAAAGACTTTGAAACATACAAACTTGCCGTTGTTATACTGTCAAGTTTCTCTGGCCAAGCAAATAAACCGTCGAAGGCACGCAGTTAAACGGCGAATTGCACAAAAACAACCGACGAAAAGATTTACAGTAAAACAATGCGTAACTATACATCAAACAAGGCTTTTGTCATTGAATTTATCAACATTTGAAGTGCGTTTAAAACAATAAATCAAAATTTCACTAACCTTCCTTTCACTTTCGAGTCTTGAGGGCATCTACCGTTGTGTAAAGTGATTGACGTTTATTAAGATCATTTGGTGGTCCGATCGATTTCATTGGTTGATTTCAATGAGCTCTACAAATGTTATTGGATAAATTTTGAGCTCTTACATCTCTGATTGGCTAAATTTCTACAATATGTTAAATATTAAAACTTATCCCAAATAAGTGAAAGGTAAATTAGGTAAGACACTTTTGATAACGTCTCTCTTTGAAATAAAATAACATTCAAAAAAAGTGTTTCTGCTTTCAAATATAATCATCCCAAGTTGAGAACATACAATTTTTTAATGGCTGAAATAACTTGCTTCGATGTAACACACCAAAATCAGCCATACGCAATGGTAACTCACGCCAGGAGCGAGGGCGATGATCGAACATCAAACTGAAGATATAAGAAATTCACGTTAGTTGGCAGAAAGAACGCCAGCAAATGAGAATGGAAATCCCCAGAAGAAAATATTTTGATACACGCTAAAATGAAGACGTTTCCTTAATCTATGATGAACTTTGGAATGAGTTTCACGACAACCCCCCCCCCTTCCAAAGACATCTTAACCACAAACTTCATTCACAAGAAAACTTACCAATGTCCAGGACAGTTCATTGACTTAAGAGCATAAACTTCCTTTTCTATTTCAACCTTGAATAAATTCTCACAATAATGTTGCCAATGACCTGACGTCATCCACAGTTTGGTGCTGTAGATATTTGGTGTAACAACTTCTTCAAACACACGCTTCCAATGTCGATTTCAAATATATTTAATTTGATCTTAAAACGCTGAAGCAGTACTGTACACTTGATTTCAGTGTTGCAAACTTTCGATCACAAAACACGAAAGATATCAAGGGTGACAAAAATATACCAAGCTTTATTGAAAAAGAGTAGTGTACCAACTAAACTTGACACAAAAACAACAAAAATAACACTTGAAATATTGAGCATGCACATAATTGGACATTTTAATGTTACTTTTTAATGCCTACTAACTAGTTATTAAAATGGATATGTTCTTTCTTTCTTGCATTATGTTCATCAACTTTCTTGGTAATCTAAATGTTCCAATGCAAATATTTAGCTTAGTTTATCGTATTGTGACAAACTAACAGCGGTCATATGCAAAACATTGAGGTTAATAAAAGAGAGGATTTTAAAAATGTACAGAGAAAAACAAGACATAAAGAAAAATGATCATAAGGCAGTTTACCACGGATGTATTTATGGAGAAAGGGGGGGGAGGGTGCTAAAACAACTGCCAGACTACACATTTAACATGTGAATGACATAACGACAACCAAGAGGGAGCCACAGAAATCTAATTAAAACTATAAGAACCAAAAGACATCTAATAAAAACTGGAGCACCCCCTGCTCTGTATGATTTTGTTGCTCTATTAATAAAAAATTTGAAATTATTACTGCTGAGAGAACAAACAAACCTTTTGCCTTCCTCTGGTATTTTTTTTCCTTTTCTTTTTGTTCATAAATCGTTGAGTTCGCTCTATATTTAATCTCTCTTAATATCTCTCGTACATTTGCTTTGTCGGGAACCGTACATAACCCTTATAAAACAAAAAGCATCAATTCTATTTAAGAAAACGGTTAAGATTAAATTGGTGTAAGAACCATCAAAATGGGAGATGAATTAAAGCAATGACATAGCTACTTACTCCTTTTTTGTTATCGTTCATTTCAAGATAAGCTACAGTGGTAATTGTTGAAAATATGTCCTTAAAGAATGCACAAACAATTAATAAGTTGATAAAGCTGTTTAGTGCTATTTACCTTGGGCCGGTTGCAGGAACCTTGGACAACGTTATCCATTGGATAGCAATTTTTTTACACTTTTATGAAACCTTTTAAAAAGCAAAAAGTATAAGATTCGAACTGAACAATCACTGAAGTAAAATATTTTTTCAAAATTTAACTCATAAACAATTTTCTTACAAGTTTAAAAATTTTTGCTATCAAATGAATAACGCTATCTAAGGCTTCGTGCAACCGGTCCCAGAAGAACAAATTACTTACCAGTACCTCTTTTGAGTCAACATTTTCATTTGATTTAAACCTTAGAACAACGCCATTCTGCCGTTCAAGTTTTTCAGGAAGTTTTTTCTCATCTTTATCATCATTTTCTGCTTTACAATTCACTTTATCCTTTATTTTTCGCTGTGGAACTTCTGCAGTTGAACACTCTAAATTCTTTTCCTCAAACTCGATCTTCAGTTTTTGTTTAGCATCTTTCATCGCTTGTTTTTGTAATTGCCGATATTCATTCTTTAACTTTAACCATTCCATCCTAAGAATACAGAGAAAAAGAGGAAAATTTTTCATGAACGGGCAAAATTATATCAAATACTCGTAAGGAAATGTACGAAACAATTCCGTATTCTACAAATACCGATCTTCAATCCAATCTTCAACATATATCTCGGACATTAGATTTAGGATTAATAAGCGATATGTTAATGAGTCGAACTTACTTTGATATGACTCGAAGTTTTGGTTTTTCCAATTCAATATTGTCTTTTACTTTTTTTGTCCGCTTTCGTTTTTTCATTTTCGTCTCTACGTGTTTTTCCTCAATCTACACGTCATTTTTAAATTCTTGTTCATGAATATTGTCTCCTTTGTCGATCTGTTTGTTTTTCTTATTTGCAGTAGCCTCGTGCCCGTTGTCTTCAGACATCGTTTACGTTTCTTTGTTTTTTGTTCATCAGAATCTTCATTGCTTCCACTTATTTTCCTCCCATTTTCACTTTCCTTTTTCACCGTCTTTTTAAAAATTTCCAGTGCATTGCCTTTTTCGATTTTAGTTTTTGTTGGTTCAAGTTCTTTCAAAATGATTACTTCTTCTACATCGTCGTTCTTTAAGTGTTTGAATTTCAGTTTCTTTCGCATTTTCAGAGTCATTTGAGGTACATTTTCGTTTCCTTTTCTTCTCAGCGTTTTCAATGCTAAATTTATCAATTTCCTCATCTTCTACAGTTAACATGTCTGGTCCTTCCTAGAATGAACTCTGATCAATAGAACTGTCAGCAAACATCTAAACACCATGTGACTTTATTGAATTCAGAAGGCAAGCAACTCTATCTATGTCTGAGAATGTTATGATTAAAGGTAAGTTATCTAAGCATGTTTTAAGACGAGGGGAATTTTTTCCAGGAAGGGGAGTGTGTGATGATTTTAAAAACACTCTAGGTCCACCTCTAACAAATTTTATCATAAATTATACAATTGAGTAAACTTACCTTCAGTGCAGCATCAGCTTCACTTTCATTCTCAAACTCAACAAAAGCAAAACCTTTTATTTTTTTGTTCAACTTGTGCAGAGGCAAACTGAAAAATAAGAAAAACATATAACATATTAAGAGAAAAATATTCACAAACACTATTCATTAGAGTGAAAAACTGCTTATGAAATATAAAATGCACTATCTTCAAACCCTAAGATAACAGAATATAAAACAAAATTAGTAGGGGTACAATACCAAACAATGTACAGGTTTCCATACCTGACGTAAACCACATTGCCACAAGATGAAAACAATGATTTTAACCACTTATGTTCAGCATTAGATGGTAATCCTTCCTAAACATATCATATAAGGTTAATTACCAACACACCACACACATGAGATGGTAGCTCATTTCCGTTAACATATTGCACAAATGTGTTAAACATTCTACCAAACAATCCCCTTATCTTTCAAGATTCAAAATACGTATATTTACACAACACATTAACTAACTTCTTGAAGACAATTAAGAAACTTACAACATAAATTGTTTGTAAATCAACATTTTTTGGTTCTGGCAGTGGCTTCGATAGTTTCAACCATTTCTCATCAATCACCTGAAAAATGGATTCAGAAGTTTTTAACATGATAATGCTGCATAGAATAGCAAATCTTTTATTGTGCCTTTCATATGACACAAACTTTAGTAATTTGTTGATTGATAAAAATTATTGACCTCAATAGACGAACATCGTTTCATTGCTTTTACAACAAGAGAAAAATCCCCACACAACTGTTTCATTCTATTGAAATTTGCAATCGTCCCAATTTCAATACCTAAAATAAAATTTTCAAAGTAAAATGCTTGACAGCATCAAACATACATACACAGCTACATATAATGCGCATAATGTGTATGAACAATGTGCACAGAGAATTTAAACTTTTCAAACAAACAGATGTTTAAAGATGAAAAAAAGGCAGCAACTACTCTCTTTCACCACTTACTTCCATTCTCGCTTTCTGTTATTTTTTGTCTTAAAAATCTATCCTTCTGAAGATTGGGATCGCTAAAATAAAACTCAATCTGAAAATAGAGATAAAACACAAATGGATCATAAATCAATGGGAACAGTAAATAAACCTTTTCTACCTGCTTTATAGGATCAGCTATGACCTTCTTTTCGCGATGTCTCTGCTTTTTCTCCGTCGGTATATCGTTGCCTTTTGACTCAAAATTGTCTGTTTTATCACTTTTCGCATTATTCCCTTCCATTGAAATATTACTAAAATCAAAAGCAAGTAAATTTGCTTAATAACAAATCAAAATTGTTGAAATATAGTACATGTTAAATGAATATCAAATTATCCGCCATGACAGTTTTCTCGACTCAGTTCCCCATGTGCGTGTTTGACGCGCGTGACGCGTGAGCGTCTTCAAAACGTTACATACCATTGAGTTCTATAAGACCTGGAGGGGAAACGTCAACCAAATTACTATAAATTATTAGCGCGCGGCCGCGTGGTCAAAAACATGGCGGATTTTGGTTGTCAAAGTCAGCGGAAAGACGCGGGCTCATAAAATGAAATTTTTTTCGCCCACCCGGATTTGACAACCACAATAGCGATTATATAAAATATCAATGCTAAACACAAAAACTTTTAGAAATTTTATCTTTAAAACATGTTGCAAACTTGTTTGGTAGACGGATGCTGAAGTAATGCCAGAAAAGGAAACATTTCATGATACCGGTAAGCAACGTAAGATTGTTTACCATTTAAAGTGTTCAGTGTTTTGTTTTAAGTCAATACTTGAAGTGTGATGGTATATATTTTGTGAATGTTTTTACTTCTAACTTATAATTTAAGTTATGTATATCCAGTCTTATTTGTTATTTACTTAATCGCTTGCTGGACGAGGCAAAGCAACCAGTTCTTATCGAGATATGCATATCTTAAAACTCCTTGTTTCAACTGAGTTGAAATGGAGGATTTTTTCATGATATTTTTCTGAAAATATGAAGCAAATATTAAGGACAGAGCTGTATTGAAATCAAATGCAGTGCAAGATTAATTAATGAGCTCTTTGGTACATGTCGTACAATAAAAAATACCTGTATTAAACAGCTAGCCTGGACAATTTGACAGATTATGGACAATCATGATGATGGTGTGTAATGGTTTGCTTTATGCTAAAAGTTTTATGAATGCCATCTGGTGTTTCTGTAAATGAATTGTTTGTTACACAGTGTAGTGAACAGGTTAAGTACATCAAAATCAAGATAAAAACTACTTTGTTCAATAATGTGCCAAATTTTGCTCCTACCTTGAAATATTTGCTCAAGCAAAGCTTATCATGACATGCATGAAACATTAAATACAGTACTGCATCATCTGACAAAGTCCATATGTTTTTCAATTCCAGGTGATTAAAAATTCACATAAGATGCATTGGTTTGCAATGAAGTTGAATGTGGAAGAAGCAAAAATTGATGACAAAGAACTTTTTATGTCTTTTGAAGAATTACGATATCATTTAAAAGAATAAGAGTAGCAATCTAGTAAAAGAAGCCACATCGCCTTCAACATGAGACTTTTCAATTATGTATAGTTATTTTGTACAAAATACTATTTTAGATAAACTTGATTTTTAAGTCATTTACTGATATTTTTACCAAAAGACAAAACAAAATTCCAAGGCATAATGTAAAATTCAAAAATTTGTCAAGTTGTTTGAACCTAGAAAAATTAGTATAGGTAACTGTAATTTGTAAGGACACAAGAGAAAAGTAGTGCAAGAAGGTTAGCATTTTTGAGAATTAATAAGTTCTTGACATACATTACACAAGGCCATAATATTATAAATAATGTCTGTATAATAACAATTATACAACATGCTAAATATCTTCACCTACATTATAATTATTTAAACAGGTTTGCCTTCATGCAGCAATAAGAAAAGTGTTATGTCAGAGAAACCAATGCACTTTAATTTAAAAAATCGTATTTTCAATGGGAAATTAATGTAGTTCTGTTCAATAGTAGATCCATGGTTGTCAATGACAATCCAGTTACTAATATCTTGGCTCAAAACAGAACCAGCAACATGATTATAGAATTTCTGAATTTCGTTCTTTTGCTCTCCTAGTTCGAGATATTTTCTTCATAAGTTCTCAGTAGATTTATCAGAATATCATAATACCTTATAAGACACCCAGAATCAATCCTACCAAAAACTCAAAAAAATACATACCTACTTATAATATATTTCCAGTCGACTTAAGTCGTAGGGGTAAGCTAACTTTTCTAACTCCTTTTGGACATTTTAACTAATATTTACCCATCTATTCAAGAAAGACAGTTGCACGAAGCTGTAAAAATAGTCAAAACACAAGTATTGCGCATGGGATTATGCATTAAAGCTTAACGACACATTGACAGTGTAAAGAATGCCGTTTGATATTTATTTCTAACATAGCTAAAGCATTACTTGACAAAACATACGTTATTTTACAGTAGATTTACCTCATTTAAATGTGTGTGTCACAAAAACCTGAAGCATTATTTTCAATATTTTATGCTTACGGTATCGTGGTTGTTTTCGCTGGTTGTCATTGATATAAGCAGTAATACAGTTCCGGATTCGGGAGGGAGCGAATGTTAAAAATTTTTCTCAAAGTGGAAGTTTTGACAACCAAAATCCGCCATTACCGCCATGTTTTTGACCACGGGGTCCAGGCCCCTTTGCCCCTCCAGGTCTTATAGAGCTCAATGTTACATACGTACGAATAGATTGTCAAACTTGATCAAAATATTATTCAGGGTTGCCAACAAGTGCATATTTGAGTTTTTTTTGTATTATCGTAAATTATTGGCCACTGTGCTTAACTGATGGGATCCCGTTATGATTGGCGATTCTGGTGTTGGGAAATCATGCCTTCTTTCACGTTTTACTAGAAACGAATTCGATCAGGAATCGAAGTCTATCTACAATTGGAGTGGAATTTGCGACCAGAAGTTTGGAAATCGGTGGCGAAGTTATTAAAGCTCAGGTAAATGACTTTATGCTTCTGTTGAACACTTAAAAATATTAAGTAGACGAACGACCATGTAAAAAACTCACCCAATATCATTATTTTCATTATGTGTCTCATTAATGAAAATAAATTCAAACAATGATTTTTTATTGCGTCATTTTATATGTGCAATGAATTCCGACAATACTCTTCTACTTCCTGTGTTAAGTTGTCTTTCTACTGCATTGATAGCATCTTTAATATGTAAAAATTTCTTTTGAAGGTTTGGGATACTGCAGGTCAAGAAAGGTGCAGAGCAATTACAAGTGCTTATTACAGGGGAGCAGTTGGTGCTGCTATTCTAGTTTATGACTTAACAAAACAAGACTAATTACGTCAAAAGAACACATCATTAGGTTTGGAAACATAGACAGATTTGGTTGTTTCAGCCCATTTGTATGCCAATGTTCGTTTATGCATTATCAACAACGTTAAATGCAGAAAGTTGTAATGTATTTTAAAACCATTACACTTCAGTTTATCCTGTATTTCTGATTAGCAAAATGAATCCTGTTTTTCATGTTATTGCAAATGCTTGGTAAGAACTCGGTAGGGGCTATCTATTTCCTAACCATACTTAATTAAATCATGCAAAGGAACTATTTCATAATGTTAAACAAAAGGTTTCAATTCCTCAGCCAAAAAACACGATATTCTATTATAAAGGTGATCAATTCACGCATAATTAAGCATGACAACTGAAGATTTACTGTTCATAACAATAATCAAATATTGTAATTTATATCTAAAACGGTAAAATACACATCTACTTTTTTCTTGCATCAAGAATATCCAGTATCTTGGTCATCTAAAAGATTCAATATGAATAAATGGTCACATGTTGGTTTGATCTGAAAATAATCACCTTCTTTGTCAATAACAAACAAAAACAAACAAACAACATTTATATACCGGCCAGTATTAATCCCCGCCAGGGGGGTTGACCGGTCCATGAATTTTTCCACGCCACACGTCTCTATCTCTCGCCATATCTCTCGTTATACCCATCGCCTTCATATCACTGTTCACAGCATCCATCCATCTCTTTCTCGGTCTACCTCGTTTGCGGACTCCATCAACATACAACACATGAGAAAAACTACAATAACTACATGACTACATGAGAAAAATTTGTCAATAACTACATGAGAAAACTTCACGGGGTAAATAATTGAGAAAATATTCAAGATGATTGATAGCCAGCAACCGTGTACTTATGGCGAAGTAAAAGACAACTGTGAATATATATTTTAAAACAATAGTTCGTACTTCATGTAGTCATATTTCCAGTCTTGAAGTTTCAAGATATTTCTTTTTACAGACAATGGTGAAACCCAGGGTAAAATATTGAGATAACAGCCAGGTTTATCATTGGTACCTGATGCAACGTTATAGCATAGGAAACAGCTTTTGTGTATGGTAGCAGCACAGCTAATCTAACTTATTTATATTGACATAACCTTCTGTCTATTGAAAAATATTTGAAGTAATAATAAAACATGTTATTGAATGGACCGAACCCTTGAATACTAAAAAGTCTCTTTAAGTACAAGTTAAGGATAACACTGGCCTTTAGGTTGTGCTTCATACTGCATAAACAACAAACCTGACATTCGACGACCACCAAATGGTTGTTGAGCAACCACTGACCCTGTACATTTGTCGTTGATATAAAAATTACCAGCAGCTTGTCTTAAAACTTGTTGGACTTCCCTGATAACTTGTCTGTAATTATTCAACATATAGAAAAATAGTAAGAAGACTTGTAGTATTGTACTATATATATGTATATAAACATATTTTCTCGTAATATCACCAATTTTAGATTCTTAGTTTGAAGACTTCTTATGTAAATTTTTAGCCTTAATCATTAAGTGGACAATGTTTACAGCATTTGTACCTTGATTCACTAAAAACGGCTCCTGTTAAAGCAAATTTACTTGTTTCATCGATCTAAAAAAACACATTCAAGACGTAACATGAATATTTTTAACATGTTCATCAACTGTTATAAAACGAAATATTTCATTTTAGGACGATTAACAATGTCATCAAAGTCCGCAATTGCTAGACAATTGCTATGACCTTTAACCAAAAAGTTATCTCAAATTAATAGTTTTCTCTTTCACTGAACAATTAAATACGAACCATTTTTAATATATCTCTATACATATCAGCTTTGTAAAACTAAATCGGAAGAACTGGTCCAAATATTTCCTAAACAAAAAAATTTTTTCGCAGGTCAACTTTTGTTAAGCTGAAATATGATGTTTAATGTTACCTCAGTCATTAGTTTGTCTTTTGGATCTTTTACCTCCATAATAGTTGGTTCAATGTAGTAACCAACTCTAAGTAAATTGCGATAAATCACGTATTTCTATATGGACAACAATTTCTCTTGATTTAAAAATTATGAAATAAGGTGAACATACCTATCATCTGAAATTCCACCAGCCAAAATAATCACATTTTCACATTTCTTTGCATAGTCAATGAATCCTTTAATTGACTCAAATGCCTTAAAATAATGTAAACATTCTTTCCTCCCCTTAAAATTTTAACAGAAAAAATAACGAAGACTTACCTTCTTGTTAATTACTGAAGACATAAAGTTGGAAAATTCTGAAGGCTAAACATAATTTAATTATAATTAGAAAACGTGACATAGATAGATATCGATGAAATTGTTAGACGTCATACCCGTCATGGATATGTGTTTTTTTAAATAGTCATGAATTTATATCATTTAATGATTTTATGATTTCCCTATCGTTCATTCTTTTTGATTTTCTTCGAAAACATTCCATTTACTGACAGGAATAAATATGGTCTCAATATTTTATTTCTTCAAGTAACGTCAAACATGAACAATTACGTTGCATTGACTTAGACAAACAAGAAGTTATTATTTTCTGCACAGGTGTATAGATTTCTAAAGAAAAGTTCGTGGTAAAATTATATAGATAAGAAACCTCTCCCATTTTAACATCTTTGTGACAGTCCAACAATTTCTCACGTATCTAAAAAAACGTATCAGAAATCCTGACTTCATAAAGTGATGATGAATTATTTAACTGCACAATGCCTCAGGTCCAGTTTGATACCAATATGTGTTCAAAAATATTGACCTTTCATGTTGGTAAAGTCCTGAAAAAGACCATTGATGTTGCTATTTAAGGACAGATCGAATTTTTTGGCAGTAGTTAACTTCAAATTCGAGAAGAATTAAATGTCAGCTTCACCATATTTTTTGTCTTCTTTATACCTAATGAAAGATTTGCCCGTGTGGTTTCCGGCTTAGAATTGCGCCAACGTATCCTCTGCGTGTCGTAAAAGATGACTAAAAGGGGTTGGTGTAAGGATTTTTAGCCTGTTATTAGTATCGATAACATCCTCAATCCAATTTTTATTAAATTCGTCAAACATATGTACATTAAAGTCTTTGGGAATGACACCAAAATCTTCAAATACATTTTGGAAGAATCGGAATGCGAAGAAGCATTCCGATTCTTCGCATCGATCATCTTATCATGCATCATAACAAGTTGTATAGTTGGATGTAATGAATCTTTATATGCTTTAGCAACCCCTAATCTCTCACATTGTGCGTAATGATGTTTGTCGTATAATGTTATAAGTATGTTTTCACCTTCAAAATACTCGAAAACACTATTCAACGATATGATGTTGTTTCCTTTACAAACTTTATTGAATGATGTTTGTAGTTGTTTGTAATAGGCTTTGATTTTCTTTTTCTTTCCTTCGTCAACTTTCTTCACATCTTGCGTTATAGATTCAAATAATGGTAGACAAGCGTCAATAATCTCAAATCCGTCAACATTGATATTATCAAATCGAATATGTAGACTTTTACTCATTCTAAAAAATAAACAAATAATCACTAAATTTATAGTTAAAGAAAAATAAAAAATAAACGCTTACCTCATCTATTGGTTATGATTATGTAAATTTTCATTATGCAAATTTTTTTTGCATACTATATCCATAATGAGATTTTGCCATTTTTTACAATATATCGAACAAGGTTGAAAATATCAATTTTAGTTTACTTTTTACTCAAACTAAACATACAAATACTTATATAGCGTAAAACAATGATGATCGTGCACAATTTCAAAAAATATCGATTCAAAAATACACGCTAAAAGCAAAAATATTCGACAAAGTTTCACTTCGAAGTATTAAAAACACCAGCAGTCACCAAGCACACTGAAGTAAAAAGAAAAGAAAGACTTTGAAACATACAAACTTGCCGTTTTTATACTGTCAAGTTTCTCTGGCCAAGCAAATACACCGTCGAAGGCACGCAGTTAAACGGCGAATTGCACAAAAACAACCGACGAAAAGATTTACAAGTAAAACAATGCGTAACTATACATCAAACAAGGCTTTTGTCATTGAATTTATCAACATTTGAAGTACGTTTTAAAACAATAAATCAAAATTTCACTAACCTTCCTTTCACTTTCGAGTCTTGAGGGCATCTACCGTTATGTAAAGTGATTGACGTTTATTAAGATCATTTGGTGGTCCGATCGATTTCATTGGTTGATTTCGATGAGCTCTACAAATGTTATTGGATAAATTTTGAGCTCTTACATCTCTGATTGGGTAAATTTCTACAATATGTTAAATATTAAAACTTATCCCAAATAAATGAAAGGTAAATTAGGTAAGACACTTTTGATAACGTCTCTCTTTGAAATAAAATAACATTCAAAAAAAGTGTTTCTGCTTTCAAATATAATCATCCTAAGTTGAGAACATACAATTTTTTAATGGCTGAAAAAAATTTATAATGTTCAGGTTAATGATGCAACTCCGAGAGGACCTAAACGATGTACTGAGTGCATCCAGAAGTTTTCATTGATATAGTGCAAATCCCTCATGAGATACCATGTTTGGTGCGTAGTGTAAACAACAAAAAATATGATGAAAACGCCAATTTTCAAGATATTCATGGCTGACATTTAAACAAGCGCCGCTTCGAGTCTCCTATAATATTTAGCACTACACCAAGTTTTATGTTCAACTGGTTTAAAATCAATATCTTCCTGATGAGTGGCAAGATGAACTTCATGCACTGGGAAAGTAAATTTCAACTCTGGAAAAGTGCAGTCACTCGAAGTTGTGATTATTTTGACAAATTTGATTTTGATATTGACATTTAAAAAACAAGATTTAATAGATAGAGATGGTTTGACACCACTTGGTATTTGTACAGTTCTAAATGAAATGTTGAGCAGTGGGGAAATTGTGAGAAAAAATGACTTCTTAGAGTGATACATGGAGTGCATGGTCTCTGGGAATAATATTTGCTAAGAACACTGAAGAATGGATGAATCAAAACCAGTATAACCACCATCTGTATCATTATATTTTGGTGAGAAGTGTTCAGAAATATCAGACGGTAATAGATTGCTTAACATATGCAACCTTTGCAAATCCTCAAGATTTAGCTGCTCTCGGTGCAACTTTATCTATGTAGCTATATGTCCACACCGGGTAAAGATTATTGGCAAGCAGTAAAAAGAGTGTTTTGTTATATCAAAGGAACGATAGATCATGCTCTTTTGTTTGTATCAAATGGAAAAGATTTTGATTTGTATGATTTTTCAGACACTGATTGGGGTGATGATATATATAGAGACAAGGCGTTCTTCATCAGAGTATGTTTTTTAGATTTATGAACAGCGTGATAAGCTGGTGTACTACTAAAAGACGAACATCTTAATCAAGATTTACAAGGGAAGCCGAATATATTGCTTTGAGTTCAGCTTCACATGAGTCTATCTATCTGGCTAAGAAGATTTCTGAATGATTTTGAACTGTTGAAATCTGTCCCTACAACTATTTATGACGATTAACAGGGTGTACAAGAATCCTATATTTCTTAATCGCACAAAACACATCGACTTATCCAATCACTTTATTAGAGTGAAAGTTAACAGGAACACAATATGCGTAAAGTATTGTCCTACAGAATAAAAGATTTCTGACATTATACTGAACTGTTAGTATGAACCTACGTATGAACGTTTTAGAGATGTCATTGGTGTAAAACAAATTTAACTTAGGCCCGTTTACTGGATTGCTATTGTAACAGGTTGAATATTCTTTGTATTAAAGGACAGTGAAATTGTTCAAGGTCAGAAACTGTTCAAATAGACTAAATCTATCCGCTTAATAAGCTTTTACTCCGAACAGTTAACCCGTTAAAGCAAATGAAGATGTCGCGATGCGCGAATTCTGTATAGTGTAAACGCAGCCAAAGTGTGCCTTAATTTGACAATTGTTCCTTTTAACAAACAAAACAGTTTTGTTTGCACAAGTGATGTTTGATTGTTAATATCCGCATAGGGATTGTTCATGCAAACAGTTCATTGTTAATCTTAGAAAAGTATGCAAATGAGTGCTGTCATACATTTTGGACGTTCTTGTCTTGGACAAAAAATCTTCCATTTAGATTTTAACGCAAGAATGTCGTTTCTCGAAATACAAAATAGCCTTAAACATAGTAGGCTAAAACTTACTTTTGACAAGTGTAAAGAAAAAGAAACTATTCACCTCTTGGCTTCTTTGTCAAACGCATACCATCTTTGTTGAAGTCGAAGCACAACCATCTTTGTCGGCTTCCGAATTCAGCTTTTTGGCTTGCTTTAAGGGAACAACAAAAAAGAAACGTTTTGGTACGTTAAGTAGTAGGTAGGAGAACCGTATTCAAAATGAAATGAGACACAAACAACATATATTTTAACCCTAAAATCGTCGTTTCTTTGCAGAGATGTTGTGAAGAAGTTCCCATTCTGACTTGAACAACGCGGGAAAATTATCTCGTTTTTGAGAAAGAATTAGGACGTCACAACGATAATTTCCGATCGTGAGCTCGTCGGAATTATTCAATATGGCAACTCTACTTTTTTCAACAAATCTTCAAAAAAATTCATTATTAAAGAATTTAAGAACTTCGCGTAGTTACATGATTGGTCATTGTATAATTCATCTATTTTCAACAGATTTGTATAAACTCACACAGCGTCCTAGCTCAAGAAACAAGCTAAAATGTGAAAGAGTGAAAGGTTGATGGTAAAAAGTTGAAAAGTTGTTGATAGTTATCGCCATAAATCACCAATGGAAGAATTTACCACACGATAAAATCAATATTAAAGTAAATGGTATGAACCCGGGAGTATCGTTACATGTTTGTAAATGTAGATCTTTCAGATTGGTATAGTCCTGAGAAGAACTGTTTTTGTTGTTGTTGACTGACGTTTCGACAACCTTAGCGGTAGTCATCTTCAGAGTTTTGACAAAATCAATATTACCCCCCCTGATAAAGTACCAGTGACCACTGCCGCCAGCCTGCCAGTGACCAGTAGCATGTATGCGTACCTATTTTTCTATTAATGCGACGTATCATGGGATTTACATTCAAATTTATTTTTGTGAGTAAATTCATTTTATCTTTACTATAAAAATAAAAATGTTGTTTTACTTCAAAAATCTTCTTCGCTTGTCAGACTTCGTGAGCTGACTAAGTCTCGCAAGCGTTCGATTACGGCCATGACCGACTTTTCACCGAGTACCTTGTTGTCACGTGTTCTGACGTTGACCGTTTCTGAGACCATCTCTTTTTCACCAACAACTGTTTAAAAAAAAACATAAAATCATTTAACCAATCACATAGTAATAAAACGAACATCTATTTTGCTTTTTAATATAGACAACAACACTTAAAAAGACAATGAACACAAAACAAAGAACAAACAACCCAACAACAGCAAACGATAATTTACATTTTACAACTCGCACATGAACTACCAAGAACAACGAGTACTGACGAGCGAGCATAACACTGCACAAAATTACAAACAGCACTGACTATAGACAACGACTTACGTTAGAAAGTAGGGTAACAAACTCAAAACAAAAATCATCGAACAAATAACAAATATCAGCACCTTATAAATGGCTTACGAGCGAACAATTAATAAGTATACCACACAAACTAAAACATCCACATATTTCCCTCTCTGCCATAAAGTCTCGAGAACAAATACAGCGAACCTGACTAATGTTGTGGAAACGTCAGTAAATTCTGAACACCAACAGTGGTTCCAAACCTTTTTGATTTCTACTTATTTGTACAGTAAATAAAAAAATAATTTAAAAAGACTTATTCATACCAAGAATGAAGTTGTACTGTGAAAGTTGTGCATTCCGAACTTTCTTATTTAGTGTTGATCCGTGATCCAAGTCTGTATCAACACGATAACCAGCTGTATGGAGCTTCTTTTGAACCTAAACATGATCAAAATGTCAATAAAAAGAAGAACAAAAACATTCCTATTCATAAAATAACAACAATTTGAGTTTGTATTAGCCTGTGCAAGTCCAATCTAAGCTTACTAAATTAAATTTACCTGTTCGGCATAATCATCGTATTTATTACTGACAGGAATTACTACAACTTGACGGGGAGACAGCCATAAAGGCCTAGAAAATAACAGAAAATGCAGAGCGTCAAACTTTGTATCATTTTAATTTAACATTTTAAAGACAATTCAATCGCGTTAAGCTCCGGGAGGAGCCAAGAAAACACTCACCATTTTCCACCAAAGCTTTCAGTAAGAATAGCAATCATTCTTTCAACTGAACCTAGAATAGCTCGATGTATAATAACAGGACGTAATTTTTCATCTCCTTCACCACTGTCAATAAAGTAATAAAATATTGATAAATTACTAAATTGCTACAATTTGTAAAGATCTACAATTTCACTTTGTAAAGATCTACAACTACTATATTGCACTTATCTGTTAACATTACACTATTAAATGTAGCTATATTCTTATATACGGGTGGGTTTGTATGCGGGCGAGTTTGAATGCGGGTGGTACTTTCAGTGTTCAGCGAAGTAGCCAGCCCGCAAGTTTGGACGTGCAATGTAAATTTTTCGATATTCACGAATATTCAGATCTCAAATTTACATAACCAAACTTGCAGGCTGGTTAACGTCACTGTATGTTGAATGAGTTAAGTGTGAAGAACGTGGTGAGCTTATTCAACGAAAGGCTTTATTGGCAAAACTTACCTAGCGTACGTGAGGTTGAATCTCTCAGGAAGCTGGAAATCCAGTTGAATCGTTGCACATTGATGAGACCGTCTCAAAGCATCAAAAATTTTAATATCAATCTATAAATTGTGATAGAAATGAACTTATAAATTCGCAGTCGTATACATTTATAAACATCAAATTCAAAACCATATAAAACAGCATCTTCATTCTTTCTTGGTAGTGTAGAAGATAAATAAAAATCAATTTGAGTATGTAGAATATGAAGAACCTTAGGACCGTAGAAAGCTCCATCCCCAGGATTTATCTGCCATTTTTGACCAAATTTATTCAGAGCTTCCGTCAGTTTCTAATGAAGAATAAAACAAACTCCTTTAGTAAAACAACTAAAAAATATTATCAATAATGTAGAAATTTTGCATGTTTCTGACAAGACAACTAAAAAACTTTGTAAACTGCAAACAACTTGCCTCCCTTTTCTGTTAGGAACAAAGCCTTTTCATGCAAGAAAAAGATCATTTACTTCCCCCCTTCGTTAAATATAGCCAGTTTAACCCCACCCACCCCATCAGGGTAAACAAGTCATCAAACATTGACCTGTTCAGCTTCGTTCCATGTAGCCAGTTCACCCATGAATTTCTCAGGTCGAGTTGATAGCTCAACATTGAAGGTAAAACCAAAGATATCGTAAACAGAACGTAAGAAGTCAAGACAACTGTCTATTTCTGATGAGATCTACGAAAAAAATAAGAAACATTACAATTCAATACAAAAATTTAGAAAACACGACGAATCGTCTAAGACGTAGTAAAAATGACGCGATGTTACAAAAAATATGGACGAGAAACGCCATTTCTACGATGGCTTAGACGATACGTCGTGTTTTCTGAAATGTTCTGCCGAAACTCTTAACGCTGAAATAATCGTGAAAAAAGTTGTGAGTTGAAATCAAATATTTACTTGAAATGCTAAAAAGAATACGTGAATCTATTATTTACCTGATCCATTGTACAAAAAATGTGAGCATCGTCTTGTTGAAATCTTCTAACTCTTGTAAGTCCACTCAATGCACCAGATAACTCGTTTCGATGTAACACGCCAAAATCAGCCATACGCAATGGTAACTCACGCCAGGAGCGAGGGCGATGATCGAACATCAAACTAAAGATATAAAAATTCACGTTAGTTAGCAGAAAGAACGGCAGAAAATAATAATGGCAATCACAAAAGGAAGCACTATCGCTAATGTGCATTTAATGTTGACCACAAATTTTTTTGCAAATAGACATGTTTCGAAATCTCATGATGCCATCTTCAGTATGAATGAATAATTACATAGATAATAGTGGAAAGCAGAGAAACTTTGGATAAACGCAGGGGGACTGACAATCCAAAGTTTCTCTGCTTTCCATCACTATCTATGTAATTATTCATTTCAACCGAAGATGGCATCATGAGATGTAGAAACATGTCTATTTTCAAAAAAATTTATGGTCTACATTAAATGCGCATTCCCAAAAAGGTCAGTTTTACGATAACCCAACACTCACCCACGCCCCGACATCTTATTCACAAACCTTATTCGCAAGAAAACTTACCAATGTCCAGGACAGTTCATTGGCTTAAGAGCATAAACTTCCTTTTCTATTTCAAACTTGAATAAATTCTCAGAATAATGTTGCCAATGACCTGACGTCATCCACAGTTTGGTGCTGTAGATATTTGGTGTAACAACTTCTTGAAACCCACGCTTCCAATATTCCTCCTGCAGAAGGAAACTTTTTTAACAAAATGATCAACAAGACGAAAGATATTAACGTTGTGGATGTTGGTATTAACGTTGTGACTGTTGGTATTGACGTTGTGACTGTTGGTATTAACGTTGTGGATGTTGGTATTAACGTTGTGACTGTTGGTATTAACGTTGTGACTGTTGGTATTAACGTTGTGACTATTGGTATTAACGTTGTGACTGTTGGCATTAACGTTGTGGATGTTGGTATTAACGTTGTGACTGTTGGTATTAACGTTGTGACTGTTGGTATTAACGTTGTGACTGTTGGTATTACCGTTGTGGATGTTGGTATTAACGTTGTGACTGTTGGTATTAACGTTGTAGCTGTAGAAATTACCGTTGTGGCTGAAGTTATTACCGTTAAAGCTGTACGTAATTTACGTTTTGGCTAAAAGTATTTACGTTGCGGTTGTGTTATAATATACACACAACTAGAGTTTTCAAAGAGCAAAGTGGCCTTAACTTCTAAGGATAACATCATACTCCAAAATGTCAAGGTGGAAATAAGCAGTACCTTGATAAAATTCACAAGAGTATTGTAAATGTGGGCTCCATTTGGAAGGAAAAAACAGCTCCCAGGACTTAGTTCATGAAAGAAAAATAGTTCTTGTTCCTAGAAAATGAACAAAAAAATGTTTATTGAAAGAATAAACAATAAGAATTGTTAACACAAAAATTAATACTTAGAGTAGAAATATAATATAAAAAGCAAGTACCTGGCCAATCTTACGATGATCGCGTTTTGCTGCTTCTTCTTGGAATTTCTTCCATTCTTTCAGCTGACATAAATGGATTTAAACACATTTGATGAACAAAGCAAAAAAAGATAAAAGTCAAATAACAAAATCCTACAATAATCACAAGCGTACCTGTTTATCCTGTGGAAATGAAATGCCATAAATTCTCTGTAAAGATTCCGCTTCACAATTACCTTCCCAATATGTGGCAGAATTCTGAGATGAAAAATGAAGATATTAAAAACTTGACAGAAAAACAAGTAAAATAACATGACTACGTACAACATCTAACAAATATGGTACCTTGGTTAAAGCAATAGATTTACATTTGCCAGTATGACGAACATGCGGTCCACGACATAAATCAATCAATGGTCCACATCTAAACATAATTCCAGTTTGGATAATCAAACTTAAAATTACAAATATAAATCATTAATATGCTCAGTGAAAAGAGCAGTTTCTCTTACCTATAAACGGTTGTTGTAGGAGTTTTGATTTTCTTATTTATGATTCGCATCTTGAATGGGTTATACTACGTAAAAAAATGTGGATTCATAAGAAACAAAACTTTTTTCAAATGGTTTGAGTCTGGGTTTGTTATTCATGTTGATTTATTTAAGGATCTTCCAGATTGTTGTATATTTACAAAAATTATTTGAATTTGTCTGACAAATTAAAATGATTTTTCTAAATACATAAAAATCTTTTTACAAAATTCTTGAAAGCAACTACAGATAATAAATATTACCTTGAACATTTCTCGCAAATCTTCAATTTTGATCTCCAATCTCTCAAATTTCTGCTTCTCTTTGACAATTTCTTTGATTAATGCCTCCAAACTTATGAAGTCATTGCTGGAAACTTGTCTACAAAAAATTACACCAATGATGTTGCAATGAGCTTGCAAAATTATAGAGAATTACTAAAAATATGAAAAGCTTTAAACAACAGGGAAAGCTGTGAACAGCAGGTTATGCTGTCAAAAAAAACAGGGTAACCATTCAACACCAAATCATGCTGTGAACAAGTCATGCTGTGAACAAGTCATGCTGTGAATAATATGAAGAGCTGTAACCTATGGGAAAAGATGGATAAAATATACAAAGCTGTTTGAATAACAGGATAATTGGTTAATGCAGAATGCGAGTAGAATTGTATTGTAAATTAAAAATCTTAAAGAAATATTAAGTCATTATTGAACCAAGTATGTTTTAAATAAGCAAGGTCTGAATTATTTCAAAAAAATTGCTTGGCAACTTTTTTCGAACACTCCCCAATTTTTTCATTTTCATTAATCCCCCCCCCCCTTGATCTTTCATATTTGTAAAATGTGTTATGCACATGCTTATAAAGTAAATGGTTTGAACCCGGGAGTATCATTACATGCAAGTGGAGAAATAACATGAAAGATAACAATAATCGTATTGTCTTTTCAACAACTTTGGCTTAGTAGAATGACTTCCTATATTGAACATGTTTGTAAATGTAGATCCTCCAGGTTGGTATAGTCCTGAGAAGAACTGTTTTTGTTGTTGTTGACTGACGTTTTGACAACCTTAGTGGTAGTATTCTTCAGAGTCAAATGCTTAAATCAATAAATTTATGAATTACAAAATCTATCACTTTGTTTTGTCCAATTCAGAAAGTGTAGCAGCTCTAACATCTACTACAAATGTGGAAGGAGTAGGGCTTCCTAAGGATTGAATGAAGCAAGCAGAAATTATTCATCACCAATCTTACTCGAGCTTTAAGTTGTTGCCAACATATACAATGTTGTAAGGTAGCATTTGTCTAATGAATGCATTGATTAGCAAATGCACATTTGTGTTTTTAACTTTGATTGAAAATGCTATGTTTCATAGCGTATACAATTGACAGTAATATTTACTCTGAAACTATACAAGCAAGGCCCAATTAAAATGATCTGTTGGCATATTTTCACATAAAAGGGGTGGTCACAAAGCATAATGGGAACACAGCCTTCATAGCAATGTAAAAAGAAATGTTTTCTGGTAGCAAATTTATCATTAATCATCAAGAAAGTTAATGAAATTGCTTCGTAATTTGCGAAGCGTTAATTTTTGTCTTGATTAAGTTAAAATATTGATTGTAAATTTTTCTATGTAGTTCAATTCAACTTGACTCTTGAATACACAACAAAATGATGATGGAGAAATTATGTTATATATTGAGCATTATGGTTAAAGTGTATGCTTACTTTTCATCTAAGAACATATCATAATAAAATCCTTCTTCAATGGGAGGACCATAACACAGCAGACCACCATAATGCCGTTCCATCGCTTCACCCATTATATGAGCACTTGAATGCCAAAATACCTGTTGAGCTAAACAAGATGAAACAATGTGAAAAATCAAATCTTTTGAACAAAAGCTTATAACTTCATGCAAAAACAATACCTTCTTTGTCATCAAATTTTAAAAGTTCCAGGTTGGAATCATTCTCTAATGGTCTATCTAGATCAAAAACCTCGCCATTCACCTAAAAAGCAAATAATATAAAGTTATGATGAATATGTAGTGTTTAGTACATGTCAATGATCAAAACTTATAAATACCTTAGCAATGACAGCATTGTCTGCCAAACCTTGACTAAAGAGCATAGAAATAAATATTTTAATATTAAATACCAGTTTACCTTAAAATGCAAGAATAAAGTAAATCATTGACTTCCTTTAAACCTTATTGATAGAGCAACATCAAATGGTGTTGTCTTCCATGCAATGCCTTCGATTTCATTCCCATTTGGCAAGGTTATTTTTATTGTTTCGTTCAGAGAAGCCTTTGCTAAAATAATGGCACAAAAAGTGACGAAAACTTACACATTATACTCAAAACACGTATTATCATAAACAGTCCATGTAAGCTACTATACCATTTATTTCCGAGTCATAATTTGCCTTCAGTTTGTCAAACATCTTGATTCGTTCTTCCAGAAAATCGGGAGGAGGTTCAAGCTAAAAATGTACAATGATACTAGTCGGTTTTTCAATCATTCAACAACACAAAAAGCAATCTTTGCAAAAATAGTTAATAATTATTTTATGCTTATAATCATTTGCATAAAAAAATCTGATGAATAAAGTTGTACTCACACGTGTAATGTCAATTACAATGAAATCGTTTCCTCCTTATAAATAATATTTTTAAAGACAAATGCCTGGTATTTTTTTACACAATACTATAGTAGTATTTTTACGACATAAATATTCACTTTGAAACAATATTCACAATCAATTCATCCATTGACTCGCTTACTTCGCCAAAACAAAACCTTACTTCCAATTTTCTGACGCAATTGCTGTTCTCTGTTTCCTTATTTTTTTTCCCTCTTTTTGTCTTAGAATTCACTTTCATGCCCTTCATTTTAGCTTCGACGTTGTCCATCTTGTGGACAATTCAAAAGAAGGTGAAGAAGTATAAAATCCAAGCAGAAAATGCAAGCAATTTAAAGAAGTAGTTTTGACTGATGCAATTGTACTTCGCTCATTCCGCTATTGACTTGTGCGCATGCTCAGCGTAGCAAACATGGAGATTACAAAAAAACAACAATTGCGAAAGTATTTGGAACATTTTTGCTTAGGATAGTAGTTTGTGCAGATACGTCTATATTTTGGGCAAATTCCTGTCGTTTTAACTTGTAAACGAAGCTTTTCCTTCGAGCAGAGAAGCACAAAAGCATGATTGCATAATTATCTGTTAAAAGTTGACGTACATTATTACCTCAAGTTTATAAAAGTTTGGGAACATTTCATCAGTTGCATCACGAGTACTAAAGTATTTGACTTTACACCATGAGACATTGACACAATGTTTGACGAGCCGAAGAAACTTTGGCGAAACATGACATCCTCCACGCAGAAAAACCTGGCAATATTATTTAAGTATACTAAACACGGAAAAGCAGAAGGTCAAAGTGTTAACTATACAGCTGGAATTTATAAAATATAAACATTCTTACCATTAGTATGAAAAAAAGAAGAGAAGTTACAGCGATTTGCTGAAAATTGTATAATTAAAAGCAGTTTGTTTTGAACCGCGGGCTCAAATACCACAATCTCATCATGAACTTCATGTCCGCAAAACCTGACATAAGTAGCGTTCATTAATAAGAGTCAGAGCAAATATTTTACAAAGAAAGATCGTTATTTTACACAGTTTCAATCAAAATTTTTCTCTATCAATAATGTGGTCTCTTAAGATGGTCTCCATTAAAAGAAGGCCCAGCACGTTTTAACCTTGCTCCACCAATCGGGTGGAAGCGATGTCTACCGTGAACTAACTCCGTACGAGGTCGAAACTCATGACGTCCACCAAAGTTTACGCGAAAAGTTCGTGGACCAGGAAAAATGTCTAATCTATGATGTCCAAAATGGCCTCCAACAGGTCGTATAGGAGGAGCATGATCTCGAAATGCAAATCTTGGACGATGTTCATTAGAGTATATATCTGTATGTATGTCGCGTATATTTCTCATTTCATGTGTAATCCTATCTTGTTCATAAAACTGACCACTGCCTTGATCAACCTCATTATAGTTCATTTCATGCGGATAAACTTCTTTACTTGCTGCTGAAAGTTCTTCTTTCTCACGATACTCCTGTGTTGCTTGTGGGAAAATTCCCTCGTTAACAGAATCGCGATTCATATTGTTCTCTAGCGATGCCGTTGAATCAACTAGAGTTTCAAAATGTTCGTGTTTTCCTTCACTCCCCTGTGAAACTTGAAGTGCATATGTTTCATTAACGTGTTCAAGAGAACCTGATCCATGTTCAAATGCATGTTCTTCATCAATTAATTGACCGCCCTTGAATTCTGGCTGATGCAAATAAGAGCGATCTATTGATGGTCGTCGATTATTCATAGGTGGTAGTGAACCCTATCTTCTCCTCCCTCTACCATGTGTCCCCCTCTCAACTCGTTTATAAGTCCCTCAGACTGTTCGTCCCTTCTCTCACATACTCTTTCCCCAAAATGGTGAGAAACATCTCTTTCTACAATACCAAAGTGTTCTCTAACTTCAGGATGTCTTTCAAAGTGAAAGGATGGTCTTCGAAAAGGTTCACTTCTTTCCTCACTCATGGAAAGATGACGCCCAGTTACATCTTGTGGAACAGTCACCTCACGATCAATAAATGTAGGGTGACCACTATGTCCATCCATCATTTCTCGTCGCCGTAAACGAGGGTCTCGACTCTCTCTAATCGGTTGTCTCATCCTAAATTGAACAAACGGAGGTCGGTGTTCCCATTCATTAGGAAGAGCCATAAAAGTTGAAGGTCGAACACCAGGAGATCTAAGATGATGCTCGCCTTCATAATGAGCTGTATGTATCCTATCATGCCTCAATACACCCAACTCATTTTGAAACGGAGGTATTTGTTCAGAGGATCTGAACGGACGATGTGCATGTGCAGAGTGACTGGGGTAGGTTTGTTCGCTCATCGCCATATTAGGAAGGGATGATTGGGGGTAGAGAGTCGTGTTGCATCAACATAGGCGAAGTTTCATTATATTGAAGAAGTTCATCAGGACGAGTGTTATCTATAAGTCTTTCTTCACCTGTTACTAAAGAGGAATCATAACTTCCTTGCACTTCATCCATAACTTTGCCTTCCATATACGAATCATTATAAATGCCATCATCCTGTTGTGAATACTCTGAAACTTCTCCTTGATGAACATTGCCACTACCGTCTTCCACAACAAGACTACTACTAGATTGCAGAGAAGGAACCAACAAATTTCCAAGCAAGTTACTTAGAGGTCTATTATCACTACCATCATCTTGATCATGATGCAAAATTTCTTCTCCTGACGCAGCAGTTCCGACGACATCATGCTGATTATTAATCAAATGTGAAAATATTTGCGACTGCTCATCGTTCTTGAGAAGACTTTCATTTGTAATCGTACCCATGTCACCTTCAGAGAAAATATTGGTTTCATGTTGCTCGTTATACACGTCCAAGTTGAGATCTGGTGAACCTTCGGGTGAAGGAGCAGAAAGTATTGAACTTGGGGAAGCATTGTTGCTATCTTGAGTATCCGCAGTTATGGTGTATCCATATGTTGTTGACGTTGTTTTAGGTTCAGTAGATTCCGTTGTTGTGACAACATTAGTTGAAGGTGTTGACTGTACAATTGGATCAGTTTCATTTGTTGACACAGCACTATGTACATTACTCTCTTCTGATACATCAGATGAGGATACAACATCTTTCGACTTCTCGTCATTTTCTGAATCAGAATCAATATCCATGTCGGCCACTTCAACATGATCAATGGTTGTATCAACTGTTTCGACATCTTTAATCTCTTTCTTATCTTTTGTATTCCCTTCTTGCTCCGCATCATTACTTCTCGGACTGTCATTCATTTGTTCCAAGATGCCAGATAATCCAGATGAAAGAAAGGAAGCTTTTGGTGCTGAAACAGGTGCTTCTTTTTCAGCAGTGGCAAACTTTCGAATTTTATTATCGAGTTTCTTCTTCATTGAATGCAATCTGTTTCCAAATGATCGATATGCCTACACAAAGATTAAATAGTTAGAAAGTTGAACATGAAGCAATTGAACAGATAGTAAAGCACATTTCTAACATACATTGGCAATAATTGTTGCTTCTTTAAATGCTGCATCATAGTAGGCATCACCATCCTGAAGAATGCCAATTAATGTTTGCCGATGTTGGCTTTCACACTCCAAAGATTCAACAAGATCTTCATACTTTTTACTAGATTCTTCAAACTCAATAGAGAACCTGTTTCCTCCAGCATAGTCTGAAAGAAATACATTGGTGCATAAAAATGAACTAAAGGACAAAAATGGTTTTGAATAAATGGTAAGTTTAATCAACCTTTAAGTTGTTTTATTCCATCTGAACTGGAAGCATCAAGTTTCATCTGTGAGACTAAAGTTTGATGTCTTTCCGTCTCATCTTCCATCCCTTGCATCATAGCAATGGAATGTGTAACACTTACAGTCTTCAATAAATAAAATCACCCTTTTAATGCAAATTACTAAGTATTTGTCTGGTATTTTATGAAAATGTAAGCAAATTCACTTATGACAATGCTTCAAATAAATATAATAAATCCAACTTTATATTTGCCAACATTGACGCTGTAGTTATCATGAAGAATAGATAACTCAGTAACACAAGTGGCATAATTTTAGCATTAGAAATCATGACATTACAATCACATAACTTTTTGTACAACATATGTAGGTATATGCATGTTCTCAAACCTTGAAATTTGAAGGAATGGGATGTTTGGATTTCTTCTTTCTTTAACTTTACCAATTTTTTCATTTTCCTTCACCAGAAGGGCAATCCCATCTGACTTTGACTTTGACCTTGGTTTCATCTTCACAGTAACTGATGATGAAATAAATCAGCAAAAATACATGTTAAAAACAGAAAATATATAATAGCCATTGCAAAACTAACCATGTTTCAACTGATCAAGAAGTTTTTGCACAGCATCTTTCTCAAACACTTTTCTTTCCAACCATATTTTCAACACTCTTTCTACAGATGGCTGGATGGAAGTATCCCTAAAATGAAGAATAGCATGTCTCATTAACCATTAAGTTACAAAGCTATACACACACAGTGGACTGTCAAAAGAAAATCTCTAATGTGAACAAGACAAACTTTCCACAGTGGAAAGTTATGTTAAATTGAAAACAGCAACATGTGTTTGCATACCGTAAATATTGCATTGACTCCCCCAAAACCTTTCCAAATGATGCTGAAAATTCCTTTCCTTTTTTGCGACTATTCTGTATGACATCATTTGCAAGATAGAACAACACCAAACGACGATCAGGCTTGGCTGAAAATATTTAAATAAACCAGTGTTTTTATTTATCAACAACTGAACGCATAACTACAGAAATTCTAGGAATTAAAATGATCGTAAGAAAATTTTCCTGCACTAATGCCAAGTTATGAGAATTCATTTGCAGTCGTCTACATTACTTATCAAAGTTTATGTGAACTACAAACAGAACGATATAATAATAATACAATTGTGAAATGTCTAAACGACAAGAGCCAATTTTCTAACCTTTTTTCATGCGATCGAGCCAAACATTGACGACTGTTTTTGAGTGAGCCCTGTGATGTATAAGCCACAATGACACAGTTTGCACACTGTCCTGTCTCGCTGACATTTCCTTTAACTTTTTATCAAAAGATTTTACACTAAAAGAAGCCATCTTGCTTCAGTTTTCAGTGCACGCGCCAGCTTTTGCGCATGTTCAGTAAGGAGCACCGCTGACGTAAGGGCTGGTAAAGAGATAAATTAACACTTTGTGTTTTTTGTGTTGTTGATGTGACTAAAACTGACCATAACATTAATTTTTTTTTCCTATTGAATCACGCGAGTTTTTCACAGACAATTCACAACATTCGTCACACAAGAACGTATTCTGTTTACAAAAAAATCCATTTAAGAAACAACACAACAGCTCAAAACAACCATTACTTAACAAGGTTAACTGATCACTTAACAGTAGTAATCAGCAAAGCAATTAACAAAAATCATCAGTTTAAGTTTTAAACACTATGTCATAGCTTTTTATGCCAATATTATAATACAGTCACTATTGTACATGGTCATTTATACATTATACATGATAGGAGATCAAGATTCTTCATTTCCAGAGTCTTGGCTATCGGCAACTAAGTCATCTTCATCATCAGAGTTATCAGAGTCAAGCTCGTCTGCATAGTCATCAAGGAAATCATTATATTCATCTTCAGGAGGTTTGGGTTTGGATTTAATACAGTATTCTTCCATAGTAAGTGGTATTTTAATACCATCACGTTCTGCTTCTTGTTGGCTTTTTGACACTTGTTTTCTGAAAGAAAAAATCAGCCATCTCGAATGTCTTGTTGATAAAGGAGAACACGCAATTTAATCCAATTTAAAATCTTATGCCAAAGAACAAAAAACACCGCAAGTCGTTTGATGAGCACCAGTCAAACTAAAACATTTTCATTCATGCCCGTTCTTAAAAGCATTCTGCATGCTTTGACACCTGCCACAGTTTTTAACATACTTGATAATTTTAACATATTCATCATCTTTGCCTTTGGAGTCCCTCCATTTTCTGTACATCACTGAAGCATCAACATTTGCAGGTGAAAACGTATTTGGTTCATTCAATAATGATATCACACTTAACAAAATAGTTCTGTAAAACACGAGAAATCAAGAATTATCTAACAGTAGCTCTTGTCCATTTAAGATATATCTGAATTTTAAAGAAAAATAAAGAAATACAGATTATGAATGCACTGTAAATTCTCTATTGTTCTACACTCAAGCTGTATGTCACAATTATCTGATTATTGAACATAATTTTAACTCTAACTATCAACATATTGTACTACGTAAAGAAGTGTTATTTTTCTCTATCGATTTCATTTAAAAAATATACAAGTTTTCATCATAAAATCGAGAGTACACTAAACTAACCTAACAGTCTGCGTTGGATTCCATCTTTCTGACGGCAGCTCGCCACTCTGCGGGTCGTTAATGGGAGGATGAAGTATTGATATGCATACATCTCCAGTCTAAATCGTAGATAACAAAAAACGCACATAATAGTTAATATAGCAATATGCCCTTCTATTCAACTATACAACAACACGGCCAAAAGTTAACTCATCATAACATTTCCCTTACTGGATCATTTCATCTTTTAAACGCATGCCTACCTCATAAATGTTAGGATGCCACATTCGTGTACAAAATCTGAAGGTCGGAGGAGCGTAGGGATAGTTGTTTGGAAAGGACATGTGGGCCTAAATTTCAAGAAATGATAACATTTTTGCGTGTTCGAAATAATCAAAACAAAACGCATTCCTTTGAGAAAAGCCAACGAATAGATACCTACCTTAAAGTATCCACCTTCATAAAGAGTCTTTGGAGCTCCAAATACGATGATATTCCATTCAAAAAAATTGCTATCGTCTGGCAAACTAACTTGAAAACCTTCGACAGGTTCCTTTTGTAAGGCTTTCAATTCTAAACTCAACACCTTTACTGTCGCTAAAGACGTTGCGTCCGCCATGGACGGAGTAAGCAGGCACGATAATTTCTTACTTATTTAAAAAGAGAAAAAGCCGAAAGAACTGTTACAGCTTGAATAAACTCAATAAAATATTTCTTTTCAACAATTTCGTTTGTGTTTTCTGTTTTGTTCTATTTACTAGTTCCAGACCTCTTAATGCGCACAATTATTTTTACGTCACTAATTGGTCTTACCATAATAGGCAGAATTTACCATATATGGCAATCAACGATATCGTTGAACAACAAAGGTTAAATATGATTTTTTACCCAAACACATCCATAAGCAAACATGATACTATCCCTCCTAAGTGCTGTCTTAACTAGTTTGTTTTGGCGAAGTATTTTGATTTTGTTTTCTTTTAAACTCTTGTACAGCCTGGAAATAAATAGGAAAATCACTAAAAATATGTTACATAGTGGCATCGCCTTTATAAGCTCCATCTACTCACTTTAAAATATCCTGTATGGTATCCACTCAAGTACCATGACATCAACATACTAGCTAAGGATTCCTCGTCGCCTTGTAGTTCGTCAAGGGATATAGGAGGTGGTGGAGGTGGTATAGGTGGACGAGGTGTCCCCTAAAGAAGAAGGAGAACAATTTTGTCAAAAAACAAATAAATTGAGTGTGAAGAGGAGGAAGATTTATAAATGCAATCTCACCTTATTATGGCATGCAAAATGATTAATTGGGGTAGTAGTTGAACTAGGATTTCCAAACATTTGATGAAAATGTGTATTTAAGTTCAGATCTAAAATAGAGAAATATCATATAATGATTATTATCAATTTTAAAACCAGTGTGGCTTTTTCATAACAATACCTGATGATTTCTTTATGTCGGTCAGTTTGACCTCATGACTAAAGGAATTGAAATCAATGGGTTACTATGAAGTAATTGTTTAAAAGAATATCTCAAAAGTAGAAAACACTATTTTACCATTGTCTTGATCTTATGAAAGTAACTTTACAGGTCAATGATGATGAAAAATAGTTTATAACTGCCTCGTGATAATGATTATTTGGTGGTTCAGGAGCAACACATATGTCACTGATTTTCCAGTTTATGGTTTTTGATTCATTAGTACTTGCATCGGAACTATAACCATTCTAAAAATATCAAAAACACATTGACTTTGCAAAATAATAAAAAAGTGCCACTAATGTATATAATCATGAGTTGGTATGCTAAGAACAAAATTAAATCAACCTGTTTGGAATTGGAGATTGTAAACCTCTCGATCGTCCATAGGTATAAGATCTGATAGACATTGTTGTTCAGTATTTCCATAATCGCAGTATTGCACAACACACATATCTGCAACATCTGAACAAATCTCAATAATTTCTGCATCATATATTAAACCATCTTCGGAGTAGGCTGCTTGACACTTGTCACCAACATTCCACTGTTAAAAAGCAATGTTGTATTAGGTTAAAATAAGAACAGGAGCTGAACAAATTAAAACTTACAATTTTCATGTTTCTGTTAGCCTTTTCAACTACATTTATGGAATAATCATTCTTTTTTGATCTCTTTTTTCTGTCACAACAATTGAAAATAATTAATAATAAAGAAAAGTGTTACATCGTGAATTCTTCTCAATGAATTTAAACCTCTTTTTCTTCTTTCTTATCTTATCATCACGATCATGGGCTTGTAATGATTCATTGCCACTACCACACTGAAACTACAGGATATTAAAACATCTTTAAAATACCTCAAACGTTGGTTTCAAAATGACGATTTCAATGTAACCTTAAAGGATTTAACCGCTTTCTCGTAAGCTTTGATCAACGCGCTATCGTCCCAAAAATCCTCTCCATTAACGTTCTTGAGGGTGAATGAAAAGTAATGTTTACAAATATACTTAATATTTGAGAAATGGTTCTGGACTATTCAACAAAACAAGTCATCTTTTCCAAAAAGTATATATATGTATATGTATTTAATTTCGATAAATTATGGACAATAAACTCACAGCAATTACATGATACATACTTCGCTAGCTTGAAAGACAACATCTCCAACTTTAGCGGCCATGTTGCATATAGTAGTAGTGCCCAGGACCTTCATTGAAAAAGTCGCGCTGCAACTTTAAGCGATGTTAGGATTGTTACAAAAATGTTGCACAAATATCACTGAGCATAAAGCTGGACCGAACAATCTTTTCTTCTAATGAAGGTGACTAGAAGAAATCTGCCATTTCACGAAGTTCACGAAGCTGATCTGAAACCGAGATAAATGCAGCTGTCTTGCAGGAATTCATTAAATGTTCCCAGGATGAGGTATATATCAACAGCCTTGATCCAAGACGTTGTCATTACTTTTAGATTGCATTAGGCGATATGGACGACGACTGTCTAATGTCTTGAATAAAAAGTGACTCATTGAAATGTTTTTTTTTTATGTTTGCATTGCCTTTGCGCGTAGACTGAGTAGAATTTTTCAGAATTAAGAAGCAAGCAAAGATGTTGTAGGCTTGTACAAAAGCATGATATCAAAGCTATTACTTCATCGTCTCTTTCTCAACTTCTGATTTCTTATGTTCAATACTAAACTAGTTATGCCATAGGGTATCGTAACTGCTTGGAGGCAATCTTGGAGATGGTGAATATGCTTGTTATTTGTTGGTTATGGATATGATTTGCTGTTCAACGTCCATACTAAACCTAGCATTGATAAATACGTATCCATTTTAAAGTCATTAAGATACAGAGACATCACGACAACCAGAAATGCTTAGATGATTGCAATCGTTTGGATGGATGGTGTTTTCACAGCATGCTTTCCTGTCATAGGATGGTGGAAGATGAAACAACATTCCCTGGATGTCTGCGTCTTTAGCTGGTTCTTAACAACTTTCTATTATATTACAATATTTGCTGTGAACCTCTGCTTACCATTTCTAATCATTCCGCAGGTTTACATAAGTATTTATGTTACGGCAAAGTGACAACTTCGGAGAGTTACGGTGTTGTTCGTACAACAGCACCAAAGGATACTGATATTGCAATAATAAAGCAGAATACAGCGACCAGGAAATTGGGGGCAATTTTGGGCGTTTTTGTCATGTGTTGGAGTCCTTATTTAGTGGTTACATTATACCTACAGGTAAGTTGGAATATTTAAAGGTTGATGAACATGACAATAGATTCAAAAGATCGGCTTCTATTTGTTCTTTGTCATATAACTACATGAAGAAAATCTTAGTCAGTTCTCACAGTATCATCCAGACCAAAGCGAGACAGTTTACGTAGTAGGATGGAGTGATTCACGGTGTCGAACGCCGAGGAGTAACTGGTCAATAAACTGTGCAGAAGCTGTGACCGTCGAGGATTTCAGTCGAAAACCAAACTGTTTTGACGAGATTAGGTTATTTTCTGTTAGGTAGCCATAGAATTGAGTGCGAACAGCATTTTCTAAGATCTTACTTAACGTTGGCCGTACTGAAATTGGCCTGTAGTTGGACGCGTCCTGTTTGTCACCTTTCTTAAAAAGGGGTATGACCCTCGCGTTTTTACAAACAGAAGGAAAAGTTCCTGTTTGTAGCGATAGATTGAATAATGACGTCGACGAAGGCGCAATGATATGTCCAGAGTCCTTAAGAAGGCGGGCACTGATTTTATCTAACCCAGTAGCTTTATTGGGTTTTAAACGCTTGATAGCTTCCCTGACAAAACTTTCAGATATCAGCCGGAAAGAAACCCCGGAACCAGTTATATTAGGATTGACCTCGTGCTGGTTAGAGAACGACAGGTCCGGAATTTTCCGGCAAGTTTTCTACCAATACTTACAAAGAAGGTGTTCAAAGCAGTGGCAATTGACTCGTCAGAGGTGACGAGTAAAACTAAAGCAAAACACGAAGCAAAACACGAAAATGGAAGAAAACGAAGAGAAGAAGGGGAAAGACCTCGTTTTAGGTATCGTTTCAAAGAAATTGGGCCAGCAATTGAGGGAATTTGTAATGAAAGTGAAAGCAGTTTCACAATACGCGAAGGTAAACACAATGATATCAAATCCTTTGTGCCGAATACACCATTTGTAATTGACATCGTAACATGGTTGACGTGGAGTAACTCATGTTCTAACCCCATTTTGTAAAACAGACAATATCGTCATGTGTACAAGAGTATTTTTACATGTGGCAAAACAGGCTGAAGTATCTTGTAAACAAACCAAGAAGCTTATTGTATAAATTGGCAACTATCACGTTTGCTAATTTGAATTTTTTGAAACGTGAGATGGGTTTGACCACAACAAGTCTTGGCATGAATAATAAGTTAATAACAAAGAACGAGACAATTAGTTTAAGCAATATAAAAAACATACAAAAATATGAAGCATTTCAAATGTTTAAAGATCCAAAATGAACGAGTATTAACATTACTATCTTTTTTATACATTGCACATATTCAGAAAATGACACGATAAATTTCATTTACTTTTATGTACATTAAAATATTAACAATTCCAACAAGAAGTCCTACGAACCACGGTAATAATTGTGTTTGCAAAGAGTACAACAAACATAAAATGAAACTAACGAACATTAACAATCCATGAGCAGCCTTTCTATGTCTAGTCGATGACACACGTATTCCAAAGAACGAAAATAGCTTCATCATTTCATCGTTATCAGGACGAAGCAGAACAGAAGAGATTAACGATAAAAACGCTGATGTACCAAGTAGTTTGGAGTTGTCTTCACATCGATAAAAACTGCCCAACAAGAGAATCGGATAAACAGGTCCCAAAATAATACGAAACTCGCGAAGTCTTTGTTGAAGTCGCAGTGGGTACCGCACTAATTGCGACAAGGAGCAAAATACTGCAGCCCAAGCCAAGTGTGACGAATTTAACCAGTGAGGTAAGGACACTGCTATGGCAATAACAACCGACTTGATTCTGTCGCTGCAGGACAATTTTTGAAAATTCTTCCAAATGAAAAAAGGAAGGACAGGCAACACGGGAGAATCAAAACAGACGAAAAATAACTCAACAAATAGCCACAAAGCTGTAGTGAGAAAGCAACAGTGATTTTGAAATCGAAAATTACGTTGATAGAAGATCGTCAACATAACACCGCAACACCAACAAATTAACAAATTGTTTACGTCTATAGTCATTTTTCTCAAAGATCTTTCTCCTCACAGCACATGCTGGAGGTGAGATACGTTCATGAAGGCTGTTTTATAGTAAAAGCATGGATTTAAAAGTCTATCATGACTTTAAAGGGTCGATGGGGATTCCTGAGAAATGTAAATTACGTCAGATTTTGCTGGGGTTTCTTAGAAAAGGAGAGGAAGTTGTATTTGTCAAATACACAAAACTACGCCCTACCGTTGGTGAATTTCAATACATACCTAGAGCTTAAAATGATGAAGAGTGAATTATTCTGTAACAGAATACAGCTTTTTATCAAATGTGTTAGTTTAAAAACCTCGAAAATAACGAAGACTAAAGGGGAAACCCCGAAAACATGCCATAAATTGTATCGATTATTTAACACAGGAATAACAACAATCGAACCAAAGAAATACAGCTGTGAATCTACTATGGAGACGAAAGCCGAAGCAAAACACGAAAATGGAAGAAAACGAAGAGAAGAAGGGGAAAGACCTCGTTTTAGGTATCGTTTCAAAGAAATTGGGCCAGCAATTGAGGGAATTTGTAATGAAAGTGAAAGCAGTTTCACAATACGCGAAGGTAAACACAATGATATCAAATCCTTTAAAGAATTTCAAGCAAGCACACAAATTAAAACATCCATGAAGAAATTATCAAGCCGAAGTAAGGAAAGTACTGAAACCAGCAAGTATAAAGCAAGAAGAGAATGTAATAATTGGAACAGAAGGAACTCGAGAGACTATGTTTTGAATTCATCAAGTTCTCACGACAAAAAGAAACACGAGAAATTGAGAATAAAAAGGCAGATAACAGATATGTTGTCAACTGAAATGCATCATGTCGTATATACCGATCCGCCATCGCCTGAGAAGTACAGCGATGTAAAATATGTTCGATGGTGTCCACAATACATAAGTCCAAGCGTTCAAGGTCATGCGCGGGGAGGAAAGAGTTTACTTCATCACACGTGCAGGAGATGTAGAAAGATATGTTTTCATTTGCTGGGGAAGCCTGGAACACCAAGGTTTTGCCTAGCTTGTGCTGGTTATAAAGAAAGATACATTCCTCGATGGTATTACCATGAACATTGCAAATACTGCAAGACATCTAAGTGACATAAGGCTTAACAAGTGCAGACCCGTTCGACGTCATGTGGACTTTAAAAATTTAATCTGACGTTTCCCATCATAGAACACAAATTAAGAAGTGTGAAACATACCTTTCAATGACCATATTGAGTACTACACTACATCATGTGCGGTAAAGGATTTTTTTGACTTTCTGTCGTTCTTTGTTTACTGAACGTTGACTAAAAATATCAAAAATATGTATACATACGTAACTGCATCAACCATTGACTTCTAAATATGTTCATGAAGAATTACCTTGCCAAGTAAACCATGTTCATGAAGTGGTAAGATTCAGTCACATTTCTTAAGTGTGAATTGTATGTATTATATAAAGTTACATATTTTTACGTGATTATTACAAAATTCATCAAAACTAGTTAATGTAAAAACAGATCTAAAAACTTCATCTGCGTTCATTGTGTTGGTCTTAATGATAAGGGAAAGATGACTTATGTTAGGTCTTCATCTCGTGGAGTAAAGTATCGTATAATCCTTGTCCTTGTCAATGAGGCACAAGGAATTCTATAATAAGCCTTCATTCATTACAATGAATTACAACAAGGAAGTTCATGTGATGTCTTCTAATGAACGAGCTGCCTCGTAGTTTGATGAAGATACTGCAAAAATAGTATCTAAAGCGCCTATAACTTCATAAACTTCCTTTTGATATCTCAGTTCTGAAGCTATCTTCAATTGTAGTTTTGCAAGAAGCTCGTCAAACTTTCTTGACTGTCCGAGTACTGAGCCATAAATATCTGGAATAAAACATCGCATATTTTTTACTGAAAACTATCGATCGCAGCAATGACTTAAAGAGAAAACTATAAAATTGCGCACAACACAGTAGTGGAAAATAACAATATGAGCTTTCCCCAAGGTAGGGGCTTACCACAGCAGTGGCAAATAACGAAACTGGCCCTCCCCAAGGTAGGGGCTTACCACAGAAGTGGCAAATAACGAAACTAGCTCTTCCCAAGGTAGGGGCTTACCACAGAAGTGGCAAATAACGAAACTAGCTCTTCCCAAGGTAGGGGCTTACCACAGAAGTGGCAAATAACGAAACTAGCTCTTCCCAAGGTAGGGGCTTACCACAGAAGTGGCAAATAACGAAACTAGCTCTTCCCAAGGTAGGGGCTTACCACAGAAGTGGCAAATAACGAAACTAGCTCTTCCCAAGGTAGGGGCTTACCACAGAAGTGGCAAATAACGAAACTAGCTCTTCCCAAGGTAGGGGCTTACCACAGAAGTGGCAAATAACGAAACTAGCTCTTCCCAAGGTAGGGGCTTACCACAGAAGTGGCAAATAACGAAACTAGCTCTTCCCAAGGTAGGGGCTTACCACAGAAGTGGCAAATAACGAAACTGACCCTCCCCAAGGTAGGGGCTTACCACAGAATTGGCAAATAACGAAACTGACCCTCCCCAAGGTAGGGGCTTACCACAGAATTGGCAAATAACGAAACTAGCTCTTCCCAAGGTAGGGGCTTACCACAGCAGTGGCAAATAACGAAACTAGCCTTCCCCAAGGTAAGGGCTTACCACAGAATTGGCAAATAACAATATGAGCCTTACCCAAGGTAGGGGCTTACCACAGAAGTGGCAAATAACGAAACTAGCCCTCTCCAAGGTAGGGGCTTACCAAAGAAGTGGAAAATAACGAAACTGACCCTCCCCATGCTTGGGGGCATACCAAGAGATATATAACGATAGCGGTCTTCACAGTGGGGTTACAATAGAAGAAGTACAAAACATCTCATTGTTCAGAGCTCATCTTACACTTAAAATATCCTCTGATAAAAAAACCTTGCCCCACATTAATAGAGCGGGAAAAAATTATAGCAGCATTTACAAAAGACATCAATAGAAATGTATAAAAACATCTTTTCCCGAATGGCAATGTTTATCTTTAACAGAAAATATTTTTAGAACTATCCTGCGCCTACCTAATATGGCATTCGTGACGTCAATCAGAGTTGAAGTGTAACGAGGATTGCATATGTGTCTAATAAAGAAATAAAGTTACTGATAAAGAAACAAAATAACATAGGTGGAAAATGATGTTGTTTGTCCGTTAACATATTGACTGACTTGTTAAGGAATTTCAAGATGGCTTGTAAAGATTCGTCATCGCGACCAGATAAAGCAATCTTTAATCCTTGACGACGTATCAGTTCCATGATCAAACTGATGACAACAGGAGGATTGGTGCGACCCTAACGAGAAACAATAAGCGGTTATTTAACACTAACTAATATAAACTAATGAAATATTTCAAAAGCATTCACACACGAACACTTAAATCATGTGCTGCCAACAGGGAATTAAAAAACTTTTTCATAATCTGCAATTTCACGACGGAACAAGAATGCATGCATATGAAAACGATTGTATTTTACAGTAGAACACTATTTTCTCGTGCGCTATTTTTGCGATTGATGCAGAACTCAATGCGCCTGCTATTTCTAAAAATTTTCTTTTTCTTTTGACTGTGTGATGAAAGCTAAGTTGGCGATTATTAACATAACATTTTGGTTTAATCATTTCTTCAACAGTAAGCCTTTATTTCCATAAAACGTAAGAGTTAAAAATGACGAGCTACATACGAACGTCAGGTTTATATATATGAGGTAGAGGGTACTTTTGTAGAGACGTGTATATATATATGCTTCAATAAAATAATTCTGTTATACTCGAGGATAAAGTTTGACTTATTGAGGAAAGAAGATTCATTGCTTTTTCTTTTTCCATCTTCTAACTTTAAAATGTCGCTTATCTTAATTTACTCCATATTAAAAACAAAAGTGATCCAATTTTACCACTGAAGATGGTTTTATAGAGCCATGCTAGCTTCAAAGTCAGGTACCTCGAGAACGCTGTCCAATGCCTTGGTGTATTCAAACTTTTTCAGGAATTTATCGTGCGCAGTGAGTTTTGGTTTTGCGATCTTTCCACCACAAAATCACCCTGAAATTAAAAACATTTATATTAAAAATCAAGGTACATGTCATAGAAAATGAGAATATTGTATTACCTTGGATATACGTAATTACATATTAAAAAAATTGAAACTGTTTAAGTTGAACCTGTTGCGGTTTGTGGTTTTTTCCTCGTACAAAATAACGGTAAGAACCAGGTTTAGGTGTTGAAATTGGTTTGATTGTGTCAATATCTTCGTTTTTTTTCATACGATATTTGATTGATATTAAACCAGTAGACATTCCTACGACTACATGTTTATCATCAGCCTGTTTAAAGTAAGAAATTAAAAACTTTGAGAAGAAATGTTAAAACAGTTGATCTTTAAAATCCTTAGATTTCTGTACATAGTTTGTTTTAAATAAGCGATACTTACAGAAACTCCTAAAGATAAAATTGGCGATGGATAATGTAGACTGTGAACGACTTTATAATCTTTGACGTCATATATTTTCACGTGTCTAAAATTTTATCTCAGTCAAAATGACTCCTACGAAAAACTTTTCAATGATGAAAGAATATTTTACCGATCGAGCGATGATGAAAGAAGACGAGTATTTTGACCATCAAAGCAAAGATTTGTGACGGTTTTCTGATGATTACAAAGGGCAGTCAACAATCTTCCACCACTAAAGATGTCCCAAATTTTGACAATGTTATGTCCTGAAAAATTTAAAATTTTAGCAAATAATAATCGCTGTGTACAATCAAAAACATATGTTCAATTATGTACACAACTCAAAACATATTAAATAATCAAAACCTACATTGCACCATCAATATTGTACTTATTTATACCTGCAGATACACAGAGACCACCAGAAGGAAAGACGATGATGTCCTCAACAGGATGTCCATGATTAAATGTCATTACGCTTGTTTGTATACGAGAGTCCCACATCTTTACAGTGTGGTCATAAGAACCTAAGAAAACACAAGTGAAAAAAATTAAGAATCGGAACTATATATACGTGTAAAAACAATACATTTATGTTATAAAAAAAAGGAACCAGCAAAAACTTTAACAATGACTACAAAACTAAGATGTTACAAACAACGTAGCAATAAGGTAATTGGATCTTTATATTATCACCTGTAAGCCATATATCTTTACTGGAAGTGTTCAATGCACAACATCGAATATAATCCTAAAAAAAAAGAAATGGTTCTCTTTGACTGTAATATTTACTTAATTCCATGTAATAGTCACATGATTCTTTGCAATAGTCACATGATTCACTGTAATAGTCACATGGTTCAATGTAATAGTCACATGATTCTTTGCAATAGTCACATGATTCAATGTAATAGTCACATGATTCAATGTAATAGTCACATGATTCAATGTAATAGTCACATGATTCTTTGCAATAGTCACATGATTCACTGTAATAGTCACATGATTCAATGTAATAGTCACATGATTCAGAGTAATAGTCACATGATTCAATGTAATAGTCACATGATTCAATGTAATAGTCACATGATTCAATGTAATAGTCACATGATTCAATGTAATAGTCACATGATTCAATGTAATAGTCACATGATTCACTGTAATAGTCACATGATTCAATGTAATAGTCACATGATTCACTGTAATAGTCACATGATTCACTGTAATAGTCACATGATTCAATGTAATAACCACATGATTCACTGTAATAGTCACATGATTCAATGTAATAGTCACAAGATTCAATGTAATAGTCACATGATTCAATGTAATAGTCACATGATTCAATGAATAGTCACATGATTCCCTATAATAAGTCATATGCTTCAATGCAATAGTCACATATTTCTAGATCTTAGTGACATTAATAACTACCAAATGCTCTTTTCCATTAAATATTTCACTCTCACCAGAGAGATCCCATAATTTCACAGAGTTATCATCTGATGCAGAAATAACATTGAATCCATCAAGGGAAAACTTTGTACAATGAACAGATCTACATCAAAAAAAACAAATCATTTTCATCTTATCTTATACATTAATTGTTGTATAAATTAAATATATAAAAAGTAATCATAGAAATAAACAAAAAGAGAATGAGAAAGACCACAAAATTTCACCTTTTATGACCACTAAACTCTCGAAGAACAACTCTCGTGTTTATGTCAAAAACCTTATAAAAAAATAAAAACAATTTATCACGAAATAATTAAATACATTTCAGAAATTTTACAAATTGCTTCCATCAAATAAACAATAGCTATTTTACCTTAACTGAGCTATCATCATCACCAGCAACCAAAAGTTTACCATCAGCCCTGAAACAACCGCTATGAGCAGTGCTTTTGAATCGAGACAAGGTTTTCTTTACTTCATTTGTGATTGAACTGAAGATTTGGACCTTATTGGAGCTTGTTATTGCAAAATCGTGAGGTTCACTGGGACTGAAATTAATGTGGTCAATGGCTGAGGATTCTTTTACTGTGATAGGAAACTACAAGAAAGGAAAACGTCGTGTTAGGAAATTTGATGTAAATTATTCATAAATTCTTTTCTTACGCTGTATTTGTTCCAAAACTTTGTATCGCTCGTGTCACGGCTTGAAATTCTAGGATAGCTTTTCACAACAAGTTTGTTGTAAGCCGCCATGTTGGCTCAACTAGCCAAACTTCATGTAGGCACAATGAAAAATGTTATAACATTTTAAAATAAAGTTATTTTCCTCCTGTCGACGATAGTCAAACTTTTCAAAGTTATTCAGTTTCTAAGTTAAAAAATAAATATTCAAACTACAAGTCATAACTAACATTCTTCACATCAGGACCTGCTCAGCACGTGGTATTTAAGATGATGACAACAAGCGTGATCATGGCATCATGGTTGGGAAACTGACAAGAATCAATTGATCTACTAAAATATTGACAATGTCCGCGGCAAGTCGAGCTGCTAAACGTTCAATCAAAGTCCCATGGAACAAGTTTGGCTATGACCGAATGCCAGAGAGGTTTTCACTTTCCTTACCTGGTTCTAAACGAAAGAAAAAACCAAGAAAATTACCTAAAGATTGGCCTGTAGTCAGAGGGGATTTTGTTGAGATTCTTAGTGGTAAAGATAAAGGCAAACAAGGCAAAGTGAAGGATGTATTTCGATCAAAAAATACAGTTATTGTTGCTGGATTAAACACTGTATGTCTTTATTTTTAATTCTGTGTATACTGTATAAGAAAAACATTGAGTTCTTCTAACTCAATAACTCATTGTATACTTAACATTGGTCTATTAACATTGAACAGTTTACATGAAATACACATTCTTCCCTATTTTAACCACAAACATCTTAATTTTACGAAGGAAATTCAAAGACTGGATGAAACCGAAGCTATGCCAGGGACATTTATTCGTGTAGAGGAACCATTACCATACACAAATGTAGCTTTGGTTGATCCAACAGACAAGTATGTCCTTCATCAATTGAACTTCATGTAGATGTCTTTTCTGTATAACATTATTTTATTCCTCATTGCTTGTTTCACAAAATACATTTTTAATTACAGACAACCAACAACTGTTAGTTTTCGCTTCACTGAACAAGGTGAACGAGTACGAGTTTCAGACAGAACAGGACGCATCATCCCTAAACCACCGTGGGAGAGAAGAGACTGGAAACAAAGATCAGCTATAAAAGGTGTCCAAATTATGTTTGATTATGTTTTTAAGCTCTATGCTTAAATATGGAATGTATGAAGTTGCTTTGTACATACTTTCAATTAATTTTGCAACGTAATAAAATTTAGAAAAGATGTAGTTGGTCACTTATATGATTTTTTATTTATAGATGGTCCTCTAGATACCAGTCCCTCTGAAGCAGCACGGAGCACATTCATTCCGTCATTGTTACACTTTCACGAGGAAATAATGTTCTTACAAGGAATTCAACCGTCAGTTGAGAAGAAAAAACCTTCTGTACGTGATCTTATAGTGCAAGAACTTCTTAAGGAACATAAACCTACTGACCTTGCCATTCCTCAACCAGAACCTGGAAAACTCACTAAAATATATATCTGGCTACAAGGGATCATTCAAAGATTGCCGTTCTTTCGAAAGTAAATTCCTGAGAATCTGGCAAAAATGTTAATTAACAGTTCTAAGCTAAAAACTTTATTGAAATCATAAGTACTAACTGTCACATAAAGGGAAAATGTTTAACATAGCATCATATTAACAAAACTTGAGTAAAATATAAAATATGATGTTTTCTAGCAGTGAAAATACTAACAACCCATAGGTAATTTTCTCTGCACAGTTTTCAAATGCACGTTCCAACAGTTGGTATGAGACTTGCCCCTTTCAAAATAATTCTAGAAAACATTTTTGAGTTGAAGCCAAACACGAAATATGAATACATTTCAGTTCATGTCAGAGAAATCCTTCATATAAAAGAAACAGTATAACAAGTTAATTACAAAGAGCCTGATATTCATGAAAGACATTGAGAATGCGGTGATCAACATCAGATGTAAATAACAGACTTTCCAATGTCGTTATGTAAGGTTCTATTTCTCTGTGATACTAAAATGAAAATTTGATTGATAATTCATAAGGAATTATTACAAAAACAGATCATTGCATAAGGAAATCTCAACGTATAGTCCATTTACTACCTATACTTACTGTATAGAAAATCTCGCGTAATCTGTCCAAGATGACGTTCAACGTAAGCGTGTTGCCTTCATGTTGTTGTTCTTCCACTCCTTTGATATGTTGGTTAAGAAGCATCACAAAACGCTAAAGATAATTTATTGAAGAGATTTATAAATCCTGGCAACGACAGTCGAGCGTTTTAAAGAGACATTAACGTTATTATATAATAAAGGTTTTGAGAACAAAGTACAGTGTTACAGAGACTTGATTTCATTAACTCTTCACTTACTTGAAATATAGTCAAAAACACTTCTTTCTGTTCGCTCGTAACATTCGTAAGCTCCTCTGAAAATCCCTCAACTTCGTGACGTTTTATTTCAATTTCCTCCGTTTCCTGTGTACTAAGCAAATTCTGTTCACTTTGTTTCTTATACTTCTCCTCCAATCTTTCCAGTTTATTTTTCTCTTGCTTCAATTCTCCTTTCATCTACAGACAAATTGGCGTGAAGCTAAAGTTTGCTGTGACAGTCGAACGTAGATCGACAAACGTTACAATTTTAGACCAAAGAAGTAATAATTAAAAATGTTCATGATTTATTAAATCAAAGTTTCCATAACTCAAAAACTAAGAAAAGCTCAAAAGTATTTTAAACTATTTTATTCTGCGTATAAAATACCTTTTTTGCGTGTCGTGTAATCTTCCTCAAAACTGAATGAAGAATTTCCCAAACAAAGAGTCTAAACCAAAATAATATCGTTAACCAGGAATAATCTTCAAGATGGGAAAAAACATCGTGCATTCGACATTTTTGGTTACAAAAACTTTGTAAATTTCAGCAGAAAGTTTCAGAATAAAAATGTCGGAAGTGAACATTTGGTAATTAAGCATTAATAAAGTAAAAAGGTAAAAATATTTCCAGAAATGAACGAATGACGAAGAACGATCACAAAATTATAATGTTGTAAAAATTTTCACATTATAACTGCATGATTCAATCAACAAAGATTACTTTTTTCATTGCATCTTGGGAAGTAAATACCTTTGAAAGTCACCGCTCATTTCCTTTGAAAAGATCCAATTTATGAGCGACTTGGAACGTATTATAGACATTCTCATTAGCTTCTCTGTGATAATTTGGATCATCTTCAAAGAAAGCATATGACGTCATCGAGAAAATGAATGACACGCGAACTTTTCAAGACGGGGAAATGTCTGGGGGGGAGGTCAATTCGTAGTTACAATGACGTGCGCTAAGCTAAAATCATTTAAGTGCTCGTTTCAGCTCGCTAACACTCACATCCAGTGAGTGCGATACAGTTTTGATTGCTTGAAAAAAAGTTTTAATTCTTACTTGTGTATGGAAACACCAGAATGAATTCAAGACAACCAGACAATGGCGTTCGTCTTCATCGTTATTGAGAACACTTCGAAGTAATTTATTGAATCTTAAAACAAAAAGTTCAACGATCTATAAAAGGATGAATTAGACATAGAAGCAGTCCAAAGCCAAGATTCATAAGAATAATACAAAATCTTCTCCAACGTAGCTATTATTTCAATATAAGTGGTATAAAACATTCAAAAACGTCAACGACATATCATATCAAAGTTCTTTGCTAATACTGACGATACTAATAACGAGAAACGTTCTTGTATAACACTGACAGTTTTTCGTTAAATTGAAGTGGAATTGAAAAAATATAACGTACTTATCCAGAGCTTTAAATGTATGACTCACTGACTTCGCTCCAGCCCTCAACAATACTTGCACACAAACATCGATCTTCAGAGATGGCGTTGAACATTCATCTAAATATTAAACAATAAAGATACAGCAACATTTTTACGAGATCATGATCTGAGACAAACACGGGTCACATAGTTATATACTACCCAGATCACATAGTTATATACTACCTAGGTCACATAGTTATATACTACCTAGGTCACATAGTTATATACTACCTAGTCACATAGTTATATACTACCTAGGTCACATAGTTATATACTACCCAGATCACATAGTTATATACTACCTAGGTCACATAGTTATATACTACCTAGGTCACATAGTTATATACTACCTAGGTCATATAGTTATATACTACCTAGGTCACATAGTTATATACTACCTAGGTCACATAGTTATATACTATGTCATAAGAGATACTTGATATACTATGTCATATTGAGATATTTCATAAAACGTCATCTACTTTTATCTACGTCCATTGTTTTTTGAATTGAAAAGAAGCTTGTTTGGCATTCACTGCTTTTCGACCAATCAGGTTGGAGTATTTACAGCGCAATTACGCGTTTACACAATGCAATTACAGATAAATTGAACGGCAAACAACGAATGACCGTCGGATAAAAAGCTCAAAGTATATGAATGTTCATAAAATATTGTGATCCTTTCTACGGTAAGTGGAAAGACTGGGAATAGTTGAATAAATGGTTTCAAATTTCAGTATGATGCAACATTGCACTTAACAGCTTACTAATCACCCGTATTTACTACTGATAATACAGTCTTACGTACCATCTTCAATAGCATCACCATCAGCAGGAGTATCTGGTATTCTCTCAAGAACTGATAACAATTCATCTATTGATTTCTTTTCCTTTATCGAGTCTACAAGACGTTTTGCGTGCTCATGACCAGAGCTGGAACCTTTAGAAAATGAACATTCAAAATTATCGGGAGTCACAGACGTAGATTCATAAAAATGTTCATTGTCATATAAAACTGTTAATGCAAGAGATCACGAGGTTTCTTACCGCTATCGTCACTGTAGTTATATGTAAAAAAAGGTTTTGACGGTACGAGGACGTGTAAAGGATCAGGAATTACTTCGAGAATGAAATCATGATAAGACGATCTAAGATAAAAATACGAGAAAAAAGTGAGAAATGAACATTTCATGAAAAGATGAGAAGAATGTCGTGTTCACCGTAGACATTTGCTTAATACGTCGACGATAAAACTTCTTTGTGGATGATTGGGTGATTCATTTGTCAACGATATTCTGTGTAATCAAAAAATATGCTGTATTTATCACAATATTTATCAAACTTTTCATATAAATTCGCCGGTTTTAACCTACCTATCATCCCAGTTCCACTTATATTGAAACTGACTAAAATGGTACGATAACCAGTTGACAAACCTTAAACATTGACAGAAGACTAAATTAAACATTAAACTAGGACATGTAAAAACATTTTGCATTTTACCAGAGAAATTGTGGTTTACAAAAAAGAATCCACCGCAACCAAAGTATTTGATAGACAATTTTAACGTTTTGACGACTACTACATATTACAGCAGATATTTTAAACTCTGCTGAGGCCCGTCTAAATGTCGACTTTTACATGACCCGAATGCATTTAAAACAAAAGATATATAATGAAGAATTTTATTTCGTTCTTTTCTCTTTATTGCATTCGGCGCATGTAAAATGCGACTTTTGAAACGGGACTTAAAGTTGCTTCGACATAAATTTTACAAACTATTTTCAAAATACAATGCCTCCTAGTCACGTTCATTAAAAATCTAAAATAAACAACAAAATTTTGAGCTTCTCTAAAGTGACCTACAAACCTGTGTCGACAAGTTATGTTCATTGTATCAATTCTTTCAAAGAGAAGCTCCGTGGCTTGTGCAAGCTAAGTAATTAAGTTAAGGAAAAAAAGATATTTACTCTCTTAAACTCCACAATTGACAGTCGGTGTTTTTTGACGATAGCAAAACCTAAACGATTTTCAAAGGCTGTACACGTCAATTAAAGTTGTTTCTGTAAAAGATACGACACCGGGAAAGCTTGACTGGTTTGTCTTGCAAAGTTCTACAAAAAGTGAGCCATAAAATAGCTCTAGTTTTGAAGAAACGGGAAGTCGGAACAGATTGCCAAAGATCACCTGAAAATAATCACAACAACTATAAATTTAAAATTTCTTTACTTCATTACAGTAAATAACTTACCTCAATTATGCAATATTCAAGTGGAATTTTATCTCGCTCCGAAAATTTCATCAATTGCGATGCACTATAGAAGAATAAACAAAAATCAACATCTAGTTAAACACCCAAACAAGATGCTACTAACAATGACAAGCTAACCACTCTAAAACTAAAACTACTAATTTTTTTTGTGCACAAGATGTTGCTCTCCGTTGAGCACGTTAACCTAAGCATGACAAACAACTATTAACACCTCTTTCAACTCTTTCTTTCACTAACCATTCTTTTCTGTTTTTATAATGTGAAGCTATAATTCTGTTCAAACTTTCCTCCACCAAATGACGTTCAATAGCGTGCGCGCCAGGCATGATGGGACCTTCAGGTACGTCAGTATAGTCAAACATGCGAAAGACGACCTGCGGCACAGGATACTCTACATTCTGCTCTCGAGGCATGATGGGAATTTGTGGTAAGGTGTGCTAAAAATATAAATGACGTATTTTTATTTAAGGAGAATTAAAACGCCACAAATAACGGAGTTGAAAATATTTTGTCGCATCAAGATGAAGAAAGAATACACGATTAATATTATATAAAACAAGTAAACGATACTGGTAAAAAAAATTGAATCAATATATTCAATTAAATATATAACTAGAAGGGACACCGCTAGATAAACATGTGTACAGTGAGATAAATTAAGGCAAATTCCATCGCAAACTTAACGGCATTTAAGCGCACTTCTTAACTAGCTTTTGTTTGGCCGCGTGTGGAAAGACTGGGACTACAATAAGTGAACACAAAGAGTGTATATGAAAGAAAACTTACTTGCAAAGCTTCAGTCAATGTTTCTGATAAAGCAATATATGGACGACGAATGTGTCTCTCCTAAAGTCGTAGTGAAATAAAAACTGTCTCTGTTATAATTGTTTTATTAACTACAATGATAACTTATTTGTATCTAGGTTTGACTATTTATGGAAAATATTTCTGTATAAATGATTGAGTAGTTTGCATCTTATCAAATCATCATCACTGTTATCTATGAATTACTTTCTGGCAGTGACTTAGCAAGCGCGCAAGTTTTGTCGTCCTATGTAAATTTTTCTGTGTTCACTCACAGTAAAAACAACAGATTTCTATAGAAATGAATAATGATAATGACTTGAAATTTACAAAACACGAACAAAATTTACGCTACTGCTCTCTGGGTCAGCAAAATACTAACGTCCATTTTGACAGTCTATGCAGTTAGTAATATAAACAAATAAATTACCAACCATCCAGTTATCTTTCTTTAGTTTCTGTATTTGTGCCCAAAGACAGTCAAGATACTATAACAAAACAATAAACTTTAAAACCACAATCAATTTCATGGCATTAAAAAATATTATAAAAAAACAGACCTCTTCCTGCATATGTGGTTCATCTGATGACCAAACTCTCAAACCTGGCACATGTATCTTTCTCCGTTTGCTGGAATGCACGAGAATATAACTGCATTGAATTCTTCATTATTCCTCCATGATTATGATGATCAATATTGAAAATCAAATTTTACTTTAAATATGCTTCAATAACTGCAAACAATTGTTCGCAATCTGATCTTTTCGTGTTCCACAGTTCTTTCCCAACCTGCATTTATAAGAAAGCCACACATATTATTGATGTTAAAGAAAAGATTAATCTAGCACCAAATAGCAATTTTATAAATTTTACCCAAGGTAAAGAAAGTAAGACAGTATGGACAAACCAATCAGAACGAACCTACGAAAAAAGTCATTGTTTTAATAATACATTGTATTCAAGAAAAGGTTGTATTAAAATAGTATAAACAACAATATTGGAAATCCATTAAAAAAAATTGTCATTGTTAATATTCAATATTTAACATGAACATTGAGTAAAACAATGGGCACATCTTACTTGTAAAACATCTTCTTCCATTGTAACTGCAATAAAATTTTCAAACAAATTCATCAAAGATGAAGGAAGAATAACTTTTGTATTAACCAAGTCAGCAAGAAAACGGATCTACAAGAAAAGATTCAAAGTTAGACAGCTCTATCCAAAGCTGATCTTTGGTATTTTAAAAACAGAAATATTCAGAAATAATCATTGATACTAGAAGACCTCACCGTCATCTGCACTCGTTCCAATGACCCACATTTGAACATCATTTTAAGATCTTCAATCAACATATCAAGAAACTAAAGACAATTTACTCATTGTAAAATAATAAAAAGATGCTAATAAAGAAGATAATAAAAGCAGTTAGGGATAAGGTAGATAAGGAAGGTGATTAATGAATATTTAAGGAATAACTGCACACATACATCTTCTCCACATTTGTAATTTTTTACATTCAACAAACCAACAAGTGAACTGTACACACCAATTTTGTCTGGAAAATTGCTCACACTATGAAAAAATATGTTTCATTATCAAAATTCTCAATAAATAAACCTTTATTGTAATAAGTAGAAATTTTACCAGGTACAAATTATCTTTAAGATTTTCTCTTTATGACTGGGTAAATCAGCCTCTAAGACATTTGCAAGTTGTTGAAGGTTACTCTCAACAGGAGCAGAGCTCTAAATAAGAAATAAAATGATCATTATATGTTATACCGCAAGACAATAATAGCAACGTATTTTTCATACCTTCTCTCCAACTTTGGTAATCAATGATTCTAATTTATCTTCAAAATCATTCATATCAACTTTGCGCATCTTTCGGTTACGACTACCTACAAGCATTATAAGGAGTAAAAGAGAGGGTTTTAAAGAACATTTTACCATTTTTTGCTACTTTAACATTAATATTTTGAACTATTATCTATCTTTCTACAGTTCATTTCACTTCACAAGATACCAAATGTAACACATCGACATTTTGTGTCGCTAAACTTTTACCGTCGTCTCTTTCTCTGTCATAATGATGACGGCGCTTGTAACTCATGTTTGTAATCTCTACTTTCTTTCAAGAGAAAAAACAACAATGAAAGAACAAAAAACGACAGAACAAAACAAGTGAAAATGATTTCTTGCTAATAAAAATACTACACTACGAAAGATCAACTGCCAGATTGAGCCCGCGTGCCGAAGCTGAATTTTGCAATAAAAATGAACATTATCAACTCCAGGGACGCCGGAACGTCAAAAATGGGGGGGGGGGAGAGGAATCTTCATACGTGTTTTGCCTGATTACTTCTTTTTAAATCAATTGATTTTTTATGTGCTTTGACTTTTTAAAGAAAACATCTAAAAAATATAACAATAGAAAACCAAAAATGTCGAAACGCGTTTACTTGAATCATACCCTATAGGCAAAAATTAGAGAAAATAGCAAATAATAAGTTTTTATATATATTTATTGAGCTAAACAAAAATTGTTCAAATTTTTTTTTACCTGTGAATGAACGTGAGCTAATCCTTCTACAATCTCACGGAGAATCCGCCACATTCTCTGTTTGTCTTTGTACGATCCCTCGTCAATAACATTCCTTAGAGTACTCTTCTCACAATACTCCATCTGTATATGCAAAGTTTGCAGAGTACACTTTGAATCTTTTTGCAAATCTCTTGTGGTGATTGCTTCCTTTTCACTTTCGAAATCAAATTCCTCGTCCTAAAGGAAAGACGCAGGTAGTTATTTTTACACATCTTCAGCAACATCGTGAGCAGTTCCCTTTACTATATATCAAGTGAGCCAACGAGCTTCCAAAGTTTATATGTGATTCATCGATATTTCTTTTGTTTTTGTATTGGAGCCTCGTCCTCGCTAGAGCTTTCATCGTCGTCAACATGCTTGGAATCATTCGTGTTTTTATTGGTCAACGAGTCCTCATCAAACTCTCGAGCGTACGCTGGGTGCTTGAACTACGTTCAATTTCATCAAGCTATCTTCAATTTGGCGTCGTTGTTTCTCCTCTATCAAGCCTGATTTTGTTTCACTGTAGGAAGTTTCCTTTTCGAGTATCTTTTCTACCTCAATCCACGAGTTATAATATCTGACAGAAGTATTAGAGCATTGTTTAGGCAAAAATTTGCAGATACAAAGGTATGGAGAAAAATAAAAAAAATCTCTAACATTGTCACAGATATTACGAGTGGCGTAACAAAGTGTTGATGAGTTTGATATGCATTTGTCAAAAGAAGCTTAAGAAGACAAAGAGCGTGCCAAATGATTAAAAATTTGCTAAGCGCATATACAAGCACCAATATTCTTGCTCGAAGATTGCTTCAACATTAAAAAGTCTTCTTCATATCATTGCAAAAATAGACTTCAAACTAACCTTTCTGACGAGTGGCCCTGTTTTCTTTGGTGTGACAGCTCCCATTGAAAAGGACATTTGAACCAAACCGAATTTTTATTGTTTAGTAAAGGAAAATGGTCTAAATCACTGGGGGTTGGAATAATATAGTGAAAAATGGTCGCGATAAGTCAGTCGAAAACGACTGTAAGGCTTGTTTGAAACAAGAAATGTTTTATCGTTTATTGTGTAGAATGCTGTTAACGCTCTTCCTAAAAAATAAAAACTGTGTATTAGTACGTAAGAAAGATGGCTTGAAATATTACATACTTTATCATATCCAGGTAAGGGGGGGGGGGCTGTCATCGTGTTTAATGATGAAAACCAAAAGCTGACTCTCGGAAGTTTACGGAGTTGTTAGTTAATAATTTGACCTTAAGTATTTAGAAAACAGAATTATTACTCAAGAAAATCAACATAAATAAAGCTAAACTTGCCTTTAGATTTCAGACAACAAATTGCAAAACGAATTTTCTCAATTTCACCATAATTTCATGAACACGTTACCACAAATTTTCAGATAAAAGAAAAGAAGCGATCTTTATCTTGTATTTCTAACTTGCCTAACTTATAATGCATGAAAACGAAGGAATGTTACAGTCAAAAAAATTGACAACAATTCTGGATCGTCCAGTCGAACCAGTCCAAAGAATCGCTGAAGAAGCAAAAGGTCTGAAGATGCATTATTCCAGTGACGAGAATATGGAAACGATATCATTTAAAGAAAATCACAAACTTTCTGCAGGTTCAGAACAAGTTGAAGAAAGAGGCTTTAAATGTAACGCGGAAGAAAATTTACAAGGAATAATTTTTAATTTAAGTACATTTTCTGAGGATGAATGCTTCACTAAAGTACGTGGTAGGAAGTTTCTCTCAGAGTCATGAGGATAATTTGGGCAAATACATTACTAAACACTACATAAGAAGAAATGATGTTTACTTTACCCAGGAGTCAAGAGAGTTTATTTTGACAATACGTTATTGAGACGTTTGATAATAGGCATAGGAAAATACATATATACTAGACAACATCATCAATAATTCATCTATTAATGTTGTACAGTTACAAAATAATTATTCAATATAAGGTGCAGCAATTAAACTCAACCTGACAAAAATTCTTCCAAGTTAAACGCACAAACCGCGATAGATAAATAAGTGCTTCATGTCCAGTTAGAAAAAAATCCACAAATGGCATGCATATAAAAAATGAACAAAAACATCCACTATGAAATATTTCACACAAAATATCATAAAAAAATATCAGTTGTTCACACTTTATAGTTATTCAACAGCTTCTAAAAAAACCAAAAAGTTTTGCTCTCTTTTTGATATATTCTTTTCTAAACCTCTGTATGATCATACGGATACTCCCCCAATGGAAATAAAAGAGAATGGACATTACAATCTGGTTTTCTTGATTGCATAGGGCGTATTACCGTCTCGTTGCCATTTTCATCTTTTAAAAGTGGACCGACGCCATGTAAGCTGTCTTCCGGTTTGAACAGTATCACGTAAATTTTCGGCAAAAAGACGGTTGCAAATATATTAACGCCAAAGAGGTAGGCCAGCCCACAAAGTACGCGTATTTTCTGTTTGCCATTGATGGCAAATACAGCAACAAAGTAAACGAAAATTTTGGCATACAGAAGATAAATCCCTAAGGAAACAAACTTTACTTCATTGTGATTCAAAGGTGAGATTTCTTCTTTCTTGTGAAGAATATTGAAGATGACAGTCAGCAAAAGAATAAAAAATATCGGGGGGAGAAATACAGGTCGAGAATGGGACGCACACTCGATATACTCGACATCAGAACCGGGGGGTGTGTAAGTTAAAACTTTCGGCGTTTCGACACAGAGGATAACGACTACAACGATAAGCTGTAAAATAATGAGGAATATGCTAATCATAGTTTGCGGTTTACAAGAAAACCATTTTCGTTTCGATTCTCCATTCTCGTCATATGAATAGTTGATTATATTGTGACTGCTGACGATCAAGAATGTCAATGGTATTCCCAAAGAGAACATGAAGATCGTGTAGTAAACTCCACAGGTAATGGGACTGGGTTTCATTAAGAGTACGACAGGTAGAAGAAAGGTAATACATAAGGAAAACAGCAGTTGTAATGACGCAGTTTTTGATCGCAGAAACACTGGACTGTTGGTATTTTTGATAAAGACATTGAGAGCATAAATAAGAAAAGAAAGAGTAAAAACGAGAAGAAATATCATAATAATACTAAATGGATCATGCCATTTCAGGTAGTCATAATATGGAGGTTGACATTTGCTCTGATCTGACGTGGGTTTTTTCCCCTTAGGACAGACCATACACGATGGACTATTTCTGTAAGAGGATACTGTTTCACGTGCACATTTCATGCAATCCCAGCAACATCTTCCTACTCCCTTCCAGTCCTTTTTCCACGTTCCAGGCTCACAATCTAGTGAACATCTTGCCTGCGAGACATTGTTATTCCAAATGATCTTACGATTTAAAGAAATCACAATTTCAGGACGAAACTTGATTCTTCCTACTTTCACAAAACCGTCTTCCTGCAAATTAAGTATGTGAAACCCGAAATCATTTGGCGTTGAATCATTTGAATTTAAGCTCCTAACTGTTGCATTTGCAGCGCTAAGGATCTGCAAACATGTTGTAGGCAGTTGACTTGTCTCATTTTGGCGAGACTTAAGAACTTCGTATACAGCTTGGAAAACAAACCATCCCAAGTAGGATTTTTCAGTAATAACTTTATCTTTAAATTGAATGCATTCATTGACAGAAACTTCTGAACAAAACGTCTTCTTGATAGTTCTGTTTAACCATTGCGACTTTTGAAGATGATTTTCAAATTTTTCATGATACATTTTGAACCCCACAACACCGGATATATTATGCACGTTCGGTGACATCAAATCGAATACTTCATGTCCGAGTATTATATTGTACATGGATATATTATGATCAAGCAACTTCTCAATTATGCTGGATACGTTGTCACTCTTCGAGAAAAGTACCGCTGCAGGGCTTTGTCTCTTGTGTCGTTTCATCCAAGTGATTTCGTCATCTGAAAAGATCAATTCGTTCAATACACACACGTCACTATCTTGGGTTATCTGTTTTAAATCAGCATACGACCCATCTTTGTGTTGAATGAGATCAAAAATACTCCAATTTAAATACCGTATAAACTCATATATCAATCCTGCTGACATGTCACGACGCGGGCTCATGGAGCAAGTGTCTCTCCGGTCTTTTAAGCTAATTATAGGAAGTTTTTTTCTTTTACCCTCCAGTTTTTTTCGAAGGGAGACAAAATCTGACGGTTTAGGAAGGTCAGCGATGATAGCAATGAGAGTGAAATTTGTCGTATCATTAAACCACTTATTCAAAGCAAAATCTATCTTGGCACGAGTTGAAATGGTGGAATTTGTGTTGACAACATCATAGCCAACTTTTTCTTTTTCTTTCATAATACTAAGTTGATTTGTCGCATAAATGATTGCTTCGAGTTTTATGATGCTTTCAATATCATTTACACATTTTCCATCATCAGAGGGCTGGTGAAGATGCAATAACATACCGACTATGACATCACCAGATTTAAAGCAACCGTAAACAGAAGAGAAGATGTGTAGACAAAATATAGCAAAGACGGCTGTATTTGAACACATTCTGTTTAATTTTACCAACTTGACGGTTTTAATCTGCAAAATAAAACAAAGTGTCAATGGTTTTTGCTTTTCTACTCACAATGTCATATGAATATAGGATTAATGTGTGATGAATGCCCACCAAGAGCACTCTACTAACCTACAACATCAAATGCAGTCATTTAGTGTGTTTCCGTAAAAAGTAAAGTTAATTATTGTAGTATGTTTACACACAACACAAGGAACAAGGAAACGTCGACAATTCAATTAAAAAAATCGATCATAATCAAGTTTAACACATACTTAAAAGTAATTTTCTTGTATCCTATTTGTAATAATCGTAAGCTTAGCCAAAAACCTTTCATGGTTTCCTTGTGTATCAAGAGCTTGCAAAATACATCTTCACATTTAAGTACAAATACTAAAACAAACTTCAAAACATACCTATTTGAATGCAATTGTGTTACATGAACAAATGAACGAGTTCGACAATCGTAGAAAGTCCAGATTTTTTGTGGAAAGATATCACCGACGCGTATTCATTTATAATGTGTCATAAAACGAAAATGAATAACACCACAGGAGTATGATAAGTCGAAATCTTATCTTGTCATCAATCTTTATTCATACTCAGCATAAAATTGAAGTCAGCGGTCTGCAAGAAGAGAGAAATTCTTTTCCCACTTTGTCAGTGCGTAGTCTGACTTTCAAACGAAATTTTTACGTCAGTAAAGTCAGTGAACTTTACTGAAAATGGCTTAAACAGACGTATTAGCAAGATTTTTTCTGGATTGTCGTCTCAGTGTTGTTATGTTTAATTGAGATTACAATAAAACAACACCAGTCTATTAGTAACAAACACATTTCAAATTCACGACTTTGTATGTTTTTCACTGACGAGATTTTCGAAGCGATACTGTCCCAATGTCAGAACACCCATTAATGCACCGTTCACAGAAATTCATAGATAAAGTAAAAAATGATAATCATCGAAACAAGTTATCGTAAAATGAGACAGATGGGAATCCCAAAGATAATTGAAATTCGACAGCAGCTCTGCACGAGACAAGTAACAATGACGATTATCTATTATTTAAAATACCTGTAATTCACACGAACATTGAAAAAACGCATGCAATTAAGGAAGTAAGATAAAAGAAATAAAAACATTTGAGGATGATAGATAATATATTGCAATGTAATAGCTATGTCCTTACATGTTATCTTCAAATCTGACAAAATAATTTTTGATATTTTATTGTTGTTACTTGAGTTATTTAAAAAAGTATTTCTGTCTCATGTTTTATTTCATAATTATGTCTGTAAAAAAGATCAAATACTCAGACAATATTTTACATTCACTATTTAATCTTTCTTCTCTTCAATATTTTTAACCTCCATTTCTGGATTTTCAGAAAACTCAAGAAAAAATACGTGTGGGTCAGAGTTAAGCGGAAATGGACTGAAACTAGACAAATTTCGTTTCAACACAATGACATATGCTTTAGGTAAAAAGAGAAAAATGATGAAATTCAAAAGATGAAATATTCCAAACAGACAGACCGACACGATTTTAACTTTACCTTCGACGCTGTAAATGACAATAATGTTAAGAAATGAAATAAAATAAAACATAAAGAAGAAAATAGCCGTGAAATGAGACTCATAAGCATCTTCCTGGTTTGTCAAAGCTCCAAAATTCGTGGCAGTAAAGAGAATCGATAGAATAATGATGTAGAAGAATGGAAAAAGAAATTCACCACCAGAGAAAGTTGAGCATTCAATATAGTCAACGTAAGGGTCGGCGGTCTTAAAGTTCACGACATGCGCAGAACAAACAACAATAAAGATAATTGACAGGATAATCTGGAACAAGATGAGGAAAATGGCGATTACATTTTGAGGATTTAAGCGAAGAAACTTTATTCTTAAGGTCCCATCTTCTCGCCTAAATCTCCTGAAGGAGGAATGACATCGAGATAACAGGATACACATGGGGATACCGAAGGCTTGATAATAGACAAAAACATAAGCATTGCAGGAGGTAATGCTTGGTTTAATTATGGGAAAGAGAGGGTAAATTAGTGTTGTAAAAAGAGATAAAAGTAATGGCATTACGGCGAGTTTAGACATGGAAATTGTAGGAATTTGAGATTTCTTGTGATATATATTAACAAGATACACCAAGGCACAAAACAAGAGAATCACCAGCACGAAAACGATGACACTGGCAGGATGCTTCCATTTTAAATAATCCACCTTCACTTCCACACATTTCCCACTGTCCTTGTTCAACCTATAACCCTTTAAACATACGGTCGAATTTTCGTTTTCACACTCGATGCAACATTTGTTCGAGTTATTTACTGGTACTAGTCCTATTGGACAGTTTACTAAACAACTGTTATTATCTCTTTTCCACGTCTTCAAGTCATTTATGGAAAGTTGTGTGACAGTTTTAACAGGAGAGGTTTGAATATTGCCAATCATCATTGCTGAATGACTGTCCAGATTATAAACACCATAATCTTCATCTTGTAGATATCTATTCCTTGAAAACTTCATTAGTCTTCCAGTTGGACTTCTAAACTTTGGAGTGCTTACAATGTTATCGTCGGTTAACCGTCTCTTCGGCTCGTTTTTTAAAGCATGCGCAATTGTATATACAGCATCTATTACCTTCCCAGCGTGATAAAGTTCCTTCGTGAGTTGACCGAATACTTCCGACAAACACGACTCGTTACCAGACCTACAATCTTTATACCGCGCAGATCCTCGTATGAACTTATTTAACCAACTTGAGTTATTAAAGACATTCCTTTGAAAAAATGTTTTGAATTGAGGTACATTTTGAATGCGTTGTCTGACAAGCAGAGAATTCGAGAACTGTACGTCCAATGACATACGTTCGCTTGCAATAACAAATTGTCGTCCTTTTAGTGCAACAGGAAGACTTCTCAATGTTTCCAAAGATTTAGAAAACACAACAAGAGGAAAAGAGTCATTCGTTAATCTTTTCGGTCGAAGAGATAAATTGCGTTGGAAGACAAAATTTTCGCAGAGTTTTGATCCATTTATAGCGTCCTTAAACAGTTTATAGCTAGCTTTGTCCAAAACAAGACTGTCAAACACAATCCAATTCAGAGCTAAAAGTAAATTTTTAACGACCTTCCCAAGTCTGGTTCCGTTGGTCTCCAAGATAAACAGATCTTTATGGGACTTTTGTTGATTCAAAGTAAAAACTGGGATAGCTTTGGATTCAAAAACAACTATTTTGGATAATTGGATTGGTAAATCAATCAGAAATGCAAAAGGTTTTAAAGTTCTGTTGAAAATATCCGACAGGTCTCTTATATTCTTCTTGCAAATATCTTTGATTTCATATCCAAGAGAGAATTGAAAATTGGAGTCATTGTTAACTTTTTCAACAGCGTAGATCAACGCTTGTGTTTCAACGATAGATTTGAAATTAAGCTTGTTCGAACATTGACTATCTTTTGCAACGTGGAGTGATACTACTAATGATAAAATTTTATGTTTACCATGGTCCTTCGTACCTGAAATTACAGCGGAACTACAACAAAACATAACTGCAACAACCACGAAGAATAATTTCAGTTCCTTCATCTTTGAAATAGTCTACAAGTAATTAGAAATAAAAGTTAGTCCACGAAAATAGTAAAAGTTTGTAATGAATACATTTTTCATGACAATCTACGTTTCGTTATTGGAGTTAAACATGTTTAGGAATAAACAAAGACGATTTTCACCGTGATAATCTCTGGCCTCGATTTTAAATGATAAATACATCACGTATGTTTTGTCATTTGTCTTGAAATATTGCTAATAGATCTAGGGTAAAAATAGATGTCAGATAAAGCTCGACAGATCTTAGAAACAGTTCAGCATTCAATCAAACATCGAGGCTCATTTTCATCATTTTATATAGCTATCACAGGATGAAAAAAAGATCGTGATGGTCATGGATTGTAATAAAGAACATCTAAGTAAGTTTAGTGCAATTCATAAGTTGAATTTATGAAAAGCATCTATTTTCATCTCTGTAAGATGACCTGTCCCTTAACCTTTGAAAACATCATCAATATTTTACATTAGAATTACTCCATTATTTTCAAAACATATTTTCCTCCTAAATTAGATATGAGTGGCCCTCGATGAAAAAAAGATTAATCGCAAAAATCAACTTTGATTTGGAAAAATATACAAAAAAAACAAACATACTTATTGTAGAACGAGTGGGATCCGAATGCCGAAATATTTCATCTGTCGCAGGATTCAAGGATTAAAATAAAATTCTGCAATTTTTTGGGCCACAGTCCAACGAGTAAAAACATGAATTGAGAATCAACTTACTTTGAAATGAACTTCCACAGACCCAAAAAGCGCCTTTTGCCGCAGATTACTGTTTAGGAATGAGTTAATGGGACTCTTCAAACAACATTTGTCAAATTATCATCTACAAGACAGATTAAATGTCACAGTATGAGCGTCGGTGATGAAAATTAATTTGGACACGAGCAGAACAGAGAGTTTCGTAGATGTGGATTATAAAGGTTTCGTTTTACATTGAAGTGATATTAACGTTATCATGCACTGGGAGTCAATGAATTAGTGAATAAAAAAAGGAAAGAGTAAGAGTTAACAACAGCTAAGAGTTAACAGCATAAGTTAAAGACAACTTAGATAATGTGTTTGAATAACACAGTAGAAGGCAGACCGATTGTCGCAATAATTTAGACGTAGAGTCACGAACTATGAGAACAATTGAAAGGCATTTCTAAACTGACTGTTAAACATCTTTTTCAATTAAGATGAAGTACATCAGTTGTCATTTATGCCTTTAAACGAATATTTAGTAAAAACACAAGCCAAATGGTTGCTGATGGTTTAACCTCCCGAGACTTGAAATGCAGACATAGAATTGGTGGTGAAAAAACATGAATTTTATCGAAAAGTCCTATTCCACATGTATTTAACATTCTATTGAGGACGGAAGCGGAATTTGTACGAGCTTAGAATAAGTACAACAAAGTACAATCATAATAATATTCAATTTATTAGATTACAGAAAAAATCGTTGCAATGTAAGATGTTTTAATAATTCACAGAAAGTCTCCACTTTCCTATAGATGAGCTGTCTATTGGACGTAACAACATGTTGCCCCAGTAACAACAGGATTGTCAGCACTATGGGATGTTGTGCAGTCACACTTGCATTCGTTATTCTGGATCCATGCTTTACCATTACAATGTAAATGACAAGAGCACGCCATGGGAAATTGACCTGCCTGACAAACATGTCGTAAACCGCTCGATGTTTGGAATGCACATTTTAACACCTTCTTTTTCCCAGGTGTACCAGGTGTTCCAGGTGTGCCTGGTTTTCCTGTATCGAGAGAGATCATTGTTATGTGACATGTGTAAATATATTACCTAAAGGATGGTACGGCCTCCATCAAATAAACGTAAAATTGGATTAGATGTGCATTTAAATTACAGAAATCCAGTGATGGTTGTTGGTTTTCACAAAAATATCAATTGAAATCAATAAAAATTATTTTTGTTTCATAAAGTACAAAGACGTCATAACTTACCTTGTAGACCATTTGATCCATCAGAACCGTCAGTACCAGGAGCTCCAGGTAATCCTGGAAGCCCAGGTGATCCACGTACACCTTTAGGTCCAGTAGAACCAGGTTTACCATGGGCACCATCAGAACCATCAGCACCAGCAGGTCCGGCAGGACCAGGATAACCTTTAGGGCCTGGGAGACCGTTTGGTCCTTTTTTTCCCGGGGGACCACGTTGTCCTCGTGAACCAGGATCACCAACTACACCTGGTTGTCCATCAGAACCATTTTGTCCAGGTTCACCAGTACTACCGTCGGCACCATCGGGTCCTGGAGAACCCGGAACACCTTTATCTCCCTTATCTCCCTTATCACCATTAAATCCATCACAACCGTTGAATCCATTGGCACCATTGTTTCCTGGGTTACCGGGATATCCTTTGCTTCCAGAATCCCCATCAGGTCCGGCAGGTCCTGGTTTTCCTATCGTACCATGAGCACCAGGTTCACCCTGTAGTCCTCTCACACCTCTACAACCTTCATGAAGTTGTGAAAGTATTTTGATATATAAGCAGATGATATCTTTCGAAGTCAAAATAGTTAAAAGTTTTACCATAACCATCTAACTAACCTTTAGGTCCTGGGCTTCCAGGATTACCATCTGCACCTGTCATTCCTTGTTCCCCATCATTTCCATTACGTCCATCTGCGCCACTTTCACCTTGGTCTCCTTTCCTTCCTGAGGGTCCCACATCACCAACATCGCCATCTGGACCGTTAGGGCCCATTGCTCCAGGTGGACCTGAAGGTCCCTGTTCACCTTGATCTCCTTGAACACCCGGAGGTCCTTTGGGGCCCCTTTCACCTTGAGGCATAGAAAATGAATATTTCATTAGAGAAAAAGATTAAATATCGTAAAACACAAAAATCAATAAATTATAACATAAATAAGAGAAGAATTAAGACGTTCAATACAAAATGAATTTACCTTTTAAGAAAATACTGATGCTGTAAAGGTCGTTGCTGGGTGATATAAACGACATAAGATCAGCTAGATAAAATATAAAACGGTCTTTTTTATTATTAATGCAAACATAAAACGACCTCGTAAAGGGATTCTTTTGCGACAAAAACAGACACTACGATGTTGGACCAACAGCAATACCTAATTGATCAATATTTGCCCACCAAATTATGCAATTTTTGACGCTTTTCAATATAAACACACACAAATGATTTTAAAAGAACGCAATAGTTCTTCCTTACCATCAAATGCCGTTTGGTGCGCATCTATATAAAAAAGAAATCAACATAATTAGAGGTCTTCTATATCCTCGTGATTAAAATAATTACTTCCACCGTATAATTATCAAGGTTTTCACGTACAAGGAATAAACTTTAATTATAAATGCGTCAACAAAAAGACGGGAAAATGAAAGGAAAGGGTACGTAGGACTAGTAATAGTAAAGAATTCTTCACACATGTCAGAATTTTTCGTATTACTCCGTAATCGCTTTATGGTTTGACAAGACATCTTCATCAATTAAACTAATCAACATATATGTCGTTACTAAAGCAAAATAACATGAACAATACATGCCGTGAATTATCATATTCCTCTTCGCATTGAGGTAAATTATAAAGTAAATGGGATATATAAAATAAACATAGTCAATTCTTACCAGTCGCAGTCCATGTTAAAACTAGAAGGAAAACGGAGATCAGTGTGTATCGATTCATAATGACAGACGGTATACGACAACACTTTGAGCTTGGTGTAACATTCTCCGCTCTCTTTTATATAGAACGTTGAATAATAGGTGAAGATCCTTGACACCTTATTGGTCAATCCAGAACTAAGAATGTTTGTGAGGGGGTGAAATTGTTTCGTGAAGAATTTTGTTATCATGGCAGCAAAAAGCACTTGAAAACAGGACGCGAAGCCTACTATATTCGAGTGCCATATTCTCATTTATTTCTTTACCTTTGTAAAGAGACACGAGACAATTCGCATGACATTTTGAAACATAAAAAACTAGAAAAAGACAATCAGTATTTAATAAAGCTTTAGAATTCCTAATACAAACAAGGAAGATTCTTTTTTCATCAAATGGAGAGTTTAAGCTCAACTCGAAAAAACCGGCTACAAGAACAAAACTACTTTTCAAAACACACAGTGAGAGTAAACAATGAAGTGGGAGATTGTGCGTCGGTAGACAGACACCTAAAGAATGAACAATAACTTTTGATTTTTCATCCAGAATGTGCAAAAAAATGAGCTATGCCAAGTAAACTAAAAACTAATACACATCCAAATCATAAGACTCGACTTTTCAGTCAGAGGTGTTTTCTGCAAATTGAAAAAGCAAAATTCTAGTTCAGAAGAAAATTGATAGAATTGTTCGAAAAGTTCATTAAGGTTGGAGAGAATATTAACCTTCAGCTACAAATATTTAGTTGATAACACTTAATTTGGCACAATTACTGCGATAAAGAAAACAGCACAAGAAGAATACACAAAATTTTTATGTTTTGTGCATTACCTGAGTTCGATGTTTTTACAGTTTTAAAAGTAAACATGCCTATCTGAATATTGAACTCATTATCAGTTCATTAAGATGAAATCATCGTTTCCTACGATATTTCAGTGTCAACTTCAAGCTAAAGAAAATCTACATAAGTTTGAAGGGGGTAAAACGTTGTGCAGTGTATGTAAGTAGAACTCTTGACCTTACTAAGTCCTGCCACTTGATGTGCAATGAAGTATTTATTAATTGCAATCGAGATAAGATGATTCAGCACTAACGTCATAAGATTTGGGAAAAATTACCCGACAATAAAGTCTTTAGGAACAATTGACAACATTGAATCAATATTTACTTTATGTGCGTGTGTAGAATAGAATAGAATTTTCATAAGCACTTTTGAGCAATTTAATAATAAGAATACAGTTTAAAATTTTAATTCATAAGTCATAATTTTATTCACTCGTTAACCCTGTTGAAAAACAATGGTTGACTTCATATATTATTACTTGTAGAGCAAGTTCATTTTTAAACAAAACCTAACGCTAAACAATCAAAATTGCCTTATGAAAAATATGTTAACAGAACATGGACAGATGGACTTTGTAGAAGTCTCTAATTTAAATTCTATTTTCAAGAGAACGCTCTAGAGACAACTTAATTTCATTATTTCCCACAAGACAAGGAGTGTCGCGAATAGTGAATATTGATTTAGCTAACAGTGAAGAAAGAACACTTTGTCGAAATCATATAAGTCCCAGGATCATTGGAAAAACAAAAATTGATATGACAAATTCATGTTCATATATTCCGGTGTTTTTGATTTCATCTGAATTGTATTACGTAAATAGGAAAAGAAATGTATATGACTAATATATCAAAGATCGAATTCATAAAAGAAACTTTGAAAAACAGCATTTGCATGTTGGGGAAATGTAAAAATTTTGTGCGCAACATCAATAATTAAGGAAGTTATTATATACTTCTTAATTTTTCCTAAAACAGGAAATTTATTTAGTCGCCTCGACATCACCAACGACGACCACGGAGTTCACAAAACATTCTCGTTTATCATTCATTATTCTCGCAAACATCAACGTCAAGCAATTACGATCGATATTCTAGACGAGACTGATATTTGCTATCAAAAAGAAATACACCTTGAGTGTATTTATCTATAGAACTCGTGATTTTCTTAAGAAGTTGAATGCATTTTTAAGAATGAATAATTTGAGACTTTGCTTGTGTCACTAGCATAAAATTTTATGCAACAATTAATATGACATTGAGAAAGAGTTGTTTCATTTATATTTTTATACTAATCATGTCGTTGTCTGAGATCGTTTGGTATGAAATATTATCACACAACAAACTCACTAAATTACCAACAAATTGTCATCAAAGACAGCATGAAATACATTATGATGCATGTTATATAGAAAGTCATGAAAACCATATAATGCAAAACAGTATTTAGATGAGTGAAGGCTCCATAATCTGTTATCAAAGGATGTAATCTGCATAAACACACAAAACACCTAAAGTGAATATTTGTCTATTCGTTTGACCATAAATAATGTTATCTATTTGGGTTATCTAAGACAAGCTATTTTATTTATGATCTGACATATGAAATGTAATGTAAGTCCGGCTGTGAATCTTTCTTCAAAAGTGGAAAAGAAATTCTACAATAAATTGTGAACTATATAGATAAAACTTACAGTGTGCTCGACAAAATATAAAGTTAATTTGGAAAGTGAGAGACAATGAAAATTAACATTTGTTGCAATTATGAATATAATTAGACCATTACAGTGAAACAAAACACTCTAAGTATTTCTTTAAATTGTGAACCTTATGAACAGGAGGAACATCGGAAATTATTAGTTTTTTGATGTAATTTTTCATTAAGAGAGTTTGACACTCGTTCTTTGAGAAAAGATCTAACATGATTTGTATAACAGGAGATACAACGAGAATATTTAACTCTAAACATGTATGTCATATAAACAAAGATGTTTGAATAATAAAACTTGAGATGTTGTTTATTAACGAGAGAAAGTGAAAGTTTATGAAATTGTAGCAAGAAACTATGACAACAAAAAAAGAAAAGTCGACGAAGTGTTTATTTAAAGAAGCAATATTTCTAAATTGCATTTTCAGAGAATATTTGACATTATTTGTTGTGTTGCTTTAAACATACATTAAAAACAAACTAATTCATGAAGAAAGTGAAGAAGTAAACTAGAAGACTAGAATACGTAGAGCTAGTTTTTTCGTTATTATTATGTATTCAAATGTAAATCTAAAGAGTCCAAGGAAACTGTGAGCTTCAATGAAACTCATTTGTGCTTATATTCACATTGAATGAAGATTTCCTGAGGCGTTTTATGTCAAGCAAACAATTATTCAACACATAACTTTTTTGTAATAAGTGAATTTATTGAAAACTATTGCAGCAAATACATCAACTTCTTAACAGTTGCTTCACAAAAACAAATACAATCTACATACAGCAGATTTTATTTGAATATTTATAATAAAGATAGTATCCATTCATTATTTATATATGGAGTTGCATTCGGCAACATTGTCCTTTCGTGTGAACATGAGGAGTGGGACAATTGCAGTTACATACACCATCCTTGATAACTTTCATTGCACATGCGTAACTACATTGACATCCAACGATTGTGTACTTGGTGGCATGAGCACTGCTGGGAAGGCTGTTGCAATTGATGATACCTCCTGAAGCTTGCACAGATCGACATGAAAATGTTTGGTTTAATCCTGGGATACCACCTTTACCTGGATCACCTTGCTCACCTTGAAAGATGACAAAAGATGTGGTACTTCAAGACTATTCTGGGTACAAAATTACCACCAACAAAAACCTACCCTTTGGACCTGGGTTACCATCAGCACCATTATCCCCAGGGTCACCACGTCGACCACGCGAACCAGGAAAACCTGGTCTACCTGGGCTACCCGTTTTCCCATCAGGTCCTGGGGAACCTGACTCACCATCTTGACCTGGCGGTCCTTGGGAGCCTTGTGGACCGCGAGGTCCCTGAAATCCTTGAGGTCCATCTTCTCCTGGCTCACCAATAGAACCTTTTTTTCCACGAGGTCCAGGAGAGCCTGGGCTACCAGGTTCACCAGGCTTACCAGGTTGTCCTTTTTTGCCATCTCTGCCAGACTCACCACGTGATCCTACAATATACATGATCGTTTTCTAATTTTAGCAATAAAACATTAGAAATGAAAGAAATAAAAGTAGTCAACGTTTTACCTGGGTTTCCTTTAGCTCCTTTATCTCCTTTGGCTCCTTTAGATCCATCTACTCCGTTCAATCCATCAGCACCATCGCTTCCTGGACTTCCTTGTTCTCCTCTATCACCACGATGGCCTGCATCACCCTGTGGTCCTTGAGGACCATTTTGCCCAGGTGTACCTGCTAATCCTTTGAGACCTTGAGGGCCCTGTGGTCCTGCATGAAAACACAGTTATATTAAAGAGATGTTACATATAATCAAATAAATTACTTATACCAACCTGTATCACCGGCTTCGCCAGTTTTGCCTTGCACTCCTTTGTCTCCTTTTGCTCCGTCACTACCATCAACTCCATCTTCACCTGGATCTCCACGCATCCCCTTATCACCTCGTGGTCCGGGGAAGCCCTTATCTCCTTTGCTACCAGTTGGCCCAAGTGGACCAGGTTCGCCTACACTGCCTCTGACACCTTTATCACCTTTCATACCTCTGGGTCCTGGCAGACCAGGTAACCCTAGAAAATGATCAAATAGACAATTGCTAGACTGCAACTATAACATTTTACGTCGTCATGAATGTGGGGTTTTCTCAAAAGAGAAAATCGAGAAGGACTTTATAATTCGTGGGAAAAGCGTAATAGCTAAATGCAAAACAAAGTACAACAAACCTTTTATAGGAGGCTTGGGTTTAGCTTTGATTGACTTGTCGCTTTGTATTGAAGAATCTTCTACATGACTCGATCTTGGCGCTCCGTCTGCAACAGAAAACTTTCAGTAGAATTTCTTTGGCTCGAGGATAAAGAAATAAGCGCAGTAAAAAAAAAACATTTCGAAGATAATTCACATGATAGAAATATAAGTTAATACTTAAATAAAATTTTTTCACACTTTATTAAATTCTTAGCATGGAACATTTTCGTTTAATGTAAAATAAAACTTGCAACCGTTATATACAGGTTGAAGTATTGACTTAAGCGTTGGAACAGCACTTTCAAATTTCGTCGAGTATACAAAAAATCTTAGCTACAGACATTGTTTCAATATTAATAAAATATATCTCTTAATGAAGAGCAACATTGTATGAATATATGAAATATTAACCAACGCAATAAAGCCTCGCGAAATAATTTACAAACTTACATGAAAGGAAAACAGCAAATGTTGCTAACACAACGATAAGAAGATAGGTCGACATTGTGAACGTTGTGCTTGATGGACTAACGTGTGTACCAACATCAAACAAGTTAATTTATATACTGCGTCTCCTTCAGCGTAGGTGGCTTCGCATTCTTGCATATTTGATCACAAGCTCCAATGTCTCTAGGCAATATAGTGCCTTTGTCATCTTCAGGAACTTGCTGTCGGTCTTATTGACACGATCAATATCGACGTTTGAAGAAATGCAAAGAATAGCACTTGAAACACAGGAAACATTGTGCTACAATAACATTTTTTCATCCAGTTCTAGGTTGCCTGGATTTTATATGCAAACAATCGATGATACATGAAAAACGCCATAACAGAATATTTCGAAGTCTTTTCGCTTACTTTTTACATCTTCCATGTTTGATAATAATAAAGCATGAAATTTGCTTAAAGTGCATGTAAATTTCTTCACAAGATGAGGAAAAAAGAAATGCATATTAAGTGGAAATTGAAAGAGAGGGTTTAAATTATGGTAAATGATATTGTATTGTGTGTTGTGTAAGTTAAACATTTCATGTTAACCTAAGGGCAATTTTTGGAAAATATTAACAAATTATGAATGGTGTCTTAATTACATTATCAGTGAATTATTTTGTACAACCAATTTCTATAGTAAATTCACATTTACAATGTATTCAATGTAAAATACTTTAACATTAAACAATTTTTGCTTTTTTACTATCTCTAAAGATGCCATAGACAATAAACCATGCAGGTACTAAGAGGAAAATTATGATTAATATAATAGAAATTGGACCATTCTAGAGTTGTCACGAAAACGAATAACGTAAGGTATTGTTGACAATCCACAATAAATAATTGCTTTCTATTTTCGTTGGCAGATTTAACACCAAAGTCCTCTTTCATTTTGAGAGGTTTTCTAAATCGCCAAAATTTTGAAGTGGCTAGGTCAAGTATGATTTTGACAGGTAAAATGACGGATGTCGTTATTTGAGAATCGGGTCATAATTGTAGGCGGAGTTTCAGGCATTGTAAGTGAGACAATACCATTCGCCCACGTCGCCACACAATCACAGTATATATACAGGCTGTAAAGTTGTGCGACTGACACAGACGGTATACACCATCATCAAAATGGATCTCCGCGTTACATCAGCCGTCTTATTGTGGCTGGCAGCAATGATTTTCAACAGCAGTAAGTGACTTCATTATAACTTAATATGTCTTAATTTTAATGTACATCAAAATATATTTGGTTAGATAGTATGTATTGGATTGCAAGAGTTTAGACGCAATCCAGAAATACCAAACGATTGGTTTAAAAGGAGAATTGCATAGTTTAGAATGTTCTTTGAGGTGATATTTTTAAGATTTTCACTCGCATGATGTTCGCTAAAGATTCCCGCACGATGAAGTAAGAAAAAAAGATAAATTTTCGATTGAAAAAATGCAAATAACGAATGGTAGTTAGGAAAAAGTAGTTTAAGAATGTAAACAAGAACTATTAACGCAATTGAAGAACAATATCACAATATTTGCTTCTATAATAACCCGATTTAACGCAAAACGTGGATTGCAAAAATTAAACTTTTTAAGTAAAAATAACATTGATTAATGAAAGCCTTGATCCAAGTTTATATCAATGAAAGCAATAATAAACGAACATCTAAGACACTGTTATAAATGACGACATTTAACTTTAGGATTGATCGATCGCAACTAAGAATTAACATTTTACTTTAGATGCCTTCTCCCAGGACATGGGGCAAGAGTTGGACCGAGTCTCCCAGGATGTCTCAACCTATCCCTACCATCGAGGTGAGATAATCTGAAAGGCAGTCCTCCAATCAATGTAAGATTGGAGCGATTAATGACATTTAAATGAATTATGTCAAGCGATTGTTTATACGATAATAGACTGGGCAAAGATGTAGAAGCATTTAAAAGAAAAATTTGCCCATAGGAAAGCTCGTAAAATCACCCACAAATTGATAAAACTAAAATTAAGCATGTTGTATAAAAAGAATATCTATCTATTGGAATTAATCATATTATTGTCGAATAATTTCATGTTGTTTAACTGTTGTCAACAGTTAAACAGTTCTTTTAAATATGTTACGTTTCGAGAGAAATTACAACACTTAAACATCAATCTTCTGCATATTTCACGAAGAAAGATATCAGGCTTTATTAGTCTGGTTGTTGAGTAAAATCGTAATAAGAGAGAACGATGATAATCGTTAAAGTAAAGAAATATGAAAGAACAAAACTCACATGTTTAAAGTTTGTTGCCAGTAAAGATGTTCGTTGGAAAATCTGAAATGAAATATAAAAAGTTTTATTTATTAAAAACTATAACAAATAACGCTTCTAATATTTAAATATCGATTGCAGTCATGCAAACTGACAAAACCGTCTTTTTGTCGTATAATTTATGCTCGCGTTTGCTAATTATCTGCATTGGGAAAAACACCAACGAGAATTGACTCGCTACGGCTACGTAAGCTAAATAAACAAGTTGTTAAAGTTTCAAAGTTTCAAGAGACGAATATTAATGAAGACAAAAGATCTGAAGAAAAGCCTTCGCTTCAGATGTTAGAAAACCTTTCATCAATCTTTCAGGCATTGTGAGAGAAACTAGGAGAGAATTCCTATTGCCTAAAACTCCGTCATTAGCATGACAACTGACAGCAATAACTTATTTGTTCCCAGATTTTAAGACCTGTCCTATATCTATTGACATCGCATATTTAATTGACGGCTCAAGCAGCGTGACAGCGGACGAATATCAACTGGAGAAAACAGTCGTCAAAGTTATGGCTTATTTCTTTGGCGTGATGAAACTTGGCACGCATAACGGCGTTGTTAACTATGGAAATACAGCAGTGACCGCTATAAAGTTTCTGGACCATGTTAAATTTTCTACGTTCAGAGATGCAGTAAAAAGCCTTAAAAAAATTGGTGGAAACACACGTATTGATCGCGCTTTAGAGTCTGCACACGACTATCTCTTTATGGGAGGTGGAGGTGCTCGTGCTTCACCAAAAATACCAAAAATTGCTGTAAGTATTTCCTTATAAGGCACTGGTGTATACGATGGAACAGATAGGGATAAAGTCTGGGTAGTGTGGGTGGGGAGGGGGGTGGGTAGTTTGATTACACGGGAGATAATTCTAATGAGAAAAGTTAGGTAGAGAAATACGGCAAAATAAAATACAGAAATATTAGGATACAATTATATCAAACAAAAAGCTGTATCAATCCAATATTGTCATTCATTTGACGTATGAGTAATGAACTTGAAGAAAAAATTTCATTTATTTTTGATTCAATCAGATCGTGTTCACAGACGGTGTAAGTGGTGGACAGTCATTGGATAAAGCTGTAAAACCGCTGGTCAATAAAGGTGTTATCGTATTTGCCATCGGCATTGGTCCAAAAGTGAATGTGCAGTCTCTAAAGTTACTTACACCAAGAGATGATCTACTGTATCTCGTTAAAGACTTCTTGGACCTCTATGTCAAAGCAGGATTTATTGCAAGACAGATTTGCCAGCATGCACGTAAGTAAAGCGATAAGGAAAATATGGGGAATGTCAAGGAAACACGATAATAGAACCCTCATAAACCAGTGAAATAGCCGCCATATAGACAAAATAAATGCATTGTCCCGAGTCTCTTGTGGAAGAGACATTGCACGACAAATTATAAAAATGATTAAGTACGTTGAAGAGGAATTATCATCGACATTACATATTATCCTTGTGTAGAAAACCGTGGTGATTTTGGTCCTAAAGGAGTTCAAGGTCCAGATGGGCCAGCAGGTCCCAAAGGTGAACCAGGACCACGCGGTATGGAAGGAGAGCGAGGAAACAGAGGTAACCAGGGTGCGAAGGGATCAAAAGGAGAGAAAGGTTCAAAAGGATCGAAAGGAGCATCGGGAATAGACGGAGCAAAAGGCAATGTAGGATCACCGGGTAACAAGGGACCCAAAGGACAAAAAGGAGCACTTGGTAGGATACCTTCATATCCACACATGTACTAACCTATCACTCATTAACTGAATAAACAAACCATTGTTAATGTTAGGTGATACTGGAGTTCGAGGACAAATCGGTGATCCTGGACATGATGGCGATGCAGGAGTACGTGGTCCCAAGGGTAAACCTGGACCACAAGGTGCAAAGGGAGATACAGGTAACTAATGCTAAATTTCTCAAATTCAACACGTGGAGAAAGAATCATCATCAATCAGAGCAATAAACTTGGAATGAATTATTTACATTATAGGACAAGGCGGAGAAAATGGTAGCCCAGGAAAAGAGGGAACACCAGGAGCTAAAGGGATAAGAGGAGATAAAGGAGATGCTGGACATCCAGGTGCTCCAGGAGCTGATGGACAAAATGGATCACCAGGACCCAAAGGGCAACCAGGAAAACCTGGGTCACAAGGTGGTCGAGGAGCAAATGGTAACCCTGGACCAAAAGGTGACCAAGGACCACGAGGGGATAAAGGCTTGCAAGGCTATCCTGGAGCGCGCGGACCACCTGGAAAGGACGGTAACCCCGGAAGCAATGGTGGCCCTGGATATGATGGTAGCCAAGGACCACGCGGTGAACCCGGACCACGAGGACCTAAAGGAGACAAAGGGCAACCAGGGGCAGACGGAGCACCTGGTTACGCTGGATCAAGAGGTAAGAGGAGTGAGTCTGTTAACTAAATCCAACTGTACAGGTCGTTAAAATTTCTCTTCCCTTTTCAGGATCTCGTGGTACGAAGGGCGCAAAGGGTGCAGATGCGAACCAGACGATTGTGTGTAAATACTTGCAATCGAATAAAGGTCAACTATCTATGTCCTGTAACGATTTATCATACACTGCAACTGATTGTGGATGTAGTCGAGGTTGTGGTGAATGGAGAGTCTCAGCAGATGGACAAAAATGTTCATGTAAATGTAATACATACGTTCCTACAAGCTTTGCCTCAGTTGGTGTCAACTGCTGTCGTCTACAATGAAGTTTATATTGAACTGGAAGATTTAAACAATGCATTTGGACAATGTCTAATGAATGCAGTTTGATATTATATTATAATTATGAGATGTACCGAGTTGTATGAATAAATTTTCAATGTTTGTCATCGTGTTTAACGTTAACTTTACAAATCACGCGGTGTAGAGAAGCCTTATCTATGAGGATTTACAAATCAAATCTTTTGGATGAAAGTCAAACATGTGTTTAACAATAAGGAGTACATTGTTTGAGAACGCGAGGCACTGACGAAAACCCATCACAAGAAAAAGGAAATACATCATTACGATCGTACTTAACGCCTTCAAACAACAGGTGATTATCGAAATAATCAATAATTGATCAGTTGTCAAAACACTCCACTTATTTGTTTTTAATTGACATAACAAAGTGTGATATAGTTCAAATAAAGCCAAAAGATTCTTTTCGTTGGTTTTTTAATAACCAGGGGAGTAAAAACGTAAAGGAAAAAACAAACAAAAAAATCGTGTAATCGAGAGATAAATACAACCTCAAATTGTCCAAACAATTGTAGCAAAATAAAAAGTTTTACAAGTGGACTGGAGGCGGTGTATCACGTTAACAAAGATCACGAAATATTAAAAATTTCTCCAAAGTTTACTGCAGACAAACTATGACTTTGTATTGAGAAGAAATGCATCAAACGTGCTTTCTCTACAATTTGTGATGTAATATGTTTGCTTTAACTTATCTTGTTCGACGTCAGGTCGGAATGATAAAAATAAGAAATAATCATCACATGATAAAGGACATTTCCCTTTTTAACCTCAAATTATGTCAATGATACTTAATCAAATTTAAATACTTAAAACACACACGTATTTGTTAAAGCTAGCAACCAAACCATCCAAGTAACGTAGCTCATACAAAGAATGCTGAACTGCATTGAATGTACACAGTATAATTTTAACGCTACCTACATTTAGAACCTGCATACCGCGGCATTTTATTATAAGTGGTGACCCTGCTGTCTTGTGAAAGTGTCACGAAAATTTCATACTATAAATTCTATTAAAGTGACCTTTAATGGACGGTCAACGTTACAAAGAGGAACGCAGTCATGCAAAAAAGCCTTTTCTCCAGCCGACATTTTAAAGATAAGGGAACATTCTCCAAATAAAAACTCATAATGTAAACTCAAGATTAAGTTCCATTGCCCAGAGATAAGATTTTCAAAACAATATTCAAGTCGCTATCAAGCCAACAAGTTTCCAAATTAATTTTTTATTGTTTTGAAACTGTATTTAACCGTGGGGTTCGGTAACTATAGTGAATAGTAAAATATACAATTAAATCCTCACGTGGACACGTCAAAGTCTTTGTGTTTGAACAGTTTGCAACTTGAACTCCGTGACATTAATATAGTCACAAACTTTTTAGATTATTACATTCTAGATAAAAGTTAGAAACACTTTAAAATTTTACATAGTTTTTGCTTGGTTATTTGCAAATCTAGTTACATTAAATATTATGTAGATAATATTGTGCAAAAGTCTGGTGGTATGGGGCGGTCAACCAGTATTTAGCGGTCACATGAAATATCTACATAGTGACCGCTTAATTTGAGTGTAATTACACAACAATATAAAGCAAATGTGTAAACATACGACAAGCATTAGACAGCTATCGTTGGAGGTGAGATGACGAAGAACTGTAAGTAACATAAAAAATTTTGGTGTTGTGTCAAATCTATGAGAGAAAGATCTTACAACAAGTAAAGTAAGTCAATATCATGATAGTTTTAACGAACAGATCATCTAGAAAGGTTTAAGTTCTCGCAGTTAACTATTTCACATCTGTAAAAGAAAAGAATTTCCTATTATATGCCTCAAGAAGAATGGTACAACATACGACAAACTAAATTCAACAATTGAAAAGTCAAACTGTTCAAACAAATCTATTTTAACGACGCTCAATTTACTTGACATAAGTGATTAACCTTTTGAATTAAAATGAAACACACGTAACGCTATGCAACGTGAGAAAGAAGATATAAAATTATAGTAGAGATTATTTAAAATCGTGGCAAAAACGGCTTTTTGACGTAATCATGAAAGCCTGACAAATATTTTTTAATAAATCTAGGCAGAGGAGTGCCCCCCGCCTCATTTTGCCTTGAAATAGCCTGATTACACAAGACAGACAATATTTACTGTAGGTCTGTACTGACTATAAACATACGTATCTATAATACATTTACAGTAGAGTGGACTCCTAAAGAATCGCGTAGGAACTTTTTGCAATTTTTCTTTATTAGCTCAATTTCGTATCAAGATTATCTGCAGAGACAGAAAATGATGATCTATTCTTGTGTTCTTACGTGACAGTTTATGTCAGATTTTCATGCATATTATACGTTTACCATAAAAAACACTATGTAAAAATGATAAACGACATGTTACTGACAACTAAACTCACGATTTCTGGGATGCACCCCCCCTCTCAACATTTACTGTCACTCTGAATAAATCATACGACGATTCACTAATAAAAATCCTTAGACGACAATGACTGTAATAAAAATTACATTTTGGATTGTCGTGCTAACATCAACGGTAAGAAGGAAGTCGTTTAATCATTAAATTAAGGAAAGCCTGTTGTTTCTTAAGTATCATTTGTCATTTGCAAGGATTTTACGTGGGATGCACCTAGAAACACAAGGTTATCAATCAAATGGAGCTTGCAGAACTACGGTCGCAAGAGTTTGGTTTTCATAGTAAATTATTTAAGCAGGTTTATATATATATTTATAAGAGGACAGCAGTAATTAAATCATTAAAATGAGTTCAAATAATCTTCTCTAAAATTTTTCATATGACAATAGGGGGAAAGGTTGAAATCGAGTACAATATCCTGAGGAGACAGAGTCTAATAACATCGCATTTTAAGAGAGCTTGTTAACGGCGAGGAAAGTCAGTAAGCCGATATTGTCAAACACTTCCGAAGAGTGTGAGATATAACAAGAGGACCATAAAAAGCGGGGAATATTTAATCAGCTTTATCACGCGAGAGAAAATACATATAAAGCCTTAAGTAGCCATCACAATCTTATTCACTGGATACAAGTCAAGATGAATACATCTCTTCCATCAGAGCGTACTTCTACTACCGTGGCAACAAACATCACCGACTCTTTACTGTCGCAATGTGCTTATGGAGGATATTATTTAACACGGAGTCCAACAGGTTTTTACTATTATAACTACATAATTAACATCATCTTGGGAAGTATGACAACTTTGGTTGGAGCTGTCGCTAATTTCTTGGTCATAACAGTGTATATGAAGACTCGACAACGTCAAGGGTTCAACACGGCATTGTTGGCGTATCTTGCAATAAGTGATCTGTTGGTGACAGCTCTTGTGCAACCGTTGATGATCAGTCGTTTGATATTAGAGCTTCAAGGTGAAAATTTCTGTGTTTATTCCCTAATCATCCGACGATTGTTTGAATTCGTCATTCCAGTATCTTTCCTGTCTGTCGGTTTAATAACGTATGAACGTTATGAAGCGATCTTTAGTCCTGTGAAATACCGTTCAACAAGCCTGAGAAATCGTATTAAAGTTATCATGTTACTTATTTGGCTCTTTGCCCTCATCACGATGGCCATGCGTTTCTTCAAGTTCTTCTTCTTCATCTACTATTTCGTCGCTCTCGTCATCATCATCGCTCTTGTCGTCGCCAATACAATCATTTACATAAAGATAGGCAAAATGGCATCGGATTATACCAAAGATAGACGCGAAGCAGCCGAGAAACAATGCGATTTACGTAGCTCGAAAAGATCCGTACCAAAGACAAGCGTAGTACACGAACCTTATTCTATATCTTCTTTAGTCTTGTAATATGTTACATCCCGATGATTGCCGCGATGTTATACACGGTAATCAAACAAGAAAAATCGCAATCATTACAATTTCTATTCGGATATCTGCCATGGGTCGATTTCTTCGTTTGTCTGAACTCCACACTAGATCCATTTATTTATTGTCTACGAAATCCACGTCTTAAACACGCTGTACTCGACTTCGTATGCAGAGGAAAATACGGTAAATGTGATAGTTCTGTTGACACCGCAGCCAAAAATTCGTTAATGTTACAGAACAGTAGCTCCACTGAGAAAAAGACTGGCGATGATTCAAAAAATTCATGACTGTTGTGACCAGTTAATATGAGATTATTATAAGAGTATAACTCAGTAAATACATTATTACAACAGCTTAACTAACATCTCACGTGGGAAAGTGTTTTTAAAACACTAAGTCCAAATCACAACAAATTAAGTTGGTCTTGGAGTTTTTATCAAATGACGCAATGCCATAAGAATCTGTTAATTTAAAAAATGTTTAAAAAAAAGCAAAAAATGAGATTTTTGAAAGATTGACGAGTCTACCCTTGCTTAGTACATGAAGTTTTTTCATAATCTTTGTAAAGTGTAAATGTAAATATCTAGTTGACGTACTAGTTAAGTACAAAGCAAACATTTCAACGATTATTACAACTCTTAACGATTATACTCCCGCTGAGTCATGCTGAGAAATTGCCTGTGAAATATTTTGACTGTGTGTGTGTTAATTGTTACTAGCGACATAAGCATGAACTTCAGTTGAGGTGAAAAGATTGATTTTGTAAAATTTTGTGAGTCAAATAACGTGTTTGGGCGTGGTGAAGCGTGAAGTTCACATGGGCAAGGAATAGAAATTGCCATTTTGGCAAAGTTGTTGCGTTTTAAATAATTTTAAATCGATGCGAGCGACACAATGCCATTTTGTAAATTAAAGTTATTTGTATGTTAAAATAAAATGAATGAGTTTTAGTAAATTTACCAGATGTAAAATATTGGATAGGTAAAAGATCTTGAATTTTTGAGTAAAAATTATTTTTTGTACGACGCTTGTTGAAATTTCTCTGTTCCACCCTTGTATAAATGTACAAAAAAAGAAGACAAAATTCGAACTGTTGCACTCTCATCTTAACGAGGTCCCAACATACTCTTCATTAGGAAAAGCCACTTCAAAATAAATGCAAATAAAATCAGCTTCAGGGCACGATTCACACTCACAAATTAACAGCAAAAAGCCAACGACGTACGACAATTTGTACCGTTGCTGAACAGACAGAAATTTTCCAAAATGAAAGGCCTAAAATTACTTTTAAACAACAATAAAATGTGATTCATTTTAACAATGCAAACAAACATAGTATCACATTGAATCGAAGTATCGTTTCCTTAAAACTTTAAGCTTTCTTTGTATGATACATTTGTATACAAGTATCATGTATAAACTTTCTTTATATAACACGCATGTTTGCACATGACAAATGGATCTATGGTTTTGATGTTTCCTTAATGAGCAGGAAATCCACTCCAATCTAATTCAAATCAAAGAGGCTGATTAAAGCTGCTTTTAAGAACATAACATCTTAGACACACAAGTTCACTGTTCTATTATTACATTTGACGCGAGAGCGTGCTGGAACAAGCTTTTACCAACTAATGTATGGAAGTAGTATGTTCTGTTTTGTATCTTAATAATTTAAGTTGTTTTTTCTGCATGTTAACAAAGCACAAAATATCCATCAGAAGAGATTATCACTTTCCAATTATACATAGTTTGCTGACTTTCCTTGCAATATCAATCAAAAGTAGTGAATGCGTGCAGACAACGAAAGAATTATAGAAAGTGTGAATTTCGTCATTGAGAGATAGCATTAAACACGACACTTCATAGAATCTCACAGGACACTTCATAGAATCTCAATTTGACGATAATCTCTATTGGTCTCGTACATTCTTCGATAGGATTACACGTTTTGCGTCGGGTCAAACATACAGGACCGCACACGAGTCGAGAATGGCCTTCAACCTAATGAAATTCTTATGAAACCCCTAATTTTAAGCTTTCACTAACTGATTTACATACAGTAGCGAGAAGAGTTTGTCTGAGAGTCTCACATACATTGTCGAAAAATGTTCACATCCTTATACACATACGCACGTCAGCCAAGTTGAAGATACAATATACTGACGCAAGAAACAACGTAAAGAAAAGCTCTAGAAGAGTTTGGAAGTCGCTTAAATCATTCATTACATAATTCTAGCATGAAGTAATTTCACTGTTCTTAATGTACATGAAAAGGCTTCGAAGTTAAATCAACTGTTATAAAGATTCTCGTTTATTTGCACTGAAAAGCTAAATGAATGTCTGGAAAAAAGGTAAGTTTAAAACCTACTTGCAAACGTCTGAAAATATTGCCGACATTTTCAATGATACTTCAAGATCGGCTTTATTGTAGACCCCGCCCCTCCTTAACGAAATACCACCACCCTTGAAGAATACAAGCTGTTGCTGTTGAAGGACTTTGAGAACAACTTCGACAAGAGTTTAATTATCTCAATTCCAAGGACTCTCCCACAAAGCTCAATTGTTTAGAGTTGGATTGAAGGAGACATTGCCCAACTCTTCTCTTTTCTAGAAGCTACTGAAGTTATACCCGCATTGCAACATCCATACAAACATTAACAAACGTAGATTGATCATTTTAACAGGTCCTCCATAGAGCTCCTATCTAACATCTAACATTATAGCGAATTTTTTTAATAAGAAATTAACTTTGACGCAAATTACCGAATAAAGATTGGTATGCCAAGGCTCTTGTGAATTTTCATATCAACGGCCAATCTTAATATCCGTGCAGGAGCCGATATTTCAAAAATACTCGAATACAAAACATTTTTGTTTTTTACGCATTGTCAGGCATTGCATCTTGGACACTTTCCGTTTGTGTTGACGCATTTTCACAGTGAAGTAAGAAAATTTCCAAACCTCAAAATTTGACAACTTTTTCTTTCTTTTCGCGACGTTCATTTGATTGAACCACATTTTCTAAACTCTCCTCATGATCGGCGCTTTTAGTGTGTTTGGATTCTTCGTCTGTAGTTAAGTTGAACGTAACTGTCGTGTTATCTTCAAAGAAACGATAAGTAAATAAAACAATGCTTTGAAGAGCGTATTTGCAATTGGAAAGTGACAACTAGTTCGCCTGAATCTTTTTCAACAATTATTTTTCGAACAGCAAAGTTGTAATTTACCAAAGCAAATACGCTAATTCAAAGAAATACTTAAGTTTCTGAGCAGGCCCTTTGTCTTTGTTAAACAAATAACAAAATTAGAAACGCTCATATCTTCCATCTAACACGGTAGACGAAGCAAGATAAGGCTTTTACTGCGCGCACCATTTCAATATTTTTTTCAAAACTTTTAACCAAATTAACAATTGCATTAAATACACAATACTCTTTCATAACGTAGTAATATTTCTCCTGGTTTAAAATTACATTTCAAAAAAGAGGAAATACTGAACTTACTTAGGCAAAGTAAAAGTATAGCAATGATATAAAAGGTTCAACAACGTAAAGCAGGCAATTACGCCAATCTGATAAAAAAGATTTTCATGGCTAAAAGGAAACTTCATCAAATTCTTACAAATTTATGTATGTATCATCTTTTCATCCAAAGGTACTCAATCTTTTACGGGGGTGACGAAGGAAAATTTCTACTTTTTTCAGGGGGGAGGAGGCATCACAAATATCTTAAAGTGCTTAGTTATTAAAATAATTCACTGGTGGGGAAGGCAACTTTAATGATTGGGAGGGGGAGGCAACACTTAATAATTGTGAGGGGGAGCCAACTGTACTGTTTGGGAGGGAGCCAACTGTACTGTTTGGGAGGAGCCAACTGTAATGATTGGGAGGGAGCCAACTGTACTGTTTGGGAGGGGGCCAACTGTACTGTTTGGGAGGGAGCCAACTGTAATGATTGGGGAGGCAACACTTATTGATTTGGAGGGAGGCAACACTTAATGATTGGGAGGGAGGCAACTGTAATGATTGGGAGGCAACACTTAATGATTGGAAGGGGGGAGGCAACTGTAATGATTGGGAGGGGGGAGGCAATTCTTAATGATTGGGGGGAGGAGGCAATTCTTAACGATTGGGGGGGAGGAGGCAGCCCTTAATAATTTGAGCAATCGAATGGCATTCTAGCCATGTATCTTGCTCTCCTGATATTTTACTCTATCTTACTTTTCTAATATTAATCTGTATTTCCAATCAATGACAAACCTTTGTATTTTCTTGTAATCATGGGACAGTCTCGTTTTAGATGTTCAACTGAGCCACACACCTTACAACCACCACCTGCACGTAGTTGTATATAATGTAGTTTAACATGACAAAAATAACCGCAAAATTAAGCAAGCAATTTTTCACTGACCATTTGGATATAATCCTCGTGGATTTTCAGAACAAGATCTTGCTAAATGACCCATTTCATGACAAATGAAACATTTTGCAAATGGAAATGGCCCTAAAAAATATAAATCTCGCCTTCATTTCTAATTTCTATCATAAACCCAAAGCACTCCTTTGTACATACAAATTGAACAATTTAATGTGACCTGATTATATGTGTTAGTAATCTTGCAATGATGAAAAAATCAACAATTCTTTAATCACCTGAGATGTTCTTGTCCACATTCTCTTTACAATTTTGAGTTGTATGACTTGAGGAGCCACATTTAAAACAAGTACCAATGTTCATATCATTTTCATTAGGACAAGCTACAGCCTTGTGTCCATATTTTCGACATATAAAACAACACTAGAACAAAATACAGGAAATAATTCTGTGCTAACTAACTACTCTTCTATAGTATAAAACAAATTCCGAAGAAGCAAGACATCTTGAGATTGCAAAATATGAATCAAAACAAGACGAGAAGTGAACTGTAAATTTTCGACTTTATTTCAAAGTCATCCTCAGACAGAATGATATTTAAAACCATACATACACATATATATATACAACACATGAAATAAGTAAATGGAAGTAAGCAATTACTTGTTTTAAGCAATAGTGTGATATTTACAAAGGCAGAGTTGGAAGAGGTGTAGTATTTCAAAAGGATGAATTAAAACTGCCGACCCGACTGGTAGAATGAGTGTATTGTAATTTAAGAGAAGAGTTGTAATTCTTTGCTAGCCTTAGGTCCCGTGTTGAGAAAAGGTTTGTTATGTTTGATGAGAAGTGCTTCAAGAAAAGCAAGAATGTGGTAGTTGTTAGATTTGGTTGAGTGAAGTATTTTATTGTTGTTGAATACAAGGTTATCTATAGGAGAGGGAGTTCTGGGAGGTGGAGGGAGATCATTGAGTTGATCATAAACTACTCTTCTCTGACAGAGAAAAAGGAAACACAACCAGTACTCCATCTGTTCATGGTTGAGTTTAAGACAAATGCTTTTTATTTAGTAAAAACTGCAAAAAGCAGCAAAATTAACAAACCTTGCCCTTCTGCCTCCTTAATCTTCTTGATTCTATCTGTTTCAGCCTTTTGGCATCTGGGAATGTCCTTCTCTGAGTTTTTGTTCCTTTGCCATCAACATTTCTTGTCGTCTTGTCTAACTTACAACAACCCTTATTTGTGTCATTGTGTTTTACTTTTTTCCACGTATGTTTATCTAGCAAAAATATAAATTTTCTCTTTCATAAATAAATATATAAACATCTCTTTCAAAAGAACGACAAGACATTGAGAATTGACAAGAAATTATCCTCGTCAAAAGAAATGAACAAGTTGAATAACCGATGTTATGACAGTTGACTGATATTTACAAACCACTTGAAAGCTCTTCCCAAGTTGAAGCTTCCAAGAACTTCTTCTTTCCACTTCTAGCAAATCTTGTCATCGATAAAAAGAAGATTTGAAAAAAAATTCACAGAGAAACTAAAATTTTCGAACAAAATGGCATTTTGCCATGTGCGTGCTGACGTGACAAACAGAGAAAGCGCAACCTCGGGACAACGTCGGAAATAATCGGATACATTCGTAATATTGCATTCATTTTAATATTTGGCCCAATTGGCAAAGCAATTAAATCATATTTCTGTAAAAAGTCACTCCTCCGCGGATTCTTTATCTATCATGTGATATTCGTTATAAAATAGAGTATAAATAGACTAATTTTTCTTTTGAAGAATTACGTTGAAAACAAATACAATATTGTCGTTTACGGCTGGAACATTTACTTCACTCAAAGCAAGTTGCAGAGAACGAGCAAGATTAATTGGTTGGTTATTGGGACCAATCGACCATTTCTAGAATACGAAAAACAAATGAATTCAAATGAAACAACAAAAAACACAGTTTTAGATCAATAACAAGTGACTTAAGACTAGGTTAACGTCTCATGCCTGTGATGAAACTAAACATAAAGCAGATGATTTAAACAAGATCCTACAAGCCATATGAAGGATAGTTAAGAACTAACAGTTCTAGTTCGTAAAATAAAAGTTGGTTAAGTGTTGATTATCTATATTAATTATATTAATTATTAAATTATTTAAATTCATTTCAACGGTGTTTACCTTAAAATTTCCTGGACCCAAGGACAGAGTTATATTTAAGCGTTTCTCAGCGTGTATTTTCAGTCTATTGGCAAACGTTAGCAAAGAAGTCCCACAAGCTTGTCTGACGTTCGTCTCCAATTGATTAACAATTTCCTGAGGATTGCAATCACTTGATGAAATAAGCTTTTTCATAATGGCAGCTTCGATTTCTCTTGTTTTAACACGATCAATTATGACGTTGGTTTGACCTGCTTCAGTCCGGACTGCCGACTGCGTTTGTACTGCAGTTGAATAGTAACCTGTGGAAATTTTGAAACATTCGAAAGAAATATCTACAATAAAGATGAAATTATTCACAAACAAAAAAAATACTTCTATTTGGTCTGACATCCTGAACAATTCTAACTGGATTTGGACTCTCGACCACACTAGGACAAGTATCTCCAGTCCAACGCAAGATAAACTGATCATTGGAGTCAGCGGTATCACCGATAGACAACGAACAATTAGTTCCTTCGTAGATGGCTTGTCGTATTTCTCTGGCTTGACGATCTTTTAATGTTACTTTAATACCATCTAAAATGGATGAATTGTTTGAAACACGAGTTAGTACATGTTGTGTCTTGTTTTTAAACATTTAAGCTGTATGTTAACTTGACAGTAAGGTTAATAACAAAAAAAGTAGTGTACTGCTGAGTAATTAGTACTACTAACCTTCGATAACTTCAATACCATATCTCTTGCGTGAACTTGAAGCATCACCAAGGTTAAAAATCAATAAAATAGCACTGAATGCCAGGACTAAATTACAAAAACATGGTGAATGAAAAAGTCTTTACATTTGCTACAATGTTGTAGATACGTAGTAAACATAAAATTTATGAACCACTCACACTGGCTCCCAGGCTCCACCGACTGATCGCTATTTTGCAGTACAACGAAACCCCTTCTGTTCGACGTAGCGTTGTTAACAGTATAGACAAAATGACCGCTGGCTTGAGGAACGATGTCACCAGCTATAGGTATCGTCACTGGCTCGTCATCTTTCACCAATAAAGCATCAAGCATACTTAAAACCTATACAAAATTTCATTGAAATCTTATATGTATATACAAAATTGTTTAAAGTGATCCCATGATACCTAGCGAGATCAGAACGTACCTCAGTCTGATATAGAAACGGTAGCTCCAAGATAACTCGACTGTTTGATTTCAAAATATGCACCTCGGGAATCAAAACTTGTGGAATTTTATTGTTCTACAAGAAAATGAAACACCGTTAAACGACTGAAGGATGGTGGGAAGGTCAGATGTCGTCACATCTCGAGACACATACCAGAAACTGATTAAACGCAACAAATGTCGAGTAAAAAATTTCATCAGACGGTAAATTGACCACAAAAGGACGGTCTCTTGAGCTTATCGCGGGCGATGGAAACGCTGAAATAAAAAATATCCCGCTACGTTCATTAAATTAAAGACAATGATACATTACAGCAAATCGATATTTTTCAGAAATAGGCATTCGTTGCTCGTTCGATAACTGAAATGAATTCAGCTAAAGTTTAAGGAAGTTGGTCATGTAGGCTTGTGAAGTCCTCCGACAGATAATAGTAGATGGCTTTAATGACTGAAAATTTGATGTCCTACAATTTACCACAACATTAAATAACAACAGTCCCTCTATGGGGTGCACCAGATTCTTTGATTCAAACAATTTGCTTGTTGATATACGACAAGTCTTTGAGAGAATCGCGCCATTGCTGAACGCCACAATAAACTTTCATTTCATCGAAAAAAAATAATAATAATGAACTAACTTTGTTGTTGAGCACCCAAAGCATTGAGTAATCTTGCTGGTATATACCGAGCACATGCCAGTTCCGTGTACTTCAAAAGAATTCCAACGATTGCAGAGTTCCCGTTTATGTAATGTCGAACGACATTTGGCTAAAAAAAAATAAATTTAGTGGTTTGAATGAAAGTTAATGTCCAAAAGAAGATGCAAACATCAATGGAAACGGTTAATTCAAGAAATACTGACAGATTACCAGTTTTTTCGCCGAAATGAACAAGAAGCCAACATTTTCTTCGCTACCCAGTAAAGAATTGCTGAATGCCAAGTAATTACAATGTCGAAATCTTTGACCTGAATTAAAATAATTTTTCTAAACAAAAATCGAAAGATAAAGCTACCCTCGTTTATCACGGGATAGTTTATGATGAGACAGATAATTTGACACTCAAAAACCATTCACGACATTAAAGGCTCAACATACCTTGCTTTGAAGTCAGGGAATAAAGAGTACGGAATATTTTAAACATTTCAAATGGAAAAACATCCTCCGCGATTCGTTTTTCCAAAAAGAAGGCAATTTCATTTTGACCAAAGTTTTCAAATCCTTTGCTAAACATAAACCAAGCATCATGAAGTTCTTGTTTGATCGTCACTAAAGAAACGAAAAGAAAGCAGTCATTTCATGCATTAAAACATCAAGGAAACAATGAAAATTTTATTGTTTTGATGAGTCAAAGACTGCAAACCTCTAATCACTTTTGTCGATACGGTCAGACGATCTGCAACCTGAACAATAGCCCCTTCAGGATCTAAAATATTTAATAAACACAATTCAATTAAACATAATTTTAGAGGAAGTGCGATGTTTCTCTTTTTCTATCTTCCAGGTTACCATTGAACAACCCGGGTAAATTTCAAGAAGACTGGTGCCAACTTTGATTGCTCTAATGGAGTAATTTATCCATCAATATGAAAAAATGTAATGTTGTCATAAGTCTTATTTTCACACAAGAAATGGGCAACATACTCTTTAATGCTTTGTTCAAATTCTTAAAACGTTTTCTTTGATCTTCCGTCACCACGCTTGATTCACGACTTGTCCACGTGATCGTTAGTCCAACAGGACGAGTGGGGATTTTCCAAGCGTTTGAAGCATTATAAAAATGCTGTGCTGTCGAATCAGCGGTTTCTTGAATTGAGTCAATGTTAGACATTGTTTCGTCGTTCATTAACGACCAGTTGTCAACTTGTTGCAATGAACTGGACACATCTAAACATAACATAATGGTTAATAATGTATATAAGGACTATCTCAAATTGATCCAACATTAATATAGGACAAAACTTGAAGAAGAATTAAATTAAAGAATAACTCAGGATTGTTCTAGCTAGATTGATGTAATATGTTACAAATCCAGTGGTCACAAAGAAACTTAAAACTTTATTTCTACCGGACAACTAGATTAGAACGTCGAAATCCAGATGGGATCATGAAATATAAACTCAGCTGACTTTCGATTTAGACATTTTTGCCGGTCCTAAACTGTTCTTCTAGTAAAGACAATCTCATGTCATGTGACATAAGGAAGAAAAGTTGAAAGTATACGAAATAATCTAACAAACGGAACTATAAATAACTAGAGTATTGAGCTTTACCTGGGTTGAAATTATTTTCAGGTGAGGTAGAAAGCGTTTGTGGCATAAAGTAGTTCCGTTCCTGTGAGTTATTCTGTGAAGGAGGATTAAAACGTTCCCCCGGCAAGTATACCAGGCCAGTAGACATTGTCGTTTGCTGTTGTTTTATCGGTTTTATGGACGACTGACGAGATTTTGCCTCGTTTTGCAATCTTACTCTTTCAGCACGAGCTGTAAAAATAAAAACAACGTATACAGAAATGTAAAAAATAAGATGAATGTACAATTTCCAAACGTCGATAGTAAACCTTTTTTAATCAAACGTGTGCAGTAAACACAAATTCTTGCTATTTCTTTGCCTAAATAAGGCAGTTGAGCGAGTTGATCACAGCAATCGCTGCAGAATATCTATAATACGCAAAACAAACCGTTTTAAGAGATGGATCCAACAATTAACAGGTAGTACAATCAAGAAATACGGCATTAGTTCTAAATTTGAATTGAAGCCTTTGAATCTAGAGGAAATAAAATCACTTTACATTTTTACATTTCATTTCAAAGAAAAATACCTTTCCACAGGCACGGCAATGATGTTTGCGTCGGGTGATGGAGAATAATTTACCACAATATGTACAACTTGTGACAGTTTCATCTTTCATCCATACTGGTGCTCTTAGACCGGGCTAAAATATCCCATTACGTCATCAATCATGTCTATACAAAACGTTAGAGAAAAAGACATTATATCATTCAAGAGTCTCACCAGGAAGTTGATTGGCTTTGGTGACGTATCTTGATGTGATATCGAAGTGCTGGGGAGCTGTTGGGGTAGTGAAGATGATCTTGGGATAGGCTTTTGTTCAAGGGTATACTGTTGACTGGTACCTAATGGGAGTTGACTGGTACCTAATGCGAGTTGACTGCCATTTTCTTCTTCCAATTGAAGTTGTTGTTGAGAATGTAATTGTTGAGGTTGTTGGAGATACTGTTGTGGTTGGGTATGATTTGGTTGCAGCTGTTGGGGTTGCAGCTGTTGCGAAGTACATACTTGTTGTTCATGCATTTGTTGCGCTGGATTTTTTACCCCAGAGTATCCATCAAGTTCCTGTGTTTCTCCCTAGATTTCAACTCGTTTTCAAATATCGTGTTGTCATCATCTTCTTTTACTTCTCCATCTTGTTCCAACGACGAAATTCCTCCAACTTCTTCATGTTTATCATAAGAATCCTTTTCAGCGTCATATTTTACAGCTTGCTTTGAAAGCAATTGGACATTCTTCAAGTCACAGTTAGATGCTTTCAACGAACTCAAGTCACTGGAGGCTGTTTCGTGTTTGTCTGAAATGAAGAAGAAAACATGTTTGTTTCAATGGTCTGCTAAGAATTATTCAAAGTCAATAATGAAATTTTATTGCTGTTACTAATGTCATATTTGCATTATACAAGAATGATTATCAAACAAACTGGAATCAAGCATTTACTGTACTATCACTTCCTTTTAAAAATAACTTTTTTCTTAAATGCATGATTGTAATTTAGTTAAAATATTCTGCTACAAACTGCTGCATAAAATACTCCACTAACCATAACAAAATTTCTCAAATACCATGACAGCAAAGCCATCTTTTAAGATAATCTTCGGTCTTAAAGCAAGAGTGAGAATCGAGTTATCTAAGGTTGGTATTGTCATATCCTCAGGAAGATAATCACTCAAACTAGATAGCGATATTATAACTGGAGGGATTTCTGATGGATAAGCACTTGATAAAAAAGTTTCTGTGGGATTGTTTGACAGCATTGAAATAGCTGTTTTTTCATCCTTCACCTCCTCTATGTTTGATGCTTGAAAAGAAACTGGAGTTGTGTTATTGAGCATTATTTCATCTTCAGGTTTGAGAGTCTTTTCATTTATTTTTGATTTTTCATAAGATGGATGTGTTGCAGGTTCACATGAACTTTCTATGTTTCCTGTGTCATCATTGTTGTTTACAAGTACATCATCAAGATCTGATTCTTGTGTATTTGCTTGTTTTGTATTGGTAATTTCTTTGACTGGTAAAGTACTTGAAGAAACAGCCTCTTGTTCATGTTTTGTGAAACTGTTCAAGTCGCCATGTTCTTCTCCATTATCTCCAATGTCTTGTGCAAAGGATTTATTGTTTTCATGATCGGTAGGCTCTGTAGGACTTGGAAATTGCGTTAGGATCTCAGGATTCTGATGATCATCCAAAGAAGCATCATTCAAATGTGTATCTTTGGTAATTGGTGAAGAATAAGATGGTTGGGGTGTTGTTTGGGAGTTTTCATGTGGCACTGCTTCATCTTCTTTTAATTGGTGATTTTGAAAATTAATTGATAAATTTTCATTTGACATCAAATTTGAATCATTAAGCGATGATTTTTCATTTTTCTCTTCATTCTTGTTTGCCTCCACATCTAAGTTAAAAGAAAGTCATTTTTTCATTTTTTTAAACCCAGAAAAACTCAAGTCTATTCAAAATGCACTAGCCAATGCCTTACGTGGACTGTCATGATTAGAACTTGTTTCCTCGACTACTTCACTCGATTCATCTTTATTATGAACTGTTTCTGATGCTTCATTAAGATTTGGATCATAAGAGATTTCCTCTTGATCTGATGGAGTTAAATTTTCCGATTTGTTTGCAATCATGCTGTGTAATAACTGACGAAGTGTATCAGCATCCAGGCTGGCTAATTTTGCCTTAATTTCTTCTTCCATTGTCTTAGTTGTAAAACTGGAAAAAGCTTGGAACAGCAGATGTCTGGCCTTTGATCTATAAAAAGAGCTATAAAATCCATAAAAATAGCCATTTTATCAGTTATCTTGTACCTCCTACTAAATTATTCATTTCTTAATAAATTGCTTCGATCAGAATGTTAAAAATACAACGTGGAGGCTGAATTTAACACAATAGCAATTATTTCATAAACAAACAAGCAGAAAATGAAACTAAGATAAACGAGGCTCAGCAAACAAATTCTACGATAAACTATACACCATAAGAAGCACTTACATTATTTCAAACAATGGACGAGAGATTTATCAAAGAAACAGAAACTTTTAAGCAAGAAAAGCAATATAATCTAAGCAGACTGCACGCAAAATAAGTAAAACAACGGGAGATTGTTATTTCAGGGGGGAGGGCACATTTTCCAAGTTTTCCTAGATATTAGCGACATTTCTAGATGCCATTGGTACATTCTAACGGATGGAAATGAGTCAAAGTCAGTTCCAAATCCAATATGGCTGATAAGCGGGAAGTTCAAAGTAATTTCAATGAAAACACTATATCTGCTAAGGATAGCGACTCTGATAAAACTTTGTGCGATAAATTTAGTCTAACGAAAAGTATTCTTGCAAAGAGCCTAGAAAAATTTTTTTCTCCGGCAAGGTGAAGCTCAAATATTTTACTTTAGAAATTTAAAATTACATTCATGTCATGTACTGTACAACCAGTTGACCAAAATTGTCCATGATCTTATGATCATTGATCAACAGATATTCAATTTCACCATTTGCTCAATCTTAATGCAAATGTTCATGCTTTCTTTAGGTTTGAAAAATTTGTTGCTTGTCTGTCAGATGTTAGGGAAAAGAATCCTTTTGTCTTTGACAGTGTTTTGCCACAACTTATACAAAATTTACAAACGAATATGAAGGTAAAACATCCAACGTACTGAACAGGCTTAATACACAGAATCTGCAATATTGCGCTGCCTTTTTAAAATTTAAATTACATTTCAACTTACCATAATCATATTTTTAAAAATATTACATAAAGGAAGAAGTGGATTTGATGTTTCAGCAAGAAAATTTCCGTGAACTTTGTGAACAGTTGGACGATCTAGTTAAAAATGCACCAAGTGTTGAAAATCCATGGTAACATATATGATAATGAGCCCATTCTATTCTCATGGTGGAAACACTTAATGTAGGACATTGAATACATTATTAGGAGACCATCAGGTGACCCAAGCAAAGATATTGTAGACCATGTTGTAACTGTGAAGATGGAATATCGTGATAAACTCAAAGGAATGCTAGAGAAGGTCAATGATTGAATTATCTGTGCATTAAAATCAGGTAATCCTTGCAACAACTTATTTCATAGTGTGAATTTTTAGATAAGACAAGACAATGATGGATTGAAACAAGAAGCAATGTTTATAAAAACAGAAATATTAGACCGAGAGAAGAAAATCGTGAATAAACATCATGACTTGGAAACGGTGAGGGGGGTTTTTAGTGATTCTTATGGATTGCTGTGAACATGTGTGATATATTGCTGACATTTTAGATGGCATTGAGTTTCGATTCTTTGACATCAACTGATAATGGACAGGAATCTCTAGAAGATCTTATAACAGATATTGAATCTATGACACAAGAAGTTGATTTAAGCATTGTAAATATGTTTAACTGTAAATAGTAATATATTTAAATAAAAAATGCCAGGTGAAATTTAAGTAAATTCTTTATGTATGCTAACATGAAACAGACAAAAATATCCTACAAGATACATTATATTTATGACAGTTTCTGCCAACCTACATCACCATTTCTCATTCCTTGTAGTTTACCTCATTTGCCAAACTATCTTCTCCAATACTAAAAATATAAGCATTAAGAATTACTTGTAGAGGAATACAAGAAGAAAAATATATGATTACAATGGGACAGACAAAAATAAAAGAAATGAAAGAATACATGCGAATACCTGAGCAAATTTATGGATTTGTTCAACAACAACAGCAAACATAGCACCAACACTTTCATCAATCAATGATTGTAGATAATGTACAGCTTCTTCATCAGAAAGATCCAAACGAAACTTTGCTTCAAGCTGAAACAAAAAATAAATTGATTAAAAGTTATTTCTTCCGTCTCCTTCCAATTACATGATGGTGACTGGTGATGGAAGAGTAAAACAATGTTTATTGATTCATGAACAAGAACAAAGTTCATGGCGAAGCGTCCAGGGGCAAAACTAGAACGTTAATTTGGGGAGGGGGGGGGCGGTATATATTCATATATTCAATTAGACTCTCAGAGAATTTTAGTTTGAAAGATTGTATTAAAGTTACTATGAAACAAACGTCATATAAACATGTCTTACGGTCACCATAACAAAATGCTGTACAACTAAGATATAATGTAAGAATTAAAACCTCATTCTTCATCTTCATCTTTAGGTTGCTCATTATTTGGGCTAACCACGAGGCGTTTTTACTCTTCAGTATTTTATTTCCATTTTACAATTTTCCATCACTCCTTACATTTCATTACATTCATAAACCTCTATCCAACATGTCCTTCCTTTTCCTCTCTTCCCTAGCAATGCCGTCTTCAACACATGTCTTCCCCAACATTATCCTTTTCTCTCATTATTACTTTTCCAAACCACTGCGACCTTGTCTCTTTCAATTTCTCTCCAATCATCGTGAATTTTGCAGTGCTTCAAATATTCTCACTCCTGATTCTCTCTTTTCTACTCACTCCAACTACCCATTCTCAACTTTTCTCAGCCTTTCACATGCTTAGCTGTCACAAATCTCAATTATAGCTTAAAAATATATTCCATTATGAGGACCAAACCAGTTCTGTTGCAATGCAATGATAAACTCTTCATTGTTACCTTCTTGACAGTCTTGTCGGGTTCCAAAGCAATATCTGGAACATTCGTATCAACCATTAAAGCAAAAAGATTAAGGATTAAATTCGCCGACCTACCACATATAAAAAAGAAAGCTTTTAGTTGCGATAATGGGTACGTATGTAAACAAACTCTAAAACAGCTCAGAAAATAAACAAATGTAAAGAAGAAATACTAAAGAAAGTTGTATTTTGGACCTGCGTAGATGTAAAAATGCTGTATAACATTGACGTCGAAATTCTTGATACAATTCACTCTGAGCTCCTCCCATCGCCTCAACCTACAACAAAAACATAATTCACTTGCGACAGAGCAGTTTCGCGACTTAAATTAGGACATAAAATTGAAGAAAACGTTGGAAAATTGACTATGAACATAAACATAAGAATACAAAAGAAAGAGAGTGCTTTTCTTGTTATCTACGAACCTTATAACCATATATTGACAACTATAATAATTACAATACAGATCTTGTACATTGACAGTAAGAAAAATAATAGGATTTTCTCGTAGGGATGTTGACAAGTATAAGTAACAATTTTTACCATTTCTTTACTCAATTTCATAGGAGGAGGAAGAGGTTTAGGATCGCGACCAAGAATGTAGCCAAAATCAATGTGAAAAAGATTGCCTTAAATGTAATAAGCCCCGATTTAAATGATCCTTGCTGATATTTTACAGCCTCAAATTAGACGGTGGAAAGAACTCACCAGATTTTGTGAGCATTAGGTTGTCCAAATGCCTATCGCCCACCCCAAGAAGGTATGTAATGACACAATAACCAGCTACATAAAGACGACATTAAAGCAAACATAAACAAAAATGTTACCCAAGTAAAATGTTAAGAATGATTAGATGATAAATTGTAAACTCAGTGCAGGATAGCTGTACCTACGAGTCATAATAAAAGTTTTAAAGAACGCACCACAACTTTTTACATATGTGTCCATAACATCGGGACTGATACCATAGGAAGAGCCTTCAGAAGGACTGTGTTTACGGAAGAAATTCTAAAATATAAAACAGGTAAATTTATGGAATGAAATAAAATTGAACGAAGCGTTCTTGTAGTGAGAAACCTGTATGCTGCCATCTGTAGCAAGAACTTCAGCAACAGCACAAGACTGAATGAACTGCACACACCCTAAATACAAACAGGAGAATCATAAGCTCCTGCTCTCTTGCATTAAAATAAAAAAACCAAAAGCTTACCACTGTTCGTACTTGTAGCCAGCACGTTATATGGAGTTAACTTTAAATCAAGATTCTCAAGCATCAACAACTAAACAATGAAATTTCATCCATGTCTTTAATGAAGCATTTTACGAACGTATTTCTTGAGGCAACAACTACAAAACGTATTCTTTAACGAAATAATCAACAGCTTTTGAAGAATTTTTGACTACCTTGTCCATGAGTCGTATGATTTGAAGAATAAGTTGATCCTGTCGCAAATCATCACCATTTTTGAAAATTGCCTACGGGAAAAGAAAATTAGATTGAAATGAAGTCAAGCAATATACAACAAATAAAAATTTATCGTACAATGTATTCTTTGCCTTCGACCGTTTTGAAAGTAAATTTCGCAGGCATCATGGCGCTTTTGAACAACGACGTCTTTTCTAAATTGGTTTGAAAGCATAAAACAGAGTTAAAAAACGTAAAGAAAGATGATCTATTGATTTTATCAAAACTAAATTTGCCATAGTAGCTGGTTTATATTGACGTTAACAAGTGTTGGAGATAAAAGTCTTGAGGAGAATCTTCTTTTGTGTGTAAATACGAGCCTGATGCGGCTATCGTAAGCCACTTCAATACACCTGGCAAAGCATACGGGTTACTGTAAACCACCCTACACCTCATACGTCATACCGCTATCTTTACTCACAAGAACAACCCCTTATAGACATTAAGTGATTTCAGTAATTCAGTTCCAGGCCACTTACCGGCAACAACTCCAGTTATTTTGACGTTAGGATCAAGTGGTAGAGGTAAAGGTTCTTTGATGTCAAACCACTCAGGATTATCAAGAATAGTCTGTAATTTTTCAATCTGTACAATGCGATAGTTACAACGATTAAACCACAATTAACACATGCTCAATATAAAGCCAGAAGATAACATTTTTACAGAAGAACCTTTTTCTTTCTGTTTCCACTGAACTGAGCGACGTTTTTCATGATTGCAACTAACTTATCATTAAATTGCTGCTGCCTTTTCAATATCCTTGCTTTGCGAACCTTGGCTGGAACAGCATCCTAAGATGAAAAAAATGATGAACAATAGAAAAACTTACAAAAAAAGATTCCTTCTTTGTGAAGAATACATGAAGCATTGACATAGATGCAGGACAATTTCATTTCTTTTTACATTTAAACGTACAGGCGTAAAAATCATCAAATTGATGCAAGTTGTCATCGTACTTGTGGACGATTGTTCAATGAACAAAGCTGAAACAATATTGTTGTCACAACAGTAAACATGCTTGTTCTATCAACAATGTTCACATACTGCTTAAACATGTTGCATCAAGGTTAATTGTTTAGCAATCGTTAACAATACATTTGGATCAATGTTCTTACCGATTGATGATTTAAAAATGTTGCCGAGTCATGATAACAACGCTAATCATACGTTACTCAACGAACAATTTTGTCAATTTTTACGCAGTGTAGAACAATGATAGAACAAGAAGTTTTATGGTTCGACTACTCAATTGTATGTCATGTTTATAAGTATGCTACAAACCTTCCCAGCATGCACTGACACCCCCCACAAAAACATCGTGTTACATCAACTTATCTGGATATATAAAGATGCCCGGATGCCGCTCTCCAAAATCCTTTCACGAATTTTTCGATAAAAAATTCTTATTTTTTATCGAAAAATTCGTGAAAGGATTAAGCGTTTTATAACTTTCAAAACACATAATTTTAGAAATCTAACTTAAAAGAGATAGAAAATACGTCAAAACCTCAGTATATATTTCACTACATAATATCAACGATGTTTTCGGGTTAAAACGAAGCTTGATAAGAGGATAAAACGATTTCGAAGAAATAATATTTTCATGTTTTGAAAATTTAGCACAGCGTTTTATACCTGGATTAAAAACTTTATGTAACGACGAATTATTTTACTGTAAAGAACATAAGCTTTACTGGAGTTGTCTTCACTGCTTTCTACACGAAGATACCTATAATAAAACAGGAATAAAAATGATTAATTAAACAGTTGATCATTTTGAAAGACCTACTACGAGTAAGTAGGTACCGATATTCATTAATATGTTTACAAACCAGTAAAGAAACGTCGCTAGAATATCACTCCGACTTGCTCGCCATATAAGGAATGCCTCAAGATATGAACCTTTTTCTTCTACAGATTTCAAATTATCTGATATATCAACATCCGGTGCAGGTTTACCCTCCGTTTTGTCATCCTCTAAAGCCAGTTTTCGTGAATTCATGCCGTCCTACTCAGTCTCCCAAGTCCTTGTCAATGTCTCCCCAGTTCTCCTCACTGCCTCCATACTTTTACTCCCATTTTCTCCTCACTGTCTCCCTGATCCTACTCACTGTCTCCCCGGTCCTCTTCACTGCCTCCCCAGTTCTCTTTATTGCTTCCCCCGGTCCTCCTTACTGCCTCCCCAGTCCTCATTACTGCCTCCCCAACCCTCATTACTGCCTCCCCAGTCCTCCTTACTGCCTCCCCAACCCTCCTTACTGCCTCCCCAGTCCTCCTCGATGCTTAACCAGTTCTCTTCACGGCTTAGAACAATTAAAAATTACCTTGGGTCAAGAACTCTTGAATCAGTGCAGTATTACTACCTACATCAGGTTCATATCTTAATGCCTGAACCAATTGCAGTAAGTATAACAGAAGATCCTAAAACGATATGAAAATACACAGTTGGGTAGCATTATCAACAATGATCAAGTCATACAATAACACACTTCATCATTAGCTTCACGAAGTCTCGATACAGCATAAATTCTGACTGCTGGGTTAGTAAATTGCGGGCTTAGTAATTCCAGCGCGTCGTCAACATCAATTAAACTCCACTTATGCATAAGATCAAGAGCCTGCGTAAGACAGAGTAAATTTGCTTTAGTAAATAAACGGGTTTTATGAAGAATAAAATGATATAACTGACCTGTCCAGCTTCTGAAGCCTCGTTCCATTCAACACATTTCAAGAACTTCGTCAAAGCCTACGATGAACGCTATTTTGTCAATATTATCGTAAAAAAAAGGAAGCAAATAATCTTTAACTGGGAGCAAGCCGATTAAAATTATTATATAGTTTTATGGACTGATTATTAAACGAACCTTTTTTTGACTGGATAGATAAAATCGAAACTGCCAGAGCAAATCTTTTTCTTCTGAAGTTAAAATCTTGCTGGGAGGGTAACCAACAATTTGCTGAAATATTTCAAAATCACAACATTACATAGCAAGATGACGTCACAAGCATAACACGTACGTAACTTGGTCCCGTGAACAGAGCAGCGTATTTTATTAAACAACATAAGACAAAAGGTGAAAAGTTCTCGACTTTAGGCGGTAACATTGAGAAACATAAACTAGACTATTAAAAACTATATTTGCTCAAACTCAATTCCAACAAAACTCAACAAATAGTGCGTTTCAAATATCGCACGAATCAAATTTTGTTGAAAACTTTTGTCTTAAAATTCGTTGTTATTAATTTGCTATCCCACAGAGTGTTTTGTTTCAATGAAAAGCAACGCAGTTTCGATCAATATTCACACTGAATACTTCAGAAAAATTCTTTTCAACTTAAATTAAAGAGTAACAATTAAACTCCAAGGAAAACGAGCAATGTACGAGTACATAAAATGTCCGAAACATTTTGAGAAAAGTCGTGTGCGAAGTATGTACATGTTGCGTGTATAAAAGTTGAATAATATGCAGAAAGAGGTCCTGGAATATGCTTGGCTATATAGAAAGGTACAAAACCATATAACAAATGGATAAATTATCACGCATAAATGGACTGTGGATAAATATTTTCACAAAAAAAAATATTACAGCACAGTAATAGCAAAATATTTTGAGTTATATACAACGCTAAATGTAACTAATGCTTCCCTCTCAATTTCGCAGAAACAATTATTTCAACAATTTATTACAACAGGAAAGATAGTCATCGTACTTACATTAAGTTGGTCTCTGACCGCAGCATTCGGTTTCATATCGTGAGAAATAGCTCCACTGCGGACACTTCGAACTAATTTGTGATGTTTTGTCTCGACTAGATTCTCCTGAAAGAAATAAAGTGTACAAGTTCATATAAAGAAGCACCTTATTTAGATGCTCAAACGAGAATAAGTCATGTGTCTAGGCAAATAATCAACACAAACTGCATCATTTCAAAGCCAGCAAAAAAACTTGGACATTACCAAGAAATACGAAGACTTCGTTAAGTGGTTTAAAGAAGCAATGTTGGTTTTTATAGTTATCAAGATGCATGCAGAACGAGCGATATACGCAGGTTAAGTTAATGTCGTAAAATTTAATCAATAATTAACGCGATCATCTACTTAGCATATTAAAAATGAAAAATATATTTTGTATATGTCGCCAATATGCGATCGTCATCCCATTATCTATAAAAATTCAAGCAACAAACGGTGTAATTTTAACTATTTATAAATGAAAATGCAAAGATTAGTTCCCAGATTACCGCTATATCGTCCAGAACTATTTTTCAACATTTCCCACTATGAACTTTCAAAAACTAAGTTCAAGAGCCTTTATTCATATATACACATACTCTACATGATTGTTTTCTGTTGAAATTATATTTAAATCAAACGTGATAACGGATGTATCAATAAGGGCTAGTCAATTATCAATTGTCCATGGCTATGCAGACAAGGGAGAGACCAAGTTATATTTATAATCAAACAGAAATACCTAAAATGACCGGTGGAAAAACACAGTTTGAATTAAAAGCTATGTTTGATATGCCAGACCTGTAATAACTCTGGATCATGTATTTTAACAATCTCTGGATTAAGATAAAATTCTTTTTCATCGGAGTGCTGGAATATGCAATGGCAGACAAAATTCATAAGTAAAACACAAATAGTCTTTGGATGAATTTGATAAGAATAATTCTGACAAAACCTTTTCATAATATACAACAGCATAGCTCAAACCATCATCAACAATTGTTGGGAATTCAACCATAAGGAACATGGAATCCAGTCTATGTTTTTCTTTCTGAAAGATGCGAGTCAGCAAATAACTCTATTAACAATTTTGTTTTATTTTACATATTGAAATACAGACAATAAATGATAGAAAAAAAGTTTTCCTTTCACCTCGTTCACCATTTCAATTTCTCGGAAAGTCAATCTATCAAGCCAGTCAACTTTGCACATTCGACCTTTGTGATGCTTCTTGCTTAGCTAAAATCAGAATTAAAACAAAAGCAAGTTGACTACAAATCAGTCCCAAGCTGTTAACAGATACAAGACAACTATGAAAAAATTAAAGATGCTTGTGGATGACGATCGTATAATTCGGTCATATACTTTGATGAAGATTGTATAATTCGATGAAATAATTGGAATCTTCATCTGACCTTGGCCAATAAACACATTTTGTCATCAGGATCTGATGTCTTTCCTGGTGTCTTTGATGGTTCACAGCCATCAGCTTCAACATCAGGCCATACATGCAGATCATGCATTCCTCGTCTAAATATCCTGGGTACCATAAAATAGGTAGAAACATAAATCTCAAATAGTGCAGGTGTGTAAGGAATAGTGTATAGAAGCATTTCTTACCCGGACTTTCCAAACAGAGACACAGTCGTTCCACCAACAAGGAGAGATTTCCTTGGACCATATATGTCCCATATTGTAAGAGCAATTTGTGATGAACGAGGAAGGTCCTTGTACCTCAATGGCAAAGTTATCCATTCATTCCAACTACATATAAATATATAAATACTGGAAAAGATGTCGAGCATTTCTTTAAGTTCCAAATCATTTCACTAACTTCCATCTAGTGTTAAATGGTCTATATGCTGTCCTTGTTGGTAAACCTATTGGCTGGCCATCTGCAAACACCTGACAGGTTACATATAAGTCTGAATATTCACTGAAAGGGAAGGACATCGTTATATATAAATCGGGAAAATATTCACGTTAAAAAAATGTTAGGATTAACAAACCTTTGATAAAGACCAGAAAATCGTAGTTGCGGATCTTCAACTAAGGTTCTATAATCCTTCTTTTCTCTTTTACCCTCGAGATTTCCTCTAAACATCAAAGAATATGAATGTATTAATCGAAAAGACAACTCAAACTGTGCCGTTTTTGTCGTCGTTACATTTTCAGTGATACATTAGCGTCCAAATCACAGCTATAAACGTAATAGAAGCGTTCATTATCAGCCATGCTATTTCTATTTTCGTTTTAGATACACCATGTTTTGATCTTCGTAGTTCCTATGTTTCCTGCTCAACAAACGGGGAGGGAGGTGAGATAACGACTCAAATTTACATGAATGCTTCGATGACTTTTCTATATTGTAAAATCAACAAAACAACAAGATTATTAAAATAGACCTAACAAGTCATAACATCACATTATATAATAAAATTATCCTTTGGCTACATGTAATTTATACCACTTCTCCCGGGAAATAATAATAACCGTCCTAGAAGGTAAAAGAGATGAGATTATCAGTGTAAGTATTGTACAAAACTACTATGAATGACTTGCCGTTTACGTTTTGCCAGCAGGAAACAGACAACGCACGGAGTTAAACTGGCTTACTAAATCATTTTTTTTCAGAAATAGTCCTTCACGAACGCAGAAAGACTTCGACATCCGTCCTAAAGATAAATTAGGTATAGAATATATACCAAATGTACCTTTCACTTATCTGGGATAACTTTTAATATTTAACACTAGTAGAAATTTAGCCAATCAGAGATCTAAGAGCTCAAAATTTACCCAATAGCAATTATAAAGTTCATCGAAATCAACCAATGAAATCGGGCCACCAAATGATCTTAATACACGTCAATCACTTTACACAACGGTAGATGCCCTCAAGACTAGAAAGTGAAAGGAAGGTTAGTGAAATTTTCATTTATTGTTTTAAAACGTACTTCAAATGTTGATAAATTCAATGACAAAAGCCTTGTTTGATGTATAGTTACGCATTGTTTTACTGTAAATCTTTTCGTCGGTTGTTTTTGTGCAATTCGCCGTTTAACTGCGTGCCTTCGACGGTGTATTTTCTTGGCCAGAAAAACTTGACAGGAAAAAACGGCAAGTTTCTAAGTTTCAAAGTTTTTCTCTTCTTTTTACTTCAGTGTGTTGGTGACTGCTAGTGTTTTGAATACTTCGAAGTGAAACTTTGTTGAATATTTTTGCTTCCAGCGTGTATTTTTGAATCGATATTTTTTCAGCGACAAAGTTGTGCGACCGACATCTTCCTCGTTTCAACACAAAAATATGTAAAAATTCTAGGTGAAAAGTAATAATATGGCAAAATAAGCGATAAGGAGGATATTTCTTTTCCCATGCGTTGATTTTTTGTTGGTAAAAAATGTTCTTTTGCCTCTTTTGAGCGAAAATTTTGAGATATGTGAAAAAATATGAAAATGTTGGTTCATGGCGGACATTGGACTTTCGATAAAATTGGCGCCAATTTTGTTCCGCGTGAAAATGAAGAACACTGGGCACGAATTATGCAAAATTGACAAGCTTGACTACGAAAATACCCACAAAATCTTTGAATGGAGTGGGATACTGGGAAAAATTTAAAGAGTTTTGACGGCTATAGGTTCTTCAATTCAATAAGTTCGAATGATAGCAATTTCAGTGGGCGAGAAAGATTTTTAATGAAATACGATGTACGCTACTTGAGTACAATTTAGAAAAGTTGTTATTGAAAACTATTTTAAGAACACTTTGCAAATGAATGTGTTCATTTTCTATAGGAAAAGAAGCTAGTTTTCTCTTGAGAATTTACTATGAGCAATCATAAAGAATGCAACCAAAGTCGTATCCTAGTTGAAATTTGAAGCAAAGATAAAACGGTTCGCTATCAAAACAACTGGAAGAGAACAAAGGAGGAGTAAGGTAGGAAACTCAAAATTATATGACGTTAAAACTTTCATTGACTGCCTGGTTCTTTTTAAACGAAAACGATTTTGAAAAATTTTGTTATAATATTCTTTTATTGTAGTAATCTTTTCTGTTAATATTTTTGTTTTGCTATTGCAATTTTTATAACATATATCAAATGGGTGAAAACACAAAAGCTCATTTCGTTTGATTTGAATTCATAGGATATTCAACTGAAAGCAACAGACAGAGCGTGTTTTTATGGATTTACTTGTGCACACATTCAAAATTTTTTTGCCTTTTTTCTTAAAACTTTGCACGAAAAGTTTGTTTAACATTTTTGTTGTGCAATCATTATCTTCGTATTTTGCTGCTGGTAGACGAGTACTAGCTACAAGTTTAGGATAAAAATGATTAGACAATGAATCAAAAAAACAATTGTTGTGAACGATCTATCTAAAAACGATGTTCAAAATTATTTAAAGAAGTCTATATGACTTCCTCCATTTGAAATGTGTAAGGCATTAAAACAAAATTCTTTCATGAAACAAAACTAAATGTTGTGTGCATGTGACAACGATTTTGAATAAATTTTTAAGTCAAATCCAGTGGTGTGAATGATATTTTAAAAATCAATGCTCAACGACATATAAAGAAGTCTATAAGACTTCCTTCTTTTGAAATGTATAGAAATAAAAAGAAACCTTCATTTGTAGAAATTTACTCACGAATCAAAAGTAAATATTGTGTGCATTTTAAGAAAAATGCTGCTGAGTTTAAAGTATACAAGAATTAGCAAATCTAGTACTGTGAATGATCTTTATAAAGAAAAAATCGACGTCCAATGGCGTATAAAGAAGTCTATAAGACTTCCTATGAAATGTATAGATATCAAAACACATATTCGCTGAAAACGAATTTACTCATGAATCAAAAGTAAATGTTGTGCACATTTTTAAACAAAATGCTGTTGAGTTTAGGGTAAGGATTATCAGACAATAATTAAGTCAAAACTGCCATTGTGAACGATCGACATGAAATCGAAGTTTAAGAGAAAATGAAGAATTCTTTACGACTTCATTCTTTTGAAATTTCTAAAATATGAAAAGAAACATTAATTGGAAGAAATTTATTTATAAAATGAAAGTATAATATCATATTTAAACTTACATCAGCAACTTGAAGTCTTCATTTGTCCACTATTCATTTAATTATTGCTTAGAAAAGTAAGCAAAAGTATTGTTGTAAAAAGTGTTCTTTGAACAAAGCGTTCTACAAACTATATAAAATATCTACAAGACGTCCAGAATAGTTAGAAGTAATGGAAACCTCACATTGGAAGAGGACACTTCAGAGACCAAAAGTTCACTATTGGACAAGAACAAGGAATCTCAAGAACGCAGTATACTTAGTCAGAAAGCGTTTATGAGCCTGTGATGGCAAAACAGCATCTACTTTTGTTTGGGGAGCTCATCAATGTAGCGTTTTCCGTTGTTGAGGCACTTCATCGACTCGTGCGAATGTAGCGTCTTCCGTTGTTGAGGCATTTCATCGACTCGTGCGAAGGTAGCGTCTTCCGTTGTTGAGGCACTTCATCGACTCTTGCGAAAGCGGCGTCTTTCGTTGTTGAGGCACTTCATCGAATCTTGCGAAAGCGGCGTCTTTCGTTGTTGAGGCACTTCGTCGACTCTTGCGAAAGCGGCGTCTTTCGTTGTTGAGGCACTTCGTCGACTCTTGCAAAATAGCGTCTTCCGTTGTTGAGGCACTTCATCGACTCTTGCGAAAGCGGCGTCTTTCGTTGTTGAGGCACTTCATCGACTCTTGCGAAAGCGGCGTCTTTCGTTGTTGAGGCACTTCATCGACTCTTGCGAAAGCGGCGTCTTTCGTTGTTGAGGCACTTCGTCGACTCTTGTGAATGTAGCGTCTTCCGTTGTTGAAGCACATTGCAATCGTAGAATTTTTCGTTTTTGAGTCCCTTGGTCCATTCTTGACAGGTCAGGATTTTCCATTATTTTATATCTTCATAAACTCTTTAAGTGGAGTGGGTTTTTCTATCTGATCTAATTTGATCTGAGGCGTCAGATAGATCAAACTAGATCAGATAGAAAAATCAACAAAGAAAGAAAAACGAGAAATTCAAAGGCAAAGTTCACTGCTATGTTTTGAAAAATGTTACAGTGAAACGGTGCAAGAAAAAACATGACAAAGCAATCTTGTGACGAAAAAGAAGATGAAATAATGAAAGAAAACATTGACAGCAAGATGAAATAATGCAAGACAAAGTTTCATGACTCTATAACTATACTTGTAAATACTTTACCTGACGCTTTAGCCCATGCATGTCTTTTGAAGACTTCTTGTTGCAGATATAAATTTTTTTTTCATGTTGCTTTCTGTTTGTGGGTTTCATCGTCTAACTTAATTGTCTCGTATAACTTACCTTAACTCAATAAGCTCTTGAACAACTTAATTCAGTCTAAGATGTAAATAACCTAGCTATCGTAGAAGTTTTATGTTCTGTTGTTTTTGACTTTCACGTGATTTTCGACCAAGTGTGCACAAGTAAATCTCTAGAGATGCTGCGGTTGGCACAATATGAAGGATGGACGTCAGGTAAGATGAACATTAGATGATGCACAGACATTTACATTGACATTAAATCTTACTTGAATATTTTGCCACCTGAATTTTAGCAAAAAGCATGCATTCGATGTCATAATGAGTTATGGTGCTTAGTCCATCTATGGTGGTGACATTGTGTGGAAGTTTCAAAACTGCTATGGTGAACTATAAACTCAATATCAGGAAACAAATTATCCATCCTAATACCACAAAGCTTAAAATATATTTTGGTAAGTGGTTATTGATGTGTTTTTATCTGTTTGATATCAAACAAGCGATCGTTTCAGGTGGAGGGACCTAATAACTAATAATAGTATAATGATTTTTAATTTCAGAAATTTTTCTTCAAAAACTGAACCACCTTTACCACTGCTGAACGTTTAGGAGTTGTAGTTGGTTGCTTAAGACGATGAGTCTACAGGTATTAAACTTTTCTTGTAAATACCTTATGCCAAATTGAAATACATTCATGTTTCATTCTTTGATCTTCATTGTTTTGTAGATAAGGAATAATAGAATGGTGGTGTATTACATCGATTAACAGCAACATGGTTATTGTGCATTACATTCTGGCTGTCGTGGATTACATCTTGGCTGTCGTGGATTACATCGTGGCTGTCGTGGATTACATCGTGGATGTCGTGGATTACATCGTGGCTGTCGTGGATTACATCGTGGCTGTCGTGGATTACATCGTGGCTGTCGTGGATTACATCGTGGCTGTCGTGGATTACATCGTGGCTGTCGTGGATTACATCGTGGCTGTCGTGGATTACATCATGGTTGTCGTGGATTACATCGTGGATGTCGTGGATTACATCGTGGCTGTCGTGGATTACATCGTGGATGTCGTGGATTACATCGTGGATGTCGTGGATTACATCGTGGATGTCGTGGATTTAATCGTGGTTGTCGTGGATTTTGTCAAAGTAATATTGGGCTAAGGATTACGTTAATCTATGAATGAAGAACGACGACGAGCAATGGTGTAATAATCAGACATTGACTTACTGTTCATAAACTTTGCTGTTTGACTTCAAAATCTATTTGACATTGTGCCACACGAACATGAGTTGAAAAAACATACGATAGTTTCATGGTGGTTTGTTGAATTATGATATGTATCAAGATTTGAGTAAACTGTATGAGAGAATCACAAAAGTTATCAACAGAATTTATCCTAACACTACGTGGAAAATTAAATATTGGTGAGTAATATTTGACTATTGAATGTCATTCAATTTGCTAACTGAGTTGCTGAAATTTGTTGTAGAGAAAAAAGTAATAATATTTTAATGTTTTAAATTTCAGTAATTTCCACTTCATCAACAAACATTACGCTTCATTTGTTGATTGTCAGAGTATGTTTCATCCTATGAACAAAACCACCTTACACAACACTGCTGGAAGTTTTGAAGAGGCAGTTGGTTGCTCATGACGATCAGTCTATAGGTAATTCATGTGTATTTTTCTTATTGACCAATCTTTATAGTTGCTTTTTGGCTACGTTACGAGCAGAAGATAATGTTGTAAATGGGAATTAGCCTAGCATAAAGCATTGTTATTTAGTGGGAATGTTTTGTCTTGCAGAAACGTCTTTACACTAATTGTTATAACATTACACCGAATATATAAGTTTTCACATTAAAATTATTATAATGTTACAATAAATTTATTCGTGGTTTTTGTGTCAAGTTATTGTCAATTACTGTGCAATTTTCGTGAATTTTGAAGAATTTCGTGTTATCTTGAACCTTTCATTTGTTTTGTAGTGAAAAAAGAATACAATGGTGGCACATTATTTATTGTATCATTGTGTCATGTATGTCGTGGGTCAAAGCATAGTTGTCGTCGATCACAGTCATATAGTCATTGCGGATTAACTCACAGCTGTCGTGGATTACATGTACTTTATGGTTGTCATGGATTTACTTCATCGTTGTCGTGGATTACATGTACTTTATGGTTGTCATGGATTTACCTCATCGTTGTCGTGGATTTACATCATCGTTGTACCTTAATCTACGAATGAAGACCAAAGACGACGTTTAAGGTAGCAGGTTTATAGTGTTTTAGTTAAAATCCTGGTGATCTACACTAACAGGAAGATGATTGATCATTGGCTGAGTGTATAACAAAGTTAGTTGTTCTTTTGATTCTTATTAGTGTTGTGTTTTTTAGTTTTGTGCATGTGGTGCAGTGCTTTTTGCGGTTGAAACATTTGCCTAAGAACGATGATACATCTTATATTGTCAAAAACTTTTATCAAACTGTCGTATAATGTAAGATTATCATTGTACAAGGTAAAATATATATGTCTGATATCGGTTTTTCGTTCTTTTGATCACCAGGATACACGACCCTAAGTTCAAAGAAATAAGCATGGGTTTCTTTGAGTTTTGATCGTGTGTATTATATCTCGCGTATTTTACTTCTTAAAACTGAATCATATGTATATTTAGTTATCAAAGTAGAAAATTACGGTCCAAAAAATGGCGAAATCCGAATCACAGATTGCACGTTAAAACAGCAAAAGAAATTCGGACCGAAACATGGCGCAATCCGGCATGCAAGCTGCATAGCGCAAATTAAATTAATCTAAAGTAATAAACGTCTGAAATATTCTTGCTTGATGATACTTTATAAATTATTTTTACGTTTAGTTCGAATTGTTTGAATTTTGAACCATGCAAAACTTGAAATGTTCACCAGACGCTTGAAAATGAATAAAAACAAGTCAAAGTTTTTAAAAATATTTTTTGAAAAAATAAGGGATTTGTATCATCAAGACGAATATGCAACGTTGGTCTAATAAAGAACGAAACAGAAAAATAGGTGCATGAAACCTGGCATTGCTTTTGCTAAATAGCTGTCAAAATCAATGTTATGACAGTGGCATGTCGAAGTTAATTAACTCACTGTTATTTAACTTGAAGAAAATAATTCAGAGAAGGAATATAGTTCAATTATTCATGATGTATTGGGTTAGCTCGTCTCGAAATCAAATCGAACATCTTCATCTGTTTTATGCATGGAAGAAGATTTGATAGACAGCGAGACAAACTTATCCGATACATTTAGAGTAGATGCAGGTAGAAATAATAGTAAACGGTGCCAAATTGGTACCTAGGTGATCGAGTGTTGGACACAAGAAGGATTGGTTGGCACGCCGTTTGGTAAAGTATAAGGGCCCAGGGAGGCGGTTCCCTATTCGTTAGGTTCCCTTTCGGCTCGGGTACTAACGTTGCTTTACAGGTGTCTCATCGTTCAAAGGTATGGCTTACTTATTTTTGTGCAGAATAGTTCGTAGGTAGACATTCAAATCGGTTATTTCATGCCACTGGTCAACAGGGTTAGCTAAGAATGCGCTTAGAAAAAAATAGCGCAGCTAAAAGCGGTCAAAAAATGGCGTACGTCCTACAAATGACGTAAAAATGGAGTTTCAGTTTTTTCCAAAGATGAAGGGTGCATATTGCCAATAGGACACCTCTGTCAACAACCTTGTAAACATAAAGGCAGTATAATAAATTTTGTAAACATAATTAAGGCCTTAAAATATAAACAATCTTTTTGTAAAGATAACTATTAAAAATAGATAAGGTGATCCCAAGTAATGTGCATCCCCGACTAGCTTTCGTAGCTTGTTGGATTTCTGAGGGTTTTCCTCCGGCGATACGCCGGTTTCCCTCATCTTTAGAGAATCTCTCTAAAGAACAACAAAAAAGGGTGGCCATGCCTGGGACCTGCAGTAGGGATTGTATGGTTATTGGGTTGGATTCCCGATCCACTTGAAGAAACAAGAATAGGTCGAGACTCTTGGACCTTCTGTTCTTGTTCAAATTCATCATACATCAAAAATTTGAAGTGCGTGATTACCAGAAACAATGAAGCTTTGTCCATTTCACATAGGTCTGTGAAACTGTAATTAACAAATATTCCTCCATTTTTATTCATGTTTCAAGGGAATAAGTGTTGTAGTTGATGAAAATTGGTACATCGCCACGAGGAAGTCGTACTCAACAATAGTCAGGATCAAAGTGACAAATTTTCATAATTTTTGAAAAGAAACTAAATATTTTGAAATATAACTTGATTCATAATGTAGGTCAAAGTTGATTATTTTCATTTAAATAAATGTTTCTTTTTTAGAAATGAAAAAATATGGATTAAAGAGGAAGAAAAACAAGGGGGGTGTTGTTAGTCCCCCCCCCCTATATTTCTATGCTTTAAATTAGAACAGTTTTGTCTCAATAAGAATGAAAGAAGATGGATTAAAGAGCAACATTACATCCCTGTTTCGTCTCTATAAGATTCGACAAATATCCCTAATACCCATGCTCATCTAAGCTCTTAGCTAGCACTTAAAACTTCAAACTTGGAGCTGTGCTGAATACATGGAAGTATGGCAGTTCGAAGTAGGTGGCAAACTACTTTGAAAAAACTTCACAATTTGCTAAATTTCTAATTCAAATTAGAAAGCGGGGGGACAATCTAATTTTCATAGAAAAAAGCAATTGTAGCTGAGCACGAATCTATTCAAACGACGACCTTCCAAATTATGAAAAGTAAATTTGAATGCATAATATATAAAAACATATTTTGTACGAAGTGTGTAAATAAAGTACATTGCCGACATTACTGATCATCTACAACCGCACAAATTATAAAAAAATACCTCATTTTGCTGTTCATCCACGCCACGAGGAGCTGCTCTGTCGTCATCTGAAAGACTAAAAAAGAGTTCGTTTGGCAAATGGAGACATGATAGGAAACGATACTTGTTCATCCAGACAACCATGATCATTGTCAGCCTCTTCTTCCTAAAAACTTAAAAAAGTTAGTTTGTAGTAAGAAAGTAAAAAATGGGAAAGGAAGAAATACTTAACTTTTCTGTTTTATACAGACAATCACCATTTTATGTCGTATTCCTTGGTATCTAAAATATTGAAAAACAGTTAGTTTGGCAAATGGAGATTGAAATGGGAGAAATTAAACTTGTGTTTCGTGTGTTCATCCAGACAACCATGATCAGTTCTGTTGGTCTCTTCTTCCTAAACACTTAAAAAAAGTTAGTAAACAAGTAAAAAAGGGGAAAGGGAAAAATGAGAAAGGAAAGAAATACTCAAATTTTCTGTTTTATACAGACAATCACCATTTTATGTCGTATTCCTTGGTATCTAAAAAACTGAAAAACAGTTAGTTTGGCAAATGGAGATTGAAATGGGAGAAATTAAACTTGTGTTTCGTGTGTTCATCCAGACAACCATGATCAGTTCTGTCGGTCTCTTCTTCCTAAACACTTAAAAAAAGTTAGTAAACAAGTAAAAAAGGGGAAAGGGAAAAAAATGAGTAAGGGAAGAAATACTCAACTTTCTGTTTCATTAAGACCATCATCTGTTTTTGTCATCATCTTTGGCATCGGGAAGATATCCTTTTTCGTGTGTTCATCCAAACTGTATAATTGGAGCAAAAATTCCTTGATGAAAACTGCTATCGGAGATTATGTATATTGCATTAATAGACTATCAAATTTTTTTTCATAACTATGAGCAAACTAGCATTTTGAACAAAAATAACAAACGTGAAATAAGTGAAAATTTTGTTGCATGTCGCTGTTTTATGCACACATTGTACAACATAATGTTGCCACTGGCATTAAGTAGAATTTTATAAGTTTAACCGCTATCTTTCATCTACTACACAGTGTTATAACACCCCCCGATATCATAACACTGTCGTTTTATATAAACTAATTGTTTAATACTTTGCAACATTCTGCCAACATGTTGCAAAGTTATTCTCGACTAGTCATGAATAACTTGAAAACTTGTGATAAACTTAAGTCTAATCGTATAAAAATAGAAAACAATATCAATAAAAGTTAAAGTAATAATATTTACTACTGTTAAAATAAAACCTAAAAATATTCAGTATAAACATAACCATATGCGCATATGTTAATATACAAACAACATTTATCGTAATATATATATATACACTTGGTAATATATACATATATACGTGTATATACACTTTGTATATATATATATATATCACGGTAAATATTGTTTATAAAGTGTATAACAATGTGCCCTCCCGGCTATCACCATCGTAAAATGGTGACTCCTGCACTTGGGACACAGGATGTACGGTTACGCATTGTATGGATTGTTTTGACGAGTCACCAGAACCTATGAAGTTGAGCTTGGCATAGCGCGAAAGTTGAACGTCTCAATACCGAACGACTTAAATACCTCAAATTTGACTTGTCACACGATAAATTTAGTATGGAAATTGCTGAGATCGTTCCCTCTTTCTTCATTCTTGTGAAACAGAAGACTGCTTTACTTTACCTTTCGCTGTATGTTTCATTACCTTGAACTCTTAATTCTTCCAATTTAATAGTTGAGTTACATTGTTTACTTTTTTTTGCAGGCAGATTTGGTCGCTGCCTGCCAGAAAACGCAAACAATATTGACTAATGATCAGGTTAAAACTAAGTTTCTCAGTACAAAGGTGTTCTTCATCAGATGAGGAGAGAACTTCTTCGCAAAATGATGCAACGTGAAACAACGGGTATATTTCATATGTAAACATCAAACAATACAATTATTTTGCATATTTTCAAAAAACACCCGAAACTTCAATTACACTTTGTTAATTCATCTAGAGAAGTTCGTTGGTTAAAAGTTTCCTACGCTTACTTAGAAAGCCACTCGCCCAATCAGCATCCAGTATTTTGATGTTCTATATCTTATAGTGTCTACAATTCATGAATTAGTATGGGCCTTAAGGCTCTAAGAAAATGCACAGATGGAGTTAAAACAATACAATACAATAGCTCATTAGTATTCTCTAAATGTCATTAGGATACTGATTTGGATATTGTTTTTTATTTTTCATTTCCTTATTAGTAGTATTCTCTAAATAGAAAATACTAATGAGCTTAAAGAATACTAACTAATGACTGTACTTACTCTACAGTGCATATCCGAATAACTAACAAACAGATAAAATCTAAGGCGTTTATACCATATTATGATAATGTAAACTAATTCATGTTGCACACAAATTTAAAAAGAAAATAAGTCTTACAAACAAATGAAAAAAACTTAATATTGCACTCAAAATCAATAACGAACACATGTCTATCACTTAAAATGAAACGACATACTTGTTTCCTCATGTTCAAAAACCAACTAAGTCTTTGTCTCTTGTGTATTTGCGGTGCTACCACATGTTTCTTTCTTCTTGTCTACCTTCGCTTTCTTTGGACTTGGAACGTCGACTGCAGAAGGTGGTTGAAGTGCATTCGAGACTGACTTAACAAGAGTAGAACTTGGCCTTTTGTAACATCTAACTGATGTGCTGCGATGACCAGTACGAGACATGATGGTCTGTTAATCGAAATGCCCACTTTCAACAGCGTTGTTGCGCACGTCACCTTTCCAGAATGATTTAAATCTTCGTCTTTTCATGTCGAAATTCTGCTCATGATTATAAAATACCCAATGCCCATGCCGTATTATCTCTTCCTTTTTTTGGAACTCTTTGTTTCTCCCTCTTTTCAATTTCTTCAACTTGTATGGCATCTCGAAATCTATGGACACGTTTTTCCTTCCTTCTCTTCAATCTGACATAAGAATAAACTTATGTCACATTTTCCTTCATCCTTCAACACATCTTGACATTCTAACAATTTCAACTTACTAAATTCACTCATATCTTTAAGTTCTCAGATTAAAATAAACAACGTTTAAACTAATGCGTAAATACATCTTTTCATTTTGGAATTTTAATTACTTTTCTTACAGTGAAACAATCATTACTAACTGATGATAATCACTTAATTGAAAACAGGGCATCTTAAATTCAACACCATTAGTACTCCCTGGTGGCTTTGGTCATGTTATAAGACGGTTAGAGCATAATCACTTGTGTCTTATGAGATTGAGAGACCATCGCATCAGATAAAAATTCGCCCTCGTGAATTTCTACCTAATGCTTGGAACTCTTAATCCCATAGAACACACGTGATCATGCTCAAAGAAGAATAAGTAAGTGTTAATCTCGTTGTAATTCATGAATGATAACCTGTTTTAAAAAGATTTCCCAACCGTTGAAAACTTATTACAAAGAAATACTTATGTTCATCCATTCTTTCTTGTTATAGATAGTGATATTCGCAATTATTTACTATCGTGCCCAAAAATTATATAAAACTGGCACTATTATTCTTAGATTGCAACCAACCTCCACGGAATTATCAAACAATGTGACTCACCCACTACAGCTGGTGCCCACAATAATAAAGTATTCTTTTGTACTTTACATTCCAAACAACTATAACTTTCAATCATTTAATATCATGCGGGGATATTATGTTATTTCTCGTGTATTATTTTATTTGAAGATTCATATTCTAATCTACACCGTAAGCGCGCCGTTCCCTGAATGAAAATTGCACAGTGCAGTTGTTCAAATGCGTACTCTCACCAGGTTTTAGCACAAGGTAAAACAAACGCACTATTTGGGGAATTTTGCAAAATTCTTCAATGAAGATATTAGATTCATATGTTTTACTCAGATAATCATCATGGCCAAACGTCGCGAATAATCATCATAAGAGTTACGTTTCAGACTTTGAAATACGTGCATGTTTTTTTAACTGAAAATTCCTTTCGACGTTTCCAAATAACAAAGACTAAATCATAAAAAAATCCGATAAAAGGGGAGGGCTATGCCTTCCTTTGTTACACTTTTTAATGTGACACCTGAAAGAGTCATGCGAAAAAATAGGTGGTGCCAATAAATATTACAAAATACGCATGGGTGGTTAACTTTCGAAAACTTACCAACTTTCTTCTGGACTTTTCGTCGTCAAGACCGGCACGTTTTTCAAACAAATCTAAGGCATTTGGAACAACATCTTCCAAATTTTCTCGTGCTCGTTCGTTCACACCTTTCAGCTTAACGCAATATTGATAACGCTTCTTCTTGTTTATCGATCAATGTTTCCAGTTTGGTAAGAACTTATTTGTAACCTGCGTAAAATCTAAAAAATACAACTAGGAAATTCATATAAAAACTCGCAGAAATGCTAATCAAATACACATCCGTAATAAAAACGCTGTTCAAAAACTATATACTGTAAAAGATACCATTAATGTTTGGTTGAGATTGAAGTACAAATACCATTTGAATGCAAAAACCACGAATCTATAATTTTATGGAAAGCGTCGAGAAAACTTTTTTTGATGTTTGCTTGACGAGATAAAGAGACAAGAATGAATGACTAGCAGCTTTTGCAGCAATATGTGTAAAGTAATTTGGACTGTGAGATAATGACGTCCGACATGTCTCATTTTGCCTCCTTTGAACATAACATTTACAACAAAATACGTGGTAAAAGAGATTAACCACATATCAATGCTTTACAAAAAGTCAACTTGGAAGATTAGAAAGCTCTAAAGGCGTGGCAAGAATTGAAAATTATAATTTTTTTTATGAATTTAAACTAGTGTAATGAATATGAATGAATTTGATTGGTTTTGCAATAAATTTAAATTGACGTTGCAGTTTTACAGCAACCCCATGGTGGTTGTTTCTTTTGTCTATATTACATGTGTTTTATAATAAAGTGATAAGTGTCTTGTTCTCTACAGTTCGCATCACATGTATGTAAATTAAAGTAAATTTGGACTGTGAGATAATGAATTCCCACATGTCTCATTTTGCTTCCTTTGAACATAACACTTTTTATATTTAGTTTGATGAATCAGCCATTGTCAATGAACTTTTAACATGCAATTGGCATAGGAGAAAGCGACCCGTTTTCAAACTGTGAATTTGTTAATTTATAGAAAGTATTGGTGGTTTTCATGTGCCCCATGCTGATGGACTCCTTACAAAATAATATCATTGGATTCCCTTTGCTATTAGGCGACATGGTGGATGCCCTTTCTTTGTTGGTTATTCCCTTAAGACACACATAAAAACCAAGAATTGCTGTTTTCAAAATTATTATTAATGTTTACCTGATGAGATCATTGACTCCTATAAGACCTGGAGGGGAAAAGGGGCCTGGACGCCGTGGTCAAAAACATGGCGGTAATGGCGGATTTTCACTCCCTCCTGGTTTCTAATACTGTTTATATGAACGATGACAAGTGAAAAAAAAACAATTACGATTCCGACAGCATATCATGTGAAAATAATGCTTCAGCATTGCGTGAAAAACACAGTACATACACACATCAAAATAAAGAAAATTGACGGCAGAGAAACGAGAAGGAAGCGAGAAAATGTTTGTTTCAGTCCTACGACATAAGTCAACTGAAAATTTACCATGGATAAGTATCATAAGTGTATTGTCATTACGTGATAAATCTACTGAAAACTCAAAGAAAGTATGTTGAACTAGATGAGCTACAAAAAGAAATAAATTCAAAACACCACGATGATACTGTTGGTTGGAATTTGTATTTTGTAAACTGCTTGGCAGAACCTTGGATTTATTACTGTACAGAACTATATTAATTTTCCATTGAAATAGCAAACTTGGAAACTAGGAAAGTGCATTGGTTTCTCTGACAAAAACACTCTGTCTATTGCTGCATGAAGGCAAAAACCCCCATGGACAGATCACAGCAATTACCGGCACCTTACAAACAACTTATTCACAATACAAGCAACTTATTCACAATACAAACAAATGATCAACCAAAAACATTACACTTCACACTAATTCACAATGACAATACACAATTGACACCCACACATTTCCTGTACACACAATACAATGACGTAAGGACCAGGTAACAAATACGGCTAACATGACATTTACTCTTCATTTGACTCTGAAGATGGCTATCTATCGCTAAGGTTGTCAAAATGTCAGTCAACAACAACAAAAACAGTCCTCAGGACTATACCAACCTGGACAATCTACATTTAGTTTATCAGGTTGGTTTATCAGGTTGTTTAACATTTAATTGGGAATTAAATGATAAACAACCTGATAAACCTTTGTACTTTACATCAAGCCTTTGAATTTGTTCCTTTTATCACTTGGTAAAAAAAATATTAATGAAAGACTTACAAATCAAGTTTCTCAAAAATAGTATTTTGTACAAAGAAACTAAATATAATTGGAAAGGTCACATGTTGAAGACAGACTTTGCTTCTTTGACTAGGTTGCTTGACCATGAGCAATTTAAATTTGTTTACAATTTGTTTAAAGAATTCTTTTTATTGATTTCTACTAATTCTTCATAAGACACAAAGAATTTCTTTGACATCTATTTTTGCTTCCTACATTCAACTTCATTGTAACCAATGCATCTGATGTGAATTTGTGGATCACCTGGAATCATACCAAGTATGGATTTGGTGAGAGGAGACGATAATATGTTTAATTTTTCATGCATATTAATGAATATAATCACAAGCGACTATTGAACAAAATTTTCAAGGTAGAAACAAATCTTAGCACATTGTTCAACACACTTCTTTTATCTTGGTTTTGAAGTATTTACCTGTTTACTATAACAATAAATACTTCACTTACAGAAATGCTAAGTAGTACTTTAAAACTGTTTGCATAAATCCAACTTTACCATTCCATTATAATTGTCTACATTATACAGTCAGTCAAATTGAGCAGGCACGCAGTTTAATAGTTATTTTTATTATACACCATATACCATAGTTCTCATTAATTTTGCATTGCACTGCATTCAATTTCAACACAACTCTGCTGTAAACTTTCCCTTAATATTTTCAAAAAAAACAATATGAACAAATTCTGCCCAATTTTTGGGAGGTAAACTCAATTCAAATCATGAAAGGCACATGTTGTATGTACATTGCTCATTATTACTTATTTATTAGCAGAAAGCTAAGCTGTTATGAATAGCGCAACTTACATGATGCTTTATAATAACGAGAAAAATATAAATTTTGGAACTGAAACTGAATGTGATCTTGAGAAAAGTGTGAAGATGTTTTAGATAGTCACAAAGATTTCATGCCGTTTTCATGGCTTAAGAACATAATCTAAAACTGCTTGCTGTTCGTACACCTTTTTCATTAAAAGATTGTTGAGCAGTAAAATAAAATATATGGTTTACTGATTGAGAAAGAAGATCTGTAAGGCTGCTAATAACTTGCAGTTTCTCTTGAACTCACCAAGAATGTCAGATTGTAATCTTTCTCTTCATTCAAAGTTCTTTCAGTTAAATACCATTCTCTAGCCCAAAGACATTGCTCATAACCAGAACACAAGTGAGGATTGAATTGCAGAACTTTTAAAGTACAATTTGGGACCTACATGATGAAAAGTGCTATCAAGTTATATTTCAATATATTTAGTTTCTTTTCAAAACTTATCAAAATTTGTCACCTTGATCCTGACTAATGTTGAGTATGACTTCCTTATGGCAATGTACCAATTTTCATCATCAACTACAACACTTATTCCCTTGAAAAATTATGAAAAATGGAGGAATATTTGTTAAATACAGTTCCACAACACCCACCAACAATGCCTTGGCCAGATGAAATAACCTTCTACATTATCCACTATTGTCATACATATCTTTTTAACATAATGTTGGACAACTTTTGTCTTCCAAAAATTGGAGGAACTACAAATTTTGACCAAGACTACCCAGAAAAAAAAGAAACACTGCCCAGGAAAATATAACAGTGGCTCATTGATCAATAATAAAATTGTTTCAAGCATTGTAATATCGTCACAACATCCTATTTCCATCAACAAAGCTTTAAACACTTCTGCTGAAATCTCATTCTGCTATTTGATATACATGGCCTTCTAATGGCAGTCTGTCAGTCCATGACTTTACAGTGTTTTATTTTTATACATCTAAATCTCTAAAGCACAGAATAGTTCCTACTTTATGTTTAAACATGTTTTTTATCCATATTATGACTTCATACAAAGAAAGGAACAATTTTATTTTATTATTTGTAACATTCACAATCAGGGCACTATTTAGTAGGATGTGTTCATGAAATCTACTTAGCAGTTAGCAAAAAATGATTTTTGTGCATGGGCATACTCAGTCAAATTATTATTTCTTATTAATAATATGTCATAGCTATAGCCATCAACAAGTAAATACAATTTTACAAAGTTTTTCATACCTTTGCCATAAGTTCGACAACTTTCAAAATTACTGCTCTCAAACTTGAAGACTTTTCTTCTTTAAATATTTCAGAAGCTGCTATCCGCATGTGGGTTCTCAAGTAGTTGTTGACATAGTGCATTGTTTTTCCCTGGAAATTTCGTTGATATTTTATCTATTCAGTTCAGGATAAGGAAACAAGAAAGAAAACACACCCATTTTTGGAGAATCTTTTCATCCTTTCATACCTAGGAGTACCTACACAAATTATCTTCTGGTAACCAAGAGTTTGAAAAGTGTTCGAAAAAAATTCAAATGCATCATTATTAAAGAGATATTGCTAAAATAGAAAATACAACATCATCACAGTCAAAACATGCTATGTTTTTAAATAAACATGAAAACTTACAGCATGCGATTTCTTGTTTTCTTTCAGCTTCAAGAAACAACTTGCATTTGTGATCATTTCACTCATTACATTACATAAAATTTCATATTTTGCATGTTTCTCCATTTATTTAGGTAGTAACAATAGATCACAGGTATGACAGTAAGTCCGTTCATAGTCATTTAAACTTTTGACTATCTATAGTCTTTTGCCAAATTGCTTAGCGTTCATTAATGGTTGTGATGCTTCCATGATCTTTTGGTGTGCCTCAATAGACACATTGCTTGGAGACTCATCTGCCCATTGAAAAAAGCTGTATTCTTTTCGATCACGACAGGCGGAGCATGCAAAAAATCGTCTTGGTGGTTTAGACTCAAAATATCTTTCAAACATTAACATTGGTCCTTCAACAAAAACTACAGTTAGATTCGCTGACTAGAATACTACTCAAAACACATGAAGATCTATAAAGTATTTTAGACACCTAAAGGAGAGAATGAAAAGGGGAGATGAAGAAGCCAAGGAATGTTAAAATATAACAAATTCGTTATAATTTACCATGTGGACCCCATGGAGTCTGGTAGTCACCTTCTTCAGATATGAACACTTCAACTCCGAATCTTTGACATGATTGATGCGTAACAACAATAAATTTAGTGTCTTTTTCCAATTTTCATTAACTTGTGAATATATATTATTACTTTAATATTGATTTTTATATATGGATCAACATTGTGCACTTCGATTGTATCATGTCAGCAGAAACATTGAGCAGAAATAACACGACACGATGGATACGAGTGTCGCGAGTGGATAAAATACTCTCTAACTCTATTTATCAACCAATAACAACTACTACACGTTGTATCAATAAGTAGCAAACCTTATCACTAGCTATCCCTGTCATATACAATACAAAATTTAAATCGACGATTACGATAAAAATACTTAAGATAATCATCAAACGTTGGTAGATGAATGTGCACTGGTCGTCTTGCTCATAAAACATGCTACAAAGCTTTCTTTCTCTGAAAGGAAAGCTAAACTAATAATTATGTATGTAACTAGACATATGTGAAATGGACAAAGCTTCATTGTTTCTGGTAATCACGCACTTCAAATTTTTGATGTATGATGAATTTGAACAAGAACAGAAGGTCCAAGAGTCTCGACCTATTCTTGTTTCTTCAAGTGGATCGGGAATCCAACCCAATAACCATACAATCCCTACTGCAGGTCCCAGGCATGGCCACCCTTTTTTGTTGTTCTTTAGAGAGATTCTCTAAAGATGAGGGAAACCGGCGTATCGCCGGAGGAAAACCCTCAGAAATCCAACAAGCTACGAAAGCTAGTCGGGGATGCACATTACTTGGGATCACCTTATCTATTTTTAATAGTTATCTTTACAAAAAGATTGTTTATATTTTAAGGCCTTAATTATGTTTACAAAATTTATTATACTGCCTTTATGTTTACAAGGTTGTTGACAGAGGTGTCCTATTGGCAATATGCACCCTTCATCTTTGGAAAAAACTGAAACCGACTCCATTTTTACGTCATTTGTAGGACGTACGCCATTTTTTGACCGCTTTTAGCTGCGCTATTTTTTTCTAAGCGCATTCTTAGCTAACCCTGTTGACCAGTGGCATGAAATAACCGATTTGAATGTCTACCTACGAACTATTCTGCACAAAAATAAGTAAGCCATACCTTTGAACGATGAGACACCTGTAAAGCAACGTTAGTACCCGAGCCGAAAGGGAACCTAACGAATAGGGAACCGCCTCCCTGGGCCCTTATACTTTACCAAACGGCGTGCCAACCAATCCTTCTTGTGTCCAACACTCGATCACCTAGGTACCAATTTGGCACCGTTTACTATTATTTCTACCTGCATCTACTCTAAATGTATCGGATAAGTTTGTCTCGCTGTCTATCAAATCTTCTTCCATGCATAAAACAGATGAAGATGTTCGATTTGATTTCGAGACGAGCTAACCCAATACATCATGAATAATTGAACTATATTCCTTCTCTGAATTATTTTCTTCAAGTTAAATAACAGTGAGTTAATTAACTTCGACATGCCACTGTCATAACATTGATTTTGACAGCTATTTAGCAAAAGCAATGCCAGGTTTCATGCACCTATTTTCTGTTTCGTTCTTTATTAGACCAACGTTGCATATTCGTCTTGATGATACAAATCCCTTATTTTTCAAAAATATTTTAAAAACTTTGACTTGTTTTATTCATTTTCAAGCGTCTGGTGAACATTTCAAGTTTTGCATGGTTCAAAATTCAAACAATTCGAACTAAACGTAAAAATAATTTATAAAGTATCATCAAGCAAGAATATTTCAGACGTTTATAACTTTAGATTAATTTAATTTGCGCTATGCAGCTTGCATGCCGGATTGCGCCATGTTTCGGTCCGAATTTCTTTTGTTGTTTTAACGTGCAATCTGTGATTCGGATTTCGCCATTTTTTGGACAGTAATTTTCTACTTTGATAACTAAATATACATATGATTCAGTTTTAAGAAGTAAAATACGCAAGATATAATACACACGACCAAAACTCAAAGAAACCCATGCTTATTTCTTTGAACTTTGGATCGTGTATCCTGGTGATCAAAAGAACGAAAAACCGATATCAGACATATATATTTTACCTTGTACAATGATAATCTTACATTATACGACAGTTTGATAAATGTTTTCGACAATATAAGATGTATCATCGTTTTTAGGCAAATGTTTCAACCGCAAAAAGCACTGCACCACATGCACAAAACTAAAAAAAACAACACTAACAAGAATCAAAAGAACAACTAACTTTGTTATACACTCAGCCAATGATCAATCATATTCCTGTTAGTATAGATCACCAGGATTTTAACTAAAACACTATAAACCTGCTACCTTAAACGTCGTCTTTGGTCTTCATTCGTCGACTAAGGTACAACGATGATGTAAATCCATGACAACGATGAGGTAAATCCATGACAACCATAAAGTAAATGTAATCCACGACAGCTGTGAGTTAATCCACGATGACTATATGACTGTGATCGACGACAATTATGCTTTGACCCACAACATACATGATACAATATATGAATCATAATGTGCCACCATTGTATTCTTTTTTCACTACAAAACACATGAAGGTTCAAGATAACACGAAATTCTTCAAAATTCACGAAAATTGCACAGACAATAACGTGACACAAAAACCGCAAATAAATTTATTGCAAAATTATAATAATTTTATTGTGCAAACTTATATATTCTGTGTAATGTTATAACAATTAGTGTAAAGACGTTTTTGCAAGACATAACATTCCCAACAAATAACATTGCTTTGTGTTATTCTAATTCCCATTTACAACATTATCTTCTGCTCGTAACGTAGCCAAAAAGCAACTGTAAAGATTGGTCAATAAGAAAAAACACATGAATTACCTATAGATTGATCGTCATGAGCAACCAACTGCCTCTTCAAAACTTCCAGCAGTGTTGTGTAAGGCGGTTTTGTTCATAGGATGAAACATACTCTGACAATCAACAAATGAAGCGTAATGTTTGTTGATGAAGTGGAAATTACTGAAATTAAAACATTGAAATATTATTAATTTTTTCACTACAACAAATTTCAGCAACTCAGTTAGCAAATTGAATGAAATTCAATAAGCAAATATTACTCACCTATATTTATTTTCCACGTAGTGTTAGGATTTATTCTGTTGATAACCTTTGTGATTCCCTCATACAGCTTTACTCAAATCTTGATACATATCATAATTCAACAAACCACCATGGAACTACCGTATGGTTTTTCAACTCATGTTCGTGTGGCACAATGTCAAAAAGATTTTGAAGTCAAACAGCAAAGTTTATGAACAGTAAGTCAATGTTAAATTATTACACCATTGCTTGTCGTCGTTCTTCATTCATAGATTAACGTAATCCTTAGCCCAATATTAGTTTGACAAAATCCACGACAACGACGATGTAATCCACGACAGCCACGATGTAATCGACGACAGCCACGATGTAATCCACGACAGCCACGATGTAATCCACGACAACCACGATGTAATCCACGACAGCCACGATGTAATCCACGACATCCACGATGTAATGCACGACATCCACGATGTAATCCACGACAACGATGTAATCCACGACAACCACTATGTAATCCACGACAGCCACGATGTAATCTACGACAAACACGATGTAATCCACGACAGCCACGATGTAATCCACGACAGCCACGATGTAATCCACGACAGCCACGATGTAATCCACAACAACCACGATGTAATCCACAATAACCATGTTGCAATTAATCGATATAATACACCATCATTCTATCATTCCTTATCTACAAAACAATGAAGTTCAAAAAATGAAACATGAATGTATTTCAATTTGACAAAAGAATAACGTTATATAACAAAGCAAAAATCAAAAAAGCTTTTTAGCAATTCCCATCAAATTTTTCGGCTGCTCTTGCTCAAAAATATTGGTAATTTTATATGAATTAGTTGGAAAACTTTCTAAATTTAAAAATAAAACACAAGCAAAAGCCAATATTCCAATTTTGAAAAGTTAAATGTTGAATCATTTTTTATTATGACATCATACTGTTTAGTCTACTCATAATGTAACCAGCTTTGCAGAAACTGTAAGTAATGATTAAACAAGTACAAAAGGTATTTACAAGAAAAGTTTAATACCTGTAGACTCATCGTCATAAACAACCAACTGCACCTCCTAAACGTTCAGCAGTGGTAAAGGTGGTTCAGTTTTTGAAGAAAAATTTCTGAAATTAAAAATCATTATACTATTATTAGTTATTACATCCATCCACCTGAAACGATCGCTTGTTTGATATCGAACAGATAAAAACACATCAACAACCACTTACCAAAATATATTTTAAGCTTTGTGGTATTAGGATGGATAATTTGTTTCCTGATATTGAGTTTATAGTTCACCATAGCAGTTTTAAAACTTCCACACAATGTCACCACCATAGATGGACTAAGCACCATAACTCATCATGACATTGAATGCATGCTTTTTGCTAAAATTCAGGTGGCAAAATATTCAAGTAAGATTTAATGCCAATGTAAATGTCTGTGCATCATGTAATGTTCATCTTACCTGACGTCCATCCTATATCTTGTGCCAACTGCAGCATCTCTACAGATTTACTTGTGCACACTTGGTCGAAAATCACGTGCAAGTCAAAAACAACAGAACATAAAACTTCGACGATAGCTAGGTTATTTACATCTTAGTCTAAATTAAGTTGTTCAAGAGCTTATTGAGTTAAGGTAAGTTATACGAGACAATTAAGTTAGACGATGAAACCCACAAACAGAAAGCGACATGGAAAAAAAAGATTATAGATTATATCTGCTACAAGAAGTCTTCAAAAGTCATGCATGGGCTAAAGTGTCAGGCAATGTATTTACAAGTATAGTTATAGAGTCATGAAACTTTGTCTTGCATTATTTCATCTTGCTGTCAATGTTTTCTTTCATTATTTCATCTTCTTTTTCGTCACAAGATTGCTTTGTCATGTTTTTTCTTGCACCGTTTCACTGTAACATTTTTCAAAACATAGCAGTGAACTTTGCCTTTGAATTTCTCGTTTTTCTTTCTTTGTTGATTTTTCTATCTGATCTAGTTTGATCTATCTGACGCCTCAGATCAAATTAGATCAGATAGAAAAACCCACTCCACTTAAAGAGTTTATGAAGATATAAAATAATGGAAAATCCTGACCTGTCAAGAATGGACCAAGGGCCTCAAAAACGAAAAATTCTGCGATTGCAACGTGCCTCAACAAAGGTAGACGCTACATTTGCAAGAGTCGACGAAGTGCCTCAACAACGAAAGACGCCGCTTTCGCAAGAGTCGATGAAGTGCCTCAACAACGAAAGGCGCCGCTTTCGCAAGAGTCGATGAAGTGCCTCAGCAACGAAAGACGCCGCTTTCGCAAGAGTCGATGAAGTGCCTCAACAACGGAAGACGCCATATTTGCAAGAGTCGACGAAGTGCCTCAACAACGAAAGACGCCGCTTTCGCAAGAGTCGATGAAGTGCCTCAACAACGAAAGACGCCGCTTTCGCAAGAGTCGATGAAGTGCCTCAACAACGGAAGACGCCACATTCGCAAGAGTCGACGAAGTGCCTCAACAACGAAAGACGCCGCTTCCGCAAGAGTCGATGAAGTGCCTCAACAACGGAAAACGCTACATTCGCACGAGTCGATGAAGTGCCTCAACAACGGAAAACGCTACATTCGCACGAGTCGATGAAGTGCCTCAACAACGGAAAACGCTACATTGATGAGCTCCCCAAACAAAAGTAGATGCTGTTTTGCCATCACAGGCTCATAAACACTTTCTGACTAAGTTACTGCGTTCTTGAGATTCCTTGTTCTTGTTCAATAGTGAACTTGTCGTTCATGAAGTGACCTCTTCCATTAATTGTAACTATTCTCGATGTCTTGTAGATATTTTATATAGTTGTAGAACGCTTTGTTCAAAGAATACTTTTTACAACAATACTTTTACTTACTTTTCTAATTAATAATTAAATGAATAGTGGACAAATGAAGACTTCAAGTTTCTGATGTATGATTAAGTATGATATTTTACTTTTATTTCATAAATAAATTTCTTCCAATTAATGTTTCTTTTCATAAATTATAAATTTAAAAGGAATGAAGTCGTAAAGAATTCTTCGTTTTTTCTTAAACGTCGATTTCATATCGATCGTTCACAATGGCAGTTTTGACTTAATTATTGTCTGATAATCCTTACCCTAAACTCAACAGCATTTTGTTTAAAAATGTTCACAACATTTGCTTTTGATTCATGAGTAAATTTTTTTTCAGTGAATATGTCTTTTGATATATATACATTTCATAGCAAGTCTTATAGACTTCTTTATACGCCATTGAACGTTTATTTTTTCTTTATATAGATCATTCACAACACTAGATTTGCTAATACTTGTATACTTTAAACTCAGAAGCATTTTGCTTAAAAATGCACACAATATTTACTTTTGATTCATGAGTAAATTTCTACAAATGAAGGCTTCTTTTCATATCTATACATTTTAAAAGAAGGAAGTCTTATAGACTTCTTTATATGTCATTGAGCGTTGATTTTTGAAATATCATTCACACCACTGGATTTGACTTAAAAATTTAATCAAAATCGTTGGCACATGCACACAACATTTAGTTTTGTTTCATGAAGGAATGTTTGTTTTAATCCCTTACACATTTCAAATGGAGGAAGTCATATAGACTTCTTTAAATGCTTCTGAACATCGTTTTCGGATAGATCGTTCACAACAATTGTTTTTTTGATTTATTATCTAATTATTTCTACCCTAAACTTATAGCTAGTAGTCGTCTACCAGCAGCAAAATACGAAGATAATGATTGCACAACAAAAGTGTTAAACAAACTTTTAGTGCAAAGATTTAAGAAAAAAGGCCAAAAATTTTGAATGTGTGCACAAGTAAATCCATAAAAAGACGTTTCTGTCTGTTGCTTTCATTTGAATATCCTATGAATTCAAATCAAACGAAATGAGCTTCTGTGTTTTCACCCATTTGATATATGTTATAAAAATTGCAATATTAAAACAAAAATATTAACAGAAAAGATTACTACAATAAAAGAATATTATAACAAAAATTTTCAAAAGCGTTTTCGTATAAAAAGAACCAGGCAGTCAATGAAAGTTTTAACGTCATATAATTTTGAGTTTCCTACCTTACTCCTCCTTTGTTCTCTTCCAGTTGTTTTGATAGCGAACCGTTTTATCTTTGCTTCAAATTTCAACTAGGATACGACTTTGGTTGCATTCTTTATGATTGCTCATAGTAAATTCTCAAGAGAAAATTAGCTTCTTTTCCTATAGAATATAAACACATTTATTGGCAAAATGCTCTTAAAATAGTTTTCAATAACAACTTTTCTAAATTGTACTCAAGTAGCGTACATCGTATTTCATTGAAAATCTTTCTCGCCCACTGAAATTGCTATCATTCGAACTTATTGAATTGAAGAACCTGTAGCCGTCAACACTCTTCAAATTTTTCCAAGTATCCCACTCCATTCAAAGATTTTGTGGGTATTTTCGTAGTCAAGCTGGTCAGTTTTGCATAATTCGTGCCCAGTGTTCTTCATTTTCACGCGGAACAAAATTCGCGCCAATTTTATCGAAAGTCCAATGTCCACCATGAACCAACATTTTATATTTTTTTACATATCTTAAAATTTTCGCTCAAAAGAGTCAAAAGAACATTTTTTACGAACAAAAAATCAACCCATGGGATACGAAATATCCTCCTTATCGCTTATTTTGCCATATTATTACTTTTCACCGAGAATTTTTACATATTTTTGTGTTGAAACGAGGAAGATGTCGGTCGCACAACTTTGTCGCCGCTGAAAAAATATCGATTCAAAAATACACGCTAGAAGCAAAAATATTCAACAAAGTTTCACTTCGAAGTATTCAAAACACTAGCAGTCACCAACACATTGAAGTAAAAAGAAAAGAAAGACTTTGAAACATACAAACTTGCCGTTTTTATACTGTCAAGTTTCTCTGGCCAAGCAAATACACCGTCGAAGGCACGCAGTTAAACGGCGAATTGCACAAAAACAACCGACGAAAAGATTTACAGTAAAACAATGCGTAACTATACATCAAACAAGGCTTTTGTCATTGAATTTATCAACATTTGAAGTACGTTTTAAAACAATAAATCAAAATTTCACTAACCTTCCTTTCACTTTCGAGTCTTGAGGGCATCTACCGTTGTGTAGAGTGATTGACGTGTATTAAGATCATTTGGTGGCCCGATTTCATTGGTTGATTTCGATGTGCTCTACAGTTGTTATTGGGTAAATTTTGAGTTCTTAGATCTCTGATTGGCTAAATTTCTACAATATGTTAAATATTAAAAGTTATCCCAGATAAGTGAAAGGTAAATTAGGCATCATATATCATATCATATCTTCTTGACGGAGTTAAATTCTTTCAGTTCGCCTGTGTTGAGTCTCCTATAATATTTAGCACTCACGAAGTTTTATTGCATGTTTATTTGCTTTACATTAGAACTGTTTCGTCTCAATAAGAGTCGAACTTCCCAACTAAGCATCGTCATTTGGTCTCAGTAAGAGTCAAATATCCCAACTACACAAACTTTTCTTAGCTTTTAACTTGCACTTAAAACCTTCTAACTCTATTCGTTTTCATTTAAATTAATTTTTCTTTTTTAAGAATTAAAAAAGATGGTTTGAAGATTAAAGAGAAACAAGGGAGGTTTTGTTTGATTTTTTTATTTTTGTATGTTTATTAGTTTAAATTAGAACTTTGCTATTTTCAACTTTGCATTAGGTCTTAGCGAACTTGCATGGGAGCTGTATGAATACTATTGGTGATATAGTAGTGTAAGTGATAGAGAAAAAGAACTTTTTAATGTTTAGCTTGCACATTCCAGATGAGCGAATGTCATGCTACAATTAAATGATCCATTATTGTTTCTGAAGCACTGTGTTTTAAAATATTTTACACCACTTCCCCCGGAAAAATAAATGGGCAATTAAACTTTCACTAATTCAATGGCGACGATGAAGACATAAAGTGGCGTTTGTCTATATAGAAATATGTGAAGAATTTCAAGGAACTGTTCAAGTTATTGTGCTTGAAAAAGCAAACTCATGTCGGCTTGGAGTGTATTACATCGAACAGCACACGTGCACAACACAACTAAGTTATTTTCGAAATATTTTCTCTCGATAGTTCATTCAAGAGGGAACATTTGCACTTTAAAATACGATGTAAAGTATGGTGGTCACTGTAGAGCTCCTCATATTGATAAAACTTGTGAAGATGATTATTTTATATGGGATGATGAGAGAATGACAGCGTTTGGTAAGTAGATATTTAAACGATAAACATTTTAAACTGCGAGCTAGTGCACATTGAAACAGACGATGTGAGTGTTTTCTGTCTGCCGTTTAAGAAAACGTATTATGCAGTAATTGCTATGCAGAACTGTTTTGTTATTAGTGAACTCTTCGGTCGCAAACAACCTCCTTGAATTTGTAAAGCATTATCATTGGAGGCTTACAATATCATAAAAAAATATTCATTTGATCTTTACCATGGCCTAAGTACTTACAAATCATGCAGATTTTTTTTCTTCTATGAATATGCAGGTGTGGCGGATGGTATTAGCGAGTGGCGAAAGATTAATGTTGATCCATCAATTTTTCCGAAAACTTTGCTGTCAAACTGTAAGAAGTATTTTAAAGAAGGAAAAATGAATCCAAAAGATGTTCTTAATATGGCTTACAAGGAGATATTAGAGAAAGATGATGTTGTTGTAGGTAGGTGATTTTCAAGCACGAATAATGAAAGTTATACATAAAATATATGATATATAAAGTTTGCATGAAGTAATGAAGGAAAAAGATAATCTATCATATTTATTGGTCTAGGTAGTAGTACTGTATGTCTTGGTGTCATTGATAAGATAAAGGGTCATTTGAAACATTGAATCTTGGTGATAGTGGCTTTTCCATTTTTCGCAACTCTAAAACATTTTACAAAAGTAGTGAGCAATATCAACAAGCAGACACACCATTTCAAATTGGAGTTGAAAGCGATGACTTTGGCAATGCAATACCAAGTATTAAAAGGTTTGATTTGGTTCTACATTGATGATGGATGTGTGTTTAAAGTTTCTTATTAAGGCAATGTAAATCTTACTGAACTGTTCCTTTTACTAGTGTTAGTGATGCAAATATGGAATGTTTTGATATTGAAGATGATGATATCATAGTCTTTGGAACGGATGGACTGTTTGACAACATGTATACTCAAGATATATTCTCTGAGATTTATTCATCTGATCATGTATGTGAGCATTTCCGACTTTAATATATCCAACATTAACAGCAGTTTTTGATAATTTACATATGATTTTATTCAAGGGATATAATTTGTTACAGCTGAATTAAGTGAAAAATGCACTCTTTGTTTGATTATTGTTGATACCATACACCTCTTCATAGTTGAATATTACATATACCACACACACCTCTCCATGGTCTAATATTGTATACAACCATACATCTCTCATGGCTGATTATTTTATACCACACACCTCTCTATGGATGATTAATGTACACCACATACCTCTCCATGGTGTAATATTGTATACACCATACATCTCTGTATGGTTGACTATAGTACACCACACACCTCTCCATGGTGTAATATTGTATACACCATACATCTCTGTATGGTTGACTATAGTACACCACACACCTCTCCATGGTGTAATATTGTATACAACCATACATCTCTGTATGGTTGACTATAGTACACCACACACCTCTCCATGGTGTAATATTGTATACAACCATACATCTCTGTATGGTTGACTATAGTACACCACACACCTCTCCATGGTGTAATATTGTATACAACCATACATCTCTGTATGGTTGACTATAGTACACCACTCACCTCTCCATGGTGTAATATTGTATACAACCATACATCTCTGTATGGTTGACTATAGTACACCACACACTCTCCATGGTGTAATATTGTATACAACCATACATCTCTGTATGGTTGACTATAGTACACCACACACCTCTCCATGGTGTAATATTGTATACAACCATACATCTCTGTATGGTTGACTATAGTACACCACACACCTCTCCATGGTGTAATATTGTATACAACCATACATCTCTGTATGGTTGACTATAGTACACCACACACCTCTCCATGGTGTAATATTGTATACAACCATACATCTCTGTATGGTTGACTATAGTACACCACACTCTCCATGGTGTAATATTGTATACAACCATACATCTCTGTATGGTTGACTATAGTACACCACGCACCTCTCCATGGTGTAATATTGTATACAACCATACATCTCTGTATATGGTTGACTATAGTACACCACGCACCTCTCCATGGTGTAATATTGTATACAACCATACATCTCTGTATGGTTGACTATAGTACACCACGCACCTCTCCATGGTGTAATATTGTATACAACCATACATCTCTGTATGGTTGACTATAGTACACCACGCACCTCTCCATGGTGTAATATTGTATACAACCATACATCTCTGTATGGTTGACTATAGTACACACACACCTCTCGATGGTTGATTACACTCTAATGACAGGACCTATGATCTTTAGTAATGTTATGCATATACTTTATTCATATTTATTCTTTACTCCCCTATTTTGTGTAGTTTTTATTATTAATCTGAACAATAAACATAGTATTTGTTTAGAACACAGACTATGAGGAGCAATCTCGACATCTTACCAAAGTTGCATTAACAAGATCAGTTGAATCTCAAAGGTAAATAATTTTCTTCCTGATAAAAAGAAAGTACAAAACGTATCTAACTGTTACAAAGATTGTTGTTTATCAGAGAAGTGGATGAGAGGTTTTCTTGTTGTAACAAAAAACCTGAACAGTTAGGAAAAATTTGCGTTAAGTATAAGCTCAGATTTACGCATAACTTTTAAGGATTGTAAAGGATCTTACAAGTTCTTCCAAGATCTTGTCAAGATGCTCAAGCTGCGAACCCGAGATTTGAAAGCTGAGGCAAATTACCTATAACATGAGCTTGAACAACATGAGCCGTATTTTAATTAACTTTTCACGTTCTTTAGTGCAATTTATGCATGGATTGAATGGTTTGAACTCGAGAGTATCGTTACATGTTTGTAGATGTAGATCGTCCAAGTTAGTAGAGTCCTGAGAAGGATTGTTTTTGTTGATGTTGACTGACGTTGCCATAACTTTAGCTATAGTTATCTGTAGAGTCAAGCGAGGACTTCAAGAACAAATTATTCCTCGCTTAACTCTGAAGATAACCACCGCCAGGTTGCCAAAACGTCAGTGAGCACCAACATCAACAGTCCTTCTCAGTACTCCAGTAAAGAAGACAACATTTACAAACATGCAATTTATATTTATTTGTGTCCGGTTATCTTGACGGAAGACATTTTGTCCGTTATTTTGAGTCCTTCCTAGAATTATATTTTCACGGTATTTTTTAATGATCTTTTGCTAGAGTAACACCACGTGAAGAACGTATAATGAAAGACGATCCATTGGCGATACCTGGTGGAAATTTTGATGACGTCACAGCTGTAATTATCCACGTTAAAGCTTATAAAAGTCGTTGATGTTCCAGTATCGAGAAGCTTTGCATTCACATTGGTAAAAGATATAATAAGTTCTAGCCAAAACTGGGGGTGCCTCACCTTGCCTAAATTTATCCCTGGTCATCAACAGTATTTTTGTGGATTGTACTCTCGTAAATTCTTAGTAATCATGGTTGTAGGAAGATGATAATTGGGAGGAGGGGCTTGTATTCATATATACATGAAAACAATGGATATCAAAGGATCTTAATTCTGAATATCGTGAATTTAGGAATATGAGCCTCAACCTCCTCAAATTATCGATCTTACTTTTATGAGTGAGTTAATTACATTTACATAATATTTAGGAAACATGGTCCATTTTTTGTATTTAAGAAGAACTTACTGAAGCAAGTTATAAATGAAGAACTTCGATTAAGACGAACTTTGTATAACACAGTTTGGAGCACTATTTGATTTATCTTAAAGCACTATTATTTAATGTATCTTTAACAAATATTACCATTACTTTGATTTTATGTAAAAGTGTTATCGTATAACGAAATTGACAGCACTTGGCAATGCTGGACATTGTGTATCACTTACTTGTCTTTTTCTTTTTTGTTAGAGCATAATTTACCAAACAATGTTAACCTACAACAGGAACGCAAAAAAGCGAAGTAAGCTCTAAGCCTCTGTCTTAATACTAGCTGGTTTACCTTTACAATAATGTGGCGAGGCATTAGTCTGATGTAATATATTTATTGTTAACTATGGTAATTGAAGGCATTCATCTTATGAAAGGCTAAACTTTGCTGGCTGAATTTTCATGTTAATAATTATATTAAATTCCCATGCAGAAAAGCTTTGGTGCCTGAAACCAAGATATGTAAAATAGGTACAAGGTGTATTAAGTAATTGTTAATTAAACCATTGTAATGTCTTATTACGTTGCTAATCCAATGGTGCATTGCTGTTCATATTTCGTTGCGAGAAGTTCTGTTAAATGTCCAGAAGCAGAAAAGCTTTTAAGCTTAAGCAAAGATATGTAATGTTTTCATGTTGTTGACAAGCACAAACGGGTAAGTCAACCTCCATCGACATGACGCGTGCTTGAAATAATGAGAGACATTTTTAAATAACTCTACAATTGTCATCAGAATAGGAATTGGCACTGTGAGTGTTACTCAAAAGATGTTCCCCAATCGCTGAGTCACATGAAATCAAAATTTTTTACACTCCTCTAATCACGTTCAGTTGCTGTCTTAAAGAAACAGTTTTATTCCTCATAGAACCATGTACATATTGTCAATTAGCCAAAGAACTGATAGAAGAGTCCATTAAAGAAATTGGTGCATATTTGTTACACAAAGAAACAAAAAATTGCATGCTTATATATAACTGTATATAACTGTAAAGTGAAAATCAATCATGAGAAAGATTTTGCCCTAGTTAAAAATTACTTACAGCCATCAGTTTACATCTTTATCTGTAATGGAAATGTGGAATAGTTAGTGTAAGAAACAATTAGTGTATGTAAAATTACATGTCTAGGAGCCCTTAGCGTGCATTTTTCTGAGAATAATGTCTAAGTATAGTTTATGGCTATATGTAACGGTGCTTTGCATGACAGCTTATTTATGTAACATTGAAATATATTTTGCTACTCTATTACAATATAAAGAATCATATGTGTGTTCTAAGCAATATTACCCAACTGCAAAGATAACAACTTTTAATGTAAACTTAATGTGCGGGATTTTACAGCATGTATTTACATAAAGAATCTGTAAGGTAAAAGCTGTTTTAATGAAATAAATTACATACTCACCTTTCTAATTTAATTGCAAGATCTCTTCAGTATAGTAGCAGATGTCCTTTTTGCAATTGTCTTCCTCAGCTATTCATTTCATTTTACTCAGTAGAGAACAATACAGAATAAATGCATTGTATATTACTCTTCTTTGTATATGCATAAGTTGATCGTATAGATCGTACAAATGTATAAAGTATTTTGTTCAATAAATATCCACAAAAAAACAATGCATAAAATGTCACACTTATCTATAAATGAAAAATTATTTTCAATTTAAAAACACTTCACTTCACAGACACTGAAACCTTGATTGCTCTGATATTATGGTAATTCAAGTTGACTCATTGTCGTGCTGTCTTTATTAAAACACAATTGTTCCAAGATACTTTAACTACATATATATATATATATATATATATATTTATTATCACATAGATATGTCTTTAAGGCAAAAGTGTCCTAAAACTATCAAAAAAAGCTCCTAACAACATTGCATCGCTAGAAAAAAGGTTCATGAGAAATAAGAAACACACTTCAAACTCATCATACGAAAGTATATTCATAAAGACGATCATTTAATAGATCTCACTAATTACACTTGACGCAGGTGATGAAGGTTATGAATATTTATCTTTATGATTATAATCTTAATAATTACAACGTGTACTCATAAAGCTCGTAAAAAATGTCTCAAATCAGCTACAACGATTCATGTTGTGATTTGACTAAAAATAATATTTTAAAATTGAAGCGTTAACCTATCAATATAAGAAAAGGTTTGAGAAAGTCAACTGTCGATGTAAAAAAATGTTTAATATTAGTGAAGGTGAGATATTGAACAACATTTCCCAACAGAAAAACAGCTATGAAAAAGAACCAACACCTTACGATATTTTAACTACCAGCATTGGATTAATGGCCGTCATACTGAACGGTCTTCTCCTTATCGCCATGTTTCGTAACACAGAAAAAATCTTCATATCAAATGGTGCTTATTTAGTCGCAAATGTTGCAATGGCCGATGCATTGACGGGGATAAACTCGTCTCTTTGGGGAATCAAAACACTGTTTCTCTCAAAGCCAGCAAGGATTGTGTCGATGTCAATATTTTGGATAACAATCGAAGCATCGTTTTTAACGATATTTATTATGTGCCTTGAAAGGTATATAGCTATTGTTTATCCATTTAAAGCCAACTTATGGCTCAGTAAGAGACTAACATTATATGGTTGTCTGTTAACATGGATCATATCGGCTGTATGTGGTATATCTATCGCTTTCAACAAAAACACCACTCAAATTGTTCTGGCGTTTTTCTTCGAAATCACCATCATCGTTACTTGTTTTCTATACTTAAAAATATACTTCAAGTTAAGAGAGCGACGTCTTGACTGCACGCCTGGGGCGTTGTGTGATAACCATAGCAACCATGATCTCCAACGTGAATACAATCTGACCTTGGTGGTGACGGTACTCACCATAATTCTTGTGGTAACTGTTCTCCCATACATGGTTGGCGGGCAATTCAGTATATATTATAAAAACAATCGTACTCTAGCATTATTCTTACGGTATTATTTTCCAGTGGAACTCACAAACTTTGTACTTAATCCATTTATTTATGCTATACGTCTACCAAAATATCGTCGTGCCATATTAAATACTCTAAAACCAATAACTAAACCGGTTCAACTTATATTTACAACTGTACATAACCCACGATATTAAAGAGTAAAAAGTGGTCCTTTACATTGTACACCGACTTGAAATTTTTAAAGACAGTAGAAACCATTCAAAGAAATTGACTCAAAACATTTTTTCAAACTCAACTCTGTAGAGTTTTTATTCCAAATGGTTTCGCTCTTTAACAAGCAGCAAGTATATCGTAATCAGTAGCTACAAATACGGTGTAGTATGAAAAGGACTACAAGATCGAGATTGTGTGCAGTGTGTCAATGCTTTAATTGAGATTTGCTTGAAATAAAAATGTAAATAAGTCCATATGTTTTCAGCTTACTTTGATGTGTGTTAAAAGTTGCGTGTGGTACAACAAACCATAGTTAATTTAGCGATATGGCAGATGGTTTTATTTTAATTATCAGTTGTCAAATTGTCATTAAATAAAACGTCTGATTTTACTTAAATGGAGTTTACACACATTTCATATATTATCCGTAGTTTCTAACATGGCTCCAATAATTGCATGACGTTTGATTTTTCAAGCATTTTATTAAACACGCTCTCCAACTTGTGGAGAAGAAAATTAGTATTGTAGTTTACCATGAAAAACTGGCCTTTTCACAAAATTACACAAATATATGTCTTCAAAAAAAGATGTTTAAATGAGTGCCAAGTCAGAATACTATGAGTAATGCGGCAGTGAAAATAAGTTATCACAATGACATTATTGTACATTTAAATTTCTTTAATCAAACATTAGTTCAAATATTTTCTGATATAATTTAACATTCCCACATTTCATGGAAATCAATGGCTGTTTGAGAAAAAACCCCGTTCCCAAAAATCCTGTCCACAATCGTGTAAAGATAGCAAGTTAACATGTTATATTACATGAAAGACAAATACATTAAAAGATAAAATAAATGTTTATGAATTTCATCCAATCTAATTTTAAAGTGTGTTTATGCAACAAGTTATTGATGTACGCCGTCAAAAATCTCACCCACGTGCTTCATTAAAACGAACATTAATTTTAAGCTTTATAATTCAGCGTTAAGTGGACATGTTTTATCTGACAAGATGAACGCCTAAAATCAACATTCATTGTATTCTGACACGCTCAAATACCGAAAAAACGTGTGAAAGTGTGAAACATGTATTTAATTGCTTTCAGATATGAGGCGGTGTAAAGACTCTTTGTTGTAAATTAGAGGAAATTTTGCATGTGTACAACCACAAACCTCCATCTTTCAAAGTGCAATTCTTAGCTAAGAATACTTCACGCCGCCCAATGTATGAATGAAAGTTAAAGTAATTCAAATGAAATGGAAATCAGACAAATGAGTTAAAAGCATATTAATTAAACTCACATCATGATAACCATGGAAGACACAGAGCCGCATAGCAATTATCTTTACAAAAATAAAAGCACTGGAACAAAGTAAAGAGCGGTTTGAATACATCTTTCATGTCATTTCTTTCTTCTCTTCATGAAGATGCCTTAATCAAAATAAAGACTTCAATATAGGAAGTCATTCTACTAAGCCAAAGTTGTTAAAAAGACAATACGATTATTGTTATCTTTTCTCCACCTGCACACAATCTATTGCGGCTTATCATCGTCAACAATCAAAACACAAGAGCATATATGTATATATATGGATACACAAAAAATATTTGACCAGACTTCGAGGAAAGAGCAGCATCGAAGACAACAAGACCACAGATAAGAGTCGGGTTGTACAGTCAAAGTACATTTCACAATTTGAGAAGTTTTTGAAGAGCCAGAAGGTAGCAGGTCAGTATAATGTCCAATGGAACGAACAGCAGTTTGGAGCAGGTTTTGGAGGACGATCGTGATAAAGTTGAGGCTATATTAGTGTTGATTATTGGTGTACTTTCAATGATTTTTAATGGTTCCCTCCTTATTTCAATGACTGTCAATCCTAAGTTAGTGTTTGTTTCACTTGGTTCGTATTTCATCTATAATCTCGGCATTGCTGATTTCATCACGGGCATCAATTCAATAGTTTATGCGATAAACACACTTCATCCAACAGAACTATTCGATAATGATATAAAAACATGTTTACTTATCATCTTTTGGATCATGATTGAAGTATCGTTCTTCACAATATTTATAATGTCAACAGAACGTTTAGTAGCCATCGTTTTCCCATTCAAAACAGCACTGTTATTGTCAAAGAAACGTACTATAATCTACTGTGTCGTCGTATGGATTGTCTCCATAACATTTGGAATTCCCATATATATGAACAACTTCATAAATTATGTTCAACTGTTTCTTACAGTAATTTTTGAAATCATTGTTGTTGCAGTTGTAGTAGAGTATATTATGCTTTTTCGTCATCTACGTGTCTTATGGGAAAACAGCAAGTCTCGCGCAGTTTTCAAAGACAGCAGTAATATCGAAAAAGGTTTAGTGAACAAAAGTAAAATAACTGAGCTTCAACGGGAATACGAAGTGACCATAATTGTAGTTACTCTGGCAGTAATAATCGCCATTACAGTCTTTCCCTACATGATAGTGTTGCAAGTCCTTTTGAGTTACCACCTTCAGGGAGCAACTTTACCTTCAAATCATCCAGCCAATCTATTTCGTAGGTATTACTTTCCTATTGAACTGCTAAATTTTGTTGTCAATCCTATTGTTTATGGTTGGAGACTACCGAAATACCGCCAGGCTTTCTTACGAACTTTTTGTTTTGGAAAAAAAAGAGCAAAAAATGGCAATTCATATAGCTCACCAAAGACGCTTTGCTCAAACTGTCCCAGTGGTTATAAGGAGATGTCCCAAATAAAATAACTCCATATAAAATTCTTCAAATTGTAAATATATGTATGCATAACTTGACGCTATTGAACAGTGTGTACAAAGTTCTGTAATTCTTTAAATATACAATGTAAAGATAGGAATTTCCTGGTTTTATGCAGTGGTTTTTATCATGTCCATACATGCATTGTTAACGTTTCAGCAAATGAAGTCAAACGGATTTTTGTGTCGCTCTAATTAAAGCAACTTAAATTTTCGCAGAAAACACATGCCATGACATAGGCAAAAAAATTGATTAAAAATATTTTGAAAATGCCCATTCACGAAAGATGGCAAGTCCATCTACGAGAGTATCTACATACACAGAAAAATGCCGTAAACATATCAATGGCAGTGTGCGTGTTTTGCTTGAAGTTAATGATTTAAAATAAATAAGCGTCTACAAACATCAATGAATGAGGAAATGTTTAGTAATGACAGATGTTTCTTTTGCTAGAGCAGCAGAAGTTTATCATGCAATGTTTTCAGTTGTATTGAGGTACAATTCATAAACATTTGTTTTGTCTTTTAATGTTTTTGTCTTTCATGTAATATAACATGTTAACTTGCTATCTTTACACGATTGAGAACAGGATTTCTGGGAACGGTTTTTTTCTCAAACAACCATTGATTTCCATGAAATGTGGGAATGTTAAATTATATCAGAAAATATTTGAACTAATGTTTGATTAAAGAAAATTTAAATGTACAATAATGTCATTGTGATAACTTATTTTCACTGCCGCATTACTCATAGTATTCTGACTTGGCACTCATTTAAACATCTTTTTTTGAAGACATATATTTGTGTAATTTTGTGAAAAGGCCAGTTTTTCATGGTAAACTACAATACTAATTTTCTTCTCCACAAGTTGGAGAGCGTGTTTAATAAAATGCTTGAAAAATCAAACGTCATGCAATTATTGGAGCCATGTTAGAAACTACGGATAATATATGAAATGTGTGTAAACTCCATTTAAGTAAAATCAGACGTTTTATTTAATGACAATTTGACAACTGATAATTAAAATAAAACCATCTGCCATATCGCTAAATTAACTATGGTTTGTTGTACCACACGCAACTTTTAACACACATCAAAGTAAGCTGAAAACATATGGACTTATTTACATTTTTATTTCAAGCAAATCTCAATTAAAGCATTGACACACTGCACACAATCTCGATCTTGTAGTCCTTTTCATACTACACCGTATTTGTAGCTACTGATTACGATATACTTGCTGCTTGTTAAAGAGCGAAACCATTTGGAATAAAAAACTCTACAGAGTTGAGTTTGAAAAAATGTTTTGAGTCAATTTCTTTGAATGGTTTCTACTGTCTTTAAAAATTTCAAGTCGGTGTACAATGTAAAGGACCACTTTTTTACTCTTTAATATCGTGGGTTATGTACAGTTGTAAATATAAGTTGAACCGGTTTAGTTATTGGTTTTAGAGTATTTAATATGGCACGACGATATTTTGGTAGACGTATAGCATAAATAAATGGATTAAGTACAACGTTTGTGAGTTCCACTGGAAAATAATACAGTAAGAATAATGCTAGAGTACGATTGTTTTTATAATATATACTGAATTGCCCGCCAACCATGTATGGGAGAACAGTTACCACAAGAATTATGGTGAGTACCGTCACCACCAAGGTCAGATTGTATTCACGTTGGAGATCATGGTTGCTATGGTTATCACACAACGCCCCAGGCGTGCAGTCAAGACGTCGCTCTCTTAACTTGAAATATATTTTAAAGTATAGAAAACAAGTAACGATGATGGTGATTTCGAAGAAAAACGCCAGAACAATTTGAGTGGTGTTTTTGTTGAAAGCGATAGATATACCACATACAGCCGATATGATCCATGTTAACAGACAACCATATAATGTTAGTCTCTTACTGAGCCATAAGTTGGCTTTAAATGGATAAACAATAGCTATATACCTTTCAAGGCACATAATAAATATCGTTAAAAACGATGCTTCGAATGTTATCCAAAATATTGACATCGACACAATCCTTGCTGGCTTTGAGAGAAACAGTGTTTTGATTCCCCAAAGAGACGAGTTTATCCCCGTCAATGCATCGGCCATTGCAACATTTGCGACTAAGTAAGCACCATTTGATATGAAGATTTTTTCTGAGTTACGAAACATGGCGATAAGGAGAAGACCGTTCAGTATGACGGCCATTAATCCAATGCTGGTAGTTAAAATATCGTAAGGTGTTGGTTCTTTTCCATAGCTGTTTTTCTGTTGGGAAATGTTGTTCAATATCTCGCCTTCACTAATGTTAAACATTTTTTACATCGACAGTTGACTTTCTCAAACCTTTTCTTATATTGATAGGTTAACGCTTCAATTTTAAAATATTATTTTTAAAGATTGGCTCACTGGACTTGCACGCAAGATGAATAAGATCATGATAATTGCCTATGTGGTTTACAGTCATGTTATTGCGACATGCTGAATAATATATTCATACATCATTATTTGTCAAAGCTTTAATTATAGAACAAAGTATTACAGGATATCAATGTGTCAAAACGTCAAAATGCATTTTTGCGATACAATGCAAACTAGCATTTCTTCTATTGCAAAGCAATTCGTCTCTACTTCAGTTTCCAATCTAATCTTTAGCTCTCGAAATTCTCCGGTTATCGTTATAGCTAATCCTTTTTATTACTTTGTCATCAAAGAAAGAAGGACACATTCCTTTTTCTTTCACGTATATGTCTACTCAACAGATTGCTATCTACTTAAAATGAGATTACTTTTTAATGAAAAATGAACAAAACCATTTTCCCATGCATCGCCATTCAATTTAACAACAACTGCTTGCATTGACAGCATATGTTGCTACGTTTCATGCAGACAGCTTTGTTTGGATGAAAAAACCAACGATGTCGTTTTATAGTTTTTGTGTATTTTTTTATGCCCCTGTAAAACTATTGCTACATCATTATTAGGCTTATTGCAATATTTTGCCATCTTCTATAATGAAATATCTCCTGTTAGAATTATTCATTATTTGCTTGTATAGCTGGCATATTTTACAAATTGCATCTTCATGAATATATGTTATTGTATATAAATTAAAGCTCACATCATGATAATCATGGAAGACACAGAGCCGCATAGCAATTATCTTTACAAAAATAAAAGCACTGGAACAAAGTAAAGAGGGGTTTGAATGCATCATTCATGTCATTTCTATCTTCTCTTCATGAAGATGCCTCAATCAAAATAACGACTTCAATATAGGAATAAAGTAAATGGTTTGAACCCGGGAGTATCGTTACATGTTTGTAAATGTAGATCGTCCACGTAGGTATAGTCCTGAGAAAGACTGTTTTTGTTGTTGTTGACGTTTCGACAACCTTAGCGGTAGTCATCTTCAGAATCAAAGATGACTACCGCTCTGACTCTGAAGATGACTACCGCTAAGGTTGTCGAAACGTCAGTCAACAACAACAAAAACAGTCCTTCTCAGGACTATACCAACCTGGACGATCTACATTTACAAACATGTTTAATATAGGAAGTCATTCTACTAAGCCAAAGTTGTTGAAAAGGCAATACGATTATTGTTATCTTTCATGTCTTTTCTCCACCTGAACACAATGTCGTCGTCTATTGCGGCTTATCATCGTCAACAATCAAAACACAAGAGCATATATGTATATATATGGATACACAAAGACGCTTTTGCTCAAACTGTCCCAGTGGTTATTCTTTCGAACTTTTTGTTTTGGAAAAAAAAGAGCAAAAAATGGCAATTCATATAGCTCACCAAAGACGCTTTGCTCAAACTGTCCCATTGATTATAAGGAGATGTCCCAAATAAAATAACTCCATATAAAATTCTTCAAGTTGTAAATATATGTATGCATAACTTGACGCTATTGAACAGTGTGTACAAAGTTCTGTAATTCTTTAAATATACAATGTAAAGATAGGAATTTCCTGGTTTTATGCAGTGGTTTTTATCATGTCCATACATGCATTGTTAACGTTTCAGCAAATGAAGTCAAACGGATTTTTGTGTCGCTCTAATTAAAGCAACTTAAATTTTCGCAGAAAACACATGCCATGACATAAGCAAAAAAATTGATTAAAAATATTTTGAAAATGCCCATTCACGAAAGATGGCAAGTCCATCTACGAGAGTATCTACATGCACAGAAAAATGGTGTAAACATATCAATGGCAGTGTGCGTGTTTTGCTTGAAGTAAATGATTTAAAATAAATAAGCGTCTACAAACATCAACGAATTAGGAAGTGTTTAGTAATGACAGATGTTTCTTTTGCTAGAGCAGCAGAAGTTTATCATGCAATGTTTACAGTTGTATTGAGGTACAGAGGATACAATAACATATATTCATGAAGATGCAATTTGTAAAATAACTGACAGCTATACAAGTAAATAATGAATAATTCTAACAGGAGATATTTCATTATAGATGATTGCAAAATATTGCAATAAGTCTAATAATGATGTAGCAATAGTTTTTACAGGGGCATAAAAAAAATACACAAAAACTATAAAACGACATCGTTGGTTTTTTCATCCAAACAAAGCTGTCTGCATGAAACGTAGCAACATATGCTGTCAATGCAAGCAGTTGTTGTTAAATGGTTTTCGCATGGTTTTGTTCATTTTTCATTAAAAAGTAATCTCATTTTAAGTATATAGCAATCTGTTGAGTAGACATATACGTGAAAGAAAAAGGAATGTGTCCTTCTTTCTTTGATGACAAAGTAATAAAAAGGATTAGCTATAACGATAACCGGAGAATTTCGAGAGCTAAAGATTAGATTGGAAACTGAAGTAGAGACGAATTGCTTTGCAATAGAAGAAATGCTAGTTTGCATTGTATCGCAAAAATGCATTTTGACGTTTTGACACATTGATATCCTGTAATACTTTGTTCTATAATTAAAGCTTTGACAAATAATGATGTATGAATATATTATTCAGCATGTCGCAATAACATGACTGTAAACCACATAGGCAATTATCATGATCTTATTAATCTTGCGTGCAAGTCCAGATAATCTTTTAAAGATAGGCTTTTTTCTGAAGCAAATCTTGAAAAGAAGAGATGTGCACTTATATGTATAGACAATAGTCTTCAATTGTTAGAAAGACATAAAGCCGTGAAAGATGGTAGAAATATAAAAGAAGAAATTCTTTCCTAAAATCATCCATTCAATCATAGCTTTCTAATTAATTTAGACAACATAGGTTTATGCTGCACGAGTTCCACAATTACTGACGAAACTTGCTTTGTTTAAACACTGTGCTAATTTACGAAGTTTCAAAATGAAGTACTTTTAAAATGGCGAAAAAGTCGTTTAATTAAAATGAAATGAATATTTATGGCGGCTTATGCATCTTAAATTGGATTTTTTCAAGTCATATGTTCAAACTCTTCAAATGGCGGCGTCTACAAGCCGTAAGTTGCCTTTTTTTATTTATCTAGTTCACGCATTCGTTATCCAGATACATTTTCCTTGTTAAATATAGTTCCTTCGTCAAAACTAAAGATAAAAATAAGCCAATAAACTTTTTCATTATTATCTTTAACCACCAATACCACGTTAATCTAATTTTATCCATGCAGATAAGCGGTTTTCAGATTTCTTGACTAGCTACGAATTGACGAGGCTTCAACTGTCAAAAATACACGACCGTAGCCTAAAAAATCGCTATCGCCTTCAATTTACAGCTTTCAATAGGTAAGCAATAAAGAAATAAGTTAATCAAAGAATAAAATGAACTTAGAAAATGCTTCTTGTTTTTAAAGAAATTTTACTGCAGAATTATGGACTGTTCATAATTCAGTTTTAACACACGTCAAATTGAATGTTGTTAAAAAAGAAAAGAAAATCACACAAAATTTTCCTAAAAATCTTCTTTATGAAGGAAGATTGAAAGGTAAAACAAACTTAAACAAAGGGTATTGAAAAAGAATTTGTTAGATCACACAACTATTTTGCTCTTCCTGTAGACGACAAACTATCACATCTCTCAGGCTACGTTTTCCAACAGAAATTTATCGGTGAAATAAGAAGCAAAATATTTGGAGTGATGTACATTGAAGAGCTGTCTTCGAGTAACACCGAGGATAATATGGAAAACGTCAACAACAATGTTGTCATTTACAGGCTTCAAGATATGATCAATCAATGTCCTTCGTGCTCCTATAGAGTACTTCAATCACCCCAAGTTCATTACAGAAGGTTTTACAAGCGAAGGAATGACAATAAAGAGGCAAAGTATACTAGTTGTCCGATATATGTAGCAGCTGACAGCATGTTCTATAATCATATTGGAGGAAAAAGCGTTTCAAAGACTGTGGCAAAGATGGCCTACCACGTGACACAAGCCGATAAAATATTCCGACGTACAGTTTTCGATGGACAAAGCACGAGCGTTGGGATAGTCATCGCCTCGCTAACGGTGTATGAAGATAGCCAATCACATTGTACGACGTACATATAATAACCAATCATAGTGCGAATTATCTTTCCTTTTATAAAATCATTTTGCTTTCTAGTGAAAAAAGACAAAGATGAATATTTTAAGCAATGGAGTCGTATGAACCACGGTAACTATTGTCTCAGTATTTTATTCACATATAGCGACTTTTCCGGTGGAGTCCTGGGTCTGGCTTGGCAAGCTGAACCCAATACAATAGGTGGAATATGTGAAGGTTGGAATAAATATTACAAAATGTCCTTCAATACGGCCATGGTGACTTTTCTTAATTACGGAAAAGTGATTAATGATCGACTTGGAACTTTAACTGTTGCTCACGAGCTTGGTCATGCCTTTGGATCTAAGGTATAGGACATCTGTTGATGCAATGGGATCTTAATGGGATCTTTAACGAGAAATTTCATTGGACGATTTTAGCATGATCCAGAAGCGTGCCAACCGGGAGGAAATGAAGGAAATTACTTGATGTACGAGTACTCCAGTGATACAGCTCACCCAAACAATGACAAGTTTTCACCATGTAGTATAAGGGAAATGTCGAGAGTACTCGACGTCAGAAGCAAACATTGCTTCATTGGTAACGTAATTTTTGTCTCAGTTACAACTAGATTCAGAATAAAACAATCACATGATTTTGTTTCATAGATGGGGATTCCTACTGTGGTAATGGGATCATTGACGAAAACGAAGTATGTGACTGTGGAACTGTAGCCCAATGTCACAAACGGGATCCTTGTTGTGTTGCAAGAGACACGTCGCGTGGCATTCCTGGATGTTCTCTACAACCTTTCTCTCAATGCAGGTACACCATGGGTTTTGAAGGGATAACGAAGGATTCGCTAAAACATTTAATGTGAATAATTTAGTCAATCGACTGGACCATGTTGCAGTAATGAATGTCGGTTTGTCAATGAAACAGAGATGAAAGTTTGCCAAAAAGAGACAGAATGTTCTTATGTTTCACATTGTAAGAAAAATTCAAAACTTTTTATCCTTACTTATCCAGAGGACATCCATACTATCCCTACTTATCCAGCCATCCATCTTAAACCCAATTTGTTAAGGTGTCGATGGTTCATGTCCTGTACCTCGATTCAAATTAAACAAGACACTTTGCAACAATGGATCAAATGTGTGCGAAAACGGTCGATGTGAGGGATCAAGGTGTTCGTTGTTGGATCTTGAACAGTGTTTATGTAAAGAAACCAAAAATCTTTGTCAAGTTTGTTGTAACAAAACAAACGTGCGTCAAATTTCATTTTATATAAATCAAAAACGGACCAGAACTCACCACCAAATACTCACTCATTTTAGGGTGAATGTGTTCCTATAGCAACATTGATAGGTGAAATTATATGGCAAGCTCAAAACACATCATGTGGACAAGACAAATACTGTGATGATGATGGAAATTGTTTACAACCAAAACATCAATCTCGCCTGAAGGTTTCCTTTGATGACATAATCAATTTTCTTAAAAAGAACTGGTAATTATTCACAATGTGATGAAAAAGCAAATTAAATCAAAGGTCCATATAACTCCAGAGAGTAAGGATAGGATATAACCTCAGTTAAATATTTCTTCCTTTCAGGTACATATTTATCATCGTTGTTGTTATGGCAAAAATTGTCAAGATGGCACATTCCCGTTGGCGTCATATGAACCAAAGGTCACAAGATCGTGAAGATGAAAACAACGAATTAGAGATGAATGCGATGAGTTGAATTATAGTGAATATATTTTTATGAATAATTAAGATATAAAGAATGGAATAATTAGTGTCACTTCTTAGTAAAAATATTGCAACAATACGAAATAAAGTTTTATTCAACGATGTAAAAATATTCAACTTAATTCATTTACAATGCACAGAGAAACAAAACAAGCTAAATAAGATAAGTTTTTGGAATTAAAATGCTTAATTATGAAATTTTTGCAACACCAACTTCATTCTGTTAAGCATTTAGATTCGTCCTCCTTTGTCATCCTTTCTAAAGAAAGTAGTTTCAACCACGTACAGTTTACATTGTCAAACATAAAAATATATCTCCAAAGACATTTTCTTTTTATCAATGGTTCCGTGGTTGGTAAAAATAAGTTTATCGTCATTTCAGGTTTTGCAAAACCTGTTTACTGCTCAAGGTTGTTTCTCTCTTTTGATTGGTTAAAGTCCTTCATCACTGGCAAAATATGATAGGATAGCGTTCTTTAATGAACTAATTTATGCAGAAAACTAAGTCACCAGCATCGGTCACCAGTCGTGATGCGAAACAAACGATTTTTTAATTTAAATCCTCCAATCACTTTGCAGATTATCGCGTCCCTGGGATACATAGACGCACTTTTACTCATCAGGCTGCAGTTTTGAAAAAGTCCCTTGAGATAGAACACGCTCTTCCAAAAAGCCGATTTTAAAGGAAATGGAGAATATTCGAGGTGAATAAGTAAAAAGAAAAACAGAATTAAAAACAATTTACGAAAAACCAACAACCTTCTTCTACTGCACAGAAATAACAAAACATTCGTACACAGTTAAAAAACTTTCAAAGGGTTCGTATGAAATAGATTCAAGAAAATAATGCTCAAGAAATTCATTTCTTCATTTGCAGAACGATCCACGGCTTCAAAAACTAAAGAAGCAACAAAAACAAAAGAAGCTAAAGGTTTGTTGTACTTTGAGAGTCGCTTGCAATAAACAACTACACATCTTCGTGCGAGAAGTTTTCGCCTTTACTTTGCTCAGCTTGAGCTCATAAAAAATATTTGATAGAGAAACGTGGAACACAAAAATGTGTGGACAACGAAACCATATCATAAAGTATTACGATTAACTTTCGATATTTTCTTTCATGAATTCTCAACTTTCATTTCAAGAGAGCAGTTTACAAACCGCAGGGAAGTTTGTGATAGCAAATCAAGTTTGGCAAAAATCAACTGCAACCCGAACTAGTGACGTTGTCATTATCTTTCCACCAAATACTGAAGAGAAAATTGTGATGGGGCTATTGTCACGCATGCGTTCACGTATACCGGAAGTTGAAATCCACGTTCGAATGATGACCGATAAACAGGCATACGGGTTCTTTCTTACGTCATCCATCGAAGTGTTTCTGGAAAAAGCAGAAGAAATGGAGTTGAAAAAGAAACTTAAGAATGGGGGAATGGCCGAGTTTGAAGTGGAAAATAAAAATGAATTCCTGAACATCGATGATCCGGAATTATTCTTCACATCTGGAGACCGTCAGAGTATAATTATGGAATTTGTGAATAATATGAGAGCCATAGAAGGCGACGAGATAGCGGGGATAAAGTTTGTTCCTGGTCAAACCATTGGTAATAAAATAATGCCCTTAATCTTCCCTTAACTTTTAAAAATGTGCGTCCATAATTTTATATTTTATGATTTAGTTCCCAAGCTCTTGGTCGAGGAAGTGATTCAGCAAATCTTTCCTCTGCACGACAACGATGATTTAGTCAATCTTCGCAAGACTTGGGTTAAAGCTTTCTTTAAAGCACAACCTTTAGGTAAATCACATTGTGCAAAACTTACTTTAAAAGTCACGAGAAAAAATCGAAACCTTCACGTGATTGTAGATGATATTCGAGATTATTTTGGAGTAAAAATCGCCCTGTACTTTGGTTGGCTGGGAATGTATACGAAATGGTTGTTTGCGCCCGCGATCCTCGGTATCGTTATGTTTGTTTTGATGGATTTCGGAGAGGTCATAAGAGATTGGTGCATGTTTACATTCAGTATCTTCAACATTGTCTGGGCGACGCTCTACCTAGAGGCCTGGAAACGAAAATCTGCAGAGTTGGCATACAGATGGGGAACACTGGATATGCCGTCCGAGTACCTCAAGGATCCCAGGGTGCTCTTTGAGGTAATTATGGATCTATAAAATACCATAAAAATTTCTTCTTAGTAGACGTATGTTGTTGCTTCCTAGGGAGATTGGAAACCAAGTGCAATTACTGGGAGAATGGAACCAAAGTATCCTTCATGGAAACGCAATGTTTTTAGATATTGCGTCACGCTTCCCGTGATCCTCTTGTCATTGGTTGTCGTATTTATTGTAATGATCGTTGTATTTGAGTTTCAACGATGGGTTGATGGCATGGATAATCCACCAAAATGGCTCAAGTTCCTACCAAAGATAGCGTTAGCAGTTTCTATTGGAAAAATGGACGATATCTATAAAAGAATCGCATATAAACTGAACGACCAAGGTATGTAAACGAAAAAAAGACATCGACAAAGATAACTGAAGAATGTCTCCATCAATATGAAGTTACGCAAACAAAGAATGGACAGTACACCGTATCAAACTTTTATGTTTCAGAAAATTATCGTCTTGATCAAACGTATGAGAATCATCTCATTGTAAAGCTAGTTTCTGTAAGTATCAATGATAGATGGGAACAGCTAAAATCAATTACGTAGAAATAGTTAGGATCACAAAGAAATAATTAGGATCACAAAGGAACAATTAGGATCACTAAGAAACAGTTGGGATCATAAAGAAAGAGTTTGGACATAAGATCACGAAGGAAAAATAGGATCACGGAGAAAAAATTAGGGTCACAAAGGAATAGTAAGGATCACAAAAAGATCATCAAAGAATGGTTAGATAATATTGGCACAATTTCTTATTTTTCCTTGCAGTTCCAATTCTTCAATGCATATTTGTCTCTTTTCTACATCGCTTTCTCCCTCATGAACTTTAACAAACTTAAAGAAGTAAGTAAAAGCTTTGTTTCGAAAATTTGTGCCATTAAAATGTTTTCATGAGAACGGAAGGAAAATGAATTTCAGCAAAAAAGATTTCACATTGACCTTACAACATTTCTTACTTTGAAGCAACTAGGTGCTTTGTTAATTACAAAACAAGTGATCGGAAATGTGAAAGAGACACTTATACCATTCATAAAACAAAAAGTAAAGGAGTTTAAAGAGAACAGAAAAAGAAAAAGAAAGGCGAAGAAAAGACAGAAAAAGTGAAGAAAGGTAACGAAAATATTGACGAGGACGAAACAAATAATTTGGAGACAACTAAAACAAAACAACCTGAAATTGAGGCAGCCATGCCTGTTTATGAGGTTAGATTTATTTCCCCAGTACTGTAACTCAGTTTGAAAACGGTCCTCATTAACATGCTACATTTGATTTCATCAAAGGACACGTTTGAAGACTATTTGGAAATGTTCATCCAGTTTGGATACGTTGTTTTATTCTCCAGCGCCTTTCCACTTGCGGGCCTATGTGCACTTCTCAACAATGTCATAGAGATTCGTAGCGACGCGTTTAAACTTTGTACAAACCTACAAAGACCGTTTGGAGTACGCGTCGAAAATATTGGCACCTGGCAGGTATCAGGTTTAGTTATGACAGCGTGGAATGTGCTTCAAACTATGAAGTGTTGTGAAATAACAGTATTTTAACAAATATAACGTGCGTTTTCTCACCCATCACCAGCATTTATAACTGTATCACGTGGATTTTTTACACCCGTCACCAGCATTTATAACTGTATCACGTGGATTTTTACACCCGTCACCAGCATTTATAACTGTATCACGTGGATTTTCTCACACATCATCAGCATTTATAACTGTATCACGTGGATTTTTTTACCCCATCACTAGAATTTATAACTGTATCACGTGGATTTTCTACACCCGTCACCAGCATTTATAACTGTATCACGTGGATTTTTTTACCCCATCACTAGAATTTACAACTGTATCACGTGGATTTCTTACCCACATCACTAGAATTTACAGCTGTATCACGTGGGTTTCTTACCCACATCACCAGAATTTATAACTGTATCACGTGGATTTCTTACCCCCATCAACAGAATTTATCACTGAATCACGTGGATTTCTTACCCCTATCACCAGAATTTACAATTGTATCACGTGGGTTTCTTACCCACATCGCCAGAATTTATAACTATATCACTTGACTTTTTCACCAACATCACCACCAATTTATTTACTATCACAAAACGTATATTAAGGACGCAATGGAGTTAATGGGAGTGATTGCTGTTATTGTTAATCTTGCCTTGTTGGGAATTGGTGGATCATTAACCCGACTGTTTCCGGGAATGACGTCAGCACAGCGCATTTTACTGATTGTAGCAATGGAGGTACTGGTCAACATCCTTACTACAACCGTCTTCCATTATCACATATATGACATCCACATTAATCAAATCCATTGTTTTAGCACGTGGTACTGGCAATTAAGTTTGCAATATCCTACGCTATCCCTGATATCCCTGAATGGGTGGAGAACGAAATCGCTAAAGTGGAGTTTAGAAGACGGGAAGCTGAGAAAAATGAGAAAGCTTCCAAGGTCTGTTAATCTGTTTTTTCATCCGATCCGGGTACCGTGACTTTTCGTTTAACTAATTTTTATAATCTCTCTTTCCGTATTACATTATTTAGATGATGCAAAAATTCGTCAAAACAAAAGGCGAATCAAAAGTTTAATTAAATCAACATTAAAGCATCGACAGAAATCGCAACACGCTCACGATGAAAACTGGACATAGTCACAACCCTTGCTTTTGTTCGATGGTAAATTACCATCTGACAGTTTATTTTCAATGGTAGATTACCATCATTTTTGTCGTATTTCGTATTTTATTGCTCATTTGTGCATTGTGATTGTAAAAGTTTACGGCATTTAAACTTTTGCTGCGTAAACAAGAAATGAAAAAGAGGAAAATCTCTTGTGTCGCATTGCGTTTATATTAATTTGTTTAGTTTGCCTTTGATCGCAAATTATTTAGATTTAAATCACTATCCGACAGTTTTTACTGATGGTAAACTCTCATTAACCAGTTTTGGTTCAATGGTAAATTACCACGTGACACTTTTCACTCAATGGTAAATTACTATCAGATTGTCAACCGCAATGAGCATCATTGAAAAGCATTTTACCGTTGATTTTCATATTAGTTAAGTGTCAATAATCCATGACATTACGAAGATATGACTACAAAACGAACAAGTTTACCACTGCGTACCTCTCTCAGTTTGGAACAATGACGAAGTATGTTTAAGATCGCCATTCCAGTCTTGTCCATTTTAAAGTTTGTAAACTGTTTTAGATCTTTATCCACAAAGAAATAACATCCTTCAAGTAGAAAACAGAAGTTGAACAAGTATTTTGGATGAGGGGGTAGAGGGTAGAGGAAGAGTAAGGGTACAGGGGGAAAAATGTAAGGGTAGAGGAGAGGGTAAGAATGTAAGGGTAGAGGAGTTAAATTACATTTCAAAATTTCAAAATTAACAGGTTCAAGAAACGGCTATTTTCACAGAGTATTTTGTTTGTTAGTTCAGCATCAGTTTACTTCAATCATTAACTTTTAATCCATGCTCCATGAATTGTATTTTTCATTGTGTTTAAAGTTGTGTAAGGTTGTGATAGTTGATACAAATGTAGTTATGTACAGGGAAATTTTATTTGGATGATGAAGAAGGATGTTTTGAAGCTCTTAAAGTTGTATAAAGAGGACAGATAGTTACTTTAAAGGAAAGGTTACATTCAAGACTTTGTTCCTATTATAGTATAATGTACAATATGTCAAAATTCATGATTATTCATCAATCTAAAAAAATGCCATTAAGAAAATCTACCTTTTGTTTCTTCATTCTCCTGTTCCTTAAACTCCTAAGAAAATTATATTTTTATTCAAATACACCATATGCACAACAATTATTCACAAATCTAAACGTACTCTGTATTTCTTCATAATATCTTCGCCCATTCCTGCCCTCTTTGTAGCCAGGATTTTATATTTTGTCATTAAAACTTCATTCATTTGATCAATGGCTGAATTCACTTGTGCATATTTCATTCGACCTTTCAAATATCTAAGTGTGGATAGATTAAAAAATCATTAAATAATTCAGCGAGAGAGATTTAGTGCTGATGAAATATCTTCACTTGCCTTGGTGCATTTTCAAACTCTTCCATAGTAAGATAACCAATTTTATGATAGTTAACAACTGTTTTGCTTGATTTGACATCTTGTTTTTTAATCTCGTTTTCTTTGCATTTATCTCTTTCACATAAAACTGGTTGACTTATCGGCACATTCAGCCTGTCATAAGTTGGCAAATAACAGTAAAAGATATTGCATTTGTTCAAAATTAATTGCCAGATATCATTGCTAGATAGCATTTGAGTTTCAAAAAACCTTAGTACTGTTGTAAAAGTATTTTGAATTTCATATTGAGCAGCTTTAACTTGATTATAGCTAGATCTGTCACAATGAGATTATGCCTATATGTGGAAGGACTGTTTAAGGAAAAAGTGAAGGAGTATACCCCCCCCCCTGGTAGACCTTCCTGTTCCCACAAGTAAGCAAAATTCAATATTTGCCAATGAAGAGGCAAATATGCAGTATCTAAATGACCATACCTTGCGCCAGGGAGATATTTCGGCATATTCGATGCAATGTATTCTCCTCTTTCTTTAAAGGATTGAAGGACCTTTTTCAAATTTTCCGCCTCTTTAAAAAGCGTCTTTGCATTTTTTATGTCATTTTTAAAAGCATTTATCATATCTTCAAGTTCAGTTAGCTCTTGATGGAGTACTTTCAATACCTCCATGGAATTTTCATCCTCCTCTAGACAAAAAAAATATGAAAGAATGGTCTATTGCAGATAGTTACTGAATGTCGTGTACAAAAAAGACAAAACTCTTAACAAATGCGTACTAGGCAGTTTATGAAAGCTACCTACAAAATAAAAATTCTTACCAATTCCTTTAAGCTCTATAATCTGTAAAACTTTAGCACATTTTGCTTCAAAATAAAGTCGAAGATCTTCGATTGATGCTACAGCAGTCGCCATTTTTAAACTTCCCGCCTAAAATTAATTAATCGACTTATCAACCCCCTGGTAAATACACGTAACACGCCCTCCTAACTCCCCCCGGTAACGATAGCTGTAATACTAAGAGCCCTATCTATCCCTTACAAAATTTATTTAATCTCAAAGTAGCTTATTGTGAAAATTTTATGGATAATTGAATATGTTCAATGGCAATACAGTTGTTGATACTCACTGTGAAAATATTTGTGAAATAACTGTTTCATTTGACCTTTGCTTTCTGTAACAATTGTCTAAAATCTTTCTTCATGAATACTTTTTTAATATTGCTTTAATTTTTCTTCAAGATGGGGTTATCCATATCAAAACAAATATTTAATTCAAGGTCTGACAAAATATTGCTAAAATAAATTGAAGATTAACAGTAAAGAATCGTTTGTTCGTCCAAATTTTCCCCTTAACGTGGGCGTGATTTAAATGTTAATGAAACATGTCAATGACAAAAATATGTTTTAACGAGAAGTATATGATAAAACAAATACACTGCAAAGTTTTATAATTAAAATAATAAAGTATCTCTCGGTCATAAAATCTTAAAAATATCAAATCAGAAACACCGACTTCGCTTCCAAAATCATTATTCGTAGCTTTCGATTGACGTGAGTCGCTCGTGTTGGGTATGTAAAATACTGGTTGGGATGGAAACCTACGAAATGGAGGTGACTTTGAAAGAGTTGACTTTGGAAGGCTAGCAGTAGGTTGTGGTGGAGTATTTTGAGAATAAATGTTTTTATTCTTTAAATGTATTTTCTCGTGTGGCTCAGTTTTTGATGGAAAAGGCAAACTGAGTGAATAAGGACGCTCAATCAAAGATGGATGGTCTTTCCTTTTATCACATAAACCATCTTCCGTTCCTGTTGAACACGACAAGTTCCCTTTACTTTCGCCCGGATATAGATAATGTTCATTTTGGGCATGTCTGATACACGTAGCAGCGAATTCGGTGACATCTTCATCGTTGAAATGAAGTTTCAAATCTAAAACGTCACCCTCTGATTGGATTCGCCTTAATGGTAGCTGTTTCAACGATGAAATGGAATTGGAGGTATTCGATTCATCATTGACAGCGTTTAAGCCTTTGTTGACATAGTTCGATGATGTATTAATTGTTAGATTGACTCTGCTTTTTGAAGTAGAATCAACGACATCGGGTCTGCCATCTAAACTAAAGTTTTTTTCCTTTTTATCAAAGGAAATAGGACGATTTTCAGTGTCATTAATACTTTCACTATTGGCTGTTGTCCCAGTATCGTTAAAACATTGTACATTCTTGTTGTTAGGATGATTGTTTGCAATTTCCTGTGAGCGATTTTGTTCAGGAAGTGTTTTCTTAGTCAAATCTTTCTTGTTTTGATTATTTGTGGTTAACGAGACCCCCTCGCTACTGATTTTCCCGGTGACATGAATACATGTGGCATTTTCCTTGACAATTAAATTATTCGTGACACAATTGTCGACGAGTTCCTTCAAGGCTTGCTCCAATTCTTCAAAGGATCTTGATTGACTCGATCTCCTAGCAAACATCTCTCGACGATCATTTATTTCGCTGCTAAGTTTTCTCTGTTTTCTGGACTTAACGTTGCGGACCTTTTCACCTTTTTCCTTCTCCATTTGAACTTTGCTCGTTGTCTTTTGCATCCACTGATTAAGTCTGGCATTTATTTGTTCAGAAAACGAGACCTTTCCATCATTCAAAGACATTTTTTAACAGAAAAACTTCCAGACAAAAGGATTTAACAACCTCAGGTTAATTTGACTAGGAAGACTGTAGACACAGGAGAATCGAGAGCAAAAAGTCACTCAAAAATGATATAATGCAATGCTGTTGAATAAAATACCAAAAGCTTCAGCCCAAGTACTCTGATTATGCCTTTATATGAAGACAATAAAAATATCACAACTGTTGTCTTCAAACTTTTCTATCATTGACAGCTACCTTCACTCACAAGTCTCCAGTATTTGTTGAATGCTACAAGCCTAAACAGCTAAGTGATAATATAGTCCAAAGTATTATAGAGCTTCCGTACACAGTACCTTAATTGCTGTTTTTTTATTGGCTGATTTCCCATCTCTATGTATCAAAGTATCAATGGTCGAGCGGTTGTCAAGTTCTATAAGAAAAAGTTTTGTACATTCAACTATTCGGTCAATTTTGTTTTTCTGGCACTAAACTTGTACATCAACAGTTTAAAACATTCGGTGGCGCAGCTAGGAAAGGTCAAAATATGTTATAGAAGCTCAATTGAAATTCAAATGCTGTTGGTTAAAAATTTCTCCAGAATATTTAAGACAAAAATAATGTATTTTGACCGCCACTGAATACATTAAAATACCTTCATCTCAATTTACTTATTTATTCCGACAAAAGCAAATTAAGTAGTGTTATAATAACTACCCCCCATATTACACTTGCTCGAAAATACATTTGCAACTATTATTTTACCAAGGAGACAGGATAGATAGGAATTTAAAATTTTTTATATAAACACATACATGCTTGCTAGAAATAAGACATACAAACGACGAGCCACGCGATGCAAAGTTTACTGGGATCGCATATCACGTTCATTACTTTATTTGGTTTACATGTCTTGGGCAATCTTCCGCCAAAACTTGATGCCAGCAATTAAATTAGTCCCAGTCTTTCCATGCACGGCCAGAACGTGTCTTTACCTTCAGGCAGGCGTATTTAGATGTAAAATTTGGTGGCTTGTGAGAAAAATTATATGTATCTAAGTAGCCTACCATATGTAAGCAATGTAAACAACATGTTTGAACTTGTTTGAGTAACAATCCCCCCCCCGGAATCTATCAACGACTGTATTGGATAAATTATTTCTCATGGATGAGGTAATCCAAGGTGGCTAACCAAGAGAGTCACTGCAACATTGAAACAAAGTATATTCCTCGTGACAGAACCTTGATAAAACTCACTAAACTGATGTATGATATAAAAGTATGAGAAAGGATGTTTAGATGAAGATAAAGCTTAAGAAAAAGAATTGTTTTCATAACAAAGATAATACGGTAGGTACCTGATTTTCTTTCTCATACAATGCCACCTGCAAGCCAAAGAGCAATAAAAGTCTTTGCTTGTGAAAAAAATTATTACATCAATCATAAAGATTATCAAAGTTATATTTCAATTAGGTTCTTCACAATTGCTGACGTTTTTGTCGTTCTTTCAAGTATTTTTAAGGTGTTAACGAAACAAGAGCAATAAAAGAAAAGTCTAAATCATGATGTAGTCTCGATATACGTTTCTTGTATAAAACAAAGCATTACAACAAAAACCAAAAAAGTTTCCGTTAAAAAGACGACTTCAGTAATAAAAATATCAAAATCAGCGTCACTTTACTCGCGCAAAGAACAAGACATAAGTCGAATTTTTGCATTAATCAAAAATAAAAGTTCTTTCATAGAAAACTTAACTACCGTCACGACGAGCTTACTACGTGTTATTCGTCACACTTGGTGGAACAAAGAAAATGTTACTTTTTGAAATACTTTCGTTGGATCAATCATCAAAGTATTTTTACCAATAATCGCGTGACAGAACTATAGCAGAAATTGCACAATAGCATGTTAACATAATGATGAAATAAAATAATGTCCTATCGGCCTCAAACGGTGAATTGCTGAAGAGAAAATTTATGCACAACTATAATTATTAAATAGCAAGTGTAATACATATTTATTTCTACTTCCGTAGAGCAACTATGATATTGATGTGAAGGTATGGAAATGAGCACTGATAACGTTATGACACGGGTTGTTCGAAAAGGAAAATTGGACACTTCTGCTTATTATTTACGGTATTTTGTCTTATCTGTGTGGTTAAAAATGTAATAGTTAAACAAGCAGCTGACGACGGAGACTTCAAGGAAAAGAATCGCCAATATGTACACATCGGTATGAGCTTACATTAATACAATTATGGCTTATTATTATCGAATGATTGCCTATGAATATGAAACATAAGATTGATACAATTTTGCTTCATTGTTATCCAATCATTGCGAATAAAGTTAAGTGATTAGATGAATTTTCATAAGGACGCGATGTTTGATAGCGAGAAGTTGTATATGACAACGTCAGCTACGGTCTACCGAGCTCAACAAATATAATTGGATTTGTTTTATCAAACTTGATGATACATCAATAATCGGAGACTATTTTCAATGTGCTAAAATAAAACTATTGTGAAAGCTATGGATGCTTTTCAAAAACATCCATAAGACAACAAATTCATGCGCCAATTTCATGTTGTTTTTCGTTTCTAATTATAGGTCATTTCAGTTCTCGCCGCATGCTTACGGAGTCAAATAACGAGTCATGTGTCCAGCCTGCAATACTGGAATTCCCCCGTGATTTATTGAACAATAATCAAAGGTTGCATGGAGGGCTAATACTTCATTTTATAGGAGCACTTTACATGTTTTGTGCAATAACGATAATCTGCGATGATTATTTCGTACCTGTACTTGATGTAATCTGTGACCGTTGCAACCTGCAGAGCGATGTCGCTGGGGCAACATTCATGGCTTTAGGAAGTTCTGCCCCAGAACTCTTTGCTTCAGTTATAGGTACGTAGTGGTAGGTGATTTACTGTGATCTATTAAGGACAAACAAGGCTGTGGTTAAATACATATTCACAGGAAATTAACACTCAAGTGTCGGCATTGATGTCATTTGTGAGATGATGATCTTACACCTAACCGAGTTGAATATTCAATTGCCTTTTTTCCTCTTTTCAGGCGTATTTGTAACAAAAGGTGACATAGGAACAGGAACTATACTTGGCTCGGCTGTCTTTAATGTTTTATTCGTTATTGGAGTTTGCGCGCTGTTTTCTGGTCACGTGAGTTTCAATGATAAAATAACAGGGATTTCCGGGATACATTTCACAAAATTTTTCTTATCTTTAGGTTCTCAAGTTATCTTGGTGGCCGATTGTTCGAGATCTAATGTCATACCTTGTTGCGTTGATAGCATTAGTGCTGGTGATTATGGATGATGTTGTTCAATGGTAGGTCCTCCGAAATAATCATTGTTTTACCTGTGAAGAGAAGAATCTTCAACTAAGGATTAACACGATCTATTCACAGATACTCCTGACTAAATATTTTCATTCTTTTTTAAGGTATGAATCTTTGGTGATGATGTGTAGTTATTCCTTTTATTTAATTCTTATGTACTTTAATCCTCGCATTGAGAAATTTCTCTATCGTATAACAAAGACGACCAAGGAACCTATGCAATCCTCGACGTTCAACGAATATACCATTGTGTCCCCAAGAGAACCCGAGCTATTAAGCTCGTCGGAGCTGCTTCACCATACTAAAGAAAATGAAAACGACGAGTTAAAGTCGGTGTTAATGAATGATGTTAATGAAATGAGTGAGAGCAGCAAGTTAATTACTGAACAAGATGAAGATGAGGGAATAAGGCAAGATGCATCCAGTAATATAAGCTCACCGGACAAAGGTTAGTGATTCAGATGACATGCAAGTCATCCGCTGGCTCTAACGATCACGGTTTCTTTAAGGTAGGGGATCTCGTCTTTCGGAGATGGACGCGGTTGTGCCCAATCCATTTCACCCACCAAAAGGCAAGTTTCAGAAGTTGTGTTGGTCTTTATCATTGCCATTAAACGTGTGTTTTTACTACACCATACCGGATGTACGTCGTCAAAGCCGTAGGATATGGTATCCACTATCTTTTGTTGTGTGTATATTCTGGATTGCTGTGACGTCATATGGTCTTGTTTGGATGGTAACCGTTATTGGTTACACCCTGGGACTTCCCGATACCGTAATGGGTTTAACATTGGTTGCGTTCGGTAGCAGTGTTCCCGATTGCATCTCTAGTTTAATCGTGGCTAAAAAAGGTCTGTGTTCTTCTCTTGATGACAAACAATAGTTATGACGTATGTAGTTGTGACGTACGTATTTGCGACGTAATCATAATATTTTGTTTTAAGGTGATGGTGACATGGCCTGCAGTCACACTGTTGGAAGTAACGTTTTTGACATCTTATTGTGTCTTGGTATACCTTGGACCATAAAGACTTTGTTGACTGGATCGAAATCATCGATAGATCTCAACAGTCATGGTCTGTTTATAAGTAGTTTCTTTATAATGGCTTCCATTTTACTTACATTTCTCATGATGCACTATTACGAATGGACTTTGACAAGAACTGTAGGTGTTACTTACATTATTGTCTATGTCATCTTTATCTCCATCGCCTGCATCATCGAGCTTAACGTGTTCGGTCAATTCAATCCACCGATGTGTGAACTAAGCCCCAGTTATTAGGGTTTTTTCATGTCCATTGATGTTCATCAACGTCCATCGATGTTCATCAATGTCCATCAATGTCCACCAACGTCCATCGATATCCATCAATGTCACCCTTTATGTACCAATTTCATTGCCAAACAAATTAGTCAATAAACAAGATCGGGGCTTCTCTACATGAATTGATGTTTTTTATACGGCCAACAAGGGTTATTTTGTATTTTGAACAGAATTTCTGGAAAAATTCTTTGAAAAGTAAGCTATGAATAACACGTTAACTAGTTAAGATGTAATCATACTTTCGCGAAACTATTTTAAAGCTTTTCCTTCCTTAAAAATTCGCTCATAGTGAAAAAATACAAGTCTGAAAAATATGAATATCATTGAAGTTTACGTATAATTTCCTTGTTGGAAAAATACTATATTTCATCCTCCTAAATAAATCTTTTGTCATTCTAAGAAAACATTTCACACCCCGATTTCTAGCAAAAAATCTGAAGTGAATAATTTTTAAAGGCAATGTTTCATCTCTCTATACTACCTTCGGTACTCTCCCCACCACCCTAAGTAATTACTACTATAATTTGTCCTATGTCCCATCCTGAATAACAGTTCACCCCCAGGCACCACCCCAGTAAAATATGAAAATCCGTCCATGGATCAAAACGTAGACAATCGGAGAACTTTATACTTGTAAAAAGTCGCTATCGTTTGCTGTAAATATTAGTAATATTCATTTGATTGGAGCGGGAACTAACGATGGAGTTTAGTAAACTTTGTCTTATTAAAGTTCATCCATTTTTACTGCTTTTGGTCCTTGTCGAACATTTAGCCAATAATTAATCCGATCCAAGGATGATTGACTCAAGGATTAATACGATCGAAAGACGATTAGCTTATGTCAACGACCTTCAGTGGCGACAAAACTTACCACTATACTAAACTACATTTACCACGCAGTAAGTTGATCTAGGCGCCAGCTGTGGGATTTCAAAAGAACAGGCTTTGCGGGCTGTGCTGGTACGTCTGTAAATTGAAGAAATCATTTTTTTAGAAATAATATCGATTCAAACATTTACCTGTACGGATGTGATAATATAAAGACGAAAACAGACAACGAATATCCATGAACCTTTTTCTTTCGTCTCCGTATTTCTCATTCCGTTGACAATTGCATTGGTTGTGGATTGTGGACCAAACTCCTACGAAAAAAAGTTGAAAATTATATCAAAGCATTTGAAAATGATAGGTAAAGGAATTTTGAAGACTTTTCCACCATAGTTGCCATTTCTTGAGAAGAATTTGAACTCCATATAGTGGGAATCGACGAATGAATAATATCAAGAAACTCCGACAGCATAATTTGAAGTTGACTGGCTTCGTTCTCGTAATGAAACATCATTAACATGCGTAGTAATGTAGACACTTCATCTAATGAGAATATAGATGGTCGAATTAAGTAAACTGTCTATTGATCATATGATGAATGACGTCATACATAAGTCACCTTTCATTTTATCAACAAATGAGATGGTTTCAACTAAAGCTTCCATCAACGCGATATCCTCGTATTGACTTCCTTTTTTAAGACTAACTCTATTACGTTGTGATTTTCTTCGATTTTTGCGCGACTTTCTGTAAAAAAGTTTGGTCGCAGAATAATAATCATAAAGAAGGGCCACTTAGGTGTGCATCGCGTCTTCACGTCCGCCATTACTCCAGCAAGATGCTTAAGGTTTTTCACTTGTTTCCAACCACTGCAATCACATGACGTCATTTCTTCGTAATGAAATCGAAAATATTTCAACATAAGAAACGACGTCCGGTCATTTTAGTGGTTGGGAACAAATGAAAAACTCTAAATATCTTGCTGGAATAATGGCAGCCGATATGCGCAGCACAACATGCGTAAAGACAAAAATATCTAAGGTTCCAACACGACTGACCCTACTGTATATTCAATATTCTGTGGTTTGGTCGATATTTGTGAGTGTAAGTTAAAGACGTACAGCGGTTTAATTTTAAGACATACCCTGTACTTCGTGACGTCCTAGATGAGACAGACGATGATGTCATTGTGCTTATCGCCGAAATACTGGACGAGTCAGAAAAAAGTTCCGCATTTGCGTCATCGTCTAAATCATTATCTACAATGAAGGTTATACGTGGATAAGTATGGTTATACGTGGATAAGTATGGTTTTACGGGGATATCAGTAAGATTGGTGTCAATGAAAATGGTAATAATGAAACAACCGTTGATCAAATCCATTTGTCGTTTTTCTTTCTCCGTTCGAACGATGTTTAATCTTGTCAGGTATTTTTGAAAATCGTCTTTCTTTGCCAGTAAAGATGATAACATTGTTTCCTGAACTGTAAATAACGTGTAGTTAAAGAACAAAATCCTATCGTTGAAGGTTTTTAATTCATCAACAAAAAATAGAAACCTTGTTGCAGAGCGGGTTGAACATCTGTCTCAATAATGTCAACTCGGTCATATTTGTAAATCTAAATAAAGTAATATCATTTTATTTTGTAAATAAAAAAATCATTCATATTTAATTTATTATCGATATTAACCAGTTTAAAATGGTGTATTAACAATTATTGGATGAGATTGAGTGAGCATGTCAAGAATTTTTCACGCCGAAAACAATGGTATTTGCAGAAGCGAATGCGAAAGACAAATTCATTAATTGTTTTCTTGTACAATTATCAAAACAGGAACTTTGAACTACTTTGTGCTTAATGAACATTCAACCATAATACTTTGTGTTATCTGTAGACTTTTAACCAACCACAATCGAGATTACACCATCAAGAAGAACAAAAAAGAACCAGTTATATTTCTACCTGTCTTAAAGCTTCATTCCAATATCTTCCTTCAATGAGACATTCAATCGCACTCTCGTGATCCTAGAACATAAACCAACATCAACAGTATGACATGCTGTGTAAACGATACAAATAAATATATTTCTTACGTCAGCGTAATCAATCAACACAACAGCAGCTTCATCTAGCCGATTATTCTCTTTCAAATAACCTATGTACAAACATAAAGAAATCATTAAAATAATCAACAATACTAGGTAGATGGTCTAACGATACCTGCCATTGAACGTGCTAAACTTAAGAGTTCCTCCCGAGATGAACGAAGCTTTCCAGTAGCCAAACTAAATACTTGTCGCCAGTTGCCAGCCTTCTGAAACGCTCGTAGAGCGTTGCCGTAGTCACCACAACGAAATAACACTACGTAGAAGATTAAAGTATTTTATAAAGATTACCATTACGTTGCTTCATCAAAGCTACAAGGACATAAGCACTACCTACACCTGCTTCTTCGTATTTTTTTCTATCCATAAGATATTCTCCGTAGCTTACTGCAATTGTTTTATATTCAGAACCCGAGAACAACCGCAAGGCTTCTTTATAGAGATTATGTTCCTTTATCAGTTCAAGACCTTCGCTGAATCTCTCAGAACCTAAAATGAATGAACTATCAACGACGAAGATAAGTTGAAAGGAAAAGTGAAATAAAACACAGACATACCGCACTTCGCGATATGTTGAAGAGCGTTTGAATAACGTTTTAAGTATTTATCGATGGAAAATTTTTGATAGTTTTCTTCTAATTTTCGGAGATTGTTTAAGAACGGTAAATACTCCTTGGGATCCTACGGAGTTGGTAAATATTTGAATATCTGGAACCACGTCAAGGTGAAATTCTTCAATATAACAAACTCACTTTCTGTGATTTTTCAGCAACCATTAACACGAGCTGAAAATCATACATTCCCAACGCAACATTAAACATTTTGTCGACGGGAACAAGAAACAAGAGGTATTTAAGAGCTTCATCGGCATTAGAAATCTGTTTACTATCTGAATAATGAAGAGTATAAAAAACTACGTAGGTAGGGAGAAACTGTTAAGAAAAAGATAACTTGACAATACATAGTTTGGATAAATACCAAATTCATTGAGTCAATAAATATTACCTTTAAGATCTTTGATTATTTTCAAAGCACTTTCAAGTTGCGGACTTGTATTCTTAACATATGATGTCAAGATGCTTAATATATATCTTTAACAAAGTACAAACAAGGCATTTAATAATAGTTTGTGTAATCACAACACGCAAGAACATCACGAATTGAGCGACATACTTGTTGCTATCGATGTCTTTTAATGTTTCCCTCATCATATCACATATTGTATCGACTTTGTTTTCAATAATCTGTGCTCTGTCGAAGTAGTAGTCTGAATATAATGTTGTCGTCACATCAACTTCACTATATAAACAAAAACGTTCAGAAATAATCAATGTCATGAATCTTGCAAAACGGATTAACGTATGAAAAGTCACCGACTTTAATTCCGAAAGAAACATATTAATGTATGCGACAGATTCCACTTCTTTAACAAATACAGGAACGTTTTTCAAAAAACTCTAGATAACAAAATAGTAAAAATCTATCAGGAAAAAAACTCTTGTTAACCACAAAACCGAGGAGAAAATAATCACTAATATAACCTTATAGTTACATGTTTGTAGATGTAGATCTTCCAGGTTGGTATAGTCCTGAGAAGGACTGTTTTTGTTGTTGTTGACATTTGCTGTTGTTTGTTGAGTCAACAACAACAAAAACAGTCCTTCTCAGGACTATACCAACCTGGACGATCTACATCTACAAACATGTAACGATACTCCCGGGTTCAAACCATTTACTTTATAACCTTATAGTCATGATCACACAATAGATTGACATTGACACGATGTTTCCTCATACATAGAAACGCTTTATTATACTCTTGACTACAAGAAAAGAAAGATCGATGTCATAAAAAACGTCATGCTACGTACAATGACGTAATGATCACTGTTGACTACAAGAAAAGAAAGATCGATGTCATAAAAACGTCATGCTACGTACAATGACGTAATGATCACAAGTTACCTATTCAAACATTTCTTGAGATAGGAGATGACTAGAGGTCTGGGGTGAATTGTTTCCAAGTTTCCTCTGGGCATCTGTAAAACACTTTATATAGTATAATCATCGATGATATAATACTGAGGCCGGTAGCATGAATCCTGGATAGCTTTTCCATTGGACGGCAAAAGTTTCAAACTTATAAAAAAGATGTTATATTTTTCATACGACGAAGAAATTTCGTATCCTTCGAAAAAATATTTTGTTTCAATGATTTCTCAGTTCGAATCTTATATTTTTTTATTTTTTAAAAGGTTTTATGAAAGTTTAAAGTCGTATGTAAACTTGCGAGAGGAAGTTTAGATCTGCAATGTAGCGCACCAGTATTGTCATGATTATAGCAAATGCTTTAAAAACTAAAGTAACAATATTTCACACTCAAGTTTACTAGGTCTTACTTGAAGTATCAATTTCGTATCACGCGGGACAGCCAAGATAATTTTCGATCCACGCTCAACATTCCTAACGTGTTCACGAACGTCAGTGTTGGTTAAAATTGATACAATACCTGAAATGAAAAGGACGAAAATAATTGAGTATGGAAAAACAAGTACAAAGAAGATGAACATGGGATAACATAGACAACAAAGTACATAAAATACAGGCATTTGCACCTTTGCCATCGGATAAAATACTGAAACAGCGCAACAAATGTGACGTTGTTGTAACAAGAAGAAATTCGTCGTGAACAAAGAAAGAAGAACAGTTATTAGCAATTTCTTTATTATTGACATAAAGTCGTCCATGTCGTGTGAGGCCAATAACGACTTCCTGTAAATAAAATATGATGATTTTTATAACAATTGTTGTTAAAACAATGATTTCATCACATTCATGAACTATAAAACACCTCTTTTCCAATCTTTACTACAGCAATATGTTCACAAGGTTGAAGTAAACTAACGGCGTTACCATCTGCGTCGAACCACGGTTCAAGTTTGACATGTTCAGAATCTAAACAGTTATCTTTGATAAGTCAATCAACTTCATGAGATGCATTTATCAAAAAATACCATTCAACCTGAAGTGTATTTCATAATGGAGCCATCTGTTAGTTCTAAAGCTACTGAAGACGTATCAACATTCACAGATAGCCGAAGGAGATTTTTCACAGGAAAAAAAATCCTAAAATGCAAAAGTATTGTTGACAATAATTTTATGAAAAAATGTAGACAGTCACGAAGCAAATTATAACCATAAAACTTCTACGTTTTGACGAGAAATATCGAATGGCTAGCTCACTGATAAATAGCTGTATATTTCCCGTTAGCTTCATGTAAGATTATTTCATGGATGACCTCACGACAGGAATCGTATACCAGTAAAGTATCTTCCTTCCACCAAGTTAATTGACAAAGATGATTTACACATAACTTGTCAACATCAACTCTAAATGAATAAAAACAAAAATGAACAAAAACCCAGAACAAAGAACAAACAATTCACAATTGTCACCTCATCAAACGTAGTTCTCTTTCACCCCCCCCCCCGACATCAAGTCATATCAAATACGGGGTACAATACGATATTTCTTACATCAAGTACACACGAACCTTACTACATTGAAGTGTGATGATCCACTATCAAGAATGTTTTTATTGACGATCACAAGGTAACCATTTGAGAGAATCAAAGCAAGACGTCGAGAGTCAGGATGAAATGTCACCATATTTATAGGAGAATCCATTTCAACACAATGAGATGACATTGGCGGAGGAATGATAACTAACGACATCTCTGTCAGTAGAAGCTTGGCTAAAAACAAACACTTTTTATCCATCATTGTCAACAGTAATCATCGTGTGTATTGCTGCAATCATATACGTAGCATCTGTCAGTAATAATATAACAAACCCAGCAAATCCTACATCTATCCTACATCAATCCTATATTAACAATTATAACCCCACACAATCCTACGTCAATCCTACGTACATTAACAATTACAACCCACACAATCCTACATCAATCCTAAATTAGCAAATCTAACCCACTAAACTTTCCATCATCGATAATAAACATCTACGAACCTCCGTCAACCATCGCGACGGTTGAATCATTATTCACATGACAGCCACGTGATACAAAGATTTCCCAGGAAAATTGATATGACGTGTATGTCCCAGTTTTCGTGATAAGATGAAGTTGCAGGGCATTTTCACCGTCCCAAACAACATCAGAAATAAAATCGTTCGTAAATCGCAATTCTTGCTTTAAAAACCAATGATAATTACTGCTGTACCAAAGCTGAACTATAAACAGTAAAAATACTTAAAAAAAACCCAATTATTTGCCGACAGAACAATGATTGGGGGTCTGACAGCCCCTGACCCCCCCCCCTTACGTTAGTGAAGCCCCTTTGTGCTCATCGATTTGGATCGCTTAAAATTATTAAAACGCAAAACATGCATTTTGGAAAACACACCCTCCGTAAAGTTCACACTATTTACGTATGATTCCTTGAATTTTTGCCTTTATTCATAGTACGCACTAAAATTATATTTTCTGAGAATATTCCTCACAGTTTCGAGGAAGTTTATATGAAAAAGGAAGTTTTCTATGGATAAGCAAAGATATTTTTTCCTTCATTGATTTGACACCGCCCTTACAAGTATTTTTATACCTTCATGGTACAATATATAAAAAAATTACGTACGAGTTTCATAGTCATGGTCCACATCATCTTTTGCCATTTTACTCCAAAGACAAAGAAGAGAAGAATCGATATTCCAAAGTAATCTCACAATCTAAATTGTACAACAATGAAAATGGCAAGAAATTAATGAAATTAGCTATCTGTGCTAAATCACGGTAAAAATATATAAAGTTTAAAAGAACGGAATAAGCAATATATCCAGAAATATACCTACATAGAAAGACTAAAATTCGGAGGAGGCTACGCTTCTGAGAATCACGTTGTACAGTTCATTATTGAGCGGCATAAACTATCAATGGTTTATAGCATCAAGTTCTTTACTGGGTGTACAAAGCATCAAATACCTTAGCTTGATGTGATGGGAGATGAAATTCACCATGACGAAGACCGTTCTTCTCAAAGAAGATCACTTGTTGTTTGTTACGAAAATTTTGTACTGATGCAATCAAGTTTCCCGATGGTCTAAAATTCAACATGATGTTTACTATTTGTACAGAAGAAGGAAATCTGAGAATAACGTTGAGTTTTCTCGTTGAAAAATAATATTTTTTGTATAAATACGGTCTCTATGTCCAAGATCGTCATGTAGTCCAAGGTGTTACTGTCTATGATTTAAATATGCATGATCTCAATGTGCAGAATCTAAATGTCCAAGGTATAAATATCCACTGTCTAAATGTCCACTGTCTAAATGTCCAAGGTATAAATGTCCACTGTCTAAATGTCCACTGTCTAAATGTCCACTGTCTAAATGTCCACTGTCTAAATGTCCACTGTCTAAATGTCCACTGTCTAAATGTCCACTGTCTAAATGTCCACTGTCTAAATATCTACTGTCTAAAAGTCCAAGGTATAAATATCCACTGTCTAAATGTCCACTGTCTAAATGTCCAAGGTATAAATATCCACTGTCTAAATGTCCACTGTCTAAATGTCCACTGTCTAAATGTCCACTGTCTAAATGTCCACTGTCTAAATGTCCAAGGTATAAATGTCCACAATCTAAATGTCCACAATTTAAATGTCCACAATTTAAATGTCCACAATTTAAATGTACAAAATTTAAATGTGTACAATCCATTATATTCCCGCGACTAGAGCTCAATTCATTCAGTTAACTACAACAAAGTTAGATGTAATAAGAACTGCTGTTACATATGTGTTCTCATCCATCTTATGCAGACATTTATTTAAATGTAAAATTAAAAATATTCCAAAGTTGCAATGAACAAACCTCCAATTTAACGCCATGCCTTGTCCAGTAACATTTTCAGAGGATGATATAACCTCACCTTCTCTACTCCACACTCGTAATTCACGATTACCTAAAGACATCAAACATTACAACACTTTTCAAAATGTTTTCAGAATATAAACTAAGAACACAAGGATAGTGAAAAGATTCAAAAGAACGTTGCCTATTCACACGTAATTTGAATCAATTTTTTCATGGTAAATAAAACATCACAAGCTATCATTTAAACAACGATTCGTTGTCCACGGTTCACATGTAAGCGATTTTCTTTTTATGAAAGATGTTATGTCTGTGTATTGGCTACTTTGCTTTAACGCATGTGAGGGTATACCAGGCAGGTAACGATCTTTGAGGTAACAAGTTGCGAGTTGGAAAATGCATTTGTTTAAACAAGCTGAAGACAGACAAATAATATAACAACAATGTGTGACTGAAAATTTGCACAGTTTACTTGACATGTAACTGATGGAATGAACTAAACTCTGTAAATATTTAAACTTCTCTTCTGTAGATAATTTATTTCTTAGTAAATTTTGTAATTGTTTTTGAACAAAAGCACGCCCCTTGTGGAAATCAACCCCAGTTGACAAGGCCAGCGTGTCAAAATAAAGATTTTCATTCATTCATTCAGCTATTGGAGTTTATACCAATCAAATAAATCTCTTTACTGTTTGCTTGGTAACAATCTATCAAAAAAATCATCTGAACATGGGCAGTCCAATCTTCAGGTATGATAGAGAGATGTAAAGATTGTGCAAACTTTGGCCTTAAGAACAAAATACCCTAAGATCCTTTGCAAAACAGATATTCAAATGTTACAACATTTATAATAGCGACAATGATCTCAAAATGTCAACGAAAACTGCCTAGATAAACTTCAATGCATTTAGTAAGTACATTGAATCAAGTTGAACATAAATTGCATTCACCCCAACCAGGAAGTTCACATTATACATAACTTGTTTGAGTTTTCATGCAATCAACATAATACAGCAAAGTTTACATGGAAAATTTGCACTAAAAACAGCTTTTTCTGACGACAGACAACAATTGAAAGATTTGCCTTACAAAGTTATACTGACTATGCTTATCAAAATACCTCTTTCCATCAAAGAACTGACTACAAAATATTGTCCGTCTCCTCGCCAGGATATCCTAGGCTTTCTATCATCATCTTCACTGACAAATACAGCTGTATCCTCCTAAATGATATAAATTTTGCTAAATATTATAAAAACCATTCTACATAAAAAATAAAAGGCAATTATTTACCACATTATCTTTCATTCTTGCTGCATCTTTCCCCATAGAGCCATGAAACTGAGTTTTCTTACTACCCCAACCAACATTGACTGGACCACCTAGGGGCAAAATTATTACTAAATCTTTTGATTTGATCACCCCCCACACACACACACAATAATGTAACTGCCTTTTAAGAAAACAGCCCTTAAATGTAAACACCTTTTGCATAAAAAACACCCTTAATATGCCCCCCTTTTAAGAAAAGATGGCAAAACTTGTTAAGCTTAGAACTCGTCCTAAATGTGACCATCAAGAAGCATTACTCCCCCACCTTTATCCGATATTTCAGAGTTTATCAGAGATTCACATATAGGATCAAAGTTTTTGTTCATCAACATTAACAAATCTTCTCCTAAACAATAAACAGCATTTCATTGAATGAAGTTGCCAAAAACATGTTTTAAAATCTGCTCATTTCTTCAATAAACTAACCAGTTGTAAATGCAACAATTTCTTCATCAGGACTCCAAGCCATACATGTCAAACCACTGTCTACAGTTCCCACGCATTCAAACTGAAAACCATTTTTGGCAGTTATTTGTAAATGAATTATTTTTTACACAGGAAAAAATTAAATAAGCATTACAGCCATAAGAGCTCTGAGACTCTGCACAATTCTGTTCACAGAAAAAATCAGTATTTAGTTGAAAATAGACGATTTTATGCTACTGCTAAACAACATGATAGAATTACTTGAGTATTGGTAGCAACAATGATCTATCAATAAAAGTTAGAATTCATTCATAACCTGATGAGTTGTTGTATCATAAAGATGAACATTGCCATTTGTCGTGGCAAGAACAACAGCATCAAGACAAGATACATGTTGAACAGCAAACACAACATCTGTATTATCATCATCACTTATCAATTCATCCAAAGGAAATGCAAAATTAATCTAAAAATAGAAAAGTGAATAATAGACGGTAGAATTTTCCTCATCCTAATATTTTTATTTCAACAAACCTTTAGTGAAATGGGGTTGTATTCGATGAATTGTAGTGAAGACACAAAATACACGAGTCCATTATCAACATTAATGCTCATTAAAGCATTTTTGCAATGAGGTATAACATGAGGTTTGCAACCAATAACTTGAAGATTCTTCATCACCTAGAACATATAGTTTTTCAACAAATATCAAACAAAGGCGCAGAGAAGCAAGGCACCGGCCTGGAGGAAGAAATGTGGAGGATGGGAACTTTCCAATTTCAGTTTAAGCCATTTTTAATACATTCAAATTGCAGTGATATTAAAAAAATTTAAGGATGGTGACGGGATACAGCACATAACTAATGCAATTCATAAAATCAATTCAATAAAAACAAGTATTACAAAGGACAAACCTTTAGCTTTGATTTGCCATACCACGTTGATTTTTGTTTGTAGCGAGCAAAATTAGAGACTGGCAACTAGTCTGTCATCCGCTGAAGGCTTACTTACTATACGTCATAGTAACCTCATCAATGTATTAAAAACGTCATTAATGAATTAAAAAACGTCATTAATGAATACAATCATTAGAAAATAATAGTTTAAGTAAATTTACGAGAGATGTCGACGAGCAGCGTGGGTACAAACGAAGGTGGGGAGAAAAGAGGGGCAAGAAATGATGAAAGACAAACACCAATCATACCCGTTCAACCTATCAATGGCGTATGTCGTGTGTACATCACAGGATCACCAATGAAAGATGATGAAGAACCATCCTGTTATATTTGTAAGGAAAAAACCACCGCGCCATTAATTTCACCGTGTCAATGCACAGGTTCGTCGGCATTTGTGCATCAAGAATGCATAGAGGACATGTTTGAAATAAGAGGCGAAGAGACTTGTACTAGGTGTCATTATAGAATTCCCACTTATAGAACATTGAAACCAATTATGAAGGTAAGAAGTGACATGTTATCATCGCTCACATTGATACGTACATTGTTTCAACAAGTAAAAGATATTGATCAGATTTGCTCGATCATTTTTAGTGGGATGACTCAGCTCTGGAGTTTGTAAACCTTTTGGAACTGATAATAACAATAGCAGCATATCTTTCGCTCGTCCTGAATATAGTCGCCATTGTATTTCAAAGTACCTTAGTATCCACTAATGTAACCAAAGCAACAGTAGTTACTTTTGTTAGTCTACTAGTCAGTTGTATATGGCATTTATTCATCGTCGGATCGTGCACAATGATGTCATGGTCGTCACCTAACTGGAAAAGATGGCGCAGAGTGAACACGATGGTAAAATTGAAAAAGTTACATTATAAGGATCGTCAACTCAGTGATGTTTTATAATAAGGTACGTTAATTCATTCACAAAACCTTTGTAAATGACGTGTTACTTATGACGAGAAAAAATAACCAATTACATTCTTTTCTACAGCGTTTATTCTAATACGGATGGTTGGTATTGGGCAGCAAATCTATCAAATTCGCTCTCCTAACGGATAAGAAAAACAGCATACAAGAATTTAGTAATCACATACTTTTCAAGAAATTTTCAAAAGTTTTGAACGAACCTTAATATTATATTGTCTTGTAAAAACATGATCGGGATTTGAGCCTTTTAGTTGCGATATATAACGATTGCTAACCTTTGGAAAAATGTAAAAATATAAGATTTTTTTCTATGAGCTACGTCCAAACGTTAACTAGTTGTTCTACGCACGTACTTCCTGTGATTTTCCAAGATGCTGTGAAAGAACAGCAAGGTTAAGAAGCGTTTCTGCATTACTGTTGTCCTAAATGTCAGAAAAGTAATATTCCTAAACGATACATGAATAAAGAAACAAAATATTAAAGAAGCATGTTCTATTTTCGATAAATCCTCGTTTCTCATGAGAGACTTGATGAAATACAGGGCTGTAGCTAAAACGCTAATTGGGGGAGGGGGGGGGGAGTGTATATTCATATATTCAGTTTTTCGGAACTGATTTCTTTCAAAAGTGATTTGACTTAAAGAAGTTAGTCGGGCACAACTGAATATATGAATATACACCCCCCCCCCTCAATTAGCGTTCTAGCGACGTCCCCGAGGAAATAATATCACTATAGCAACATAACATACATGACGGTTAAATGAGAAAATAAAGAAGTTAACTAAAACCTGTTTCGGACGTCGAACTTTTCAAGGGCGCAACGCATTTGAAACAAACGATATTATACAGTGCAAAGGAGTTAATCTCATTAGTGCAATGAAAATCTAAACTACGCAGCTATGAAGAAATCCTTTAGTGCAATCACAGTTTTACGTGCTTATCAAGGAGAGCTTGAGCAAGCAAACAACACAATAGAAGCAACCTTATCTAATGCATCTTGTAGAACACTTTCAGCTTCTTCATACTTCCCCATCTGTAAATAACACACAGCTTGACCATTGAGTAGAACAACACTACTTCCATACTTGTCGGCCATTTCTTGAAATATATAGTATGCATCCTGTATCTTTTCACCTCCCTGAAAAATATGTAAATTAAGATTAAGTACATTAAACTACAGGATGATAAGGTACATGTATGTACATTAACAACAGGATGACAGGTACATGTTCCTACATTAAGCAACAGGATGACAAGGTACATGTATGTACATTTAATACATGCATGTAGGCTCACAATAATGGGTAAAATAATCTACATTAAGGGGGAAGAATGTGCTCTAGTTTGGATTAGGTTTTCATGGCTACTTGTAGCCATACGATGTCAGACACTTTTTTGTTAAATTTTGTTAATGATTTGGAGGTCTTTGAAAGAGTGCTCCATTACATGCTTAAACACGATTGCTTTTGCTCAATTGTTTGGTTTATTAGTATTTTGGAGGGAAGTTGGCACTCCCCTGCACCATATCTAGCCATGGCAAGGAGAAGTACACACCCTTCTGCATACCTCCACACCATTCTGCATACCTCCACACCATTCTGCATACCTTTACACTCCTCAACATACCTCCACAACCATACCTCCACACCATTCTGCATACCTTTACACTCCTCAACATACCTCCACATCCCTCCCCACATACCTCCACACACCTCCACACCCCTCCCTCAATCTATAATTTTTAATTAAAAGAAACAGGGGCTGATGAAATACTGAGATTTCAAAATATGTCCTGCAATTGAACAAATATATTTTCATACCACTGCAATGTTGAACCAAGCTTGTGCTAGCTGTGACAATGAAGCATCTTCATCAATTTCCTTTAATAAAACAAATTTTCACTAACTGTAAGTATGTACACATAACATAAATGTACACATACTAACTGTATGTATGTAGGTAGACCGAGAAGGAGATGGATGGATGCTGTGAACAGTGATATGAAGGCGATGGGTATAACAAGAGATATGGCGAGAGATAGAGACGTTTGGCGTAGAAAATTTCATGGACCGGTCAACCCCCCCAGGCGGGGATTAATACTGGCCGGTATACAAATGTTGTTTGTTTGTTTGTTTTGTTTGTAAGTATGTACACAAAAAATTCAAAATACATCACCACTTTCACACCTGCATTCTCTTTAATTCTTTCCTAAGAAAGATAAAATCCATTCATAATAAGAAAAGAGATGTTTAAATCTAAGGTAATTATCAAATACTAGAAAATTTTACATACTTTGCAAGATCAATTCTGTCCATACTTAAATACAGTTGAATGGTCAATGCAGAACTTTCTAGAGCTTCAGATGCATGAAGACACCGTAGAGCAGACTCGTAGTTCTAAATAAAAATTCATGAAAATAATCATCTGTAAATATAAATAAAAACAATAAAATGCATGTGCAGATTGGTCCATAGCTGTGCTTGCATTGGCCAGTGCAAACCATTTGTGCAAACTGATTTGAGCTCCACAAATTAAATCAATCAATCAATCAAAGACAATTTGTATATCAATCATAAATACGTCTTAGATGATGAATTAAAACAACTGCTTTAAATTTTTCTGTTTCACACAATTTTTATTTTATAAAAAAAATGAACAATGTTTTTTTGAGGTGTTTGTACTGGCCTTGACCCTCGGCAACAGGCTTACACTGATCAGCTATCAAGTTCTCCCTAGGTTTCTTTGGTTTTCATAAGCCTGTGCAAACACAGCAAACATTTTTTATTTCTTAAATGTTAAATATTTTGTCAACGTAATACCTGTTCATGAGAATAAATGATGGCAGCCATTAATAAATAATAATCATCAACATCCCCAGATTTCAACTTTTGATCCACAGTGTTCACAATTGTCTCTCTTGATAAAAAAAAGTTCGTTTGATGAGCTATCATTATGTATGCCATTCTGTCAGTTGATCTTACCTTCTACTAGAATTTTGTAAATATTCAGCCAATGTTCGTATAGGCTGTAGCTCCTTTGGTGAAGATCTGCTAATTTCATCAAGAACTACTCCATATTTACCCTACAATGGTAAATAATTAATTCAAATATATTTACTCACAAATCATCAGTAACTTTTAGCCATTTGCTATAATTCTCGCATACCTGGGCACAGTATGCACGAAACATAAAGACATCTTTCTCTGTTCTTAAATCTTGAGACAATGGCTGTGAAACAACGGTTACAACGCACGACTTACAGAAATTTTACAAAACCGTTCAAGCTAAAATGTCAAAGAATAAATACCTGAGTTTTTTGAGCTTCATTTATGCACTTTTGGAAATTTCCTAAGTAAAAAGAATTGCGAATATCGAATAACTCATCCACGTCACCTTTGCCAGCCATTTTACTAACCGCGTATTCGAAATAAAGAGACTGGTAACTAAAACATTTTGCTAAACACCAGTACAGTATTGAGAACATATATTCCTATACCACAGTATAGAGAATATACAGTAGAACCACTCAATTGAATTTTTTTTGTGGCACGTATATCTTATTGCGCATGTGATTACCATAGTGATAGCCAGTCAATTGCAATTTCTGACCAACAGGAATGATGAAATGGCTTACAGTTGCAAGTAATCTAATTAAATATACAGCAGCAAGTTGCACAGCCAAGCGGCCCTACTGTATATTCCTTATACTGTGCCTATACTGTGGCACCAGGCACCAGCCAATGGAATGGAAGAAAAATTTTATTAAACCTAATCAGAGAGAATCTGTTTTTCCTGCAATCGATCTAAGAACTCAGCTGGAGTAAAAACTTACGATTTGTTCCTTCATTGTAGAGTTTATGCTTAATATTCATAAGATCGGCATTCTTTATTTTTAAAACAGAAGTTACCATGAAAAACCCATCAAAGCTAAAATAAGATTACGAGTGAATCGTACAAATGTAATTTAAACTTACGCATGCTAATCCTAAAAAACTCCCTTGTAGATTCAATATTCCTCCAAATTAAATTCCTCACAATGGTCATAAATTATGTAAGCTAAGCAGTCGCAAATTAAAAAATAATATTCATACGAAGTAATATTTGGGTGAACCAAAACACAATAAATTCAGTCAATCTCAAAAAAACACCAAAAAGTGAATAGATAAGATAAATCCTACAAATGATTAATATATTGATAGTATCTTATCTAAAACTGTTAACAATAAATTTAACAGTTTTTTTGTTCAATAATGGTTTTTCTTGACTGAAATACTATACAACAGGCAAAAACCCATTTGACATTTATCCATTACACGTTTTGATAAAAATGGGAAATATCAAAGGTTGAATATTTTTTTAAAAAAAGTTAAATGCTTAAACAACTTTCTTCATGGAGACTGTCTGCATTTATAGCTTCTATTTTCTCCAATTTAAAAGAACACTCTGTCAAAAAGTTTAATTTCAGGTAAAATAATAATAAAAAAAAAACAGAAATAAAGAAAAAACTTCCCTTGTTTCTCTTCGCTCTTCAATTCATCTTCTTCTTTCATTCTTAAAAAAAACTGAATCACAACTTTCTCAATACATGCAAAATACATACGCAGCGATAGACAAATCTCTTGACATTTGTTATGACCGATGAAATTGAAAAAAATCAATAAACAAACAAAACTTCCCTTGTTTCTCTTCGTTCTTTAATTCATCTTCCTCTTCCAAAGACAAAGACAAAGTTCAATGACTTCATGCGCTCATCAAACAAACCATCGAAATTGTTGGGTTATAGATTTTCGTTATTCCCAGGTAAAATGTACTTATCTTTTATGATATTTTGAATTAATAATTCCTACGAAAAATAAATATCATTCAATCCGGAACAAATAATTTTTTGTATTAAATCAGGGGGAGACAAGACGTTGTTTCCCTGGGATAAAAACATGGCGGCAAGGAAACTTTAAAAATGATTTACTATTTATTTAGTACTTTACTACCTAAGGCCACTAAAGCCGACCCTGTTTACTCTGTCATATGTCAACCTATTATTCTCAAAGTGCGACGAGATACAGAAAAGAAATCATACAAACTAACAAAGTTTCCTTGATGAGGGATCGTGTGTTAAACTTCCAACTGTGTCTGTAGGCTGTATCATGGAAGGAGAAGTCAATACGCCCCCAAACATCATTAATTATTGAACGAACACAGAATATAGAGCACTTTAATGACGCAGATAAAGGACGCATAGGTGACAACAACCATTCATCAAAGTTTTGTTGTATAGTCTGAACAATATTTTCTTTTGAAACTTCATTTCATCGTATTCTAGATGGAAATTGGCGATGTTGTTAGTGGCGAGAACGATAGACCTAAGACTGTGACAAAGCAACAAAATAATGATTATCAAAAGGTCAAGGTGTCGTCTAAACCTAAATCATCAAACTGCTATATTTGTGGGAAAGAATTTCTTCTCTCATCATTAAAAATCCATGAGAAACAATGTGAGAAAAAACAAGAAACTTTATCAAGCACAAACAAATCATCTGCGACTAAGAAAGTCGTCAAAAAACCGCAATTTGAGACTTGTTATCTTTGTGGCAAAAAATTCCCTTCCCGTTTTCTGGGAGTACATGAGACACAGTGTATTAAGGCATGGAAATCCAACAGAACACCTGATGCAAAAGACAAACCAGTATCTGATAAAAATTTTGAACATGTGGTGGTTAGTTTAAGCAATAAAAACACATTGTCTGACTCAACTAAAGAGGATAATGTTGAATATGAGACTATAGAATCCACAAATAAGGATTTACCAGTACCAACAAACAATTGTGTTAGAAATAAAGGAAAAGGTTTGAAAACAATTCCATGTGGTGTTGCTTATCTGCCTCATTCACATAAGATTCATGAGAAAAAATGCTTAGGTTTAAACAAAACTAGCACTGTTGCTGAACAAAAAGAAAATAAAACTGAACAATCAATGGCAAATTCCACTGGGAAATTACCATGTGATCTCAATAACATTCAAAATGTTGAATATGTTTCAGAGAAACCCAGTGAAGAATTGCTTAAGTCCCCTTACCTTAAGCATGAAAAGAAATGTTTTCCTCAATCCTTAGAGGTAGCTAGTGGCAGTGAAGACCTACCACATAATGAAAGTCGATTGGCAGTAAAGCCAAAGACAATAATTTGTTATATTTGTGGCAAAGAGTTCTTGAAAGCTTCATATAAATTTCATGAAAAGAAATGTGCAAGCAAACATCAGAATGAATTTGACAACAAAGGTGTAACAAGAAAAGATCAAATAGAAGATGAAAATTATCCCATTCTCAAACTCAAAAGAAAACACCAAATACTCAGCCTTGCTATATTTGTGGAAAAGAAGTGCTCTCATCATCAATACATATTCATGAACAACAATGTCAGAAGAAGGCTGAATTGCTGAAGAATGCCAACAAACAAAAATCCTCATTAAAAACAAAACAGACTGTAACACCAATGAAAAATAAAACAACACCAAAAACAAAATCATGCTATATATGTGGTCAGACATGTTTGTTGAGCTCTATCAAGTTCCATGAACGCCAATGTGAGAAAAAATGGAACAAAGACTGAAAAAATGTTGCCTTTCGTTTGGTTACAGTTTCTACTCAGAAAGGATAATGTACCATAAATTTTTATGAACTTAAAGTTCATTATACTCTACGCGTTGTGAATTTGTTCAATGTCTTTTGTCAACTGTTCCTCCAAGGTTTCCTGCATTATAAGTAACAATATTGGCAAGAGATTACATTTTAATGAAATATAAATACATCAAAAGTACCAACCAATTCTATTCTTGCTTCTTCCAGTTTTACTTTTGCTAAAGACATATTCTATGAATGAAAGAAGAAATTGCTTGATAGTACAATTTATATGAAGATAAACAATAGCATGACATGTCATAATGTTGATACAGAGCTTCAACAGATGCAAAGAGCTTCAGACCTAGGTGCAGTCTGAGATGACAGTTCTATGTAATAACAAGGTAATTTATGGAATCATGACCTAAGCAAAAGATTATATATTTAAATTTGAATAATCTTAATATCATTGGTAAATTTCTTACAGGAGGCAAGCTATGGTAGTTGTCAAGCTTCGTTTTCAATGGCTTCAATTCATCTTCTACTTTTAAAATATCCTAGAACAGAAATACATGTTTCCACAACATTGGCGGCCAAAAGTTATACTTTTAAAAAAATCCCAGACTCATTGCAATCTCTTTCATACTGTATTCCCATGTGATGTTGCAAAGTTTGTTTCAATCATAATAATCCATTGATAATTCATTGAATACAAGAACTTAGGAAAAACAAAGCAGACAACTTTAAATGGAGAACATATATAAAATTCTCAATAAAACACCTCATATTTTCTTTCAAGAGCTTTATGAAAGAGGTCAGGTTTCAAATTCACATTTATAAGAATACTCTAAAATGAAGAAATAAAGCAGTGAAGACAAACCCCTTAAATAACATTGACAATACAATACTGTTTGAAGCCAACCTGTAAGTGATGTAATTGCTGCTCATATTCACTGGATTTTTGTTTAAGAAAATCAGTCTCATTTCTTCGTTGTTTCAGCAATGGTTCTTGCAAGGAAATCTCATTTTCTAGTATTTCGTAAGCCCTGTACATATACATGATAAATTAATGGGAGTGATCTTTAAACTTCAATCATAGTTATACAAACAGGTAAAATATAAAACAAAACAAACTCCGAAGGTGATTTCCGGGCATAATAAGATATAGTGATATTTGGAATTTATTACAAATTTATCATAAAATAGCAACTCTTAGAAATTGAATTTATTAAAAATTTAAATTAAAATCCAATTCATCACAAATTCATCATAAATTCCAAATATCACTATATCTTATTTGTCCTTTCTTATATCTTGAATATTGAGTTAAAGATGGAAATTATCTACAGAGTTTGTTTTGCTTTATATTTTATGAAATTATTGGCTGGCAATGGATTTTTGTAGAAACAGGTAAACACAGACCTTTTCAAGGTATTATATTGCAAGAGAGCTTTCTTTGTCGCACGGAGGAGCTTTTTCATAGAATATTTTGATTCCTTCATTTGCTTCTTAATTAAATGGCGTTCTCTCAAGAGGTTGTTGATACCAAGAATATAACTGAAGAAATTCACATGCGTAACTTAGTAATTTATGTCTCCAAGTGTTGGAGAATGGACAAAAAAACATTGCAAAAGTTGTATCTTTTTCAAGACTTGCTCACATATCTTCTGCAAATAATAGTCCAGAATTGGACGTGTATGAATGATAAATGTTTGTAAATGTAGATCATCCAGGTTGGTATAGTCCTGAGAAGGACTGTTTTTGTTGTTGTTGACTGACATTTCGACAACCTTAGCGGTAGTCATCTTCAGAGTCAAAAATGTCTACCGCTAAGGTTGTCGAAACATCAGTCAACAACAACAAAAACAATCCTTCTCAGGACTATACCAACCTGGATGATCTACATTTACAAACATGTAACGATACTCCCGGGTTCAAACCATTTACTTTATGAATGATAAAGTTACCTGGACATAGTGGTATCCTTTAAATTCAGATTTAGAGCAGTATTTGCCAGAATTTCAACGCTAGCTTGTGAGGACTCTGGTAAATTGCTTAGACCAACTGCTGCTGTAATCTTATGCAATCTTGCACCTCAAAATATTAAAATATTAAAATGAAAAGAATACATTGATAGTAGTGACAGACAGAACAAATTACTAAACAAATTCTCAACATCCTACTTTCATGTTTGTATTCTTCTTTTCTCTGAATCAATTCTTCCATAATTGTTTCGAAAGCTTTGTCTTTCCGTTCGTTGATACAAGCCAAATCATACAATAAAGAGACGGTGGTTGAATTTACTTCAAAAGGAGGAATTACATTTCCTTGGTACACTGATTCAAGCCATGATCGAACCTTATATAAAATAAAACATTTATACCCTGAAAAATTATTCCTACGAAATTAATGATAATACATTAATGTACCTTTAGATGTTTTTCATCCATGTTTTAGACTTAATTTTGCAATGTTTTTTTTTCTCAAAAAACAAGAAATGTTGACATTTGAAAGACCCACCATTTCTATCGCGTGGCATCCACGCGTGGCAACCACGAGTCAACCAATATTGTTATTTCATATTAACGTATGTATAAACTATAAAACAAACTTTTTTAATGCAAACATGTTTCGACAATCTTCTCATTCTTATGCCAATGAGAAAAAATGAGCAATATGGTTCATGAATGCTGTTTACTATTTATGAAATTCGATTAGTTATTTACAGACAATAGAGATAAAGTGTAGAGTTAAAAATATTTACAAGTAATTAACATATGAAAAGCAGACATACGTAAAGTGAAAGAACATGGAAAATAAAATATATTTGCAAACTAAGAAAGGTGTTAACATGGTAAATTTGCTTATAAAAATTTAGGCTTATTGCACTGATCAACTCTCAAGCTCTCCCAAAGGTTTGCACAAGCCTGTGCGGAAACATTAAACATCATTTATTTCTTAAATAAAAACAGGAAAATATATCTTTCTTTCACCTGTGCTCACAGAAAACTTGCCATTTACTTACTTGTGATGAAAACAAAAGCATATTTTCCATTTTTAAGATTAATATTTCATTTCAAAGAAGATTCAATAACAAATTCTCCTAGAAGCTCATAAGCCAATCAAAATCATTCATAGTTGACATCCATCATCGCATCACGTTTGAAACAACAGCGGGAAGCGACACTGTCTATGGGGGAAGGTAAGTTTGTAAAATGTTGATTTATAGTTCAAAAAAAAACTTCAAATATCATTAAATTCGATGAGAACCTCTGCTTAATGTATTAATATATATTACTTTATTTGAAAATCTTTTTTGTAGATGTTTTCATGCAATTTCGGCACTCAACATGTCCTTCGTTTGTATGCTTGTTTGCTTTTAGCAGGAAGACTTAGACGTTATAAAAATGACAATTTTTTGATATTTCGATGATTTGTTTTAATTATATTTCGGTCTCATTGTCGATTGTTAGTGTTTGAATGTTTGAAAACAAACTTTGGTGAATATCTCTTTTTGAGCATGAATTTGTGAATCATCTTTTAATACAGCAGAAAGCGCGCGACCGCCATCGTTTCACATTTCAATGAAATTCTGTAAAATGCGAGAGAATTCTCGGTCAAAAATCACAGGAAAGCAAAATGAATTAGGCATAAGGCATATCGACCGTATCCTTCCATTTTGGTCATTTTTAGTCAGTAAAAACTGTACTTTCCATGACAAGAGCAAAATTTGTGTTTGTGTATTGGAAAGACAATGAATTCTTTCAAAGAAATTTTCAAAGAAATCAAATGAATACTAACTTTTGCTGAAATTTGTAAAGCATAAAGGTTGAACAGGCTTTGTTTAAGACAAAGCTGTTAAAAATGGTACAGAAACATGAAAATTTTGATTCACTCATGTTCGCGCCATTTTCAGGAAAAAATTCTGTCTTACTCAAGATTCAAATATAAATTTTCGACCAAAAACATTGTAAAATATATAATCAGAGTGAAAAAAAGCATACAAAAACTTTCATAACTTACGTTGTAGCTTTCATGAACTGATGAACTGCGGAAAAAGAGGGAAATTGCTAATGTGAAAATCTTGAAGGTATTCAAGTTATGGATTACGTCATGGATTACTTCATAATTATTCCTGATTACGTCATGGGTGTCATGGATGACGTTATGGTTATTGCGAAATGAATCATGTTTGACGAAGATGCGTGAGCTTGTCTATGCCAGTTGAGGATCACGAGAGTATAAAGTGAAGGCGACGATAAAGGTACAATTGTCTATTTTTTATCATTTAATATCCATTCCTGCTGATAAAAACAGGAAAATGATTGAGAACTGGCTGAAATGTAGAGAAACATTACAAGTTTTTATGCTTCCCGATTGGTTGTTGCATTAAAGTTTGTTGGGCTCCTGGGCACTAGTGAGTTTGGGCCCCCATGTCATTGTTGTATGCAGGCAAATTTTATTCTTGGTCAATATTTTCCCGGCAGTTGCGTTTTCAACAGCACGTGCAGCTTTAGGCTTTCAATCAATTAACACATGTGAGTGATGTGACTTGACAAATATTATCAAATAGCATTGGCGTAAAGATTTTCACCTCAAATAATATATTGTTTGCAATGGCGACTAAATACAGCAAACAGCATTAGTTTTCGTACTGTGCTGCTGTTTTTTAAACTTAATCTCATTGTCACAATAAAAACTTTTGGTCCCCAAAAGTTTTCTTAGCCCCTAGGCACGGGCTCAGTGGGCCCATTGGTGGACCGATTCCAGTTCTTGTTCCTACAACTTGTATATTCATGTCATGTTTTAAGCATTCTTTGCGTGAAAATGTGTAAAAATGCGTAAATTATATATTTTTCTGTAGCTAGCTAAAAATGCGTAAACTATAGTCTTTTGGTGAAAATGTAAAAAAAATGTGTTAATTATTTTTTTGCGCAAAAACAGCTATGTAAAAATGCGTGAATTACAGTTTTTTGGTAAAAAAGAGCTTTTTATTTTACCATTTTCATACGGTATGGCTTTAAAAAATGGCATGGCATTAGCTATCTTAGTCAACTAATACAGCTAATGAAATAAAAATGTTAAAATACAATCTCCATTGCTATTTCCATTAAAAAGACTGCTTAAATGCGTTTGCAAGCGTATTTAAGACAAAGGCCTTTAATGCCTTTGTCAAGATTATTAGAAAGATAGGAGCAACTAGCAAGACACTTACTTTGTAAAAGACATTACAATGCTGATTAGTGATGGTGTGCATAAGGAATTGATAACTCTTGTTGGTGAACTCTTTTCGGCTTCTTCGCCATAACTCCAAGGTAACAAAACACCTGACCCTTTTTCAAAATTGTTTTTGTCATTAAAAAGTCGCCTGTTAAAAGTCGATGTACGTCATGTATAGTAAAGAAGTGAACAAAATTTGCATGTCATCATTGAATAGACACAAAAGAACAATAGCGCAATTCGAACTCAATAGTGATGAATGGTAAATACCTTTAAAAGAGCATCTTATTTTGCTGTAACCTGTAATATGAAAATCAATTAGACAAAACGAAAATTAATTAAATGAACTTGAAAAGATTGTTGATAAGCCATAAGCATTTTACTTCTATAAAATCAACCATAATAAACCACGTGTCTTGTTTTATACATGATAAATGACATGAATGATTATATATCATCAAACGCCTCTTCTTATGTTTTAAATATTACTTATAAACAAGTCACACTTCACTACAAGTCAACAATAACGATTAATCAAAAATGCACACATTAAAACCATTGTCATAATGACAGAAAATGGTCCTGTAGGATTCATTTGTGTTCGTTTGAAACTGGAAAGCATGTAAAACTACAACTCAAACAGCTCGCCTTAAATTTAAACAGAAAAAATATCATTCCATGCATAGGTTCACAATATGTAGTACGTGTGACTTACGCTTTGTCACCATCGTTGAGAAGACGAAGAAAGAGCCTTCTTTGCTCTGCTGTCGAAAGTTAACTTTGTTAGAGTATTCATGTTCTACCAACAGTAAAGACAAAGATGAAAAAAGTATATACAATGTCAGCCATTGCCATGTGGTACATCAAAACAAAAACGCGCATGCTCGTACTCAATTTAATGGCGTTGGGAATCATTTAAATTGTCTGTTTAAACTTAGCAAACATATTTTTTACCATCATACATAACAGCAAACACTTTTTTATTTTGTAATTGATTCTTCAGCACTTATTTATGTAAGTTTGTAAAGCCATATGACATCGTTGAAAAAACGTTTACTTTCTTGTCGTAAGAAATCATACTCATGTTTAAAGACGTCGTTGTCCATTAAGGACTAAACTTATGCAGTTACAATGGGCTTTGGAGACTAAAACTATTTTGTTTAGCAACTTTGGTTATCTTGTCTGTTTGATGCAAAGATTAAAACAAAGATAGACACAAAAGTAGACATAAATGTAAACATAAAAGTAGACACAAAGGTAGACATAAAGGTAGACATAGAGGTTGACATAAAGGTAGACATAAAGATAAAAACAAAGATAGACACAAAGGTAGACATAAAGGTTGACAAATAGAAAAAAACAAAGAACGTTGAATACGAAAAAGCTTTTTGTGATTACATGATTACATGAAAATATTTTTTAGCAAACGTTAAGTCTTGTTTCTCGAACAATTACAAAAAATGTGTGTTGTGTAAACAAATGTAGTTAAAGGAGTCGATGTAGTCATCAGAAAAGATGAACGACATTTGAAAAAGTAATTATTTCATAAGAGAAGACATGAGATTACATTTGAAAACATTGTTATTTCACAGGAGTATTTATGCATGATAATACAAAATATGTTAACTTAGTCAAAATAAACAAGTTAAATAATCCCCAACGGCAAAGTGCTAAATTACCAAAGCCACTGGTAAAATACTAAACTCGTTTTGCTGAACAAAATATTTAAAGTCACCGAAGCGCAAGCATAACTGCATAAGTTTACTCCTAATTGGACCACATTGCTTTTAATCATGAATATTTCTTACTACACAAAAAGTGAGCTATTTCTTCATCGAATGTTTTAGTCTCCAAAGCGCATCGTAACTGCATAAGTTTAGTCCTAAATGGCAACGACGTCTTTAAACATGAGTATGATTTCTTACGACAAGAAAGTAAACGATTTTTCAACGAAGTCATATGGCTTTGCAAACTTACATAAATAAGTGCTGAAGAATCAATTACAAAATAAAAAAGTGTTTGCTGTTATGTATGACGGTAAAAAATATGTTTGCTAAGTTTAAACAGACAATTTAAATGATTCCCAACGCCATTAAATTGACTACGAACATGCGCGTTTTTGTTTTGATGTACCACATGGCAATGGCTGACATTGTATATACTTTTCTCATCTTTGTCTTTACTGTTGGTAGAACATGAATACTCTAACAAAGTTAACTTTCGACAGCAGAGCAAAGAAGGCTCTTTCTTCGTCTTCTCAACGATGGTGACAAAGCATAAGTCACACGTACTATATATTGTGAACCTATGCATGGTATGATATTGAAGGCAATGTTGTTCTGTCTCGTACACTTGACATGTTGTCCTTGGGATTGCATGTCTCTCGTCTGGCCAAGTGGTACAGTTGTCGGTGCAGTGATCTTACATCTTGGGTTCAAATCTTGTCCTTTTGTTTCTCATTTTTCCAGTTGAAATATATTGAATACTGAGTGTGCTGTTATGGGTGTAACGACTGCACCTTCTCGGGTTCAAGACCAACTCGTTTTCTTTCCCTTCAAACTAATAAAAAAATGGGCAAATACGCCAAAAAACTGATAGCTTTCGATGATGAGCGCTTAGCTCAACTGGCCGATGTTGGGCGCTTAGTTCGACATCAATGACCTCCGGTGCACAAGATCCTTGGTTCGCCCCTCTGCCAACACACTTGGCAGGTGTACGCGGCAGATGTGGAAGACAGAAAGTCGAACTGAGGAACAAGTGCCTGGAAGTAAGAAAGGGATGATTAGGGCGTTCTGTTTGCTCTTGGGTTTCCTGACTTTTCAAAATTTAAAAAAATAACTCCCTGATCACAGGGAGTCATAAAAAAATTTGAGCAAAAGACTTAGTTTTTTTAAGAGTGGTTTTTTGCATGGGATCCTATCTTTTTTTTTTCTTCGCTCTCCTCCTTCTTCTTCTTCATCGGAGAGCGATTTTTTCTGAAATCATACTAAGTGTCGCATTCCATTCTCGAAAAATACACTAATAGAAATGCCATTTTGCTACTGTTAACCAGCACTATTTTACCATTTCTCAAGTCATCCTATGAAAAGCCTAACAACATCTTATTCCAGCCAGGGTTTGAACCTCCACTTTGCAACCTCGAAAGGTTGTGTCTATCCACTAGACCAGAGAGTTCGTTGGAGATAGCTGTTTAATATTACGTTATATACCTACTTTGTAGTAATTAATGCAAAAAAAAAGACTCCAACCAAGACCATGGAAAAACTTTCAGTTAATACAGAAAATCAAATAACATGATTGTAAAACTAACACTGATATTTTAAAAGTTCACTCACGCTCGTGCACTCAGTGCAATTCAGTGTAGTGAATATGTCATTTTCAAATAATTTGTGATTTTGAAGTCTCATTCAGTGAGTGTGAGTGAGCTTTTAGACTATTTATTGTCTAAATAATACAAAAAACATTTATAGTTATTAGCGCCATGGATGTGTTCTCGAGGAAGACAAAGATCATGGAGGCAACTCGAGTATACTTTCTTATGCAGCACGTGCATTTCGTTATTTTCAGGAATGCCATAAATATTTTACGACATCCATTGTGGTCTCTATGACACCTAGAACGGCTACAATGATCAACCATTTGTTCATATTTTTCTTTTCGACTGTATATTTGACGATAGCTTTTTCTCATTCTCGATGCCATGGCTTTTCACTGTCGAAGATGGTACATTGAGATAAATCTGCAATAACTGTTCTGTTTAAATAATTTGTATAAGAAGCTACTGTGTATAATCCGTAGTCAGGACGATGTTCTTCAATATCTGGTGTGTTGCGTTTCGCTGGCTTTCAATGTAATGTCTCTTTATAAACAGCATGTCTGTGAAATTCATGATACGATTCATCCACTGGTAAATGGTTTTTCTCGAAGATGTCGTTGTAATTCTACTTTAATGATTTTCAATGTGCGTACAATCCTCGTTCAGAATCCCTTACAGTAACCAGCTGGTTTTTCTTGAACATCAACGTTGACGTGCTTTCGTCCAGCAAGTAGTTTTTCAGCAATCTTAACTTCTTTCCGTTAATCGGTTTATACACTTCGTCGAATTCAATTTCTCCGCTGCCTTGCAATCGCACTTGCTGTTGTTTCTGTTTAAATTTAAGGCGAGCTGTTTGAGTTGTAGTTTTATATGCTTTCCAGTTTCAAACGAACACAAATGAATCCTACAGGACCATTTTCTGTCATTATGACAATGGTTTTTGCGATTGTGTGCATTTTTGATTAATCGTTATTGTTGACTTGTAGTGAAGTGTGACTTGTTTATAAGTAATATTTAAAACATAAGAAGAGGCGTTTGATGATATCTAATCATTCATGTCATTTATCATGTATAAAACAAGACACGTGGTTTATTATGGTTGATTTTATAGAAGTAAAATGCTTATGGCTTATCAAAATCTTTTGAAGTTCATGTAATTAATTTTCGTTTTGTCTTATTGATTTTCATATAACAGGTTACAGCAAAATAAGATGCTTATTTTAAAAAGTATTTATGATTCATCACCATTGAGTTCGAATTGCGCTATTGTTCTTCTGTGACTGCATAATGATGCACAAATTGTCGGTATGATGACTTGCAAATTTTGTTCACTTCTTTACTATACGCGATGTCTGTTTTTAACAGACGACTTTTTAATGAACACAAACTATTTGAAAAGAAAAGCAAATCTCAGGAGGTATGCTGAAGAAGCTGAAAAGAGTTGATTGACTATAGAGAGTCAATTGCCTATACACACCAATCAGTATAGTGATGTCTTTTACAAAATAAGCATCTTCCTCTTATTGTTTTATCTTTCGTAATAATCACAGAAGCACTAGGCATTTTATATTCTAGTATGTGGTTAAGATAACGTCAAGCCATACTATAAATGAAAACGCGTTATTATTGTATGTATAAAGAATTAAGTTTTGACGTAAGTCACTTAAGGCGGCGGTATGACATCCCATTTATGAAAGATATATAGAATTATTTAAACCTGAACTATTCATGCTGTACAATGTACATAGATGATGCTTCCATAGCATTATATCACTCCGTATTAGTTTTTATATGCTCTAAAATAATGGTCTAATAAGCTTGGGATTGTGTTCACACCAATGATTCAGCGCAGATAGAAAGAAAAAAATATGCGCCGGAAAACACCTGCAAGCATTGCCTGCTAATCACTACAAATGTTTGAAAAAATGTGCAAATGAAAGCATTTATCGTTGGAAACGCTATACACAAAACAATAAACAAACTAAAATACAGCATACGTACGTGTTCGTAAATTCATCTTTCACACCTGTTTTATCTTCTGCTTCTGAAGTACAGAAACATAAGAAAGAAAAATGGCTGATAAAAACGGCATAAATGCACAAAATGAAAAGAAAAGCAACGAACAAATACAGGTGATAGTAAACCGACTAAATTCACCGAGAAAGGTGTACAAACCAAAACATCCAGATCGAAAAACGAAGGTAGCTATACATGATTCGACAACTTTTGTCGTTTAAAATCGATTTCAAAAAAAGCATGACCTTTCTATGGAGACTAAAGAGAATACTGTTTATATAAAAGCATTTTTTGAGAAAGTTAAACGAATGCTTGAATTGATAAAACAACTTCTAGATGGCAAAATGTTCAATGTCTGAAGCAGACATTCAGGCAATGGTCGATAGATTACATAATTCAAAACCTCGTCACAGACAAAGATCTGCGTACGAGCAAGGTGGTGTAATGTTGTCATACGATGTCACTGGTTGGAAAAAGCCCGGAGATGGTGGGAAAAAATACGATTTCTAAGGACTCTTTTTACAAAACACGTCAAGGTGCACATATCGTCTAAATTTTAGTTATTTAAATACTTAGAATACAGACAATGTAAATTGAAACTCGTAACAGTCTTTGTAAAATCAATGGTGTTTTGCACACGGAGTCAAACGAAGGAAAAATACAAATATGTATTGTAAAACTAAACCATTCAAACAACAAGCGCACAATTGAATGCAAGAAAACAATCGTCCTTTTTTAATCAGAGGAAACTAGAATTACTTTAACATCAAAATATTCAATATAACATCTCAACATTAATTTGCCGGCTCTCAACTTAACTTCATGTTCAGTCATTTGATCTCATCAAAATATTCCAATTTTAGTAACGATAACAGTGTTTCTAGGAAACGAATTGTTTGAATACAACACGAGCTCAAGACGTTGACTAACGAACGATATACAAATATCATAGTATGAAAAATCATCAATCATACCACAAATCGTCCTCATAACCAAACGATACCGTGTCGCTAAACATTCTCTGCAATAACAAAGATGACACAAGTTGGTGATGACGTTGTTTTTCCTCGTTCGATCCTTTGTTCTTAATCTCATCGATGGCAAATCGAGTTATTGGATGCCTCGCCGCAAATTTACTAGAAAAAGTCTCGAATTCTTCACCATTGTTTCCAATGTTCATCAAACGTTTTAATACTTCGAGGAAAGTAACAAGAGATGTTTCATAATAAAAGTTTGCATTCCTTGCTCTTGTTCGACAATAACCTTCTCCTTCGTGCACAGTTTCTTTGATGAATCTCGTCATTTCATTGTTTTCAGTTTGAGCACGTAAACCATTTATACATCTAACAAATACATATGTATTATTCATATATACGCATTTTATATATTTCAAGTGCAACTTTACGAAATAACAGTTTCGACGAACCTTTTTAAAAGGACAGAAAAACAGGCAGATGACTTGGTGATTTTGTCCACTTCCGCATCATCCTTTACTGAAACTCGATGACGACCAAACGATCCATTCATTGTGAGACCAAAAAGGCGATAACATAGCTTAAATAAGTAAAAAGAAATACACACGCATGTAACTAGCACATATTTTAAACAGTCGCTCGTGTAGAGTCCATCGCAACTTAAAATAGGTCATTGGCAAGCGATGTGGGAGGGGAGAGGGTTGGCACGAGAGAATAATCCTCTACTGAAACATTCGTTTATTCAGTACGTATATTGAAGTCTTTAGAGAAAACTTACCTCGAAGAAGAAATCCGCTAGTAATGTGTAATCTTTAATATGTAAACATAAAGTTTCAATGAATCGATTTACATGAACCATTTCAAAAGGTTTCGTCTTTACGTCAGCTAGAAAAAAAGTACATTAAGTACATCATGATGATACGACAAACGTAAAATTGAAATAATGTGCCTTACGATTGTGTAGATCATCCGCTGATTGTTTACCACTCATTGTGTGGGCTCGCCTAGCTACATACGTCACCACTTCACAAATTCCCTCGAATATTCCACGAGATTCATAATTGCGCGTTCGTGTGTCCGAAGAATATTTGACAATCTCGAAAGCGATATCCAGACATAGTTGTAAATTTGGTTCAAGGTTGTTCTCGTTACCAGTTTCCTTACTTGTGCTCGGTTCATCGCTACCGTTGTCACCGAATAACTCTTTCTATAAAAAACACATCGTATTCAAACAGAGAAATCTTGCGATAGATTAAAACAATGACATATTTCTCGTTACCTAACCAACTATTTGCAATAAGCAGTAACATCACTACGTACAACACACAACTCTTGCAACTTACAATGCATTCCAATGTCTCGCTTGAGTCATCATCGCTCTCAATCTTCTTACAAAAATTATACATTGTCACCAATACTTTATGTAAGTGCTCTTTCTTCATAGGAGCCTTTATACTATTTCGACCAATCAAAGCGAGGAGTTGCTTACACACGGCAGGGATTAAAAGCATTTGCTTCGAGGGTGCTTCCTTCTCGACTGTTCTGTAAAGAACGAAAACATGTAACTAGTGTACATCAGATACATACATCGAGTACTGTATATTTTAGTAGTGTAGCTACATACCGACATAGATGAATAATTTCCGTGATTTTACAATCAGATTTCGATGACATTATCGATAACAATGTGTCCTTTGTCCTGATCCATATGGATTCCTTGCTTTTCTATACGTCACATAAAATAAGATTCGTCTATTCGCCTTCCTCATTAAAAATGCCCTCATTAGGAAACTATACATTGAGACCTTCTTCATAAAGACCTTCCTCATCAACAAAATTCTCATTAAGAACTTCCCTCATTAAGATTAAGACTTCCTTCATTAAGGAAATCTTAATATCATGATCTCATAGCTACATTCCTACTTGGAGCATCCTCCTAAAAGCACCCTACAGTACTCAAATAAGACCACCTAAGTTAGCCATGTTTACGTACCTGTTCAGATTCCATCATAAATGTACATATTTTCAACAGCTCAGTAGGATTAAAACATTTCACAAAAGAAGTTGAATGAAAATTATGCCTTTCTAGGATCAATTCGAATGCCAATGCACCAATTTTCTTGTTCAAGGAACACATCCACCTAGAAAAAATCACAAGGAGATTATTAATACAAACAACACAGCATTTCTAAGATTTTATGTCTTGACCAACACAAACGAGTGATAAAAATACAAACGATTAAGATGTCAAAGCATCGTAATACGTAAAGCTTACTTTAAACTCCGATCAATAAACTCCATGAATGAGTAACTGAAATCGTGATATCCATAGGAAATATTGTGCTGATAGTACAAGTAGTTTTTAACAGCAAACGCTCGACAAGCAATAATTAAGGCGAATTCATACAGACGTTGTTCTTGTTCATTCAATTTCCTCTCTTTTGTTTTGTCAGATCTTACCGCAGTTTCATCGAAGGTATTTGGATGTGGCAACTTTCTAGATGCTAGACCTTTTGTTTCTTCACTTTTCTCCTCCTCTTCTCGCAAACTTTCAGCATAATGCGTTATAACATGAGCAAGATAAATATTAGCAAAGAATTTCTCACACAACATGCTTTCAGCTACATTCTTCCCTTGTCGTTTTGCTTCCTTTATGTCTTTCTTGCCTCGTTTATCCACAAAATTCGCTCGTTTATCTTCTGGCCCAATACCAGCCATAATCTCGGCACTATACATGCATTCCAATAATTGATCAACGAGATAAGAGTTCTCAGATACTGACAAAAACACCACTTCGCACAGTTTCACCCAATGACGTCTTTCACATTCCAGACAAAATCTTTACGAGTCGATAGATTATTTGCCACGTGCAATGGTCCTGAAATGGCTCTCATGGCGAAGCCAATGGAATCACTATCACCGTCAAATTTATAAGAATGACGAAAGAAGTTCATAATGAGAGCGTAAGGGGGTTGGAAACCATATTCTGTAAGATTCATCATACGATTGACGAACATCTTTAAGAAGTTTATATCTGCTTGAGATGGTTGATTTTCACCAAGTTTCTTTGACATATATAATTCCCAGTTGAAGCAATCCACCTATGGAAAAATTATTCCATCTCACACTTTATATCGCTGTTTCAATTATTAATTTTCCATTGTCGCTAAGTACTGGCATAATGTCGTCATCTTATTGGCGTTAAGTTTCACTCAGATGGCTATTTATACAACTTTGCACGTTACTTTTCCAACATGCTTTTATTCTATCGAATTTTTTTTTGGCTTGGTCAAAGCTAAATTGTTTATGTCTCCCCCCAACACCTTTGTGTAACCCCCCCCCAGGCGATTGAAACAGTACCTGTATATGGATAGAAGCTGCATGTATTCTTGGGAAAGCCAAACCAATCGCAGCAAGGCGTATAATCAGAGATGTTGCATCACTTGTGGCGTCATCACACTCCATAAGATCATCCTCACTCAGTCCCAGTCCTTTCAGTTTCTTTTGTTTTAACATATCATTCAAGAGATCATGATTACTGTCAAGAACGTGTATTAAGTACGCGAAACACGATACAGGAACGACACCTTCGACAATTTCAAATAATTTCTCATTTCTTGGATCTGAATAATCGTCTGACTTCTTTACGTTTGCTACAAATGAAGAAACGTAAAAGGTCATCGTCACAAATCAAAATATTATTCCCCAAGAGAATCAACAAAGAAACCTTTTCTTCCACGTTTTCTATTAAATCGTTTCTTCTTCGACCTCTTTCCTTTATTGCCAGTTTCTTCCAACATGTCAGAATCATCGTGCACCTTACAACTAACATCATCAAAATATAAAATTCCTTGAACTTCAAGACGCTCACCCTAAAGAAAGAAACATTACAAAATATGTTGACAGGAAGTACGTAGGTGAAATCATATTGAGAAACAATTTGTAAAAATTCACGAATGCAAACCTCCAACCACTTGGTATAATATTGGACAAGAACAAGAGAAAGATTCATAGCAAGGAAAACTGCTTGTTCCATCTTTTTATACGAGAATAATGCTTCCAGAATACAACAATGGATGGTCACAGAAGATGTAAAATCACCATATTTCACTTGAGAAGGAATTGGAAAGTAGTCCACATCGCGACCAGGAGAAGAAGCTAAACCATTTGATTTGATTATGCTCATTTCTGATTGGTTGTCCGTTTTCATCGCATGATTATTAAAGTTGTTCCACGAGAAGTCTTTAAATATCTTGATATGTTCAAAAGAGCACCAGAGAGTCCATTCATTGGAGTTACGCGACAAAAATATCTTACCAAAAATGACTTTCGTGTTATTCATAGCCGTGAAGATTTCATTCTGTCTCTTCACTGAGATACACGGATTGAGAAGTAATAATCGCCACAATCTTGACACTTGTTCAGTTATCAACCAACAACTAAATATGAAAGAGAAGATAGCACGAATGAAGGTTGAAAAAGTTGCTCTTTACTTCATGTCAAAAACTTACGAATCAGGTCTAGGGATACTGCCAAAAAACAGATTCGCCTCGTATCTTTTCATTACTAGCAGTGTAAGTGTATCGTTTGTTCATCTCAGTCATCATTTCCTTCAGCTGGACTGTAAAAATCTGAACTGCTTTCAACGAGTATTCAAAGTCATCGTAAATTAAATCCTCGCAAGTCTTTAGAAATTCTGTAATTTCTTCCATCTTCTCATGAGAGTACGTTCGCTTCCATTGATGATTATACACAAACATATGATGATGATCAATTGACATACTGCTGAGATTCGTGAAGTAGTCTACATAAAGGAAAGATAGAGCAAGAAACAAATCAGCCACATAAACTAACCTGCTGTAATAAAGGGACCCGGCAAGTAGTATCTATGTTATAAATGATGCTGCAAGAGTCAAAAATATTTCTTCCATGGCAAACTATATTGAAACATCATTTTCCTACCATTTACAAATGATTGCTGAGTATGAGCTGGTGGCCACCAATCCCAGATGGAGTTTGGAAAATCATTGAGTTTTGTGACATTTGATCCCAAGCAATACTTAGTTACTTCACACATTTGAATGAGTGTTTTGCAGCGAGATGTCAATCCTTCTTCACAAATCAGCCATTGACATTGTCCATCATAGCCTAAAAATGGAAACATGACAGCTTGATTAAGGTTATCAATAAAATCGTTACGCTTTAATGAAATGCAGCATTTACCTAGTGTATCAATTACTAACATTATATCAACATTTGTATTTTAAACTATCACATTCTGGTTTATAAACATACCTTACAAATGAAGCAACAATTATTGAGAACTATTAAATGTTTTTCGATAGCATTAACATTAAATTATCAACTATCATTTTTAGATCACATTTCAAAACAATACAATTGTACATACATCACATATTTCACAAACCTGGCCCTGCAGTGGGATCTGGTGCACCCCATGTTTCATGGATTGCATCATCTTCATGTTCCTGTGGCTTTACCATCCGATCAAGAACATTTTGTGCTGACTCAATAATTTGCTGATCATTAAACTCTGCTATCAGATACTGGGTAAATGTCCTCAGTTCTGTATATGTGGATAGATTGTTTAATGAGTCAGATAAAGGTGGGCTTATCTTGCATTTGTCTTGTTGGAAAATTCTCACTAGACACACAGCGATGACATGAAAACACCAACTACCATTTTCACAAGGACAGTTTGTCTCTGTGATCTTTCCTCGATCAAACTTGATGCTTACGTAAAGATAAGGACTCTTCTTCTCTGGAGGTGCATCATGCCAATGCTCAAGATGTCCACGAAAATGTACACGAGCACTCAGATGAAAACCTAAAATATTTCAAATAAATAAATTTGATTGAAAGTTTCTTAGGTGTTCTTTGAATTTCTATAACTCACCAATTTGTGAAAGATCTTTTACAAACTTTAAACTCTTGATGGCTTTGTCAAATTCTGATGAAGAACCATTATTAAGTGTACAATAACGCTTAATCTTCTCCATTTCTTGAGGAAATGAATACTGAATTATTTTAAGTTGAGCATTTTCTGCAACAGGTGGATCTTGACCTTCAATATATGCGAATGGAAAGCTCAAAGCAACTTTCTTAGCACAGATATCAATAAGTGGCAATGGATTTTTTGGTAAATGATCTGGATTAGGTATATCTAAGTCTCTATAAATGATCTGGAGCTCAGTCAATGACTTTGATGGTTGATGGCTTTCATAATCCATATAATCTGTACTGTCTGAGAGTATACCATTCCCAAGATAGTCATCAAACTCATCATCATAGTCAACCCAGCCCAGTTCACTATCTGTGTAATAGTCAGGTTCAAAGAAATAGTCGTCGTAATCAGACATCATATTCTACAAAAAAATAAATAAGAAAAATGGTCTCAGACATTGGACTACATCATAATCTGAACACTAAAGGCTGTTAGCATAAACACAGAATAAGCATGTCTACATATCATTCAAAGCAGTAGAGATGCAAACGTTTCTAGTAAAAGCAAATATGAGCAAAATTAAATAATATAATGAAATTTCAAGTTTACAAGTACCAGTTGGCAGCGGTTTAATGACCATTTAACATTCAAGTATGATTTATAATTTATATCACAGGAAAAACATCTGAGTTTGAACATTTTGTATTAACTTCTAAAGCAATCCCATTGAAAATGCTTTATCATTCACTATACGCTGCTAGTAGGAAAACATTCAACGCGAATAAAAGACGATTACATAAAAAATATATATTATTAATTTATATAACAAATAACAAATTGATCATGAGAGACGACACAACAAAATGAAACTAAAACAATATTTCTTAAGAAAAGATTTCAGGAGATGACCATACAACACAAAAAATATCAGAGATATAATATGAACACACGATAATGTAAACTTACTTTTACCTTAATAAATTTATTTCAAGTTATAAACATTTTATTCCAATTCTGTTCATCCGAAGAATTTGCTTTTCCTGTGACCTTGCAATTTGCATGATTGCATACTCCAGAGGTAATAATATATTGAGATCAAAGGATGACTTTCTCCATCCAGAGTAAACATCGTTCAGTGCAGTATTGCACCATTATTTCACCATCAAAAGGCAATGTTTATGTTTATGGTACTTAATCAAAACAATGATATCATGAACAGTCAAAACTGCATGTCAAGTATTTACTTCAGACGTAAATCATTTTATTTTGGTAAAAATACCAGAAAACGAAGAAAGGCAAAGAAACCATTGAATTAGGAAAAGGCTGCAATTATGAAAAAATCATCTATGGTTTTACCGAGAACAAGTAACACAAAGTACACCAATACTGGTTTACTTTGTAAGTTTTTCAGTCAGTCAAAAGAATGTAAATATGGAGATTTGTGTCGCTATCGACACGAAAGAAAGTGTGAAGAAAAAGCATTCAGCGAGTCTTTAACGAGTGATGATAACAGTGAAGACAATAAGCAAAGCAACTGTATACCATCAGGTACGTCTTTTTCTAACGATGAACAAACTACTTCAAAAAAATCCGACCAAAAACGAACGTAAAAACGCGATATGTTAGAAGACCAAATTGTAGATATTTCTCAAAGAATGGAACTTGTCGAGATGGTGATAAATGTAATTTCTCCCATCAAAAGAAAAATAGTGAGAGACCACAGGGAAATAATGATTTAAGAAAAACCCAAGATCTACAGAAGTCGTTTGAAAGAGGTTTATCTGTGTCTGCTAATGTCAAACAGCAGCAGCCTTTGAAAAGACCAAAAAACCTTAGTGAACGATTATCTCTGCTCAGTGAAGATGAAGCAAAATACTTATTGTCAGTTGAACTTGAACAGTTAAAGAAAAGATTTAAAAATGATGATTTGGAAATACAAGACACAAAATATGGAACTGAATGTAATTTTATAATGAAACCTACTGACCCAGATTGGGTGAGTAAATCATGTTGAAACTAGCATGTATTTTGTTAACTTTCTCCTATCATTTCTGATTTAATATTTCACTTTTCTAGCCATATGATATTAACGAAGTTAAATTGAATGTGATTTTTCCAAAGAATTATCCTAAAGAAGTAAGCATTGTCATCTAATGACGAGTGTCTTTTGAAAAAGTTGTCATTAAAATTTATTGAGATGATTATGCGATAAATTCTTCTTAAGATCTTCAATGCTGAAATTATTGATAACAAGCAAGAGTACCCAGAAAATTTTACAAAGTAAGATAATATATTTTTTATCATTGAATAAATATCCTTGTAAATTGTACTATGCATTGGTTTTAACTGTCATAAAAAAACCCTGCTTTGTTTAGGTACATAAATACAAAGATCAAAGAACAATTGTTAAGTCATGAAAAGGCTCAAAAATTGAGAGACTCTTGTGACTTATTGTTTCGACCTTTCCTGAGATGGTTTGATCGTAACATGGAAAGTCTCTTCACAAAAACTTTGAAACAGGTAATGTTCACTGATGCTTATTGTGAATCATGAATGATATATTTACAGACTTGAATACTGCATTAACTAAATTTCATAAATATTTATTTCAGATCAAGTATGAAGTACTAGCCAGATCATCTGGTCTAGAGTTCATCACTTTTGACAAACCAAAGGTAGATGGTATTGAAGAATTAAACAATCAAAAATCAGATGAGTTGATCACACCAACAGAAGTTGTTTCATCAAAAACTGAAAATGAAGGGAAAATTGATGATAGCAATGTAATAATGAAGATGGTAGAATCAGCAAAGATGTTTCCCTCGAAAAAAGGAACAGAGATTAGGTTTCGAGGAATGGATCTTCATGAGAATACAGCAACTGTCAGAGTTACCTCAATAAGTTTAACTGTTCAGTGTAGTCGATGTAAGAACAGGGCAGATATGCCAAATGTCAAAGAAAAGTATGTTAAACCTCTTTTTTGGCAAACTTTAACTCCGTAATGAACAATTGCTGATAGTTAATGTGATTTCTTTAGGACTCAAGTTGTTTTATGCTGTACAAAGTGTTCAAATGCTCAAAGCATAACATTTATAAGTTCAGAGGTTGTTCATCAACATTCCTCAACATTGGCTTTGATCAGTCCAAATGGGTTAGAATCATCATTTGTAAAGTATTGCTGTTGAAGAACTTAAATAGCACTTAAGCACTCTTCTTTTTCATGTCTCAAAGGTGTTTGCCCATTGACCTTATCCTGACTGGATGTCGTCTTTCAATTGGATGCTTAAATTGCAATAAAGAAACTATAGTGATGGTGTGTTATTCTTTCATTAAGATATATTCCTTTGAAAAAAACTCACATGAAATAAATTATGATTTGAGGGACTTACATATGGCTCAACCAAGAATATATGGTGTGAACATTGCCATCACAAGTTAGACATGAAAGTCGAATCAGCACGATTTTATCAATTACAACCAACACTGAATTGTCATGGTAACATTGCAAACATTGTTGGTAGCATATGGAACAAAACAGAATGTTATTACTGTTTTATTTCTTGTAGATAAAGACATTAAGACAGTAAAGATAAATCTTAAGAGAAATAACCAAAATGACCCATTAATAAAAAGTGGTCAGCCTTTGCCAAATAATGGAACATGTCAACATTACAAAAAAAGTTTTCGTTGGATGAGATTTCCATGTTGTGGCAAGGTGTATCCTTGTGATAAATGCCATAATGAAGCTGAAACAGAGCATGAAATGGAAATGGCCACAAGAATGATTTGTGGATTTTGTTCAAAAGAACAGGTGAAGAGATTCATGTTTGTAACACCACATATGAAAAATACACGTTTTGATTAATGAATATGTTTTGTCAAGGCATTCACAAAAAAAGGGTGTATATCCTGCAAGGCATCTTTGACTGCTATACACAGTCATCATTGGGAAGGAGGCAAAGGATGTAGAAATAAAATTAAAATGAGTCGGTGAGAGGAGATATAAAACCATGAGAAATTACCACATTATGTCACTTGACTTACGTTGATTCTACTTTACAGAGGTGACAACAAAAAATACTCAAACATGAAGAAAACAGTGTCAAGAAAATCCACAAAAGGAGAGCAAAAACGATGAATTACGAAAAATCCATATCAGTTGAATACTACCGGGGATATGATCCCCTGGGGGATAACATCCGTTTATTAAATAAGAAATGTAACAAAATTCGTCGTCATAAAATTGTGACAATTTTTGTACATAAAATTAATTCGAAATTGTGTTGACCTTTTGATACGAGAATATTTATGATTTTTTCAAACAAGCTATATGTAAACAATGCATGGTGTACTTTCTAAGTCTTTTCTTGTCCATCATTTATTGTTGATAAGTCTAATCATCATTTGTGGTCATGAAGATGGTCGTGAAGGTGGTGTGGACGATGATAACAAGAGAAAAGACATCAAAAGAAATGGAGACTCAAAGAATAATGTTATGTTGATATCTTTAGATTCATTTGGTTGTAAATATCTAGAATTGCTTGAAACGCCAACTCTAGATTCATTTAAGAAAGAAGGAGTTTATGCTGACTACGTAATCAACGTAATTCCCACAGAAACATTTCCAAATCACGTTTCCTTAGCAACAGGTCTGTATCCAGAGTCTCATGGAATGGTATCTAATGAAATGTATGACCCTGTATTTAAAGAATCCTTCAAAATGGGCATGACTGATCCTAAATGGTGGTGGAATGATGACAATGAACCAATTTGGTATACTAATGAAAAGAATGGTGGTAGAAGTGGTATAACATGGTGGCCAGGGTATAATGTTGCAAATTATACCCCTAGATACATGATTACTCAAAAGATGTCGTACAAAGAAAAAGTTAATCAGGTGATTTCATGGTTAAAAATACCAAAATATCCCAATTTAGTGATGATGCATTTTGATCAACTTGATGAAGCTGGTCATGCTCATGGCTTTGGATCTCAAGATACGCTTCGAGAAGTTAAAAACATCGACAACATCATTGGTTACCTTCTTCAAGAACTAAAGAACAATAATTTACTAAATAAATGGAATATTATCCTGACAGCAGATCATGGTATGACAAATATTTCAAGAAGCAAGATTATAAACATTACAGATTATGTTGATCCATCTGAATGTTTTGTTAATGGTGATGGTGGAGTTCGTTTTGTCTGGCCAAAAGAAGGAAAAAAGGAAGCAGTTTATAAGAAATTGAAATCTAATCACCATCCAAACATGCAAATCTGGCGAAAGGAGGAATTTCCAATTAAATTTCATTATAGAAACCATCGTCGTGTATCGCCTATTCTAATAACTGTTGACGAAGGATGGACACTTGTAAATGATCCAAAACAATTTAAATTCAAGCACAATGGTGCTCATGGTTACCTAAATACATACCCTAGTATGTTGCCAATATTTTTTGCCCGTGGACCTGGATTCAGGAGAGCATTTCATTCAAAAGTGTTTAATTTGGTTGATTTGTACCCAATAATATGTAAGTTGCTTAAAATTAAACCTAAACCAAACAATGGAACAATAGAAGTCACTCAACATCTACTTCTTGACGGTAATGAAAATGAGGAGTTCAGTGGTTTATTGGTTGGTGTTATGGTCACCTCAGTGTTTTTTGCTCTGGGAATCTTGATTTGCTTGGTAACCATGTGCCTGAGTGACAGGAAAGTAAAAACAGTAAAGAAAAAAAATGTTTGGAATGATAACAATGCAATGAATCCATCGGAACAATCAAAGAAACTATTGCTTGATGAAGAAAGTGATGAAGAGATAGAATATTTTCAATCAGATAGATTATAATTATGTAACAATGACATATTTTATGTTTGAAGCATAATTTGTGTATCTAATAAATGTGTTCTTTAATGTAATCACTCCAGACATTGTGAAATTTCATGATGCAAGAAAAATAAAATAATTTATAAAAACAAATGTTTTAGAGTTGTCCACAATTTTCAATCACAATCTTTTTGCTTGTCTTTCCTGAAGCAGAACCAGTAGCTTCCATTTTCTTAACAACATCCAGTCCTTCAATGACACAACCAAATACCACATGTTTACCATCTAACCATTCAGTTTTTTCAGTTGTAATAAAAAACTGTGATCCATTTGTATTTGGACCTGAGTTTGCCATAGATAGCATTCCTGGTCCAGTATGCTTCAGAACAAAGTTTTCATCATTAAATTTTTTACCATAAATAGATTTACCACCAGTACCATTGCCTTTAGTAAAATCACCACCCTGACACATAAATTGTGGAATGACTCTATGAAAATGACTCCCTTTATAACCAAAACCTTTCTCACCAGTACACAGGCAACGAAAATTCTCTACAGTTAATGGCACAACATCATTCCGTAATTCCATTATAATTCGTCCCGCAGATCGATCAGCAATCATGATATCAAAGAAAACTCGATGATTACGCTTTGTTTCGCCGTCGTTTGCATTTTCTCCAGTTTCTAAAGATTCACTTCCCTCGGTTTTTTTATCAGAATCGAGAGTTTCTCCAATGTGTTTTGTCATCCAGTTGTCGTCCTTCCAAATAGCCCTTGACGAACCTTCTTTTAATCTCATTGGCTTCGCTAGATTTACTCTTATTGTGCGGCCGAATAATTCAGATTCGTTCATGTTGTCTAAATAAGAAGACATAACATGAATAAACTCACAGAAAAAAAATACATGCAAAAACTATTCATTTTGTCAATTGACATTACCAATTGCAGCGGCGGCATCTTCAGGCAGCTCAAACTCAACAAAACCAAAGCCTCTGTGCTTCTGAGTTGAGTAGTCAAGAGGAATTTGAACATCAGTGATATCTCCAAAAGGGATCAAAGCTGCATGAAGCATTTTTTCGTCAACTTCTTCAGCTAAACCACCAACATATACCATTCTTTTAGTCGCCATATTGGAACACCCGATTCTTCATCTAACCCGGATGTAAAATCGGGTGAGGCAGGCAAGACCAGGATCTTACACGTGCAATTGATTACATGTGAATCGCGAAATCATTACAAGTGTAATAGTGTAAAAAAATTGCAAGACAGTTACATATTGAATATCGTATTTAGTAATCACTGTACTTAGTAGACGCCCTGTTTAGTTAACACACCAGCCGATATTCTATTTAGAAGACATTCTACATAGTTGCCACCCACTCTACATAATAAATGCCACTGGCTAGACTGTACTTTTAAAGACATTCATTGGCGGCATTTAAACAAGCACCGCTTTATATCTACTTGACGCAATAGTATTCAATTCAGAGAGTATGTTGTACCGAGTGAGTCTATCCTGAAAGTTTCATTGATTTAGTACAAATCCTTCTGTCATGTTTTTATGCATCATGCAATTATGGTCTCTATATAAAACCGTTTGGTCAATTGCTTCACTCAAACATCAAAATAACTGAAAAATCTTGTATTGAAATATATTTAACATTAAATACAACGTAAATGTTCAGTCAATGAATTAACTTTTGCGTTTTTTTGCTGTAATGATTATAAAGCTAACGAATGCAATGAATATAAGAAAGATTGTTATATATCTTCATTTAATTTGAATATAAGAAAGTTATAATAGTGACGATAGAATCTTGGTAACTTACGTATCATTCGTCGTGTAAACGATATCCTTTCCTCTCGTCACAGCATAACATATAAACTGTAAGTGTAAGCATCATTTCACTGAGCAATGGTGAGTTGTACATTTCATCGGACTTCTGACTGTAGTTTTCTGACTTAGTCTGCCTGCCGTAATTGAAATCATTCATAATAAAATTTATGACACCCATACATTTCCATAGGCTGGTGTTATAATATTCTCAAGGGAGTAGTCAATAAAGAAAAAACATCCACGATGTCTACCTTTGTGTCTGCCTTTATGTCTACCGTTATGTCTATCTACCATTATGTCTATCTTTGTGTGTACCTTTATGTCTACCTCTATGTCTACCTTTGTGTCTATCTTTAGGTCTACTTTAAATCTATCTTTATGTCTACCTTTATGTCTACCTTCGTGTCTATCTTTATGTCTACCTTTATGTCTACCTTTATGTCTACCTTTATGTCTACCTTTAATTTTTCCTTTCTTTTCCTCCTTTTTTCATTTACCTCCCCCTACTTAAGGCCGAGGAAAGTTGCCCACTTGGCCTCTCCTCACGGTGAACGGTTTAGGTAATCGGTAATTTAAATTTTTAAACGTTAAGAAACAAATCCACTCCACACTACACCAGCGCAATTTGTCCTATTTATTCAATAAAATAGTTAAAAATATGGGCTTCATAATGTAAAGCTTTTTAATAAATATTAGCAGAATTATACACATCATATTGTGACTATTTGTTTAGAGCGCACAACAGCAGCAGTCTTTCTTTCTGAAACCCAGTCGGGTGCAACAACGAATGAGCCACGAATATTAGATGCAGTGTGAAAGAAAGTGCTACGTCCATGCTCATACAAAGGTGCTGACATCTTCAAGTAACTGGAGTTTATCAAACCTGACGGTTTATAAAGATAATCCAAAGAAGGTCCATTATTTGGTCTCACTCTGGAGGGAAACGAAAACCTGATAAGCATTTATCAATTATCAACTATCTTCAATGTAAGTAAGTATACGAAAAAGAAGCTTTTAGTTAAATGTTTATCCAGTTCCGTTACACAAGTCTTCTCATGATAAATTAGTCGATCAAAAATCTTCCGGAAAATTTTGATAATTTTTTTTGTAGCTAACTAGTAATGAAATCCATCAACATAACTCAAGAAACTCTTACAAACTTCGCAGGCGGTATAAAAGTGGAGAAGCGCTATAACTCCTTTTAGATCTTCCGTAGTTCTTTCCTTCTTATTGCGAATATTCAAAGAAAATAATTTTATGCAATTACTATAAACATCCTTAAGGACATTTAACTACACTATTCAACTAGTGATATAATCAAAAGGGTTTCTAATAGATCTATAGATTTCTATTTTTAAAATTATTATTAGAAACATAAATAGATAAATTTGACAGGGGAAAAGAAAAATTGATTGATTGATTGATCATGTGACATAGGATTTCTGTATTTGATCATCGCTTACTTTTTGTAAAACTGCAGATCATGTCTTCCTTTAGAGTGGTCAATGTGAGTGTCATAAGGCTCGGCATAAGGCTCGAAAGATGCAATCTGATGTTGTGACTTCGATTGACAGCGAGGTATAGGTGCAGAGAAGGCCCGTCTCGCTTCGTAGTTTTCAAGATCTAACCTCTTCGAGGAATGTTTGTGGATAATCTCCTCAGTCAGTGAATCTATTAAATTAACGACACGTGTCGACATAGAAAAATCAACTTACACAAAACTCAAAGCATTTCATCGTTACAAAATTTATCTACCAAACAGTGCACAAACCTGGTATATCATGTCTTGCTTTATCGTCACGTGACCTTGACGATGAAAGTTTTCTTGTATCATACGAAGGAAAGTTCACAGAATAATGATCATGTAAGGATGGGTTAATTTCTTCATCAATGATAGAAATAAATGCATGAATCTAAAATATATTATTTACTTTTTACTTCAAGGATGGATCCACGATATCTTTGGAGGTGACGAGTTTTAGGAATAAAAAGCAATCATCGTAGAAAATGAAGTATTCTACGTACTGACTCTGAATTGTTCTTCTTCATATCATCGTAACGTTTGCCTTTAGACATGCCTAAAATGTAAACGGATATAATTTTCTTGAAACGCAGAGTCAAATAAAGACTTGCCATTGACTTATTATGTGTACATAATGACTAGAATAATATAGAAGTGGACAATCTATGAAAACAAGGGAGAGTGAAATCCAGATTAAATATTGGTGTGCTCTCTTGATAATTGTATTTATCATCAAAGAAAGTCAGTAGTTTTTATAGATACCACTCTAAATACATAAAAACTAATCAAATCATTTGTATGATTGCCATCAAAACAGCATTGCAGTGCACTCTTTAGTTCCTTTTTTTCACGCAAATGTTCCGCTAATGGTGCAATAAAAATGCCGGACTCTAAATATCTCGAACAAACCTTCGTAGAAACTGTTCGATAATTCTCCAAATCTTTTTTTCTTCTTTAAATTCAGATAACCATGACAAGTCCCTCCTGCATCACCTATAACATTGTAGCCTGGAACCAAGTGATCTCGAGGATTAGATAAATCCTACATTAACAGATTTAAAATATAAGTAATACGTCATCACAACCAATATGAACTTATGATAATGCTCTATTATGCTTAAAAACGACCAAATTGTCAAGTATTTGTTGCGCGAAATAAACCCAGAACATAGTACAATCAGCACACAATCAATCGAGACAAATGTAATAGTAATGTTCATTTCTTTTACCTTACAACTGGATCGTCTTGTGTTTACTTTAGCTTTTGTATGCCTGTATTTGGAATTGTACAAATTCCTCGCGTTAAAGTCGTCCATATACACGGATTTTCGACACATTTTACGATCAGTGACCAAATTAGCTGGTAGCTGAACCCATACATTGCTTCCCTTTTGCACTAACTTTGCATCTTTTACATTACTGTATGATTTTGGCAATTGCACTTTAAAAGCTCTCGACATTAGAATTCTACACAAAAAGTGAACCGTCTGCAATCTTAAGTGTGTAATGTGCTACGCCAGTAATACAAGTATAAAGCGTGCTGCCAAGTACTTTGTTTATTGAAATTGAAACTTTCTTATAGTTGACAAAACGTCGAAGTTGCTAGGTAATACAAGATTACTCGAAAAAGGATTATGGCAAAGGGAGTTGATTGGATATGACGAATGTTAGGTCAAAGTGTCAGGTTGTATCAATAATCATTAAGGTAACTATAAACACGATGGCTTTAGCATGTTTTGTTGAAGAAAACGTTTGAAGCAATTACTTATTAATGCAATCATTAAAAATTAAACAAGCGTGAATTGAGATAACAACTAATGGTTTAAAATGACGTTGTTTCTATTGCTAATTTTTACTTGTTTATCTTTGACATCTTCCGAATTCCAACAAAATCCTTTAATCTGACGGCTGTATCTTCAACAACTAAATCTTTAAATCTTCCATTGCTTTTTCAATTCGTTTTTTATCTTCGTTTAATTTCTTAGTAAATCTAGCAGCACTTTCCGCTTCTTTTACACGTCCAAGACTTCGATAAACTTTCTCAATTTCTTCACTAGTCATTACAGTCTCATCATGAGGACCGATTGTTCTACGTTGAATCTCGAGAGCTTGACGAAGTACAGCAAGCGCACCTTCATGATTACCTAGGGAAAAAATTCAACCAACGATAAATGGAACAAGCACAAAGGTAATAATGTCCGGAATCGTCAAGAGAAAGTCATTGAATGAAAGTTAACAATTTTTTAAGATAAATTGTATATATATATATCAACCTAGTGACTTGAGCGTTTTTCCGAGACCCAAATAGGATGTTGCAGTGAATTTATGATCTCCTAGAAAACCTTTGTAGATCCTGATAGCTTCCCTTCGACATTCCATTGATTTTTCCGTCCTTCCAATAGCTTCGTATGAGCTACCGAGTTCTTCATACACCATAGCAATGGAAGGATTATCCTTTATTTCTTTATTGGCCATTGGTAATATTCTTTCTCTCAATTCAATGGCAGTTTTATGATGTTTATGATAACTATAAACAGCTTTCAAGAAAACAAAATCATAATCAAACACTACAAACTATATTAACTCAGCTAAATGGCATGCAAGTCAGATATCTGTGATGTTTGATCATTGAAATTAGCAAATCCTTGAATAGAAAAGAACATAATTTTGCTTATAGTTTTAGGCAGCTAAGTCTGCACAACATGTTCAAATCATAACCACGACGATCTTCAATAACATATTTTATACTTCAAACGCGGTTAAACAAAATGAGTATTGTACAATTTTTCTTTGTTGTAAAGTTGGAAATGGATCGAAGAACGTTCAGAACGAGAGCAATTTCTAAAGATTTCAACAAATGGTTGACAGACTTTTAAAATCTCAACAGCTCATAATAAACACCAAAATAGCTTACCAGCATAATCATTAAATACAGACATCATTGTCAGGTTGTTAGTTTTAATCTCCTCCGCGATAGTTTTGGCTTCATCCGCTAAAATGACTGAGTTCGCCAATGGCCCTTCAAATGCATAACTTCTTGCTAACTTACTCAGGCATTCAACATGCTGTTCAGTTTTAGTCATTCCTAACTCTTTCTGTAAATCAAATGCCTTCTTAAAGATCTTGGTAGCTTTATGACAAGGTCGAACACATGTACACATAACCCAAAACTGATGAAAACCCAGTGATACCAAACAATCGCTGTAACGTTTTCTATCCGTATTTTTCTCAAAAATTTGTAGGAAACTTTTATAGAGTTGAGTGAACTCAGAGCTTGATAGACGAACTGTAAAAAACTTAAATGAACTATTCAGTATGTCTGCAGCGTAATTCACCAACTTCTTGTCATGAATCGATCCTTCCAGTGCACGAAAAATGTTATTCTTATGGCATTCAAATGCTACAAGAGCTTCTTGAAGATTTTCTCCATTCCCATAAAACTTTGTATTCATATCTTTGAGAATAGTTAAGAAGTACAAATTGAAGTGACGTCTAGCGTTCTCATATAACTCTTGAAGATCGTGTTTTTCTTTTAACAATTCTTTACAGAATATTAATACAATGCTATGTATGGCATAAAAACTCCTTTCTTTAGTATGAGGACGAACAAATGAGCTATCAACAAGTTGAGTGATAATGAGCTGACGTTGAAGATCGGACATATCACGAAGAACACAACTTGTGTCGGGTATCTTAAATGATGACGGAAAAACAGACAATGCAATAAGATGATTTTGTAGTTCAGGATTTAGTCTTTCAAAACATATCTTCAAGCATGGATACATATCAGATTCAGGTGATATGCCAGCCAAAGATAAACTACGCATTGCTGTACCGGGAGAAAGTTCAAATTCTTTAATCAACAGGTCAGGATCAACATTTGTTTCAAGTAACGAAGACACAGTACGGATAAGTAAAGGAACTCCTTTGCAAAGTTGACCAAGTTTCATAGCATGATTATTGGAGATTTCTTGTGGAGCAAAAATACGTATAAGTTGAGCAGCTTCTCTATCTGACAGAGCTGGAAGAGCAACATTTTTCATGTTGAATGAAAGAAATTTTATAGCAACACGAGATGTAATGATCATGTATACATGAGGTGCCATTTCACCAAGAAGACGTATAAACTTACGAAAATTGAATTCAAAAGCAGGAACAAGAAAATCTTCAACATTATCAAAGATAAGTAAAGTCTTCTGAATTAATGATTCAAAATAATGATGACTTTGAGATATAGGGTCTTGACCTGATACAACACCCATTGAATAAAGAAGTTGAAATGCAATACTATCAACTGATGATGCCCCTCGTATTGACACATAATAAACATTAAAATGTTGTTGCTCCATCATTTCATGGCCAATACTAATAGCAACAGCAGACTTTCCATAACCTGGAGGTCCGGTGATTGTTACAAGACGATCATGATCTTTGATTAAATGAGCAATGATCTCTTCACAAATAAGAGCTCGTCCAAGGAAATGTGGTACCTTCCCAGGTAGAACACCCCGAAGTACTATACATGTTTCATTAACGTTCCAAGCTGAAAAACAATGTAAAACTATCACATGTTATAAAATTTCTAGAAACTTAGTTAATAACATATATTTTACGAGAGAGTTGTTCGGTTTATATATGGCATTTTGGGATACACAATTAAGACATGAAACAAATATTGTAAAACTTTTGTAATTTAGTCTCTTGATATTTGATCTGCGGCTAACTGAACTCATGCAAATTGCCCCTTGATATTTTTCTAATAATTCCCCATAAGTAGTAAGTACATTAGTAAGAAATTCCTTTCGTTTTACCATTTTCATTCATTCCCAGTAGTTTCCTTGCAAGCTCCTGCCTCCCTATCTTCAGCAACAGTCTAGCCAGAAACTCTTTATTTTCCTCACTCAATAAATCTCTATGTTGTAATTCAGTAAATAGATCAACTGGAGTTTTCAACTTTTCTAAAACGCCATCTGGTATATCATTATCGCAAGCGTATTTCATATCAGCAAGATTTCTTGTTGTTATTTCTTGAGAAATATCCAAAAGAACGGATCTAAATGGATCTGTCGTTTTCATATTCAATATGACTGTTAGAAGTATCCGTCCGATACTCAAAGCAAAACAAAAATGAAATTATAACTGTTGAATGTTTAAAAACAACAAAGAACATTGACAATGAAAGGAAGTTCACTGTTTGCAACAACCGGAAATGGTCGACTTCGTATTAGAATATATCGGACAATAGATTGGTAACTATTTTTGTAATAACTGTCGTCAAATAATTTATTTTTACAGCTTTTGATAAAGTTTTCTTTGACTTTTAGTTAAAAACTTAGATCATAGGGTAAATATTTATTAATATCTTAACGATTTTCATAAATACAACGTTTTGGGTCATAAGGAAAAGTTTTCGGGGAGAAGGGTTAAATCTCGTATATTATTTTGAGATCACCTTGACAACAAATAAATCAAACTCTTTAGTCGACATAATTTAATGTTTTATTTGTAATTTTTGTGAGTGTTTTTAAAGATGTTTAGTTGAGTTTTTATTTAAATGGAAATGACAAGTAGCGCTGATTTTGAACTTGCACTAAGAAATCGTGATTATAATATTATTACAAAATACTTCACTTCAGTACAACATAAGATGTACAACAGTAGAACTTGTTAATTCATTCTATACGATAGAGAAGTTAGGAACTTGCTCAGTTGGCTAGATAGGATGTCTTCTGAATTATTAATATCATGGGGATGTGGTGAATTTGGTCAACATGGTTTATCTCATCATTGTGGAGATGTGACATTAAACGAAGCTTTAAATTATATTAAAAGTGATAATTTGACGATACCAGTTGCAGAGAAACCTTTACAGGCTATATGTGGATCAAGCTACACTCTTTTGCTAACAGGTATAAAGATAATGTAGTATAGATGCTGTAGACAGTTTGAAAATGAACATGTATAATACGCAAACCTAATCTTATGTCTTTCATTTACAAGACACAGGTATTCTTTACAGTTGGGGTAATGGTTGCAGTGGTCAATTGGGAAATGGGAAATGTGAGAGAAGAGTTCAACCAAGTTTGGTAGCATTAAATTTTGATGATGATATAAGAGGAATGTCATGTGGTTCAAGACACAGCTTTGTCTGGACAACAAATGGCTCCTGTTATAGTTTTGGCAACAACTTTTATGCTCAACTGGGATATAATTTTTCCAAACCTGATTTTAAAGAGAACCAGGTAGTCTTATCAATAAATGTAAATGCACGAGGATATTATTGATATAATTCTGATTGGAATGGTAAAGCTATAAAGAGGACAATGAAGTATTAAAATTTGTATTTTATAATTTCTCATTGTAGCTTCAACCAATTCTAGTAGAGTTTTTCCCAAATATAAAAGTGGTACAGGTAGCTTGTGGTGCAAGACATTCGTTGTTTCTCCTACATACAGGTCAAGTCATGGCTGTTGGTGATAACCAATTTGGTCAAATAGGAAATGACACAACAAATGATGTTGTAATACCAACTGTAATAGAAGACATCAGCTCTATAACTCATATCGCTGCTGGAAATATTCATAGCCTTGCATCTGATGGTTAGTTATCATTTAAACATAATTTAATTCAAAATAATAGGGCTCATAACTTGACCAACGACAAACAACAAGTTGCTTCAGTGTTTACACATTTGACATGGAACAAAATCAACAGAGTATTTCATCTTTCAGAGGAAGATTCCATATTTGCATGGGGCTATGGGAAAGCAATTGGCTGCAGAACTGGACTTGTGTCTTCTCCGAAAAAATTCATGCCAGCTCTGAAAGAGACGAGCTCTGTTTTAACATTGGCAGCTGGTGATTGTCATTCAATGATTTTGTACAAGTGTGGTGTAGTGTTTATATGGGGGAATAATTATGAGGTTTGAATAATTCATTGTCTGTCTGCTTTAATATCATTAATGCAAGATGTTATTTTTTTAACAATAATATTTCCTAGGGTCAACTTGGATTAGGTAAAGATATTAAATATCAAACTACACCAACATTGATACCTCAAAATCTTCTACCTTGGCCTGTAGTCCACATTGCTTGTGGGGAAACAACAACAGCAGCAGTTACAGGTAAGTAAGAGTAAGAACATATGGTGTATTTTAAGTTGACATAACCTTTTTATGATGCTGTTTGACGAAGATGTCATAGAATTTCTATACGTTTTAGGCAAAGGAGAGTTATATATGTGGGGAAAAAATGCTGGGTTAATTCTTGCAGAGAAAGCAGCTCATTATTTTCAGTATTTACCTCATCATGTGATGATGAATGACCTGTTTGTTGTTAAAGTAAGTTGATCACAGAAAAAGATTCACTACATTAACTGATATTTGTAACTGCCACATTGTATTTTCAGGTTTCTCTTGGTGCTTGGCATGCATCCTGTATTGTACGACGTTCACAAAAAGATGTTCTGGAAAATGTTGTGTTAACTGACACAAAACATAAATTTTTTGGTACCTCTCCTGTCGATGTTGATAATGTTCTTTCAGAGAAAGAAATATTAACTGAAAAAAGTTCGTCAATAAAGAGTAACATAGAACATACAAATAATTCCATAGCTTCTGTATCCAGTAACAATGAATCAAATCCAATGTTGATGGAAGAGAATTGTTTTGATTCTGAGGAATGCATTGGAGAGATCGCTAATGTTGAAAACCGCTTAGTTTTGGATGAAACCAAAGACAACGATTGCGTCCATTGGGACATTACCTCAACAAACAAACAAGAGTGCTTTCAAATTGCGTCTAGTTGTTCTTCTGTTGGACACAATGAAGCGAATGCTGGTAGGGAAAATACAATTAACTTATTGGAAAAACAACAAAACAGTTGTTCAGACGTAGAAGAAAACGAAGAGTCATTTAACAATAGTAAAGTGCCGCTTAATGTTACAAATCTTTATAACGATCTTTGTAAGGAGAAACTCTCTATGACAGTTATGGAAAATGAAAAATTAGCAACAAAATGCCAAGACAGGTTTGTGCATACTACTTCGAAAGGAAAAACGCCAACCTATTTGAAAGGTTTGAATCTTCGTTCTTTTACTCTGGCGTGAAAGAGGACGCGAAGCATTGCGGAGAATGTAGAAATGATGAAAATCCTGTCGAGGGTGAAAAATCAAAAAATAAAAGTTCATCTGAAGAAAATCATCATCGGAAAAGTATAAATGAAACGAGGAAGAAAGATGATTTTAAAACAGATATCAAAAATATGAACGATTGTTATGAAAGTGACATTAAAGAATATGGTCAATCGTACAACACGATTGTTACAAGCAAATTACCACATTCACCGCAAATACAAAATCGAGAGCACTCCACTTTTCTTACAACAAAAGCAACTCGTGATCACCAAAAATCAAATTCATTAGAAAAGTTGACGAGAAGTGTTTGTACCGCACCTTCAAAAAACAAGTCCAATCAAAATTCTTCTCAAAGATCACTTGGGAATGATATATGGACTACTGATGCACAATCGAAATTAAAGAAATTGCTTTTGTATCGACCACGGACAACTGTCCCTGTCATTGATCTTACTTTCCAACCATTGAGTAAAAATTCACTTTCAGCGACAGTAAAACCAAATTTTAAAGCTTTCAAGAACGCGTGGAAAGTATCAAATTTTTCAAAGATCAAAAAGTTGTGTGGACGATTTCTCAAAAGTGAATCATCAAGTATGTTAAGTTATCTATCATTTTGCCATCAAAAATCTTCGCTTTTCATGTTCATGAACACAATTGAAATCGTTGGAGTAGTTCATTTTTCTCACTATCAAAACTCGGTCCTACCTACGTATTTGCGTTTGCGCGCTTCTCTATTTCAACAAGATTTTACCATCCAATCAATGAACTATGGTTGTGCATTGATTTGAAAGTTTAAAACTAGCAAATTGTTTTATAAACCAGGCAATAAAACAAGCTAATTTCGATCTTACTTGCAGATGATATTCATTTTTGATCAAAATCAATTCTTTTCTTCCAGGAAAGGATTTCCAAGAATCGTCTGCGGTATTCTGGTAAAGCAATAAGAAAATATCCAATACTTAACAACAATTCACCAAGGATAACCACAGCCGAAATACAAGAAATGTCAAGAACAAAAAACAGCGAGAAATCATCTCGACGTTCGCATTCTTCTAGTCAATTATTTCCACCAATTTGTTCACGTAGTAATTATAAATCACTCACGAACATATTTGTAGATAGGACATTAAATTAAATAATTTATTGTCAACGTAGCTTTATGGTGGTGGTGTGTGACGTTAATATGTGTATAACGTGTCTATAGAATAATTTAACCCCTTATAATTATGTGAATGTATAATTATAGAATTTTGTACAAGACCAGTTATAGGAACAAATACTCAAATTTTTAATCAGAATACTACGCAATAATTCCTGTTCACACGTGAAAGGATATATGAAACATGTTGTCTTGCTTTGTAGACAATGGAAGTCATGACCTCTCTTTCTCTTTTTCAACTTTTGTTTTTATTGTCAATAGAAGAGACTTAAACCAAGTGAATCTACTTCTACATATGTAATGATAGTAACCTACACAATGTTTAGGATTGGCTAAAACTATAAGTCAAAAAGGCAGAAGTTTTTTGAACTTTGCATTATCAATGGATTTTAAGTTATATTATATTGGATGAATAATATTTACCTTGATTATGAAGAATATTTTCGTTTCATACTGACAACATGTATATCATGGCTTTGAAATTTTGTATCTTGTTGGTTCTTTGGTATGGTCTTTATCTCAAAATTTTCCCCAAGTATCTATGATCATAAATAAAACATGAAGCTTTATGATATATTTTGACAACAGAACTGTGTTTTATGATAAAGACAGTAAGTCTCAATTTGTTGAAAATATAGCACCTCAAAAAATTGCTGCTTCAAATACTGTTTATTTCCTTCCATTCTGTCTTCATAGCAAACTAAAACTTCGGTATTTTTATTACTCAGTTTGTAAATGGTATCTGTGAGGGGTTTTATTGACTGCAAAGTAAAATAAGCAAAATAGTCACACCTTACTTCAGGAATAGTTACACTAGAAGTGAAATACATTACGTATACGTACCTCTTCGTAATATATAACATCTGACATTATAATAAAATCAAAGAACGGAAATTCATCAACACTCTCTCCCCTACATAACATATGTTGTAAAAGTTTTATATTTGAATTGCCATAACATAAAGATATTTTGTTTTACAGGACAGATACTTTAACGTTTGCAACTACACTTACCACTTTAATTCGCGTGATTCAAACTTTCCCTTTAAAAAATGTTCATTTTCCTTCATATTTAATTCAATTAATGGTAATAACTCCTTTAGATCAGTGCAAACAACATCTGCACTAAAGAAAAATCACAGATGATATGTTTCTCTTTCATTCATCAACAATAGCCGCGTAGTCCTTACCCAGCTAGACAGCAACACAAGCTAATTAGTCCTGTTCCAGCTCCTAACTCGATAACACTTCGGCCATTTAAGTCACTCCACCGCGTGTTTTCTAAATATTTAGCAAGAACTAAAGCAGCATCCCAAACCACACAACCAACATCACCTATGTGAGCTTGGTGCATGTTTAAATTATTGCTAAATATTTGAATCTCCCGCAAAAACGTATTCGAAAGATCCGCCATATTGGAACGAGAAGAATACTTTATGTAATATGAATGATTGTGTGTTGTCGAAAGTTGGGGACGGAAATCATTTCGACTCGACAATACTAATCAAAAAAGCGTTTTTCGAAAATTTCTGATTTAGACACGCATAAAAGAGCTATAGTTTTTTAATCAAAATGTAGTTGAGTAAATGACCTTCGTCATTAAAGCAACATTTACGTCAAAGAATTATGCCATATTTCATATTGAGTGCAACATCAAAGAAGAAACCGACAGATTATATGATGCTGTATCGTCAGGTCAGCAAGAGGTTGGATTTTATCAGTTCGAACATAAATTTACTGATATTTAGAACGTAATCACAAACTTTGCTTCTAATTTTTTATGCTTTTCTTCTTATTTCCTTATTCGTTTGTAATGGGAGTTTAAACTTGATTTAACAAGTGCACATTTTTTTATCCAGTTTTGAAATGAATAAAATGCAAAATGGGAAAAGATAACGCTTGAAACCAAGAAGACAAAATTTAAGAATATCTCCGTTGTCATTATATTTCTCCAGTGTCACACACGACTCTAAGAAAATAATTTTCTGAAAGTAATGCATAAAGTAAAGCTGAACGATAAACAGATGGGAAACAGTCCAGTGAAACAACACAATTGTTTTTTCAGTATAGAATATCACAAGTACGGCGAGACGAAGTGATTGTGGAGGTCAATATGTTAGATCCATTAGTTCTTATTTATATTTACAGAAAACCTGTTTAATATGATCGCCCGTAAATCAATTCATGATTAAAAAATGGAGAATAGTGAACCGACGCTGATCGAAAACAGCTTTGATATCTGTGCACGAAAACACGTAGCTCTTGATAATGAAACATATCATGTGCAATAAGAGTAATAAAACGAAAGATAGCCTTCTTACATGCGTGATTATGAATAAACAAGGAGTTACCCAAACACTTAGAAGATGATGATTTTCTGAACGATAAGATCTAACATAAATTTTTTTGTTGTCGTTTTCTTCTTATCTTGTTAATACTATCGAAAAATGTGTGTACAGAAATGGTCGAAGTACTTCACTCTGACTCCGCCCGGCGCCCGAAAATCCAGAAAGAATTCAAAATGGTATTGTAACACGGCAGAAGAAAAAATTTATCAAAATTTTTTTTGCATAATTGAATATATTTTTAAGGAATGGATAGTGTAGTTTCAATTAGATTAATATCACCCTGGTGTAAATTATCTAGAAAAACAATTCGGCATCAATTAAGACGAATCTTCCATTTAAAACAAACGTCCGCGGAAGAATAATAAATATGACACACGTTGTTTGATGAAGCACACATGCTAACGACTTCAACCTGCACGTGAAACAAGCCGCATTTTATGCAAATTATGAACAACGTCAATGCACTAAGAAATATTTTTTAATGTTATAAAGCAATAGAGGATTTGTAGAACAAGTGCTTTCTTAGTTTGTTTATATTTCAGCGTGTAATGTTTAAGATTATCTGAATGTGGTCTGTTTAATCGATCGTTTGGCCACGTGGGTGGCCAAATATCAAAGGTGTCAACAGCCCTTGTCGCTGACGGCTTTGATTTCTCACTGACAGTTCTCTTTAACATCTCGATAAATTGTTACTGCAATGTTCCTCAACTCACATTACTCACAAACAGTTGTTCTTGATTGGAATATCTCAAAGTTGAATAAAGAAGAAGTTATTCCAAGATATAGTAGTGAAACCTCATTGACTGCCTGTACGGTTGTAATTGCAAAAAAGCCCTTCTTCGAAAACACATCCTATTAAAGACAAATATCATCGAAATTGTTTAGACAAGAAATGATGAATTCCAGCGAATTGTGGTCGACTGGATATCCAACGTCCGTGGATTACAATAGATACAAAGTACTGCATCAATTTAGCTTATGCAACAGATCTTTAAACCGCGAAAACACACCAGGATGCTTGAATCAAGTGTACAACGCCGCCGACTTAGTCACCCCAAGCATTCTAATCGCAGAGGAAGATAAAGAACGCGTAAATAATGATTCAGATGTTTCCCAGCATTACTACACGAGCGATGTAAAACCTCCTTATTCCTATATTGCTCTTATAACGATGGCAATTGAAGATTCGCAGCACAAGATGTTGACGTTGAGCGAGATTTACGAATACATCATGACAAGATTTCCCTATTTTCGTAAAAACCAACAAAAATGGCAGAACTCAATTCGTCACAATCTTTCATTGAATGATTGCTTCATCAAAGTGCCACGCAGTATGTTTGGAAAGCCTGGTAAAGGGAACTTTTGGAGTTTGCATCCAGGCTGTGGAAATATGTTTGGAAATGGAAGCTTTCTAAGGAGACCAAAGCGCTTTAAATGTCATTCACCTAAATCATCTAATGATTCAGCATTCGTTCGCCATGTTGATTCATACCATCATTTTAGTTTGTTCACAGCACTTCAACACCACCATCAGACAGCCACACAACGAAGATACTCCCCTTACGCAGTTAACCCAATTCAACACATAGTTACATCACCCGTGTTTTCTTCAAGACAATCTTATTCCTATGTATATCCTAGGAGTTTATGTGGCGAGCACGTTCACCATGGTATAAGTAAAATAAATCTTGTGGACAACACAAGGAAGAAAGGTTTTAGCGTTCAAGAGCTTATGGCTAAGACCAATGATACTTTGTAAATTCAAAAAGGAGGGATATTGTAGTTTCATTTGAAATCGACAAGTATTTTCGTCTTGAGGAAGTTGGCGTTGATATAACATTTGTCAGCTTGGTAACTTTATTTAAATGTATTGTAAAGTAAGCGGACTTAGCAACCATTTTATCATGATATGATCAAGAACTAGTATGTGCTCAACGAAATTCGTTTGAGAGTTTATTTCGATTCTAATTCCTGAATGAATTTCTCATTGTAAATAATTTTTGCAAAGTTTATTCTAGTGTCTGGTGAGTATGTGGGTCAATAAAATTTATTTTTTAACATTCATGATGTAATCTAAATCATATAATTCATCCAACAAGATTTCAGGATAATGATACAAATCAATATGCAATGTACGCGTGTTTGAAGATCACTGCATGATTATTTTTCCGGGAGAATTGACTATATTATTAATTGAATTGTCCCACCTTAGGAAATGACGGTATTATCTTTGAATGGTCGGCAATCATTGAATACCACAAAGAATTTAAAACCTACAGTGTATTCGTGTCTATATCAGTATGTGAAAAAACGATTTTGCCTTTAACATTGAGTCAAAATTGATTCAATACAAATCAGCTGAAAATTTCATTCAAAGAAAGAGTGATGTGAACTGACTGTAGGCAAAGACGTTTAAAATGCTTGATGTGTGATTGAAAATTTGCCATGTTACAACAACGCCCAAAAAAGAAAAAACCACAATAGTAATTCCGCACATTGTGTAAAATTGTCAAGTCATTCTCTTGCTTGCAGCCGATCACGATAACCTTAATGGTTAGTGAAACCAAACGAACACAGAAATTAATTGATAGAATGCTTCGCGGCTCACCACAAAGTACATAACAATGTTATCAAAGTGTTTTGCCGTTCATATTATAGCTGACCATGGTTGGCTACAAGAGGTTTATTGCGAAACATAAAAAATCGTCAATGTTAAGTTTTCTTGGTATGCTATAACTTAGGCATGATGGAACCAATCGTCCTCTTTGTATTCAAGACATTTTTCTTCAAATCATTGTCTAAACATGTGGTGGGAATATTCAGTAATTGTGCTTTTACCGAACTCATAGGAAATTGCCGCAATATAATCTGTTTCTTTTGCCAACAATTGTTGACATTTCTTATGAAAATATCCCTACAGTAGCGACACTTATCAAAAGTATGAAATCAACAGTTTATGCGCAAGTATTCAGCAAATTTCTTTGCTCGACAACATCTGGAGTTTCATGACAACCAAAATCCCGTTGAAAACGTTCTCAATAGCTAGAATTCTTACATTTCATTAACTTATCAATTTCACGGTGAATCCATGCTGCCAAAACAAAGGCAAAAGCATAGATTTTGACGACAACCTTAGCGATATTTTTATAGAGAAATAAAATAATGTATTGTAGGTTTCAATCTGCTCTTCTGAAACTACAACACAGAGACAAGCGAAAAAGAAGGGTTATCTAAACAAGACTGAATGCTTAAAATTACACAATGTTTTTCAACAGGCTATGTGAAGAGCTTATTATTTTAACTGTCACAGCAGGAGGTTAGAAAAAACTGCATTTGGATTTATTCACCTGCTAATGTAGAAGGTAAATTAGTTCAGTTATCATGCTTGAGTGGAGAATTCATTAGAGTTAGAATAACATCAAGAAACCAAAACAAACAAGTGAGATGGCTAATTGTTATTCTTTGCATTATTTTTTTTTGTTGATTGTTGCTTTCTGTTCATCTTAGAAGTAAAAAGAAAACAGAGGACGGTTTATATTGTTGAATGTGAGTTGACAACTTTCGGTTTCTTAAGAAAAACTTCAACGACTTTGCCATATGTCCTTGTTCTAGCAAATAAAATAGCACTCTAATTTTAGCTGCATAAACAAGACGATATAAACAGAAGTACATGTTTTATTGATCAAATCATCAAAATAATGTTCATACCGCGCTGGACGAGTAAACAATAACACCACGTAATGGATATTTTATGTGAATTCCTTTATTGAATAAGTTTATATAATTCCACCCTACGTAGCCATCTATTATTCAGTTTATTTTTTTATGAAAGAAAATCCTTCAGATCAAATAGATCCTAATGAAAATCAGTTTTGTGTCAAATTTAAAAATCCGTTAGTGTTAGAATAATGTAAAAAATATCTTAAATAACGTTCAATAGAGCTGTGGGCTGCTATGTAAAGCTCTTTTAAATATTAAAGTATGGAAAGAGTGAATTAATCTAGGATTTATTAAGGTTTCAATTAATTCCCAAAGAACTATACGAGGAAATTAAATGAGGCAAAGTGAACTGGGCAGTGGATAACAGGCTCCTACGATGTAGCAACTTGAGGTTCAGCGAGGTCAAGTCTACACTTTTTACACCGTGATGATAAAACATGAGATTTTCAGCTTCATAAAGGTCAAAGTGATGTTTTGAATCTATATGATGAATTTTAGCCTTTGTCGTACTTCCTTCAAACTCATTTCTTCCTCTTTTTAAGCGAAATCTGCGTCGTCGTCTCAGTAAGCTGCCTTCATTAAACATTCCACTTGCGTGTGGGTGCAACGCCCAGAAACTTCCCTTTCCAGGAATACCTATGATGCGACGAGGAATCTTTACAAAGCAATCATTAAGAGATAGATTATGACGTACGGTGTTCTGCCATTTTTGATGATTCTCACGAAAGTAAGGAAAATTATCGATGATGTATTGATAAATTTCGTTCAAGGTCACCATTCTCAAGGGACTGTTATTGATAGCAAGGGTGATTAGAGCAATGTAGGATAAAGGAGGCTTATCACTACTTGATGTGCTCATACTGGAGAAATCGTTCATCACTTCACGTTTAAAGATTTGTCTTTATTCTTCCAAGGCTTAAACGCTGTTCGATAAAATCGCTTTTCAAACAACTTTACTTCACACTGTCATAGAGGTTGTATTTCATCCACAAATAAAGTATTTCCTAAAACCGACTCAAGATATATAAGGCCACGTTCAATTCATTTTATCCTATGACCTTCAGCTTTGCTTTTTTAATATTTCTTGCAAGATTTTCTTAATTTCTCCAGGAAAACAACACCGAAACTTCCTTCGGCAAGCGCTTCCGTTTTCACACATAATCAACAAACAATAAAAATAAAGGAAAAGCCTTCAGCTATCGTTGATCGAAATGCTTTCGTTTTAAAGGGATTAATTTAGGCTGATAATGCAGAACACAACTTTATCTTCATACGGTTTGCATTGTAAATTCACACCATCTTTAATTCTCTACCGATAAGCGTTTACTGAGGATGAAACCAAAATTTGCATTATTTGCCTAAATTCTCGGCAAATCTTTGATCTCCAAATGCCTCCTATGACGTCAACCCGTTCCGAATAAATCACTCGGTTTCAGGTGGAATTAAATTGCTTTGGAATGAAAACAGGAGTGATGAATTAAATCATTAAGACCGCTGCAAGTCATGCACGCGCCAAAATCATCCGTAAAGGAAATGAGATACTATCTTATTGTTTCATAACCCAAGTGAATAAATTACACAGTTTCCATTAGGAAATAAAGTGTTATTAAACGAATTTCAACATCCTTTTTATAATTAAATGTTTGTTTTCTTTTCTACCACAAAACAACCGCATGCCATCTGATCTTCTTTCACTGAAGAGAAGCATATTTTCAAGGCTTTCTCTCATCTGTCTTTTGGTTCTTTTTCGTCTTTCTCTAACTTTACTACTCAAACAGTCATCTCAAACTCCTTTAATATGACGTCTTTGGTTGTTCGAATTGAGATTGCGTTCCTTTTGATGTTTTCAATGATGTAAATTGAGCTACCTTGAACTTGGCAATTTTTGCATTCCTGTTTTTTCGAATGCTTTCATCATTTTCTTTCACATTCTGATATTGAAGATCTCTAATGTATGTGGTCAGCCATAAAAGTTAATAATATAAGGTATACCAAGCATCGACATGTTTGCTTAGAAATTTCATCATATTCAACCAATGCTCCTTGCAATGGCCACTTGATTCATAGCCTACAACTGCTGTTCCAACACAACTGGAATTGACATTGTTGATGACTTTCAAAACTATACTAGTGTGTAAAATTTGGTCGTTGCCTAAATCAAAATTAAACTTTTCGTTGTAAATGGGACAAGAAACTTTTCTTTTCACACGTGTTGAGCCTTTTTCTACCCTTGAGCCATCACAGTACACAATTAATTTTACATAGGGATCTAAATACAAGATAAAGGTTGGGATGCCATTGAAATTTTTCAAAATATGAAAAACATAATACTTGTATATTAGGAAGATACTTTTCACGACTAAATTGTATTGTTATAACTACAAATATTAAACTGAAATTCATGATCACATTACTCACCAAACGTCTCCTTACTATCACATTTCAAGTCCTTAGCTTTTTTAACAGTGACAATAAGTCGGCCGCTAATTGGCCGATAACATATTGCAATGTTGATCTTTCCACACTGGGCACTATGCTCTGACTGAAAAATAGTTAATGTCAAATTCTTCTTAACTGGGTCAGAAAAAGAATTTTCGAATAGAAAAAATTACAAGTGAATATGATCCATAAAACTAACCTCGACAAATTTTGATTTTAGCTCTGCCCATTGAGAAAATGCCTTATGTTTATTATAGATACAGTTGATCACGTGGTTTAACGGCACACACAGCTCTCCTATCACTTGATCTTCAAGAAAGTTCTGGTCAAACACGACTGCATTCACAACAGAGATCAAAATATTATACTTTGAAAAGCGTTGATGAGAAAACCCAGAGATAACAAATGTTTCGTTATAAACAGGATTTCGAGTCTGACTTATAACCTTTGTCTTTTGCCAACAAAACTTCTGAGGGAGTAAACTGACTCGAACAAACGTACTAGGCTCACTTGTGTTTTCCTTATATTCATTCGATAGGTCAATAGCTTTAATAATGGTAACATGAAGTTCATTGCTCTCTTCAAAATAATTGACAGAGTATCGTAGTTTACCAAGAAAAGGAGGAATGTCCACGCTATGGCTGGAGATATTTTCTCTTGGTTGATAAGTGGTCTTGCAATGCTCGACAGTAGCATTAGCAGTCGCTAAGTCATTTTCTGTTTCGATTGTTGGCATTCTCAAATTGCGAATTTTTGATGAACATTCTTCAAAAAAGCCACTTTCATCGGTAACATCAGTTTGTAATTTATCAAAGTTCTTCATCTCCAACAGATCATTTCCTCCTGCTTGTTCTTCTGCGGTTTGAAGGCTAAAGCCACAATCTCCAGAAATATTGCATTTCTTAGATACCGACGTTTTTTCCTTCGAAATATCACTGCTATCAGAATCTATCATTTCATTAGCGGTAGAATAATGACCAGATGAAGCACTATTTCTCCGTGAAATATTCGCAACTTCAGAGCTAATGACGTCGTCAGTTACATTAAGCTCTGCTTGCTTTTGTGAAATAAGATCATTAGCTTCATTAACAGCTACTTGCATTTCTTCATGAAAAATCTCTGCAAAATGTATAAAACTTTGTCCCTCCATTTCTTCGATTGATTCACCAGACTCACTCTCACTTAAAGATTGCTTATCAACCCTTGAAACCTGACTTTCGCGATAAGAGCTGGTCCTCGGAAACGGCCATAAAATTTTTGGCTTTTGCACAGGAAGCTCCTTAGACTTCATGAAGGCCTTATCAAGCAGATCATTTTCCATCACAATTCGTATTTTTTTTGCTACCTCACTTTCCTTTTCTTCACGAGATTTTTCACCGGTAATTTTACGATATGAGGCGACAAATAACAATAAAATGAAATATCCAAGTGCAACACCAATAATGATGGGTAGTATTATCAAAGTCACAAGACATAGTAACCCCGTGTTTTTCCAAATGAGTCTACTTAGAAATGGTCTTTCTGAATCTATGACGGTAGATTTATAATAACTTTACTTAAAATATTAATATTCCACTGTGATACCATCGTTTTAAACATGAACGTTTAAATCAAGTCAAGCAGCATTTTCTCATAATTAATTTTTCTTTTGCCATTGATCACTATCTATAAACCTTTTTTATTGAACGAAATGTTGTGAAGGGTGAAGCAATGGTTCGTCACGCTCAATAATTTTCTTTAACATGCAAGGAAGGCAAGAGATAACTGATTTTTTAAACGTTTCAGTCATTCTGCAGACAACCGATTGAAATTATTTTCATCTGACAATAATACACAAAACTAATTCTTATAAATTACGAAATATATAATCATGTGCTACTTAATTTGGTCTTGTCATGTTTGTTCAAACTAATCGAAGTCATTTTCAAAAGAGATCTTGCATCGTCAAAAAATTCAATTATAATCTCATCAAATCTTTCAATCCAGTTTAAAAAGAAATTCAATCATACGAAACTTAATCAGACATTGCTGGGAGAAATTTTGTCCCAACGCAGACACAAACAAGAAAGAATTCCTACCTTCCATATTCACAGTGTTGGGAAATAATCTGTTAGGGATGACGATCCAACATGCATCACGGATCAACAATTATTGATCGGTTACATACCACATACAAACAATTTGAATATCATCTAAAGCCAATCTCATGCATGTCCTATACAGGAAAAATATCAGCGTTAAACTATATAGACTTAGACGTTTCATCATGAAACGACGATGGAACTGAAACAATATTGATGAACTGATAAGAAACAATCGGATGATATATATAGTTTTTAATTCATTCTCAGCCTTTTGTATTGTACAAATTACATTATAGATATGGGCTTTGTGTAGCTCTGTTCAAATATTAATAAGGCACACGTGTCTTATATTACATTCATTGAAATGAAACACATTCTTTGGTGTTTTTTTTAAACAACTATGACTTACGAAGAGCATAAGAGTTTAGGAGTGAAAATGGATAAAACACAGTGACATGTTATATTAGTTCCACGTTTTTACGAAGAATTTGAATATCAGTAGTCAATATTAAATATTAATAAAACATGAACAAATTGCACAATGGAAACGACTAAAACAAATAAACTAAATTCGTCACTTCTACTGATTCGCTATTGATTCACCATGAAAGATCGATTCGATTGAAATTAAAAGGCTATTTTATCAAAAGATTTAGAATTTTTTATATTTTTGATGAACTGCATCTAAGCTAACTTGTGTGATGCAAAGATAAAGCAAATATACTGTCTTAAGTAAATGAAGACAAAATGCCATATTGCTTTTTTACCTCCAAGAGATCAGAGATGAAGTGATTTTTCCGAATGATGTCACGCATCATAAAATATTATCTTCTTCAAAACAAACATTCCTCGTTATTATGACATCATCATTGACCGAGCAATCTACGAAGAAGATTGGAAATGAACATAAAAATGATATATTTTGAACTGGATTTATAATCACGCAATAAAAGTCATAAAGTTGTTTAATATTTTTTGACATATTAATAATACTATTTTAATACATCGCAGCATACACCGTGTCCGTTTTCATAACAAACAAACTAATACGCATGTCACAAATTGTTACTGCCTGATAAAAAGTTCAAGATAAAACTTCCAAGCATTGTTGCATGAGAATGACCTCATACACTAGGATAAATGTAGACACAAATGTCTTTTGAAATGAAAGGAGACAAAAAAAGTTTTTGCAGCATTTAGAAAATAAAAAGTTATCATTATAAGACGTTTGTTTAGCATGTACAGAGATGAAGGTAGGAAAGCATTTTTTATCTTTTGAAATACAACTTGTTTTATATAATAATTTATACATGCATAAAAGGAAGTCACTAAACGAACACCTGCTACAATAATAAAATAACAAGTTAAAAACATATTTAAAATTAGCATATCTGCATCATTTACATCAGACAACTATTCTTTTTGGTTTTTAGTTCTCTTCATAGAGAAATTTAATCTACTTTTAACGATTCTTACACATATATAGACATAATCCACGACACAGTCCGGAATAATCTCGATATTGTGGTAGGATGGCTATTCATCGTACTGCTTATTGGTTCAATTTTAACAATATTTTCGACAATTTCCACAACATTTTCTTGCTGTCAAAAACCCCTCAGGGAGGACAACAAGCAAAAACTCATCAATGAAGGTACATACAAGATGTTGGATAATGGAATAGCACAATGACTAGATACTTTTTTCAACACTTGAAGCTTAACAATAATTTTCCTATCTTGTAGATGAATCAGATCGTAAACTGTACTTTCCTCATGTTCCAAGAACAGTTTATCCGACAAGTCAATCGATATTTCAACAAAATGACAATGAAGTAATTGATTCACTGACTCCAGCATATAGAAAGCTACTAAGTACGCATGTCTGCCAATTTGATAGTGGGTACAAAACTGATGGGAATGAAAGTACAGCATGTTCCACAAATAATTATATACAAGAAAATAAAACATCTTTATCATTAGAGAAGATTCATTCGAATAGATTGGGGTGCGAATCAACACAATTGAAACATTTACTGGCAAAAGACGAAGACACGGTGAATGACATGTCGAAGATAGCTGAAACAGAAAACGTCTTAAAAAATGCTTCAAATTCATCAGATCAACTCAGAATAAGAAAATTATCAAGTAGAAATTCAAGTGGAAATACCATGCTCCCAATCACCTGTACTCAAGAGTCCAGTACGTTCTCAGATTTCCCTATTTGTAATGAACATTCTATGTACACCTCGCTGAAACATTGTCAGCCAGAGTGCAAAGATATGAAAAAAGAAAACGAGACTCTTGACACAAAATACTGCGACGAAAAAATTTCCCAAGATGAGAGTGCCGTTAGAAGACCAATTGAGAGCAAGGAACGAGGAGCAAGTAGTTTTGGTGGTATTGAATTTAATTCAAAGACATGTGCATTTTCACCTGATTATTGCGCCTTCACATTCCAAAGAGAGGGGTCAAGTCTCTCTAATCGCAGAGCAAGTGCGTTTGCAATGTATTCTGGGAATTCTCAATTCCAGTCTCAACCACGTGGAGCAAGTTCGTTTGGAGAGCCTCATGCGAAGTTGCAAGAGTTTTTAAGATTTTCATCCAAAGATGCAATTCCAATTACTACAAGGAACTCTGTAGATGAGATCAAAGAGAATTCATTTAAGTTCCACTTCGACTGCAATAATGTAACTGCTTTTTCTCGGAACGGTGTCTCTGACAGCGATTATCCTCGATCAAATTTAAATTCCTCGAAACGAAATTGCAATAATCTGGCCACTACGTCAAATTTATGCTTCGAGTGTCAAAAACCAATAAGTAACAGCATTATAGATTCACGTGACGTAGAAAAATCAATTACATCATCTCAGTATGCATCTATAGAAACGTCGGCAAATACAGTAATTAACGACAACGAAACAAAAAATTCGATCAAACTGGACTCCAAACTTGATTTTTATAGCGAAGATCCCATGTGCTGTGATAAAGATTCAATTCTTGACAGCATAAGTTTGAGTTTTGCATACGAATCAGAGAGCGAAGAAGATTTCAGTTAGTATTGTGAGAGACGAACACAAATTAGGTAAAGTATTTGATTTGAAGTAAAAACATTAATATCACTGCAGCATTGATAATTTTATCTCATAAATAGATCAGCCTTTGCACAACTTACATTATATTATATAAAGGTTATATTTTACGTTCGTTTGGGAACGTAATTACGCAAAATTTTTATACTTTGAGAAAAATGTCCTACTGTCAGCTCGTTGATTGAAATTTGAATGTTAATCTAATTTACATGCAAATTGTTGCTGCATTTTTTTTCTGAAAGAAGTTCAACATACTAACGTAATTATGGTTGCATTAAATTTAATAAACGCAGTAATTAGCCGAGTAAAGAAGAAGCAAACAATGGTTTCTAAGCCAAGTAATGGAAATTTGAAAATTGAATTTAATTATGATAAAAATTCCTCCCAACAAATCTTTATCAAACATAAAACCTGCGTGAAAGACTTAAGGCTTGCAATGAAACAGTTTCAACCCGGAAACATCAATTGTTGTTGAAGCAATTACGTGACTTATCAAAACCAAGAGCATTAACTTATTGAAAAACCTTTTATAAATTATGCATGAATGTGCAAAGTATAAAATCCACAAGTCCATTATTGACTTAATTCTTTTAAAATATTCAAGAGTTCAGAAGTCAATTTTCTGCTTAACTTAAAGACAGGTTAGTGGATGCTCTATGAGCTCAAATTTACGAAAGGTCCCACCTAACTATACACGTGTAAATGCTAAACTTTGGAAAAAAATTGTTTTACAAATTTTACCTATATGCAAACAAAATTTTTGCGTAGTGTTAATGGACATTTGAAATTTGGAAAAGTTGAAAACAAAGAGCTTAAAGTGAATTATGAGTTTGATGGAAAAATCTAAAGCATTATTGTCACTTTTCGATTCAGATTTTTTCAAGGTTAAATTATTTGATGATCAAGTGTACTTCTCATATCATAGTTTAACGATATAATTCATAATGAACTCGTAGCAAAGCCGCGCTAGGTGATTTGTATGACCAATGTTACTGACTTCCTGTATGAACTCACATTAAATGGAATAAATTTACATTCACTGAAACAACTGATTAAATACAACACGCTCAGCTATATGTGTTGGAAATAAGCCTCAATTTTCTTCCAGTCTTCATCATTTCACAAATCTTATCATAAATTTTATCATAGATGTGGTGGTACGTCGCATGTGTGCTAGTTGTTTGTTTCATTTTCATCATCACCTTTCTCATTGGTTACGCGATTCACCACCTCACACACCGAGAGAAAGAAATATTGACGTCAAGAAACGTTAAAAATGGATACTTAATAAAACCATCCAGATGTTTACAAGAAGAAGTTAACTATGGAGTTCCTTACACCTCTCGTAAACCAGTGAATGTTCAACCTTATTTCAAAAATCGACATTTAACAGATACGTCGACGTCATTTGATCAAAATCATAATGACAATAGCAACACATGGCAACCTAACGTCGAAGACTACCATGTACCATTGATATCACATTACGAAAGCAAACAAACAGCATCAAGGAATAATACGAAGAGAAAAAACGTTTCAAAAACTTATGGTAGACAAAAAAGTCGACATATAAACTCTCCAGCTATTGTGATATCACAAATAAGCGATAATGCACCTGCAAGACGTTGTTTGGATACCCACGATAAGCCTCAGTTAACTTATTCCATATTTTATGATAGACCATCCAAAGACTTACATATAACAGTGTTTGGTGCCAGCAATTTACCGGCTTCAGAGCAACCCAACCAAAACACGCGTTATTATCGTGTTCATGTGCTCGTGGAGGCGTGTGAGACGAAGTGGCAGAAAACGCGGTACGTATGTGGAACACGCAATCCAGTGTTCAACGAAACGTTTATTGTATCAGGTCTTGCTCACAACAAGCTGCGAGAATGTTGTTTGAGGTTTCGTGTTGTTGAATACGAGGAAATCAAATATTTTTGGAGTACTTTGGGTGAAATTATAGAACCAATGGTAGATCTTAGAGCTAACATGTTGTTTAAATCAACAAAAACCTTGTGTGAGATATAATTGAAAATATAAAAGAATAAAGAGCTTAAATCTTTTTATGAAGCTGACGTTTAGCAAAACAGTTACAAAAAAGAAACTAGTTACCAGGAATGCCCCAAAATAACGATCTAATATATGCCAGTACAAAGGTACAAAAGTGCAACCGTTTTTACGCCCCATAACGACAGCTGCCAAATTACAACGGAATACCTGTTTCAGACGAAACTGCATTGTTTAGAAACAGTTAACAAAGACTAAGTTAATAGGACAAAGTTAATAAGGGAAGGTTCGTGAACGTTTTATATGACGTATTCATAATCAAGCATCATGTCTTTTAACGGTATTTTTTCAATAGAATAGAACGGAAGATCTCTTCTAAGTCTTAATCACATAAGCAATCAAAAACGCATGTAGAACAATTGTCGTTATAAGCTCATTTTATCCACATAAGTATGATAGAGCAAAGGAATCAGGGAGGGCAAATGTAGCACCTTCTTCACCCCCAAAATAAAGTTTTTTCGCCACATCTAAGGATCTAGAATAACTGCACACATCAAATATGCAAACATTAACGAACAAACAGAATGAAACTGAAACCACGTTCATCGTGAATATGACAGCACGGTTTCTCTTCGCATAAATATGTCATTAAATAGATATCACAGGATTAAATGCTCGTGGCCCTCACTAATGACAGCAAAACAGAGACATGAAAATTGAAAACGGCATATGATATATTAGTTTCAGTGTTAGTAATGTAACAATGTTGAGCAAGAATTATTTTATTAATGAAATGTATGACTTACAAAGATCTGGCCTGGGCTAACTCGAGCGTTATGTTTATTATTCCTTCTACATCGTATTAACGGTCGACGCGTTGGCGTTATACACGCTCATTTAAAATTGTAGTTAAGCGATGTTGCGATTGGCCGAGAGGATGCGTTGTTATTCAAGCGTTATAGATATTTAAAATGTCAAATCATATATTGGATAAAGTGCAGTAAAGTGCAACTGTCCAACTGTATAAGGGAAACACTGAACGCATTGGGAAAAGTTGAATTTTCCGTCCCCTGATACATTAAAAAATGCCCACACAATCTCAGAATGGTTCCTATTTTTTGAAAAATGATGAAAGAAAGAACTTTCAATGAAGAGCTGATGTGATGTGCAAAATGAAGACACGATGAATTCAACAGGTACGACAGCAGACCAAGAGCTCAATAACATTCATTAATTTATCATATTTATCCATGTAATATCTACATGATGTGAAAATATACCATAGCGACATCAAAAAAATAAGTGACTTTAAGATATTCGGTAAATTTTGCCTTGAGTCGTTGCAAACTTTATCAATTAAAGCACATGATGATAGCACAGACTAGGTAATTTAATTTTACCGCCAATAAGCAGAATAATTTCCAAAAGTTCTGGGCTTTTTTTGAGATTGTGTTTTACTTATATTAAGATTGTGTATATACTTATATTTGAGCTTGCATCTGCGTCGGCTTTAGAATACAATATTGATTGCAAAGATAGCAATTTGCAAAATCAGATCAACGAATGTCGTGTTAAAATGCGCAAATGTAGAACAAAAGGCTTTGTATAGTTACTGTATATACTTGTACATTTCTATTGATTTCTTGAAAAGAAAAATGCAGGAACAAACCTTTTATCAAAATCTATGTCATCAATTCTAACAAAAAGAGACGGAAATAATGAGGGGAAGTATTGAAAAAACAGCTGTTGCCTGCGCTTTGAATTATGACTTATTTCAATTAAAGTGATCAGGGGATAGCCTTAACAAGAGAGAAAAAGATAAAAATTGCTATATGAATGCAATCATATAAGAAATGAAAGAGATTTGATCATGTCCAAAAAAATTAAAAGGAGAGGAACGCGCACCGTTAGTGGAAATGTAAGTTAATTTTCGAAATCTCTTTAGTTGTGGTGATTTCGATAGTTGGTATCATCTCTGGTATCGTCATTATTCTCTTCTCGTTGGTCGTGAGACGCGTATGGAAGCGGAGATATGTACCAACGGAACATAAATACCGGAAACATTCCACTCCAACTATAAGAAGTGAACAAAGAACGAAGATGGGGAAGATATTCCGGAGTAAATCCTTGATACGAAACGAGATTCCTGAGTTCGTTATTCCAGGTAGGAAAAAAAAGTCACAACTACGACGATGAAAAATAAGTAATTTTTCTCACTAAATTATCCATTCTAATTCATGTCTGCTCTTAAAGGTACAAAACTTAAGTTGGTGCAACCTATTATAACTCCACCATCACCAACACCTGTGGACCAAGTAGATTCCTCAAAATCCCCTGTTACCCCACATAAAGGAGATCAATCCGGAGGCACTGCCCCAAAAGGACATACAATATCACAGCCTATCAACAGAAAGATTTCACTTCAGAATTTAATTGGTGTGTTTGGGTATAGAGTATAAATTATTTTATATTATAATGTGTGCCAGATACGTAATTTTTGTCACTTCTACCGTTCTTCTCGTCCCAGACTCTCCAGATATGAGTGGAAAATTACAACGAAGATCTACAACAGGTGGCATTGGGACTCCAAAACGAACAACTTCCTCAGAAACTAAGAAATCACGAAATTCGCCAAAAGGAACACTCTCCCGTAACCCTAGTTCTAATTCAATAGATCTTCTTGCTATCAATGTACCGCCTGTCACTCAAAGTGCAAGCTCGAGCTTGGAAGGCTCGCGCGATTCTAGTCGCCAGTCTCCTGAAAGCAGTCCGCGACGATTGCGACTTTTTCGTCAGGCAAAGCATCAGATTATTCTTACAGGAGCTACTTTGGACTTCTCTGTCCAATACAATATTGGTCAACGCGCTTTAAACCTAAATATAATGCGAGTGCGGAACATCCAGGTACCTAAGGAACGAAAACAGGATGCCAAAGTATACCTGAATGTCCAACTAAAGCCGGATAAATTCATCTGGGAAGCTCAAACTAAGATTGTACAAGGCACAGATAACCCAACGTTTGGAGAGATGTTCACCATCAGTGGTTTTTCATTATCAAAGTTACACGACTGTGCTTTGTTGTTTCGTCTTAACGACGTGAATGCTGATCAAATCATTGGTGAAGTTACATTTACATTAAGAGAATTACAGCCTGATGTACTCACACAGCGTACATGTCAACTTCAGAAACCTCTCAAAGTTGTGAAGGTAAGAGTTTTTTTTTGGAAAAAAATTGTAACATGATTGGAGAGGCATAGTTATAGTGCACACAAACCCCAAAACTCGTTCTTGTTGCTTTGGAGAAAGCACTGAAACTCATAATTGACGCTCTAAGTTCATTTGGATGCTACGTAAGTTTTAAATTTCCCAGTGATAAAAGCTGCGCGAATATAAATAGATTGGAACCGTTAAACTCTAATATTTTTTACTCATTTTGGATTCACAACTTCGCTTATGCTAGAAAACTGTATATTGAGACACATTCTTACGTCACAGCAGCTCATACAGCTGAACACACGTGTATAGCTACATAAGAGTGTTATCGAAACAGGATCATGAGAAAATCACGAGAATATAAAGAAAGAGCATGCAATGTATACAGCATATATTTTCATATATAGCTGTAGACATTAATGCTTGTTGTGCTCATTTCATTCATTTATCGTAGCATGCATCATTATATTCAGTCATGCAGTAAATTAATAAACAACGGTTATCACTCTACAAATCATTGCATGTTTTAAGGCTTTTTATGTTTTTAGCATACGCGTTTACAAAATTTTTATCTAAATAGCAATACTTATTTCTAATATAAAGATGACGCAGCACAACCTAGAAGGTTTGGCGCAACGGGATATTGTTAATGTTCAGTTATTCTGTCCGTTTGAAACAATTAAACTTATCAATGAGCATGAAAAACCGTTAAAACCGAAATTTACCTTTGTTCTATTTGAAAAGACAACGGCTAAAATTTTGAACGCAAAGAACTTTAGAGAATGTACTAAATACATTATAAATTGATGATTGTTTTCTTTTGGGAAACGTAAATTTCTCATTCTTACCGAAGAAAAATTGCTGTCAGTTGTTCGATTGTCAAATATTTGTGTTGTATTACTACACCATTGTTTATACACCTCTAGTGTCAATACAATCGGAAAAAAACGGTCAATTTACTTGATGACGCACACTTTTAAATGCTTTATGAGCACGTACCTGTTCATTAGAAATTGTTTGGTTTCATTCCACTCCATGGTATCCATGGACAGCATAGAGATTTAAGTTGTTGTGCAGGCCTAACTGTAGCATTTCCAATACATAAGATAGCATAACTCATTTCTGTGAATAATAAAAAGTACATTTGAGGAAAACCTCAGACGTTCGTTGAGCTTCTCAGCTTTAAGACATGGCCATGGAACAAATATCGAACGAACCATTGTAATGATTTCTTGAAATGCAGTTTTCTCATCTCAGGATCGTGATCGTTATTATGTTGGCGATTTACTAGTTTCCATGGATTACGACCCTATTGATTGGAAATTAAACGTGAGGATTATCCGTGCACGAGGTTTACCTAAAATGACAAGGACAGGACATACAGGCGAGGAAAATTTCGTATTAAAGGTTATTTAGTTTTCACACATGGAATTATTTATGCATGTATAAAATATTCTGTTTAGATGCATTTGTAAAGATCAATGTAATGCAAGATCTGACAAGATTATTCAAGAAGAAAACCAAAGTTCAGCATCATGAATGGAATCCAGAATTCGACGAAGGATTTGATTTCGAGTTAACTCGAGATCAAATGGATGCAACTAGTATTACAATGAAAGTAGTTCATAGAGGCAAATTAAGAGATCATCTTATTGGCGTCGTTTTACTTGGGTTTAATCTTGAACCCAGCGAGGCAGGATATCAACACTGGGCAATGATGTTAGATAAACCACATCTTTCGATAGAACAATGGCATAAAATTTATCCTATCTTGAAGTCAAGCTAAATAACGCAAGATTCGTTCAAGCATGCCCTCCGTACTAAGTATTTTGAATATTTAATGCCTGGAGTTTTTAATGAATTTCCTGTAGTTATAGCGTTTCTAGTAAGATTTAAACATAGTTGTTTTACTACTTATAGACACATTTTCTACAAGTTAATGCATATCCAATAAGTACATGAATATTTCAGAAAATATATGTTTGATGTGCTTAGGCCAAAGGTCGAAATTGCTGAAACCAGAAGTGTTTTTGTTATAAGAATCATTGCCTTGACTCCCTAATGAGAATCAATTTAGAAGTCCTGCATTCTAACGAGCAAAAACAAATCAGCATTTGACTACACAGATACAAATTACGTTCGGGTAAGTTTGCAACCATATAACAATGCTATCAAAAGATAATTTTATTATTTATAGTGAGTTTACAAACACACCAATGTTATTTAAAAGATGCTTTTGTTTAATATTGTATTCATAATCATAGTTTGATATTATAGTTGTGTTTTGTCTTCGGGAATGTATTGTATCCACTTACAAAGTTTCTCTTATTTCGTTGATTAATTTTACGAAGCCTTGTGACTTTAATAACGATAAATGAACAAATATTTTAATACCTCTATTATGTACACTGTCTCCTTTTCAGCTTAGATAACAGACAGAGCAGAGCTCAATGCCTAATATCAGTTACAAAGTTTTGCCAACTCTTTACCCTTAAAACGTTCAATTAACACTGATAATAATGTGGCAAAATGATACTTGTAATTTTATAGGATAAAAGCAAGTCTATGCGTGTCCTGAGAATTGTCACTTTTCCCATATAATTACTGACCCACGTTGGATAATCTAATAATGGATGAAATTCAATAAAAGGCGAACACTATTGAAAGATATATCTGAGCTATTGTTCGTCTATCAAAGTAAAGAGTATGTACCTAGAGATGTGAGTTCAATTGGATAATTCAAGCAAATATGGACGAAAGGAATGTGCGATAAGTTGTGGAAATATGAAAGCAAGTAAGTTAAAATTTAATTCGATTCCAGTTAAACCACTAGTTTAATGTATTTTGAACAGTCGCGGTTAATATAGGATCAAGTAGTTTATTATATGGTATTACAGTTAAACTTAGGCTGCTTTCACTCTATACCGGATTCGCTCAACACGACATCTTCATTTGCTTTAAAGGGTTAACTGTTCGGAGTAAAAGCTAATAGATTTAGTCTATTTGATTGTGTTTCTGACGTTGAACATTTTCACTGTCTTTTAATACAAAGAATATTCAACCTGCTACGATAGCAATCCAGTATAGTGTAAACGGGGCCTTAGTAAAAAGTTACGAATAATTTCATTATATTAGTGCTCTTGCTACCCGCCATTTATAATCATTCATAACAGATAAAGTGTTCCTTGTCAATCAAAGACAACAACTTTTGTGAATCACATGCAAATCTTTGAAAAAAATATGACGAGTTAACTGGTGTGTGAAAGTGGTTTCTAAGTGTTGGCGCGAAAACCTCGATAACTTCTCCTTTGATAGGTTGTAATAGACAAAATATAGTGGGTGACACATTTCTTACATTGGTAGATCTCAATACTGTAAATGTTTATAAGCAAAACATCAAACTTTTGTGTAAACAAAACCAATATTTTTTACCAATAATAAATGCCGCTTTGGCGTCTTTGTTGAAGACAAATACTTGAGACAATTTTTATGTTTACGACTGGTTAAGAGAAAACGTTATCATTTTTGAGCGGCATAGAGTCATTAAAATGGACTCTCTTTATCTTTTTAAACTCAGTGTTTGTAAGCAAGAGATCAAGCTTGCTTTACATTTTAAAAGTAGATTCCTCATTCAATTGCTGAAACAAGATTTATTGTTTATGAATAACAATTAACAAGATTGAAAATCACCCTCCCACTTATATATGACGTTTATTATAAGCACGACTAAACATCGAAACGTTGACCACGATGCATAGGAGTCAATTTAACACCATCAAATTTTTGTTATGAAATGCTCGTAAATATGTATGGCTTAGAATATTTTAGCGAAGAAATAATTAATTAAATGACATGAATGCTATGAATGGTTATGGTTGACAAGGAAAAAGGTAATCTTTCAAATATAAATATAGCGTTGCGTTTCTGCATTTTATGATGTTTTATCGAATATCATCTCATTTGCATTCACATTCCTGCCGGAGAGTTAATACAGAAAACCATGGAAGTTAAATATTTATATTTATGATCATATAAGTATCTATATTTTTATGATCATATAAGTATGTATAGTAGATCTTAACTAGTCGTTATGTCTCAAGATTGGCGACCTCTGGTGTTGATGACATTGGTAGAACATCTATTTGACATATAAGACAGGAAACTCTACATTTAAGTTATATGAAATGTTGTATTCAAAGCCATTTTTACTTTTAGCTTTACACAATAATTTAAAATATCTGGTTTGACACGAATAAATAATTTGCAACATTATTTTTGTGTATAGTTTCTGTCCGTCTTTGAAATTAAATACCATTGCATGTTTGACAATATAGAGTAGATTTTAGTTTAAGTCTAGGTATATAATTGATAATTAAATGAATGACAATGATCGCTCATCATGCCTTATGCATCAAATCAATAAAATAAAAAAAATTTCCACCTTGCAAGGTAATATTCACAGCGCGGATGGATGAACGAATGAGCACAATACATAGCATATATAATTTTTTATGCGTAGAGAGTGTATATTTATAATAAAATTTATAGACTTTCATCTTGTTAACATGTAAATATGCCATAATTATACGTAATTGCATAATGGTTCACTCAAACTGAGCGGTATACAATAAAAAAATGAGATTTCTAAAGAAATAAATAATAATAGCGCTCCGAAAATTACACAGCAGTAACAAAACTTGCAGGCCGGCCTACGCTGCTGATTAAATAAGTAAACAGGTTTATATGTAAAGTTAAAAAATGGCCAAAGCCACTCGGCCAATCAGTATCCTGTATTTTGATGTTCTATATCTCCTAGTGCCTAAAATTCATGAAGTACTATTATGTTTGAAGCTCAAATAAAATGCATATATGAAGTGAAAACAATGGAGAACAATACTCTATTAGTATTCTTTAAATCTTATTGGTATTTTCTACAAAGAGAATACTAATTTAGATATTTTGTTAATATTGCTCAATTCGTTATTAGTATTCTCTAAATAGAAAATACTAAAGACGTTAAATAAACACCCTCGTGGCTTTGAACTCTAAATCCCATAGAACACACGTGATCATACTCTGACCTTGATTTGTTAAAAATATACATTATTGAACATGTTAATGTTTTCATAAATACATATGTATTAATTACGTCATCCTGCCATCTTTTTATACTTTTAGTTCTCATTGTTTCCGGAGTACTTGGCTCAGTCTGTATAGTATTACTTATAATCCTGCTCTACCTTGTACGAGCCGTGCGTCATGGTAAAAATCAATCATATCGACGTGAAAAGCGACTTCCTCCTGGGATCATAGTGCAGGATAACGTAGACGAATTTTTGCCCAGTACAACAACACACAGGGTCCAAAGCCCTTTTTCTAGCCCCCATGCAGTCAGTGCAGAGCATCTAGACCACCGTTACTATGGGCCTGACATGTCAAAATTCTTTGGTGACAAATATGAAGGTATAATGCTTTTTCAAGATTTCTGAATCGATCTTTGCAGTGGAAAAATTAATATTTTGGGGGGGGGCTAGTTGTTTTCAAGAAAGGTCCCTTCTCCTCATTAGTTGCACGATAAATGATAAATCAGACTGGCTCTCAAAGTCTTGCCTATCACTCGTCACGTATGATTAGCAATTTTTATGTGATTTCATCACAGGTCCACGACATTATGCAAGTACGATGTCTTTGGAATACCTCAACACGCCAATAGGATCGCCTGCCGTTAAGATCCAACACCGGAAATTAACCGCACGTCGTAGTTGCCCTAGTAGTCCCACATCTCCTTTCAGTGAACGATTACGAGGACATAGTGTACTTGTGCCACAAAAAACGAGACTAAAGCGGAGTGGAACATGTTCATCAAGTTCAGAAATGATTGGAAGATTAGAATTCACCTATTATTACGATAACAGAAATCGTCAGTTACATGTCAATGTAATTCAAGCATTGGGTTTGCCTGGGGACAAGAATCTTGAGAGTTATGTCATTGTTACGTTGAAGCCAGATGAGATGAGCTGGCAACGAGAGACAAAATTTGTTTCTAACTCTACAGATCCTCTTTACAATGAGACATTTCTTGTTTCCGGGGTTGCGCATTCCAAGATTCGGGAATGTTTTCTGCACTTTCTTGTTATGAACAATGGTGAAAACAAAGCCATTGGTCAATTGCAGATACCTCTTGCAGATGTTCAACCAAATAGAATCACCAGTAAATGCATTAGCTTGTTACCAGTAATCTCAGATGATTTGGTGAGTATTTAACTTCTGCCTGGTTTTGTTTTGCTAATGATTGTTATGATTTTTGTCAAGTTCGTCAAGCATGTTCAAAAAAATTAAGTGATGTGTGTCATACATGAGAAGCTACAGCATAATCTTCGCTTTCAACTCAACGGTAATCGATTCCAAGATAAACGGCAAGCGCAACCACTTATGATCTTCTACATTCATCGAAAGCGTCAGATTAGTTTCCGTTAGCATTAGATTATAGGTCGTAAATATCTATTAAAAAGTTGCAAATAACCATATAGAGCGTTGTCTTCTCTTTACTATAGACAGATTCTGTGTTGAGTGAGACAAATGGACAGGGAGAAGTTTTGGTTTCACTTTCTCACAATCCCTCGGAGGGAAAACTATCCGTTTCCATAAAATCTGTCAGAGGACTACCAGGAATAACCAAGAATGGAAAAATCGGTAATGTTATTTGAATGTCGATGTTTCTGACATTATGATGTCTTTATTATGAATGTCTCTCCTAGTCATTCTTTTTCCACATTTTTTCATGTTTCTTTATGTTTCTTGAGTAGTGAAAATTATTCGTGACTTGACGATGAGATAATCATTTGTTCTTAGACCCGTTCATCAAGATTAGAGTTTTCTTTTGCGGTGAAAGGATTTACAATAAAAAAACATCAGTACAACATGACACGAAGACACCAAATTTCGACGAAACATTTGACTTTGTCGTGACAAAAGACAAAATGCCACAGACAAGTGTTATTCTAAGAGTCTACCATCATAAACGAAGAATGAATGTTCTGAACAAGAACGTTCTAATTGGACTTGTATTTCTGGGTTATCAATTTGAATTATTTGGACAACACCCCTTTATGTTGGATAGTGGTGCTCGCCATTGGGCCACTGTTATAGAGAAACCACTTTTGTCCGTGGAGGAATGGCACCCAATACAAGCACTTCCCGAATAAGACAAGAATACAATAGTTTATTATAGACAATGACTTTCATATTTTATAAAAGTAGAAAATGTTCTTTATCAATATCGTAGTCTAATCTCTCTCTCAAAAAAAGTACCTACATTTACTCCCCAATCCAGCGTACATCAAAGTAAATTACAACAGCTCATTATTGGCTAAATGTACATTTTAAAATACTGTACAACCAATCAAATTGGTAGCATTTTATTTTTTACAAATGCGAAACCAATAGCGAAGTATTTATCGTTTATAATTGAGCAACAATGGATCTGGCAGTCCCTATGTTAAATCATGAACAATATTATTTATTATTTAGCAAACGAAAACATTATACCTATGCAAATTTAGTTTAAATCTCCATTTTTCTTTCTACGTATCAGGAAACCGGAAATTTATTGAATAAAGTGCTATACGGAATACAACCTTCTAATGAGTGCATTGTAAGGAATTTGTAATGTAGAGGTCGCTACTGATCTTATTAACATTTGCTGATACAAATGATATTGATAAAAGCGCTTTTTTGATAACTTTAACGAAAAAAATCCAGTGATCAAATGAGTAGAGGTAAGGGAGTATGAAATGACGTTATACTTTAGAAATATGACTTATTTATATTATTGGCTGTAAGATACGGAGTTGTAGTATGATTATGGAGAATTACTAAGAATATGCACCTTAACATCATCCTGCAGATTGTAAAGAAAAAATTGCAATTTATCATCATTATTATAAAATCTGAAGATTGTGTACTCATATATCGAGTATAATAAGTTAGGAATGATTAACGTACGATTATCGTGTACAAGGAGCAACTTTTTAGTCAAAACGATTCGTTGCTATGGTCGTTGCCTAAATGCACACATGCATGTATGCTGACTTATCTTAGGATTTATTTAATAATCCAGCAAAAAAATTAAAATTATTTTACAATTCAACTAAATCTATAATCCAACTAACATTCAAAATGTTGTCAACGTGTCGTTGCATATGTTTTTACGCGAGATTGCTTACGTTGAATTTTTGTACATGATCATTCATGTAAAGGAATAAAAATGTTGAGTTTTTTACCAAAACAGTCGAATTTTTATGAGTTTTTCAAACGTAAATATGTCCATAAATAGATTTTCGTAATTTACTTCGATGCTGCGACGCTAAATCTGTTACTGCAACGGAATATTGTACAAGAATGGGCAAAATGCAGCATTCAAAAACGCCTAAAATTTTACTTTCCCAACACAGAAAACTGTGACAAGAAAACGATCTCATTGAGCCAGTTAAAACGAAATAACTGAATTGAAAAAAACGAAGGTCTACTAAACAAACAGCAACAAAAGAGGGCGAGACATAGCAACCACGTATACTCATTAAAAGCAAGTCAATGATTATCATAATGAATTAACCTTATGTATCATTTATGTCATTGCTTTCAGTTCTTATGCAAGCCTATGCGTGGCAAAGAAATTATCTTCCTGATAAATCTACATAATGCAAGGCCACAAGTGGAATGCGCGTACAAAATCTTTTTCCTTCAGCCTGCGAACTCCACTCAACTGACATATTTTAGCTTTATATCAAAATTAAGAAATTTTTTATCCTTTATTACAGAAACTTTAGCTGTCACAAGTATTTTGGCTTCAATATGTACCTTCCTCGTTATTTTTATTCTCTGTTTGTATCGAATCTACAGGAAACAACTGGCGTTGGATGAATCGATTGTAGCAAGTGTTACAATCCCAGAATTCCCAATTACACATAAATATCGGCCACTACAAACGCACGAAGATATAGATAGTTATATCGATCCAAACAACTATAGAAAACAAGATGGGAAAGGCTCAGAATTACATGAAAACGTAGAAGGGCAAGAAGAAAGCAATGTCACAGCAATTCATTTTTATAAAAATCAAAAAACATTCAATACAAAAAACTCTCCAAAACCTTTGCGTTCACGTAATCTGAGAAATTGTAGACGGTCATCTTCGCTTGAGGATTTTCAACAGTTCCACAACTTCTATTCTCAGTTGACCCAAGGAGATGGACGTCGACGGTCACAATCATTCAATAACTGTCTACTTCAGGGCTCTCGTAAAATTAACATGAACGAGAAAAAGACTAGCTGTCGTAAATTCAGATCAACTCAATCACAGGATCTGTTATCTATCTTAGGATACTCTCAACGTAACAAACTATTGAAGATGGCATCCATGACATCTGATGTTGGTGAATCGAAACGACCAATTGTTGTATGTCATAACTCAATAAATTATTTCAATTTATAAGCCATAATTTTCGATCAGACCTTTTTTTGCATTAGTGTACCGTGTAAAGCAACGTAGTAGTATATTTACGTCAGTGTTACACATCAAATTTTTTTGTACTTAAGGAGAATTCAAGGCTTACAGGACAGTCGTCACTTGGCGAAGTATTAACATCTTTGTGTTACAATCCTTCGGAAAGTTTACTAACCATCAAAATCCTGCATGCTAAAGAATTGAAACCTCTCTTCAAGAATAGAACAATTAGTAAGTTGAACAGAGTAAAAAATTTGTAGGGTCCTACTACAAAGTGTGCTTCTATCAAATCTAGATATTTTCACATATATCTCACTCTTCGCAATAATCACCATGTTGCATTTTCTCAGATCCCTTCATCAAGGTAAGAGTTTACGATGATGGAGAGAGAATATACAGTAAGAGAACCAGTACAAAGTACAACACGACGTCGCCAAATTTCCTTGAGTCTTTTGACGTTATTGTGACGAAGAGCAGAATGGCGAATACCAACATTGTGCTGAGCGTTTACCATCGCTCAAACGGCCCACTTCATCGAAAAGTAATGAGAGGCTCCATCCTTATTGGCGAGCGTTTTGAATTACATGAATACTTCATGTTAGATAAGGCGAGACAACATTGGAAGATCATTACACAGAAACCGTATTTCATCATGGAGAAATATCATCCAGTTCAAGCTATCAGTTGAACTTGAAAATAGACCTTTTCCTCTTTTTATTGTACTTTGCTACGTGTTAATAAACTGTATTAATTCAGACAATGAAACAGACTTGTTCTACCTACTTTTAAAGAGTGTAAAAAACAGGAGAAATCTTACTTCTTATTTTAATGATCAATTTGTACAGTGCTTAATATGTCCCATTTGTCTTTGATTGAAATATGCACTCAGCGGTACTTAAATAATGCATGTTGCCCTGGAGGCACAGTAGGGGCTTGAAATCGGAGGAAGTTTTAGGCATAATTTTATGTAAACTCAATTTAAAGATTTAAATAGGTTTAAGTCAAGAGCAATTACAACGTTCCATACTTATTGAAACATGACAAGACACATTTGAATATATTGTTAAATGAACTTCTAATGATTTTAACAATTCATTACTCAATTTCAAAACGTTTGACTGAAAAGAAAAGAACTCGCGATGTTTAGAATGCATAAAGGTAAGATATATAATAATGATTTTGATTTAACAGGGACTGAAGCCTTCCTATCTTTAACAAATTAGATAGGCCTTTATAAACAATACAAATATTTATAAGTAAATCTACGACGTTCTACTAACTTTGATTTAGTTCGACATGAAATTTGTCGTCGCAATTTACCGATTTTCCATGTAATTTTACATTGAAACATATAAATCAGTGGCTTGTTTTTCCTACAATTATAATTGTTATATATACACTTTCTTAAACAATATAAACATAAATAATAAAGGAAAGCCATGAAAAAGACCAACTTCTTTCTTCATTTTGATTACAGAAACTTTGGCTGTCGTGATTGTTTTGGCCTCATTATGTGTCTTTTTAGTATTCTTTATACTGTGTTTGTATCGCATCTACCTGAAGAAACTCGTTGTTGAAAAAGAATCTTTGACGGAAAGCTTACTTCCCACTATATTCTCCATTGTCCCCCAACATCTCCCATCTCAAATGTATGAAGAAATAGAAAATCATTACGATCCAACGAAATATCGAACGTCAAATCATAAGAACTCAGATACGTATGCAAGCTCGGAGTATGTAGAAGATAACGACATCAGAGCAATTCATGCTTTTAGAAGCCCAAATATTTCAAAAAAGTTTCGAAAGACTTTACGTCGAAATTATGAGAGAAATTTTAGGATGTCGCGATCACTGGATGATCGTTTACAGCTTGCGTCTGAAGACATTTTGCCAAATATTTCGCAGAGCCAACACTCCAAACCATATTACGTAGCAACTTCAAAGAATACTTTCAGCTCTATCGATAATATATCCAACGAACAAATCACGGTAGGTATATTTTCATGTGTTATATTCTCTAACTCAGGCGTTGTGTTACAATAACACATACACTTCTTCCTTGACAATGTTGCACAATGCAAGCTTTCTATTAAGGAGAGCAATTCTTGGTTTATGGAACAGTCATCGTTGGGTGAAGTCTTGGTATCTCTGTGCCATAATCCATCAAAAGGCTTATTAACAATCAAAATTCTACATATCCAAGGACTGAAACCCATTTCCAAAAATGGAACAATCAGTAAGTTTTATTGCATGAAACTGCACAATTTCACGTTGAGTATTTCATTAAGTACAAACGAAGACATTACTCAATGAGAAATAATATACGTGTCCAGCTTAACTATATCGTTTGTTTAACATCACTTTGTATTTCGCCAGATCCCTTCATCAAGATAAAAGTTTACAATGATGGAAAGAGAATATACAGTAAGAGAACCAGCACAAAGTACAACATGATGACGCCAAATTTCATGGAGTCTTTTGACGTTATCGTGTCGAAGAACAGAATGGCTAAGACAGCCATTATATTGAAGATTTCCCATCGCTCCTCCTGTGCATTATATAAAAATATAACAATAGGAGCCGTCCTTATAGGTGACCATTTTCACTTTTCACATGAACACTTCATGTTACAAAAAGCAATGGATCACTGGGCGACCATTATGAAGAAACCAAATGTCGACATCGAGGAATATCATCCAATTCAAGCCTGTTTGTCTTGATATAAACTGCATAGTGCTCCATCTTACTTGAAAGAAAAATATTCTTTCTTGCATGTTTCTCTTAACAGGTTGATGATAAATAATTCTTGTTTGTGGTAGATTTATCATCAACCTGTTAAGTTCCATTTTATTTTGCGTTCCGTGATTGTATGCGTCATAACAATTCAAGATATTAACAATTACCACAATTATCCATCAGTCGTCAGTATTAAAAACAAAAGCGAGCAAATATTACCCTAAGATGACGTCCTATTACCAAAAACACGCCGGAACAAGTGATGTCTCAAAGCGTGGGTTGAAATATCATTTAAATTTGCTATAATGATGAAACGATTTCAGTGTGTACTGGCGGTTGTCTGCAATGCCATCACATTGAAATGACACGTCGTTGTTGAAGTAAAGTTTGCGATCGTGACATACGAGGAAAGATGGAGAAAATTTTGTTGTGTAAATATCTGTGAAGAAGACTTCTTATGGATAGTGAATGTAAGATTATAATCTATTACATATATTATCATACAAAAATAACACATATTCAGAACTTTGAATACCTCAAGGTAGACACAAACGTCTTATTTTATTGCTGACGACGTTTTGGCACGATGAGGTAGAAAGGTTTAGACGATATCTTAAAATTTCTTATTTTTATGGTATACAATGTGCGAAATTCATTTATGACAAGAAGCTTTTCTTGCGCTTTTAGTTTGTTGATTCATGGATTATACTAATGAACGAACTGTTTAAAACTTCTTTTAACTTACCACGCGCTTATTGGTCAATAAATAACTTGGAGAAAACATGATATAAGTGAAATGATAATGACAAATTATCGGCATGCATGTACTGGGAAGGTATATATAACCAGTATAGTGAATACCATAATATGTACGTATAAGGATTATAAGAGCATGAAAGAGCATAAAGATATTAAACGATGGTTGAAACTTTTTACTTTTGAAATATTTTTATAGAAGCATTATAATAGTCGACTGAGTTTCTCACGCTAGTAAATGCAGAGTTTACGACAGATTATTCAAGATATAATAATATTCTGTAATTTATGATCAGCGAAGAGAAAAATTTCCTTGTTTTTCATGTATAAAAAATAATATGATTTCATAAGGCATCCTAAAGCGGAAGCTTTAAGTGTCAATCGTGTAAGAATTGTTTAAGGCAATAATAGCTTATCCTGGCAACGTCTTATAAGCAGTACAGATCTCATCTAGCATGAATGAATGAGCTAGATACTTTGTATGATGATAAAACACTAAATCATCTTTGTGTTTTTGTATGAGTGAAATTGAAAGTTTCATGATCATGTGCATGGATTGCTTAGTCAACATAAATCGTTATACTTATAGAAAACAATAATGTATTCATTTTGTATTATTTTTGCTCGTACTCGTTTATGATATTGTTCTGTTCATTGAAATTTTAACAAGTATAATATATTTGATATGATATCTGATATGATACCTGGCCACTGAAAAAATTGACACACTTATACTACGTGTCAAATTTTCGAGACTTTCATGCAAATTGATAAATGAACGAAATATCATTTTGAAAACAAACAATACATGAATAATGCTTTGATAATTGTAGCAGAAGACCTAATAAATCAAAAGACTTTTTGTTTGGGGAGGACATTTTTCGTCAAGATATTTTCTTATGTCGGAGAGAACAATTTCTCCTTTTATCATCATTGGTTTCCTTGGCACCATAGTATATTTCGGCTGATCAAAAAGACTTTGCCCAAACGCGAACTTTTTAATGCAAGTGTAAAATTCCTAACAGCAACGGAAATTCAACTCATTTCACAGTTTGTGGTAGTAGCAAAAATAATAATCTTGTATCATTCATTGTCCTTAATAGATTTTAGTGACCTTTTGTATAAGTCTTTAGAAGACTGCATACATTTTTGTCAGCATGAGGTCTTGTATCAAACGCACAATTAATTTTATTTAAATAGTTTTAGTAACAGTTTAGTATATTCTAATAGAAACACAAGCTATAGAAGATGTTATGCTATTTTGACGAAACACATAGCTATAGTGAAAAGATCATAGGTTTATATAAATTTATGTTCCGTACATGCAGTAGTATAGCTGTTGCCAGCGACTTGTGATTGAAATAAAAACAAACTGAATAACCTGGAAAGGAGTGCCATGTTAATTGCCAGTTATGCGTGGCAGCAAAATTCACAAATATTTGTCAGCCTCAGCCTGTTCTTTCCGCCAATTGCTACTATCTTATGCTAGAGGAAGATGTTGCTATATGTTTCCGAAGGCAATTTTGCGATAAAATAGCCACATAATATGCGCTACGGGCTAATAAAAGTAAATATCTTACATTTTTTGCATATATTAAGTCTACCTTGGCGAAAGAAAAAACGTCTTTCTCTGAAGACTCAAGAGGTCACTTAAGTCGTTAAGAGCCATAAACTTACAACTTCCGAATCGTACAATTTTCATCGAAAATTGAAGCTGAACGAATTTTACGAGTACTAAATGGGTACACACTACATAGGTAACAAGACATAAGCGTACTAAGTTGTTGAGTTTCATCATTACTGAATTGACAATGAGAAAATCTGTTTTTCCTTGGGCTATCGAAGGTAGAGCCGTACTGATTTTACCCTAATAAGGTCATGTGATGTTAATTTGACGTCTCAAGTATTTGTTATCGTCATAGCTCCATGCGCCAAGCAGCTTTCTTGAATGTACAGTGATCTTTAAATGTGAAAAAAACTCATCAGAATATTCAATTTATTTATTGAATATTCTGATGAGTTTTTCAATTTTCTTGCAACAGACATCCTTCCTATTCTCCTGGGAGTTGGTTCAGGACTGCTGGTAGCCATTACAATCTTCTTGCTTTATAAATTGTGGTCTGTTCGCTCTTTGCAATGTTCCAAAGGTAAAACGAAGTCCACTGCTAACAAAAGGATACCTACTATAGTTCATCATGATATACCTGGATTCAGCATACCTATCACGCGTAAGTTTCAAGTTCAAGAGCCAATAAAACCACCAAGAACTTCATCTGAACCACTATCCTACGATTACGACGCAGAAAAATCAAGATTTCGCTCTTGTGAAAACCTTTCAACAGGTTCTGCAATTAAAGACTACCATTCAAATCCAGATTTCACACAAGATGTCCTCAAATTAGAACCGATTTCAAGACTCCAACAAACAAAGGATAAATGTCGCCTAACTGGATCAATCTCAATGCAAGACCTGAATATTTGTTCGCCAGGCGCAAGAAAAAGGTTAGTTTATCATATTTAATCGTTGAAAGTAAATACACTCCTATTAATATATTTTCGTTTACTGATGAAACTTTCGTTGACCTTTTGTTGACTAATGAAACTTTCCATTCAGCGTTATAAATAGTTCAACATACTTCACAGGCTTACTGACAACATCATCCAAAACTCTGTTGTCTTTTTAGATTCAGCCTTCACAAAGATGACGAATTGGCGACATTAAAATTTGCTTTGTATTATGGAGTAGCGTCTAGTGAACTTAATGTTACAGTTGTGAGTGTAAACAATATTTTCCAACTTACTACACTCGCTGATCAATCTAGCATTTGTGTATGGGTAAAGGTGGAATTTTCAACGTATCATCAAGAGTTCAAGACAAAATATGCTTACGTTGATAACCCAGAGGAGACATTTTTTAACGAAACTTGCGTTATAAGTGATTTTCCTGCTGATCTTTTCAATGAAACGACTATATTATTTCATGTTCTTGATGGTAATACAATTATCGCCGAGGCTGTTCATCAAGTAATGGGACTACTTCCATCCTTTCCAAAGAATGAAGCCATACAACTGCTCCATCCCGGAACAGTTGAGGTGAATTGCTTTAAAACTAGATTGCTCTAAAGGCTCATCACGGTATATTGACGATAAAATTTTTCAACTTTAGATTAGTCATTCTCCCAAGTCTGGCGAGATACTAGTACGATTGAGGTACGATCCAGTGGATGAAAGCGTTACACTAGGAATCGTTGAATGTCATGGTCTTAAAACTCCCGGCAGAAAGAAAAAACCAATTGGTACAGTATGCATATGCAAGATAAAATATTAGTTTTTTTAAATATGATTCATCAAATAGCTTTACGTAATGAGCAGTGTATTAACTTTACAACAGATCAGAGTGTCAGTTTGGTTAAAATATTCTTCTAAGTTCCGGCATACAGGCGTACTTCTTTACAAGCAGCAAGGCAGCATATGATTTCTCTATAGATTCTATACAATCTCTCTACGAATGACTCAAAGATGTCAAATGATTTCCCTTCTTTTAACTACCAGATAACAGCTGACTTCTTTACAAACTTCGTTACATTTCAGAACAAGATAGCACGTGACCTCCTTACAGCTAACTGATATAAATATAGTACGCAAATTCTTTACAGCTGAATATGCAATTCTTTGTAGATATATTTTCCTTAATTAAGAGATTGATGGTTGGAGAGTTATCATTTCTAGTTTCTACACCTTTTCTTTCCAGATACGTACGTGAAAATCAAAGTGTTTTTCAGCGATGTAGTTGTACAACGTCTCAAAACAAAGCTTGTGGCAAAGTCTAACAATCCTTCGTACAAAGAAACTTTTAAACTTTTTGGTTTTTTCTCGAGAGGAAAGATGAGCCAAGTATTGGTAAAACTGACAATTTACAGTAAGTCTATGACGAAACAACCTATAGGCTACGTTATATTGGGAACAGGCCGTCAGAATGACATCGCAGCCAGTGGATATCGTCATTGGGAGACAATCATTGATAAACCAGAACTTGATATTGTACAGTGGCATTCTCTTAAACCTGCGAGGGCCATAACGCCTTAGTTTTAATTAGGAAGAAATAGTTAGAAGCATATAGTATGGTAGCATAAAGTATAGTAGCATAAAGTATCTCAATTTTTTTTTTGAAAAGTATTATTTCTTATGTGCACCAGTTTTGCGGAAACAGAATGCTTCAGATTATAAGTAATATGTATGTAGCTGTATATTATTTTCTATAGGAATGTTAATTTGTAGATAATTTTGTGATTACATATTTACATTTCATTATTGTTAATATAAAAGGCCTATTTTTAAAAAGGTTATGCAAGCTAGATATATCATCTTTCATACATATCTATGTAATAATAATATTTATAAATTATCGCAAAGTACTCTCAGTTCGACTACACTTTCAGACCGATCTTCAATATTTATAAAATACGTTAGTCAATAAAAATACTATTGTTTTCTTGCTGAACGTTTAGTAGTTTTCTTGGAAGCTATTGAGCATTTTTATTACATCTTATTTCGAAAAATTTCATACTTTCTTGATCTTATTTAATATTAATAAAGCTCTATATATAAGCCATGGGCCGTATCGCAAAAAGTCGTCTAAAAATAATATCGTCATGCGTCCACTGGTAGTTTATATTATATTTATCATTTTCCGAAGGTATGCCAAATCTGAAAGGGGCCCATCGTGAAACAAAAAATCGCTGCGCTTGCACATAGCATCGGAAAGATCACACTAGAAATTAGATATCAACGAAAGAAGTCTATGAAAAAATGTGAACTACGCCAGCTTAAAATTGTTATCACAAAGAAAACATGAAAATTCTATGTGATAGCAAGGCGGCTTGTAAAACGTCCAACAGTATATTCTTATATATATTTTACAATTAAATATAAACGTTTTGAAACTATGATTTCATCGAACAAAATGAATACAAGGGCATTTTGTCAAAAATTAAAACAATGGAAATTTACTCAAAATGCCACAACATATGAAAGCAAACACGAAATCTCGGATACCATCTATCGAAATTGTAGTTTAATATTGAAATGACAAATCGCTCTAGTTAGTTTGAAGCAACATTGATAAAAATAATTCATACGATATGCATTTCTTATCGAAACAAAATAAGCACTATTTGTGACATGCATAACGCAAAAAACTCGTCATCCGCGTGAGCAAATATCGGCAATCTTTTTTTGTTTGCACTTGTTTTCCAAGTGTAGTGAAACCCCTTTCACCCCGACCTACTTTATTGGATTGAGGGCTAGAATCTCTTTACGTTGATTGGCTAAGACTTATAAACGTAACATTGACATAGATCATATATTAAAGATAAAATAATCTATTTTTCTCGTTAATGCGCATGTTAAACGGTTGAAATACATGCTAAAGTTGACAAATACTACTACAGCAACATGATGATTAAAAAATTTTTCGTCCCTCGGTGGACGCATGAAAATATCACAATTTTCGAAGTGGGCCATGGCCTATGCGATGTTTTCTGTTCAGTCATGCGTATGTGAAACAAATCTTGATGTAATGATCTAAGATGTAAAATATACGCCACTTAAACAACAACATTTTTGCTTATTCAATATTGCTTTTTGAAATGGATATGAAAACGGGATATTTCACTTTTTTGTTGTTTTCAACTTATCTTGCACCAGCGGTGAGGAGTGACTCGGTTTTTCAACTGACAGATAATGATTTTGATCAATATATTAAGGACAAGGAGGCAATGCTAGTGGACTTTTACGCTCCCTGGTCAGTAGTTATTATAGTCTTATCATTATTACCTAATTCAACATGTTATTGAGCGATCATGTAAATCTTTTTTGTAATATAGGCTAAATATTTTCTTAAACGTACTACAGGTGCAGTGATTGTAAAAGACTCGAACCAAAATACGAAGCAGCAGCAAACATGCTCGCCGCAAAGGAAGAGTTTGTTTTAGCAAAGGTAAAACACTGTTCATATACTCAATAAGGCCATAGGTTGTGAATACAATTGTGTGAAGACATTTGATAAAATGCTGTCAATTTTAAAGTAGAATAAATGATTTTTGTATTTATGCTATAGAGAACTGCATTAAATCGCCTAGCGTCCCGAACTTCATACATGTCAATTCTCGAGTATGAAAGAGTGCCATCTAAATCAGTTCTAAGCTTTAGACTCTGTAGATAGGCTGCACAGGGTATCCCAACGAAAAATGACTCCAAACAAATTTAAATAATTCAAACTGAAAACGTTACAACGTGAAAAGAAATTGATAAAACTGAGTTGTCTGATCACGTGTGACCATTCGTGCGACACCATTGCAATGTAATCTAATCTCGTGATAAATCTAATCCTAAAAATCTTTAACTATCATATGAGTAAATACCATATTGCATTTTGTGAAACAAAGACACACAAAAACGAGGTCAATGACCTCCATATTTTTGAAGTACATTTGTCATCGTTCTCTCGAGACATTCAAAATATTTTATTTGAACATGCAGTACACTCAATGACCCCATCTTTACGAACTCTATCGCTTTTAGATCGATTGCTATGGTACGGGAATGGCAACATGCCGAAGATTTGGAGTGCGAACCTGGCCTCAATTAAAACTTTTTAAGTATGGACGATACGAAGGAGAATATTACGGAGCTGAAGATGCCTGTAAGTTTCTCATTACTTTCACAGTTCTATTAATGTTTCCAAATTTACAAGGCAGTAATTTATGGTTACTGATTATGTATCCTTGATTTTGTAGTTTAATTAAATTTATTTTATAATTTTTCTTCTCAGTGTAAAAAAATCAATAGTGATACATCCAGACAATTTAGAGATCAACATGATAATAGCTGACAATCAAACTACTACTATACTACACTATACTAAAATTAGTTTAAAACAGCCTACCTTACATCGGTGAAGTGATTCAAATGCTTGGTTAACGTTCTTGTGCGCTTCTCCCCATTTTCTTATTCCCTACAAATGTAAGCAGATAACAAGAGATTAAAAAACGCTTCAAATGTTTAAGAGTTGTTCACTGATATTGGTAATAAAAACAGACTTCATAAGGAACTTCATACATTGAATGAAATCAATGAATGGTGCTTAATCAAACTGCTTTCTCTTTCTTAGACGCGATAGCAGCATTTATGGACGGAATGGTTAAAGAACCGGAGAGTCAACCAGCAACAGTACAAAACTCCCAAATGTATGGCAAAGCACAACATGGCGGCCAGCTCTCTTCGCAATATTATAACTCATTTGGATAAAGAAAGATAGCTTTGAATTTTTGTTTTTAATGTTAAGCGCATTATAGACATGTAGAATGATATAATGATTAAAACGACACGACATAATCCCATATTGCACAATTCTCTTTTCGTATAAGTAAACAAGTGAAACAACGTAAACGGAATTTAAAATTTTAAGTCTGACAAGTAAAAACTTACAAACCATGTACAATTCGTCTTTAAAACAATTGAAACTGAGAGCCACATTATATTAGAATCCCACACTTATCAATTCAATGATCATTTCTTCTTGAAAAACGGATTTTTGATCACTTTTTATAACTTTATCGTAAAATGCTTGTCGAGCAACAACATTTTCTCTTTGTTTTTGGCGCCGAAAATTTTTGGCTCATATGATTTTTGTGATACTTGATTAGAATTGTGCGACTAGACAACAGCCAATCAAAACATGACAAGACTAAGTCACGTGTTACTAACTGACCAATAAAGTAGGGCCAACAAATAGACACATGTACGCTTGTAGGTAATTACGAAGAGTGAGGGAAAGGAAGACAATGGCGTCCACCAAACTTATATTTCTTGCGTTTTTAAGCGCTGTTTATGGATCAGATGTTATTGAATTGACAGACAGTAATTTTGGCAGTCGTATCAAGTCCATGGATATCGCTTTGGTAGAATTTTTCGCTCCTTGGTACGAGAAATTAGATGAAAGTTTGTAATAAGGAAGATCACTTCCAACAAAGTTTTTTGTTAAAGTTGGAAAATACAGAAGCATTTCGAAAGTACTTTTGGATTCATTTGTTTCTTAAACAGGTGTGGACATTGTAAACGTCTTGCTCCTGAGTACGAACAAGCTGCCACGTCGTTGAAGAAGAACGATCCCCCCGTACCACTTGTAAAGGTTCGATTCAACGCCATTGATGATTCTTCTTTTGTACATTGTGTTATTGTTTTTTTTAAATCTGTTAGATTATGTTTGTTAAATAATGAATCGTTTCAATTATATTTTATCGTTTATATCTGTATTATGTGCTGACTAAACTATGAAATACGATTAATTAATTTGAAATATCATGTGTTTATGTGATTATCGCGGGGGGTGTGACCAATGAATTTTAATTAGGGTGATGTAGTATTTTAAATGCTTTGTACAATTTTGCAATTGATTTAAGTGAAATTTGGGAAGTATGATAGTTAAGGAATGTGTGTTGTTGTAAGTTTGTGCTTGTGGAGAATTTTTTCAATGCTAATTTATGTTATAACATAATTGCTTGAAAATCAAAAAGTTTTTAAGTGTTAACTTTAATGAAACACTAACTGATTTGCTGAGAATGACTGTTGATGATGATTTAGGTTGACTGTGTTGGTGAGGGAAAAGAAACTTGCTCAAAACATGGTGTCAGTGGTTACCCAACTCTTAAAGTTTTTCGAAATGGCGTTGTGAACAAGGATTACGATGGTCCTAGAGAAGCAAGTTAGTAGACTCACACTATATAGAACAGTTGAGCTACTCTATTGAATTTTATTGTGTCATTCATTATGCATGTGATTAGCATGTTACCATCAGATCAATTGCAAGTTCTGACCCGTAGGAATGCTGAGATGGCTTACCACAATCAAATACATAGCAACAAGTTTTGGAGAAAACTGGTCCTACTGTGTATTCCTTATACAGTCATTGACTTGTTATAACTTAATTAAAAGTACATTTATGTACAGTCACATGACTGTGAATGAACCAATCACATTTATCATCCAGAATATATAATAATATGCCTTAATTAACAAGTGTTTTGTGAGTTCTAACAGAATGCCATGTAATGTATTTGTAGAAGGCATTGTTTCGACAATGAAAAAGCAAGCTGGACCAAGCTCTAAAGGTGTGAAACTCTGCAGTCTAAGTTATGTATTCAATTTTAAGGTGACGAGAAATATTTTCGCAACATTTTAGAAGTGAAAGATGCTGAGACAATGGAAAAAGTTATTGGTGGTTTTGATGCAGTACTTGTTGGCTACTTCACCACTGATAGTGATCTGAAAAGTGAATTTCTTAAATCTGCTGATGCACTAAGAGATAAATATCGTTTTGCTCATACTACTGATGAGAGCATAATGGATACACAAGGACACAAGGAGTAAGTATTGCTTATCTCTTGTTAATCATCAAAACAAAATTCACAATTTCAATGTGGTATTGTAGAGTGAAATTAGATAGAATATATTTAGTGAAAGAATTCATGCACTTTGTGATGTTTTAGTGCTATTGTCTTGTATCGACCCAACCGTTTGAAGAGCAAGTTTGAGGATTCAAAATTTGTTTACTCTGGCTCTGCAAGTCGCAGCAGTATTGAGAAGTTTATCGAGGAAAATGTGTTGGTGTTGTTTTCTTATTTGCATGTAAAAAAAATCAGTTATTTCTTGTGATAAAATTATATTTGATTGGTTTAGCCATGGTCTTGTTGGTCACATGACTCCAGATAATGCAGATGCATTTAAAAAGCCTTTGGTCATAGCCTACTTTAAGGTTGATTACACTTTAAATCCAAAAGGTTTGTAAACCACGTGACATCGATTTCCAATCTTGGAAATTTTTTTCTGCTCAATCGGTTTATTTTCACTTAAGGAACCAATTATTGGCGAAACAGAGTTTTGAAAGTGGCCAAGGACTTTAAAGAGAAGCTCCATTTTGCAATAGCTGCCAAGTCTGATTTTGGAAGTGATATGGAAAGTTTTAGTGATCGTAGCGATGAGGAGGTCTTAGTGGCAGCAAAGAACTACGCTGGATCGAAATTTGTCATGAAGGAGAAATTTAGGTGAATAAATCAATAAAATGATATCTTGCCACTCGCAAAAGATTTCAATGATTTGGTGCATTTACACATTCATTTCTTTTACGATTCCAGTGTTGATAACCTGAGACAGTTTGTCACGGATTATCTTGATGGCAAAATAGAGGCGTACGTCAAATCTGAGGAAATACCATCTGATAATGATGGTCCAGTGAAAGTTGTTGTTGGAAAAAATTTTGAGGAAATCGTCAACGATCCAGAGAAGGATGTTCTCATTGAGTTCTATGCGCCTTGGTGTGGACATTGCAAGAATCTTGAACCAAAATACAAAGAACTAGGTGAAAAGGTATGTACATACGTAGGAGGGTGTTTTATACCACAGAAATTTTATTATGTACGAAAATACTTATTTTCTTCATTCAATGGTAGTTTAAAGGTGTTGATAATGTGGTGATTGCCAAGATGGATGCTACAGCAAACGACACTCCACCACCATACGAAGTTTCAGGGTACGTAAACTGAATTACTTTAATCCCTCTGAACTCAAACTGTCGTTCACTCTATACACGGTGATCTTGGCGTAGCATTGGATCAAACCAGTTACCTTAATATGTTTGGAGTAATTGTTTAGCAAATTGATGAACATGTGTCTCGTCAAATATTGCGTAAACAAAGTTGTATGGTAATATTTTATATATTGTGCATTTCCTCTTTTTCAGTTTTCCAACAATATACTGGGCGCCAAAAAATAGTAAAGATAAGCCTGAAAAATATGAAGGTGGTCGAGAAGTTTCGGATTTCGTCGACTTCATCAAGCGTAAAGCAAGCGATCCAATTAAGTTCCCGAAAGAAGCTAGCAAAGATGAAGAAGCTTTGTAACATGCAGACATACAATTTTTGGAAATTCTGAATTGCATTTCTATGATAACTAGCACATTGCTTTTAGCGGAGAGTGTTTAAAGACAAATTTGTGGAGTTGATTCATTAATATATCTTGTTATGTATGTCACAGAAATTTTTTGTATGCAAATTTGTCTGTATGTGTTTCAAATTTGAATGTCTTGCTCAATAAAAGTGTTACTTTTTGGAAAGGTTTGAATTTTTTTAATCTCCCAAATCTTAAAGCTAATCAGAAACCATACACTGAACCCAATTGCGTAAGTGGATGTGCCATTCATACTATGATGTAGGTCAGATGTGGTTGGAGATGCAAGAGGTATCAATCAACACAAAGTAATGCAAATTATGAGTATTGAGCGTGGAATTGGGTGTTAAATTTCACTACTGCTTATTTTGAAATAACATTAGATCATTGAGGTTTCAATAAATTTAGAAAGAACTTCTATCTGCGTTTTTGAACGATTTTAGAACCTATTTATACAGCGATTTACCACAAAGATAAAGAGGAAATGATGATACTATTTCCACTATCCATATAATAAAATCCAAGACAAAAGGTCAGTAAACTCTATGAGTAAATATCTCTTGATTTCATTTATAATTATATAGCGATCTATGCCCAATGAAACTAGTTACTTGGGTTTCGCAGAGAATTGAATTCATTGATCGTTCATCAAAAATCACAAAAAATCTTTATCCAACTATTGATGAGCACTTAAATAGCTAATGTTTATGAAGTAGTGTACTTTCAGTAAATTTTGACTGAGAAACCATTTATCAAAAATTAAACGCAAAGGATTTGAATCCAAAATGAATTTTGATGAGAAAATATTCTAATTGTCAGAGGAACGCAAATTATGCAAACAACATGGCGCGCATTAAAAGTCGAGATCAATTACGCAAAATTTTCAAAGTCAAAATATGCAAGTAACATTGAAACCAGGATTAGTGACGATAGACTGTAGACTGTTTTCTCATTTTAAAATATACATGAGATTTCGACTGTCTGTGCGCAGATGTTTAATAGGGAATAGAGTAGACGGGCAGGTCGAAAGGTAATGCAAAATGTACATAAACATAAGAACGTCAATAATCTTATCGCACATGTCGATAATGGTACAGTTAAAAGATTTGTACTAAGAAACATGAAATATTCCAATTCCATTGTCAAATTAAGCCATGTTTTTATTAAATCTAATCAACAATGCTTACATGTTTGTTTTTAATTGCGTAGATGTATTAATGTGTACATATTTACATTGGAGTAACACAAAGGGAAAGCCGCAGATTAAAATTAATATGTAAATTGTGTACATTAAAGCTATCTTTCATTGTGCGTTACTATCTGGACAACTGCTATTGGGGAAACCAAGTGAAAATTAACAACTCTTAGCGTTTAGAAATTGTAATATTATGGTAGATGAAATCAGACAAACCCGATAGTAAGATAATATGTTAGGAAATATTAGAAATATGTGTAACACAAAGCGTCAAGCAGAATTCATAGATTTTAAAAACACTAAAATAAGTTTACTAAACATATGAAAAATGATCAACACATATACTCTGACACATGAAGTTTGACGGAACGTATATTATGCGCGAGAGTTTGCTGCTAGAATATGACCTGTTAATTCATCGCGAATTTATCATGAATGTGCTGCAATGGAGACGAAACATAAAATGTAATTTAGTCTCAGGTCATATTAGTTTACGAAGACAGATTAACTAATTGTGTTTTTTATCGCTTATACTGTAGTACTTGTCAGCGAACTAATTAGGGAACTATTGAAACACGTTATTATAAGATAAGAAAATAACATGTGTATATGTTAACAACTTTTAAAATTAATTCAGTGAGATGAATCAGCATTAAGACGTAAAAGTAAAGAGCCTGCACTCTACATAGCCAGCGCCAATCATGGAGGTAGTGTGAAATGCAAACTCGCTAGAAAATTGACAGTTATAACAGATATACACCGAAGATTGAATAGAAGACTTGATTATAGCATATTATATGTGTAGTATTAAAATAATATTTTTTAAATTTATTTCATAATATATTTGCAACTGGCAACGGTATTGCTAAACACAAACATCTACATCTATTTTCATGGATTTTATGAGCCAGTTGGACAACATCAAAACCATAAAGAAAAACAGAGTATTTTTGAAAGTTTTTGAATGCATCGAAGAATTTCATAAAATGATAAGCAAATGAAGATTTCAAATGTACGTTTGTAAAATTTATAGTTTCTATGGCTTTCTGATATTTGCTCATTTTGCCCTCCTAGGGCAGTGAAATATACGAACAATATATAAGTGAACGGTAACTTTCGAGTTATCTATCGTATTGCTTCATAACTCATTATCTTTAGCGGTTAATTGCATACCTCCATCGACGCTTTTTGCCGATAAATAAAATATTATCACAGAATAATAGTTTCAAAATTAAATGACCAAAAATTGATAAATAACGGCACGAATGCCATTTATAAAAACACGACACCAAGAGCATACGGTCCATCTAAAACTTTAAAACAAGATAAAGTTTCCACTTCTTGAGGTTTGTGCAATTTATACATGTACGTCAGTAAAGAAAAATTGACAGGTTTGTCCATGTCCAATGATCATGTTCATGTCATGGGTTGAAGCAAGACATTCTCTTGCGTGATATGTAAACTTTATTTTAACATTTATCCTTAACAAAAAATCCTAGCAATAATATTGACTTGGGTAGAAAACCTTTTAAAGATTTTTCAACCTCCAACGTAGAAATTACCCGCAAATGTCTTTTTAGATATGCATTTTGATTAATTATACTGAATCTTTTTTTCGGCAAGTCACAATCTGACAGCATGCAGCTGGGTATTATTCAAAAGAAGAAAAAAAAAACGTGCGTACGTCCTGTTCAAATACGAAAATGAGAGTATAAATTTATTTAAAAGATCGTAATCAGTTAATTTTCGATGTTATGCTGTGATTATTAAAAAAATATTTCATCTCTTAAGACATTATCCTCGAAAAAGTGATCAAAACTATACTATCTATACTGAAAATAAATGTACTTTTTTCATCAGTAATACTGCTTATTTTTAATAAACCACAGTCTTCCATTGACATTTTTTGATATCAAATTTTGGAAGTGCATTATGCTAATAGCTTTCAAGTCTGTGATTCCATCGGAGATTAACCTCAGAAGTGGTCGCCAAGATTTCCTATTTAAGATAATGACTTTAAATTTTACACAAAAGAATGATCCATGAGAAACATGTGGATGTTAAAGTCCATTGTGTCATGTTTTGTAATGTAACTTGAAAATATGGTCCGCTATGCCAAAATGCGCTTGTTTTGTTTATAAATTTGCTGTCTCTAAGTGTGTCATGAATTTATGCAATGCACTCGACGTGTAACAAGAGCTGTAATATGAAACTCATGAAGATAAAAAAGTATGTTCCTCCAGCAGTGTGACCTTATAGCTTTGACATTTAATTGCATGGTAAGAAAACAAAATGGAGATTCTCACTATTTATAGTAAAAACAAAACATCAAAATAATTATTGAAAATAGCTTTGATCACGAAAGTGGTGCATGATTGTCGTGACTGGGAACGGCAGTTATTGACAGCGTAACATCTGTACAAATGTGCTCAATACATCGTCTTAGTTGACGAGTTATATCAAATATATTTTATAAAATACGCAAGATTTCAAAATTTAACGTTGCAGTTTCTGTTGGCTCATAAATAAATATATTTTTGACATTCTCCATGTCAGTAGTTAAATATATTATAATTTACACTACACTGGTCGAATTAGAGAATACAGCGCGGACGCTTCGACGTTGGGAGGGGTGAAGAGGAGACATTTATATTTTTATGTGTTGCAGTAGCAACCGTTTTGATTATAATCATCCTGTAAATATGGATTATTTCGCCATGATGTTCCGGGGATCAAAAGACCCACCAAAATATCACCGGAAACTCTTAGTCCATAACTTTTTACGATCATTTTTGATGTTTTTCTATTAAAACGCTGGTAACTGATGACGATTGGATAGCAACTACCCAAGCTGATGACTTCCTTTCATGAAAGTAAATAAATAGTTTCCAAGATGGTAAAAGAAATTAAATTGTACATTTAAATGAGGAAGTTGTTTAAGCTTGCACAATAGTCACTGTTGTTTGACTTGGCAACAAGTCATATTGTTGTGATGAAAAATGCGTAAAGCAAACTTCTCTAAGTTTTAAACACTACAGGCAAACATGCTTTCACATAATGCGTCTAAACTGTTCAGTATTGTTCAACTTTGCGCTTCTATTTGTGGACAACTTGCTGAGTCAATTATCAAATTAGCAACAAATTATTAATGATAATTGCAAGTCTGTTATAAAGATATGTAAAAGAGAAACTACTGTAGCAGGGAGGGATATCGGTTGTACTCGACGCTTTTTACTTGAATTAAGTATCAGTAAGTTAAATTAAAACATTTCCATGGGTTTTGCTCTGAGGCAAATAGTTGGTTTATACGTGGTTATTCATATACACTAATTAGGCTATAAATCAAAAGTTAACATTTTCATAGAAAGAGAGTACCTAAAATATTAAGACAGATTTTTTACTGAGCAAGGAAAGAATAACTGATGAAGTTCAATCAAATACAACAAGCATAAATATTTCAACTCTGTGACAAAATCAACAAAGTTTGCACTCAAACGATGAAAATAGATTCACTGCACGACTCAAAGACATTCTTTACGCGTATGGGGTAAGAATGATGAACCACAAGAGAGATGAAAACAGAATACAATACCTAATAAGATATTGAAATACAAAGACCAACTGTTTGAAGCACCGGGAGATAGAATTGGACCATCAAGCAGCGGCTTGCCTAGTGTTTCTATAGTCAATCGAAAACAAGACACTCGCTATGACGCTTATTGGACCACTAGCATGACAATAGAAAGAATATGAATTATTAATATATATTCTAAGTACACAACATGACTGCTTAGCCATGTGAGCATAATTGCTTCAACTCCAACAGTTCTTATGAGATTGTTTCAATGTTTTTACAGTAGCTTCACACAGGATAATCGTCACTTTAATTCAGCATAAGGTGAAAACAGGACGCGGAGAAATTTCTTTGTATGTTGCAAAACATTGATCAATTTTCATTCCCTAATATCGAGGATCATAGGACCTAAATTCCTGCGTATCATACTCCAGGTTTTTAATCTCGGCTCGACTGAACAACTTGTATTTCTTTCAATAGATCGACTTTGGTAGAAATTCCCTGACAAGAGTTTCGACAATTCAGGTATCACTATTTTTATACACTATTTATTCCTGACGATTGAAATTAACGATTAACGTACGTTGCTTTTACAAAATATTTAGTTCTGTATTACAATTTTTAAAATATTTGAGAGATTTTTTTATTAAATACGAGGAGAATAAAAGGACAATTTACAATTACTAATTCAAAATTGTCATTCACAACCATCATATCAGCTACACACCATTTTACTGTTTTGTTGAACAATTAACTGTAGAATGCATATTAAGTATAGGAGTGGTTTTATACAAAAAATAAATTGAGCTTAATACGCGGTGTTTGGTAAAGACCTTTATAGAGAAATACAGCAAAAGGCTTTATATACGCAGACATTTTTTTTTACATAATGAAAGCACTAAACAGATCACCGACGTATTTTATAGCGAAATCATCATCGTACCAACATAATTTCATCATTAGTAGCTACGTCTTTGTTCTTTACAAAGTCCTATGATTTTTACTTATCTTATATCCTTGGAAATATAAAGGAAACATTAACGAAAGATCCGACAAAAAAAATCCCCTACACAGATATTCAATCTCTTCGAGGTTGGTAAATATTAACATTTCCTCTTTTCTTTGCAATTTAAAAGAAAACCCGACAGACAAATGAAAGAGGTTTGCACTATACTTACAACTATAAAGTATATCTGTCTTGACGTTTTATATTGCCAATAAAACAAGATTGCGTCAGAAATTCTATTCCTGTAATACGTGAAGTCATTTCGTTTCGAAGCTAAGGATGATTTGAAAAAATACACTGGCACTTGTATAGCCTAGTAATTTCATGCATGCTTGCTTGCGGTCTTGTATTATGATGCACTAAAGACGGATATTGACAGATACTGGCAGAAGGAGCTCTTGGAGAGCATCGTGTGTGATGTCTTAATACGCTCTCTTAGTCTCTGTGAATAATCATATTTCCTTCCACGCTTTCATTTCTCTTTGATCAACTAACAGACGATGGCGGATATCTTGTGACTTACAAATATTTCTTGAGTAAACAATGTTGAAAAAAGACAACGTGATTTTCCTTAAGCTGTTGTATTTCGAGTTGACCAGATGAAAATATTTTTCTGGTATATAATTTAGTGTTTTTTCATGCGACAGATATAAGTAATTTTGCAAAAATTTATTTTATTTATATATTCATATTAGTTTAGAAAACGATTCATAGTTTAACGACTAACGTTTAATTACTTTTTAAAATTTAACAATCTCGTGATCTCTCTTTATCTCATTTCCAAATAGACTTTGAAGTTATCAACAAAATAAATAAGTGCTTTGCTAATCACACAGCTTTGTCTTGTTCTGTACCCAATATCAATATGGCATTTATAATCGACTGATTGAGAACACAAACTTCGCTTTGCCAAAAGATTTTATAAAATTAGTGATCATTTTCTAAAGACAATTCGCAAAATGTTCAAAAAAATACGAATATTATAGCTAAAATTCGAGCAGTTAAAAGCAAAGATATTTTTGTACATTGGAAAATAAATATTTGCGTTTCAGCTTGCTGGTACGGCCACCGGAAAGCAATCTTATTTTAAAGGTAGAATAAACGAGCTCTATTTTTGTTAACCATAGGTCATAATTCGGTCATAATTGGCAATTTTGTGTGGTTTAATTTAGGTTAAACAATTTTTGGTGTTCTCTTACATAGAATATTTTATGTTATGACGTGTGTCTACAACTGATGCGGTAAAAATAACATGCACACGGCAGGATTTTTTTTCAGCTGCGAACAATGATTTCTTAAGGATTGAGACCCTTTCTGCTTGTGTGTGCTTTAAAAACAAGTATTCGGTTATTGGACAAATAAATGCATTAACACTAACTGTTAATTGAACTGAGAACGTTGTGAGAGGTTCGATAATTTAGACATATAATGCGATTGTACTAACAATAAAAACTACAAAAGGCTTTACTTCGCTTGCAAATAAATGAAACGGTACTTCTAAACGAGTGAATCGATTTTAAAATAAAGTTCAATACAAGACACCTGCCCCAAAACGATTTCACTTCTGAACATTTTTTTGTCAAGATAAATATGTAATACCTTAAGGCTTAGATCAGAGAATCACAACAGCTATTTTACTACTTCTGTGAAGCAGAATAGTTGTGTAGATGTTAGAGGGCATTAGGGTACCAACAACTTTGTCCTATGATGTACCTAATCTAACTTCTTAAAAATGACAGTGTTGCTTTCTGAACATAAGTACACGAAACACTTTATCCTATGATGTACGTACCTATGTATGCTGACATTGATTGAGTATGATTACTTATAGGTTAGATCAAAAGTTCACAAGTATTTTTCATAAGGTTCTCAAACAGAAAATAAGTGTGAAACACGTTACATTTTTCACGCAGTTTAAAACGAGTTCTAAAGTAAGCGAGCAACGGAAGAGGTTAGGAGTGACACAACTGAATATTGTGGGAAAATCCCATTACATATAACTTAAGGACACAGCCAGAAGCTTAAATTGATGCCATGCAAATGACAGGGACTGTGTAACGTCTACATGGCGACAAAAAAGTTTACAGAACTAAAGATCGAGGGTAATAAATTCATATATATATATATATACAGCATACATGACATATAACTCGTAGCTTTGATCGCATGCAAATGAAAAAGTAAATAATGTTTTTGTGACGATGAAAGAAAACACCTACGTTTCTCAGTTATGTGGAACCTTTACGTTAAAACTATGTTAATTATGCTTATTGCTTCTTGTCTTATCATTATGTTCGTAATAATTTTCACGAGTGCTTTCAACAAAGATTTTTAGCGTGTGAAGTTAATATACGCATGCTTATTTCGTGTATTGCATGTGGATATGTTCGTGTTCAAGTATTCATAGTTGCGTGATATAACAGGTAGAAGAAAATAGCATGTTTAGCATACAAAAACCATTGAGTCACAGCATTTTAAAAACAAAAATTCATCACCCCTGCCACGCTTGTATAATGGCAAGTATCGCAAGCCAATCACAAGGCGGACATACTGTGCCCGCACTCGATGGGGGAGCACACACATTATTGCATAAAATGTTAATTATACTTCTCGCCACATGATTGGCTGACTCAATTTGTTTACAGACTGTAGCCTGTAGGGTAAGCTTCGTCGTACTGTGATCCAATCATATGAAAGCTTAAATTTGGTTCGATGATATGGGTCTTACAGCTGTATTCTTTGACAGATGCAGGTTTAAGCTCTGGGGGGTGATATCCCCGACGTTTAAACATACACTCCTGATATATTATGTGTCATTTTTAGTGCGCGTTCCTCGAGTACTCATCGGAGAGTTTCGACGTCGAAAGGAAAGCTCAACGGCTGATTTTGAAACAACGTCGAAAATAAACGAAGTCGTGTTATCGTGTGAGCATCAAATCCTGTTAAAAGTAGGCGGTTCTATCAGACAAGGCGTTTGGGTTAATTGGAAAGCTGTCAATTCATTGATTGATCATTATATTCATTCATTTCTAAGGCTATTTTGATATCAGTACTACAGAGGTCGAGAACTTTGCAAATATATGTATGGCAAGGCCTCAACCCATTTCTTGAGGATGTTCAGCATTGTAGTGCTTCAATACCCGAATTTAATGGAACACGAGAAGATTTCGTGCAGGAAATATTTCACTTGTTGTTATTTTTGATAATTATAAAGCTACCTATTCGTGTATCATTCCACGTAAAGCATGTTCTACATATCATCCAATATTGTAAAAGAAACCCACGGCATGGCAAATCCACTTGCAATCAAACGTGTTCTTTGTGTCGTGTTCATATCAATCCTACTGCTTGATGGTGCTTGTGCATTTTTCAAACATTCCGCTGGAACGTGCGCGAAATGTAAAGATGATAATAAAATGGCTGCATGGCAAATAAAACAAAATAATATTGACACCAGAAGAAAATGTATGTACGCGATGCGATATCTAAATTGTGCAGAGCTGCTTCATCAACAATGTCGAGAGGATGTTCAATTTCAAGCCGATCTGACCGTCATGCGTTCATTCAGAGACAAATGGAATTGCTCCACCAAGAACATCACGTTTGACGATGCGGCGGAGCCAGGTAAGACCGACACAAATCGCGAGAGTTGCCAAAGACCCAATTTCAAATCTAAGTATAAAGTGTGTGGTTTATTTGGGGATCCACATCTACGAACGTTTTCGGACAAGAGGCATACGTGTTCGGTGGAGGGTGCTTGGCCCTTATTTGCCAACAGGTTTTTGACAGTACAAGTCACAAATATACCGCTGGAGAACGGTTCGAGGGCTACTGCGACCAGTAAGGTAAGGCTCTAATTTAATATAAACGAAATGAAAGTTGTGCAATCTGATATACTGTAAAATTTTTATTTCTACACCCCAACCTAATTGGATGTATGTAGTTTGAAACCATAGAATGCGTTAAGTAGACAGCAATCGCTGTGTGTTTGTACGGTGCGTATTTCTGATAACTCCTGACTTCAAGTTCACGGAGATCGTATAAAAAGTCCAACTCATAAATACATAGGATTATACTATCTAATATTCATAATATACTATAAAAAATGTCAGATTGTTCTTTAATTGCACAGGGCAAAGCTTCAAAACACACGACATATTTATTCGCCACACACGGCCTTATCAATATGCTCAGTAAAATATCTTGAATACATTAGGCCAAACTTGGCGGGTGACAAGGCTGAAAAGCCGACGATCTGCTTTAAGAAACACCATCTACGTCTTTGGTCAGAATCGAGTGAATATAGCAAAACTTCTGTTTACTTTTTTATCTGATGTGCAATTAGAAGCATTATCATTGTAATCTTCGTCATTAATGCCTGCTTTATTCTATGCATTTTAGAATGAAGTATTTTGCTAATGCTTTCATTGCCATGTATTGTTTCCTGTGCCCAGCTTGACTCCATGAGATTAATCTATTACCCATCATGCAAGACATCTAACATATACGTATCAACAGTTTTTCAACACCATTAGAGAGAATATGTCTTCTTGGCCTAAGTTAATGTGCTGATGTGTTTTATGTCTATGTATGTCGTCAAATTGACATAACAAAGTACAAAGCAAACACGACATTCTCACTAATTTTTGTGGTGGAAGGAAATCATGTTATGTGCTTAATCATAAATGGCTCTAGCTCCGCGTGAAATGAAAAACCAATATAAGAAGGGGAAATGTAGCTATTGAAACTACCGCTTTAAGATATAGTTGTAATTTTGTTTAATTATAATCACTAAATGAAAATATATATATATTCCAAATATATAAGATCACGATAGTTGTGCGTGCTGTTACACAAACGGGCTCAAGCTAAAGCGCCCTGTATTAATATACTGACATGTACATTTGCACCAAATATTTTGACAAATAACACTAACGGTACATTTGCCTCGTTATATAAACACTTCAAATTATTACCTCGATACAACGCAAAGAAAAAGCTGCTGATAGCATGGTCAAATCGTTACCGTGTACACACAAATAGCCCGTTTAGCATAATTTTAAGCAGCTGTAAAATGGAACCATGTCAAACGTGTTCGACTCCCGCACATGTAGTGAAAATTTGACATACACAAAACAGTCTACTTGCACTTGAAACAAACACACCTTAATCTTGTGGAAAGAGCCGCTTTGAGCATTTAGTTTGATCACATACTTTACTTTAATTTATAATATAGCAACAGAGTTGCAAATTACTAGTCAATAAATTGCTTATGTCACACAAGTGTGTGTTCTCGTGACTAAAGTAATAATTACTATACACACGCACTTGAGTGTTTCAAGTATTTTTTTCTTTTATGGAATGAAAGCTCGTAATTTCGAGATGAACAAAATTGGAATAAAGAACATTGACATAGTAATTATGTTGGGTAATAAGCATAGAAGCCTTCGGCAATATTTCGCCAATTCGTTAAATGGCTAAGTATAATGCGTGTATATCAAAGGCATAATAGTTTTCAAATTGATATATTACCAGTTTGTTTGAATGAATTAAGGCTAGTCCATAGCAGGCGAAGGAAAACATTTATAATCATATAGAGTTTTACTCAAGTCGAAATATAACATTACAATATTTTCAAAACGAAAATTTACGTTTACGTAAGTGTAAAAATGTAAACTTACGTTAAGAACCGTGTTATTGTAGACATTAAGGAAACAAATCAGGGGCGTTTTAGCACATTAAATATTGGAATGTTCAAAGCAAGTAAATTATACATTGATCCGGTATATAAACAATATATTCTAACACTTGATTTATATTAAGCAAAATCCTACTCCATTAACAAAACAGAACAAATATGTTTCATTAGGAATATATTTTTAAATATAGAGCGTTTTACAATTTGCTCAATCATAAAGACAGCAAAAGAACGACTTTATAAAGTGTAAAGAAATTACCATTTATCAGTGTTTAATCATACGTTATTGTTTAACATTAAATTATTGAGCGAAGAATAAGGATGAAATACAAACATGAGTAATGAAAAAAAACATGATAAATGCTCAAAATTATTTAACATCATATGATACACTAATGTACCCGTAAATGCATGCAAGATCACAGGTCTGTGCTCGTCGTTATAAAAAATATGGTTTTGTTTGTTTAAGAAAAATATTGAGTACGTAAACGCCAGGCTGAGACACATATAACAAGGGAGTCATGAATTGTGTAAAAAAAGTGTGAATATGATTATGTCATGTCGGTACCTACCCCCACGTGGCTACATTTCCATTACATTCAAGTAAAGTATATGAAAAAAAAACGCGTAAGATTATTAGCAAAATCGAGCTTGACCAGTAAAACCTGCCGTAATTTTAAATTAAATCTCATGCCGCCATGTATGTTGACATCTTTGTAATTTGACTAATTAATCTCCTTACAATCGTCAGGATAAACCCTCCGTTCTTTTCACAAGTGGATTATAACATATAATGTGGACTTCAGAGCTGATTTAAGGGATATTTTGAACGCAGAATAGTCGTTAATTTTCCACGTATGAAAAGGAAACTACGAAAACGTGAATGATTTCATACTATTTTCCCCCAGCATTTATGAAAAACGTTTTTACAAGGCATGTGTCCTTCTTTTCCAGGTTACAGTGATTGTGAAAGGTAATAAAAAAAAATGCATCGAAGAGAAGACGTATCAAGCCCGAAGCAATTCCTTACCAAAGCATTTCACAGATGGAACAAAGTCAAGTGGAGATAAAGAGTGTCCTACTACCGTGAAACCTTTCAGGAAAAAACGCCGTATCATGATATACATTTGCCCTTTGAAAACCAAGATTATCATAAGACAAGTGGGAAAATACCTTACTGTACACATGCGAGTACCAAAGGCCATGACTGGATATAAAACGAAAGGATTATGTCAGCGAGGCTGTCCCCCATTGGAGCAAATGAAATGGGACAAAATGAGCACGCTTGACAGGCTCATTGCATCCCTGTATAAAAAAGATCAACTCACTAAAAGAGTGCGAAGAAAACGTGAGAGAAGAGCGAGAAAACTGTGCGGGAAAGCAAACATCCGTGGTTTTTATTACAAATCGTGTTTCTTCGACATGCTGACGAGCAATGATGCAAGTTTCGTGAAAGCAGCTAAGAAAGCAATGAAAGATTTCCACACGATCAATAAAGACGACAAAGGAAGACCTATCGTCAATGAAACAGAGCGTGATTACTGGACAGGACCTTCCGTGGGAGCGATCTCATCTTCAACAAAATCACCTGATTCATCTAGTCAAGGTCTAAGTATGAGCTGGTATACCATGATGTTGTTAGTCATATCGGTGATGGGGGTGATAAACAAATAACTGGGATAGACCTCTCTTACGCAGAGGTGTATGTACCTGTATCCGTAAAGGAAGTCCAAAGAAAGAAAGAAATTTTCCCAATGTGGAAAATAATATAAGGAAAGATAATAGAAATATCTTACATGGAAAAAGATTTATAATGTGTATCGTTGCAAGGAGAGCAAAGTAAAGCAAATCGTGTGATGTGTTGGCTATGGGGAAAATTATAAGCACTTCAAAAGAAAAGAAAATAATTGGTACAGCTATTCACATACATACTGTAGAATGAACCATGATGTCTGAAAAAAGAGATAAATATTCCTTCTCCTAAAAGATCGAAAATAGAAAGCAACGAACATAGTTTGTATACCAAACGGTTTTTTTCGAATTTAAATTATTTAAATTATTGGTAGGGAACAGATGTCCAGACAGTTGTTGTAACAATAGATGTTTGTCCTTTATTGATAATTATTTTGCTAAGGCCAATATAACTAATTAACGTATGTCCCAATTTGTTGAATGATAACAGCAATTCTATAAAAGTGAAACTTGCTATGTGTAATAAGCTTAAAAACCTAAGGTTAAAACCAAATGTAGTTAAAGCGCACATTTGTATGGGCATTTTTGGATTTAGTAAAACTAAATGGTTAATCTAATAAGATGCTATCCAATTAGGAGTCTTCTACTAATTTACACATTCGTACAAATCTTTGTGAAATTGAGACAGTAAATCGCAAATAACCGCCCACTTTAATTTTGTATAACATAGACATAAATAATGTTCAGACAAACAACATTTATACCTGTAAATATGCTTGTAATTTATTCAATGGTCGCATTGTGCGAATAATATAAATTTATGAATTCATTTTTATGCAATTTTTTGAATTTTTATCAGTGAGTGTTTTTACGTGTTTAACAACCTACAGTAGATCTTCTCGGGATATGATATGATGAGATATGATATGAGAGAACAACCAACGACATTAGATACAAAAAAGAAGCTTGACAATCTTCTTTTTCATATGAATAAGAGCACAGATATCACCTAGACTGATAAACAATAAAACCAAACGAAGAAAACACACCTTTCAACAGTATGATTCTAATATCACATTAAACTTATCCGTTTCAATTTTAAATGGTTTGAGTCAGAATAAAAATCTCGTGATGCATGAAATGTTTTACTAAATAAAGTTGACCGACACTCTCAGAGGAAATCGTGCACGTACAATCATCCTTTAACGAAAGTCGCTTTCAAATCAATTTGTTTTAACTCCGTAGGAGCGGAAGCGCTTCCCAGTGTGTCCTCAGTATGACTATACAATGAAAATGCTGCGGATGGCATCAGGTTGAGCCCAAATATTTGAGATGGAATTTATCCTAACTGTGAAACAAAGGCGGCGAGCTTAGTGCTTGCTGGGTGTTTTATAGTGTTATGCAAAGGTAATATCACAATAGAAACTAACACAAAAATAGCGATCTAAGATCAGGTATGTAGGGAGCGTTTTTGGTATTAAAGCCCAATTCGCAGAACATACGTGATTAACATCGCGAGTTACTAATGCACCACGTCGAACTTTTTCCAATAATCTATTTGCAAAAGATTAGCTAACTATTTAAAGTCGATAATACTACAAAAGAAGCCGCTATGTAAATACAGGTAAATGGCATCAAAAATAGCTAAATTGCACACTGCAGCTACAGTTGTCTAGATAAGGAAAATTTTACAATATTCTCTTGTTACGGTCGCAAAAATAAGGACAAGAGACTGAACGCTGTATATGGATGATGGTGGTATAACAGAGTAAATATTAGTCAAATTTGTAAATATTCTTTATTCAAAAATCAAGAATATAGCTTTTACTTCTTTTTCAGCTTCGGTACAACAAACGCCTTCATAAAAGTCGATAGAGTTGCAGGCATTCCACTGCTACTGCGTGTTTTGTTCATTGGTAGCGTTTCCTAAACAAGAAAAGATCGGAGGTGTTTACGACACAATAAAAACCAACTCACGTGACTTAAATCAAATGTTTATTTCATTAATTTACCTGAAACACCGAACTCCAGGTATCAGAAAGCGTATTTTCTCTAACGCTATATAATGTTTTTCTTTTTTTAATGCTAGGTTTTCTTAAGCCATGAATAACATTGTTTCTATTAACAAAACATTATAGAATGCTCGGTTATAACAATGCGATAAATTGGAAATATAGAATCAAACAGGACTTACACTTTTGTCTCTATTGTGTCATTTTTAACTTTACTCATTTTGTCTTTCTTTTTGTCAACATCACGTGTCAATTTAGTTGATGCGGCGACTTTTCTTTTCCTCGTTTTTTTTTCATTTTCTTTACCAACAAAACTAAAATCTATTTCTATCTCCTTTTCACCATCAAAATTTTTCTCAGAGATCACTTCATTCACATCGCTCTCGACATCATTTTCAGTTACAAGTAACTTTTCGCGAGGTTCCCCAACATCAATTTCGTTTTTTTTATGATCAGTCAAAACGTTGTTTTCCGTATCTTTGTCCATCGTTTCGCCTTCATTTCTTCCGTGATTCACTTCTTTCTTCATGATCAAACTTTCACTTTCTTTATCGAAATGGGATTCAACTGTCTTGTCGCAAGCATCAGCTACTTCATTATCAAGATTTTCATTCCCAATCTCAATTCCTTGAATTACATCATTTTCCTCCACACAGTTTTCGTCATCTCCAACATCACCTTTCCGTAAATTTCTCTTGTCTACCACATTTTGTTCTACTAAATCTTGTTCACCACGTTCGTCAACTATTCCGTCATAAACGTTATCTTCCATTACAAAATGGCAACAACGACCACCATCATGTACATCTACATGAGACTCTTTATCCAACTCGTTGCTTATTTGAAGTGCCCCCGAAACAACATTGTGGCATTCTTTACTCTTTAGACGTGTCAATCTTCTTTCATTTTTTATAGCTCTTTTTGATGTTTTTATTTTGTTTTTCTCTCCAGGCACATCCTATACATACATCATATTGTTTTAGCCATCAGAGAAAATATGTTCACAAAATATCTTTGTTACTTACCGTGATTTTGTTATAAGATTTTGGGAAACTTTTATCACATAACAAATAAAGTTTGGTTACTAAACTTCAAGTTCTTGTTTCTTTCTGTTATTAGGTATTAGGTGGAAATATTTACACTTCCATACATATATTTCTGGCAGCAATAAATGCAATATTATATTTACAAAAAGACATGTTCATATTGAGTAAATATTATTAACACAACATCAACTTTTGCAACAACAACTTCATTAACAATGAACTTGAACAAACAAAGAATTTGTCAACAAAATAACTCAACGTGTAAACACTTAACTTTGTAAGCCAAGTATATGTCATGATTTACATATATTTCTTTCATGATTGACAAAAAGTTACTTAAAAAAATTATGGTCAGCATCCTAAATTTTTAATTAAACATTCAAATGCAAAAAGCAAATTTCCATTTTCAAAAACGTGCAAAGGCAGGCTAGCAGTAAATTTCTCTATCATGTTGACATACATCATGATGTAATGTCAGTCATATCAAAAACTTGTTTCATTGGAGTCAAAAGTTATCAATGTTTTTAGCAAATCAATTTGAGGCTGATAGGAGAGCCTCTTAGGGAGCTTTTATGGATATTGTATTCACGGTGTTATTGTTGCTGTAAAAAGACTTTAATTTTTTAATTTTTGTGCCACATTATCATGACTAGTTAGACTTGTTGGAGAATGTTTTGGTAAATGGTAAAATAATCTCTAAGACTAAATACCAAAATACTAAATATAGACAGCAAATCAATACTTCTTACTTCATCAAGTAATCAAATTCAGTTGAAGGAAATCAAAGAGTTTTACTAACACTTACAGAAACTCAATAACTCAACAAAAAGAAATTTATGCATATTCAACATTATGCGTCCTATAAATAAATAACTGAACAGACCTTTGATTGCTGCAACCTTTTCAAATGTTCAATTTCTTTCGTCAGTGTTAAGATACAAGTATCTCTTTCATTTATCACATTATCTTTATCCTCCTGAAATCCAATATTCAATTATCATAACCAAACTAATGATCAGTAGAAATGGTCATGATGAACTGCATAAATATAGAAAACCTGGAGTGAAGATATTCTCTTTAATAACATATTTTCTTTGTCTCTGTATTCAGCTTCAAGCTTTGATGAATGCTCCTTTGACTGTTTGGCTAATAAGCTTTGTTTCTTTTGAAGGTAAAGAGATGCATTCTAAAACACAGTACAAATGAGACAATGTTGTTGTGTGCATGTTTTTCAAAACTGTATTTTTAAAAAAAGAACTTATAGTATAAACAGTTAAACAGATCTACAAGCAAACTTCCTGAGCTTATCTAGTATGTGCAAATATATTCACAATACTTCACCTGAGCTTGTTTAAGTTGTTGAGCGATAGCTTTGTTTTCGTACTCTACGGTAATTCTTTTTTCTTCCTCAATTCTAGTGTGATACTCGAGAATTGCTATTCTACAATACAGAGAATTCTCCCGTACTTTAAGTTTGCATTTTTCATAGTTTGCCTCCAAATATTTCAGTTTACATGTCAACCGACTGTCGGCCATGTTCATTTTTGAAATTCTCCCGCCTTCCGCCTGCCTCGTCCAGGGAGCTGCGGGTGGATATGATTTGTGCAGGCTATTATTGCACACTTTCGCAAATTATTCGAAGTTTTTGATCACGATGAAAGGGGCCGAAGTGTTTCGTTTTTTTTTTGCTTTTGTTGCTCTTGCACTGGATTTGCATCGCATTGAGTGTCTCGATAATGGTCTATCGTTGACACCGCCAAGTTAGTCACGTCATAGTTTGATTTATCAATTTTTTTCGCACACTTTGTGCTGTTGATGGTATACATCATACATCATACATGCAGTGAGCCAAAGGTTAAATATGGCTTCTTTATATTCCAGTGGGGTGGATGGCTTGGGAGCGATTTCGATGCAACACTGACTGCAAAAACTTTCCTGATACCTGCATAAGGTGAGACTGTATCCATAAACATCAATGAAAATCAACTGTAGTCATCTTCTAGTTCTCGACTTTCATCGATATACTTAGTGAAAAGTTATTCATGAACATGGCTGACAGGATGGCAGAAGATGGTTTCAGAGATGCGGGATATGAATTCATTAGTATTGATGTAAGTGAACTCTTTCATAGATGACAGCTGAATAGTTATGGTTATTCCTTCCAAAACATTGTTTCTTCAAAAGGATTGTTGGATGGAGAAGACACGGGACAGCAAAGGAAGACTTCAAGCAGATAAAGAGAGATTTCCCAGTGGAATAAAGGCACTAGCTGATTATGTAAGCATGATGAATTTGATGTAGATAGCACAATAAACAAAGAAGAAAACATAAAGCTGTGTTTCACGTAGATCCATTCTAAGAAACTAAAGTTAGGAATCTATGCAGGTACAATTAACAGAAGAAAAATTCTCTCAATTGTCACAGATAAATATCTCTTATTAAGTTGTCCTTGTCTATAAGATTATGGAACACATACATGTGCTGGATATCCAGGTAGCATAGACAACATGGTATTGGATGCACAGGTACGTTGGCTATTAATCACAGCTTGTTTAACAAAGAGGTGGAAGACCATAAATTGACAGTTTTGACACTTTTTAGACATTTGCTAACTGGACTGTGGATTATTTAAAGTTTGATGGATGCTATTCTGATCCAAAGACAATGTCAAGTGGTTATCCTAAAATGACGAAGGCCTTAAATGCCACCAAGAGACCCATTGTATTCTCATGTAGTTGGCCTGCATATTGGAATCCTAAGGTAGATCTTAGTGATATGCTCCTGTCTGTGGTGTGTGCTTGCAATGATGAAATGCCTTCCTTATATGTTACTCAATATTACAGCCAGATTATATGGTTGTGGCAAAGTATTGTAATCTATGGAGGAATTATAATGACATCCAGGTAATTGTGACAAGCTGTATTATCATATGGGCCACGTTACAGGCAAATTTTTCATTTCCCTAGGACTCATGGGACAGTGTTGTTGATATCATTGATTATTATGCTGCTAATCAAGAGGAGCTTATTAAAGCTGCTGGTCCAGGTCATTGGAATGATCCAGATGAGGTTGACTATTGTTGTCCTATTTCAACCACTATTTGCATCGTTGTAACACAATTTATGTTTGTATTACAGCTTATAATTGGAGACTTTTCGTTGAGTTTTGAACAGAGCAAGTCACAATTTGCAATTTGGTCTATCATGGCATCTGTATGGCTTAATTTAACAATTATCGAGGATAACTTTGTCTTTTTTTCATCTGCTTTTTTCTTCTTTTTTAGCCTTTAATAATGTCGAACGATCTGCGCAGTCTCACCCCAAGATTTAGAGACATACTTTTAAACAAGTAAGTATTTCAGTTTACGGTGTGCGCAAGAAATGTAGCTAATTTGACGTCAATTTAGTTTCATTTGCATTTTTTTTCGACTTTAAGGGAAGTGATTGCTGTAAACCAAGATAAACTTGGAGTGCAAGGGAAACGTGTTTTTAAGGTTTTACGCATAAATATTATTGCCTGGAATTTTTCCCCTTTCTCTGAGAAAAATTTTTCTATTGTCTTACGTAGTCTACGGATCATTATGAAATATGGTGTAAGCCTTTAGCAGATGAATCAGTTGCCGTTGTTGTCTTCAGCCGCAGAACGGACATGCCTTTAGAGATTTCATTTTCATTTAAAACTGTTGGTTTTCCTGCAACTTCGGCAAGCGTTAGAGACCTCTTTGAAAAAATGGATGTTGGCGTATTCAATAATGCATTTCGGTGTTTGGTTAACCCTAATGGCGTGCGCATGTTCAAATTGCTGCAAGTTGACGCGTTCTCGTGAGGCGTTTCACTTTGTAATTGATAAATTCCAATAATAGACATTAAGTAGAATTTTAAATGTCTGAAAATTGTGCCTTAGTGATAAACGTAAAGACGTTAACTATTCTCACGTTACAAATCCACAATAAATCTTGTCTGTCCATATTTAGGTAATTTCAATTAGGTAATTAGCAAATGTAATATGATTCAAAATTGAAATAAATGTTCGTATCAAAACAAAACAAAACAAGACATTTATTGCCTATTACATGTCTTTTTAGAGTAAATACTTAGGAAACTTTTTTGTGTATGTATTTAAAATTTCACCACAATCAAATACGATATTTAAATCTACCATGTTTTCAATTTCCGTTGCAAAATGTGTCATATGCGCATAAAATGTGTTGAAAGTTTAATTAATGACACCTTGATCACGCTGTTGAAAACTAAGCTTGCCATAAGGTGAAAGTTTTATGTCAAAATGTCTATTTTGAATGTATGTTTCTATTTTTCTCTCCTTTTAAATTGAATTTGCAAAAAATTCACTACTGTACACCATTAATTTATTTGTCCAACGCATTTTATGTTAATTGATTAGCTTTCCTCTTATTGCTTAGCTCATAGATATCCTTAAGGTAATTAGACGGATATTTATACATGGCAACGTCAACCAAGTTTCCCAGTATAACTTCTATAATTTATATTAGATTAATATAAAATGTGTCTTAATATGAGATCAAGAGTGCCAATCCTGGAAGGGAAAGAGAGGATGTGTACCCCTTGTTTTTAGAAAATAAACGATTTGAAATTTCTGTATAGGATGTAGAATTTTTGAAAAGACTGGGAACAACTGTAGCAAAGAATATTTTCAATCGTTTATCAAAAGAGTGCTGTTTACCAAAAGTATGAGAACCACGGTGACAGAGAGACCTCAAGATATGTATTGATCAAAAAGAAAGAAAGATTGTTAATGATCAAAGGAATTTTTTTTGGTTTCATTGAAGTATAATGTACCAGAACCAGAAGATGTTCCAGCATTTGAAATCAAAGTTGATGTTCGTACTCGACGATCTTTACCAGAAGAAGCAAACTCAGCTTGTTATCCAGTGAAACTTGAAATCAAAGTAATGTAAGTAAAACATTATGATATTTTTAGTGCATGGATGATGGTAAAATGAAGTAAAAGAAACACTGTATGATAGAAAGATTTTAAAATGCCTTCAAGATGGTTGAAAGAAGATGTTTCCAATATGGCTGTTGTCGATGTCAAGTTGATGACTGGGTTCAGCGTGATTGAAGCTTCTTTAAAGAAGGTGAGTTTAAGATGTTAAAAATTGACAAGCATATTCCATTTCATCAAACTTAGAGTTTGACAAAGTTGTTCTTATTTAGCTGCGAGTTGACAAAAATTTGAACTTCAAACGTTATGACATCGATGCACAAAATGTTCAACTTTACTTAGACGAGGTTTGTCAAAAGGTTGTTAAAGTTTATGATTACTATGAGCCAGGTATGAAGTAGAAATGTATGACCAAATTTGAACAATGAGATTTATTAAATAATGCCGTGAAACATATTGTTTCATTGAAGAAAAATGAACTGTATGACTGATGTCTACCAATGGGAAATGAATCTCTTAAATGATAATTTATGATTTTAACATTATCTACATTTCAGTGACACGAATGACGTCAAGGAATGGCCATTTAATGGTTATAAAAGCATTTTCTCGTGACACAAAGAAAAAGAGAAAGAAAATAATGAAGAAAGAATTAGAATATCGTGTTTCTGATTTCTGTCCTTGCGATGAAATTTATGAAGGAGAACGTTCTATTGTGATTGGTGGAAACAGTTATTTTAAAGATACTGAAGGTGAAAAGATTATAATGAAACCAGCCATGAAAAAAATGATGAAAATGCTGAAAAATTGCTGACGTCGTGAAATGTAACAGAGTAGAAGTTGTAGACTCTGAACGCAACTATTTCCTGTTGTGCCTATTCTGAAATGTATTATTTGTTATTATAATGTGCTTTTGTGTTTATATTTGTTGTCAATATAATATGTTTACGTCCATTCTATGGTGAGTGATTATCAATAAATTGCAACATAATATATATGACGTCATAAAGGCTACTCCTAGGGATTAGTTACATGATGAAATACGTATTTCCCCTTTTGGCGCAGTTATAAATTTGATGTTAGCAACCACTTTTATGCATTTGCGAAGAAAGTCGATCTCCTCGAAGGGGAACAGATTCAAAATGATTCGAGGAATATTATTGCTGTCATTTTTCATCGCGGTTTGCAGGTTTGTTTAGTATATAGTAATATCAACTGGCAAAACTATTTTATACCTGCAGTTATATTAAATATTTATCATAATGCGCGCGATAATTTCATCGAGCACGTATTCAAACAGCATGCGCGACAAGTTTATGATAGTTTTTGTACATCGGACTTCGGAGTGCAATCCTATTGATTTAAATTTTGATTCGCAAGATAATATACGGTAAGATCATGCAAAACAATGTTGTATCGTCAAACTTTCATCGTTCAATAAAATGTTTCAAAACTGCTCTTTTCATACCGTTACTTTCTCGTTAATCTTAGATTACGTGCATTGGGAAACTAATCACAAAGCCTTTGCTAGAAAATTTCTTTTCATTAGAATATATTTTTGCTGCGTACAATATGACACCATCAAAATAAGCCTCGCGTTGAAAGCTCAGCTCGCGTCTCCCAGGATTTGCTAAAACAGTATTTTGTAAATTTTGCCATGATAAAAAAATCTTTTACTTCGAAAACTACGCAACATCCCATCTTTTTACCATCTTTATGAGAATATAGCATGGGTCATAGCAAACGTTTGAGCATTTTTATCGAGACTATTTAAATGTTTTTAAGCTACATATCTGTTGTGATGTCTTCCCAATCTGCTTCGTAGGTGACATTACCAAATATGTGGTTACCCTGATGGATTTGTCAACACTTATAAAGAACACGTTTTTCCTGCTGATTTCCGGTGCTTAGTAGACTGTTTGAAAGATATGAGGACTTTAATTAAGGCTAAATAAACATTATTTTTGTCGCAACATCGCATGTATGACAAGAAACACAATGTATTTTGGATCTGTTGTATAAACAATTTTCCAAATTAATGTTGATTTATTCCGTATGTATTTTTATCACAAAGACAAGTTATTCAAACTAGTGATTTGCAGTGCAGAAAAAGGAACGTTTATTTATTTATCATTCTCCTCTATAGGAGGTGTTTTCAAAAACGTTTTTCTTTTTTTCATAGAACAGTTGAATTTGGAGATAACCTTTACCTTATCACATCACCATATACATATCCCGCTGACAAAAATGTAACAGTGACTGTGGATGTTTTTGGTTCAAAATCTTGTAATGTCACACTGCGACTAAAAAAAGGAAACATTCATATTACAACTGGAGGAACTGTAAAACCTGGAGTGAGAGGAGAATTTACTTTAAAAGTGAGAAATTGAACGTAATTTGTGCTATTGAAATATTTATAGACTATGCATTGAAATGGTTAGAGACATGTCGAATTTTTTTGCAGTTAATACTGAAACACTGTGAAGCAATTAGGAGAACTAGCATTCATTGTACAATCAATACAATAGGCTTTGAATTTTAAATCATATCTTTTACTAGATACCATCTCATCAATTACACCGTTACCATTGGAGAAATACGTTTGAGTTCACCGCAACCATCTGTGGAGAGAAGACAAAGACTAAAAGGGTGCGTGCAGTGGCTACCAAGAAGAGCATTATTTTTATCCAAACTGATAAACCTGTTTACAAGCCAGGACAAAAAAGTAATTTTTTTAATATGCTTAACATTCTCGATTTTTCAGTGCTCAAATTTCGGCACCAAACAGTTTGAGGCCTTAGACATCTAATTAGACATTTTCGACTCAGACGGACCATCTACTATTTTTCAATACAATTTATAAGAAATGTTAGAAAATTTTAGGAATGCCAATGTTTATTTTGTATTTAAATAGACAACGAATCGTCTTTCTTTCAATTGTGTAGTTCGAATGCGCATAATATCTTTGGATAAAGATTTGAAACCCAAAGGAGAAAGAGTTAGTCAAATTGTTGATATTGTGGTTTGTTCACTTCCACCATGAAAAGCAATGTTGACTTTTACAAATATTTTTTAGGTGGACAAAGTTTATGTGGTAAGAACAATATTGCTTATAGTCATTAATTGTTTGCATACTTTCATGTAAAAAAATTTGAAAATTTAACGGTTGATTGTGTCTCTATGTGATTTCAATTGTCATTAAAAAGACAGCTTCTTCCACAAGAATCAAACAATGGAATAATATAACAATGGAAGACGGACTGGCAAGTTTGGAGATGCAATTATCAAAAGAACCAGTAGAAGGAGATTACAAAATAACAGCTATTGTTGGTGTAAGTTTTTAACTAAGACTTGTAATCAAAAGGAAATGGACAGAAAAGATTTGCTTTTTACTTTGATTTAATATAGATAGAAAAAAAAGTTCAAAAAATCGTCGTCAAAAAATATGGTAAGTCAAAACAATTTGTTAAAAAAGTTGAATAAAAGTCGTCACTTTTCATTTGCATTAAAATGGTTTATTTTTAAAAAATTTTGCAGTTCTTCCGAAATTTGAAGTGAAGATTACACCACCATCATATATAGCTTTGGATCAGAAAAACTTTGACACAAAAATATGTGCAAAGTAAGTAAAAATATTTTTAACTAAAACATGATCACATTTATGTGGAAGCACGCACTATGTGTGTCAAAAAAATACTAAAATGCCATTATTTTACCAGTCATTGAAATCACAGTAACAGTGTTCGTGTAACTTTGGTCGTTTATAGGTATACTTATGGAAAAAATGTGAGAGGAATTTTGACTGCAGAAATATGTTTGAAGCAACGAGGATATCGATGGTTAAGAAACCCCTACACAGCCTGTCAGACGATTACAAAGGAGGTGTGAAAGTATCTTCTGAATCTATAATAATCAACATTTGACTAGTGATCTTCGCCCTAGCGCAAGAAAAATTCATAAAGTAAAAATATGATTTTCCTCTAGATTGATGGCTGTACTGATATTGTTACAACACGTGAGGCTTTGAATGTTGCTGATTTGATGAATATATGGAATGCTGAATTTGTGATTAAAGCGAAAGTTAATGAAAATTTAACTGGAGTGACACTTGGAGGCCATGCAGAGACAACACGGTTTTATGAACGGTCTGTGTTGTTATCCTTTGCTGGAAGTTCAGAAAAGTTCAAACCTGGTTTACCATACAAATATGTGGTATGTGAATTTTAAATAGTTGATTGATTACTTGAACAAAGAGTTTTAATTATTTTTTTTTAATGAAAGAGAGATTATTTCTATCGGAGATTTTCTTTTCCAAGCTTAAAGTGACTCAACCTGACGGAAACCCAATCACAGGAGCAAATGTTCGTGTCAGTGTAAAGCAACGCCATTCCGGATCAAAGATTTACGAGAGAAACTTCACCGTAAAAAACGGTTTTGTTGACGACGTTCTGGAGAGCAAAACTTTAAATTCAAATAACCTTGTGTTTAGGGTAGGTAGGAAAAGAGTTTTGATAGACAAAAATTATACTGAATTAAAATTAATGTGAATACAATCATATTGTTTATCGTCATTTTTCCATGTGCGAGAAGTAAATTGGAAAACTGTTATATTCAGGCTGAATTATTGGATCCAAGTCCATATTCAATTGAAAAAAACAGCCGAGTTTCTGCTTATAAATCCGTAGAACCATGGTATTCGCCAAGCTTTAGTTACCTAGAGATAATTAAGGAAACAAAGACTCCAGTTAAGGTACATTGTAAAATTAAATTACTTTGTAATTGTTCGTGAACAATCTTTGCAATTTATTGGTTTATTATTATTTTTACATTGCTGTAACATGTAAATTATCACTTTTGGGATCTAGATTGGCAAAGAAGCTCCTCTTATTGTCCGTTACACAGTACGAAATGACACGGGAAAAGACGTCAAATTTTTATACACTGTAAGTTATTAAATTAACTTAATAAAAAGTTGATTGATCTTACAATTATAAAATTAATAATTTCTATTCATTGCATATATGTGATAATGAAGATGTCCATTTAAATATTTTACCAACGTTGTTTAGGTGAAATGTAGAGACTTTACGAAAAGTGGAGTGTATAATGTAACCCATGACTATATTAAGGAGATTAAGAATACAGAAAGTCCATTAACAACAACCATGACAACAATAATGGACACAGACTTAACAACAGACGAAACAATGTTCAATACAGAAGCAACAACACCACCACAATTGTTAATCAAACGAAGACGTAAGCCTGATGTAGTTTACACAATGGACTCAAAGCCAATTGTCGAGAAATTTCAGTTAAAGATTCCAGTGACAATAGACATGATGCCATCGTGTCATGTGATCGTTTACTACGTAAGAAAAGACAAGGAAGTTGTAGCTGATTCACTTAATTTTGATGTTGAAGATAAATTAAAGAATGAGGTAATGATTTTAATTTTTATCTCTGATGCAGATGTATGTTGTAGGTGTTTGATCGTTTTCAGCTGTTTTCACTGTGTTTTTAATAAAAAAAAAACTTCAAATCTATCTACTATTTCACTGCTTCAGGTGTCAGTAAGTTTTGAAGAAAAAGAGAAAAAACCAGGTGAAAAAACAAACTTCATATTGAAAGCTTCACCTGGATCACGGGTTGCCTTCGTTGCTGTAGATAAAAGTGTTCACTTATTGAAAGATGGAAACGAGTTGACGAAAGAAAAGGTAGAATTATTTATGAGATATTTATCATATAAAATATAGAACATTCGAGACTTTGCAACAACAACAAAGGAAATAGATACCTTTAGGAATGTTCAAAAGAAGCCTTTTTGATGACAAGTAAAGATCTAATATTGAAATGTTTTTGTTTTAGATTCGTCCATTTCTTAAAACATATACACGAGCTGCTCCAGAGGCTTGTGATTATTGGTTTTGGGGAAAAAGAAAGCGTAGCATAGCACCATACTGGGATAGTTCCTACCATGATGCTTCATATGCTTTTAGTGTAAGAATTTTACATGAAAATGTTTTTAATCTAGTTTATATCGTTCATTTGTGGATAAGTGTAAATGAAAATGAAAATTTCTTGACTTCCGAAAAGCATTCAACATGTGCAAAATTTAGTAATAATTTTAAATCGCTTAGTTTGAGTTTTTCTAAAGAGATCTTTAAGTGAATCAACATCAAAATTAAGTGAATCAGCTACAACTTCCTTGTCTTTTCTTACGTAGTACACGATCTCTTTATCTCTTGAAGATTTTTTCTAAAAAATTCTTCACCTTAAACCATTTTTATATCATAAATTTATTGAATAATTTGTAAGCTTACTTTTAACTTTATTTTTACTTCTGACTTTTATTTTGAACAAACTTATCAAACATCACAACATTGCATTATTGAAAACACAAGCCTCGTGGTTGATGTTCACTCATATATCAGGATTCGGTTTCACCATTTAAATTGTAAAGTTCCAACAAACTTCAGAAATAAATAATATCACTCGTAATTTTTTTGTTGAATACTTTCCTTTAATGCATTCATTTCTTGCACAGTTTTGAATTATATTTCAGAATGTTGGTTCAGTATATCTGAGCAATTTACAAGTGGAAACAAAGTCTTGCCCAAAAATTGTACCAATTGTACCAGTCAGTCTATCATTAAGTAGAGGTGAGTAAATAGTTTTAACTTAGTTGTTTAAAACGTAAAATGTTTAGTAAAAATTAATGAGATGCAAATAAACAAATGTGTGTATAAGTTTTAATACTTCATTTTCTTTCAAGTAGTAGTATATGAGCGTGTAACAGAGGGAATCATGGTAAACAAAATGATTTATTATTTATTTATTTAACTTTGCTATACTGTTGGAAAATCGCAACAGATTTGGCCTATTACAGCGATCCTTAATCTTATTACAGCGATCCTTAATCTTATTACAGCGATTCAAGAACAAACGTCCGAGAGTTCGAAAAAATTTTCCAGAAACATGGTTGTGGGCTGACGAGAAAATTGGGTGAGTCAAACATCTTCCTACATAAATCTCTCGCCACTTCACAATTTTTCCAAACATACGACATCATTAAAAAATACATTACAGAGAAGGGAAATAAAAAACAGCTTTATTGATGAAGTGTATAATTTCAGTGAAACTGGTGAGAAAGTTGTTCAAATAACGGTACCTGATACCATTACAACATGGGTAGCAAATGGTTTTGCAATGTCATCAAAAAAAGGATTGGGAATTTCTGATACAGCAACAATAAAGGCATTTCAACCATTCTTCGTTCAAATGACGCTACCTTACTCTGTAATCAGAGGAGAAGAAATTCCAGTTACCGTAACAGTATTTAACTATCTTTCTGCCTGCACAGGTGTAAGTAAAGTCTTTATGTTGTCTTCGTTATAACGCTGTGGTCGTGAATTTTTGATCGCTACTTCATCAATGTTTTGCTACAAAGCTACCAATGTCACATTGGTAAATTCTTTGTTATTTAAGATCCGACTTCAGTTAAATCATCGATCACTCGACTATAAAGTGACGTCATATCACATCCAAAAGCTCTGCGTGTGTGGTGATTCAGGTCAATCTGTCAAGTTTAGTATCATTCCTCTAAAACTCGGTCACATTCCTCTCACGGTCACAGCAACGTCATCATCAGCCAAGTTATGTCCAAGTTCTTCTGTGATTGTACAAGATGCAGTCACTAGGAAACTTTTAGTGGAGGTAAACTATGATACAAATGTGTCATTTTTGTATTATCTATTTTTACAGACATTAAATTATATTTTTCAGCCTGAAGGAATTCGAAAAGAGTACACTCAAAGTACATTTTTTTGTCCTAAAGGTATTGAGAAAAAAATTCTACTTTAAATAACATCCTGTAGTTTAAGTAAGAAAAACTATATTTCTTTTTGTAGACAAGGAATATTCAGAAGTATTTGATCTTAAATTACCAAAAAATATAGTTCCTGGTTCAGTCTATCCTACAGTGACTATCATTGGTATGTTAGTATGACATTTAATAAAACATGTAGTATTCATACAAACGTAATTATACACTGTGATTTTAAGGCGATATTATGGGTCCTGCTTTAAACAATTTGGAAAATCTACTGCGCATGCCTTATGGATGTGGAGAACAGAACATGGCCAACTTTGCACCCAATATTTACATCATGGATTATCTTAAGAAAACTGGTCAAATTACTGAGAGCATAAAAGAAAAAGCTGTTAACTTTATGGAAATAGGTTTGTCACATTGGTTGAAAAAATATATACAAACAATAAAATCAAATCTCAACAGATTCAGTTGTTCTTAAATTTAAAGAAAATCTTAAGATGCACATGTTGTTTTATTCAGGTTATCAAAGAGAATTAAGATACAAGCGAGACAGTGGTTCATACAGTGCCTTTGGTAATAGTGATGATGCAGGAAGCATGATGTATGGTTATTTAATGTGGTTTTTTAATGGAAATGGAGTCATTTTCATACGTAAATTTCTCATTCAATATTTTCTCTATAGGTTGACAGCTTTCGTTGTTCGATCATATGCCCGTGCAAGGAAGTATATTTTTGTTGATGATAATGAAATAAAAGACAGTGTGAAATGGTTTGAAAATAAACAAAAGAAAAATGGATGTTTCCCACAACATGGACGACTCTTTCATCGTGGATTACAGGTGATTAAGACTTAACAAATGATGTATATAAGAGACACGCCATGTAAACAGAAGAAATGTTTATGTTTTTTAGGGTGGTGTTGATAGTGAAGTTACTCTTACAGCATATGTAACAACTGCATTACTTGAAGCTGGATGGTCAACCAACGTAAGTTATGTACAATAATTTATCATTGTTAAGTACAAAACATTTACAGTTTTTTATTATTTAAGTCTACAATAGTTTCCAAAGCATTATCATGCATTGAAAATCATCTGGAGTCTATCAATGATACTTATGCAACTGCTCTCATATCTTACACCTTTGCTTTGGCTAAACATAATGAAACTTTAAACATGTTGACATTGTTGAGAAGAAAAGCGATAAAGAACGGTGAGTCATTAAAGAAATTTGTTTACTTAGATACTCGCATACAGAAACTATGAAAAAACATGTCAAACTGAAATTTAGCATTTACAAAAGCGAAATCATAAAATGCCACGTATAAAGAGATTGCACCAGAAGAAGACAAATGAGATCTTACACCCCATTACTGGGGAACCGATAAATAGAAAATTTGTTGATTTGATAAAGGAAATGAAAGATACAAAAAATTGTACAGTAATGTTCAAATAAAACGAAATGTTTTCAAGTAGATTTTAAAATTTATCCTCTGAACGAAGAGAAACAATTTAACCATTTCTCATGGCGAGCAAAACTTTTGTTACTTCAAAGAGTGGTTGCTCTCAAAATGTTGCTTGAGTCTCAGCTTTTTTACAACATGTCTTGGCTGTGTACGAACCTAGCAATTCAACGTTGTTAGGCACCTCAGTCTCCTTGTCTCCCTGACAGAGAATCTTCTCTTTGCATGTTTAATGCATAAATATTTTCAAATAAAATTTTGTAAAATATTAACGATGCAACAAATACTGCTGGAAATACAATGGACTCTTAATTTTACCAGGTGACTTGATGTACTGGAAGAATAACAACGCCAAACCACAGTCGACATATTCTTATTACTACAAACCATCTGCAGAAGTTGAAATGACGGCATACGCCTTGTTGACTATTCTTGAGTACAATAAAGATAATTTTGTGTTGAATGACGAGTTAATGGATATTATTCGTTGGTTATCCAAACAAAGAAACCCATATGGTGGCTTTGCTTCCACTCAGGTACAACTTAAACATCAGTAAAATAAGAAAGATGTGTATGAGAGGTAGAAAATTTTAAACAACATTTTCGTTGTATTTTCAGGATACTTGTGTTGCTTTACAAGCTTTAGCTATCTTTGCTGGAAAAGCTTACGGATCCAATGCTGACTTTAGATCAACTTTGTTATCAGGATCATTGAAGATGGGCAACTATTATAAACATGACTTTAGTATTACACAGGAAAACAAACTAACATTACAAATGATTGAGTTACCACCAAAAATAGTTCCTGGAAAGTTGAAGTTGTCAGGTCAAGGCAAAGGTTGCGCTTTAACACAGGTACTTCTTTAAAGAGATTTAAGTGATGTACAAATTTTAGCATGGCATCATAGTATAGGATGCAGATTTGTGTAAGACAGCAAATAACTTTGGTAAGGAATATTTTCAACTGAATTATGATCGTTTATAAAAGGAGCTGTTTACTAAAAATATGAAAATAACGGTGACAGAGAGACCTCAAGATAAATATTTATCAAAAAGTAACATTACTGACTATTCAATGGAATTTTTTCAGGTTTCATTGAAGTATAATGTACCAGAACCTGAAGATGTTCCAGCATTTGAAATCAAAGTTGATGTTCGTACTCGACGATCTTTACCAGAAGAAGCAAACTCAGCTTGTTATCCACTTAAACTTGAAATCAAAGTAAAGTAAGTAAGACATTATGAAAGTTTTAGTTCATGGATGATGTTACAGAAGTAATTAAGTAAATGTAATGAAGTTAATGAAGTTAATGAAATAAAAGAAATACTATATGATAGAAAGTTTTTAAAATGCCTTCAAGATGGTTGAAAGAAGATGTTTCCAATATGGCTGTTGTCGATGTCAAGTTGGTGACTGGGTTCAGCGTGATTGAAGCTTCTTTAAAGAGGTGAGTGTAGGACGCTTAAAATTGACAAGCATATTTCATTTGATCAAGCTTAAAGTTTGACAAAGTTGTTGTTATTTAGCTGCAAGATGATAAGAATTTGAACTTCAAGCGTTATGACATCGATGGACAAAATGTTCAACTTTACTTTGACGAGGTTTGTCAAAGGTTTGGTCAATGACCTTTATCATCTGAGAATACAATTATTGATTTTTATATTTGCAGATAAAGAATATTACTTTCTCCATTGATATACACCAAGACACTTTGGTAAAAAAACTAAAACCTGCAGTTGTTAAAGTTTATGATTACTATGAGCCAGGTATGGAGTAGAAATGTATCTTAAGAAATGATGATTAAATAATGTTATGATGAAGTTTCATTATCTGATGCATTTGCTGGTTTGTTAATGTAGAAAGACAAGCAAAAGTTATGTATAAGATAAGAGAGGCGGATTGCTACGGAAACAGAAGTAATTATTTGAAAATTTTATCTATATGTCTTAAAAAAAGTTGTCTAAATATAATTTTATTGCTGTTTTTAGTCATTAGGGAATGTCCAAGATGTTTGACACTACCTGATATACATAAAGAGATCAAAACTACATTGGCATGCAACAGTACTGGTAAGTGCAATTATTTAGTAAACATGTTATTTCATTGAAAAAAATGCACTATATAACTGATGTCTACCACTTTGAAAATGAATCTGTTAAATGATAATTTATGATTTTAACATTATCTACATTTCAGTGACACGAATGAGGTCGAGGAATGGCAGTTTAATGGTTATAAAAGTATTCTCTGATGACACAAAGAAAATGAGCAAGAAAATAATGAAGAAAGAATTAGAATATCGTATTTCTGATTTCTGCCCTTGCGATGAAATTTATGAAGGAGAACGTTCTATTGTGATTGGTGGAAACAGTTATTTTAGAGATATTGAAGGTGAAAAGATTATGATTATGTTGGATGGTGAGACGACAATCCTCAAATATACAGGAAAATCAATGAAACCAAAGATAAAGAAAATGAAGAAAATGTTGAAAGCTTGCAGACGTGGCGGAATGTAATATGAACAATGTAAACGAAAGGAGAATTTTTAAGCACTAAATATTGCCATTTTTCGCTTTGCTTACTATCAAATGTTTTGATTTTCATGTTTTGTTTTGATGTTTTATTTCTCATTATTTTTAGTTTTTATCAACATAATTATATACCTCTACTCTGTATCAATTATACTTGATCATCAATAAATTGCAACATCTATATATATATAGCTACGATGTTATGAAAGCTACGCTTGGCGATCAGTTACATGTTGAAATACGCATTTCCTCTTTTTGTGCGGTTTTAAATTTTATATGAACAATAACTTTAATGCATTTTTGAAGAAAGTCACTTTTTCTAGAAGAAAACCTGATTCAATAATTAAAACGTTTTGACTAATATTATTTCTGTTAGTTTTTATCGTATTGTTCAGGTTTAGTTTAATACATTGATGTTCGAGTGCCACTACATACATGTGTATAGTAGCACCGTAAGAGATAGTCAAGACTTTTCACTGACAGTAATGTTAATTAACATAACTGTTATATATCTGCAGTTATATAAAAAATTTGTAAGAATGCGCGCCATCATTACAAATATTTTCCATTACTGCGTGCAATAAGCGATGTATTGAAAGAGCATGTGCGATTAGTGAAGTTTTTTTTCTAAGAATACAATCTTGCATGTTTGTAAACCATTTACTTTAATACAATCTTGTTCGTGCATGATTTGAGTCACAAGATGGCATACTGTGAGGTAAAGCAAAACAGTATTATATTTAATCTTAAATTACGTGCATTGGGAAGTAATACAAACAACATTTTCGTTGTATTTTCAGGATACTTGTGTTGCTTTACAAGCTTTAGCTATCTTTGCTGGAAAAGCTTACGGATCCAATGCTGACTTTAGATCAACTTTGTTATCAGGATCATTGAAGATGGGCAACTATTATAAACATGACTTTAGTATTACACAGGAAAACAAACTAACATTACAAATGATTGAGTTACCAGCAAAAATAGTTCCTGGAAAACTGAACATATCAAGTCAAGGCAAAGGTTGCGCTTTAACACAGGTACTTCTTTAAAGAGATGTAAGTGATATACTATTTTAAAGATTTTCGAATGGCATTCAAGCATAGGATGTAGAAAATTTGAACAGCATGAAACTTTGGCGGAGCATATTTTTAACTAAATGATCGATTATAAAAGAAGCTGTTTAATAGAGATATGAAAACAACGTTGACAGACAGATCACAAAATAAATATTGACCAGAAAGAAACATTAATGATTATTCAATGAATTTTTTGGTTTCATTGAAGTATAATGTACCAGAACCTGAAGATGTTCCAGCATTTGAAATCAAAGTTAATGTTCGTACTCGACGATCTTTACCAGAAGAAGCAAACTCAGCTTGTTATCCACTTAAACTTGAAATCAAAGTAAAGTAAGTAAGACATTATGAAAGTTTTAGTGAATGGATGATGTTAAAATGAAGTAAAGGAAACACTGTATGATAGAAAGTTTTTAAAATGCTTCAAGATGGTTGAAAGAAGATGTTTCCAATATGGCCATAGTCGATATCAATTTGGTGACTGGGTGCAGCGTGATTGAAGCTTCTTTGAAGAGGGTAAGTTTAAGAACTTAAGAAAATGATTATTTTATATTCAAACAAACTTTGAGTATCATAAAGATTTTGGTATTTAGCTGCAAGATGATAAAAATTTGAACTTCAAACGTTATGACATCGATGGACAAAATGTTCAACTTTACTTTGACGAGGTTTGTCAAAAGGTTTGGTCGATCACCTTTATCATCTGAGATAACAATTATTGATTTTAATATTTGCAGATAAAGAATATTACTTTCTCCATTAATATACACCAAGACACTTTGGTAAAAAAACTAAAACCTGCAGTTGTTAAAGTTTATGATTACTATGAACCAGGTATGAAGTAGAAATGTATGACCAAATTTGAACAATGATATTTATTAAATAATGCCATGATGAATTTTCTTAATCTGATGAATTTTGTTGCTTTGTTAATATAGAAAGCCAAGCAAAAGTTATGTATGAAATAAAAGAGGCAAATTGCTACGGCAACAGGAGTAAATATATGAAAATTTTAACGTATATATCTCAAGACAACTTTCCTAATTGTAATTTTTTTATTGTTTTTAGTCATTGATGAATGTCCAAGATGTTTAACACTGCCTGACATACATAAAGTAATCAAAGCTACAATAGCATGCAAAAGTACTGGTAAGTACAATTATTTAGTAAACGTTTTATTTCATTGAACAAAAATGCACTATATGACTGATGTCTATTAATGTGAAAGTGACTATAACATAATTTATAAACTCCTCTGTAGCATGATAATTTATGACTTTAACATGATCTACATTTCAGTGACACGAATGACGTCGAGGAATGGCCATTTAATGGTTATAAAAGCATTCTCTGATGACACAAAGGAAAAGAGCAAGAAAATAATGAAGAAAGAATTAGAATATCGTATTTCTGATTTCTGTCCTTGCGATGAAATTTATGAAGGAGAACGTTCTATTGTGATTGGTGGAAACAGTTATTTTAGAGATATTGAAGGTGAAAAGATTATGATTATGTTGGATGGTGAGACGACAATCCTCAAATATACAGGAAAATCAATGAAACCAAAGATAAAGAAAATGAAGAAAATGTTGAAAGCTTGCAGACGTGGCGGAATGTAATATGAACAATGTAAACGAAAGGAGAATTTTAAGCACTAAATATTGCCATTTTCGCTTTGCTTACTATCAAATGTTTTGATTTTCATGTTTTGTTTTGATGTTTTATTTCTCATTATTTTTAGTTTTATCAACATAATTATATACCTCTACTCTGTATCAATTATACTTGATCATCAATAAATTGCAACATCTATATATATATAGCTACGATGTTATGAAAGCTACGCTTGGCGATCAGTTACATGTTGAAATACGCATTTCCTCTTTTTGTGCGGTTTTAAATTTTATATGAACAATAACTTTAATGCATTTTTGAAGAAAGTCACTTTTTCTAGAAGAAAACCTGATTCAATAATTAAAACGTTTTGACTAATATTATTTCTGTTAGTTTTTATCGTATTGTTCAGGTTTAGTTTAATACATTGATGTTCGAGTGCCACTACATACATGTGTATAGTAGCACCGTAAGAGATAGTCAAGACTTTTCACTGACAGTAATGTTAATTGACATAACTGTTATATATCTGCAGTTATATAAAAAATTTGTAAGAATGCGCGCCATCATTACAAATATTTTCCATTACTGCGTGCAATAAGCGATGTATTGAAAGAGCATGTGCGATTAGTGAAGTTTTTTTTCTAAGAATACAATCTTGCATGTTTGTAAACCATTTACTTTAATACAATCTTGTTCGTGCATGATTTGAGTCACAAGATGGCATACTGTGAGGTAAAGCAAAACAGTATTATATTTAATCTTAGATTACGTGCATTGGGAAGTAATACAAACAACATTTTCGTTGTATTTTCAGGATACTTGTGTTGCTTTACAAGCTTTAGCTATCTTTGCTGGAAAAGCTTACGGATCCAATGCTGACTTTAGATCAACTTTGTTATCAGGATCATTGAAGATGGGCAACTATTATAAACATGACTTTAGTATTACACAGGAAAACAAACTAACATTACAAATGATTGAGTTACCAGCAAAAATAGTTCCTGGAAAACTGAACATATCAAGTCAAGGCAAAGGTTGCGCTTTAACACAGGTACTTCTTTAAAGAGATGTAAGTGATATACTATTTTAAAGATTTTCGAATGGCATTCAAGTATAGGATGTAGAAAATTTGAACAGCATGAAACTTTGGCGGAGCATATTTTTAACTAAATGATCGATTATAAAAGAAGCTGTTTAATAGAGATATGAAAACAACGTTGACAGACAGATCACAAAATAAATATTGACCAGAAAGAAACATTAATGATTATTCAATGAATTTTTTTTGGTTTCATTGAAGTATAATGTACCAGAACCTGAAGATGTTCCAGCATTTGAAATCAAAGTTAATGTTCGTACTCGACGATCTTTACCAGAAGAAGCAAACTCAGCTTGTTATCCACTTAAACTTGAAATCAAAGTAAAGTAAGTAAGACATTATGAAAGTTTTATGGATGATGTTAAAATGAAGTAAAGGAAACACTGTATGATAGAAAGTTTTTAAAATGCTTCAAGATGGTTGAAAGAAGATGTTTCCAATATGGCCATAGTCGATATCAATTTGGTGACTGGGTGCAGCGTGATTGAAGCTTCTTTGAAGAGGGTAAGTTTAAGAACTTAAGAAAATGATTATTTTATATTCAAACAAACTTTGAGTATCATAAAGATTTTGGTATTTAGCTGCAAGATGATAAAAATTTGAACTTCAAACGTTATGACATCGATGGACAAAATGTTCAACTTTACTTTGACGAGGTTTGTCAAAAGGTTTGGTCGATCACCTTTATCATCTGAGATAACAATTATTGATTTTAATATTTGCAGATAAAGAATATTACTTTCTCCATTAATATACACCAAGACACTTTGGTAAAAAAACTAAAACCTGCAGTTGTTAAAGTTTATGATTACTATGAACCAGGTATGAAGTAGAAATGTATGACCAAATTTGAACAATGATATTTATTAAATAATGCCATGATGAATTTTCTTAATCTGATGAATTTTGTTGCTTTGTTAATATAGAAAGCCAAGCAAAAGTTATGTATGAAATAAAAAGTGCTACGGCAACAGGAGTAAATATATGAAAATTTTAACGTATATATCTCAAGACAACTTTCCTAATTGTAATTTTTTTATTGTTTTTAGTCATTGATGAATGTCCAAGATGTTTAACACTGCCTGACATACATAAAGTAATCAAAGCTACAATAGCATGCAAAAGTACTGGTAAGTACAATTATTTAGTAAACGTTTTATTTCATTGAACAAAAATGCACTATATGACTGATGTCTATTAATGTGAAAGTGACTATAACATAATTTATAAACTCCTCTGTAGCATGATAATTTATGACTTTAACATGATCTACATTTCAGTGACACGAATGACGTCGAGGAATGGCCATTTAATGGTTATAAAAGCATTCTCTGATGACACAAAGGAAAAGAGCAAGAAAATAATGAAGAAAGAATTAGAATATCGTATTTCTGATTTCTGTCCTTGCGATGAAATTTATGAAGGAGAACGTTCTATTGTGATTGGTGGAAACAGTTATTTTAAAGATATTGAAGGTGAGAAGACGATGATTATGTTGGATGGTGAGACGACAATCCTCAAATATACGGAAAATCAATGAAACCAAAGATAAAGAAAATGAAGAAACTGTTGAAAGATGGCAGACTGGACGGAATGTAATAGAATTCAAGCAAAAGAAATTTCCTGCTGTGTTTAGTAGAATATATTTATTCTGTAGTGAGTTTTGATTTAATACTGTGGTGAACATAATCTGTACACGCCCGTTGTGTCGCAATTTTTTCAAGCGGAAAGAAAAGAATGTTCCAAGAAGAGTTTTTGACCTTATATTTATGAAATCTATTGACTATCCTAATAAATTGCAACATATGTGTGATGTCATAAAAGCTACGCCTAGACATTAATTAGATGTTGAAGTACGTATTTCCTCTATTTGCGCATTTATAAATTTGATTAGTGAGAGAGTTAGACGCATTTGCTAAGTGATCTCGCTCCCCTCGCTTCATACTTTGGACTGGAGGGAAAGAACGATCAAAATGTTTCGATTGATAGTATTCTTTTCAGTTTTTATGGCATATACGAGGTGTGTTTAATAAGCATTGTTCATATTATTTGTTAGTAAGAAAAATTACATTAATATAATTTGCACTGATTTCTCAATAATTCATCACTGATTAATACGAGCTCTTTACTCATGTTTTTTGATATTAAAGTTACTTTGGCGCAAAACAGTTGCTTATCTTTCTTATTTGTGATGTGGATATAGCTGTATATTTTATTTGCGCAACGCGTTTGATGTAAATTTACATCTATTTTACATTTATTGTTATAAATATTGCTGTCGGTAAGGCTTTCATCGAAGATTAGCAATCACGTTTTAGTTTGATCATTGATACAAGAAAAGATAAATGAGACATACTGTTTTTACGATTTTCCAATCTGCGTTTTACGTGGTGTAGTACAATATGTCATGACCCTTGACCTATCTTGAACATTAAACGTTTATTAGTTCTGTACTACGTATTAAAATAAAATGATGGATCAAGACAAACATTTTTTATACAGATCTGTTGAACTTGGAGATAACCTTTACCTTATCACATCACCATATACATATCCCGCTGACAAAAATGTAACAGTGACTGTGGATGTTTTTGGTTCAAAATCTTGTAATGTCACACTGCGACTAAAGAAGAGAAACGCTCATATTACAACTGGAGGAACTGTAAAACCTGGAGTGAGAGGAGCATTTACTTTAAAAGTACGCTCTGCCGGTTTTGTTAACAGGCTTGTTAAGTAGCATTCACGAATAGTTCATATTTTTAAATAATTTTAATAATTTTTAGACTGGCTTGAATTATTCACCTAAAATGTAATGCAATTTTTCAGATACCATCTGCAGTGGTCCATAATTACAGGCAGGAGACACGTTTGACTTTTATGCAACCATTTGCGGAAAAAGGACAAAATCGAAAAGCGTGCAAGTAGTGCATGTCAAGAAAAGTATAATATTCATCCAAACTGATAAACCAATCTATAAGCCAGGACAAAAAAGTAAGTTCAATGTTTGATCTTTGTTGTATACGAAGAAACTTCTTCGCCAAACAGTTTAAAACTTTTTTATTTTTTAACATTATAAATTAATCATTATTAAATACAGCTTCACAATTTAAGACGACTAAATGGTTATGTTTCGTAAAGGGTGTTGAAAAACTTTGTTTAAACATACTGAAAAGTCCCGTTCATTTCAATTGTATAGTACGAATGCGTATAATATCTTTGGATGAAGATTTAAAACTTAAGGGAGAAAGAGTTAGTTACATTTTAGTTTTTCTATATTCTGAACGTGAAAAAAACCCGTTTGACTTTACAATTCTTTTTAGGTGGATAAAGTTTATGTGGTAAGAACAACAATGCTTATAATCATTAAATGTTTTATAAACGTGGAAATAAACTAAAAACTTAACAGTTTATTGAGTGTTAACGTGATTTCAATTGTCATTAAAAAGACAGCTTCTTCCACAAGAATCAAACAATGGAATAATATAACAATGGAAGATGGACTGGCAAGTTTGGAGATGCAATTATCAAAAGAACCAGTAGAAGGAGATTACAAAATAACAGCTATTGTTGGTGTAAGTTTTTAATTGGCACATACATGTAATTGCAAAAATGGAAAGAAAAGATTTTTTACTTTGATTTCATAGAAGAAAACAAAAGTTCGAAAAATCATCGTCAAAAAATACGGTTTGTAATAATTTGTTAAAAATGTTGAATAGCAGTCATCACTTTTCATTTGCGTTTAAATGGTTTATTTCACATAAATGTTTGCAGTTCTTCCGAAATTTGAAGTGAAGATTACACCACCATCATATATAGCCTTGGATCAGAAAAACTTTGACACAAAAATATGTGCAAAGTAAGTTGACACCTTTTTCCTGATAGCAACAGTTATTTTTGTTTATGTACACGTCTGTAAAACAATAAACATCCACCATCTTCTTAACAGGTATACTTATGGGAAAAATATGAGAGGAATTTTGAACGTGCAAATATGTTTAAAGCATGAAAAATATGACTACACGAACGGATGGGGTCAAGAAAATCTTACAAAACCTGCCAGAACATTACAAAAGAGGTATGAAAAATTTTGACGATCTAATAATCATCTCATAATCAAATATTCCTCGAGTAATCATTGCATAAACAGATTTATTTAATTTCCTTTAGATTGACGGCTGTACAGATATTGTTACAACACGTCAGGATTTAAATTTTGCTGATATGACCAGCACATGGAACGCTGAATTCATAATTGAAGCTAAAGTTAAGGAAAGTTTAACTGGAGTAACACTAAAAGACCATGCTAAGATAACACGGTTGCATAAACGCTCTGTGTCGTTGTCCTTTGCTGGAAGTTCAGACAAGTTTAAACCTGGTTTACCATATAAATATGTGGTATGTTGTTTTTAAATAGTTCATGATGATTTCATTTAAGATTAACAACTGGAAATTTTTAAAGAGATAAATTATTCATATGAGGGATTTTTCTTTCAAGCTTAAAGTGACTCGTCCTGACGGAAAGCCGGTCACAGGAGCAAACATTCGTATTACTGCAAGACGAGGCTATTTCTCATTTCCATACGATAAGCAATTCACGGTGAAAAACGGTTATGTTGTGGACTTTGTAGTTGTAAAAACTATCAAGTCAATGACTCTTGAAATGAAGGTAGGATGAATTCAGAAACTTTTGAACTTAAATACTGAGAATGTTGAGGTACAAAATAATGAGCATGAAAATAGAAGCTAAATACGAGTTTTTTCATTATTTTTAGGCTGAATTGTTGGATAAAAATCCATATCCAGTAAAAACGTATGGAAACGCTGTTACTGCACATAAATCTGTAGAACCATGGTACTCGCCAAGCTCCAGTTACCTGAAAATAACTAAAAATACAACAACTCCAGTGAAGGTATGTACACTGTGAATATCGATTTCTTCTATTAAGCATTTAATTGTTCATCTGTATTTTCATTTATCCCTCTTTATAGCCATTTATTCATTTATTTATTTGTAATCTAAATTGCCAATATTTCTTAGCTCTAGTATTACTGTATTAATATGTATTTTTATAGTATGATATATTGTTTTTGAGTTTAGATTGGCCAAGAAACGTTTCTTATGGTCCACTACACAAACGGAATGGATAAGAGAAAAAAATCAAATTTTATTATTCTGTAAGCTTTCGAGCAAACTATTGAAAAGATTAATAAAACATTCAGTTATAAAAATATCCGTATAACTTCCATTAATTTATTTTTTAAGTATGTTAAGATATGCATTTGACAATTGTTTAGGTGAAATGTGGTGACTTTAGCATAACTGGAGTGTATAACCAAATCATTGACTATGCTCAAAAGATTGAAAAAGCAAAAAGTAAGATAATATTTATCAATACAGAAGAGCACACAAACAAAACAAAGATCAATATAGAATACACACAGACAAACCGCTTTTTATGTCAAGAGAACTTAATTCAGTTGATTTTGTAGAGGCAAAGCCATTGGTTGGGAAATTTCAGTTGAAGATTCCAGTAACAATAGACATGATATCATCGTGTCGTGTGATGATTTACTACGTAAGAAAAGACAAGGAAGTTGTAGCTGATTCATTTGATTTTGATGTTGAAGATAAATTGAAGAATGAGGTAATGATTTTAATTTTTATCTCTGATGCTCCTATCTTTGAGGTATGAGTTTTAACATTTTCAGATGTTTTCACTGTGTTTGAAAAACAAAAAACATACAGGAATAAATAAAAAACTTTCAATCTATCTAATATTTCACTGCTTCAGGTGTCAGTAAGTTTTGAGGAAAAAGAGAAAAAACCAGGTGAAAAAACAAACTTCATATTGAAAGCTTCACCTGGATCACGGGTTGCCTTCGTTGCTGTAGATAAAAGTGTTCACTTATTGAAAGATGGAAACGAGTTGACAAAAGAAAAGGTAGAATTCATCTTTTAGATGATGTTTGTGTATGAGACTAAATAGACTATACTATAGAAAGTTTAAAACGTCTAACAGTTTGCAAAAAGAAGCTTTTTCGAAGACAATGGACAAGAATAATTTAAATATGGAAAGGCATGTGTTTGTTTAGATCCGACCATTTCTTCAAACATCTACACAAGTTGCTCCGAGAGATTGTGAATACAGAGATTCGAAGTATGACACGTCGGATGCTTTTAGTGTAAGTATTTCCAAGATAAATGATTTCACTCATATGGTAAAGGCAGAACTGTTTACTGTGTACAATTTTGACTCTATTCTAGGACGCAGGTGTCGTGTATATTAGTAACTTAAATGTTAGAACAAAACATTGCCCAAAGCCTGAGATACCTTGGTGGCACTACAGGTCATTTTTCTCTGCAAGGAGAGGTAATTACAATGAGATCAATCATAGTTGGACGTAAATTTTTTCATTACATTTATTTGACGCCAAAATTTTATTGTTCATCGTAGGACCTCTGTACGGTTCATTCGCCAGGCCGTTTGGAGTCGCCGGGCTGCCTGTAGATAATGACATGTATAGCAACTCATTCGAAAAACCAAGAAGAAAAGAAAAAGATAAAGTAAAGAAAATGAAAACAACAAAGAAGAAAAAGCCTCTAAAAATTCGAAAAGATTTCCCTGAAACATGGTTGTGGGCTGATGAGAAACTAGGGTGAGTCAAATCATTTTCTAATGTCCAAGTTTTTGTTTGAAGATTTTTGTCGACTGTCCCAAACTTACTGCATAACTTCATAAAATCCTGAAACACAGAGATAGTGTACAAGATATCTTCACTAATCAAATTATACTTTTAGTGAAACTGGTGAGAAAGTTGTTCAAGTAACGGTACCTGATACCATTACAACATGGGTAGCAAATGGTTTTGCAATGTCATCAAAAAATGGATTGGGAATTTCTGATACAGCAGCAATAAAGGCATTTCAACCATTCTTCGTTCAAATGACGCTACCTTACTCTGTAATCAGAGGAGAAGAGATCCCAGTTATTGTAACAGTTTTTAACTATCTTTCTGCCTGCGCAGGAGTAAGTAAAGTGTTTATGATGTCTTCGTTATAACGCTGTGGTCGTGAATTTTTGATCGCTACTTCATCAATGTTTCGCTACAAAGCTACCAATGTCACATTGGTAAATTCTTTGTTATTTAAGATCCGACTTCAGTTAAATCATCGATCACTCGACTATAAAGTGACGTCATATCATATCCAAAAGCTCTGCGTGTGTGGTGATTCAGGTCAATCTGTCAAGTTTAGTATCATTCCCCTAAAACTCGGTCACATTCCTCTCACGGTCACAGCAACGTCATCATCGGCTAAGTTATGTCCAAGTTCTTCTGTGGTTGTACAAGATGCAGTCACTAGGAAACTTTTAGTGGAGGTAAACTATGATATAAATGTGTCATTTTTGTATTATCTATTTTTACAGACATTAAATTGTATTTTTCAGCCTGAAGGAATTCGAAAAGAGTACACTCAAAGTACATTTTTTTGTCCTAAAGGTACTGAGAAAAAAATTTCTACTTTATATAACATGCTATAGTTTAAGAGAAAAAAACTTGATTTCTTTTCCAGACAAGGAATATTCAGAAGTATTTGATCTTAAATTACCAAAAAATATAGTTCGTGGTTCAGTCTATCCTACAGTGACTATCATCGGTATGTTAGTATGACATTTAATAAAATAAGTAGTATTCATACAATCGTAGTTATACACTGTGATTTAAAGGCGATATTATGGGTCCTGCTTTAAACAATTTGGAAAATCTACTGCGCATGCCTTATGGATGTGGAGAACAGAACATGGCCAACTTTGCACCCAATATTTACATCATGGATTATCTTAAGAAAACTGGTCAACTTACTGAGAGTATACATGAAAAAGCTGTTAACTTTATGGAAATTGGTTTGTAACATTGGTTGAAAAAATATATACAAACAATAAAATCAAATCTCAACAGATTCACTTGTTCTTAAATTTAAAGAAAATCTTAAAATGCACATGTTGTATTACTCAGGTTATCAAAGAGAATTGAGATACAAGCGAGACAGTGGTTCATACAGTGCCTTTGGTAATGGAGATGATGCAGGAAGCATGATGTATGTGGAATTCCATACGATGATGCAATAGGAATTCCATACATAAATTTCTCATTCAATATTTTCCCTATAGGTTGACAGCTTTCGTTGTCCGATCATATGCCCGTGCAAGGAAGTATATTTTTGTTGATGATAATGAAATAAAAGACAGTGTGAAATGGTTTGAAAGTAAACAAAAGAAAAATGGATGTTTCCCACAACATGGACGACTCCTCAACCGTAGATTACAGGTGGTTAAGACTTTACAAATGATGTATATAACACATGCCATGTGAACAGAAGAAATGTTTATGTTTTTTTAGGGAGGTGTTGATAGTGAGGTTACTATTACAGCATATGTAACAACTGCATTACTTGAAGCTGGATGGTCAACCAACGTAAGTTATGTACAATAATTTATCATTGTTAAGTACAAAACATTTACAGTTTTTTATTATTTAAGTCTATGATAGTTTCCAAAGCATTATCATGCATTGAAAATCATCTGCATTCTATCAATGATACTTATGCAACTGCTCTCATATCTTACACCCTTGCTTTGGCTAAACATAACGAAACTTTAAACATGTTGACATTGTTGAGAAGAAAAGCGATAAAGAATGGTAAGTTAATGAAGAATTTAACTTCTAAAGAAAGAGCAACTGGTTAACTCTTAATTTTACCAGGTGACTTGATGTACTGGAAGAGTAACAATGCAAAATCACAGACGGCATATTTTCATTACTACAAACCATCTGCAGAAGTTGAAATGACAGCGTATGCCTTGTTGGCTATTCTTGAGTACAATAAAGATAATTTTGTGTTGAATGACGAGTTAATGGATATTATTCGTTGGTTATCCAAACAAAGAAACCCATATGGTGGCTTTGCTTCAACTCAGGTACAACTTAAACATCAGTAAAATAAGAAAGTTGTGGTATGAGAGGTAGAAAATTTTAAACAACATTTTCGTTGTATTTTCAGGATACTTGTGTTGCTTTACAAGCTTTAGCTACCTTTGCTGGAAAAGCTTACGGATCCAATGCTGACTTTAGATCAACTTTGTTAACAGGATCATTGAAGATGGGCAACTATTATAAACATGACTTTAGTATTACACAGGAAAACAAACTGACATTACAAATGATTGAGTTACCACCAAAATTAGTTCCCGGAAAACTGAACATATCAAGTCAAGGCAAAGGTTGTGCTTTAACACAGGTACTTCTTTTTTTTAGCACGGCAGTCAAGTACAGTATGCAAAATTGTTGAAGTGTGCACAACTCTCAACTATGCCCAAGAATATTTTTGTCTAATTCATGATTGTTTGTATACAATTTTTCCGAGAATATGAGAACCACAGTGACAGAGAGACCTCAAGATATGTATTGATCAAAAAGAAAGAAAGATTGCTAGTGATCAAATTAATTTTTTCAGGTTTCATTGAAGTATAATGTACCAGAACCTGAAGATGTTCCAGCATTTGAAATCAAAGTTGATGTTCGTACTCGACGATCTTTACCAGAAGAAGCAAACTCAGCTTGTTATCCACTTAAACTTGAAATCAAAGTAATGTAAGTAAAACATTATGATATTCTTAGTGCATGGATGATGGTAAAATGAAGTAAAAGAAACACTGTATGATAGAAAGTTTTTAAAATGCCTTCAAGATGGTTGAAAGAAGATGTTTCCAATATGGCTGTTGTCGATGTCAAGTTGATGACTGGGTTCAGCGTGATTGAAGCTTCTTTAAAGAAGGTGAGTTTAAGATGTTAAAAATTGACAAGCATATTCCATTTCATCAAACTTAGAGTTTGACAAAGTTGTTCTTATTTAGCTGCGAGTTGATAAAAATTTGAACTTCAAACGTTTTGACATCGATGCACAAAATGTTCAACTTTACTTTGACGAGGTTTGTCAAAAGGTTTGGTCGATGACCTTTATTATCTGAGATTACAATTATTGATTTTTGTATTTGCAGATAAAGAATGTGACTTTCTCCATTGATGTACACCAAGACACTTTGGTAAAAAAACTAAAACCTGCAGTTGTTAAAGTTTATGATTACTATGAACCAGGTATGGAGTAAAATAACGTCGTAATAAATGTTCTTAATTTGATGCATTTGCTTTTTGTTAATGTAGAAAATCAAGCAAAAGTTATGTATAAGATAAGAGAGGCTGATTGCTATGGAAACAGAAGTAAATATATGAAAATTTTACTTATATGTCTCGAGACAACTTTCCCAAATATCATTTTGCTATTGTTTTTAGTCATTAGGGAATGTCCAAGATGTTTAACACTGCCTGACATACATAAAGTGATCAAAGCTACAGTAGCATGCAACAGTACTGGTAAGTACAATTATGTATTAAAATTATGGTTTTGTTGAAGCAGGATGCACTATATAACTTATGACTATTGAAATGAAAATGACTTTAACACATATATAACACCACTATCTTCCTCCTTTGTTAAATGATAATTTATGATTTTAACATGATCTACATTTCAGTGACACGAATGACGTCGAGGAATGGCCATTTAATGGTTATAAAAGCATTTTCTCGTGACACAAAGAAAAAGAGCAAGAAAATAATTAAGAAAGAATTAGAATATCGTATTTCTGATTTCTGTCCTTGCGATGAAATTTATGAAGGAAAACGTTCTATTATGATTGGTGGAAACAGTTATTTTAAAGATATTGAAGGTGACAAGACAATGATTATGTTGAATGGTGAGACGACAATCCTCAAATATACAGGAAAATCAATGAAACCAAACATAAAGAAAATGAACAAAATGTTGAAAGCTTGCAGACGTGGCGGAATGTAATTAAGAAAATGGATGGGGGGTTTTTTAACTTTAAAGACGTTTGTGTTTTTGTTTTTTATAACGTAAACAAAGAAAAGTAGTTTGATGGTGAATTTTTTGTATTTGATGAGTTATGACTACCACATTAAAATTTTTTTATCTCAAGTTGATCTCACGAACTTCTGTGAAGCCGTTATTATAAGCGAAGCAAACTTAGCAAGGAACGGGAAACGAATTTGTATTAGAAAAACAATTGCTCACCATAAATAGCCATTTTGTACGAAATTATAGTTTATTGATTGTAACGTTTCGTCATTACACAAGACATCATCATTCCAGTAATTAAAATTTTCAAGGTGTGCGTTCATTTATATTATTAATATATAGATTTACATATTAGGAGTGTAGCAATAAGTGTTAGATTACAGTGAGTTAGGAGTGATTAACACGAATATATATATATATATAACAAAAAAATACATAAAGTATAAAGTATGAGGAAAGATACAGGAATAGAATGTAGGTGCAAATGAACACAATAAGCAAATCTGTAAATGTTAATCTCTGTATATCTATTTGTAAAGCACACCTTGTTATTTTAATCACGAGTACTCTGATGATGTTCTGAATAAAGATGAAACGTTACTGTCAATAAACTATAACTCTTTACAAAATGGCTTTAATCAGAATTTTAGGTTGGACAGTTGTTTTTCTAATACTAAACAAACTTTGGTCTTTCATTGTGTACCGTGTAAATCACTGAAGGAAATCAATCTATTGTAAAATTCCAAAGACTAATGCCACTGGTGAATTACAATTTGATGTTTTGCTGTAAGAGGTTATGGTGAATTCTCAGTGCTACTAAAAAAATTATTTTTTTGAATACATAATCATTTATATGTACGAAGCTGACAGCATCTTTTGCAACCGTGGATTTTGAACGAGCAGTTCAGCCAGATTTTGGGTTAACCGAGCCCACATACAAAATATCAACTATATATTCTTACACCGAAATTGAAGGCTTCCGATGAAAATTTCAATGGCAGTATCATTAGTTTATTCGTCTTTTCAGAACGCAAAAACGACTTACGTCCATGAAATTTAGCCGATGACCGTCAATCTAAATTAAAATGGCCGCCATCATGCTATTGAGCTATAGACCTTTTTGAAAAGCGCCAGTGTAATTGTTTTCGCTCGAGAAAGCGCTAGTTTCTTTAGATATTTATTGTACGAACATAAAAAAATGTTTTTATGTTCTCTCGTCAAAACAATGATAAATGAAGAGCGGACGAGTGACGAGATATAAAGACAGTAAGATATTCTCTTCGACAATTCGCCATTCAAGCAACAAGAAAGTATGTTCGGTTTTTTCGAGTTATGCTTTAGCTTATGGTAAAATTTTAACATATATTTCAAATTAGCTTACCCTTTTAACAGCTGAGAATAGTTTCGTGGATTTTCAAAGCGGTTTCGATGAAAATTTCGTTGTATAATTCTTGTGAAAAGCTCTTGCATGCTTCAATGTTGAAACTTTGTGAAGGTAAGTTTTAGTTTGAGAATAATTTGGCGCCATTTCTATCAACCAATCAGCTTGCGACATTTATCCACGAGGGATATGTACGTTGTCAATAGGTAAAAGCTACATCTCCTTTCAATCAAACGTAAAAATTATTTCGTGAAATTTCGAGTTGAGAACGTCAAATGCCGTTCCTGAACGACAAAACAAGAAGAATTTTTGAATAATTTGTTGATTCATACTTTCCACACCTCCCGGCGTTTTGGAGCGAATATGTATCTCGGAAAATTTACGGAAAATTTATAGATCAGCCCCTCTTTAGGAAATTTTTTAGCGATGCAACAAGGGTTACGACGTTCGGATCGACTGGAAAATCTCACAACAGAGTTTGAAAGAGCTGACAAGATTATTTCAAACACATATAAACCATGAATAACATGCTTATTGCCGGATACGTAAATAGAGGCGATTCCTGGAAGGAAAACAGTAAGATATTCCAATATATATTCGTAGAAACAATCACATGATCACAAGGAAACACGGAAGTTTGTCTTATCGTAATGGGTGCGGCGGCACAGTGAAGAAAAAGAAATGTTTCAATTCCATCATATTGAACCAATAGTGTATGTAAATACTATTTTCGTCGCTATCGTTATCAATATTTGAGAGTTCCAGACATACTTGAGTTAACATGTAAATTTCCAACTCCGATCTGTATACACGAGACAGATAAAAAATTTAGCAATGCAGCGTAAAATAAGATCAGAATTTCATCGTTAACGATTCATTAGGAAGAGAAAATGTACACAAGTAACTTATAGGAGCATTGGTGAATAGAAACAATGTCCCGTCAAGCATGCGTACTTACCTATAAAGAAGACTTTGTTCACATAACAACGTCAAAATTATTCAAGTTCAAGATCATGGCCCTTATACAATAAAGTTTGAAAATGAGTACGGGCAAAAGATGGTGGTATAAATGAGAAATCGTTAGCTCATTGCATGAAATATCAGATAAAAGCAATCCACTTAATGTTCATACTACTTTCCACTTAAATATAGACTGAAAGGGAGCATGGAACGAACTGTAAGTAAAACGATGCAACAAACACATCCGGGGGAAACTTATTACACTTTCGAATCGACTCGCTACAGTATAAAGCAGAGTTTCTGGGGTAATTTGCGCATACTTTACTGCTGAATACTTTACAGTCGAAATGGAAGGTTTGACAACGAAACAAGACTGGACAGATAATGATCAAGTAAGTAGCTACACTAGCGAAGTGTTCAATTATCTAAAGATTCTCTACGAATATACATATTAAGAGCAAGATATGCCCTTAAAGGACAACTATTCTTAATTGTACGCAGTATGATATATATGTTGGAACAATACATATAGTAGACGAAAATACAACAAGAAAAGAGAATTTTAAGTAAATGCATATGACAACTAACTAGATACTGCATTAGGCACACATCAAAGACAACTGTACAGCTACTGCTTCTAACATAAACCTAGACTAGATCTAAAAGGAATTGCATCAAAACAAACGACAAACTTCTCTTATTAAGGTTGATGGTATTGTGCAGAAAATCAATCCGGAAACCCATCGAAATTATCTGGAAACACACAAACCCGCAATTGCCAAAGTTTACGCTAGACTATCAAGAGCACAGAAGAACGACCATCGAAAACTCACATGCAGCGATAGCAGGAATGACGGCAAAATTAAGATCGGAACTCTACACAGGAGACATCAGACATATGTCACATAATGGTTTTTGAGATGTAAATAAAAAAGAATTCCGGCATATTCAGTTTGCTGTTCTGTTTGTACACACTAAAAATAACTGTTTCTCTCTCAGAAGTAGTTCATCTAGTTGAACGAAGTCATTAATTGTTCGTATTCTAAAGAAAAAACTACAGTAAAATCAATTTTCAATTGCAATCACATTTTGTAATTTTATTACATCTTTCTAGTCTAATTTCACTGACTGCAAGTGCTCGCAGCACACTAAATTACAAAAAAAAATCAATCAAGTCATACATATCATCTCACAAGCCAAATTTACAAAGGCAGGCATATACATGGTTAGGACATTGATATTTTACGTACAAATATAGCGAGAAAAAATACACAAACATTTAATCTCTGACGAAGGGATTTGTATCAGCAGTATCATAGCCATCTTCATCATCATGAGACTCCGCTGTGTTATAATTCAATACAGTATGTCTTGTATTGGACTGAAGACGAGATAATGACTTACGTTTCACTCTTTTCATGACATCAACAGGAGTAACACCATGGCGACGATAGCGATAGACAAAGTAAAGGACAACGATGATCACTAGAATACATACTAGAACACCAATGATGATCCCAGCAGGATTTGATGATTCAGTACTCCGACTCTGACTGCCTACAGGAAGCAAAATATATAAATTAGTTGCAACAAAATTTAAAGATATCATAGTTTGGTTTGGTTGTAATTGTTGACTAAATGGAAAGCTGCATTGTTTCACGGGAGTCGGAAGGGCAATAACAACAAACGTGACGAATATAAGTATAGCGAAATAACGTTGATATATTGCTTAATGTAAATGAATGGATTAGATATACGCTAAAAGGGACGCGTGCCCCCCCTGATCCAATAAGTTACATCCCTTCCGAGGGCGTCTCATGTCATTTAAGGAAACCTGATAAAAGTTTAACTTAAGATGGTAGATTTCAAGCACGCTTGAAAGTCAAAAGAACAACTATAAATATCTTTCAGTGGTCAAACATTACACTACATTCCGAAATAGACATTATAGGAGTCAATGGTCAAGTAAAATATGGTAGACAATTAACAAAAAAATTTACAGAAAGAGCGTACCTGTTAATTTCAAACGAGCTACCATGCTGGCACGTTCACCAGTACCATCATCAACCACACATGTATAAGATCCAATATCGTGACGATCGACATTTTTAATGACAAGTTTCCTATTTTTATCAATAATGTCGTATTTATCGTTATCGATGATCTTTTTACCATCCTTATACCATAATATGTTGACGTTGTGATTGTACGTTGCACCATCGCAGTAAAAGCTTGACGTATTACCTAATTCAGCTATGGCGTCTTTAGGCTTTTCAATTATGTATGGACAGGCTAAAAAATTACAAAACAAGGTATTCACATCCTTGGCAAAAGTAAACTAAAACAAAACCCTTCGTCACATGTAAAATACGCACAGCTGATTTTTACTAATATAATCTTTTGTCGTGCATCCCAATCATAAAAATCTTACTTAACTAATGTATTTAATACGATGAAGATTTAGAATTACATTATCATATTTGCCAGATGACCAAAAACAATTTTCACGGCATTTTAGCAACCTAATTATGCATCAAGGCAGGATAAATATTTCTCTACAATCTTCCATTGTTAAAGTTATGTTCAAGGAGAGGGAAAAAATACTACTTCTGAACCTGGTGGTCTCTGCGGATGTTTCTTTTCTCCATTATACAAAGAAACAATCATAAGAATTATAGTAAAAACAAGCAAAAACAAGCTCCGCTTACATTCACCAGCTATGTTCTGGCTATCAAGGCATCATACATTTGTATCATTTTTACTCTTTGATATTTTTCATAGGCCTTAGGTCTACCATTATTAAGCCGGCTAGCATTTGTCATCCTATCTATGCCTTAGTGAACGATCATTCTTCGTGGAAATAAATCATTTTCCACGCAAGCGTCACGTGTTATCACAGGCTTCGAAAGAAGCGTCACGTGTTATCAAAGGCTTCGAAAGATACATGTACAAAGTCACAGACATTTAAAATAACGAAATAATTTATGTGATCAATGATACTAACCATAAATTCCATCCACACTGAGAAATGCAACTTTCTTAACTTTCTTTCCTCCACTATCGGCGATACAAACGAAGGCTCCAACATGGGAGATGTTCACTTTGTCTATTCGCAACTCCTTCGTATTTTTCAGCAACGTGCTACCAAATTTTTCCCACGAAATCGTAGGAGGAGGTTCGCCACTCGCTTCACAGTAAAACCTGGCGTACATACCGTCTTTGAGCGCCAGATTTTGTGGTGGATTGTAGATGCATGGTGGCACTAAATGATACATTAAGCTTCATTAGAAAATAATAAATAGATTCAGTATATCTCTTTAGCAATATAAAAGAGAGATATTACATCTTTGATGATTATTTAAATGTCTTAAAGGTTTGTGAAGATTTTGAAGTTTTGTCCTATTGTTAATTTAGGACACTAAATTACAAAACGAGAAACAGTCCAGCTACATATACCCTTGTAAATACCGATTTGAAGCAGATCTTTTCAAGTTTTCTTTTTTTAATCGTATCGTAGTTTATGCCATTGTTTATCATTGAAGAATTTAATCAATATTTTTTATCTTGATAAATTTAATATGCATAAGGATAGATTTATATAAATATAGAATTATCGAATTTCTTTGATATACATACGCATAAATATATTTTTTTAATTAACAGCCAGTTTATTTCTATGAGAAATCTGAGAATTCAGGAGCATGCTGTTTTTAGTTGTTTGTAAATTCCTTATTTAAACATCTGTTGTACATTAGCTGAGTAAATATATAAAAGACTGTGGGCGCAGATTCCAATAAGCTATTTCCTTATTTTATTTACTAAAGGTCTTCAAATGAAAGACAGGGATTATTACCATTTTTTATGATCAACTTTCCAGAGGTAGTTAAAGTAGAGTGTCCATCGTTTACAACACAATAATATTCGCCACAATCCTCTTCTGACACTTCTATAATAGTCAACGTTTCATCAGAAATTACGTATTTTCCGTTATTTCTCAAAGTCTTTCCGTTGTGACGCCATGCAACCAAAGGCAAAATCGTGCCCCTCTCGAACGGTCGACAATGAAATACAGCATTATCTTTTAACGACACTGTGACGACACCAGGTTTCTTCTCGAAATGAATTTCATCTGGAAATAATAAAAATATTAATTGTGCGACGTAGATTGATTTAAATTACAGATAATGTTGAAGTGCAATTACAAAGTGACCTTCCACAAAAACACCACAAGCATCTTTCTAATGGATATACAGCCAAATGGCTACATTAAAGATACGAACATGGCTACAAGTTTTGGTTCGGAAGTCGGGATAAGTAAGTTATCATATTTTATGTATGCATGTAGCAACGCTGTTAATGAAAGGTTGTAAGGTATTTAAAGCTCGTTGTAGTATCAAAGAATCTTATCTAATCATTAAATTACATACCACCAATGCGGAGCACAACGATTTCTGATGAACTTCCACGAGAATTATTTGCCACACAAGTGTATTTACCGGCATCTTTAAGAATTGATACGGCAATGTACAGTGAACCGTTGTTCATGACTCGTGGCCCTTCGTTCCTCGAAGTACTTTCGGAGAGAGTCTTGTTTTCAAATAGCCATGTTATGTTGGCGGGGGGGTTGGCAAAAACTTCACAGGTAAGAATGACTGGTTGACCGTGAACAACAGAAACGGTATCAGCTCTCGTTATTATTGGCTTTCCTAAAGAAAAATTGTTACCATTTAACATGGCTGCCATTAAACATCACTACCATTTAACATGGCTACCATTAAACATCGCTACCATTTAACATGGCTACCATTAAACATCGCTACCATTTAACATGGCTTCCATTAAACATCGCTACCATTGAATATTGTTACCTTTACAAACTTGGACCATCAAAAATTGTCACATTAAATATGACAAGTGTAAATATTAATGTACTGTATTGTATTTGTATTTTTTACATGCAAAAGAATTTGAAAGAAATGAGGTGTTTCTTTTCACATACGACCAAACGATGACCAACCTGTAATGGTGACATTATAGATAAACGTCAGTGACCCTAGAGAGTTACCAATGGTGCAATTGTAAATTCCCCCTTGGGAATAGTGAGAGATCCGGAATGCTAAAACACCATTTCGAAAAACACCATCACTGATTGGTTTACCGTCTTTTGACCAATGATAAGCGCGAGATGGTATATAAGTACCACTAGAACGGACACGACACAGCATATGTACCGTAACACCGACATTATAAAATCGTTTCTGATACAGTTGTCGATAGTAGGGAGTTGGACGAGTCTTTGAAATTACTAAAAATTGAAACCAATAGTTAAAGAAGTATTTAAACAACGATTTCGCAAGAACGATAAATGTGGGGATATAAACATATGCATGTTTTGCTAGTTAAGTTTTTTAGAAATCAATTGTATAGTGATAATAACATGCATATACGAATATTTCCCCCCCCCGGTCAAGTTTCGAGATGGTAACGTCACTGTATTATCTAAACATCGATGTTAAAAAAACTTTAATATAATGTATTTACAATATATTTAATGGCATGGTGTTTTTCAGCTTTAAAAAAAACAGTTCTTCTAGAACAGTATCGATGAAACACACTAACACATAAGCAGAATTTGCTCCTATGAGTCGATATAAAGTTTGTGAGTAAAATCACTAAGTTTAAGTGTGTTTAAATTCACAGCACATAACAAAACGTTCACTTTCGCTAAACATCGCCATATTCTTATGGAAGATACTAGCCCGCATGGAAGCTGCTTATCACAATAATGGTCGGAATCAACGTTCGCAATCCAGCATCATCAGATTATGATGGAGAAAATCTTTATTGTTCTATGTTTATCATGACGAATGTAATACTAGAAATAAATTAAAATATATTTACATGTGCATTGATCACCATCACCAAAATAACCAGAAGGACAATGACGACAAAAAGATTCTTCGCTGCCAACGACACGACCATCGCCTTCAACACAAGACACTCCAGGATAACACACATCTTCTGTACACGGCTTTTTCATTATCTTACGACATACACGTTTATCAAAAGGCTTTCGCGAGCAGGTGACGAATTGTGTAGAATAACACCAATACATTTGATATAAATGACACTCTGAGAAAGAACTCTCAAACAATCGACATTGCGAGCCCAGCGTTTTGTCCCTATAGTTTCCTTAAAAATGTGAAAGACTGCATGAGAAAATTCTGGATCATTGTAAAAAAGCCAATTTAAAGAGCATGTAAATATAAAAAACAAGCAAAAACGCATTTTAGTACACAAAAGTTCATAATGAAAACATATGACACTGAAAATCAACACTCCCGACGATAGGCAGCCGTTCTCTTGCAATGAAGCTTTTCTGTGTTCACTTACTGTTCGATGTTCTCTACATAACGTTCTCCCATTTATATAGAAGCACTGAAAACTGCAGGCTCGCTGGCGTACGGATCTTATATAAAAACGTTTACTCACGAAAAACAGGTTTCCTCTTCATGATTGAAGCCTGTTCAAAACCTAACTCTTGACAGGCAAGATCATATGCGAACTTCGCTCTGCTTCCCGTTGAATCGTATTCGCATATCATGTTCCATTTGCCATCCTTCATTACCGAAAGAAATCCCTCTCCATAGAAGGAGCCATTTAGAAGTTTGACTGAAGGTTTCCGGTGCGGCATCAACTCAATCAAAGAATGATCAGGATAGCACGACTCAACACATTTAGTACCTCCTGAAAAAAAAGCGAATCCAACTATGTCATACTGTACAAGAAGCTCAAAAATACAATGTCTGTAGTTGATTTCAAGTCCAAGTCACATGTTTTTCATGTGCATATTAAAAACCGTGTTAGGATTAATATATTATATGTGTACTCTGATGATGGCTTTGGAATATAGTTGATTTAAGGACAGCATACACTTCTATGGTTGATTTAAGGACAGCATACACTTCTCTATGGTTGATTTAAGGATAGCATACACTTCTATGGTTGATTTAAGGATAGCATACACTTCTCTATGTTTGATTTAAAGATAGCATACACTTCTCTATGGTTGATTTAAGGATAGCATATACTTCTCTATGGTTGATTTAAGGATAGCATACACTTTTATGGTTGATTTGAGGATAGCATACACTTCTCTATGGTTGATTTAAGGATAGCATACACTTCTCTATGGTTGATTTAAGGATATCATACACTTCTCTATGGTTGATTTAAAGATAGCATACACTTCTCTATGGTTGATTTAAGGATATCATACACTTCTATGGTTGATTTACAGATAGCATACACTTCTCTATGGTTGATTTAAGGACAGCATACACTTCTCTATGGTTGATTTAAGGACAGCATACACTTCTCTATGGTTGATTTAAGGATAGCATACACTTCTTTATGGTTGATTTAAGGATAGCATACACTTCTCTATGTTTGATTTAAAGATAGCATACACTTCTCTATGGTTGATTTAAGGATAGCATATACTTCTCTATGGTTGATTTAAGGATAGCATACACTTCTTTATGGTTGATTTGAGGATAGCATACACTTCTCTATGGTTGATTTAAGGATAGCATACACTTCTCTATGGTTGATTTAAGGATATCATACACTTCTCTATGGTTGATTTAAAGATAGCATACACTTCTCTATGGTTGATTTAAGGATATCATACACTTCTCTATGGTTGATTTACAGATAGCATACACTTCTCTATGGTTGATTTAAAGATAGCACACACTTCTCTATGGTTGATTTAAAGATATCATACAGTTCTCTATGGTTGATTTAAGGATATCATACACTTCTCTATGGTTGATTTAAGGATAGCATACACTTCTCTATGGTTGATTTAAGGATAGCATACACTTCTCTATGGTTGATTTAAGGATAGCATACACTTCTCTATGGTTGATTTAAGGATAGCACACACTTCTCTATGGTTGATTTAAGAATAACATACACTTCTCTATGGTTGATTTAAGAATATCATACACTTCTTTATGGTTGATTTAAAGATAGCATACACTTCTCTATGGTTGATTTAAGGATATCATACACTTCTCTATGGTTGATTTACAGATAGCATACACTTCTCTATGGTTGATTTAAGGATATCATACACTTCTCTATGGTTGATTTAAAGATAGCATACACTTCTCTACGTTTAGATAAAACATAGCATACACAGCCATCAGTACATACGTAAGAAATAAGGGTCATCACAAGATGTACATCTATCATCAGTGTAGCCATCCATACATGTCCTACATTGATCACTACATCTTTGACACGTCATGTTATTTAGCTGAATGAAGTATCCATCTTCGCATTTGTCCTCACACTTTGAAGAACGCATTACTTGAGTGGAATTACAAGAAGTACAATGATTAGCCGAGCCTGCACATGTCAAACAGTTACTGGAGCAACGGCGACACTGTTTTCGTACTGCATAAAATCCATCTTCACATGACGTCAAGCATCTTCTGATTGGCGAATATCGTGAACAAGTTAGCTTGACCAGAGAAGAAGTTCTACAGGATTCGACGACTATGCAACAACAAAAAATATTTCTCACTTACAATTAATCTTAATTGAAAATTCCTACTCAGACAATTTCAACACGCTGTTTCCCTAAAGGTTTCGCCTCAGTTTCCTGATCCCCTAAATCTCTTACCGAAGAATTGAACTGAATATAACTGGACGGCTACTTGTCGTCAAAATTTGAAGCCAGCAATTTAACAAGTCCCAGTCTTTCCATGCACGGTCAAATGGAAGCTTATTACGTTAGTAATCTAAAGTGTTGATGATGATATTTGACTTCATGACAAAACCATAGCCTCACAGTTATATATTTATTTTATACAACGTATCCTAACACTAACTGAATCAATCCATAAAACACCCAAATAATCCCTTCATACCTACCTTTAGAACATTGTTCAAACGACGCTTCATTTCCAGTGCAGTTAAAAGCGACCATTTCTGATATGCCGAGGCGATAATTAAGATAACGAGAGAAAAAAGACACTGGATCACCGTAGCCAAGATGATGACAAACAACAGCGGCGGCTTTCATATTAAAACCGTGAAAACAAACTCCTTTCCATGTTTTATTCACCATGATCTCAATATAACCAGAAGAAATATTCTGGTATGGTACACGATAAAGAAAAGATTTGGTCAATCTCAAATTCCCCACTCCTTCTACTGAATAATCTTTGTCAAGGCATTTCGTTAGACATGCTGCTTTGTATGAGTATTTACCATTGGCACATACTGTGCAAATTTCAGAGCTTTCTCGACAAGCGAGACACATTTGAAGATTGCATTTTTTGCACGTCTTACTTTTCGATTCGTAATATGTTCCCTCGGGACAAAATTCAACACATTTCTTGTCCCATGTCAGTAACTTTCCTGAAAAATGAAATCAAAGTACATTTTCTAAGATACAACAGAAATGTTCGCGTTTGTAAAGATACTTCGATATCAATAAGGATCACAAAAGTTTATGGTTATAACAGTAATAACATACAACGTCATGTGTGATGGATTTTCGTCAATAAATAGCGAGTGGAAAAGTGCAAAAAGAGGAGTTTCGTGTGTATAAATGGTTGGTCGTCTTTGTATGTTAGTACTCTGTATTTAGTACATTAAATCTCACAGCAATGGAGGAATTATCATCACTTTAATGCAGACGTTAGACTTACAGTGACAGTGATGTGTCACCGCTTCTAAACCTCACGGCAATGGAGGAATCATCATCACTTTAATGCAGACGTTAGACTTACAGTGACAGTGATGTGTCACTGATTCTAAACCTCACGGCAATAGAGGAATCATCATCACTTTAATGCAGACGTTAGACTTACAGTGACAGTGATGTGTCACGGCTTCTAAACCTCACGGCAATGGAGGAATCATCATCACTTTAATGCAGACGTTAGACTTACAGTGACAGTGATGTGTCACTGATTCTAAACCTCACGGCAATGGAGGAATCATCATCACTTTAATGCAGACGTTAGACTTACAGTGACAGTGATGTGTCACTGATTCTAAACCTCACGGCAATGGAGGAATCTTCTTAAACTAAATTTGTTCTTCTTAAACAGCCAAACCGAGATGTAATGAATCGTGAATAAGATAAAGCGAGAACGTGCCTTTCACATGAAGCACACCTTCACTAGTATTGTTTCAGGACTAAGATGATAAAATAATGTTGTTCCCTAAGATAGTCCATTTTTTGTATTCATAGCTGAAGGGCATGTAGTTGAGGCAAACTTTAAATTGCTCCTTTCAACTATTCGTTAATACAAGAACAATGATTGTCCAGGTTTTAATAAAAATGTGTAGCGTAGTGTTAAGGAAAAGTGGCCAATATTTAAACAATTCTATAATCATGTATATAATATAGAATGCTACCTTTTGGACATCCTGTACACAGCGTGGCATTTTTGATGCAACCCAAACAGTTCTTGGAGCAAAAAGCACACCTCTTCTGGTCAGCAACGTACAAATTCTTTGTTGAAGGGCAATCTTCGATACATTGACTTGACAAATCAGGACCAGAACATTTTACAGACATAACATTACTCCGTGAACAGAAAGAATATCTCTTTGGCAAAGGACAATCAAATATCGAAGACTCGTTGCCTGCAGTAGATAATACATGAGAATGTCTCTATATGAAATCTCAAAACAGTTATTATGTATAATCCCAAATCACTTATACATAACATCAATAAAATTTCTAAAACGAAGGCGAAATAATAAAGTCGAGTAAGAGCGACTGAATTACAAGTGCTGTTTATGGGACTGTTCTTTTCAAATTTCAAATCAGGTGACACTCACGCGCAGGGAAAAAGGCAAATACAACCTCGCTAACCACAAATACACACTCACCTACCAAAAATACACCCTCAACTACCACCAATACACCCTCACCTACCAAAAATACACCCTCAACTACCACCAATACACCCTCACCTACCAAAAATACACCCTCAACTACCACCAATACACCCTCACCTACCACAAATACACCCTCACCTACCAAAAATACACCCTCAACTACCACCAATACACCCTCACCTACCAAAATACACCCTCAACTACCACCAATACACCCTCACCTACCAAAATACACCCTCAACTACCACCAATACACCCTCACCTACCAAAAATACACCCTCAACTACCACCAATACACCCTCACCTACCAAAAATACACCCTCAACTACCACCAATACACCTCACCTACAACAAATACACCTCAACTACCACCAATACACCCTCACCTACCAAAAATACACCCTCAACTACCACCAATATACCCTCACCTACCAAAAATACACCTCAACTACCACCAATACACCCTCACCTATCACAAATACACCCTCACCTACCAAAAATACACCCTCACCTACCACAAATACACATTCAACTACCACAAATACACCTTCACCTATCACAAGTACACCCTCACCTACCAAAAATACACTCTCACCTACCAAAAATACACCCTCAACTACCACCAATACACCCTCACCTACAACAAATACACCCTCAACTACCACAAATACACCTTCACCTATCACAAATCCACCCTCACCTACCAAAAATACACTCTCACCTACCAAAAATACACCTTCACCTACCACAAATCCACCCTCACCTACCAAAAATACACCCTCAACTACCACAAATACACCTTCACCTATCACAAATACACCCTCACCTACCAAAAATACACTCTCACCTACCAAAAATACACCCTCAACTATCACAAATACACCCTCAACTACCACAAATACACCCTGACCTACCACAAATACATCCTCAACTACCACAAATTGTCAACTTACAGGGTATAGAAATGCGTTGAGCCCACACGAATTCCCGTTGATAAGTTCACATGAGAACGAACCAAAAAAAAAGAAATAGTATAAAAAAGGTTGATAAAGTACCTGTACAAATAGGATTCTTCATAACAATAGGCGTCCTGTAACTATAGAACATAGACCTTTCATCCACCTCTACAACATTGCCCATATGAAGTTCACGACAAATAACTTGACCATCTTCCATAGTCGGTAGACGATCACAGAGAAAACCAACTCTAGAGCCAACTTTTAACTAAAGTATAAAAAAGGAATTGTCAAAAATTTTGTATTTTCATCACACACACTATTAATTGCTACATCATCAGTAAATTTTGATTTATTACATTTGCTCTGAAGTTGACTACCGCTAAGGTTGTCGAAACGTCAGTCAACAACAACACCAACAGTCTTTCTCAGGACTATTCTAAGCTACACGATCAACATCTACAAACATGTAAGCTTTTAGCCAATCACGATGAAGATTGCACCATCATAGAATAATAATAATCATTAATATACTCCGTTTCTCAACTATTCACTGTCAACAAAATACTTAACTACTTACCATAACAACACCTTCAAATGGACCCGTTCTTTGAGTTAAATTTATGTATGGATTTACAGTTCTTTCATATTGTTTAGGCAAGCAGCTGTCTACACACATAACCTTAAGCAGTAATTTTGGACGTAGGCAGGATGTGCAGTGATGATCCGTGGGGCCGTTACAAGTTAAACAATCCACGTGACATTTCTCACACAACCCATCCTTTTCATAAAATTCTAGTGGACATTTCTCCAAACAGCGATTATCTTCTGTCAAAACATATCCTTGCTTACATGAAGTACAGTTACTTGCCGTGCCTGAGCAGTTTATACAGGCGGACGCACAATGTATACAAAATTCACCGCTCACGTGGTACGACGTGGGACAACTAGGTACACATTTTGTCATTCCTGGATAATGACATTCAATATGAACATCCTCAGCGGCTACGCAATCATGTACTCCCCATTTCGCTCTCTTACAATCACTAAGCCTTTCTTCGTAGCCGGTACATTCTACCTGGTCTAGCCACGTGCGGGTCACGTTCTGTCCTCGTGGATTTTTACTGTTAAGATAAAGATGAACTTTGGGAGGACCAAGTAACAGTTGTCTACAGGCAACCGAGGAAGCATTTCCACGATTCCAATTATCGTCACAAACTGTGCCCCATTCTCCATCATGATAAATCTCCAACCTTCCCTTCGATAAATAACCTTCTTTGCTTGATAATCTCAATTCGAGTTGATTGTGTACGTCGCTTGCTTTTAAGGGAAACGAATATTGCCCAGAAGGACACGAGCGTCGACATCGGCCTTCTTTTGTCAACCGATGATCGTAGTCACAAGCAAGGCAAACACCAGATGCATTACAAAAAAGACATTTGAATGGACAAGCACGACATTTGCCATCTTTCGGGTAATGTTTAAAACCACAATTTTCAACGCAATCGAACTCTTTCTGGTACGTATTCTTCGGACATGACGCGACGCAATGTGTTCCATTATGAACCAAAGGACCCACGCAAGACAAACAGTTGTCTTCTCTCAAACTACAGGTCGTGCATTTTTTCCCACAAGGTTTACACTTGCCGAGTTTCGAATCGGCGTAAGTACCACGTGGACACTGACGTACACAAGAAGTACCATTGTGAAAATAACGTTCACGACAAGTAACACATTTCGAGGCATCATCCTTGCAGGTCAGACATATAGGATTGCACAGTTCACATATGTTGTTTTGATCACGATAGGTACCGTCAGGACATTTTTCTATACAATTATCATCGATTCTAACATCGTTCGTAGGCGCCTTGCACCATAAACCAACATCGAAATTGTGCCCACAATAAGAATAAGAATAAAACCAATCACCTTGATAACATGAAATAAAGGACGTTTCGTCCCCCTTACATCTTATATGACGTTTTAGAATTGGACCTTTGCCAGTCCCATATAGACCGCCCGAGTACTTTAAAGGTTCTCCGAAGCCTAACTCTCTACAAAATACTCGAGCTGTATCTAGATGGAAGCCATTGCTGCATATTGTATGCCATTTTCCCTCATATTTCACTTCCAGTAATCCTTTGTACTGGCTTTTGTTTTCCCAGACAAACGAATAAATCTTTTATTGACAACACCTTTACCACAATCGCTAACACAACTTCCAGCGTCTAAATACGGTCTTCCTTTATCCATATGACAACTGGTGCATACATCAAAATATTTGCAAGTGCGACATTGCTCTGAACAGGGCATGCATTTCCTTGAATCACCATCCCCAAACATCCCTGAAGGACAATTGGCAACACACTTTGTACCTAGGAAAATATTTGTTTATGAAAAATTCATTCCTTACAAATATATGGTGTAAGTTCACAGGGAAATGTATCACATGCAATTATAGAATAAACACAATAAAAAGAGTGTGATGATTGGTCTATAGCTGCATTAGCCTGTGCAAATCGATCTGAGCTAAACCAATCAAATCATTCAATCAATCATAGAGAATTTGCAAATCAATTATTAATACATTTAAAACGGAAAAATTAAAACGCTTTTAGTTTTTTGTGAGTGCTCTCAAGCATGTGTAAACCTTGACCATAGGTCACAAGCACGCACTGATCTGCTGTGGAGTTCTCCCCAAGTTCTACTCGGATAAGCCTGTGCAAATACAATAAACATCTTTTATTTTTTAAATAGCATGCTAAGATCTTTACACTGTCATGTGTTTTGACTACCATTTAAAAAATAAAAGATGTTTTCTATGTTTTCACAGGCTTATGCATGCACGAGGCGACCTTTGGGCGGACTTATGTGCAGATCAGTGCAAGCCCAAGGCCAAAGGTCGAGGGTTGCAGATGTTCGAGAGTTCTCACAAATGTCTCTGAGGTTTGAATAAGCCAGTGCAAACACAAAAAATCTTTTATTTCTTTTATAAAATAACAATAATGCAAAAAAAGACAAACTTTAAAATTTTCCCTCTGAAACATTTCATAATCGATATGCAAATTCTCTTTGACTGATTGATTGTTTTAATTGATTTGATTGGTTGAGCTCAGATGTGTTTTGCACAAGCTAATGCAAACACAGCTCTAGACCAATCAGAGCACGCATTTCATTGTGTTTATTTTATAAACACTAATATTATCATACATACCATGGAGAAATCTCATTTCATTACAACTTAAACAAGTGTCCATGGAGGTACACGTCCTACAATCAAGCGGACATGGTTGGCAAGAAGATTTAAACTTGAAAAAACCATCTCCACAGTCAACTTCACACGTTCTCCTCGTATCTGGACCACTACATCGGATTGCTACATCTTCCATATGACTGCATTTATTCTTTCCTCCATCTGAACAGATTTGAAAAGGTTTCGGTAAACGTCAAGACAAATGATTGTATATTTCCTGCCACTGACTTCATTTGCACAAAGGTGGCACTGTTATTCATTTACATGTGTTTGTATGATATTTTTAATAAGATCACATCTGTATGCTAATCCTATTGATTTTATAAGTGGCATTGCTAATATTTTGTCAACCATTTATCAAGGTACGGCTTTTAGATATCCCATAACATCCCTTATATACCACCAATGCTTCTCCTTAGAAGACGCCATAAACATATCTTAATAACTCCCCTGTAAGAACCTCTTACTTCCTTTGTTAACACACATTAAGAAATCCCTTAGAGAGCCCATAAGACATCCCTCAACACCCTGTGGATACCTAACCAGTGGACTCCTCCCTATGATATTCCCTAACATCCCTTGTGGACTTCTCCTAGGAAATGTACCTCTTAGAGACCTCCTAAAGACTCCCTTATAAGTCCTTGTAGACACTCATAGGGAACTTTTACAAAGCACTTAAAACAATAGGTGCAGCTTCTGAGTGTGGTCCTTGAGACAAAGGCACGGTTGTTGACAAAGAAATAGGCAAAATTTAACTCATATACAAAGTAATGTCAACTTTGTGTGATCTGTCAATTAGAAATTGGGAAATTTTTCATATAAGACGATCAAAGTTTCATATTCCCCAACCAGAGTATTTCAGAGAGATGTGATGACTTCCTTCCTTTACGATGACCCCAGCACAAGGTATTGTAAATAATAACAATATTGTTGTATACCTCTTTTAGGACAATCAAATATAGAGTCTTCATTGCCTCTACAACGCACATCACTAAACCAAATTTTTTGTTCGAAAATCATAAGGTTTGAACCATTTTGTCCAACAATCTTACTCTCAATAACATTTCCAAACTTCAGTTCCTTGCATACCACAGTTGCATCTTGCTCACCCCACTCACTGGAGCATATAGTACCCCATGATCCATTGTAATACACTTCTACCACACCTTCCAAGATTGAAGATCCTTTGACAAGTCTTACTCTACGACTACCAGAATTCTTCTTCAATGCAGACTTAGAAACACAGTCTTCTTTACAAGCACCATCTCGAGTAAGGTATTTGGAATGGTGTACATCTCCGTCTTCTTTACAAGCAAGGCATCCCTTTTCATTGCATGCTGAACAAGAGGAATGGCAACTTTGGCATTTTTATCTTTGGCAATATATGAACCAAGAGGACAATCTTTGATACAAAAGTTGTTCAAGGGTACTTCATCAGATCTACATGGCCGTTTCAAAACATCTTTTCTTAAACAGCTTCCTGTAAATATATGAAATGGGATGATATTTTCAAAAGCAACATGGTGGGTCATTTCCATCAGTCACGTTTTAAATTCGTACTTACTCGCAACAATAACATTTTTTATAAATTTACAAACTCCTGTCTAACCATATATAACTCAATATTTTTGTGACAAGAGACCCTAAAGATTCAATTAGCTAATTTCATTAATTCTAACTGTAAACCTTCAAGAGGAATCGTTAACGAGCATCAATATCAATTGCGTGTGCTTCAAAATAATTCACCATTAAACAAACAGATTATTTCTAAAAAAGTGTTTCGCTTTAGGGCAAAATACTGCCGTTAATAAAGTAAAATGAAAGCTCTGTGTATACTGGGATTAGATAGTAAAAGGAAATTAGAAATTACTAATTTAATTTCAATAAACAAAACACCGCAGTTCATACCATACCGTCGGTTGAGGCCACTTCAGGTAAACTGCGTAAAATTCCTCCGAAAATTGTGACACACATAAGATTCACCGTTATACGTAAAATCATATTTATCGGACATTTAACGTAAGATTTTACCTAGAAAAACAATGTACAACACATCATAATACATACAACAATGGCAGTACCATGTAAGGACTTTCAACCATGCTGCGTGAGGTCCACGCGTTTGTTCGTGTACAATTTTGCAACGATGAAATGCATGTAACGATTATGCTTTCGTCATCTATAACTTTCATTGTTTAGCATTTTTTAAAATTTAGATATTAGAACTAACACAACCAACAAGAAAAACATGCAGAGGTATTTTCATAATGTTTGTACAGCAGTGACAAGATTTTACACATAGGAATTTTCAGATATATTTGAAACGTTGCGTAATCATTCCTGTGAGAGTCTAACATGGCCATTCTGGCCTTATTAGTCATGTAGTCATTTCACGCCCAATGGTCAACAATAGGCTCTAAATAAGGAGCTCTTTATTGTTAACCTATATTCTCGTTTTACGTAAAACCTTTTTATAAAACCACTTGACGATTTTCTTACATTAAATTTTGTGCTTATATCAAGTTTCTTGAAGACTGAACTAAATGAAGTTGAAAAGTACTAAATTTCTATAACATATGGCCTGCGTGTGTAGGGCACACACTTGAGATGATAATATTGGACTAGAGAGAAAGTTTCAAACTTGGAGAGAAAAATTCAAACACCACTTTTGTCATAATGCATATTGAAACAATCGAAGAATCACACATTATAAATCATAGTCCAATAAAAGAAACGCACATAGACAGACTACGGTAAAAAAATCATCATACAACCCATTATCACAAAACGTCATCACGATTAAAACATTAACAAGACGCGCACAACTCATAAGTGTTTCAACATACGTTCTTTATACAACGAAAACAACTGAAACTTACAAACTTTCATCAAACGATACACTTCATCAAACGATACACTTCATCAAACGCAACTTTTATCCACTCATAACTGACTTTACAAAGACAAAGCAAATACTGCGGAACTTCTAGGACAAAGAACAACCAATATGTACGACACGAACTGTTCCGACCGCCACGTGACTTCAACTTACAGGATCTTAAACATACGACTCGCAGAACAGGAAAAACTACAGAAAAAACGACTTTGGAAAGTTGGTATACCAACTAATGACAAAACCTACAGGCATTCAACAAACGATTTATTTACACAACCTCGGAGAACTGTTGTTATGTATTTTATTAAAATACTCAGTGGTTCCCGTAAACATTTTCGAAGAATTAAGCATACAATAGTTCAGACGAACCAATACACAATTGACAATGGCCGCACACCCACACATTTCCTTCACACTTAACGATGACATATGAACCAGACCACTTAAATCCTTGAAACTACAGTTGACTAACGCTAAGGTTGTCGAAACGTCAGTCCACACCAACAGCAACTGTCCTTCTCAGGACTCTACTAACCTAGACGATATGAAATATCTAGCAACAAGCATTGATAGTAATTCCAGGTTTGAACCATTCACTAGATAAAACATGGCTTCGGTTCGACAACTTTTCATAATATTGCATCTTAGGTTTTCTACTGTAAATATTCACAGTAGTCTACAACTTAAAGAAAAATACGTTTGAAATGAAACGACGGCAATTTTGATGGTAAAGTGATGATAATCAATCTTAATACGAAGAGTTCTTTTTCACCAAATTGTTTCTTCAAAAAGTTATTACATCAATTCGTACTCAATCCTGAGATGAATCCCGTAGAAGCCACGTTTTACTCAATAATCATTGCATTTAAACGGGAATATAATTTTATAAACTCGCTCAGTCGCTCTTACAGAACTTAATATTCTTATATAAAGATTATTACCATGAAGCAACTTCTTTGGTCGCAGACACTAATCTCTTGAGCCTTGCAAGATGAAAGTACGCTCTAAAGATGAAAAATACTAAGATAAAAAATCACAACAAACGCCCTTGATTCGTTTCTAGAGTATATTCACCACCAACCTTGATAAAGAATCGTTTCCCTCATTTTGACTAACGGTCGACGAAACCTCTAAATGAAAAACATTCTTCAAATTATTTTCAATTAATTTATGAAAGGTAAATTTTTTTTCACGAAAGCAACTGAGAATACAAGCACTAATGTTCGACCCTCAGGATAGACAGACATTCAAGTTAGAAAGAATCGTATTTTACAAATAAGAAAAACGTAAGCATTCCTACCTGAGGGAGTGTTATTGCTACAGTTTTCCTTATTCTTCGTTGTCAAAGAATGTTGGTCCAAACCATCACAATTATTGCCTTCATCTTCAGAGTAAGTAAGACGCTGCGCTGTAAACAGCATTTTCTTGAAAGACTCAACAGGTCTTTTTGCAAAACTATCTTCACTTATCGAGGAACGATCTTCTTTTATAAGCTGATTATTGGTCAATGTGGCTGTCTTTAAAGACTCAACAGATCTTTCTGCAAAACCATCTTCACTTATCGAGGAACGATCTTCTTTTATAAGCTGATTATTTGTCAACGTGGCTGTCTTTAAAGACTCAACAGATCTTTCCGCAAAACCATCTTCACTTATGGAGGAACGATCTTCTTCATTGGTGATGTCATTTATCAGGTGATTATTTGTAAAAGGTTTTATCGGTCGAGATTCCTAAAACATTGTCATGTTATTTTATTTTAAAAAAAGTGTGCTAAAAAACAGAGTGAGAATTTATTTTGTAAGAAATCAAACCTCTGAGGTATAAAATCGAGGAAACGCATCAATGTTATCTGCTCTTGAGCACGATCTAAAAAACCAGAAAGATGGAGTATAATTTTTTTGTGAAAAACATCAAAAATCAAGTGAAATACGAACGTACAATAAAATCCTAAAACTTACCTGGTTTCATTATAACCAGAAAACAACGGCTCAACGCTGTCATTTTTGTCTTCCCGATGGGATGTAACGGCTAGCTTTAGATAACCACTTCCTTGTGATTCATTATCGCTCGCCAGAAATGAGGTTTTTAAAGCAAGATTCTCGATCAATGTGTGATAACTTTTCGTTGAATTAGTTTCACTAACAAGACTTTCGGTAGTTAGAGAGGGACTTGCGTTAAACAAAGGCATACGAGGACTATCTACAAGTACATCCGTATTTAAAGATCTCCAATCATCATTTGAAGATGTTATATCCTGTTGCTCCCGTTTATTTTTAAAAGAATGTGTTCTTTCTTCAAAATATTTCTTCTCGTTAGAAATTCGCGCGTCGATCCAATAACGTCTCTCGTTATTCATGTCAATTGCTTCAACCGTTCTTTTTTCTCTTTCAACGTTTTCCTCGGAAAGATTACTTCGAGATGCATCTACAGAAAATCTTCTATTTACCTTCAAGGCAGGTACGGATTTAGTTCTCATCCTGAGCCCGGATTTTAAATTATGTATCTTAAATTGAGGATTAATCTTAGATGCAGGAGAATCTAGGTTCGTTCGATCAATTTTTAAAAGCGTATTTGTAGAAAGACTATTGGGTTTCGGTTTATTCAAAAATGAATGTTTTTCACCATAATCGTCGATGAATTGTGAAGACCGTAGACTTGATGGATTGTATGTACCGTGTGTGGATAGTTTATGACTTAAGTCTCTTTTGCCTAACCTTTTCTTGAGATATTGAGTATTTTTTCTCTCCTTCTTTGAATCCTCAGCAGTATCAATGATCATTTGAAGTCTGGCACTGGCGCTGGAGCTATGGTATGAATGTGGACTATTGGTGGTCTTTTGAAGTAAGCTATGGGCCGTTTGAGGTACAGTATGGGTGGTTTGAGGTACAGTACGTGTGGTTTGAGGTACAGTACGTGTGGTTTGAGGTACACTATGGGTCACTTGAGGTACAGTATAGGTGGTCTGAGGTACAATTTGGGTATAGTATGAGTTACAGTATGGGTTGTTTGAGGTGTAGTATGAGTTATTTGAAAAGCATATTTACTAGACTTATCTTTATTTCTTCTGCTCATTCTTATGCCAGTTGGACTTTGTCTAATCATTGTGTTAGTATCATTTGAATCTACAGAATCTTTCTTTGTGTGTAAATGATTTCTGGCAAAAGTTTTGGGCGAATGGTTTAGGTGGGGTGTTGCTGTATTGTTCACAAGTTTTCCAGAGCCATAGTGATGGATGAATGGATCTTTTGATGAAAATCTTGCAGTGTTTGAAACTGGCAATTTTTTTCTAAAGACTCATCTACATAATGCCAAGATTTCCTTAGCTTTCCAATACATCAGTGCTTGAGCTTTCTAAGTCCCAACTCATATGTTTTTACCAGTCATCAACTTTTGCGTCATCTCTTGTCTTGTGTGATAAAGCAACTTGAGGAAAAGACTGATCACTTGAAAAGAGTTGTTGTTCGAAGATGGATGGAGATAAAGACCTTGAAAATCTTTCTTTTCTTCTTGGATGCACTTTTGTTGGTGATCTGTGTAGAATACAATATATCAATTACTCTAAGTAAATGTCATTTTGCATACAATGCTTTGATGAAATCAAAACTTACATTTTACTTCCATATTTGCTTTCATGAATATCATCAATCCAGCTGGGATAGTCTTTAGGTTCCAAAATTTCATTTATCCTTTCGGGATGAGGAATTTCTAAATGACCAATATTTATTAAGCAATGAATACCTCCACATGTCTAAATGGCCTAAACATCATACCTTGTTTCGTGTTTTTATAAAAACCTTTCACTAGCATATCTGTATTGATGCTACCAGCAATGCTTTCAAAGTAAGAAACACTGTTTGAAACCATATGTCACATAATGGTTTTTGAGATGTAAATAAAAAAGAATTCCGGCATATTCAGTTTGCTGTTCTGTTTGTTCACACTAAAAAATAACTGTTTCTCTCTCAGAAGTAGTTCATCTAGTTGAACGAAGTCATTAATTGTTCGTATTCTAAAGAAAAAACTACAGTGAAATCAATTTTCAATTGCAATCACATTTTGTAATTTTATTACATCTTTCTAGTCTAATTCCACTGATTGCAAGTGCTCGCAGCACACTAAATTCAAAAAAATAAAATCAATCAAGTCATACATATCATCTCACAAGCCAAATTTACAAAGGCAGGCATATACATGGTTAAGACATTGATATTTTTACGTACAAATATAACGAGAAAAAATACACAAATATTTAATCTCTGACGAAGGGATTTGTATCAGCAGTATCATAGGCATCTTCATCATCATGAGACTCCGCTGTGTTATAATTCAATACAGTATGTCTTGTATTGGACTGAAGACGAGATAATGACTTACGTTTCACTCTTTTCATGACATCAACAGGAGTAACACCATGGCGACTATAGCGATAGACAAAGTAAAGGACAACGATGATCACTAGAATACATACTAGAACACCAATGATGATCCCCGCAGGATTTGATGATTCAGTACTCGGACTCAGACTTCCTACAGGAAGCAAAATATATAAATTAGTTGCAACAAAATTTAAAGATATCATACTTTGGTTGTAATTGTTGACTAAATGGAAAGCTACATTGTTTCACGGGAGTCGGAAGGGCATTAACAACAAACGTGACGAATATAAGTATAACGAAATAACGTTGATATATTGCTTAATATAAATGAATGGATTACATAAACGCTAAAAGGAACGCGTGCCCCATGATCCAATAAGTTACATCCCTTCCGAGGGCGTCTCGTGTCATTTAAGGAAACCAGATAATCCTGTGTGCCATGAAGCCTATGGATGGTTGCTCTTGATACATGAGAAACAGTAAATGAGAGAGTTAAATCAACTGCGCATGTTCAAGCAGACTGCGCATGCGCAGATGTTTTATCTGAAATTTGTGACTGAGCGAGCTAACTACTCCATAATCGGTACTAATACAAACAGTTGGTCGTTGCCATGATCATGAACTTGGACAGCTGGTCAAGTCTACTGCGCATGCTTAAGCAGACTGCGCATGCGCAGATGATTGACCTGTAAATGGTCAAAAAAATTTTGACGTACTTCCCAAAGCAAGGTTGTCTAACCTAAACTAGAGAATGAATACTACAGTCTTGTGTAAAATTAAGAACTCAACATGGAAAGGTTCGAACAATTCTTGCGTTTCTAGAAAGTTTAAGATGGTAGATTTCAAGCACGCTTGAAAGTCAAAAGAACAACTATAAATATCTTTCAGTGGTCAAACATTACACTACATTCCGAAATAGACATTATAGGAGTCAATGGTCAAGTAAAATATGGTAGACAATTAACAAAAAAATTTACAGAAAGAGCGTACCTGTTAATTTCAAACGAGCTACCATGCTGGCACGTTCACCATTACCATCATCAACCACACATGTATAAGATCCAATATCGTGACGATCGACATTTTAATGACAAGTTTCCTATTTTATCAATAATGTCGTATTTATCGTTATCGATGATCTTTTTACCATCCTTATACCATAATATGTTGACGTTGTGATTGTACGCTGCACCATCGCAGTAAAAGCTTGACGTATTACCTAATTCAGCTATGGCATCTTTCGGCTTTTCAATTATGTATGGACAGGCTAAAAAATTACAAAACAAGGTATTCACATCTTTGGCAAAAGTAAACTAAAACAAAACCCTTCATCACATGTAAAATACGCACAGCTGATTTTTACTAATATAATCTTTGTCGTGCATCCTAATCATAAAAATCTTACTTAACTAATGTATTTAATACGATGAAGATTTAGAATTACATTATCATATTTCCAGATGACCAAAAATAATTTTCACGGCATTTTAGCAACCTAATTATGCATCAAGGCAGGATAATTATTTCTCTACAATCTTCCATTGTTAAAGTTATGTTCAAGGAGGGAGAAAAATTACTCCTTCTGAGCCTGGTGGTCTTTGCGGATGTTTCTTTTCTCCATTATACAAAGAAACAATCATAAGAATTATAGTAAAAACAAGCAAAAACAAGCTCCGCTTACATTCACCTGCTATGTTCTGGCTATCAAGGCATCATACATTTGTATCATTTTTACTCTTTGATATTTTTCATAGGCCTTAGGTCTACCATTATTAAGCCGGCTAGCATTTGTCATCCTATCTATGCCTTAGTGAACGATCATTCTTCGTGGAAATAAATCATTTTCCACGAAAGAGTCACGTGTTATCACAGGCCTCGAAAGATACGTCACGTGTTATCACAGACTTCGAAAGATACATGTACAAAGTCACAGACATTTAAAATAACGAAATAATTTACGTGATCAATGATACTAACCATAAATTCCATCCACACTGAGAAATGCAACTTTCTTAACTTTCTTTCCTCCACTATCGGCGATACAAACGAAGGCTCCAACATGGGAGATGTTCACTTTGTCTATTCGCAACTCCTTCGTATTTTTCAGCAACGTGCTACCAAATTTTTCCCACGAAATCGTAGGAGGAGGTTCGCCACTCGCTTCACAGTAAAACCTGGCGTACATACCTTCTTTGAGCGCCAGATTTTGTGGTGGATTGTAGATGCATGGCGGCACTAAATGATACATCACTTGATTAGAAAATAATAAATAGATTCATTATATCTTTTTAGCAATATAAAAGAGAGATATTACATCTTTGAAGATTATTTAAATGTCTGAAAGGTTTGTGAAGAATTTGACGTTTTGTCCTATGTTAATTTAGGACACTAAATTACAAAACGAGAAACAGTCCAGCTACATATACCCTTGTAAATACCGATTTGAAGCAGATCTTTTCAAGTTTTCTTTTTTAATCGTATCGTAGTTTATGCCATTTTTTTGTCATTGAAGAATTTAATCAATATTTTTCATCTTGATAAATTTAATATGCATAAGGATAGATTTATAAAAATATAGAATTATCGAATTTCTTTGATATGCATACGCGTAAATATTATTTTATTAATTAACAGCCAGTTTATTTTTATGAAAAATCTGAGAATTCAGGAGATTGCTGTTTGTAGTTGTTTGTAAATTCCTTATTTTAACATCTGTTGTACATTAGCTGACTAAATATATAAAAGACTGTGGGCGCAGGTTCCAATAAGCTATTTCCTTATTTTATTCACTAAAGGTTTTCAAATGAAAGACAGGGATTGTTACCATTTTTTATGATCAACTTTCCAGAGGTAGTTAAAGTAGTGTGTCCATCGTTTACAACACAATAATATTCGCCACAGTCCTTTTCTGACACTTGTATAATAGTCAACGTTTCATCAGAAATTACGTATTTTCCGTTATTTCTCAAAGTCTTTCCATTGTGACGCCAAGCAACCAAAGGCAAAGTCGTGCCCCTCTCGAACGGTCGACAATGAAATACAGCATTATCTTTCAACGACACTACGACGACACCAGGTTTCTTCTCGAAATGAATTTCATCTGGAAATAATAAAAATATTAATTGTGCGACGTAGATTGATTTAAATTACAGATAATGTTGAGGTGCAATTACAAAGTGACCTTCCACAAAAACACCACAAGCATCTTTCTAATGGGTATACAGCCAAATGGCTACATTAAAGATACGAACATGGCTACAAGTTTTGGTTCGGAAGTCGGGATAAGTAAGTTATCATATTTATGTATGCATTTAGCAAAGCTGTTAATGAAAAAATGTTGTTAGGTACTTAAAGGTCGTTGTAGTATCAAAGAATCTTATCTAATCATTAAATTACATACCACCAATGCGGAGCATAACGATTTCTGATGAGCTTCCACGAGAATTATTTGCCACACAAGTGTATTTACCGGCGTCTTTAAGAATTGATACGGCAATGTACAGTGAACCGTTGTTCATGACTCGTGGCCCTTCGTTCCTCGAAGTACTTTCGGAGAGTGTCTTGTTTTCAAATAGCCATGTTATGTCGGCGGGGTTGGCAAAACTTCACAGGTAAGAATGACTGATTGACCGTGAACAACAGAAACGGTATCAGCTCTCGTTATTATTGGCTTTCCTAAAGAAAAATTGTTACAATTTTAACATGGCTACCATTAAACATCGCCACCATTTAACATGGCTTCCATTAAACATCGCTACCATTAAACATCGCTACCATTTAACATGGCTACCATTAAACATGGCTACCATTAAACATGGCTACCATTTAACATGGCTACCATTAAACATGGCTACCATTAAACATGGCTTCCATTAAACATCGTTACCATTAAACATGGCTACCATTAAACATCGCTACCATTTAACATGGCTACCATTAAACATGGCTACCATTAAACATGGCTTCCATTAAACATCGCTACCATTTAACATCGCTACCATTTAACATGGCTACCATTAAACATGGCTACCATTAAACATCGCTACCATTTAACATGGCTACCATTTAACATGGCTTCCATTAAACATCGTTACCATTTAACATGGCTACCATTAAACATCGTTACCATTTAACATGGCTACCATTAAACATGGCTTCCATTAAACATCGCTAACATTTAACATGGCTTCCATTAAACATCGTTACCATTTAACATGGCTTCCATTAAACATCGCTACCATTTAACATGGCGCTACCATTAAACATCGTTACCATTTAACATGGCTACCATTAAACATCGCTAACATTTAACATGGCGCTACCATTAAACATCGTTACCATTTAACATGGCTACCATTAAACATCGCTACCATTTAACATGGCTTCCATTAAACATCGCTAACATTAAATATTGTTACCTTTGCAAACTTGGACCATCAAAAATTGTCACATTAAATATGACAAGTGTAAATATTAATGTACTGTATTGTATTTGCATTTTTTACATGCAAAGAATTTGAAAGAAATGAGGTGTTTCTTTTCACATACGACAAAACGATGACCAACCTGTAATGGTGAGATTATAGATAAACGTCAGTGACCCTAGAGAGTTACCAATGGTACAATTGTAAATTCCCCTTGGGAATAGTGAGATCCGATTGCTAAAACACCATTTCGAAAAACCATCACTGATTGGTTTACCGTCTTTGACCAATGATAAGCGCGAGATGATATATAAGTACCACTAGAACGGACACGACACAGCATGTGTACCATAACACCGACATTATAAAATCCTTTCTGATACAGTTGTTGATAGTAGGGAGTTAGACGAGTCTTTGAAATTACTAAAATTGAAACCAATAGTTAAAGAAGTATTTAAAACGATTTCGCAAGAAAGATAAATGGGGATATAAACATATGCATGTTTTGCTAGTTAAGTTCTTTAGAAATCAATTGTATAGTGATAATAACATGCATATACGAATATTCCCCCCCCCTGGTCAAGTTTCGAGATGGTAACGTCACTGTATTATCTAAACATCGATGTTAAAAAATTTTTAATATAATGTATTTACAATATATTTAATGGCATGGTGTCTTTCAGCTTTAAAAAAAAGAGTTCTTTTAGAACAGTATCGATGAAACACGCTAACACATAAGCAGATTTTGCTCCTATGAGTCGATATAAAGTTTGTGAGTAAAATGACTAAGTTTAAGTGTGTTTAAATTCACAGCTCATAACAAAACGTTCACTTTCGCTAAACATCGCCATATTCTTATGCAAGATACTAGCCCGCATGGAAGCTGCTTATCACAATAATGGTCGGAGTCAATGGTCGCAATCCAGCATCATCAGATTATGATGGAGAAAATCTTTATTGTTCTATGTTTATCAAGACAAATGTAAAACTAGAAATAAATTAAAATATATTTACATGTGCATTGATCACCATCACCAAAATAACCAGAAGGACAATGACGACAAAAAGATTCTTCGCTGCCAACGATACGACCATCCCCTTCAACACATGGCACTCCAGGATAACACACATCTTCTGTACACGGCTTTTTCATTATCTTACGACATACACGTTTATCTAAAGGCTTTCGCGAGCAGGTGACGAAGTGTGTAAAACTACACCAATACTTTGGACGTAAATGACAATCTGAGAGAGAACTCATACAATTCACATTGCGAGGTCAACGTTTTGTCCATAAGGTTTCCTTAAAAATGTGAAAGACTGCATGAGAAAATTCTGGATCATTGTAAAAAAGCCAACTTAAAGAGCATGTAAATATAAAAATAAGCAAAAACGCATTTTAGTACACAAAAATTCATAATGAAAACATATGACTCTGAAAATCAACACTCCCGACGATAGGCAGCCAACTGTTCGATGTTCTCTACATAACGTTCTTCCATTTATATAGATGCACTAAAAACTGCAGGCTCGCTGGTGTACAGATCTTATATAAAAACGTTTACTCACGAGCAAAAGGTTTCCTCTTGATGATTGAAGCCTGTTCAAAACCTAACTCTTGACAGACAAGATCATATATGAACTTCGCTCTGCTTCCCGTTGACTCGTATTCGCATATCATGTTCCATTTGCCATCCTTCATTACCCAAAGAAATCCCTCTCCATAAAAGGAGCCATTTAGAAGTTTCACTGAAGGTTCCCGGTGCGGCATCAATTCATTTAAAGAATGATCAGGATAACACGACTCAACACATTTAGTACCTCCTGAAAAAAAAGCGAATACAACTATGTCATACTGTAGAAGAAGCTCAAAAATACAATGTCTGTAGTTGATTTAAGGATAGTATACACTTCTCTATGGTTCATTTAAAGATAGCATACACTTCTCCATGGTTGATTTAAGGATAGCATACACTTCTCTATGGCTGATTTAAGAATATCATACACTTCTTTATGGTTGATTTAAGGATAGCATACACTTCTCTATGGTTGATTTAAGGATAGCATACACTTCTCTATGGCTGATTTAAGAATATCATACACTTCTTTATGGTTGATTTAAGGACAGCATACACTTCTCTATGGTTGATTTAAAGATAGCATACACTTCTCTATGGTTGATTTAAGGATAGCATACACTTCTCTATGGTTGATTTAAGGATAGCATACACTTCTCTATGGCTGATTTAAGAATATCATACACTTCTTTATGGTTGATTTAAGGATAGCATACTTCTCTATGGTTGATTTAAGGATAGCATACACTTCTCTACGGTTGATTTAAAGATAGCATACACTTCTCTATGGTTGATTTAATAGCATACACTTCTTTATGGTTGATTTAAGGATAGCATACACTTCTCTATGATTTATTTAATGATAGCATACACTTCTCTACGTTTAGATAAAACATAGCATACACAGCAATCAGTACATACGTAAGTAATAAGGGTCATCACAAGATGTACATCTATCATCAGTGTAGCCATCCATACATGTCCTACATTGATCACTACATCTTTGACACGTCATGTTATTTAGCTGAATGAAGTATCCATCTTCGCATTTGTCCTCACACTTTGAAGAACGCATTACTTGAGTGGGAAAACATGAAGTACAATGATTAGCCGAGCCTGCACATGTCAAACAGTTACTGGAGCAACGGCGACACTGTTTTCGTACTGCATAAAATCCATCTTCACATGACGTCAAGCATCTTTTGATTGGCGAATATCGTGAACAAGTCAGCTTGACCATAGAATAAGTTCTACAGGTTTCGACGACTATGCAACAACAAAAAATATTTCTCACTTGCAATTAATCTTAATTGAAAATTCCTACCCAGACAATTTCAACACGCTGTTTCCCTTGAGGTTTCGCCCCAGTTTCCTGATCCCCTAAATCTCTTACCAAAGCATTGAACTGAATATTACTGGACGGCTACTTGTCGTAGCCGTCCAGTAAAATTTGAAGCCAGCAATTTAACAAGTCCCAGTCTTTCCATGCACGGTCAAATGGAAGCTTATTACGTTAGTAATGTAAAGTGTTGATGATGATATTTGACTTCATGACAAAACCATAGCCTCACAGTTATATATTCACTTTATACAACGTATCCTAACACTGAATCAATCCATAAAACACCCATATAATCCCTTCATACCTACCTTTAGAACATTGCTTAAACGACGCTTCATTTCCAGTGCAGTTAAAAGCGACCATTTCTGATACGCCGAGGCGATAATTAAGATAACGAGAGAAAAAAGACACTGGATCACCGTAGCCAAGATGATGACAAACAACAGCGGCGGCTTTCATATTAAAACCGTGAAAACAAACTCCTTTCCATGTTTTATTCACCATGATCTCAATATAACCGGAAGAAATATTCTGGTATGGTACGTGATAAAGAAAAGATTTGGTCAATCTCAAATTCCTCACTCCTTCTACTGAATAATCTTTGTCAAGGCATTTCGTTAGACATGCTGCTTTGTAGGAGTATTTACCATTGGCACATACTGTGCAAATTTCAGAGCTTTCTCGACACGCGAGACACATTTGAAGATTGCATTTTTTGCACGTCTTACTTTTCGATTCGTAATATGTTCCCTCGGGACAAAATTCAACACATTTCTTGTCCCATGTCAGTAACTTTCCTGAAAAATGAAATCAAAGTACATTTTCTAAGATACAACAGAAATGTTCGCGTTTGTAAAGATACTTCGATATCAATAAGGATCACAAAAAGTTTATGGTTATTACAGTGATAACATGCAACTTCATGTGTGATGGATTTTCGTCAATAAATAGCGAGTGGAATAGTGCAAAAACAGGAGTTTAGTGTGTATAAATGGTTGGTCGTCTTTGTATGTTAGTACTCTGTATTTGGTACATTTAAATCTCGCGGCAATGGAGGAATCATCATCACTTTAATGCAGACGTTAGACTTACAGTGACAGTGATGTGTCACTGCTTCTAAACCTCACGGCAATGGAGGAATCTTCTTAAACTAAATTTGTTCTTCTTAAACAGCCAAACCGAGATGTAATGAATCTGAATAAGATAGAGCGAGAACGTGGCTTCACATGAAGCACACCTTCACTAGTATTGTTTCAGGACTAAGATGATAAAATAATGTTGTTCCCTAAGATAGTCCATTTTTTGTATTCATAGCTGAAGGGTATGTAGTTGAGGCAAACTGTAAATTGCTCCTTTCAACTATTCGTTAATACACGAACAATGATTGTCCAGGTTTTAATAAAATGTGTAGCGTAGTGGTAAGGAAAAGTGGCCAATATTCAAACAATTCTATAATCATGTATATAATATAGAAAGCTACCTTTTGGACATCCTGTACACAACGTGGCATTTTGATGCAACCCAAACAGTTCTTGGAGCAAAAAGCACACCTCTTCTGGTCATCAACGTACAAATTCTTTGTTGAAGGGCAATCTTCGATACATTGACTTGACAAATCAGGACCAGAACATTTTACAGACATAACATTAGTCCGTGAACAGAAAGAATATCTCTTTTGCAAAGGACAATCAAATATCGAAGACTCGTTGCCTGCAGTAGATAATAAATAAGAATGTCTCTCTATGAAATCTCAAAACAGTTATTATGTTTAACCTAAAATCAGTTATACATAACATCAATAAAATTTCTAAAACGAAGGCGAATTAATAAAGTCGAGTAAGAGTGACCGAATTACAAGTGCTGTTTATGGGACTGTTCTTTTCAAATTTCAAATCAGGTGACACTCACGCGCAGGGGAAAAGACAAATACACCCTCGCTAACCACAAATACACCCTCACCTACCAAATATACACCCTCAACTACAACAAATACACCCTCAACTACAACAACTACACCCTCAACTACCAAAAATACACCCTCAACTACCACAAATACACCCTCAACTACAACAAATACATCCTCACCTACCACAAACACACCCTCAACCACAACAAATACACCCTCGCTAACCACAAATACACCCTCACCTACCAAAAATACACCCTCACCTACCACAAATACACCCTCACCTACCAAAAATATACCCTCAACTACCACAAATACACCCTCAACTACAACAACTACACCCTCACCTACCAAAAATAAGCCCTCAACTACCACAAATACACCCTCACCTACCAAAAATAGACCCTCACCTACAAAAATACACCCTCACCTACCACAACTTGTCAACTTACAGGGTATAGAAATGCATTATGAGCACACACAAATTCCCGTTAATAAGTTAACATGAGAACGAACCAAAAAAAACAAATAGAACAAAAAAGATTGATAAAGTACCTGTACAAATAGGATTCTTCATAACAATAGGCGTCCTGTAACTATAGAACATAGACCTTTCATCCACCTCTACAACATTGCCCATATGAAGTTCACGACAAATAACTTGACCATCTTCCATAGTCGGTCGACGATCACAGAGAAAACCAACTCTAGAGCCAACTTTTAACTAAAGTATAAAAAAGGAATTGTCAAAAATTTTGTATTTTCATCACACACACAATTAATTGTTCCATCGTCAGTAAATTTTGATTTATTACAAAGAATTTGGCCAGCGCATTCCATTCCTTTATCGGCGCATTTTTTTATTTCTTCAATGAGCAAAGAAAAACGAAAGAAGTTAACTTTCTAACAACAATAAAAAAACTTTTCTTAAATATTTACAACTGAGGAGTAAAAATCCGGCTAGCTAGTCCTTTCCACGTTTCTTTGTGTTCATATTAAAGAAAGTTAGAGATGTAAAGATCATATCGTCATTTAATTTGTGTTCATATTCTCGATAATTCCAGTGAAAAGAATTAGTAAAACGCTTGAAAATCTAGAGAAAGATTTCACAATAATGCTTTTCGTGTTCTAACTAGTCACATTAAAAATTACGTCGCCTACAAATAATTCTCGATATTTTGTACATGGACAGACATTGACAATTATCTGTAAGCTTTGAAAGTAAATGGTTCGAACCCGGAGTATCGTTACATGTTTGTAGATGTAGATCGTTCAGGTTGGTATAGTCCTGAGAAGGACTGTTTTTCTTGTTGTAGACAGACGTTTAAACAACCTTAGCAGTAGTCATCTTCAGAGTCAAAAATGAAGATGACTACCGCTAAGGTTGTTTAAACGTCATTCAACAACAACAAAAACAGTCCTTCTCAGGACTATTCTAAGCTACACGATCAACATCTACAAACATGCTTTTAGCCAATCACGATGAAGATTGCACCATCATAGAATCATAATAGTCATTAACATACTCCGTTTCTCAACTATTCATTGTCAACAAAATACTTAACTACTTACCATAACAACACCTTCAAATGGACCCGTTCTTTGAGTTAAATTTATGTATGGATTTACAGTTCTTTCATATTGTTTACGCAAGCAGCTGTCTACACACATAACCTTAAGCAGTAATTTTGGACGTAGGCAGGATGTGCAGTGATGATCCGTGGGGCCGTTACAAGTTAAACAATCCACGTGACATTTCTCACACAACCCATCTTTTTTATAAAATCCTGGTGGACATTCCTCCAAACAGCGATTATCTTCTGTCAAAACATATCCTTGCTTACATGACGTACAGTTACTTGCCGTGCCTGAGCAGTTTATACAGGCGGACGCACAATGTATACAAAATTCACCGCTCACGTGGTACGACGTGGGACAACTAGGTACACATTTTGTCATTCCTGGATAATGACATTCAATATGAACATCCTCAGCGGCGATGCAGTCATGTACTCCCCAATTCGCACTCTCACAATCACTAAGCCTTTCTTCGTAACCGGTACAAACTACCTGGTCTAGCCACGTGCGGGTCACGTTCTGTCCACGTGGATTTTTATCGTTAAGATAAAGATGAACTTTGGGAGGACCAAGTAACAGTTGTCTACAGGCAACCGAGGAAGCATTTCCAGAATACCAACTATCGTAACAAATTGTCCCCCATTCTCCATCATGATAAATCTCCAACCTTCCCTTCGATACATAACCTTCTTTGCTTGATAATCTCAATTCGGGTTGATTGTGTACGTCGCTTGCTTTCAAGGGAAACGAATATTGCCCAGAAGGACACGAGCGTCGACATCGACCTTCTTTTGTCAACCGATGATCGTAGTCACAAGCAAGGCAAACACCAGATGCATTACAAAAAAAAGACATTTGAATGGACAAGCACGACATTTGCCATCTTTCGGGTAATGTTTAAAACCACATTTTTCAACGCAATCGAACTCTTTCTGGTACGTATTCTTCGGACATGACGCGACACAATGTGTTCCGTTATGAACCAAAGGACCCGCGCAAGACAAACAGTTGTCTTCTCTCAAACTACAGGTCGTGCATTTTTTCCCACAAGGTTTACACTTGCGGAGTTTCGAATCGGCATAAGTACCACGTGGACACTGAAGTGCGCAAAAAGTACCATTATGAAAATAACGTTCACGACAAGTAACACATTTCGAGGCATCATCCTTGCAGGTCAGACATATAGGATTGCACAGTTCACATATGTTGTTTTGATCACGGTAGGTACCGTCAGGACATTTTTCTATACAATTATTATCCACTCTAACATCCTTCGTAGGCGCCTTGCACCATAAACCAACATCGTCATTGTGATCACAATAATAATAAAACCAATCACCTTGATAACATGAAATAAATGACGTTTCGTCCCCCTTACATCTTATATAACGTTTTAGAATTGGACCTTTGCCTGTCCCATATAGACCGCCCGAGTACTTTAAAGGTTCTCCGAAGCCTAACTCTCTACAAAATACTCGAGCTGTATGTAGATAAAAGTTAATGCTGCATATTGTATGCCATTTCCCATCATATTTCACTTCCAGTAATCCTTTGTACTGGCTACTGTTTTTCCCAGATAAACGAATAAATCTTTTATTGACTACACCTTTACCACAATTGCTAACACAACTTCCAGCGTCTAAATACGGTCTTTCTTTATCCACATGACAACTGGTGCATACATCTAAAGATTTGCAAGTGCGACATTGCTCTGAGCAGGGCATGCATCTCCTTGAATCACCATCCCCAAACATCCCTGAAGGACAATTGGCAACACACTTTGTACCTAGGAAAATCATTTGTTTATCAAAATTCATTCCTTACAAATATATGGTGAAAAGAGTGTGGTGATTGGTCTATAGCTGCATTAGCCTGTGCAAATCGATTTGAGCTCAACCAATCAAATCATTCAATCGATCATAGAGAATTTGAAAATCATGAATACATTTAAAATGGAAAAATTGAAACGTTTTTAGTTTTTTGTGGGAGCTCTCAAGCAGATGTAAACCTTGACCATAGGTCATAAGCATGCACTGATCTGCTGTGGAGTTCTCCCCAAGTTCTACTTGGATAAGCCTGTGCAAATACAATAAACATCTTTTATTTTTTAAATAGCAGGCTAAGATCTTTACACTGTCATGTGTTTTGACTACCATTTAAGAAATAAAAGATGTTTCCTATGTTTTCACAGGCTTATGCAAACCCGAGGAGACCTTTGGGAGAACTCGAGAGCAGATCAGTGCAAGCCCGAGGCCAAAGGTCGAGGATTGCACATGTTCTAGAGTTCTCACAAATGTCTCCGGGTTTGCATAAGCCAGTGCAAACACAAAAAACATCTTTTATTTCTTTTATAAAATAACAATAATGCGAAAAAGACAAACATTAAAATTTTTCCTCTAAAACGTTTCATGATCAATATGCAAATTCTCTTTGACTGATTGATTGTTTTAGTTGATTTGATTGGTTGAGCTCAGATGTGTTTTGCACAGGCTAATGCAAACACAGCTCTAGACCAATCATAGCGTGGTTTCATTGTGTTTATTTTATAAACACTAATATTATCATACATACCACGGAGAAATCTCATTTCATTACAACTTAAACAAGTGTCCATGGAGGTACAAGTCCTACAATCAAGAGGACATGGTTGGCAAGAAGATTTAAACTTGAAGAAACCATCTCCACAGTCAACTTCACACGTTCTCCTCGTATCTGGACCACTACATCGGATTGCTACATCTTCCATATGACTGCATTTATTCTTTCCTCCATCTGAACAGATTTGAAAAGGTTTCGGTAAACGTCAAGACAAATGATTGTATATTTCCTGCCACTGACTTCATTTGCACAAAGGTGGCACTGTTGTTATTCATTTACATGTGTTTGTATGATATTTTTTAATAAGATCACATCTGTATGCTTATCCTATTGATTTTATAAGTGGCATTGCTAATATTTTGTCAACCATTTATCAAGGTACGCTTTTAGATATCCCATAACATCCCTTATATACCACCAATGCTTCTCCTTAGAAGACGCCATAAACATATCTTAATAACTCCCCCTGTAAGAACCTCATACTTCCCTTGTCACCACACATTAAGAAACCCCTTAGAGAGCCCATAAGACATCCCTCAACACCCCTGTGGATACCTAACCAGTGGACTCCTCCCTATGATATTCCCTAACATCCCTTGTGGACTTCCCCAAGGAAATGTGCCTCTTAGAGACCTCCTAAGGACTCCCTTATAAGTCCTTGTAGACACTCATAGGAGAACTTTTACAAAGCACTTAAAACAATAGGTGCAGCTTCTGAGTGTGGTCCTTGAGACAAAGGCACGGTTGTTGACAAAGAAATAGGCAAAATTTAACTCATATACAAAGTAATGTCAACTTTTTTGTGATCTGTCAATTAGAAATTGGGAAATTTTTCATATAAGATCAAAAGTTTCATATTCCCCAACCAGAGTATTTCAGAGAGATGTGATGACTTCCTTCCTTTACGATGACCCCAGCACAAGGTATTGTAAATAATAACAATATTGTTGTATACCTCTTTTAGGACAATCAAATATAGAGTCTTCATTGCCTCTACAACGCACATCACTAAACCAAATTTTTTGTTCGAAAATCATAAGGTTTGAACCATTTTTGTCCAACAATCTTACTCTCAATAACATTTCCAAACTTCAGTTCCTTGCATACCACAGTTGCATCTTGCTCACCCCACTCACTGGAGCATATAGTACCCCATGATCCATTGTAATACACCTCTACCACACCTTCCAAGATTGAAGATCCATTGACAAGTCTTACTCTTGACTACCAGAACTCTTCTTCAATGCAGACTTAGAAACACAGTCTTCTTTACAAGCACCATCTCGAGTAAGGTATTTGGAATGGTGTACATCTCCGTCTTCTTTACAAGCAAGGCATCCCTTTTCATTGCATGCTGAACAAGAGGAATGGCAACTTTGGCATTTTTTATCTTTGGCAATGTATGAACCGCGAGGACAATCTTTGATACAAAAGTTGTTCGAGGGTATTTCATCAGATCTACATGGCCGTTTCAAAACATCTTTTCTTAAACAGCTTCCTGTAAATATATGAAATGGGATGATATTTTCAAAAGCAACTTGGTGGGTCATTTCCATCAGTCACGTTTTAAATTCGTACTTACTCGCAACAATAACATTTTTTATAAATTTACAAACTCCTGTCTAACCATATATAACTCAATATTTTTGTGACAAGAGACCCTAAAGATTCAATTAGCTAATTTGATTAATTCTAACTGTAAACCTTCAAGAGGAATCGTTAACGAGCATCAATATCAATTGCGTGTGCTTCAAAATAATTCACCATTAAACAAACAGATTATTTCTAAAAAAGTGTTTCGCTTTAGGGCAAAATACTACCGTTAATAAAGTAAAACGAAAGTTCTATGTATACTGGGATTAGATAGTAAAAGGAAATTAGTAATTACTAATACCATTTCATACCATACCGTCGGTTGAGGCCACTTCAGGTAAACTGCGTAAAATTCCTCCGAAAATTGTGACACACATAAGATTCACCGTTATACGTAAAATCATATTTATCGGACATTTAACATAAGATTTTACCTAGAAAACAATGTACAACACATGATAATACGTACAACAATGGCAGTACCATGTAAAGACTTTCAACCACGCTGCGTGAGGTCCACGCGTTTGTTCGTGTACAATTTTGCAACGATGAAATGCATGTAACGATTATGTTTTCGTCATTTATAACTTTCATTGTTTAGCATTTATTTAAAATTTAGATATTAGAACTAACACAACCAACGAGAAAAACATGCAGAGATATTTTCATAATGTTTGTACAGCAGTGACAAGAACTTATACATTGGAATTTTCAGATATATTTGAAACATTGCGTAATCATTCCTGTGAGAGTCTAACATGGCCACTCTGGCCTTATTAGTCATGCAGTCATTACACGCCCAATGGTAAACAATAGGCTCTAAATAAGGAGCTCTTTATTGTTAATCTATATCCTCGTTTTACGTAAAACCTTTTTATAAAACCACTTCACGACTTTCTTACATTAAATTTTGTGCTTTTATCAAGTTCCTTGAAGACTGAACTAAATGAAGGTGAAAAGTACTAAATTTCTATAACATATGGCCTACGTGTGTACACACACTTGAGGTGATTATATTGGACTAGAGGGAAAGTTTCAAACTTTGAGAGGAAAATTCAAACAAATTGTCAAACACCACTTTTGCCATAATGCATATTGAAGCAATCGAAGAATCACATATTATAAATCATAGTCCAATAAAAACAAACGCACATGGACAGACTACCGTAAAAAATCATCATACAACCCAATATCACAAATACGTCATCACGATTAGAGCATTAACAAGACGCGCACAACTCATAAGTGTTTCACCATACTACGAAAACTGAAACTTACAAACTTTCATCAAACGATACACTTCATCAAACGCAACTTTCATCCACTCATAACTGACTTTACAAAGACAAAGCAAATACTGGGGAACTTCTAGGACAAAGAACAACCAATATTTATGACAGGAACTGTTCCGACTGCCACGTGACTTCAACTTACAGGAACTTAAACATATGACTTACTGAACAGGAAAAACTACAGAAAAAACGACTTTCGAAAGTTGTTATAGCAACTAATAAGAAAACCTACAGGCATTCAACAAACGATTTATCTACACAACCTCGGAGAACTGTTGTTATGTATTTTATTAAAATACTCAGAGGTTCCCGTAAACATTTTCGAAAAATTAAGCATACAATAGTTCACACGAACCAATACACCAATACACAATTGACACTGACCCCACACCCACATTCCTGCACACTTAACGATGACATATGAACCAGACCGCTTAAATCCTTGAGACTACAGTTGACTAACGCTAAGCTTGTCGAAACGTCAGTCAACACCAACAGCAACTGTCCTTCTCAGGACTCTACTAACCTGGACGATATGAAATATCTAGCAACAAGCATTGATAGTAATTCCAGGTTTGAACCATTCACTAGATAAAACATGGCTTAGGTTCGACAACTTTTCATAATATTGCATCTTAGGTTTTCTACTGTAAATATTCACAGTAGTCTACAACTTAAAGAAAAAAAATCTTTGAAATGAAACGACGGCAATTTTGATGGTAAAATGATGATAATCAATCTTAATACGAAGAGTTCTTTTTCACCAAATTGTTTCTTCAAAGAGTTATTACATCAATTCGTACTCAATCCTGAGATGAATCCCGTAGCCACGTTTTACTCAATAATCATTGCATTTTAACGGGAATATAATATTATAAGCTCGCTTAGTCGCTCTTACTTACAGAACTTAATATTCTTATATAAGGATTATTACCATGAAGCAACTTCTTTGGTCGCAGACACTAATCTCTTGAGCCTTGCAAGATGAAAGTACGCTCTAAAAATGAAAAATACTAAGATGAAAAATCACAACAAACGCCCTTGATTCGTTTCTAGAGTATATTCACCACCAACCTTGATAAAGAATCGTTTCCCTCATTTTGACTAACGGTCGACGAAACCTCTAAATGAAAACATTCTTCAAATTATTTTCAATTAATTTATGAAAGGTAAATTTTTTTTCACGAAAGCAACTGAGAATACAAGCACTAATGTTCCACCCTCAGGATAGACAGACATTCAAGTTAGAAAGAATCGTATTTTACAAATAAGAAAAACGTAAGCATTCCTACCTGAGGGAGTGTTATTGATACAGTTTTCCTCATTCTTCGTTGTCAATGAATGTTGGTCCAAAACCATCACAATTATTGCCTTCATCTTCAGAGGTAAGACGCTGCGCTGTAAACAGCATTTTCTTTAAAGTCTCGACAGGTCTTTCTGCAAAACTATCTTCACTTATCGAGGAACGATCTTCTTTATAAGCTGATTATTGGTCAATGTGGCTGTCTTTAAAGACTCAACAGGTCTTTTTGCAAAGCCATCTTCACTTATCGAGGAACGATGTTCATTTATAAGCTGATTATTTGTCAATGTGGCTGTCTTTAATGACTCAACAGATCTTTCTGCAAAACTATCTTCACTTATCGAGGAACGATCTTCTTTTATAAGCTGATTATTTGTCAATGTGGCTGTCTTTAAAGACTCAACAGATCTTTCTGCAAAACCATCATCACTTATGGAGAAACGATCTTCTTCATTGGTGATGTCATTTATCAGGTGATTATTTGTAAAAGGTTTTATCGGTCGAGATTCCTAAAACATTGTCATGTTATTTTATTTTAAACAAAGTGTGCTAAAAAAACAGAATAAGAATTTATTTTGTAAGAAATCAAACCTCTGAGGTATAAAATCGAGGAAACGCATCAATGTTATCTGCTCTTGAGCACGATCTAAAAAACCAGAAAGATGGTAGAATTTTTGTGAGAAACATCAAAATTCAAGTGAAATACGAACGTACAATAAAATCCTAAAACTTACCTGGTTTCATTATAACCAGAAAACAACGGCTCAACGCTGTCATTTTTGTCTTCGCGATGGGATGTAACGGCTAGCTTTAGATAACCACTTCCTTGTGATTCATTATCGCTCGCCAGAAATGAGGTTTTTAAAGCAAGATTCTCGATCAATGTGTCATAACTTTTCGTTGAATTAGTTTCATTAACAAGACTTTCGGTAGTTAGAGAGGGACTTGCGTTAAACAAAGGCATACGAGGACTATCTACAAGTACATCCGTATTTAAAGATCTCCAATCATCATTTGAAGATGTTATATCCTGTTGCTCCTGTTTATTTTTGTTTCTTTCTTCAAAATATTTCTTCTCGTTAGAAATTCGCTCGTCGATCCAATAACGTCTCTCGTTATTCATGTCAATTGCTTCAACCGTTCTTTTTCTCTTTCAACGTTTTCCTCGGAAAGATTACTTCGAGATGCATCTACAGAAAATCTTCTATTTACCTTCAAGGTGTACGGATTTAGTTCTCATCCTGAGCCCGGATTTTAAATTACGGATCTTAAATTGAGGATTAATCTTAGATGCAGGAGAATCTAGGTTCGTTCGATCAATTTTTAAAAAGCGTATTTGTAGAAAGACTATTGGGTTTCGGTTTATTCGAAAATGAATGTTTCTCACCATATTCGTCGATGAATTGTGAAGACCGTAGACTTAACGGACTGTATGTACCGTGTGTGGATATTTTATGACTTAAGTCTCTTTTGCCTAACCTTTTCTTGAGATATTGAGTATTTTTTCTCTCCTTCTTTGAATCCTCAGCAGTATCAATGATCATTTGAAGTCTGGCACTGGCGCTATGGTATGAATGTGGACTATTGGTGGTCTTTTGAAGTAAGCTATGGGCCGTTTGAGGAACAGTATAGGTGGTTTGCGGTACAGTACGTGTGGTTTGAGGTACAGTACGGGTGGTTTGAGGCAGTACGGGTGGTGTGAGGTACACTATGGGTCACTTGAGGTACAGTATAGGTGGTCTGAGGTACAATTTGGGTAGTATGAGTTACAGTATGGGTTTTTTGAGGTGTAGTATGAGTTATTTGAAAAGCATATTTACTAGACTTATCTTTATTTCTTCTGCTCATTCTTATGCCAGTTGGACTTTGTCTAATCATTGTGTTAGTATCATTTGAATCTACAGAATCTTTCTTTGTGTGTAAATGATTTCTGGCAAAAGTTTTGGGCGAATTGTTTAGGTGGGGTGTTGCTGTATTGTTCCCAAGTTTCCCAGAGCCATAGTGATGGACGAATGGATCTTTTGATGAAAATCTTGCAGTGTTTGAACCTGGCAACCTTTTTTCTAAAGACTGATCTACATAATGCCAAGATTTTCTTAGCTTTTCATTAGGATTCACTGTTGATGCAGCAGAAAGTTCTCGACTGTCTTCATCCATCATGAATGACAATTCTTTTGACAGAGAATCATGAATATCTGATGCTATACACAAAAAGATCTTCAGTTACTTAATATCATCCTTGAAACATACAATTTCTTCACATCACTAACCATATTTCTTGACACTGTGCTTCCGTAGGTCACTGATCTTTTTATCATGATATAAAGAGGTATGAAGGTCCCCTCCCATGTTAACTGGATTATGACCATATATGGACTCACCAACCAATACATCAGTGCTTGAGCTTTCTAAGTCCCAACTCATATGTTTTTTCCAGTCATCAACTTTTGCGTCATCTCTTGTCTTGTGTGATAAAGCAACTTGAGGAAAAGACTGATCACTTGAAAAGAGTTGTTGTTCGAAGATGGATGGAGATAAAGACCTTGAAAATCTTTCTTTTCTTCTTGGATGCATTCTTGGAGGTGATCTGTGTAGAATACAATATATCAATTACTCTAAGTAAATGTCATTTTTGTATACCACGCTTTGATGAAATCAAAACTTACATTTTACTTCCATATTTGCTTTCATGAATATCATCAATCCAGCTGGGATAGTCTTTAGGTTCCAAAATTTCATTTATCCATCCGGGATGAGGAATTTCTAAATGACCAATATTTATTAAGCAATGAATACCTCCACACGTCTAAATGGCCTAAACATCTTACCTTGTTTTGTGTTTTTATAAAAACCTTTCACTAGCATATCTGTATTGATGCTACCAGCAATGCTTTCAAAGTCAGAAACACTGTTTGGAGAAGGAAGAGTTGACAGCTCCATATCTTCGTCATTAAGACTACTTGAATCATCATGTTGATGTTTGTCATCTCCTAAATCATAATAAACACATATGTATCTAAATGAGATTGTTATTTTCCCAGAGAGACTTTGTACAGAAAAAAAACAACAATGTGACACACAGTGATAAATTGTTTTCAGGAGTGTGGAGAATACTGGGGATGGAATTATTTGAGGAAAATAAACTTTCTTCTTATACTCCAACCTTCTAGATATTCATGGTCTGTAACTGTCTTTGCATCCTCCAAACTTGATATACTGCTTTCACCAAAAGGCACAATCTTTCTTTTTAAATCTTTTACATAAGAATCATTAACCCATCGTACCAAATCATTCTCCATTGCTCTTTGTTTTTCAACGAAAAGTCCTTCTACCTTTGGTGAAGAAGAAACTCGAGGCTTCGTTGACAACAGAAACTCATTTTCCGTAGCAACCAAATGTTCCCGGCGTCTGTTTTGTTTGCTCTTGAACATCATTTGTAAAATTTCTGATATATTTTTCTAGTTCTTCTGAAGCGTTTCGAGTAGAAATATTTTGTAATTTTAACACGTAATGTTGGTTCGCTCAATGAACTATCTTCGTTTGAGCTGCTCATAGATGAAAATATGGGAAAACATCATCACTTACTCGCAATAACAATTAAATAAAATGAATAGTTTTCTTTAAAAACATTGCTTTGGAACAAGCAAAAATTTCGTTATGTTGCACATATAAATTGAAGAGAAAAGAAAGAAAGAAATAAGAAAAGAGGTCAAGTTGCATGAGAGGGGTAAGATTCTCATATGTGATAACCCTCTCAATTCGGACCTCAACATAAGATTTCGGCTTTCTATTTATACAGCAAATTGTCACAAAACACCAGACAAGTGGTGCAAATGAATGAATCAAAAATCAGAAACGCATGCGCATACAAGATATGTAATTCTGATCGTCGAATTAAACGTCGACAGCTTAGATGAAACGATTTCTACTCGTTTATATTTTGAGAAAGATATTTTCCTTCAAAAACAGTTCGTATGAAAAGATTTGTTCTCTCACAAAAACAATTATACAGCGGAAATTGCGTGTTTAGAAAGTTTGTAAGAGAATCATTATACATGTCGCAATAATAATCGAAGTAAATTGCTGTGTTACTTGTGTAAACTGCAACATTGATTTAAAATTTTAAATTTTAAAATAAAATCCTGAAAATAAAATTAATGAGGTCAAGGGTTGGAAGTGGGGTTAAGGACTCATATGTTGATAACCTCTTCCGTCGGACCTCAATATTGAAGAATTTAACTTTTTATTTATACAACAAATTATTAATAAAGCCCAAACAAGTGGGACAACGAGATACCAATGCGCACGCTCAAACTAGAACTTTTCAGCACAGAAATTACTACTATGAGATAAAGGGAAAGAAGAGAGAGTTTGCCCACAATCTTAACAGAAAAGAGGAAAAGCAAAAAGTTGGACGGATTGATGTCTACTCACCTAAAACTTTGGCTTCCTTATATCAGATGGCTGGGCCAAAGTATAATTTTAATGATAACAGTACATCAAAAACTTATAAACAAGTAATCATAAAAGTTATTAAAATCTTTTCATTTTCCTTCTTTCATTCTCATTTTTAATTTCATCTTTCTTTGAATTATGATATATTTTGTTTTGTTCATTAAGTTCATCCAATGAATACTTTTCATATGTCAATTGCCACAGCCAAGAAGGATAATCTTTCTCTGAAGCACTCACTTTGCCTTGATTTTCATCCTTCAGATAGCTAATGCTAGTTTGAAATTCTTGCTTCGATTTAACTGATAAAATTACAATACGTAAGATCAATGAAATATATTCATCTATTGTCAAAAATAATAATTTCTTGGTAGTATTTTCTCAAAGAAAAAAAAAATTTTCAGCTACACTTTACAACTCAACATACCCGAAATTGTTGTGATTAAACGTCTCGCTGGTCCATGACAGTACGGCACAATCAAGTCAGTATGAAAAGAGCATTTTGTAACGAAATGTTTGCTCAACCAAATTAAACTGAACATTTTAGACAAAATTTTGTCTCTGCTTTAATCTATACAGTCATTCTAATTTGTTTAAACTAATAGGACATGAAGTATTTGACATATCAGCTTAAACACCGCAAAGGACGAAAGCTTGGTATAGCAGGCTCTTTCGTTTGCATTCGGCGACATTCGCTATTGAACAAATATAATCGATTGTAATCAAAAAATTCGAACCATGAGTTTTATGAGACTGAACAACTTGTTTGACCTTCTTTTTTCTTTGATTTCAAATTTCTGGCAGCATAAACTATCAAAACACAAAGTTTATCACGATAAAATGAAAAAATGTATTTTTTATTACATTGAAAAATCATTAAACCTTACCAATTATATTCAATTCACTAGGATGCAGCATTTTGAATAGTTTTTTTCCTAAAAACCTCTTCTTTACAATCAAAAATGGACATCAACTTTTGCGTCATCTCTTGTCTTGTGTGATAAAGCAACTTGAGGAAAAGACTGATCACTTGAAAAGAGTTGTTGTTCGAAGATGGATGGAGATAAAGACCTTGAAAATCTTTCTTTTCTTCTTGGATGCATTCTTGGAGGTGATCTGTGTAGAATACAATATATCAATTACTCTAAGTAAATGTCATTTTTGCATACAATGCTTTGATGAAATCAAAACTTACATTTTACTTCCATATTTGCTTTCATGAATATCATCAATCCAGCTGGGATAGTCTTTAGCTTCCAAAATTTCATTTATCCATCCGGGATGAGGAATTTCTAAATGACCAATATTTATTAAGCAATGAATACCTCGACATGTCTAAATGGCCTAAACATCATACCTTGTTTTGTGTTTTTATAAAAACCTTTCACTAGCATATCTGTATTGATGCTACCAGCAATGCTTTCAAAGTCAGAAACACTGTTTGGAGAAGGAAGAGTTGACAGCTCCATATCTTTGTCATTAAGACTACTTGAATCATCATGTTGATGTTTGTCATCTCCTAAATCATAATAAACACATATGTATCTAAATGAGATTGTTATTTTCCAAGAGAGACTTTGTACAGAAAAATAAAAATACAATGTGACACATAGTGATAAATTGTTTTCAGGAATTTGGAGAATACTGGGGATCGAATTATCTGAGGAAAATAAACTTTCTTCCTATACTCTAACCTTCTAGATATTCATGATCTGTAACTGTCTTTGCATCCTCCAAACTTGATATACTGCTTTCACCAAAAGGCACAATCTTTCTTTTTAAATCTTTTACATAAGAATCGTTAACCCATCGTACCAAATCATTTTCCATTGCTCTATGTTTTTCAACGAAAATTCCTTCTACCTTTGGTGAAGAAGAAACTCGAGGCTTCGTTGACAACAGAAGCTCATTTGGGCTTCCGTAGCAACCAAATGTTCCCGGCGTCTGTTTTGTTTGCTCTTGAACATCATTTGTAAAATTTCTGATATACTTTTCTAGTTCTTCTGAAGCGTTTCGAGTAGAAATATTTTTGTAACTTTTAACACGTAATGTAGGTTCGCTCAATGAACTATCTTCGTTTGAGCTGCTCATAGATGGAAAATATGGGAAAACATCATCACTTATTTCGCAATAACAATTCAATAACATGAATCGTTTTCTTTAAAAACATAGCTTTGGAACAAGCAAAAATTTCGTCGTGTTGTACATATAAATTGAAGAGAAAAGAAAGAAATAAGAAAAGAGGTCAAGGTGCATGAGAGGGGTAAGAACTGCATTTATATGTCAGGAAAGGATGAAGTTAACAAGCGCCAATTATTTTTCTTGGCTTCAATTTCTTTTTTTGGTCCTCCATTTTCATACAAATAGTCTAGTTAACTCTTTCCATACCCCTCTCAATTCGGACCTCATAAACATAGCTTTCGGCTTTCTACTTATACAGCAAATTGTCACAAAACACCGGACAAGTGGTGCAAATGAATCAAAAATCGAAAACGCATGCGCATGCAAGATATGTAATTCTGATCGTCGAATATTGTCAACGTTAAAATTAAAACCTGGACAACGTAAATGAAACGATTTCTACTCGTTTATACTTTCAGAAAGATATTTTCCTTCAAAAACAGTTCGTATGAAAAGATTTGTTCTCTCACAAAAACAATTATATAGCGGAAATTGCGTGTTTAGAAAGTTTGTAAGAGAATCATTATACATGTCGCAATTATAATCGAAGTAAATTGCTGTGTTGCTTGTGTAAACTGCAACATTGATTTAAAATTTTTAAATTTTAAAATAAAAATCCTGAAAATAAAATTAATGAGGTCAAGGATTGGGAGGAGGGGTCAAGGACTCATTAGTTGATAATCCTCTCCCTTCGGACCTCAATATAGAAGAATTTAACTTTTTATTTATACAACAAATTATTAATAAAGCCCAGAAAAGTGGTACAACGAGATACCAATGCGAACGCTCAAACTAGGACTTTTCAGCACAGAAATTACTACTATGAGATAAAGTGAAAGAAGAGAGAGTTTGCCCACAATCTTAACAGAAAAGAGGAAAAGCAAAAAGTTGGACGGATTGATGTCTACTCACCTAAAATTTTAGCTGCCTTATATCAGATGGCTGGGCCAAAGTATAATTTTAATGAAAACAGTACATCTAAAACTTATAAACAAGTAATCATAAAAGTTATTAAAATCTTTTCATTTTCCTTCTTTCATTCTCATTTCTTAATTTCATCTTTCTTCGAATTCGATGATATATTTTGTTTTGTTCATCAAGTTCATCCAATGAATACTTTTCATATGTCAATTGCCACAGCCAAGAAGGATAATCTTTCTCTGAAGCACTCACTTTGCCTTGATTTTCATCCTTCAGATAGCTAATGCTAGTTTGAAATTCTTGGTTCGATTTAACTGATAAAAATTACAATACGTAAGATCAATGAAATATATTCATCTATTGTCAAAAATAATAATTTCTCGGTGGTATTTTCTCAAAGAAATATAAAATTTTCAGCTACACTTTACAACTCAACATACCCGAAATTGTTGTGATTAAACGTCTCGCTGGTCCATGACAGTACGGCACAATCAAGTCAGTATGAAAAGAGCATTTTGTAACGAAATGTTTGCTCAACCAAATTACACTGAACATTTTAGACAAGATTTTGTCTCTGCTTTAATCTATACAGTCATTCTAATTTGTTTAAACTAATAGGACATGAAGTATTTGACATATCACCTTAAACACCGCAAAGGACGAAAGCTTGGTATAGCAGGCTCTTTCGTTTGCATTCGCCGACATTCGCTATTGAACAAATATAATCGATTGTAATCAAAAAATTCGAACCATGAGTTTTATGAGACTGAACAACTTGTTTGACCTTCTTTTTTCTTTGATTTCAAATTTCTGGCAGCATAAACTATCAAAACACAAAGTTTATCATGATAAAATGAAAAAATGTATTTTTTATTACATTGAAAAATCATTAAACCTTACCAATTATATTCAATTCACTAGGATCCAGCATTTTGAATAGTTTTTTTCCTAAAAACCTCTTCTTTACAATCAAAAATGGACATCCACTTTTGCGTCATCTCTTGTCTTGTGTGTTAAAGCACACTTGAGGAAAAGACTGATCACTTAAAAAGAGTTGTTGTTCGAAGATGGATGGAGATAAAGACCTTGAAAATCTTTCTTTTCTTCTTGGATGCAGTCTTGGAGGTGATCTGTGTAGAATACAATATATCAATTACTCTAAGTAAATGTTATTTTTGTATACAATGCTTTGTTGAAATTAAAACTTACATTTTACTTCCATATTTGCTTTCATGAATATCATCAATCCAGCTGGGATAGTCTTTAGGTTCCAAAATTTCATTTAGCCATCCGGGATGAGGAATTTCTAAATGACCAATATTTCTTAAGCAATGAATACCTCCACACGTCTAAATGACCAAAACATCATACCTTGTTTTGTGCTTTTATAAAAACCTTTCACTAGCATATCTGTAATGATGCTACCAGCAATGCTTTCAAAGTCAGAAACACTGTTTGGAGAAGGAAGAGTTGACAGCTCCATATCTTCGTCATTAAGACTACTTGAATCATCATGTTGATGTTTGTCATCTCCTAAATCATAATAAACACATATGTATCTAAATGAGATTGTTATTTTCCAAGAGAGACTTTGTACAGAAAAATAAAAACAATGTGACACGTAGTGATAAATTGTTTTCAGGAGTGTGGAGAATACTGGGGATCGAATTATTTGAGAAAAATAAACTTTCTTCTTATACTCTAACCTTCTAGATATTCATGGTCTGTAACTGTCTTTGTATCCTCCAAACTTGATATACTGCTTTCACCAAAAGGTACAATCCTCCTTTTTAAATCTTTTACATAAGAATCGTTAACCCATCGTACCAAATCATTCTCCATTGCTCTATGTTCTTCAACGAAAATTCCTTCTACCTTTGGTGAAGAAGAAACTCGAGGCTTCGTTGACAACAGGAACTCATTTGGACTTCCGTAGCAACCAAATGTTCCCGGCGTCTGTTTTGTTTGCTCTTGAACATCATTTGTAATATTTCTGATATACTTTTCTAGTTCTTCTGAAGCGTTTTGAGAAAAAGTTTTGTAATTTTTAACACGTAATGTAGGTTCGCTCAATGAACTATCTTCGTTTGAGCTGCTCATAGATGGAAAATATGGGAAAACATCATCACTTATTTCGCAATAACAATAAAATAATTTCGTAAAAGCACTATTAATATTATTATTTATTTAACGAACAGACAGGGCCGAATTCATGATGCCATTCAGTATGAATGAATAATAGATACAGGGTTTATATAGTAATATAATACATAAATTATACAATTATACAATTTATGTATCATATTACTTTTATATAAACCCTGTAATTTATGTATCATAGTACTAAAAGTAATATGATACATAAATTACATAATTATACAATTTATGTATCATATTACTTTTATATAAACCCTGTATCACCTATTATTTCATTCATACTGAAGATGGCATCATGAGATGTCGAAACATGTCTATTTTCAAAAAAGTTGTCGTTTATATTAAATGTGTAACAATTAAATAAAATGAATCGTTTTCTTTAAAAACATTGCTTTGGAACAAGCAAAAATTTCGTTGTGTTGTACATATAAATTGAAGAGAAAAGAAAGAAAGAAATAAGAAAAGAGGTCAAGTTGCATGAGAGGGGTAAGAATCATATGTGATAACCTCCCAAATCGGACCTCACAAGATTTTCGGCTTTCTATTTATACAGCAAATTGTCACAAAACACCGAACAAGTGGTGCAAATGAATCAAAAAATCAAAAACGCATGCGCATACAAGATATGTAATTCTTATCGTCGAATATTGTCAACGTCAAACTAAAACCTGGACAGCTTAGATGAAACGATTTCTACTCGTTTATATTTTGAGAAAGATATTTTCCTTCAAAAAAGCTCGTATGAAAAGATTTGTTCTCACAAAACAATTATACAGCGGAAATTGCATGTTTAGAAAGTTTGGGAGAGAATCATTATATATGTCGCAATAATAATCGAAGTAAATTGCTGTGTTACTTGCGTAAAGTGCAACATTGATTTAAAATTTTAAATTTTAAAATAAAATCCTGAAACAAAATTAATGAGGTCAAGGAGTAAGAGGGGTCTCAGAATTTATAAATGATAACCCTCCCGTCGGACCTCATTATTGAAGAATTTAACTTTTATTTATACAACAAATTATTAATAAAGCCCAGAAAAGTGGGACAACGAGATACGCACGCTCAAACTAGAACTTTTCAGTACAGAAATTACTACTTTGAGATATAGTGAAAGAGAGTCTGCCCACAATCTTAACAGAAAAGAGGAAAAGCAAAAAGTTGGACGGATTGATGTCTACTCACCCAAAATTGTGGATGCCTTATATACGACGGCTGAGCCAAAATATAATTTTAATGATATCAGAACACCTAGAACATATAAACAAGTAATCATAAAAGTTATTAAAATCTTTTCATTTTCCTTCTTTCATTCTCATTTCTTAATTTCATCTTTCTTTGAATTCGATGATATATTTTGTTTTGTTCATCAAGTTCATCCAATGAATACTTTTTATATGTCAATTGCCACAGCCAAGAAGGATAATCTTTCTCTGAAGCACTCACTTTGCCTTGATTTTCATCCTTCAGATAGCTAATGCTAGTTTGAAATTCTTGGTTTGATTTAACTGATAAAAATTACAATACGTAAGATCAATGAAATATATTCATCTATTGTAAAAAATAATTTCTTGGTGGTATTTTCTCAAAGAAATATAAAATTTTCAGCTACACTTTACAACTCAACATACCTGAAATTGTTGTGATGAAACGTCTTGCTGGTCCATGACAGTACGGCAATCAAGTCAGTATAAAGTTTTGTAACGAAATGTTTGCTCAACCAAATTAAACTGAACATTTTAGACAAGATTTTGTTTCTGCTTTAGTCTGTACAAGTTCATTCTATTTTGTTTCAACTAATAGAACATGAAGTATTTGACATATCACGTAAAACACCGCAAAGGACGAAAGCTTGGTATAGCAGGCTCTTTCGTTTGCATTCGGCGGCATTCGCTATTGAACAAATATAGTCGATTGTAATCGAAAAATTCGATTACTTGGTTATTTCAAGAACTCCCGGATATCTCTCCATTAAAACGACCAAAATTTTGTCAATGTAATTTTTCAAGCATCGATTTTCATTTTCCAACTCTAAAAAGAAAATAAAACACGACATCATGAACAAAGGAGAGTCTGACTTTTCTTGTCCACTCGTCACTTGCCTCGGATCCTCACTTGAAGATTTTCTACTTCATTTTTTGATTTTCCCCACAATTTTTTCTTCGTGTCACCTTTGACGAAATAAGACAAAAAAATTGACTGAATTTAATTCATTTACAAAACCATAGTTAACGTAAAATATTTCCACCGCCGTTGACTGGGAGATTTTACCTTGAGTCGAAGAATTTTGCTTTGGCTGTAAAGGATTTCCTTCAAACTCAAACTGTAATGTAGAGACCCCGTCCACCGGATTTCGTCATAAGAACAATTGATCCGGATTTGGTTTTTCCCGTCCACGGTTGAGTGAGACAAACTATTTTAGCTGGTGAATGGTACTCGAGGACTTCGAGATGATCAATGGAACATATTGTAAATTCTAGGAAATCATCCGCACTACAGCCTAGACTACATCCGCGAATTGTGATCTTCGTACCGCCACAGGATGGTCCGAATCTAACGGGAAAAATGACGTCATGTCACGTGATCTTTTCTAAGTTCAACAATCGTGTGGTAATTTTCTTTCTGAAAATGCGCGAGATTGATCCATATGGCCTTTTTTAATCTCTAAACTCAAATCAAATCTCATGTATTTTCTTTCTGAATGTCCGTCTATCTATGGCCGCCTTGTTGGATGATTTCTGACGAAGATTTTCTATATTCACAATTTAAATGTCATCCACATGGCGAAAACTCCATTGTTCTTTTACTTCATGTAATAAATGTTATGAATGTTTCCATCAAGTTTGACCACATGATCATACATTACTCATATTGAAAATCCCCACTGTAACGTCATAGTTTTCTCTATACAAACCTTGGTGAGATACCAGTGATCTCAGGTGCCCCTTTCATTGACATAACAGCACCGAGCGAACGCGTCATCACCTGAGGGACTGGTAAGCTTCCACATGCAGGGACATTGGGTGTATCGGGAGGTGGTGGTGGGGGTATTGTAAGGTTCGAGTTACTCACAGCTTTGCTTGGTGTAGGAGGAGCAGGAGACTGATTTTTTTCATTTTCTAAAGCTTTAGAACTCAAATCAAGCGTTGAGGTAGAGCCACGGACACTAGTTGACGCTGAAGCAATTGATTCACGTCGCCCTCTGCAGGAGTGTTATGGTCAACATGATATTCATTTTATTTCTTTAAAAATTCATACCATTAAAAGATACTGACAAATTACCGATATTTTTTAGGATTTTTGATTTGCCAAAAAACCCCTATTTTTATAACACATGTTCCCTAGCTTGTTCCCTTCCTGTTCAAAGCCTATTTTATGATCGGTACCGAGAAGTACCGCAACCCTTAGGGTACATGCGTCTATACACAACTACGCCTACCTTGAGGAGCTCGAAGAAAATGGGTTGAATTTAATCCAATTTTTCTCTTTCTTACTGCGTGACCCAGCAATCAAAACAAAGATCGCTCGTGGTGGCTTGATTTTGCGCTGCAAAGTGAGCCATCGTCTCTGTGAGCAGCAGCTGACGGTAGACTGGAGACGGGCAAAATGATGTTTCCTATGGTGTCTTCGTTATCTAAGACATTTAGTACAAGGGAAGCGTTTGAATGGCCGACTTTGCTAGAAAAGTATAATGAGCGGGAGAGATTAGCGTAAAGAAAACTTGCAATTTTTCGTTTAAATTCTCTGTTGATCATTTCTGAACAGGGCTTCAACTCTGAATTGAACTGAATATAGAACCGAAAGGCCACCTTAAACTACACATGAATATTCTTACGTGAAGTGAAAATTTTACATCTATATACGCTTGTATAAAGTAAAGACCCACATTTCAAATTAGCCCAGTGTAATGACGAGCTTCCTCAGTATGGCCGTGCGTAAGACTGGGACAAGTTGAATTTCAGACTATCAGTTGAATTTATTTGAATGGTATAAGCAAAGCTTTTTCTTACATAGCCTTCCTCATTCCAAGAAGGGTTCTCTCCTTTCACAATTTCAGTGCGATATTTGTCTTTACCGACTCCAAAAACGACTGAAGCACTACAAACACCTGCTCAAAAAAACCGTCAAATTTGCAAAATATCGATTAGAAAAGCTTTAAATAAATAAACAATGACATCAAATTGTGCTACACAGTAAAATATAGATTGAATAAGAAACCATGAGTTTATGAGACTGAAACAATTCAAATTTGTTTGACCTTCTTTTTTCTTTGATTTCAAATTTCTGGCAGCGTAAACTATCAAAACACATAGTTTATCACGATAAAATGAAAAAATGTATTTTTTATTACATTGAAAAATCATTAAACCTTACCAATTATATTCAATTCACTAGGATGCAGCATTTTGAATAGTTTTTTTTCTAAAAACCTCTTCTTTACAATCAAAAATGGACAAAAAACAAACGCTACGTGCAAATACGGCAACAAACGAATAACACATTCTAGCAGATGACAAATAAACAAGATCAGTTAATGAATTAAATAAACCGTCCAACCGATTTAATCTAGTGGTTAAATCCAGTTAAATCGTAATTAGCAATAAATCCAAACCAGTGATCCAAACCAGTGGTCGAAAATAACCATATTCCATAATGCGTAATCAACTCAGTAATACACCAATTTCAGTAAATTCTCCATCATTAAAAGTCAAGACCATATTTTTAAGTTAAGAACAATATTTAGTGTACCCTTCTTCCTCGTGTTAAAATATTTTGCTAAATAACCATGCTAAATAGCAATGCTAAATAACCATCGAATAAAATATTGATATATCATTTTTTTATGGACTGAGAACAAGAGCTTTGTCCCCAGTCCATCACTAGAGGAGGGAATTCTGGATAATTTGTTGATAATTAAGGCTCTTCTTTGAAAGAAAACAATTATGTAAACAGTACACAATAAACAATTGCTGCAACATTCCAATGGTTGTCTTTTGCATTATACTAATCAACTCATCATTCATTCATTGAATTGGTTCATCAAATTTTTAACATATTTATTAAAATCTCTGCTTCATTAAAAACATTAAAAAATTGCGCCTTTGGTTTCCTTGTACCAAAAATATAAAGGTACGACTTGTCCACCATTATTTAGTATTACATACTCCTTTTGAGAGATGAATAAGAAAGCTGAAACTCCATAGACTAAACAGGGAAAGCCAAAATTTATACACTTCATAAAATTAAAAAATCTGTTCTCAATAGACAAATCTTTCCAAGGTTGTTGACTACAATGGTACTTTATGAATGGAAAACAGCCTGTACGTAGAACATGGTAGTTAATACCATCAACTGCCCAATTGAAATTGGAAAGACCAAAATGATCATTTCTTACTGAGATGTACGACACAAAGTATGATGTCCAAGGAGGCAGACCTTTCTGTCTCAGATAAATATTTACAATGTTTGAGGCCTTTGGCCGTGTTGAATACCCCTTGAATGATGTGATCAAGTCCTTGAGAATTGAGAAATGTCGCTTCCACAACATTTCAAATAGTTTGCATCAAATTCATTTAACTGCTATCTCTATTTTGTGCTTTTGGTAAACTTTTTTTTAACTATCCAAAGAACCACAGATCTCTTCCTCTTGGAGGCCTCTGAACTGTATTTTAGTTATTTTAACTTGAAGTATCGTGCTTGTTAGCGCTAAAAACTTTTAAAGGACTGGGGCGGGAAAACCATTGAGCTCTATAAGACCTGGAGGGGAAACGTCAACAAAATTACTATAAATTATCAGCGCGCGGCCGCGTGGTCAAAAACATGGCGGATTTTGGTTGTCAAAGTCAGCGGAAAGACGCGGGCTCATAAAATGAAATTTTTCCCACCCGGATTTGACAACCACAATAGCGATTATATAAAATATCAATGCCAAACACAAAACTTTTAGAAATTTTATCTTTAAAACATGTTGCAAACTTGTTTGGTAGACGGATGCCAGTAATGCCAGAAAAGGAAACATTTCATGATACCGGTAAGCAACGTAAGATTGTTTACCATTTAAAGTGTTCAGTGTTTTGTTTTAAGTCAATACTTGAAGATTGTATATATTTTGTGAATGTTTTACTCCTATAATTTGTTATGTTTATCCATTCTTATTTGTTCTTTACTTAATCGCTTGCTAGACGAGGCAAAGCAACCAGTTCTTATCGAGATATGCATATCTTAAACTCCTTGTTTCAACTGAGTTGAAATGGAGGATTTTTCGATATTTTTCTGAAAATATGAAGCAAATATTAGGACAGAGCTGTATTGAAATCAAATGCAGTGCAAGATTAATTAATGAGCTCTTTGGTACATGTCGACAATAAAAATACCTGTATTAAACAGCTAGCCTGGACAATTTGACAGATGGACAATCAATGATGTGTAATGTATTTTGCTTTATTAAAAGTTTTATGAATGCCATCTGGTGTTTCTGTAAATAAATTGTTTGTTACACAGTGTAGTAAACAGGTTAGTACATCAAAATCAAGATAAAAACTACTTTGTTCAATAATGTGCCAAATTTTGCTCCTACCTTGAAATATTTGCTAAGCAGCTTATCATGACATGCATGAAACATTAAATACAGTACTGCATCATCTGACAAACCATATGTTTTCAATTCCAGGTGATTTAAAATTCACATAAGATGCATTGGTTGCAATGAAGTTGAATGTGGAAGAAGCAAAATTGATGACAAAGAACTTTTATGTCTTTTGAAGAATTACGATATCATTTAAAAGAATAAGAGTAGCAATCTAGTCAAGAAATACATCGGCCTTCAACATGAGACTTTTCAATTATGTATAGTTATTTTTGTACAAAATACTATTTTAGATAAACTTGATTTTTAAGTCATTTACTGATATTTTACCAAAAGACAAAAAGAAAATTCCAAGGCATAATGTAAAATTCAAAAACAAGTTGTTTGAACCTAGAAAAATTAGTATAGGTAACTGTAATTTGTAAGGACACAAGAGAAAGTAGTGCAAGAAGGTTAGCATTTTGAGAATTAATAAGTTCTTGACATACATTACAGGCCATAATATTATAAATAATGTCTGTATAATAACAATTATACAACATGCTAAATATCTTCACCTACATTATAATTATTTAAACAGGTTTGCCTTCATGCAGCAATAAGAAAAGTGTTATGTCAGAGAAACCAATGCACTTTAATTTAAAAAATCAGTATTTTCAATGGGAAATTAATGTAGTTCTGTTCAATAGTAGATCCATGGTTGTCAATGACAATCCAGTTACTAATATCTTGGCTCAAACAGAACCAGCAACATGATTATAGAATTTTGAATTTTGTTCTTTTGCTCCTAGTTCGAGATATTTTCTTCATAAGTTCTCAGTAGATTTATCAGAATATCATAATACCTTATAAGACACCCAGAATCAATCCTACCAAAAAACTCAAAAAAATACATACCTACTTATAATATATTTCCAGTCGACTTAAGTCGTAGGTGCTAACTTTTCTAACCTTTTTGACATTTTAACTAATATTTACTCATCTATTCAAGAAAGACAGTTGCACGAAGCTGTTAAAAATAGTCAAAACAAAGTATTGCGCATGGGATTATGTAAAGTACAACGACACATTGACAGTGAAAGAATGCCGTTTGATATTTATTTCTAACATATTAAAGCATTACTTGACAACATATACGCTATTATATTTGATTTACCTCATTTAAATGTGTGTGTCTATTTCACAAAATCTAGCATTATTTTCAATATTTTATGCTTACGGTATCGTGGTTGTTTTCGCTGGTTGTCATTGATATAAGCAGTAATAGAGTTCCGATTCGGGAGGGAGCGAATAAAAAATTTTTCAAAGTGGAAGTTTTGACAACCAAAATCCGCCATTACCGCCATGTTTTTGACCACGGGGTCCAGGCCCCTTTGCCCCTCCAGTTCTTATAGAGCTCAATGGGGAAAACCGGTAAAGTTGAAAAACATGGCGGAGTTTTAGATGAAAACTTTTTTCAACTTTGGGAAAGAATAAAAACGCCAAATTATGAGAATCTGTTGCTCTAGTGCAGGTTGAAAACAATAAAATCGTCAAGTAATAACTACTTTATGAGATTTATTCAACTTTTTTTCCTACGGGTGGATTTACTGGATCGTTTCTTCAGTTCTTCGTCTTTTCATCGAAGAACATTTATATTGCTTAAAAACTAGCAGCTATATTTTGTTCGAATGTTAATCAAGATTGTCTGGATATAATTGAAAATGACACCATTTATACTTGATAAGAAAAAAGTGAATGGCACACTTTGGGTTATTTTAAAAGTTTCTTATTCAAAAATGAAATGGAGATGCATGGATAAATGGATGTTTGTAAGTCGTGTAGATTTTGATTTTGATGCTATTTGTAGTGAAAATAATTGATTTTTTATAACCTTTATAATGCAACGTTTATATTGTAATAACTGATCAACCATATTTAGCGAAATTTGATATTCAGAAGTAATAATGAGATTTTTCATGTTGTCGCCCATGGGCCAATGTCAATGTATTTTCAATGTTAAAAACGGTTTGCAGGCTCCATTCAATGTTGCTTCGAGCTAATTTAACAAATGTGCATTATTCTATGACAACCTTACGAAGGATAAACTTTTCTTGTCAAAATTACGCGAACATTAGGCAGTATTGTGGTTAGTACATAATTCAATTTAATGAGCTTAAGCTTAGGACATTGACCTTGGTTTGTGAAATATTTTGCATTGTTTTCCTTGACCATATTCGTCTAGCGTTTAACGTTTTCAAAGAAAATATCTTTTTCATTTAATAAGTAGTTAGTAACACAGCCTTCGACACTTTCAACTGCGTTTAATTTTCCTCCGTATGATCAACAGACTTGCCTGTCTTGTTGTTTATAAACATAAGAAAACAACATCACAGCAGGGTGCAGCGCGATGTTTTTAATACGATCGCCTGTTTATACCTGTACAGCTGATTGTCTTACAACGTCGGGAGGTATTCGATGACAAAACACATAACTTGAATCGTTCTTTCGCTTCCGGAAAACGGTTTATGAAATTTGTTAAAAATAGAAAATGGTGTCAATATGGCACAGTGTACACTGTTATCAACGGATGTATCATCGTACGAAAGTACAAAAATAAAACAATACACGCAAAGCCATCACAACAATAGCATTTTCATTATAATTTCCGTTTTAGTCGTTTGAGTACTTCCTCTTCAGGTCTATTAAGGAACAGCTTTCGAAAAATTTGCAAACATTTGATATTGACGATTCGGCTTCGAAAATTAGCTACCCTTTCCATAGAAAATGGAATATACTAATCAATTTTGACTTCCTTATCACATTATTACATTCACACATAAATAGATAATCATGTCATTCCAACTTCAGTGTGTTCATCCTGTTCTCTGTTGTGTTGAAATCATTATGATTGTAAAGTATGCAAATTGCCTATCGTTTGTAAAGTTTATTTCTGTACACTTATAGTCAGTGGGATGCATGATTTCTAAAACATAACTCGCAACACACGTAATTTATCATAGACTTCCTTTAAACAACTGTCTGCCTTATTGAGTTCGGAAAATTTCACATTTTAAAAGAGTAAATTAAAGAATTTCATATGACACTAATGTCAGCTGTAATCAAAACTTATGAAACTTCGGTGGCTTTTATCAGTGCGAACCAATCGTGCGAACGTGGGCAGTAACACGTTCAGGAAAAAACGTGGCATTGCTCATTGAAACCGGATGCAAAATATCCCTCACATGACAATCTTGGTGCATTCTTGTAAACCAAAGCACAATTTCACATTTTTTAAATAAAAATACTCCATTTTCCCCCTTATGAAATTATTTTCAATAATTTGTTTGTGTTTATCTTCTTGTGTCGAAGAACAATTTATTATAAACCTCAAAAATAACGGCTATTTTCAAAGCGGAAACAATTTGCATTTAATGACGTCTGTTGCCTACCGTATTTGCGTCATTAATAAACTGTATATAAAATACAAACGTATTTACATAATTGTAAAGTAGTTTTACTGGCTAGAACGGGCTTGTGTTGAGGTGGAATATAGCGGCTAAAAGCATCAAGTTTTCCTTAGAAATGGCGGATTTAGTGTCGGACGTTCTTTCTGAAATACAAACACCCAGCGTTATAGTAACACCGGCAGAGTCGTGTAATTTGAGTTCGTCGACGAGCGACGAAGACCGTGATGGCCCCTCATTATATCGCTTCAAATGGCAGTTTCATCGAATCCCATTCGGAGAACGAATTCACGAAGGCAAGTAAAAGCCCATATCAAGCGCCGAGCGACGAGACTATTGACAAGATCAAAGCACAAGTTGAGTATTATATGAGTGACGAAAACTTGAGGAAGGACGCTTCTACTGAAACACGTTCGCCGTCACAAAGAAGGCTTCGTCAACTTAAAGTTGATTACGTCATTTAAGAAAGTGAAAATATAACGAAAGATCATCGCGTGGTTGCTGCGAGTCCTGGATTCGCATCTTCTGATCATGAACGACGAAGGTACTAAAATTCGTCGTAAGGCACCGTTACCGCCCGAGTTGGGTACGAGGAATCCAGGGCGTACTATCGTCGTTACAAATCTGCCATTGGAGGATCCTAGTATCGAGAAAGTGGCCGAGATCTCGAAATATGGCCCCATTGCCGTTGTACGCATTGTGAGGAAAGGAAAGAATATCCCACCGGAATGTAAGCACCATTTTGCAACATATCCAGAACTGGCCAATCAGGTGTGTGCGATTGTTGAATTTGAGAGCATGGCTGCTTCGGCAAGAGCTTGTGCCGAGTTAAAACAAAGTGAGGATACAATGAAGGTTAATGAACTTTACGAGCTACAAGTAAAACCAACAAGTCTAAGAAGGGCAAAGAAAACTTACGGATACTGCTGATTCAGATCAAATGAAAGATTCGAAGACGATAAAGGGAATAAGCGGCAGTAAGAAGAAAAGGATAAAGGGACACATGACAAACGACTTGATGAGCTCGTTAAAGGATCTGCTGATGATGGTCACACTAGTTCATCGGATAATGAAAATATTTACTCTTCATTTAACAGTTACAGGAAGAGATATGCAGGTTCATCTGATGGGCAAAGTCCGACTCAAGCAATCCAAAGGCATCTCCAGGTATAAGTAGCTCCAGTCCATTTCAAGTCCAGAAATAAGACCGTAATCCAGATGCATCCTGGCGTCATTCTCCAGTCAATTCCTCAGATAACACCACACCAAATGCAGCCGGTTACACATAGAAGATTTACTAACCAAGGACAAAGTCCATTGGCTGCAAATGCTGATCACAAAATGACCCAATCACTAGGTGTTGAGACAACCAAAAGGACCAGATGGTACCCAGGGTTTTGCTCTGCTGGACGACGTGATCATAGATGTGAGTGCTTAACTCAAAGACAGTAATGATGTTGTATATATTTTATTTGAGTATTCCTTTATTTATAAAATAGTTGAGATCAAATCATTGTTGGATAGATTTGTATAAAATATAGCATTTAAAAGTTTTTGATCAATTTGCAACCAATAACATGCAGGATGTCCTGGAATATGGGTGATCTGCAAACTTGTTATCAAATGGTATGGTTTTTATTTAAACAAGTAACATTTGTGGAGTGTCATATTATTTGGACAGCCTGTACATGATTTCTGTGCAAATACCTTTAAGGGTTCACATTTATTTCATTGTATTATAGAGACTTGTAAATAAAAGAATTTATTTTGAAGAAAGATATGAACTTTTACATGTATGTTAAACAGTTGTTGTCACAAATGAAATCTGTTTTTAATAATCAATCCTGGGAAATCAGTAGTTGTGTTTCACGCATTGACACAATGCACATCCCACGTCGTGATTAAACTGTGTACACCGTTACCCATCTCTATACATCGTCACTTGACTATGTACATCGTTATCCAACTTTGTGCATCGTCATTTAACTATATACATCGTTATCCAACTTTGTACATCGTCATTTAACTATGTACATCAGTACCCGACTTTGCACATATTTATTTAACTACGTACATTGTTATCCAATTTAGTTCATCGTTATATAACTACATACATCGTCATCGAAGTATGCTCATCGTTATATAACTATGTTCATCGTTACATAACTATGTTCATCGTCATATAACTACATACATCGTCATCAAAGTATGTTCATCGTTATATAACTATGCTCATCGTCATATAACTATGTTCATCGTCATATAACTACATACATCGTCATCAAAGTATGCTCATCGTTGTATAACTATGCTCATCGTTATATAACTATGTTCATCGTCATATAACTATACACTGACATCGTGATCTATGTTAATCGTCAGAGAATGACTGACTATACATGGTCTTGTAGTAAATATTGATTGATTATACCATTATTAATTCCCGAAAACGACTCAGATCGTTTTGGAGAATTTGCCGTCAATTAACGCTATGACAAATAACAGAATATCTCTTTATCGTCATCGTAGAACGTTTGCGTTTATTAAATACGACCATTTATATAAATTAAAGCAAACGGTTAAATTACATCAAGTACGAAATGCATGAGTAATAAATAAAATGTGACGTCCAAAGCAGCATTTCTGCCTCGCTGTCACTCCAGTCCAGCTGTAAAGCGACATTACAGACATCAAAACCATTAATACCGTAGGATTAAAAGCATTTAAACACATATCACTAACAAAGATTCTGGATAGTTTTCGTAAAATATCTCTCGATCATGTCGTTCGTTGATATATTACCAGCAACAAACGACTCTAGGATTGCCAAGATTTTACGCTACCATGAGGCCTATGCTAGTAATGATGCATCTCCACTATCTATTCTAATATATAATCTTTGATGATGACGTCATCAAGATTGGGGTCAAAAAGATCCACTGTGATCCAAGGCGATCCTCAATTCCTTCATTCTTAATTGTAAAGATCGCTACACGTTTTTGATCAAGGGTGATTACTGTCAATCTGATTGCGATCATTGGGTGAACTGAATTCTTCTTTTATGATTTCTAAAGTTGATTGCATCTAAATTATTTAAAAGAAAATCAATCGTCAAGTCCACTCGGAGGTAGAAATATCAAGTGATATAAGACATACGTGGTTCACGGACAAAATCAATCCACTGAGTTCTTCATGAAATCTACAATGAAGGTTACAACCAAGAAAAAATAACGTTCGTAAGGAAACGAGTTATGATCGAAAATTTGTCCATACAAACACAACATATAGTAGTGTACGCGAATTTTTTGTTTCATTTCTCATCGGACACGACGAGAATAAAGACAAGTGAAAGAAATAGGATGATAGTCCGAATTGATATCATCCACCAAAGAAATACCTTTTTCTCTTGTCCTGAAATGACTTTTCCTGTTCTTTAAGTAATTTGGTCCAGTTATCGTCCCATTGTGGACTGGGTCTTGAAGGAAATTGTTGTCATTACGTAAAGTTATGCGTGATTTAAACCTCCCTTCTTTTACCGGAGGATGGAGGTATGGAAAGAAGACTTACAAAAGGTTCTTGTTGATGCCTTCAGGATCGTGAGCGAGATGATAACGATGTTCCAACTTCGCAATTCGATTCATTAAAATGTAAGTTGATAGGAGCATAAAAATGAGGCTAAGAAAGGAAAATATCACATATCAAAATTTCTGAAGCAATCTTCATTCAGTCGTCGAAGTAAAAACAAAGTTGTCGAGAACTTTGTTGTAGACAGAAATTAATCGTTTTGTCAACGATTGAAAGCCCATCCATAAACAATGGTCCTCATCTTTGCTAATTACTCGTTGAGGACTTTCTGATTAGAGTATTTTCATCATAATGGGCATGATGTTTGTGTAACCTTATCAAAAACTTTTAGAAAACACAACATCTGCTTGGTAAAGCAGGGCTGGCTTGAAAAGCCACAGGTGTGAGGAGGTAGGTGTACCTTACATAAAGGACATCCACAAATTTAAGCTTATTGAACAAGTGTATATGATATATTGAATGCCATGCTCATACAATATACACGTGTACCAAATTTTTCAAAGCAAAAATCATTCACCGTGATGATGACGTCAAAAGAAGAAAAGCGACTGAAACTAACTAATATCGAGCACTTGCATCACTTGTTCAATTATGGCGATCATGTACAAGCGTGTAAAACTCTCAACTTTAAAAGATTTCAAAGTCTATGTGTTATTGTGATACTGGAGAAATGAAAATGCTCCCGGGAAAGTTTCGTAAACTTTCGTAAAAATGAGTATATTTTTTTGTGATGCATTTTCATTTATCATGAAATACTTACAAAATGAAGGATACTGTCATTAAAACTTCAGAACCCAATCTGTTCCTTAAAAAAACGTACAAAACTTCATATCACTCACAGCAATCTCAGTGAAACGTTTACTATACTATAAACTGGTGGACAACGTTGTGTGCAGCTGACAGAGATATTTGGACATCTTATTTTTACACTTCTATATTGAAATAACATCTTGCTTTTCACCTGAACATCAACAAAATGTTTGTCAACTCTGTGAATTTTGGATGATTTAAATGGTCGCTATTTTACAGAAAGGACTGTTCATGATTGCTAGTCAACTATGAAAAAAGAATCGGAAAAAATACATTTGCAGTTTTCTCCTCACCTATTGAAAGTCCATTCCATGGGAATACGACGCATGACCACATTTTTAAGAGAAGTTTTGGAAGTACGTACCATTTCTAACAAAATAAAAAAATTCAAAACAATGAGGGGAAACGTCTCATAAGCATCCACTCGTGAAAATAAATGAGTTTTTTACTTCTACAAAATTGCCAGAAAAAGCCATCGGACCATGATTTTCTTGCTGGTTGAACTGGGGCTACGGTGGGATTTGATGGTTTGACTGTTGATATCCTGTAGGATTTACCAAGACTATTGTGAACCAAAGAGGTATTTGGACAGGATAAAGCGAGTGTGTCTGTTTGTCAATGACTTGTCTGAATCTGAAAACGCAACGAAAGACATCAATTGGAGATTAAGATTTTGTTGGTCGCCATTGAAAATGCACTTACTTATGGAGAGTCTTGAACCGTCTGTCTGGTCCGAATGATTATCTCCACTTTTTATTTTCTGGCTCCTGGTGGATGAAAACAAGTGATGTTATATATTTTGATGCTTTTGACGAACAGCACAAGTGCGCCGCTTGCTCAGGTTATAAGGGGGTTAGGATTAGAACCAGGTTCACTCAGACAACAAGTTTCCAAGGAATGAGGAATCACGGGAACGCTTAAAATGGCCGTGATTAATTCTTACCGAATCTGATTTATTGTTCTTCAAGTCTTGCCAGGTCTTCGTTATAACTCGATGTGCGGAATCACGCGTCAAAAACGAACAAAACAAGTACTGTGAAAGTACAAGCAAACATTAAATTAATCATCTTAATAGATGAAGAAATAGAAAAGAAAAGAAAATGTTTCTTATTGAGTTATGCTCAGGCTTGTAAAGTCAATCCATGGAAACTTATGTTCTTGCCCGTATACTGTCGTACAAAGATAGGTTGACAATGCCTTGAGGCACAAAAAACAACACCAGTGTCTCCTATATTGCATCTTCTTTTGCATTTGTATCGATTTTTTCATATTGATGACGTATGAAAGGCTACATAACTATTCTTTCATCTGGAGAAACAGCTCAGACACCATTCAACTAGCGAACTTCTGTTTTGCGCGTGACAAATAATCTGCGACAAACCTTTTTTTCCTCTGTGCGTACAAGAATAGCATTCGGGAACATTTTCGCAGTCTTTGCTCGTTCGATTGAGTTGACTTCGCTTAATTTCAAATTGACCTTTATACAAAAATAATAAATGAAGAAACCTAAGTTTTCCCTTGATGAAAATGTCAATATTGTAAAGGTCATGCTACAGTTAGAGGACATGGGAAGATTTACTGTCCTACCCTCCTTTCTCTTGATTAAAATGTCAATACCACATACGTCATGCAACAGTTAGAGGACATGGGAACATTTACCGTTTTACCCTCCCTTCTCTTGATGAAATGTCACCACAAAGGTCATGCAACAGTTAGAGAACATGGAAAGATTTACCGTCCTACCCTCCCTTCTCTTGATGAAAATGTCAATACCACAAAGGTCATGCAACAGTTACAGGACATGGGAACATTTACCGTCCTACCCTCCCTTCTCTTGATGAAAATGTCAATACCACATAGGTCATGCAACAGTTAGAGAACATGGGAACATTTACCGTCCTACCCTCCCTTCTCTTGATGAAAATGTCAATACCACATAGGTAGGTCATGCTACAGTCAGAGAACATGGAAAGATTTACCGTCCTACCCTCCCTTCTCTTGATAAAAATGTCGAAGTCATACCGTTGTTTCGTAACCAAAAATATTTGAATAGAAACAGAGCCAATTTTGAGAAATAAATAATCGGCCTTGAAGCAAGATGTCTCGACTCAGAGCGCAGGAATAATCTAAAAATGAACACGTATAAACTTTGAACGTACGTTATATAAACGGTGATTACCAATAAAATCAACCGTTGCAATAGGCTAAGTTTTATGTTTAAACTAGACGGCAAACAACTTCAAAGCGTGGTGGTATTTTATAGTCTTGTCGGGTTTCGTTTTTTTTTAGAAAAAAAGCATGTAGGTATCGATATGTAAAAAGTCTGTAAATCATTTATCTCTGGTGTAACATATTTTATCCATGGAGGAAAATATACAAACCATTTATTGGTGTTTCATTCTCTGGAACTTGAGGAAATAACTTGTGAAAATCTTCATTAGGATTGCGCGGTGACAGTAAAATCTGTACAAACACATTTGCATTCGTTATTATCCATGATGCAATAATGAATGAAATCAATATCATTTAAATGAGAAACAATTTTCAGTGCTGTGTTCTTTATGTCAACGTAGATAATGCGCAGATTTCTTTGTTAGCTTGAGTTGTTTCTTGTCGAAATTCATTCCTAAGCTTTATAAAAAGTGCCACAATTTGAAATAGAAATTAGCTCGTTATAATGACGCAACCCAGATTTAAGATTCAGCCGCTAAGTTTATGTCTTTAAACAACGAAATCCTTCCTAACGACATATTCTATTCTTGTGTGTTAAAAAAACTGAACCTCAAAATTGGATTACTCGATGAGCTAATACCAAGAGATTAATTAATTTGTTAGAACTGCTGGACAAATCGTAAAATTTCGTGTTCTTTGACTGTGCCTTCGTATTCATGATCTTCACATCTCCTTACCCTAAAACCTCTCCTTAAATGAAGGCTGTTTCCCTTTCGACGTCTCCTGTACCTTTCATCTTCATTTTCTGTACTCATTTATATTTTAAGATTATAATCCGTCATGAATAAAGTCTGTTGTAGACATGAAGACTCATCTTAAAACACGATCAATCTCAACTCGAAACGCAAAATACATTTCCAACGGACTACTTCGATATTAGAAATTGTATTTTGTTGCTTAGTTATGGCGTTTAATATTCTGCAGGTGGTGTTGTCTTCGAATAAATTATTTATGAACCGTTAATGCACAAACGGAAAGAACCGACAGTAACAAGAAAATCTATGAAGCAAACTCATTGTGTATTGTATGAGACCTCTGTTTGCATAAACAAGCCTGTTTCTGTAAGTTCGTCAGCAATATCTAGTGTAAAAGACTATTAAGTCTAAGAAGGACTATTCGTACTTGGGTGCGTTGTTAATTAAATCTTAAATTATTACTAAAAACAAAGCGTACTTTGCAAAAGAACGCCTACTTACTAAAGCAGCTGGAAGACTGAAACTTAGAACGAAGCACCTCTGGCAAATGATAATCTCATTCCCAGGATCTGCGCATCATCACACTCGCATAGTCGCATTTAATTAACAACCATTGCACCGGCGGTTTATTCAATCTTCATTGCATAAATTATGTTGCAAATCAGTAAAATCATCCATATTTTACCTTGAGTTTTGATAGCTTGCTGTGATGCGTCTGGAAAAGCAAAAAAAACATTACAACGGAAGCCTAAATTTGGGAACATTTTTGTAATAAATAAAAACCTTTGTTTCCAGTGTCGTAGGTCTTGCTTGAACGTGGGAAGTCTCTTTCATTTCTTCAACTTTTGATTGAGATAATCTAAGACAATATTTGAATATCATTAAAATAAAGAATTCCTCAATAAGCAACATGTACGTAGTTCCGTTGATATAGAACTTCAAAGTCCCATTGGTAATTACTATCTGAAAATAAAGCTGTTCAAAGTTAAACAACTTCGTTTGCATATTTTGTTGTCGACGTATATATAATTATATGTAATATTGAAATAAAGAAAATATAGTTTTCTTTCAATTAATGAACATACGTGAAATTCGCGTTTTTTCGCAAACGTCGAATGAAATTCAATTTTCTCAGCTGTATACGATGTTAAATGTTATATATTGTACTTGTTTGCACAAAGTAATACTCTCAAACCTAACCAATAATAAATGTAATTCACAAAATACCAGCAAGCTATAAACGATTAACTTTAACATCACACAAAAGATAAAAAAACTCATAAATGAAGCACAAAAGAAAAAATACAAAAGTTACCTATGTTAGCATTACTTTTTTGTAAAATTTCCAATTCATAAACCCTTTATCACATTGAAGAGTTAACAGGAACGCTATATTTCGCTAATGGTTTAAATGACATCAGACTTTGATTGTCAGAGACTTCAACGCCCACATTTTATATTAATGTAATTACGAACAGTGATGGCTCAGGATAAGCCCAATTTTGGTGTTTTTTAAATGGCTTTTTTATAGGATTCGTAGCTGAATTTCGTAGCTGTTGAGAAACTGAAAAGCCTTAGTCCATAGCCCTAACTTTCCCTCATGCAGAGCCTGTGAAAATGTCAAGCATTTCAATCATTTATACTCGACAAAGATCTTTGTATTAAGGGCATCAGCTTCGTCAACACATACCACTATTAAAATCAATTTATAAGCTGAGGCACGAATCATAAATACTTTGCACGAATCTTAAAGCTCTGTTTTGTTAGGGCATCATCCCTTGTACAACAAAGGGATAACTTAAATCTATTACAATAATGTCAGAAAAGTAGGCAATATTAATTATAGATAAAACGTTCAACAACTGCTGAGCCAGCTAAAGTAACAGACAAAAAGCTTAAAACTTTGATGTATAAAGACTGTTGGCTCATCAAAATACGTATTTCACTTTCCCCGATCCAGAATTCGCCCTTGCAGTAATTTCATTGGACGAAACAATAAGGAAAAGACAACACATCGATTCTTATCTAATATTGTCTAATATAATACAGTTAAAATCAAGATATGACCACAAATAAATCTCTTTTATCAGTTAACTAATATTTATTGTAAGATTTAATGAAGACAGACCTTTCCATGTTTGAGTAACATCGTTGTCTATTCTTCGTTGACGTTATGTCAATATTATTATGAGAACTACTATTTGTCTCGTCAAACGATGATGGACTTGTATGACCTAGAAGAAGAATTAAGTTAAATCGAAACTGAGAATCAAAGACAAACAGTTGATCAACAATACTTATAAAAAATTATTTTACATTTTCCAAAAAGTTTCCGTCGCGTTTTAGCTGTACGAGAATGCATCTGAGCATCTCAAAGTTCACTCTCATCAATGATATAGAAGCGTAGGTGGTAGAAATATTTGAGTAAATTTTTATAATTTGCCTCAATGAACGCCAACAAAAACGGCTTGTGACGAACAAATTGCTCTATGGTTCTTTATTCAACGTTATTTAGTCAAAATACCAGACATAGCAATCATTTCATTACGAAAAACAAGTGAAATACGTTTTCCAGGTTAAACTGCTTACATACATAGCAACCAATACAACTTTTTAAAATAAATTGGAATATCATTGTCAACATTTATACGTGTATATTGGTTTTGAAGCATATTGTAAAGAAGGTTTAATATGTCGAATTGAAATACCTGATAGAGTTAGTCCATGGAATGATTTTGATAATAATGCTACGTTAACAACTTATTTCTGCCTTTTCTGGCCTGTACATAATCATGCCATGAAAATATATGCAAATGATTGTTCTAATAAATATTGCATGAAAATCTTGTTGCGAAATAAACCGTCTCTCTACCGTCTTCCCACAATTTTCTTATTCATTAGAAACTTTCTTATATAGAATGGAGACTAGATAGACAGTTCTTGGCCTTCAAAGATTATCGAAAAATACAGGTGATTGATGACGTGTTACAGGAACAAGTCTTCTATAAATGTTTAGATACACAAATGATTGCCATGTTTACATTTTAAGGGAGATTAACTAGTTTTGCTAGTATTGTCTTAATTAAAGCATTCGACCAAATGTCCCTGACAGCAAAACGTTTAAGCCATCTCTACAGACATTAGACAGAACACTACAGATCTATGTAGGCCATGATGTAAGCTACGTTTCTCTCCGAAGCCCTTCCGATTTGTTCGCGAAGGGTAATAACAAGTACGTCGAAAGGGCCCGTAAACGGACCACCAGCGAAATTTGCGTCACGGACACCTTTTTATGGAACACCTTGACCTTACCGTTCATCCACTTACGGTGTTCGCTTTTTAAAGGTGTTTGCTACGATTCGACAAAATTGTATATTATTTTGATAAAATTGGGTTTTTTTTTCAATCAAATTCTGCTAATATTTGTTATGGCAGTCTTACTATGGCGATATTATCTTGTCGTGCAAACGTTAATTGTTTTATTATTTAATGATGCTCAAGGTAAGTGTGTCACATGATTTTTTGACGGCGTCTATATCTGATCAGTTCTACTTTTTAGTTTTTAGTTTTTATTGCAATTGTTTGAATGTTGTCGTTTAATTTGAAACTAAGTAAAAAATTGCAACTATGTGCAGTGTAATTTTCCAGGATATATCTTTACGGATTTAACCAAACTGCTCGAAACTATACTGATTCGTTTTATGTTAATCCCTTTGCTGAAAATTTTTTCATTTCCATTATTTGCAGTAGTTTCCGAAGTTGCATTTTTTAAACCTAAATCCGATGGCTCTCTTCAAGCTGAAGGCAGACCGTTTCAACTTCAGTGTATCTTTGACGCCAGTGACCATCCAGAAATTGATCTTTCACAACGAACAGTTATATGGAAACGTCCACCCATACCACCAAAAGAACTAGGTGTAAAAATTGATGACAATAGCAAATATGGAAGCATTACTTTGGATCAAAGTATGGAAAACTCTTGAGAAAGAGAAATTTTTCTTTTTCCTTATGTAAATTATTCTAGAAATTTAAGATAACTGATCAGTGAACTGATCACTAAACAACAAGTTTTGGAGTTCTATAGCTATGTTAATGCATCATAGATTTGTCTAAACTTACACAAAACAATGCATTCATTATTTTTCCTCCTGAAATAACTTGAACATTTATTAATGATAAAGTTGCAAATTCTCCTTTATTGTGACAGTGTAATTGTTTCAACCTTTATATGCTAGGCTACAAAACGAATTAACCAATCATTGAACTGCTGCCACCAGTGTTTGTTTTTTCTCAAGAAATAAAACACAAGTCATATAATATTTCTATTTTGATTGAAGCTCAATTTTATGATTTGTAAGCTAACTCTTTGTATTAATTGTTCATAGATAAAACATTTTTGAGAAGCAAGTTGTATGTTCCTGAACCTCCAGCTTACCTAACATTTCAAACAGCATATTATGAATGTGAATTAGACCCTAAAGTTGGTTCACAGGTGAACTCTCACAATTTTCCCATCAATGTTTTAAAAGGTATGCATGAATTTTTACACAGGTTTAAATCCTTATTGAATGCCACTTTCATGGTAACTTAGTGTAATTTAATTATCTTTGTAGCAAAAGCTGTGCCCAATATAACAACACCAACTATAAAGTCAGCCAAACATGAAGAAATTGTCATGTTAAATTGCTCTGTGACTTATAATAATACAGACCCACTTACATCAGGAGCAATGCTGAATTTGACTTTGAAAAAAGATAGGAAAAAATTTGGGTCCAAAAATGTAAAGTATTTACAGGGAACACACTCAGTTTCATTCAATCATCGTTTGACTGTGAGAAGCTCTACTGATGGCGGAGTCTATACTTGCCAATGGACATTAAAACATCAAAGTGATGAACTTCGTGGACAAAGCTTGGTTTTTTAAATAGTACGTTTTTCTAAATGGTATCCCATAATTTACAACAGGACTTGAAAATATCCAGGTCCAGCAACTCTGCTGCAAGGAAATTACTCATGAAATTACTTTTATCAAACACATAAGTCAGGTTCACTGCATTAGTGTTTTGTATGGTAAACACGACGATTTACAAACGCTTCTAATGAATAGTTATTAATGCAAAATTTTTGCAAGAAACTTATTATTTAGCAGGAAATTTTAATTTTCCAAATTTGTTGTCAGGAAGTGAAATGCCCAATCTGCTCCTGAACTGCATTAACGTATTTTGCAAGATTATTTTCAGTGGTTATATTCCTAGGGCATTGAGGAGACTAAGAGTGTTAATGGTGTTGAAATATTGCTTGCTTATTCTAAATAAAGATGTTGCATGAGATTAAACGCCAACAGTCAAACCGGATGTTGTTTCGCCCCTGAACGTTGCAAGATATACCTGTCAATTTTGCAGTATGAAAATTCAAATTGCAATTTGAAGTTTTCGCGTGCGCTGCTGTTGCTACCTCTCGTCATGCCATTTGCACAAAAAAATGAAACAATTTCTTTGCCAAATAAACACACCAAGATTTACATCTTTATATGTCTTGTTTCTTCATTCGATAAATTTCGAATGTACAGAACCGCTTCTTTTATCTTACATACAAGTTCATGAAACAATTCAAACGGTTTCTCGGTAAAGAAAAACAAGCGTAGCGCCCGCCTAAATACGACAACACTATTTGAAACCTGTTTTCCATTACTTCTACAAGAAAATATTTAGTTACTTCAGCGCAAGAAAGTTGCAATTTGCTAGAGCTAGTTGCGTTTGGAATCAACCAACAAATATTGCTCAATTGACAGGTATGTTGCAATGTTCAGGGGAACACAACATCGGGTTTAACTGTAAGCATCAAATAAGATTATTTTTTACTTTTAAGTTTTGCCGTATCTTGTCGGTCCTGATAGGAAGGAGGTGAAAAAGTTTCCCGGCAAAGATGTAACACTTAAATGTGATGTGATTGGTTTTCCCATTACTTACAAATGGACGACAAAAAACGGTCCATCTTTAGGTAAGTGTGTCTGAAATGAGTTTTCTGTTAACTTGTTTATGTAATATGTTTAATTTTATCAAGACTATTCGTAACGTTTGCCATTAACTTCATGTTGACAGAAGTATTCAAAGCCAATACAGTAGCTGAAGGAGTTGGGGTTGGGCATCTATAACAACACGTGAAGATGGAAAGTGGCCGCAAAACATCTAATTAAGCTGGAGTTTGAAAGAAATTAATATTTATTCTTTATTTATTTCGATTGTAGATCGTGATAAACGCATAACAATCAGAAATTCCACTTTGTCGATCAAAAATATTGATGTTAAGGATAGCAATGAATATATTTGTGCTGGTAAAGTTGTTGATACATCGTTGAAACAGATAATAATCCTTCGCGTCAAAGGTATGTTCTCCGTTAACTGCTATGTCCAGAACTTTGGCTGGAGGGGGGAGGCTGGAAATACGTCTACGTCAAGCATCCCAACCTAAAATAGACTCGTGATCTTTGAAAAGAACACTTATCTTTACTAGAAAACTTGGTTCCAACATATTATTCAAACATATCCTAATTTTCTATCAGAATTTAGCGATTTGAAAATATGACTTCTCCAATATTTGTGGGAGTATTACTTGCCAAAGCGCTGGCAACTTCTCTGTTCTCTTCAATACCATATAATTACATTTTGATAACAGCTTTTTTCGTTTTTTTCCAATCTTCCAATTTTAGTAGTTGTGACAAACGTTGTTCGTAAACCAGCGCCGCTGAGCGCGAGCAAATGGTAAATTTATACTTCAGTAGATGAATTCTGTTGCAAATCAATAAAATATTCCATGACCCACCTCGCCGACAAACGCTAAGATTGTCGAAACGTCAGTCGACATTGACACCAACAGAGTTTCTCAAAACTTTTCTAATCTAGACGATTTACATCCACAGACATGTAGCAAGACTCTCGTGCTCAATTTATCACTTTCAATGTACTATTTTAAGTTTTTCTTTTTTCTTTACAGAGAGTGTACTTGGGCTTGAAAAACAGTCTTCATTATCATTGTATCTGTGGTTTGCGTTCTTGTTATCGCCATTGTCGTGATTGTCGTGGTTATTTTTTGGTTTCGTCGTAAGAGGAAAAATACCAGAAGTGAAGAACAAAGTTATCGAGTGCCTAGTAGAGAGAATCTGATGACTTTGGAGAAAATGTAAGACTTCATTAAAGACGAAATTGATGTACGTATATATCATAAACAATCATACATTTGCTTCAAAGAAAGCTAACGAAACTCTCACACAACATATTCGATAAAATGACAGGAACACTTATGTATTAAATGATAAATGTTTTATTGTAAAGCTCCTCATTTGTTATAAACAATGCGTTATGGAGTGTATTGTAATTTTTAAACTTGACTAAATTGTTTTTATGTGGAGAAAATGATTTTGCATTTTACTCATATTTGATGTTAGTGTCGCTCCTTGTTGGTGACTTTTGCGCTTTTACCTTAAATAATAGAAGCCTTTCGTAGTTTTTTTGGAGGAAACGTATTGAAGGGAAATCTGCTGAAATGCACTGTGCTTCTTACTAAAACATTTTTTGAAAACTTTCAAGGGCTGGTGCCAGGAATTTTTCAACAAAGAGGGCTAAGATACTGAAACTTTTTTGTGATAACATTAAAAGAGACAGACCTAGAAATTCATTTCGAACAAAGTGATTAGACTGATGGCTTCGGTCAGACGACTCCTTAGCTTATACAAGCGTAGAAAACGAAAATTTTGAAGTTTGTTTTGAAATAATGTTATTCATTGTCGGGTTCGACATTCAAAAACAAATATCTTTCAAAAAAACAGTTCTTTTTCCGGATTAGAAGTCTGATAGCTGGCGTAAAGACATTGTAGGTAAAATAATGACTACCAACAGCAACCATCGAATTCGGAAACATTTACTTTAGTTTTTAGTTCATTCCCAGACAAATTGTCACATTTTTTGCTGATGGGGGCCTGGATTCCACGAAAGAGGCCTCTCGCCCCCTCAGCCTCCCTCCCCTCCATGGTTTCGATAATAAGAGGAAAACGGTATATAGCTCTACGTCTCTCTCCGACGTTTATCCGAGTTATTCATAAGGCTCGCCCAAAGAAGGGAAGAAAACAAGAATTTTATATTTAGATCAAATTGCTTTTTATCTATCGAATTCTGCTCATATTTATGTAATGGCAGCCTATCCATGGCGATATTACGTTTTTGTTTCCACGTTATTTTGTTTATTCTTTAATAATGTTCAAGGTAAATGCGTCATAGTTGTTATTTGACTGACGGCGTTTATATCTGTGTATTCTATATTTAAAATTGTCATTGACGATTGTGTGTAAATATTTGTATCCTTTTCAACTGTAATTTATTGCTGACATTTTTTTATGCAATTGTTTGAATGTCGTCTTTTAATTTGAAGGTAGAAGTTAAAATTGCAAGCTTTGTACTGTTTAAATATTCAGGAAATATATATTTTTGCTCGAAGTATGCTTGGAACTAAACTGTTTTGTTTCCCCTCGTTGATGACTTTTTAATTTCCTTTTGCAGTAGTTTCCGCAGTTTCATTTTTTACACCTAAATCCGATGGCTCTGTTCAAGTTGAAGGCAGACCGTTTCAACTTCAGTGTATCTTTGACGCCAGTGACCATCTAGAAATTGATCTTTCACAACGAACAGTTATATGGAAACGTCCAGACAAACCATCAACTGAACTAGGTGTAAAAATTGATGACAATAGCAAATATGGAAACATTACTTTAGATCGAAGTATGGAAAACTCTTGAGAAAGAGAAATTTTTCTTTTTCCTTATGTAAATTATTCTAGAAATTTGAGATAACTGATCAGTGAACTGATTACTACACAACAAGTTTTAGAGTTCTATAGCTATGTTAATGCATCATAGATTTGTCTAAACAATGCATTCATTATTTTTCCCTCTAAAATAACTTGAACATTTATTAATGAGAAAGTTGCAAATTCTCCCCTTATTGTAACAGTGTAATTGCTTCAACCTTTATATTCTAGGCTACAAAACAAATTAACCAATCATTCAACTACTGCCACCAGTGTTCATTTTTTTGCAAGAAATCAAACACAAGTCATATAATATTTCTATTTTGAATGAAGCTCAATTTTATAATTTGTAAGCTAACGCTTTGTAAAAATTGTTCGTAGATAAAACATTTTTGAGAAGCACGTTGTATGTTCCTGAACCTCCAGCTTACCTAACATTTCAAAGAGCAGATTACGAATGTGTGTTAGACCCTAAAGTCGATTCAAAAAAATATGTGAACACTCACAATTTTCCCATCAAAGTTTTAAAAGGTATGCATGGATTTTTATACAGGCTTAAATCCTTATTGAATGCCACTTTCATGGTAACTTAGTGTAATTTAATTATCTTTGTAGCAAAAGCTGTGCCCAGTGTAACAACACCAACTTTAAAGCCAGCCAAACATGAAGAAACTGTCATGTTAAATTGCTCTGTGACTTATACTAATACAGACCCACTTACATCACAATTAATGCTGAACTTGACATGGAAAAACGATATGAAAAAATTTGGGTTCAAAAATGTAAACTATTTACAGGGAACACACACAGTTTCATTCAATCATCCTTTGACTGTGAGAAGCTCTACTGATGGCGGAGTCTATACTTGCCAATGGACATTAAAACGCCTAAGTGATGAACTTCGTGGACAAAGCTCAGTATTTTTAAGTAGTAAGTTTTCCTATAATACATCCCCAAGTGTAAGTTAGAGTTTTCATTGTATATACACGTATTGTGAATCTATTTACAATGGTGAGAGCTCCCATGATTCATGTCTTAAATAAGACATATGTTATATGTCAGCTTGGAGGTTTGCACTGAAAACATATTTTCACCAAGTCTCAACTATAACTAGTTTTATTTTTTTATTTTGAAAATGAAGCAATTTTCTTGATGTGTGAGTGATATATGGCTTGTTTATACTGAAATTGGATTATTTTTCATACTTCACCTGGTCAATAGTAGAATTCACTCTTGCTATGATAACTACCATCTGAATACATTTTGCTTTATCTTTGAACAATTTAAATGGCTTGAAATTTTAATTTCACTTTGTAAACAAATTACCACGGAAAAACTATCACCTTTGAATCACGGTCAAGATATCGTTAAAAAGCTGCCTGCTGGAACCAATATGATTATGAAATTCAAAAATATAACTTTTCATGCATAAATAGAAAAATAAATTAATTGTATTAATGTTTATAATGGTACAAGCATTCTCACCATTAATGAATGCCATACTTGTTTTGTGCATCAAATAAGATGATTTTTTATTTATATTCAAGTTTTGCCATATCTATTGGGTAGTCAAAGGAAGGAGGAAAAAGTTTGCTGGTGATGATGTTACACTTAAATGTGATGTGATTGGTTATCCCATTACTTATAAATGGACAGTTGAAAACGAGCCATCTTTTGTAAGTATGTGTGAAGTAAGTTTCTGTTAGTTGTCTATACAATATGTTTTTAACTTTATCAAGATTATTCTTAACATTTGCCATTGACTTTATGTTAATAGAGTATTTAAAGCCAATACAGCGCTGAAGGAGTTGGGATGGGGGCATTTATAAAATACACGGACGATGGGAAGGTGGGGGGCACAAAACATCTAACTAGCTGGAATTTTAAAGAAATTAAAATTTATTCTTTGTGTATTTAATTGTAGATCTTGATAAGCGATAACAATGAAATTCTCGTTGTCCATCAAAGATATTGATTATAAAGATCGAAGAATATATCTGTACTGGTGTATTTAGTAAACATTATTAAAGCAGATAATAGTTCGTGTCAAAGGTATGTTAAAGCACGTTAACTTTGTCCAGGGCAGGATTTCAGGGAAATGGTGGAAAGCCTGATTCAGTGGCATCAAAATTTTAACCAGACCATTGCTCCACTTCCTTGTTGGGTAGACTATTGCTCTACCTTGCCCCAGTCCCTTTTTTGGTAGAGCATTGCTCCACCTTGCCCCACTCCCTTGTTGGGTAGACCATTGCTCCACCTTGCTTCAGTCCCTTTTTGGGTAGAGCATTGCTCCACCTTGCCCCACTCCCTTGTTGGGTAGACCATTGCTCCACCTTGCTTCAGTCCCTTTTTGGGTAGAGCATTGCTCCACCTTGCCCACTCCCTTGTTATCTTTTGGTAAGTATGTGTGAAGTAAGTTTCCTGTTAGTTGTCTATACAATATGTTTTTAACTTTATCAAGATTATTCTTAACATTTGCCATTGACTTTATGTTAATAGAGCGTATTTAAAGCCAATACAGTCGCTGAAAGAGTTGGGATGGGGGGCACCTATAAAAATACACGACGATGGGAAGGTGGGGGCACAAAACATCTAACTAAGCTGGAATTTTAAAGAAATTAAAATTTATTCTTTGTGTATTTAATTGTAGATCTTGATAAACGTATAACAATCAGAAATTCTACGTTGTCCATCAAAGATATTGATTATAAAGATCGTAAAGAATATATCTGTACTGGTGTATTTAGTAACACAACATTAAAGCAGATAATAGTTCTTCGTGTCAAAGGTATGTTACAAGTACGTTAACTTTGTCCAGGGCACAGGATTTCAGGGAAATGGTGGAAAAGCCTGATTCAGTGGCATCAAAATTTTAACCAGACCATTGCTCCACTTCCTTGTTGGGTAGACTATTGCTCTACCTTGCCCCAGTCCCTTTTTTGGTAGAGCATTGCTCCACCTTGCCCACTCCCTTGTTGGGTAGAGCATTGCTCCACCTTGCCCCACTCCCTTGTTGGGTAGACCATTGCTCCACCTTGCTTCAGTCCCTTTTTGGGTAGAGCATTGCTCCACCTTGCCCACTCCCTTGTTGGGTAGACCATTGCTCCACCTTGCTTCAGTCCCTTTTTGTCGATCAAAAATATTGATGTTAAGGATAGCAATGAATATATTTGTACTGGTAAAGTTATTGATACATCGTTGAAACAGATAATAATCCTTCGCGTCAAAGGTATGTTCTCCGTTAACTGCTATGTCCAGAACTTTGGCTGGAGGGGGGAGGCTGGAAATACGTCTACGTCAAGCATCTCGGCCTAAAAAAGACTTGTGATCTTTGAAAAGAACACTTATCTTTACTAGAAAACTTGGTTCCAACATATTATTCAAACATATCCTAATTTTCTATCAGAATTTAGCGATTTGAAAATATGACTTCTCCAATATTTGTGGGAGTATTACTTGCCAAAGCGCTGGCAACTTCTCTGTTCTCTTCGATACCATATAATTACATTTTGATAACAGCTTTTTTGGGTTTTTTTTCCAATCTTCCAATTTTAGTAGTTGTGACAAACGTTGTTCGTAAACCAGCGCCGCTGAGCGCGAGCAAATGGTAAATTTATACTTCAGTAGATGAATTCTGTTGCAAATCAATAAAATATTCCATGACCCACCTCGCCGACAAACGCTAAGATTGTCGAAACGTCAGTCGACATTGACACCAACAGAGTTTCTCAAAACTTTTCTAATCTAGACGATTTACATCCACAGACATGTAGCAAGACTCTCGTGCTCAATTTATCACTTTCAATGTACTATTTTAAGTTTTTCTTTTTTCTTTACAGAGAGTGTACTTGGGCTTGAAAAAACAGTCTTCATTATCATTGTATCTGTGGTTTGCGTTCTTGTTATCGCCATTGTCGTGATTGTCGTGGTTATTTTTTGGTTTCGTCGTAAGAGGAAAAATACCAGAAGTGAAGAACAAAGTTATCGAGTGCCTAGTAGAGAGAATCTGATGACTTTGGAGAAAATGTAAGACTTCATTAAAGACGAAATTGATGTACGTATATATCATAAACAATCATACATTTGCTTCAAAGAAAGCTAACGAAACTCTCACACAACATATTCGATAAAATGACAGGAACACTTATGTATTAAATGATAAATGTTTTATTGTAAAGCTCCTCATTTGTTATAAACAATGCGTTATGGAGTGTATTGTAATTTTATAAACTTGACTAAATTGTTTTTATGTGGAGAAAATGATTTTGCATTTTACTCATATTTGATGTTAGTGTCGCTCCTTGTTGGTGACTTTTGCGCTTTTACCTTAAATAATAGAAGCCTTTCGTAGTTTTTTTGGACGAAACATGCCACGTATTGAAGGGAAATCTGCTGAAGTGCACTGTGCTTCTTACTAAAACATTTTTTGAAAACTTTCAGGGGCTGGTGCCAGGAATTTCTCAACAAAGAGGGCTAAGATACTGAAACTTTTTTGTGATAACATTAAAAGAGACAGACCTAGAAATTCATTTCGAACAAAGTGATTAGACTGATGGCTTCGGTCAGACGACTCCTTAGCTTATACAAGCGTAGAAAACGAAAATTTTGAAGTTTGTTTTGAAATAATGTTATTCATTGTCGGGTTCGACATTCAAAAACAAATATCTTTCAAAAAAACAGTTCTTTTTCCGGATTAGAAGTCTGATAGCTGGCGTAAAGACATTGTAGGTAAAATAATGACTACCAACAGCTACCAACAGCAACCATCGAATTCGGAAACATTTACTTTAGTTTTTAGTTCATTCCCAGACAAATTGTCACATTTTTTTGCTGATGGGGGCCTGGGTTCCACGAAAGAGGCCTCTCGCCCCTCAGGCTCCCTCCCCTCCATGGTTTCGATAATAAGAGAAAACGGTATATAGCTCTACGTCTCTCTCCGAAGTTTATCCGAGTTATTCATAAGGCTCGCCCAAAGAAGGGTAGAAAACAAGAATTTTATGTTTAGATCAAATTGCTTTTTATCTATAGAATTCTGCTCATATTTATGTAATGGCAGCCTATCCATGGCGATATTACGTTTTTGTTTCCACGTTATATTGTTTATTTTTTAATAATGTTCAAGGTAAATGCGTCATAGTTGTTATTTGACTGACGGCGTTTATATCTGTGTATTCTATATTTAAAATTGTCATTGACGATTGTGTGTAAATATTTGTATGCCTTTCAACTGTAATTTATTGCTTTCATTTTTTTTATGCAATTGTTTGAATGGTGTCTTTTAATTTGAAGGTAGAAGTTAAAATTGCAAGCTGTGTACTGTTTAAATATTCAGGATATATATATTTTTGCTCGAAGAATGCTTGGAACTAAACTGTTTTGTTTCCCCTCGTTGATGACTTTTTAATTTCCTTTTGCAGTAGTTTCCGCAGTTTCATTTTTGACGCTTAAATCCGATGGCTCTATTCAAGTTGAAGGCAGACCGTTTCAACTTCAGTGTATCTTTGACGCCAGTGACTATCCAGAAATTGATCTTTCACAACGAACAGTTGTATGGGAACGTCCACCCATACGACAAAATCACCTAGGTGTAAAAATTGATGACAATAGCAAATATGGAAACATTACTTTGGATCGAAGTATGGAAAACTCTTGAGAAAGAGAAATTTTTCTTTTTCCTTATGTAAATTATTCTAGAAATTTAAGATAACTGATCAGTGAACTGATCACTAAACAACAAGTTTTAGAGTTCTATAGCTATGTTAATGCATCATAGATTTGTCTAAACTTACACAAAACAATGCATTCAGTATTTTTCCTCCTGAAATAACTTGAACATTTATTAATGAGAAAGTTGCAAATTCTCCCTTTATTGTAACAGTGTAATTGTTTCAACCTTTATATGCTAGGCTACAAAACAAATTAACCAATCATTGAACTACTGCCACCAGTGTTTGTTTTTTTGCAAGAAATCAAACACAACTCATATAATATTTCTATTTTGAATGAAGCTCAATTTTATGATTTGTAAGCTAACTCTTTGTATTAATTGTTCATAGATAGAACATTTTTGAGAAGCACGTTGTATGTTCCTGAACCTCCAGCTTACCTAACATTTCAAACAGCATATTATGAATGTGAATTAGACCCTAATGCCGATTCACAGGTGGACACTCATAATTTTCCCATCAAAGTTTTAAAAGGTATGCATGAATTTTTATACAGGTTTAAATCCTTATTGAATGCCACTTTCATAGTAACTTAGTGTAATTTAATTATCTTTTTAGCAAAAGCTGTGCCCGATATAACAACACCAACTTTAAAGCCAGCCAAACATGAAGAAACTGTCATGTTAAATTGCTCTGTGACTTATACTAATACAGACCCACTTACATCACAATTAATGCTGAACTTGACATGGAAAAACGATATGAAAAAATTTGGGTTCAAAAATGTAAACTATTTACAGGGAACACACACAGTTTCATTCAATCATCCTTTGACTGTGAGAAGCTCTACTGATATGAGTCTATACTTGCCAATGGACATTAAAACGCCTAAGTGATGAACTTCGTGGACAAAGCTCAGTATTTTTAAGTAGTAAGTTTTCCTATAATACATCCCCAAGTGTAAGTTAGAGTTTTCATTGTATATACACGTATTGTGAATCTATTTACAATGGTGAGAGCTCCCATGATTCATGTCTTAAATAAGACATATGTTATATGTCAGCTTGGAGGTTTGCACTGAAAACATATTTTCACCAAGTCTCAACTATAACTAGTTTTTATTTTTTTTATTTTGAAAATGAAGCAATTTTCTTGATGTGTGAGTGATATATGGCTTGTTTATACTGAAATTGGATTATTTTTTTCATACTTCACCTGGTCAATAGTAGAATTCACTCTTGCTATGATAACTACCATCTGAATACATTTTGCTTTATCTTTGAACAATTTAAATGGCTTGAAATTTTAATTTCACTTTGTAAACAAATTACCATGGAAAAACTATCACCTTTGAATCACGGTCAAGATATCGTTAAAAAGCTGCTTGCTGCTGGAACCATTATGATTGCGAGAAATTCAAAAATATAACTTTTCATGCATAAATAGAAAAATAAATTAATTGTATTAATGTTTATAATGGTACAAGCATTCTCACCATTAATGAATGCCATACTTGTTTTGTGCATCAAATAAGATGATTTTTTATTTATATTCAAGTTTTGCCATATCTATTGGGTAGTCAAAGGAAGGAGGTGAAAAAGTTTGCTGGTGATGATGTTACACTTAAATGTGATGTGATTGGTTATCCCATTACTTATAAATGGACAGTTGAAAACGAGCCATCTTTTGTAAGTATGTGAAGTAAGTTTCCTGTTAGTTGTCTATACAATATGTTTTAACTTTATCAAGATTATTCTTAACATTTGCCATTGACTTTATGTTAATAGAGCATATTTAAAGCCAATACAGTCGCTGAAGGAGTTGGGATGGGGGGCATTTATAAAAATACGATGGGAAGGTGGGGGCACAAAACATCTAACTAAGCTGGAATTTTAAAGAAATTAAAATTTATTCTTTGTGTATTTAATTGTAGATCTTGATAAACGATAACAATCAGAAATTCTCGTTGTCCATCAAAGATATTGATTATAAAGATCGTAAAGAATATATCTGTACTGGTGTATTTAGTAACACAACATTAAAGCAGATAATAGTTCTTCGTGTCAAAGGTATGTTACAAGTACGTTAACTTTGTCCAGGGCACAGGATTTCAGGGAAATGGTGGAAAAGCCTGATTCAGTGGCATCAAAATTTTAACCAGACCATTGCTCCACTTCCTTGTTGGGTAGACTATTGCTCTACCTTGCTCCAGTCCATTTTTGGGTAGACCATTGCTCCACCTTGCTCCAGTCCCTTTTTGGGTAGGGCATTGCTCCACCTTGCTCCAGTCCATTTTTGGGTAGACCATTGCTCCACCTTGCTCCAGTCCATTTTTGGGTAGACCATTGCTCCACCTTGCTCCAGTCCATTTTTGGGTAGACCATTGCTCCACCTTGCTCCAGTCCCTTTTTGGGTAGACCATTGCTCCACCTTGCTCCAGTCCATTTTTGGGTAGACCATTGCTCCACCTTGCTCCAGTCCCTTTTGGGTGACCATTGCTCCACCTTGCTCCAGTCCATTTTGGGTAGACCATTGCTCCACCTTGCTCCAGTCCATTTTTGGGTAGACCATTGCTCCACCTTGCTCCAGTCCATTTTGGGTAGACCATTGCTCCACCTTGCTCCAGTCCATTTTTGTAGACCATTGCTCCACCTTGCTCCAGTCCATTCCATTGCTCCACCTTGCTCCAGTCCCTCCAGTCCATTGCCATTGCACCAGTCCATTTTGGTAGACCATTGCTCCACCTTGCTCCAGTCCATTTTTGGGTAGACCATTGCTCCACCTCCAGTCCATTTCCATTGCTCCACCTTGCTCCAGTCCATTTTGCTCCAGTCCATTCCATTCTCCACCTTGCTCCAGTCCCTTTTTGGGTAGGGCATTGCTCTACCTTGCCCCACTCCCTTTTAGGAAGAGCATTGCTCCACCTTACCCCAGTCCCTTGTTGGGCCAACCATTGCTCCACTTTACCCCTCCCCCTTATTGGACCAATCATATCTCCTCCATGCCCAGTCCCTTGTTGGGCCAACCATTGCTCCACTTTGGATCTTGCCCATGTTTCTTGCGTTCTTTGAACGACGAGTTTTTTTCTTGCTATCATTGTTTGTGTGTGGATTGTTATTTGCAGACCCCTAGCACCTCTTTGGCCTTTCCTTGGAATGGTAGGCGAGGCAGTTATCCTTGTTTTAATCATAGTGATTACCGAGCAGTGGAATAAACGTCATAAAGGTATTGTTAATGATCTTACATAGTGTTTGATGTATGAAAACATTTCTGTAAATTGTACTTTTCTTTTCTTTAAAGATAAAATGATGGAAGAAAGTGAGTTAATAATTATGTTATATTGTGATAATGTACATGTTTTGCGGTGTATTTTAGATATTGCAAAGACTGTTCTCGTTCTTTTGTTGTTCATTCATCACTACCTACACTGACACACATTATCTTATTTCTTACATATTTTAGTTAGTGTAAAGATTGTGCGCGTTCTCTGTTGTTCATTCATCACTACCTACACTGACACACGTTATCTTAGTGTATATTTTAGATAGTGTAAAGACTGTTCTCGTTCTCTGTTGTTCATTCATCATTACCTACACTGACACACATTATCTTAGTTTATTAGACAGATGTTTTACCCTGTCATTGTTTCTATAATCTTTTCATCGTTATATCTACTCTAATATGTCGTGTTTTTCAGAGTTTTGTCGGAGCAACCCAGTACTTCATCGCAGCAGGCCTAAATTTTGCCGAAGACAGTTCGAATACTACGAAAGACAAACATAAGTATTTTGATAAAACGCAAAACAGTAACTACTCCGTAAATACTAACAATTTTTCTTGATATTTCGGCAAGAGCTACATTTCATCAAAAATGAGATCTTTTCAAAAATCATAATTATAAATCTCGTAATTTGACATGGCAAATTTAATGAAAAAAAAATGACTATTTACGAAATGTCTTGTTAGTTTTGTGTTTTATCGAGCACTTAGTTTAGCTTCTACTGATTACAATTTTGCACAAGAGCATTTACAATGTCTTGCTGTCATATTTATGAAACAGTTTACTGAAGTAAATCTTCGTTACCATTTTAGTCGTAATGGTACAATGTGAAAACTTGACTTACATACAAGTCGATTGTGTGGTGTATTTAAATTGCTTGCTCAAGATTAGCAGTGCTTCCATTAATTTCATTGAACTTTTAGCTATCATAAAATCAGTTTGTATGTGGTTTAATGCTGTACAAATGTAGATGACAGAACTTACTGACAAGTTCAGCCTTGCACATATCTAGGTAATTATTTATAATTTTACAATGAGTAATCGGATGGTGATTTTCGTGTAAATTAACTTCATTGAATGTTTTAAACCATTTACTTTAACTTCATTAAATCGAACTAGATCTATCTCCACTACAAATACAATTACAATGTCTTTAAAATCGTGTTTTTATTGATTAATCGAACCTCTTTTAAAGCTGCAGTTCCTAGATTTTGTACCTAACGTCATCGTGACGTCAAACATTATGAACGATGGAAAAGAGTAGGGAGTAGGTTAGTGGTAAATATGGCTATTCAGTTGAAAATGGCTGGAATTTTGTCTTTCTTGAAGAAATATGTCGTTTGACTACGCTCTTTTCTCGTTTTTTTCCAAATATTATGAAAACCTTGAACATAATGCTATCGTAGGATGGAGGAACCGGGAGATTCCAAGGAGAAAAATGATGAAGGTTCGTCAGAAAACTCAAACGAAGCGGAGAAAGCGCTTCGACTTTTCAGGTACGTAATCTACATTGGAAACTATCGATGTTTCAAGGTGTTTTAATTCCTCCTATACATATCCTGTACTATATTATTTACTTATCAAAATAGTAAGTATGAATTTCGCGGCCATAGCTATCGGTTAAATAATATTTCTCCCAAAGATAGCCAATGGTTATCATTCATATATAGACATAGTTGCTTGACAAATCAAGTGGTCACAATTTCTCACTTTGCAGAAAAAAATTCAGCTAAATTGATCAAATACTTTATATTGGTGTGCTAGAATCTCAAGATAATTTCGTTTACGACTCACTTTCGTTATTTTGAGATGTTTTTTCTTGTCAAGACGATCTGTGTTAAAGCGTTATAATAATTCTTTACTCCTTGAAACAGTTTTTTTGTGTACGGCCCTCTTTCATTTAAATGTCACTTTCATTTACTTAACTTTTCAGAATGCTTCAAATTAGGGACATTTTGTTTTTGAAAGTGACATTTCAGACTTACTAAATTAAAAGTTTTGCATTAATTAGATAGCATAAGTTGCTCTGCTACCTACCTAAACAAACTTTATATATCGTTTCATATTTGAACTAGAAACATGTTTTAAATCATTATAATTTGTGTATGTTTTATCCAGATCATCTGTTCAAGTAGCTCAGAAAATAGATAGTCAAATCAAATCTTCCTCTTCATGGCAAGAACTCTTTAGTTCTGATGTCATTTTACGAAGGCAAAGGTGTGTATTAAAGATGTTACCATGGCAATGTATGTTAAGCATTGAATCATTAACTTTTCTATCGCAAAAATTAAAAACGTATAATTTCATTTTGGAAAAGATAAATTTGTTTTAAACTTTGCTTCTTCACGTTGTCCAGTTTGTGTTGACTCAAAGGGCAATGATCTTTTTCCTTTTAGACTTCGGGACAGCTGTGAACTTTTATTGTTTTCGTACCCCGAGGATTATGGTCGTAAATCCGAGGAACTTTTATGGAGAAAAGTTTGTTATGACATTATTCAAAAACTGAAGTACTTTCGAAAGGTATTTTTTGCTTTCTGGATCCGGATACTGTCAATATGTGTTTCAATGATATTTTATTATTTTTTATAGAAAAGCATTGATGATGCTGACCTCTTGACTGTGTATCGTTCCCATCTGCGATCGGCCATGACTTTATATCAACATCTCCTTGTCAAAATTCAAAACATATCAAAAATTAATCTTCGTGACTTCATAGACTGGCTGCCTACTCTTCAAGGTTTTGTATATAAGTACATGTTTATTCAGGATAGGCCTTAAAACCTGCTTTAATGTAAAATTTTAACTTTTCTTCTCTTTTGAAGGGCTTGATCATGACGTAAAAGGCAAACATCTTCGGCAATCGTGGGTGTTTTCTACTTGTCAAAGAATTCTGATTTATCTAGGCGACTTAGGTAGTAGTTCGATCATTGTTCTATGAAAGAAATGAACATGCAAAATGGTTAATACCCTTGCCTAATTTCTCTCTAGCTCGATATCAACAAGAACTTGATGGAGAGTCAAGTCGTGATATGGCTGAGAGATTTTACCACCAAGCAATATTTATTGGTCCAGATTTAGGTATAACATATTTGACTAATGCATCGCTAATTATCCACTTGTGCTGTCCTGTGTTCCTTATCGTACACTTATGAAATGAAGAATAACCTAGAGTAGATCAATGCTCATTTGACAGGAGGGGTGCAAATTTTTCAAGGTTTCAAGGGGTGGAACTTTATCCTAGCAAGAGTTGCTATTGTGAATTATTAGGCTTACAGATGAGTGAACCTCATGTTGACAGTGTTATAAGCTTTTTCAAAATTTTTTGTTTGTTTTTTGCTAATAAATTCATGTTTAATAATTTATTTCAATTTTAATGCTTCAACACAAACGTGCATGGTAGTGTTTAATTGCAAATGGTGGTTGTGCATAATATGTAATTGCCTTTGAAATAGAACTTGAACTTAGTCTTGCTGTACATAGCCTCATAGCTTCATAGCCTCAAGCAGTCATGAACATTAATCATCCGCAGTACGTAATAGCATTTTATAATTTTGGAGGGTAAGCACCCCCTGCACCCTACCCTCGGAAATCCCCCTGAAAATAACAATATTGATGCGACCATATTTGACAAGCAATTATATGAACCTCGTTGACTTCCATTTCATGTTTTGAACATTTCCATCTTTCGCATTATTTTACGTGTTTAGGTATGCCGTATAACCAGCTTGGTACATTATTCTGGGATCACCGTTATGGTTGTAGGTCTGCCTACTATTATTTGAGATGGTAAATATTTACATTAATTATCTCTTTGGGGAAAGTCGTAATTCTGCATTTCTCGTAACTTTGTGTGTTTTATTTCAGTTTGATGTCTGGGTCGCCATTCGAAGGAACGGAAGGCAATCTTCTTCGTTTGTTCGAAGAAAATCACAAAACACTTCAACAACAGCAACAGGCATTAGTTGCAGAAATGGCAGAGAGTAAAGTCAGGTAATCTTAGTTAAAGTCCTTTATTTTTATGTTGTCACGTGTTTGAGAGAGTAGAAGGATGTTTTGGAAGATCTCGCGTGCGGTCGATTGGCAACTTTCCAAGAAGATCTCGCGGACAATTGGTTTTGCAAGAACCGTTAGTTAAATTTTCATCCCTATGTGACGGTCTAGATGAAAATTTTCATCCCTATGTGACGGTCTAGATGAAAATTTTCATCCCTATGTGACGGTCTAGATGAAAATTTTCATCCCTATGTGACGGTCTAGATGAAAATTTTCATCCCTATGTGACGGGTCTACAATTCTAGATGATTGAAATACTTTTTCAGTAATGACAGAAGTGTCTTAGTTATTTCCTACTCTGGGTTTACCTGGAGGGAGGGGTTAGGAACTCTTCTTTTTTCTGTATTTCGGCGATACAATGCCTAACGAACTTTTGGTTGTGAAAATTAACGATTTTACTGAGATAATTAACTTCTTAGTGAACGTAACACTGATCTTTAATTTTGTTTTTGATATAGGCTCACTGCGTCCAGTCGTTTTCTTACGCAATTTTTATATCTTCAAGAAATATTTTACAAGTCGATAAAGTATGAACGGTTAATGAGTTCTGTTTTTAACGTTGTCTGGGATGGCGCTAGAACGTTCATTGAGGGGGGGGGTGTTTATTCATATATTCAGTTGTGCCCGACTAACTTCTTTAGAAAACCAAATCACTTTCAAAAGAAATCACTCGCCTACAACTGAATATACACCCCTCCTCCCCCACAATTAGCGTTCTAGCTCCGTTCCTGAACGTTGTGTTTAGTTTTATACAAATTACCGTCGTCAGACATTAAATATCGTTCCTCATCAGGAGGTCTGGATAGAAAACCATTAAGTTTTTTTCATCAAGCCATTTTTTCTTGTGCATAACTAATCGTTTTTCTGTATGTTCAACTTGCAGTTTAACTGCCGAAGACTTGGAAAAACTGACGAATTTTATCCTCCAAGAACTAGACATGTCGCTAAATCATACATACGAAATTACAAATCAATTGACAAAAAAGACGATGGCGGTTGATAAAAAAACATCTTTGAAGTCTTCACTAAATGAAGAAAGCAATGGTGAACATTTAATGGACACAAGGACGTTGGTTGAAATGCAGGCTTTGTTGGTCATAATGATAGAACGTATGAAAATAAAAGGTTTGTACTATTCTATACTACAATGGATAACTACATATATCTAAGCTGTGGGTATTACGGTACTATGCTATACTATGAAGGATAACTACATATATCTAAGCTGTGGGTATTACGGTACTATGCTATACTACAATGGATAACTATAGCAAAGCTGTGGGTATTACGGTACTATACTATACTATGAAGGATAACTACATATATCTGAGCTGTGGGTATTACGGTACTATGCTATACAATTATGGATATTGATGTTATGACAAATACAAATGTTTAAAAATTTCAGGTTCTATTCAACTGCCAGACGCTCATTCTTTCTTCATGAAATTTCTAACGGAAATCATTCGTCATTTATTCTCTAACTTGGAGACTTCAAAATCCACTGGTTCAGTTGTTAATCAACTTAACTCAAATGGCTTTATCAAAAATGGTTTCACCCCTCTCCGTGATGGTAATGTTTGTTCCGACGATAATATGGTGATGAAAGCAAAACTTTTAAAAAAGAAACTGCTGACACAAAGACGTCGCAGGCGTCGCCATAGCACTCTGAGTGATAGCGGTTCTGAAGAGAGTGAGGATCATGAGGGGGTTAGCAGTGATTTAAGCGAAGGAGAGTTGGATGATCTATTGAACGAGGCATTAAGTGAAGATGGCAGTGACTTTTCTAGTCTTTCTGATGACGAATATTCAGACAGTAAAAAAATTGTCAACGGTGAACATTCAGCAGGTAATTAAGTTGTCTTCTTTCGTTTTTTTTTTCTCTTCAAACTTTTTATTGCAGTACAACATCCTGTTGTGTGGTATTCACAATGTTTATAGGTATTGTGTATCCCTGAACATGTACTTGTATGTACTTGTATGTGCTAGCTTTCCACTCTTCATATACTAGTGGCTAACGTATCTCTCTATGTATTTATAAATTACACTATATACAAATATTTCACTCTGTATTTCAGACTCCATTTCTCCCAAAAGCGTTCCAATTCGTCATCATATCTTGACAAACGTAGTTAAAGAAGATCTGCTCATGGTTCTTAAAATTTCTCTTGATTGGCTCCGACTCAATCCTGAGGTGGTTAAATGTCCCAATTCGGCAGCCATGTTCTCTCAACTTGTCTCACTTTTGAACATTCTACCAAAACAAGAAGAAATATATCGTATTGGTGAGTGTTGTCGAAGTAAATAGTGTGTGTGTCCACGTGAACTGTGTGTGTTGTCCACGTGAATTGTGTTTTTATTCTCCACGTGAATAGTGTGTGTTGTCCACGTGAATTGTATTTGTTGTCCACGTGAATCGTGTGTGTGTGGTCTGTGTTGATGTCGGGTATTTTTTCATTTTATGTGATTTATATTAATTTTATTTGCTTGGGATTTTTGTTATTGTGTAGGAAAATCCAAAGACAGCATCTTGCATGACATAATTGACGAGAATGTTGACGAGTCCTGGGTACAAAAGTATGGAATACGGGAAGATATTTCCCTTCTCGGTTTTAGTCCTCTGGCAAAACTTCACGGCCGTTTGGATTTTTTCTGGTGTAAAAACGTAAAGCACAGGAAACTGCGTGAGGTATTACTTGATGTTAGTATTTGTGTGAGTTTTTAAAAGTTAGTAGGTAGGAAGTACTTGGTGTTAGTGTTTGTGTGAAGTGTTACTTGGTGTTAGTGTTTGTGTGATGTAGTACTTGGTGTTAGTGTTTGCATTAGAAAGAGAAATAGACCGTAAAATGTGAGAATTATCTTGCAAGACATTTGCAGCAGCAAAGGTTTCATTGATGTTATTGCTAAACTATTTACATGTGATTACCAATTGAAGATTAAATTTCAATTGTTATTGCAGGTTGTGATTCGCTTGCAAAGTATTAAAGCCAATTCTGTTTATCTCGCTTCTCTGGAGGTACTTTACTGTTAGACTTATGCATACTTTTTCATTTCTCAAAGTTATCTCAACTTTTTTTTTGTAGAATGTTACTTTTGTTTATGACAGAAAGTCTGATGTTTACTCCACAGTTAAACCAACTGCCGTAAATGGAGAAGTTGACAAGGCTCACGTGAAGGTCGGCTTTTCATTGTAGATGTTTTTTAAATATGTTGAGGTTATTTACATAGGTATTCGCTCTCTCATTACAGGAAAATGAACGTCGAACGAAACTTATGAAGACTATGGCAAAGCAACGTTTACAAGTATGTATGCTTTATGCTTACGTGATTATTTTTGCTTTTATTCCCTGCATTGAACATTCGTGGAGCTATGCTCTTCGTTGTGCTTAATAAATGAAGTTTGTGCGATATAATATATTTTCCTCTTTATGTTTTTAGTCTGAGGTGGCGGATCTCGAAAATAAAGTTAAATCCCAATCGCTCTCTCCCAGTCCTTTTCTCATTCCGGATGCGCCCACGATCTGCGCTCAGCTGCATGTATTACGACAACTTGTGAACACACGGAATTTTGTCATTGTTGTTCCAGTCCAAGGTAGTGTGGAACTTTTCTTTTTGGTTAAGGAAAATTTACGATGTATTTTCTTTTCAGTCTATGTAATGAATTACAAATATTTTAATGTTCACGAGCACTGTGTCGAAATATCGTTTTTGTGGCGTTTTTTCTCAGTTATTCAGGCTTTAGACGAGTTGAAGAAATTCAATCCCGGTGCGAGAGAAGCCATAAAGTATTTGGAGCAAGAATTGAAAAAGGGAAACCGTTGGATTAGGGCTCAAAAAGAAAGTGAAAGTACATCAACACGAAGTCAAAAACGTGGTAAACAGGAAGAAATATCGATATGGTGAGCATAATGCTAGTGTCTTTGGTGATTTGTGATTGGTTGTAAGTCTTTCTTAGCACAAAGCTATTGTCTACGGTGATTTGTGATTGGTTCTAAGACTTTCTTAGCACAAAGCTATTGTCTACGGTGATTTGTGATTGGTTCTAAGTAGCTACATAAAATATGATTCAAAATAGCAGTTAAATGCTGTTCAATTTTTTTCTCAACAAACACATCTTCGTGTAAAATATTATTGTGTATTTGTCTTTAAATTTTGTATATTTATGAAGCAAACCACAATTTACGTTTCGTGTTTTAATTATGGTTAAGTTGTTGTTGGAAATTTGGTTTTGAGTTGAACCACATTTGATTGAACTTTGAATTGAAAATAGTTGATGATGTCGAAGAGGTCTGAGTACGTGCGTAAATGATCGAGGCTATTTTCAGGCAGAGCTTATAAAACGCAAAAGATTTTATGCGGTGTCGTTACCGCCGTAAATAAATTTTTAATTTGTGTATTTGATGATTTTAAGTATTATTGAAGAGTTAAGTGCGGTTATTTTGTAGCAAGCGACGTTGCAATGTGGAAAAAATCATTGCTTTCTGAAACTGAATTGCCATTTCTTCTTTTTAATTTGTATCTTCCACTTATTTCTGGTTATACGTATTTCTTCATTTCTTTTAGGCGCTTCAACCAGGTCGTCAACTGCTGTTTGTATTTTATGGAGCAGTCAGGACCAGGCCTGGTTACGTTGCTCACTGATGACGGGGATATTGAGACCTTGAAAAAGAAGTCCGGTCGGGGAAATGCCGCTATCGCTGTGGGAACAAAAGCTACACCTCAAGCCGTGGAACTCGCTCTTAAGAACAACATCAACGTCCAGTCGATCAAATCATTTCGAGCTCAGTGTACTGGCAAAAACTCGGTGACGTAATGAATATATGAGTAAGAATATATGGTATAGCGGTATGTATTATGGTATGGTGTGTGTGTGAGCCGTTTTGATGAAATTCATATGATTACGTCATACTTTCTTAAGGTGTTTAATTACGAAGCCCAATCGAAATTCTCCGAAGATAAACCGACGTGTGTTAGTGCTGCTGGTACGAATATAGTGGGCTCTCTCTCGGAAGAATGACCTCACTTTGCCATATAAGGAAAGATGCTAGCTGCAGATTTTATTATTTTCAAGTTGCTAGCCTAATCAAAATTGCACTTTGAAATCTGCACTTCCCTTTGGTGACCCAAGCTATAAATGACGTACAACAAATACCACGAACCTCGCAGCATGTAGGAGAATTTGACGACCGGAGAATGTCTCCTTTATAGTGACAGGATTGGTTGCCTTGAAGATAATTTCATCGGTGGATTCTTTAAAAGTCTGTGCTTGTAAACATAATCGATAATAGTGAATGTATTGGATAATCTTAATTCATCATTGTATTGGATAATCTTAATTCATTATTGTATTGGATAATATTAACTCATCATATTGGATTTTCTCGAAAGTAGCTTAGTTAGTTTCCATGGTTTGAATATAACGTTTTTCTGTCCTTGCTTTATTGTTCCTTTCCCTAGACTCGAGTTGAATTGTGTGGCGTTAAAATGTTCGGACTTTGTTTATCGTGGCTTTGTACTATGTTAGAAAGTAATTTGCTTGTCATTAGCCTTGTTCATTATAGTCTATATCACCTAGTCTATTGTGTTTGTAGTATGTAAATTTAATGTAATTGTCGCTGAATTTTGCGTAAATATATGATTTTTGTCTCTATTTTGTGTAAGATTGATGTTTGTGAGGCCTGAATGCGAGTGCTAACTGCCCTGCTCTGTGATATTTATTCAACAGAATTAGGTAACAATTGTTTAAAAATTACACAAATTAATGACATTTTCCAGTAACCTCTAATCCATCTGCATAACTTCACAATTGACGTAGGCTTATTACCATCCTGTACTATATCCTTCAGGTTTCCTTGAAGAAATTGTTGACATGAATTGTAAATTATTTCTGCTTCGAGAGTTTAGAATTTCATATAGATTGCATGCGCTTGAGTAAAGTAAAGATTACGTTCATAAGTTTTCTTTTATCAAGCAACTAGCCAATGTCCTCATACCCTTCATCAACGACAAGGTCGTAAAGTCATCTAAAATATCTTTTTCGAAAGGAAAATGCCATAAAGAGATTAAGCCTTAACAATCTGTTGATTGATCGTGAAAATCTCCATTTACCAGCCATGAATGCTTGGCATGCCATATTAATCCTGATGGGGTTTTACTCAGTTCTTCAGGAAAATACTTATCCAGTCATCAACTAATCTTAATCATTTCTTCATACCTTAATGGTCGTTAGTTCTTGTAACAACATAAGAAAAACTGTAGAAATTCAAACCTCTTTGAACGTAATAACGACTCGCACAGTTTGGAGTATTATGTATTAGAATTCATTAAGTCTTTGTTTGTCTTAGTACACGCCTTCAAAATTCGTGCCTGTCATAGACTTGAGAGTTCTCTTTCATTTGCATCTTCCATGTTTGAACTTGCACACAGCAAACTTTATTTTTGTTTGCACAGAATTATGAGTGCGAATTAAATATTTTGTTGTTGTCGGCAAGTGATGTTAGCATAACCACAATCTAACCAAAAATATACCTTTTTTTGTACAATCTTCACCGTTATCACATACGGTAGTATTTGCACTTTGCGGTGTTAGGTTCATCCATTAAACCTGTGAAATAACATGAAAGATTAACAACAATCACGATTCTTATTTATGGAACAATAAGATAAGAAATCAAATTTGTGGTGAATAATTTGTGGCGAAAATCTTGGTTGTTTTTCACAATTTATTGAACTCTCTTAATGTGAACAGTTCCCTTCTTTGGAGTCCTTCAACAATTTGCAAAGTCAATTTGAATCAGTCCATCCACTTCCGACATGGGCCAGTGTTTTACAAGATAAATAATAGCTGTGTTTACTGAATGCAGACCCACGTAAGCTTTTTGAAATCAATATTTGCACAAGTTGGCAGACTTGGCTAACATTAATATTGAAGATTTGTTGACATAGAGAACGTTAGCTGTACACACAGAGCCAAACATCAAAGGTTTTCTTCATTTTCGTTTCTTAATAAATCAAATTGGACATGTGGGCCTTATCTTAATATCAGTGTATAGTTCCTAAATATGCAGATGTTCTCGTTGAACACGGCCTATTATTGCCGTTTCTGAAAATTTTGAGTGAGACAACGATAAACAGCAAATGTATACTTTTACCCACAGCAAAGTACAAGAATATCTTGCCCCAAACGTTGCCTATTTTACTTGGATCTGTGGCAAAGCTTTATGCAGTAAGTAAGTTAAACGTATTCTAAACATATTTTCAACTTATCATACTTCGTCATAAGAAAGTATTTCACTATTATTTGGTGCTATGGACACCGTAATACATCCTTTCTCATTTTAGTCATTTAAATACTGGAGAATCACGTTGCTTGTCCAATGTAAACATTCGTCATTAATCAATGCAGAAAACGTTTCTAATCTAAACTGCAAATTCCATGATCATAACTTATGTTCCTATTTGTTCCGTCGTCAAAATTAAACTTTTCTCGCAGCAAACGTAAAACCGTAAGTATATTTTGACGATTTATTTCCAACATATCTTGCAGGATGTGAAAACACCGGAACCAACATTCGCGATATTTGGTTATGACCAAAATTCTTTACGTATTGCAGTGTATCTATGTGATACTAAGCTTTTCTTCACTTAAGATAATCTTTAAAGAGCGACTAATTCCGTTTTTGTAAAAACTTTAAAACAATAATTTCCTTTAAGACCCACATCCTGTGCTCGAGTGACAAAGAAAAATGACGCCATGAAAAATAATAAGTTCTTTTAGTAGTTCAAGAACAATCTTGAAATATCACTTTAACACGAAAGTATCCGTTAGTTGGAAATGCACGACAGTACTTGCAAATTTTGAGAAAATTTTGTTAAATATATTCACAGTGCTCTTTGGATATTATTGGTTAGAATTTTTGTTTGAAAACAATGTTCCATTAATAAGACTGTTTACACTGCGCATCGAAATCTCCGGGATGATCAGAAAGATTTGAGTCTTTATATGTCCCTTGTTGATGTCTATTATTGACATATATTGCCCTCAGCCGAAGCCCTCCAACAACGATTTAGTTCTTGCGGCTTAAAGAAGCGAATATTCAATTTGCAACTTTCCCAGTCACAAGGTGTTGAAATTTTCGTACTTCCCTTTATTCCACTGGGTATTTTTTTTAACAAACGTTGCCCTCTATTGTTTTTACAAGTGTTAAAATAGACGCACTCGGCGTCTTTAGTATTTTGTATCTAAGTAAGAGGCGTTAACCAATGGTATTGTCTTTCCTATCCCACGTGTGTTTGAGTGACAGCAGTTGATTATTAAGCACGCTATGACACCATGATCTTATTAACGCTTCCAAGTACAGGTGTTTTGTGGGCGATCGCACCATTTCATTGGCTCACGGTTTTGCACGAAAGAGTTCCCCACGTGGGATATTTTCGATATGCGCGTAATACTGGCCATGTTTGATTGGTTTTGACTACAGGGCCAATAAATATAGATTAAACAGTTTCCATATATGGAACGGAGTTGAGGGTGTTATGCGATGTTGTGTCGCTTGCCTTCGCCGCGTGTTTTCTCAGTTTTTGCTCGACTGATTGTGCTGTGGTCGCTGTTAACCTTACGGTGTTTAAAATCGAGTAAATCTACGGAGTTTTCTTGAAATCGCCCTTCCTTAATACGGCTTCGTGATATAGGGGTCTGTCGTTTGTACTAAAGACGATTACGATTCGTCGACTTGATCGTGATTGGAAAAATCTACATAATATTGTTGTTAATGGAATCGTGTTAACAGATCTCTACAGGCATTGGATATAAAGACATACAATACTTGGCTCGAACGATTCCCATTCGAAAGTCTTAGAAGAAGAAATTTGAAAATGTATGGAGCAAATCGTCACACGGTCAGTGCATTTGTAAATGTGATAAATGTGTCAATTTAGCTTTCGCGAACATTTAAATAAAATAAATTACTACTTTTCTTAAATGAATGCATGTGTATATTCACATTATAGACACCACACACTCCGTCCGGTCAACCTTTTAAATTCACTGTTACTGAGTCTTGTGATCGCATTAAAGAGGAATTCAATTTTTTACAAGCTCAATACCACAGGTAATGTGAACGTTTATTTGTTCATCAGACTTGGAAATTTAATGTCGTCAACGTCAACAATGTTTAATGACACAAAAGTATTTTTTGCGAACATAGTGAACAGAGATCATTGTTAAACTATATGTGCTTTGTCAACTACTGTGTATTCAAATGTGATTGCAATTTTTGCCGTAAGCTTTACGGGTCCATTTCAGCTTACATAAACAGTGCCAAGCTATTTAATCGATTAACCTTAAATTTGAAAATTCTAAACTGCGATTCGTCTGTCTTTGATGCACAAGTCTGATAACAATTTAAATCGAAATAAAATATTATTTCAGATTCATGGAATGAATAGACCTTTTTGTTCATTACTTGATCGTTCATTCATCTGTATTACATACGTCAACTGTTTGTTAATGCGATTTTCAGGATTTTGAAGTCTGCTCAACTATTGAAACTGCATCTTGAGTAATACTACATATTATAAATGCTTATTTAATATCTGCGGGCACCAACAATTCTTAAAATATTTTTGTGGCTTTTTGACGCGTACTTGCGTTTTTATAATAGACGAACGTCTTTGTTTCAGTCTTGCTCTGTATGTCAATTGTCTATCGCAGTGCCATATATGATATTAATCCCATCAGTTTTGCTTTCAACATTTTATTCATGCGAATATGTTGAATTATATAGTTTGAAACTTGAGTGCGAAAAACTTGCCAACGAGAAGACAGAGATGCAGCGACATTATGTTATGGTGAGTTTAAGAATTATCGGAAGTTTTTTATGTGCTTGAAAACACAGAAGGAACTTTGATCATCAATTACAGTGTAAATAACTCAAAGTAGGGCCTCCTCGTGTGATAATGGCACTTTGGTGAATTTAGAATTCGTTTATCTATGGCATATGTTGACATATTTTTATGGCTCTTTGCGCAAACGTTTCGTTTTTCACTGTTCTTGCACGACTTTCATTATGAAAAGATATTTGTTTTTTTTTTGGTAATTCACTGCGAAAGCGTTTGAACCGCAGTTATTAATAAATACTCCCCGATACATCAACGTATTGTGGTTTGTGGTTTGTCTTGTGTGATATAAACACGAAACAATTCGTTTTAAACATTGTCTATCTTGCTTCCTCTTGTAGTATTATGAAATGTCTTATGGACTGAACGTGGAAATGCACAAACAGGTATGTTTTGTTCAATATGGAAATATTCTTTTCTTTCAATTGCTTCAACTTTACATGTTTATGCGTTATGTCGTGTCAATGTTAGAATTAATATTTTAAAATGTATGGTTTTATAATGCGGCTTCGATTTAATGATCAAACATTTTCTTTGTTGATTTTTCAAGGGAAAATCCATTCCGCTAAAATTGCCTGTTGTAATGCTTCATTATTTTAACTATCAACTCATTTCCATTCAACATGTACAATATTAATCTTCTTTCTTGCACAACCCTGCAAGCGATTTATGGCTCTGGACGTGTTGTCAATATGTTTTTAATTACTGCGCATACTTAGTGGCGTGTAGGCGATGACAGAAGGTTTTGACCATAGCAAAATCCCACTTAAATTTTGGTCAAAAGAGCATCTTAACATATTTCGTTGTTTGGAGTTTTATTGTTACAATTGTTGTCATAAAATGTTCTAATTTCGTTCTCATTGTTTTGAAACAAGTGCAGTAATCTCCATCTTATTAAGTTCAACCCAGTTTGCGCATTCGAGTAGATTGTTTAAGTTTAGTAAAGTCTGGTGCATTGTTGCCGAGCTGTTGACAGAAAAAAAGTTTTTGCCGTGTTTGTTTAAAATCACGTTATTTTTTCGAGATGAATTCAACGAACAGAATCAAATCAACTGCTTCACCTTTTTGAGATGAAATTTTATCCGTGCGTTCAATGGATCGCCTATCTTGATCAGTTCGAGAGCTTTTTATTAGATGTAGAAATTCAACTCAACAGTAACTTGAGAGGATAAGAATCAAACCCATTCATATGATAATTTCCCCTCAATAGAATGAAATAAACACCTAAAAGCGGTTAGTCGACGATCGCGTCGTTTTTATGGGAAAGGAAGATTCCAATAAGTGTTGATTTAAACTTCCATTACGTTGTTTTACTAAGAATTCACACAATTGTAATAAAGAAATTGTTAAAGGAATTCTAAAAATTTTTCCTATCGAATCATTTCCTTTCGCGAAATTAAGTTTGAAGTGATTTGTTGATATTTTGATGAATGAAAATCAGCGTAAAGGCCACCTTGGTTAAAAATGGAAAGCTGATGAAACATCTTTTATTGTCGTCCCATCAGATATTTCATCGTCTCAAAGCTCCGCGTTGATTGAAAACACCAAAATCACATTAATTGTGAAATCTGTTACACTTCGGCTTGTGGTACATCTGTCATCGTTTACAAATGAATGTTTTTTTAAGACTTTCGTCTTTCTTAAGTCCTTCATCATAAATATTTTGCATCCTGCCTGCGTGATACAGGCGTATAGACATGAACTATAATTATTAACCTTGTAACTTTTTGTGTGACTTTACAACCACCTTGTGGCCTTTATTAAACACAAACTTCATTCATCTTTGCGAACTCTTATCACTACAAACCGTCTTTTCGTCGTCTTTAAGTGACTGTAAATATGACTACATAACCTCCTCATTTTTCTACATGAGTACATTCTTTCATTAAAATCATTTCTCACTTCAATTTCTCATCTCGCGCTAGATTTGTGTAATCTCACTTATTTTCATTATCTTTTCTTTAATGGCTTCCAGGCCGTGTTTTCCCATGTCTCTCCTTTTGCTTCGCTCTTAGTAACATCTGCGATGTCTGATTATTTTACTATTATCTCCTTAATTTCATGTTTTTGCGAGTAGAAACTCGTCATTCGATATTTTCTTACTCTTAAGTACATTCGACAAGTGCGAGTTGGCGAAAATCGTAGAAAACGACTCCATGCGCGTGGAATGCACAATTTTGGATTTTATTTGCTGGATCAATTTGCTAATTGAATAAAGAAGTGATCTGCGATTAATTGGAATATTATCTGAAGATTACTTCCAGCTATTGTTAGTCTGTGCATGCATCAATTTTATCACCAAATGTGCGACGTTTCTTGTTTACCTTGTGAGCGTCTTTAAGACGAAAGGAAATTCTTTGTCGTTTGAGCTTGTTTTTCAATGATTCTTTCATCGGGTGTCTATTTCCATACTATTTAATGGTCATGTTTATGGGATTACCCAGTGCTCAGCGGAGACTACATGACGGCAAATTTTCAGTAATTGCTCGCAGGCTATCAACGATAGTCAGTATCTCTGCTTTTATCGAAAACTTAACGTCGCTAGCGGGCAATACTGTATTGGAAACATTTTAACCGATTAGTGCTCTTAATTTTACTGGAATTTGTTGTTGCTATATTCACTAAATCGATGAGAATGACAAAGCTATAGCCTAGGAGTGCGTTCTTTTCTTAAAACGTAACAGTTATCGAAATCTACATGCGTGAGCTATTTCCATTGACATACTCTTTATGACTGTGTCCTCAGGGCGATTTTTCATTAATTTTTCCAGAGCCGATAAAAAGCTTAGCCTGATTACCATTTGTCATTTTGTAAAATCTTTATAGGTGTAAAGTCGTTTAGCGTATCCGATCTTCTTCACGTCAAGCAGCTTTGTTCCAAAAATATTTATTTTTAAACTAAATAATCCAGCATATTCTAAAATGGGAACATTATTTTTGGACATTTTTAAACTCAATCTTTACCCGAGAAGAAGTGACACGACAAACAAAAATTGTCAGTATTATTTAGGGAGCCAAAATATAGGTTTATTGAAAACCTCATAAAACTTGGGTCGTGCCATGTGCTACTAAGGAAAGTAAGATAAAAAATCAAGCGATTAACTTTGTGATGATTTCTTTGTTTCTAGACCGAAATAGCAAAACGACTGAACGCAATTTGTGCTCAAATCATCCCATTTTTATCGCAAGAAGTAAGTTCGATGCGAGTCGTGTCAGGCTCTACTATTCTAGACACATAAATTTATGATTGTCTCTCCTTTATCCATGACATTGTTACAGCACCAACAACAAGTCGCGGCTGCTGTCGAACGAGCCAAACAAGTTACAATGACAGAACTAAATGCTATAATAGGAGTAAGTGTTAGCTATATTTCATATATATATATATTGTCATTTGAGAGAATCTCCAGTTGTCTATAGAGCTGCATCTAGAATGCAATAAATAACCAATCGTCCATTTAGCAACAACAGTTACATCAACAAGGCCTGCCTCATATACACCCTCCACCTATATCTTTACCTCACCCAGCTGCTCATCCACCGCACCTGCCTCCAGGTGTTGGGAGCGTGATCGAGTTGTCAGGAATGGTACCGCCACATCTTCCTATGGTTCCTGGAATCAAAGATGAGAAAGGTCTGCAAGTTTTATATCGAATCGCCCGCTTGCTAACGTTCAGTAGCACGCTTTTCATACGTTCGCTTAAAGTAATCATTCAAAGCTTGACTACCCCTAGACTCGAGAGGTCTATCTATCCTTTTACTTTTGAGTTCTAGTCCTCAACAGTCTATGCACGCTTTAGAAAACTGATATCTCAGAAGATGTTTGAATCGAATACGATCTCATAAAGATTTTTTGTCTTTTTTTATGTTGTTGGACGATGATTAAATGAATTTAGATCATCCGGTAAGTACCGCTGCGGCAAATGTTCATTTATTATTGAGATTAAAAACTTGAGGTGTATTTCCGTGTTGCGTTGCAACCAAAGGATTCATTTAGACGAAAATGTATACTTTTCAGCATTCGATGTCGCCCTTTGGACCTTCTTCAAGAGACAAAATCCGACCGTCCGAGCATTCTTCCCATGATAGTGATGATGGTAAAGGTAGTATTGGAAAATATTTTTGAGTGTTAAATGTTTTTCTTCGAGAACCTGCCTCCATGATTACTATAGCTCATACATGAGTTTATTTTGAAAACTTTTTGTTAGGATCGTCGTCAAACGCCAAACGCTCTCGTGATCGTAAAGACTCAGATAGGGTACGTATGTGATTTGGGATTATGGGATTAGTTGGCTAAGATAATCGTCTTTACTTTAGGCTTGGATTAAAATAATCGTCTTTACTTTAGGATCATGATAGCGATGGTGATAAAAGTGATGCGGAACTGGTAGTCGATGAAGATGCATCATCTCCCCCCGGTTTACCTAATGGCGACCGTGAATCACCCGTACATGAAAAGAAAGCGAAGAAAGAGGAAGGAAGTCCACACAGCATATCCTCTAGTTCATCAACTCCCTCAGCGAAACATAAAGTACCAAGATTATTTTTTGGTGTAAAATACTTAACTCTTTTCAAACTCTTCCGTTTATTTTTATATAGTTATCAGATAAGAAAGCATCATCTCAGTCGTCCTCGTCCCCTGGTCGGGTTGTCTCGTCATCGTCCGTTAGAAGTGCCATGTCATCTGGACCATACTCCATGATGAGTCATCTGTCCAATAAGTAAGTACGTTATAGATAATATATTATGAGAAAAGTTACTTTAAATGATGCCTTGTTTTCTACTTAAGTGATATCGGAGGCAGCTCCTATCCTATGTTGCCCTCATCAATGTCCCCAGGAGGTAAGAGGTTTATCACTTGTTGTACCATATAATCCACTGCCCGTCCTATTTTTAAAAAGATTCGTTTGAACTCAACGCGAAATCTTGTCGGAGTAGGACGATATTGAAGATTTACAGTGATCATAGCTCAGAGAACTGCCGTGGGCTTGCTCTCTGACACACTGTGAAACAACAATAAATTTCTGTTTGAAAGTGAATCAGTTTTACCGATAATTGTGCTTCGAGTAGCCCCCATTGTGAGATTTGATCTCTGAAAAACATTAAATGAACTATAGCTTCTTTTTTCTGTTTTTTAAGGAATCACTTATAGAGCTGGAATGGTTAGTTTGTAAATGATTTCATTTTTCTTCACGGTTTGGCAATCCACATCTTCGTCTTCCCGGCCATATTACTGTTAATAACATCGACTATTTATCTTTCAGATTGCTTCTCCTATGGACAGTTCAAGTCGTATGACACATTCGCCAGGTTTGCCAAGCTTAGCGAACGGAAAACCAACGTATTCCTTTGATGTATCTAATGGACAAACAAGGCCGATGCCTTTTCCTCCAGATGTTCTAATGGATCCAAGCATACCGCGTCATGCAAAACAAGTAAACACTTTGAATCATGGCGAGGTCGTATGTGCCGTTACTATAAGTCATCCAACAAGACATGTGTATACTGGCGGGAAGGTAATGTTTGTTCTTCAATTGTTTAATACCCGACTATCGCTGCTAAAGTAGAATTTATTATCAGATAATGCAATATCTATATTTATCTAGTGTATTGTTTATTACAATAGGGCTGTGTAAAAGTTTGGGACATTGACCAACCGGGAAAGTCGCCCATAAAGAACTTAGAATGTTTGGTAAGTTCGAACAAGACTTTTGGTACATTTCAATAAAGGACGCTTGATGATTTTAAATGTTTCCTTTGTAGCGTGATAACTACATCCGGTCTTGCAAACTATTACCAGATGGTCGAACGTTAATTGTTGGTGGAGAGGCAAACACGCTTACGATATGGGACCTAACTTCGTCGACGATAAAAAGTGAACTAACATCGAACGCTCCGGCCTGTTATGCTCTTGCAATAAGTCCTGACTCAAAAGTTTGTTTTAGCTGCTGTAGTGATGGTAATATAGCCGTTTGGGATCTTCACAATCAAACCTTAGTGAGACAGTTCCAAGGACATACAGATGGCGCTAGCTGTATTGACATATCGCCTGATGGAACTAAATTATGGACAGGTTAGTTGATGTTTCTTTAATCGAGAATGTTTGCGAACACATCGAGTTACTATATTAATGTTTCTGTTGATGTAGGTGGTCTCGACAATACTGTACGATCTTGGGATCTTCGCGAGGGTAGGCAACTACAACAGCACGACTTTAGTTCGCAGATTTTTTCACTTGGATATTGTCCCTCTGGCGATTGGCTTGCTGTCGGGTGAGTCTTTGGACATATAGCGTCTCTTCACAAGACTAAAACACGTTTTTATTATTTTTAGCATCTGTAATCTTTAGCACAAATATACATCCTATAGTTCAGTTATTCGTCAGTTTATTTTCTCTACCGTCCTTTCATTGTTTCGTACTGAAAATATGCGTGATCGTGTGTTTTTATATTGTAGTATGGAGAACAGTTATGTTGAAGTTTTACATCAAACCAAGGCTGATAAATATCAGCTTCATTTACACGAAAGTTGTGTATTGGCATTAAAGTTTGCCTCGTCAGGAAAGTGGTTCATTAGTACAGGAAAAGACAACATTCTTAACGCGTGGAAAACGCCAATCGGTGTCAGCATATTTCAGGTATGCTTAAAATGTGAAATTAATTCATTTGTTAACTCGTAAAAATTCTTTGCTTTGCTTTTGAAGAGTAAAGAGTCGTCTTCTGTGCTAAGTTGTGACATCTCAACTGACGACAAATACATAGTAACAGGTTCCGGTGACAAAAAAGCGACATTGTATGAAGTTATGTACTGATGGGGTTGATCTGAGATAACACGGTTCATAGTGTTGTCATGATCCCAGAGTGACCACCACAAGAACCTAGATGATGTCACCACGGATGAGAATAGAAGATGCGACAAAGACATGATTGATGAAGTATTGCGTTTATGAGGAGATAGAGCGCACTGCGAAATTTCTTGCGCTATGAAATGTGACCCACCGACCAGCCTACGGTAGATGTGTAGATATTTTTACCATAAACGATTCGCCTGGTTTAGATTTTAAATTTGTATTTATGTGTAAAAGAAGGTTAAGCGAGTCGAAAATATTTATATCGTTAGCTAAACACAAACGACATTCTTACGAACTTTGTAAATATGGTATGAGTCCAATTTTAAATTTTTACTTATGACTCGTCCGCATTTGGTTCATAATCTACGTATTTACGTTTGGGAGGCTCAAACACCTTACATAGATAGATGCCAAGTCTCCAGTTTTCGGCTGAAGCTTCGAGCTTTCATTCACAGAATGCAGGATCTAGAATGTGGGGTGTATAATGCAGGGTCTAGAATGCAGAATCTAAGAATGTGGGGTGTATATTGCAGGATCTAGAATGAAGAATCTAAGAATGTGGGGTGTATATTGCAGGATCTAGAATGCAGAATCTAAGAATGTGGGGTGTATATTGCAGGATCTAGAATGCAGAATCTAAGAATGTAGGGTGTGTATTGCAGGATCTAGAATGCAGAATCTAAGAATGTGGGGTGTATATTGCAGGATCTAGAATGCAGAATCTAAGAATGTATGGTGTATAATGCAGGATTTAGAGTGCAGAATCTAAGAATGTAGTGTGTATAATGCAGGATTTAGAATGCCGAATCTAAGAATGTAGCGTGTATAATGCAGGATCTAGAACGCAGAATCTAAGAATGTATAAATTGGAATTCAGAATCAAAGATTGCTGGATGCTAGGATCGAGAATATAGGTTCTAATAGAACTCAGATTTTAAAAGTTTTTTTGATCATACCTACCAAATAACCCTAGCAAAGGTACTTACTCAATCTCCAGGGAGACACTCTCTACTCCCTACTTACACTCGCATTTATGACAGTGTAAACTTATATATATAGTGCAGGAGTCACCATTTTATTTTGGTGATAGCCGGGAGGGCACATTGTATATACACTTTGTATATAGTAAGTTTTGTTTATTTGAATCTCCGTAAGTGCACTGCTCGATGCGTAAGAGCAGAGCAGAAATATTGATAATAAGAAGAAAATACACAAAAACTACAATTTCATCCCGACAAGCCTGTTTCGTGATTTCTCACTCTTCAGGGGATAATAACTTTGTATAAATATTATATATATATATATACACATGAATATCAACCGAGAGGTCCTCGGTCGACTTCACCCGATTCGCACGTGGTATGTTATTACACTGCATTGAGTAAAGACATAAAGATTATTGTTGACAATTGTTGTAATCTGTTGTAATTCTTCCACAAAACAAGAAAACAAAATGTCTACCAAGAGGAAAGCCGATGCAGTGGATGATAGTGAAAGCAGCGAGGACTCAGATTCTGAAGTAGGATAATTTTATCGTTCAAATTGAGTATATGCAGTACGTTGTTTGTAGGAAACGTGACTTTGGTCTTTTGTGACTTTTGCTGAAATGTTGCTACTTAATTGACTATTATGGGTTTGCCTCATTTAAACAATTTTAAACTTCTGTTGTTTTTCGTTTTGGTAGATATCTATTTAAGTCAAAGTTTAAATGATTAAATGTTTTGATGTACTGTGATGTACTATGATGTACTATAGTTGTTAGGTATAGTACATCATATGGCCTGATTAAGGTTTGTCAACAGGTCCTTCAATCATTCTTGTCACTCATATTTACAGACTAGAAAGAAACTTAGTAAGCAAGAAGCGAAAAAGAAGTCCAAAGACAAAAAGAAAAACAAGGATGAAAAAAATAAAGCTAAGGATGAAAAAAACAAAGACAAGGATGGCGATAACATTTTCTCGGTAGAGACAGCTGGTGATTTTTGCTTCGTGTACAATTATTACTAAACAATGATACTATCATTAGATTGGTAGTAAAAAGAATGTCAATGTGAGAGTGTTCAAGGGAAAAGTTCTTGTTGATATACGAGAGTATTATGAAGATGATGAAGGAAATACAAAACCAGGGAAAAAAGGTTAGAAACATGAAGTTAAATATTCTTTTGAAAAATGCAATAGGTACCATAAAAGTGAATGGTTGAGTTTGCAAAAAACTTTGACCAAAGCTGATGTAAGATAGCCACGACAAGATCTTCATTTTATAACAGAAGTCTTTTTATTGCTTAACTTGGAAGGTTCTTTGCCCCAATATTGCAATTGCATGTTGCAGTTTTCAGATACAATATATTTACTTCTCCTGTGGCTTGATGCCAATGTGTAAAATTTTGTTTCGTTGCAGGAATAGCACTCCAGTTGGATCAGTGGGAGGCATTGAAAGGTCACATCGAGAATGTAGATAAGGCAATAGAAGAGTTGAAATAATTAAAATTCAGTTTCTATTGTGACAAAAGATGTTGAGTCTGCAATTAACTAGAGCTGGATTGATCGAGCATCAACTTATTAACTATGGATAAATATAATGGTTCTAGACCATAGATTGTTTGGAAATGATCCAGCAATGTGTTTTGTTTTGAACACTTCAGTTGATATCTCTATGAAGTCAATAAAATTTCTATTATTGAGCACCAAAGCTTATTTCAATGGATTTTATAACTCCGTTTGTTGCTTGGGTCTGCATTGTGCACATGTTGGTGGGATGGTTAAAAATTTTTACTCAAATTTCTAATTCAATTAAATGAAAATTTGTAACAATGGCAGAATTTACATGATATCAATATTAAATCCTCTTAAGAGCGAGCAATCACGAAACAGGCCTGTCGGGATAAATCTGTAGTTTTCGTGACGTTTTCTCAACACCACAACACATATTTACGCTCTGCTCTCGCGCATCGAGCACTGTTTTATACGGAGAATCATCAAATATAAACTTCCTAATATTAATATTATGTATATTCCCTCTGATGATGATAGAATTTATGACAGGTGATTAGTTCGTAATATAAAACCATTCTAACATCTTTATTTTCAACTGTTTCCTCATAGACCGTTTTGCTTGAAGATTAAAATCGCAATAACTTATCATTTGATAGAAGGGCTGTCATGTTATCAATAGCTAATATTTTATCATTCGTAGGTGAGTGAACCATTTAAATTGTTGACTTCGTTTAAATGATTGTGAACGTAAATGTTTGTAACAATATGTGACGTCCAAAAATGTGTCACTTTTATGTCCTGTCTCTAGAATGCTCCGTTAGTAGGTTCTTGAGACTAATATATATATATATATATTTATAAACAAAAAGAAATATTTCGTAATAGACTAGTGTGCGCGTAGAAACGCTGTTGATTAACTTCCTTTTCTCTTGCAGTACATAGAACTGCTATAGATGGTCAACCATTTTAACTAAATATATACGCTCTGACTTTATTTCAACTACGTAATTACTTCAAATTGGCGAATATGTTAGTGTCTCTATACTGCACCATGCCTGCTTTACTTAACGCTAATTTTGAGCGTGAAAAAACATATCAAAGTTTAAGAATCGAGACATGAAATGAAGATTAAAATTTTCGACTCTATTTCAAATTTCATCAAACACTGCCGTTTGCCTTATCCACCCATCTTTGAAGACTGCCATATTTTGAGTGTTGTTTCTTTCTTCAAATTGCGGAGAGGCAGTTTTTATTCTTAATATACTTTTCATTAATGTGTCGCTCTATTGTATAACTACCACGTTGCTAAGATGGGGACAATGTTCAAAATTGGTCAAATCACTGAAAAACAAACAGAAGCTTTTCAACGCTTCGAAACTCCACCCTTAATATTTATTACATAAAGTATTGAAAACAGTGACCATTGATTTACTAAACTCACTTCTTGTCCATGGCTTTTACCTTAGCTCTGTTTGCTGGTTGTTTTACCCTAGCTGATACAAGAAACTGCGGAAAATTTCCAGAGGTAGTCGAGATTTTCATCTTCTCGGTACGTGAAATAATTTGTAATTGATTATTCTGAACTCTTCGTCCTTATTTAGACCATGGTGGACACGACTGCTCGTTTGGCTAAACTCCGTGATGAGATGCACCGTGAGAATATTCAAGCTTATGTTGTTCCTTCGACAGACGCACACGGGGTGAAGTATAGATTTTGTATAAGTAAAAAAATTTCACCTCGGCATTATCAAATTGAGCCATTTTTGCTTCTTCAGAGCGAGTACATTCGCAAACGCGATAAGAGAAGAAAGTTTATCAGCGGTTTCAGTGGATCGGCAGGTATTTTTCGTTTGATAAGCTAAGGTCTCTTCTCCGGTATAATACAGTTTGTTAATATTGGTTTCTGTTACACTGCTGCCTGGCTATGCGTTTGCCCTGTAGACCTCTAGCATCTAGGTAGCAGTAGATGCAGTTTCTCGTACACACATATATTTCTAGGAACAGCCATTGTGACGTTAAAGCACAAGGCTGCGTTGTGGACAGATGGACGGTACTTTCTGCAAGGTGAAATGGAACTTGATTGCAATTGGATTTTACAAAAATCAGGTGAACAGAGAAAATCTTTTCTTACATGTTGGCTGTGTTTCTTCAATTTACTGCTGCTTAAAACAATTCTTTTAAGGTCAACCTGGAGTCCTTACGAAGACCGAATGGCTTAAACACGTAAATACATCAAAAACCTAACTGAAATTAACGTACTCAATCCTCAAGTTTCATTTCTTCGATACTTTTGCAGGTGTTGAAATCGGGAGAAAAAGTCGGCATAGATCCTTATTTGATCAGCATAAGTAAGTTATCGTTTCTTTTGGCTTGAAAATTATACGATTGCAAATTGATTTTTGCATTTATGTCGCATCCTTTCTTTATTATAGACGGATGGAATGATATGGAAGCGGTAATTGACGTCTATATATATTATAATCCTATGTTTTTCATTGTATGAAAAGTTAGTTAAATGTTCCAGACAAGTCCGCACGCAACTTCTAAACTCTTCCTTGTTCATCACGAACCTTTATATTTGATTTATCAGCCGAAGTGTGTTTGAAAGAATAAAGCAAGCGTTGTGACAAAAATAAGATGGCGTTGTGTTTTCAGGCACTGAAAAAGAAAGGGATAGTTCTTGTCGGAATCAAAGAGAATTTGGTTGATCGAGTTTGGACGGAGCGTCCCGGCGAAGAACTTTTGAATATCTCTGTTCAGGAGCTTTCTTACACAGGTAGATATATGTGCTATCTTGTTTTTATTGCTTTGACTTTCTGTCGGTTTTTCAAAACATTTGGGGCTTGAATAATTTTACAAGGTAAAAAATGGTCGAAGAAAGTGCAAGAAGTTCAGGAGGAAATGAAAAATGTCGAGGCAAGCGCTCATGTTGTAATGGAATTGGACTCGATTTCATGTAAGCCCGTGTTTGCACATTTTAACCAACATTCACTTTGTAGTCATTTCATTCATATGCATTTTTTCCCCTAAAGGGTTGTTGAACTTACGTGGTAAAGAAGTGCCGTATAATCCTGTCTTTTTTGCCTATGTTGTTGTTAAGAAAGACGAAGTTTTGTTAGTTCATACATGCACATTGCCTTACGAAAAATATCTAAGCGATTAATCCAAAACTATTGTATACAGATTCTATGTGAAGGAAACGAAGATCTCACCTTATGTACGAAAACATTTGCAATTGTCGAATTGCCCGAAGATTGCCAGTTATTGCATCAAAATAAGGCCTTATGACTCTATCGCGAGTGAACTTTCAATTTTAAGCAAGACTGCGAATGCCAAACTTTGGGTGAGTGATCAATTTGAGTGAAATGTTGTCATTTCAATTGTGATGAGATTACACAATGTTGTTCTTGTGCATTGAACAGAATTTAATGTCATGTTTCAGATTAGTCCTAAGGTTAACTATGCTTTAAAACAAGATGTTGATGATGTAAGTGTGAGCCGAGTTCTTGGATTGTTACTGTTTACAATTTAAAGTTGTTATTGATGTGCTATGTACATGTTTCAGAGCAAGATATACCTCGAGTGGTCGCCTATACGTTTGATGAAGGCGAAGAAAAATAAAGTGGAGTTAGACGGAATGAGAAAGGCAAACGTAAGAATCCCTATTTACCAGATTCGTTTCAATGGCAGTCGCACATAGCGAAGGATTAATGCTTTGTTTTTACTGCTGTCGAATTGTATTCGTGGTTATTTGAAATAACACATTCGTTATTCCTTTTTTTATGACTAAAGCAATTCAGAGAGACGTTCTTACAACAAACGTTTATTTTCTCGTGCAGCTGAAAGACTCCGTTGCTTTGACGTATTTTTTTATGTACGCTGAAAAAAGGGTAGGTTAAGGACTAACAATTTCATTTAGCACGTTCAGAAAGTTGCTGTGAATTTATTCGCAACAGCTCATGTAGATATTTCCAAAACGATTGTTAAGGTCGCGGAGAAAGATGAATTTCTGACTGAACTTTCTCTTGAAGCAAAAATGAAAGAATTACGAAGGTTTGACAATCTTTATTTAGCCCGGTGTCGTTTGCAAAGTGTTGATGTAACAATGTTGTCGAAGTTTTCAAACATATATTTCATTTATTTGTCTCACAGTCAACAACCACTTTATCAAAGTCTAAGTTTTCCGTCCATTGTTGGTTTTGGTCCTAATGGAGCGATCATTCATTACAAGTAGGTACATCTTTAAAAAACACTTGAGAAAAACGACGATTTTTTCTCAAGTGTTTTTTAAAATTGCTGCTAATTAGAAATTAGGTACATCTTTATAGGTACATCATTGTATGTATATCAATGTTGGTACATCATTATGTGTACACATCACATGAACATCATAGGGAACATTCATGAGTATCTGTGGCATCGATTTTTTGTCTCACCTATGTTTTTGACCAACAGTAAATTATATCTTTCGTAATGTTGACACCGTCAACAGGGCCCCGAAGCTAGAACGCTAATGGGGGTGTTGTATATTCATGTATTCAGTTGTGTCCGACTGATTTCTTTTGAAAGTGATTGGACCCCCACAATTAGCGTTCTAGTTACTGCCCTGAACGTCGATATCAGACAATAATATCTCAGTAGTTGTTGTTGCTTTGGTTGAACCTCGAGGTCAATCTAGATAGGAATGACTTTGAAATCACTGCATTTCAGACCATCCAATAAAACTGATCGAAAAATCACCGACGAAAGCACACTTCTTGTGGACACTGGCTCACAATATCTGTAAGATCTTCATTTATCGAGTTTAGTTAATCAGACAACTTTCAACTTGTGTTGCATTGAAAAATGGAACAGAAAGACTTTATTTTACCGCCGCTAATCCTGTCAACTTAGTCTATTTTTCAACACCGAGTGTTAATAAAATATGGTATTTTAAGCTTTGCAGGAAGCTTTAGTCAAGGGAGGTAGTTTATAATCTTTAAGTGTATCTGTATATCGTTCTTCTTATGAAGTAACTTTATTATATAATTTATATTCTTCTTTATCAGTAAACTCTAATCAGTAACTGCTCTACTCTACAGAGATGGTACCACTGATATTACCAGAACGGTCCATTTTGGAACACCAACAGCCAAGCAAAAAGTACTCAATTTAACCATTTGTTTGAATCATCAGTAACCAATCATCATTTAAAATGGTATCTCAAATTTCTTTAGTGTGTTTAGTGAATATTTTAATTTTTCTATAGGATGCCTTTACACGTATATTGATGGGACAGATTGATCTTGCAATGGCCGTCTTTCCAGAAGGAACACACGGTACACATAATACTTAATGATGGCCTGTATGTTTCGTCAAAGTTTTTCTCCTATCGCGTTAAGAATGATGTTGACCAAGTATAAGTAAGCCACGTGGGGCGAGTTAGAGGGGCGAGTGGCTGAATGGTTAATGGCGTGAGCTGTTAGCCAGACGGCGTGGGTTCAATCCCGGCTCGTGGCACATTTGGCAATGTGTCTGTAAACCTAGCCCGGGTTGACCAAAGCCATGTGAGTGAAATTTGGTAGAGGAAAACGTTGTCCTCGGATGGACTGTACCTGCATCTGTAATGTTGCAGCCTTTTCACACTGTGTCACGCTGATATCAGCGTTGTAGTTGCGTGAAGGGTACGAGTGATTGTAGTCTGGTCAGCTGCCTTCACTATAATTTCAGTAACCAGGATGTTCCACTTTGTGGAACCCTCATACCTCGAAATCGACGGAGTCCATTATTAAGCCACATGGTTGCTGTACTTCATGGTTCGTAGCTTGTTCATCGAAATAGTTTTAATGTACATATACATTTTTTCATCCAGGCCGTTTTGTCGATATCATAGCACGTCAACCCTTATTTAAAAATGGTTTAAATTATCGTCATGGTACTGGTCACGGCATCGGTTCTTATTTGTATATCCACGAAGGTTTGTGTGTGGATACAGTGGGATAGCAAAATATCAGTGACGTAGCCGGCCTGTATGTTTTGATCCTGTTATATAATTTTCATTAAATTGTCCATTTCTTTAAAAATATATTCATTTTTACTGTGAGTGGAAATTTTTGCTTAGCAGGCCTTAACCAGAGGATGGCTACGCCATTTTTAACCTGAGAATAGGGATTTTTTACAGCCATTGTCGTTTTTTCGTTAGGTCCTGGTCGTATTAACGCAGGCTGCCCTTTACCTTTCGAGAAACCAATGTCACTGGGTTTTGTGTTTTCTGATGGTAAGACAGTGAATTATTACACGGGGGGGGAGGGGGAGAGGTATCAATTGAAAAGCATGGAGTTATGGATTTTGTTTGACTTTAGAGCCCGGTTACTATGAAGATGGAAGTTTCGGAATAAGAATAGAGACGGCTGTTGTTGTTGTAAATGCTTCAACTCCGGTAAGTTTATCACTTTATTGTGTATTATGAAACGAAGAGTTTAGTTCATTTAATCTCCTCGTATTAATTGTTTATCCTTACTGAGACTTTGCTCCACCATTCTGATGCGAAAATTGCATGTTTCACTTAGAATTTATTCCACTCCTAGTTGAAACTTGAAAGTAAACGAATTGTTTCAGGGCAAAGGTTATTTTGTCATATGATTAAAATTGAATGAAAAATCATGGAAATAGCCACTCAAACTACCAAACTACCAACGAGTTTTGGCTGTTTTGAAATTATTTTTTAGTAACTTTTGAAGTTTTTTATGAAGTTATTGTTTTATACTATTCGTTTGTCTTCAGAATCGTTTCAATGATGTCGATTATTATACCTTTGAACCAATATCTTACGTAAGTACCTTTGTATCCTATATTGTACATCTAGGTCCCAGTGAAACAGTAATTTGTGCTTTAGTTTCCAGTCCAAAGAAAAATGATCGACGAAACAATTATGAGTGACAGACAGGTATGTGGAAGTTGAGCGTGAGGTGAGTGACGTCATCAGTAGTCACATGATTTTATTTTAAGATAAAATGGATTGACGATTATCATCAAAAGACTGCCAAGATAGTTGGAGACGAGTTGTTAAGAAAAAGCAAAATAAACGAATATCATTGGCTGATTGAGCAGACAAAGCCCATTGGTGGAAGGAACGTTGGATCGCATGCTACTGTACTTGTAACATCACTTTATTTTACTATCATGTCAACTCTTCTGGCATTTTCATTTTAGGCAATTTCAACTTGTTTTTATCTTTTTATTGTGCAATGATAGACAATGAGTAGATTAGAAAACGTGTCTATTAATCTCAGTTGATACCAGTGATTTAACTTGTTGCATTAATGATTAAATGTGTGGGTTTATGTATTTGATTTTCCTTGCCTAACGGACTATTTTCAAGCGCAATGCTTGTTACAATTCCTGCTTGTGCAAGCTCACAACTTCAAATCTCTTCTGCTTCAATTTCTACTGTCCAAACTTGATTATACCATGGTATACCGGCGCATTTACCAATCATGGTACCAGTAACTTTGAGTTTTATTAAACTACCTGGAGGGGGAAAGGGGCCTGGAACCTGTTGTCAAAAACATGGTACAAAAGGAAATTTTGGATGAAAAGAAAAACTTCCACTTGAAGAGGAAGCAATCATTACAAGAGATTAGGAAGAAGATTCAAAGTGTACACTACAAACTTCGTATATACAAATGGAGTATTGTGAGAAGAGTACTCTAATGAGAAGAGTCTTCTTGGAATATGTAGTTGTTAATATAATGATAGCCATGCTTGAAAACTTCCACTTATAATCGCGTTGGTTGAAATCATTGAGTTTTAGAATTCAATGGTCTTGCAGAACTCAATGGTTGAAATTAGGTGGGAGAGAAACTGTTAAGAGCATGAACCTGTGTAACTCCGCTCACATTTTCATTTAAAATTTCCCAATTTCCATACAAGGCATGGTGGGATTTGTGTTTTTGGCAACATGTTGCGCGTTAATAAAATAGAATAATTCCCAGGTAATTGGTATCATAGATATTAGTATACAGGTCATTGAACCAGTTATTGTTTCGCGCCCCTTGTCCTGATGGTCACTTGTCAGCGGCTTAACGACAACAAAGAACATATCTCAAAATGGCGGCGGAGTGGGACAATCTTATTCCCGATACAAGAGAGAAAGTGTCTATGATAAAAGAAGATTTTCACGATGAAATATACGGTAATACACATGTTCAATGATTTATATCCTTTTAAATGTTTTTAATTAAGTTTTGTTTGATATTTCATCGTCGTGCGGTGGGTTATAATTATAAATTAGGCCGTAAATATCACAATATCCATAGAAGGGTCATTAATTTCCACAGCAGTTGTTGAGTTAAAATGCCGTAATATTTAAATGAGTATTTTTATAACTTGTACGACCGTGTTTGTTGATGTCAATGTCGTTATTTCGTGGCCCCAAAACTTTTAGTACGACAAAATGGCAGATAGTTTATGCATGAGCAGTCTGTACTGAATGACTTGTAATATTTAATTAAATGAAATGTTTTTCAACAAGAGGTTGTTGTCAGGAAGCTGTGGCATTCATCAACACAAGCAATTATCTGATAGCGTTGTATTTAACAATTTTACACCTCAAGGTGTTGGCTATCTTGATTTTATAAATTTTTACCGAAGATTTTTACTTCATTATTTAATGTTTATGGTGTTTGATAAAGGATTCTTTGTTATTGTCAAAGGAGAAATTTAAATTTTGTATTGTTGTTGTACAAAAGTGTATTTTAATTACCATATTTTTACATATCCGTGACTGGCAATGATTAAATCGAACGAATCATTCATCAACTAGGTACACGAAGTTACAGCAGCTTTTAGAATGTCAAAAACTTTTTCTTTTACTACAGGTAGTGCGCGAAACAAACATACAGGAAATAGAAAACCGAAGACGAAAAAACCAAAGTTTAATGAAAAAGATGGCTCAAATCATGATCATAATGATTTTATTATGCAGTACACAGGTGTGTTGATTTTGTCACGATCTTTGTCTTTGAAGTATTTTCATAATACTGTGAATTCGAATCCTCCCTAGACATATTTGAACCAAGTACGCAACCAAAATTTGAATTTATTGACATGGAGGAAGGTGATGCTATAGTGGAGTCTTCTGATAACGAAGTTGTGGCACATAGTGGTAATGTCATGAAGTATCTACGTCAATCATCGTCCAATGAGGAATCTGAATATAGTGATGATCCTTCACGTTTACCTCCGTCAGATCTAGTTGAGGATACTTATGGTATTGATGTTGATTTAAGACCTGGTAATGGGATCACTGATGATTACGAGGAGTATGATGTGGGTGTTGGGGATCATGGGTATCAAATAATATAGAAACTAGGTTGGGGCCACCAGAAGAAATACCGGTTGACGTCTTGGTGGATTTGTCAATAGAGGAGAGAAAAAGTGGAGATTCTGGTGTAGATGATCGTGAAATATTGTCTGAGGTTGTTGTGGACGATGGTGACATTGATAAGGTGAAAACTCTGTCAGTTGAAGTGGAAGAAGAGAAAAATGAAAATGAGGAAGATGAAATGGAAGATGTGGAAGCAGATGCGGAGTTGAAAGATGTCAACGTGGAGAGTAATGATGATACCGGTGCCGAGACTGATCCATTAATTGTTAATGAATCATCGAAGAATGAGAATAGTGATAAAGCAAAAGCAAAGTTAGTCAGTGCTGGTACACAATCACATGAATTACAACCACTTCTTGCCTCTCCTTCCCAGTCACCTCCACCACCTGATCAAAAAAAATTCAAGCCCAGAGAGCATCCAGGTAAGGCTGTCAAATCTCGGGCCATTGGTACTGATAAAGTCACTCCAAACCGGGAACACCCCAAAGAGCCTCCCAAGGTTCGGTATATCGGCGAAAAACAAGAGACAAAAAAATCTCGAAGTGACGCAAATCAACGCCACAATCTTGAAAATGGTAACCGCACACCCCAGCAAGGGTAAGAAAGCAGGCTCACCTATGACACACAATCCTCGTCCCAAAGCTAAACCACGTGACAGAACGGAGTCACCACGTGATAGAGCTGTTCATTCGAGTGATGCGAAGTTCTTTAAATCTCGCTTATCACAGACGAGTAAGAGGTATCCTAACAGACATGTATGGCTTGTGAGGGATAGCGAAATACATCGTATGATTGCAGAGAAAACAACGATATTACGTCGACATAATAAAGAAAATGGAAGGAAAGGTAATGTTACATCGAGGTTTTGACAAAATATTTTTGTTGAAGTTGCGTGAACAAAGTGTTATGACGTATAGGGAAAAAGTTCAAAGGCCCCAACTATTCAGAAGTAGATGTCGTCGGTCTTCCCTCTGTTGGTTTCTCTGGTCGAACCAAAGATGACTCGTATCGTTCATCATTACCTTACGACCGCCATCCATCCTCGCGGTTATCACAAAGTGGCTACGGCGCGCGTGATTCATACGAGGATGAAGACGAACGAACTGACAGGCTTGCTGGTAGAGGAGGAAAGACAGGAACGTTTGCTGTCGGTTTAGCTGCAAGAAGAGAACAAGCGGAGTTTTCAAAGTCAAACGTTGTTGATGATTTTGATGATGGTTGTGAGTTGTGTGCTGTTGAAGCCAAGGTACGTAGGAAAGATATCTTGAATTCTCAAAGAATCTTTACTCGGAAACTGCTGTGAAATATTATCGTGAAAAGCACAGCCGTCGTTTAAATTCCGATTTTTTGCTTAGGAGAAAGAAAGGCATGAGAAGAAACTCAAAGAACTCGAGGAAAGCGGTATGTGCATGTTGATAAAATATCATTTGATGCATGTATTTTGGGGTATTTTTAAAGATCACTGACCTCAATACTTTTTCAGCCAAAGCTGGACCGCATCATCCGCGAAACTTGCTGTTAGGAATTGTTTATTCTGCCAAGGTAAAGTACGTCCATACATGGAAACTATGTGTCGTTTCCTATTGCTGTCCATAAATCAATAATTACATTGATTTTTCTTTAGTTACTTGGTAGTACACATCTTATAATTACATTGATTTTTCTTTAGTTACTTGGTAGTACACATCTTATAATTACATTGATTTTTCTTTAGTTACTTGGTAGTACACATCTTATAATTACATTGATTTTTCTTTAGTTTCTTGATAGTACACATCTTATAATTACATTGATTTTTCTTTAGTTTCTTGGTAGTACACATCTTATAATTACATTAATTTTTCTTTAGTTACTTGGTAGTACACATCTTATAATTACATTGATTTTTCTTTAGTTACTTGGTAGTACACATCTTATAATTACATTGATTTTTCTTTAGTTACTTGGTAGTACACATCTTATAATTACATTGATTTTTCTTTAGTTTCTTGATAGTACACATCTTATAATTACATTGATTTTTCTTTAGTTTCTTGGTAGTACACATCTTATAATTACATTAATTTTCTTTAGTTACTTGGTAGTACACATCTTATAATTACATTGATTTTTCTTTAGTTTCTTGGTAGTACACATCTTATAATTACATTGATTTTTCTTTAGTTTCTTGGTAGTACACATCTTATAATTACATTGATTTTCTTTAGTTTCTTGGTAGTACACATCTTATAATTACATTGATTTTTCTTTAGTTTCTTGGTAGTACACATCTTATAATTACATTGATTTTTCTTTAGTTACTTGGTAGTACACATCTTATAATTACATTGATTTTTCTTTAGTTTCTTGGTAGTACACATCTTATAATTACATTGATTTTCTTTAGTTTCTTGGTAGTACACATCTTATAATTACATTGATTTTCTTTAGTTTCTTGGTAGTACACATCTTATAATTACATTGATTTTCTTTAGTTACTTGGTAGTACACATCTTATAATTACATTGATTTTCTTTAGTTTCTTGGTAGTACACATCTTATAATTACATTGATTTTTCTTTAGTTACTTGGTAGTACACATCTTATAATTACATTGATTTTTCTTTAGTTTCTTGGTAGTACACATCTTATGTCGCCTTCTTCTCCAAGCAAATCTATACGTTTGGAGCAAGCACAGGAAGCTATTGGTCGTATAAAGGTTCCTGCCGTCATATTATATTTTATATTTAAACATTCAAACTTTGGTTATATCAATAGTTGTTGAGAATTTGAGTATAGGAGAGTTATCTTCACAAATAATCCCCGTGGCTTTGCATCATTGACGTAGCCAGCCTGCAAGTTTGCTCATACTATGTAAATTTCAGATCAATAAAATTATTCAATTCTTTAGAAATTGTTTTGTTATTATAGGCAGTAGACATCGAAAAATTTACATAGCACGATCAAACTTGCGGTCTGGCTACATCTTTGGTTTGTAGCGGGGCTGGCTACGTTTGGTTAACAAGGGGTGGTTACGTCTTTCTTTTGTAGGGGTGGCTACGTCTTTGGTTTGCAGGGGGTCTATAGTGTAGCTTATTAATAGTGGAGCCTATAAAGAGTAGTATGAGAACATATTCACTGCCCCCCCTCTCTCCTTCCGTTAAATATGTTTGTTGTAAATAATTACCGACACCCTCCGTGACTGCCAGATTTTCTTTATTCCTTTTTTTTATTTAGGTACCGGAAGGGGACGTACAACCATCGTCTGACATTGATCTTTTTATATCAACTGAACGTATTAAAATTGTTAGCGCTGACAAAAAGGTTACGTATGTTTCATTCAATACTTTTAAACTTTTTTTAAGGAAGCTCAATTCTTTAATAGTCTCCCGCCATTACTTTGGTATGACTTGGCGTTGCTAAGAAACCAATATCACCTCTCCGTCCCCCCCCCCTCTCTGACCTCTCGTAGTTTTTCATGAACGGTGGAAGAAATTTGTTTGATGTATTTGTTATAGCAATCGCTGAATGATCATCATTTAAAAACGATATCATTTATCGCTGACATTGGTAACATAATTGTCGTTATGGCGAGACTCGACTTGGAGGACGAAAGCAAAACATGGTCTGGAAAGATGCCTGACTTTAAACCTAACAAGGAGAAACAAGAAGCAAAAACGACGAGAGTCGTTTGTCATGTACTTCAAACATCCGAGGTTTGTTCATTTTGTACAGAGCTCAAATAACGGCGGCTCAGCGGGCAATGACCGGCCAAAATTGGCGATTGAGCGGAGAATTTAGGGCGATGCGCACCCCTTCAGAAAATCTCCTGCTGAAAAGCAGTATAGTGAGGCGTAGTGTGGTGATGTCATAAGCGCTCAGAAGGTCAAATATGATAATCAGTAGTCTGAACAGTGACGTATTACTCAGGCCCAGGCTTTCGAGAGGCACGTTGCATCTAGACATAATTAGTTTTTAGTTTTTGCCATACCGGACTAGTTAAATGTTGTTAATTTAGACCATTTATGCTTTTAAAACCGTACTATCTACTGTTCATATGGACGATGCTCAAAACTCATGAAGTTTGAACTTTAAGTTTATTCCTTATTGTTGATACTTATTTTTGAGTTACAAAAACAAGCTGGGAAATGCAAAGGCAAAGAAGAGTATGGAACGCTAATGTCATCAAGAGACTGAACTTAGCGAGAGGACTAGATATCCGACTTAAAGTCCAACAACTTTGTCTTAGCATACAGGCCCCGTAATTAGTAATCCGCCTCTGAGTGTTAAAAAATGCATTTGACGTTATTTGGACAAATTATATGTATTAGTGACAACGTTGAAAAATCTCTTTCGATCGAGTTAAAATGTAGTTCACTGTTCATCTTGAGGGGACATGTTTCTGTCGTTATTTTGAGCGTTGCTTGTCATCTCTGTCTTTTTTCTACTTTTAGAAATCTTTTTTTTTTCTCCAGGCCCAAATAATCGCGAAGAGCGTTGGTCAGGCGTTCAGTATCGCTTACCACGAGTTTCTTAAGGTGAATGGATTAAATCTTGCTGAAATTGAAGATATGGAGTATAATGGAATATTGGAACAACAGAAAATTCTCGGAGAGGAACTGTCTCTGTTGGCTGACGAGTCTAAGACAAAGGAGGTTTGTTTGTTTACAAGAAATTCCTTCAAAGATCGTTATATGTTAACGTAACTTTTTCAGCAAAAACTTAGTTAACAAAACCAAAACTATGGTGAATTTGATCTCAAATTTTAAATTCTTCAGGTTGTTATTCATAAAAAGTATGGCGAAGCTTTGCAAATCATGATTGTTGAAACCGGTTGGGGTTCTATGGTACCAACGGTTGTCATCGCTCATATGGATAATAAAGGCGTGGCTGCTAAGTCAGGCCAGTTAAATGTTGGTAATCAAATACTCTCTGTGAACGGTCAAAGTCTTGTTGGCCTGCCTTTGTTGGAGTGTCAGAATATACTAAGAGTATGTGATCAATCATGTTTTATATTTTATCAGTTTCTCTTGTTTTTTTCTTCAATATTTCACTCAATTCAACTTGTGGACGTTTGTTTTTGGATTAAATAATTTAACTGTGCATGCAATTTTGGCGAAACTTTTTATAACTAGCTGGTACTTAATCATTAATCTTTTATAACTAGTCTATAATAACTAATCCTTCATAACTGCATCTTGATAACTAAACCTTCATAACTAATCCTTCATAACTGCATCTTGTCTATAATAACTAATCCTTCATAACTGCATCTTGTCTATAATAACTAATCCTTCATAACTGCATCTTGTCTATAATAACTAATCCTTCATAACTGCATCTTGATAACTAAACCTTCATAACTAATCCTTCATAACTGCATCTTGATAACTAAACCTTCATAACTAATCCTTCATAACTGCATCTTGATAACTAAACCTTCATAACTAATCCTTCATAACTGCATCTTGATAACTAAACCTTCATTAACTAATCCTTCATAACTGCATCTTGATAACTAAACCTTCATAACTAATCCTTCATAACTGCATCTTGATAACTAAACCTTCATAACTAATCCTTCATAAGCCAACTCTGTCATTGAAGATCATTATTTCTTTCTTGTCTTTGCTTTGACGCTCCGTTATACATCTTGATGTTCGTCAACATTTGTCTCAGGCCCAAAAGTACGAAGAGAGAGTAGCTTTGAAAATAGTCTTGTGTCCTCCGACTGTGGAGATTTGCATCAACCGTCCTGACATCAAGTATCAACTAGGATTTAGCGTACAGAATGGCATGGTATGTCTTAAAGTGTCCATTATTATCTCTCTCGTTCTACGTGAAGCCTGGTAACGAATGTTTTTTTGCAGATTTGCAGTCTAATGCGAGGTGGCATTGCAGAGCGTGGAGGCATCCGTGTTGGTCATAAAATCATAGAAATGAATGGAGAAAGTGTTGTTACAGCATCTCATCATCACATTGTTGATATTTTACAAACAACTACTGGAGAGGTTCGTGATGAGAAATTTGACTATTTATTTTATATTTATCTCAACATAATGTGGTTTGATGTTCTATAACATCGAGGGAAATGTGTCGTAAATTATATTGCTATTGAAAGATCTTTATACGAATTTCAAATTCTTCATCATGTAGTTGAAAATGAAGACAATGCCTATAACGTTGTACAAACTGCTCATTGGCGATGAAATTCCACAATATTTATGATAGAACGACAGAAATGTTGGCGAGTTTAGGAGAAGCAGAATATACATCCTTCATATTTATGGCGAAAGAGGTTTTGTGTGCGTTTTTAAAGAAATTTAAGAAAGCAATCACGTTGTCTGACAACGGAATTTGTTTTGTGAACGAGAAAACATACATGTTTTGAGAAATTTTTGCTTACTTACAGGATGTAACATTTACTGTTTGTGTAAGGTATGTAGTACAGAAATTGACAACCTGTTATATTGTTGTGTGTTATGTACTATGAAAGAAAATGAATCTTCGTTAAAATAATTTCACACAAACATAACATACGTATTTCAAAAATATTTAATTATTTATTCACCCATGATGCATAGCGTTGAATAATCAAACATAATTAATGACAACCTTGGATGTCTTGGTATTTCTTAAAAAAGACAGCATGGTTTACGCCACCTCATTGGGCAAAACCGCGAATGACTGCAAGGGTGATGGTATCGATCGCATTGATGTAAACATCGACATCCGTTTGAAGGAAAACATCTTTCTGTTTGTTCAAAACATTAAAACATTTTAGGAACAAATATTGCAAAAAGTCCTCAATAAGGACAGGATCTATTTCTGTTTTGCAAAAATATAAGTTGGACTGGAAATTAAGGGTAGCGTTTCGTTAAAATTTTAAAATATGACTGCCTTTGCCAGATCAAAGAAGTACACCATTATATTGAGAAACATACCTCTCCCTACTTCCACTTGGCTCGCCATGGCGATTGTCATAAAGAATACGAAAAAGACAACGACTCCTAAAGTCTTCATTTTTTTCCCTTGGAGCGCTATTTTCTATAAATATGTAACAGAAAACGTTGCACATAAAACTTTCGTCAGTGTTTATTTGAAAAACATGAACTTTGTGAGATTGTAGGAGATGATCAAAATGTGCCTTACCATGTTGGATTTTCCTGCAAACTTCAGAGGTTCATATGAGTGACTTCGTGTTGTCTAAAGTATTATACCCTGCGATGTTGCAAAGCATGGGACCGTCTCACGACTTAAAGTTTTAATCACATGTTTTACCTCAAAAGATGTAAGATTAAATTTCCAATCTTAAATGCGTGCTTTCAAATGAAAGAAAACGTTTTTCAAGAATTACAGTCGATGTTCTTCAAACCATTAGAGAAAATAAATTTGGTATTGCAAACTTTTGGCCTTAGAACACGTGAATTGAAAGAAAAGCCTGTATTTGATAAACTCGACTCTCCAAACAATTTCAATGTCAGTCCGGGTTCAAACTATGTTTACAAGTTTCATATTTCTATCTATTTGCTTAAATATTACGGAGACTTTTTGGTCGTATCATTGTGCTGCTTAGCCATTATAACTGTTTATTGAACTCGTTAAGGGAAGTTTTCTGTTTTTGCAATTGAGATAATCTATTATAATCATCATCACTAAGTAAGCTTTGACATTCTACCGACATGAAGTATAACAAAACTGCTAACATGGCGATGTATAATTCATTGTAATACAAATGCACGTTATTTTCTTCCTAAATCGTACGTTGACAAAGTTTTTAAGCTTCAAGATGTATAGAAATGAATGCTTGAAAGTTATGTTTAGGTAAGCTCTGTAATAACTTAACGTCTTATGGTGAAGTTGTCTAAAATAATTTTAATTGTTTCACTTTACTCGTTTTTTATGATTTTTTACAGAGAATATTTGGGATAAAATTCCTTCAAAATGACCTGATGTTTTGTCCTCGTCATGACCTCAAGAAATATCATATTTCTTCCTCGAAATGTGCTCTCTTTTACAACCAAAAATGGCAATGTTCAAACGAAATGAAGGTAATGGAACTTGTTGATGGATGAATAAATTTACAGATCAATGTCAGTGATGTCTGTTTAACGAAGACAATTTTTTGCATGTCAGAACCTGTAGGCTCCCTTTAAGAATTGAACTTTCACTGTAGCCCTTACTTTGCATCAGCCAGTTATCTGGGATTGATGGCGTTCTTTATTGAAGGTCTTGTGGTGCGGCGTGTGTTGGTCAGGAGACCCAAAGTCTGCTTATAATAATTGACAAAGCTATTGTTGTGTACTATGAAAGGAATTGAATCTTCGTTAAAATAATTTCCAAGACGTGACATATGTATTTCAAAATAATTCATTATATATTTACTAATGATGCAAAGTGTTATACAATCAAACATAAGTTGGCTTATTACAAGCATGAATTTCTTGGTTTTGTTCAAAAGACACAGCATGGTATTTTGCCTGTTATAAGCGGGCAAAAATAACCCCAATCCGCACAATCGTGGGGGTGAAAATGATTGCATTAACGTAAACATCGACATCCAACCGCGGGAGAGCAGAGCCTTTCGTTTACTGTTCAAAACATGAAAATATGTTTTAAATAAGTATTGCACAAAGTTTGTAGAAAGAACTTAATAACGACGCGAGTTATTTTTGTTTGGTAAAAAATATAAGGTTTACTGGAAAACACACGCATATTGACATTTGGGTATTGACATCTAGTCACGAACATACGTGTGTTAGTCAATTTGGACGGCGTAGAATTTGGCAGGTCATGTGAGCAATTGTGGCAGGTCACGTGAGCAATTGTGGCAGGTCATGTGAGCAATTGCCATCATTTTACCATATTCATGATGGAATGAATCTTATGGATTGAAGATTTTCATTGTAATTTTCTGACATGATTGCCTTTGCAAGATCGAGGATTAGATTTACGACTGAAATCATTTGTGATCATTTTATATAATAAAACTTTATGTGCAGACAGAAAACTTTTGAATAACCTACAAAAGTAGTCATTTAAATCTTCGAACATTCACCTCCAGTATATCGATTGACTGTATTGTATAACATAAAGTTATTAAAGTAACAGTATTTCCATTGTTTCCCGTACCAGGCTACTCGTACCCATGTTTTTCTGTTGACTAACTTCCCGTACCAGGCTACTCGTACCATGTTTTTCTGTGGACTAACTTCCCGTACAAGGCTACTCGTACCCTGTTTTCTGTTGACTAACTTCCCGTACCAGGCTACTGTTTTCTGTTGACTAACTTCCGTACCAGGCTACTCGTACCATGTTTTTCTGGACTAACTTCCCGTACTACTTGTTTTTTCTGTTGACTAACTTCCCGTACCAGGCTACTCGTACCCCTGTTTTCTGTTGACTAATTTCCCGTACCAGGCTACTCATTACCATGTTTTTCTGTGGACTAACTTCCCGTACCAGGCTACTCGTACCCTGTTTTTCTGTTGACTAACTTCCCGTACCAGGCTACTCGTACCCCTGTTTTTCTGTTGACTAATTTCCCGTACCAGGCTACTCGTACCATGTTTTTCTGTGGACTAACTTCCCGTACCAGGCTACTCGTACCCCTGTTTTTCTGTTGACTAACTTCCCGTACCAGGCTACTCGTACCATGTTTTTCTGTGGACTAAATATATTCATTGTTAAATCTCATGTCGAGTGAAAAGGTTGTTAAATGAAAATGAAATGAACCATTACGAAAGTCGAGTCTGAAGTTGTGTCAACTTAAAAATATCTTGTAAACATGCACATTAAATACTGCATGTACTAACGTTCATCGTACATTTTTCATCCTAAAAACCCCACCAATATATTGAGAAACATGCCTTTCTTTACTTCCGTCGGGCTCCACAAAGTGATTGTCAATAATACAAAGACAAAAACGATGAGACTCTTTATTTTTCTAACACTGTATTTCCTGTGTTAAAATAACAGAAACACGAGAATATAAAACATTCATCTGTGTTTGTTCAACATACATAAACTATATAATCTGTTTGATGAAAGACATCTCATGATCAAAGACATTTAAACTTCACGTGATTTGACAGTGAAATTGATGTTTGAAGTTCTGACCTTGAATGCTCGTTCTACACGAAAGTTGCTTCGTTATTATCTCGCACGGTCTATGCAAGCTTTGTATCAATTGTTTTTTTGCAGATTTGCAGTTTAATGCGAGATGGCATTGCAGAGCGTGGAGGTCTCCGTGTTGGTCATAAAATCATAGAAATGAATAGAGAAAGTGTCGTTACAGCCTCTCATCGTATTGTTGATGTTCTACAAACAACTATTGGAGAGGTTAGTGATGAGAAATTTGACTATTTATTTATAACACCATTCAGGTCATTTTTCAACACGAGTTCCATCATCACCTTTGTGTAATGAGGCTTGCTGCTTGCTGTCTAATGTCTGATGTTTGAGGAATTATTCATCTTTTTATGATGCGGTTTGATGTTTTATAACATTGAAGGAAAAGTTTCGGATGATATGTTGTAAAAGTAAAGCAAATTGTATTATTGTTGAAGATTTTTGTAAGAATTATTTTTTGATATATTCTTCATGATGTTGTTAAAAATGAAAACAATTTCTATAACGTTGTACAAACTGCTCGTTGGCGATGAAATTTTAAAATATTTATGATAAACGACAGAAATGTTGGCGAGTGTAGGAGAATCTGGATGATCGTCCTCTATATTTATTCTGACAGATGTTTTGTGTGCTTTTACAGACATATTTCAGCAACAATATAGGGATACGGTCACTAGGTCGGTCGCAGAATTCATTTTGTTTTCTGAATATGAAAAAATATATGTTTTAATACATTTTTGCTTACGCCGTATTTATAATACTTCACCGTTTGTAAGCATGTATTTAAGAAATAAAAGATGTTTACTGTGTTTGCACAGGCTTATGCAAACCGAGGAGACCTTCGGTAGAACTCGAGAGTTCTTGCAAACGTCTCCAAGGTTTGCATAAGCCTGTGCAAACACGAAAAACATTTTTTATTTCTTTTATAAAACAACAATAATGCCGAAAAGGCAAATTTTAAACAAACGTTTTAATTCTTCCTTTAAAATGTATTCATGATCGATTTGCAAATTCTCTTCGACGTATTGATTGTTTTGATTGGTTGAGCTCAGATCTGTTTTGCATAGGCTAATGCAAACATGGCTATAGACCAATCACCGCACGCGTTTTGTTTTTATTTTATAAAGTAAGACAACCTAGTGTATTGTTATGTGTTATGTACTATGGAAGGAACGAATCTTCCTTAAAATGATTTCATAAAAGTAACATATTCATTTCAAAAATATTTAATCATTTATCTACCCATGTTGCATAGCATAACTGAATCAAGCATAGTTAATTACAATGAATTTCTTTGTGGGTTTTTTCAATAACAGCAAGGTTTGTTCGTGCGTAATGTGCAGTATCTTGATTTCGGGCAATCGTAGTAACCCTTAGGACAAGGATCTTTGTAGTAATAACATGTACATCCAGGATAATCGCAGAATTTCTTTTCTGTTTGTATTCAAAACGTAAACATATGTAAGAATAGTTATCACAAAACGTTTTCCAACACCTTGATTACGAAAGGATTTTTCTATTTCATACATAGTTCTATTTGATTTTACGAGAGTGAACTTAAAGCATTGAACATCCCTACCTTTAATTTCGTTCGTTTGCTTGTTCTTAATATCTTCTGTAGGATAACAACAAGGTCTGTTTGTCTTCAGTGTGCAATATTTAGTCCTCGAGCAGTTGTAGTAACCCTTAGGACAAGGATCTTTGTAGTAATAACATGTACATCCAGGATAGTCGCAGAATTCCTTTTCTGTTTAAGTTTAGAACGCAAAGATGCGTAAGAAAAAGTTATCACAAAAAATTTTTCACATTCTTTAAAAGGAGAGGATTTATTTATTTTGAATGATAAAGTACTGATCATGTGACAGCATGCAATTGAAATAATGAAAATTGAACATCCCTACTTTCAATTTCTTTCGTTTCCTTTTTTTCGATATCTTCTGTAGGATAACAGCAAGGTTTGTTCGTACTTAATGTGCAGTATCGTGATTTCGGGCAATCGTAGTAACCCTTAGGACAAGGATCTTTGTAGTAATAACATGTACATCCAGGATAGTCGCAGAATTTCTTTTCTGTTTAAGTTTAGAACGCAAAGATGCGTAAGAAATAGTTATCACAAAAATTTTTTCACATTCTTTAAAAGGAGAGGATTTATTTATTTTGAATGATAAAGTACTGATCATGTGACAGCATGCAATTGAAATAATGAAAATTGAACATCCCTACTTTCAATTTCTTTCGTTTCCTTTTTTTCGATATCTTCTGTAGGATAACAGCAAGGTTTGTTCGTACGCAATGTGCAGTATCTTGATTTCGGGCAATCGTAGTAACCCTTAGGACAAGGATCTTTGTAGTAATAACATGTACATCCAGGATAGTCGCAGAATTTCTTTTCTGTTTGTATTCAAAACGTAAACATATGTAAGAATAGTTATCACAAAAAGTTTTCCAACACCTTGATTACGAAAGGATTTTTCTATTTCATACATAGTTCCATTTGATTTTACGAGAGTGAACTTAAAGCATTGAACATCCCTACCTTTAATTTCGTTCGTTTGCTTTTTCTTAATATCTTCTGTAGGATAACAACAAGGTCTGTTTGTCTTCAGTGTACAATATTTAGTCCTCGAGCAGTTGTAGTAACCCTTAGGACAAGGATCTTTGTAGTAATAACATGTACATCCAGGATAATCGCAGAATTCTGTTCACAAAAAGTCTAGGTTTAATAATACCTCTACAAATCTGGTTTTGAATAAGTGTCTTGCGAAACACGCATTTAAAATAACTTGCATCTCACGTTCTCATGAAAACACACCAATATATTCGGGAACATACCTTTCTTTCCTTCCGCTGAGCTCGCCATGGCGAGTGCAAATAGTACAAAGACGACAACTGCTAAACTCTTCATGTTTTCCGCTTGGAACACTGTATTTCCTGTTAAGAAAGTTATGAGGAGTAATATACAGAAAACTTGTGAATGCTCAACAAACATGGACTTTATAACATTCTAGGTGATGGTCACATATACTCTTTAATCAAACCATTTATTCGTGGCGTTAGAAAGATCAAAGATGAAATAATGAAGAGTTACCGCAGCAAAATGTGCTTAAAACCTACCTTAATTCCTGGTTTCCTTGCAAACGTCAGTGGCAAATGTGACGTTCTTTGTATGTTTTATACCCAGCGATTTTGCAAGGTAAGCGTCACATGATACTTTAAAAATTCTCCACCTCTGTTTACCTGGAAAGATGTTGATTTAATTAAGTTCCGCCTTCTAGAATGCGAGCGTTAACATGAAAACGTTATCCTAGGAAATACTGTCATCGATGATCTTCAAATTTCCGCCTATTGTCTTCGCAGACATTAAGATAAACAATCGTATCAAGTTTATTAAAGCATGCATTTAGCTGCAGAACGCATTATGAACAGCAAGAAAACCTTTATTTGATAAACGCGATTTTCGGAGCATTTTCAAGGCTGAAACTGTTTGAAGTCCGTTTACAAGTTTCATATTACTAAGTATTTGTCAGTGATTGCTGTGGGATTGCAATAAGGGTTCTATAATTGTGCTGCTTAGCCATGATATTTTAACTCTTCATACGGAGAAATTTTGCTCTGTTTTTGCTTCCATCCAAATAATGTACTTCTTCAAAATTCCGCCTATTGTCTTCGCGGACATTAAGATAAACAATCGTACCAAGTTTATTAAAACATGCTTTTAGCTACAGACGCATTATGAAAAGAGGCGTAACTAGAACGTTAATGGGGGCATATGTTGTGCCTTACTTGAAAGTGATTTGAATTTCAAAGGAATCAGTAGGACACAACTGAATATATGAATATACACCCCTGCAATTGACGTTCTAGTTACGCCTCTGATTATGAACGGCAAGAAAACTTTTATTTGATAAACGCAATTTTTGGAGCAATGTCAAGGTTGAAACTGAAGTCCGTTTACAAGTTTCATATTACTAAGTATTTGTCAGGTGATTGCTGTGGAATTGCAATAAGGGTCCTATAATTGTGCTGCTTAGCCATGATATTTTAACTCTTCATACGGAGAATATTTGCTCTGTTTTTACTTCCATCCAAATAATGTACTTTATAAAGCTCGTGTCCAGTCAAAATGAATTTCTTCTTACATGAAGTACCCAAAAAAAATTAAATATGGCGAATAGACATTGTAAAACAAATAGTAACCAATATTATCAGCTTAAATTGTACGTTGATCGGATTTTTAGGCTTCAAGATAAATACAAATGGATGCTAGAGAGTTATGTTTTGGTAAGGTCATTTTATCTCGAGAGTGCTTACTAAGCATTTTATTTCTCTAGTTCATTTATACTCCAACAATTTAATAGTTAACAATACATAATTTCGTAGAAGCTCTATCGCTAATGCGCATTTAATATATACGACGAATTTTTTTAAAATAGACATGTTTCGACATCTCATGATGCCATCTTCAGTATTATTGAAATAATAAATAATGCAAGGTTTACATAAAAGTAATATGATACATAAATTTATCTTTTTTCCTTATTATTGTTGTAATTTATGTATCATAATACTTTTATATAAACTTGTATTGTTTATTATTTCACTTATACTGAAGATGGCATCATGAGATGTCGAAACATATCTATTTTATAAAAAAACTCGTCGTCTATATTAAATGCGAGTTAACAATACACTTTACATTGATAAATGAACAGCTGTAACTAATGGCAAGCATTCAACTTATAAGAACTAACCAAGGTCTTAAGATTAAGTAGATAATGTAATCCTTATTTTTGTCTCGTTTCTCAGGATTTCTTTACCGAGAATATTTGGCAGAAACTTCCTTCGAAATGGCCGGATGTTTTGTTTTCGTTAGGGCCTCAAGAAATATCATATTTCTTCTTCGAAATGTACTCTCTTTCGCAATCAACGGATGATAATGTTCAAGCGAAATTAAGGTAATCAAAGTTGTTGATAAATGACCGTGAACATACGTAGAATGTTTACGGAACAATGTCGACGATGTATTGTTTAGCGAAGACAATTTTTGCATGTCAGAACAAGTTGAAAACATGTATCTCTGTGAAAACACATATTTTTTAAGTATCATATTTCTTAAAACATACATTTGTCATTCGTTCTATTTATGTCTTGGTAAATCTTCCACAGTCACATAACTGTGAATGGAGTTAAAATATCACGAAACGTTTTAGTAATCTGCGTTTGCCATAAGGATAATTGAAGAGCATCCATGGTGTTTTCTGATTTGCGTTGTTTTATTTTCAAAAGTATTGCGTATAATACCACCTAGCAAGTTTTTTAAACCTACAACTAAAAACCTACGACATTTAGAGGAAAACGTCAGCAACACGCCTTCAGTAAACAGGAATCGTTCCTTTCGTTATCAAGAGTTGTAAGGCGCATTTTCAATTACAACATTCTGAGGTCAATTTTACGCTCTCGCGCGAGACGATTAAAAAAACATTAATTGCATTCATTTCAAGCCCTTCTTTTGCTATCTTTTTTCATACAACCGTACAAGAATATCATTTTCACTTTAGCCTGTTGTTTGCACTGTCGAATTTCCAAGAATTAAAAAGTATTAATAACAATAACAAAAGCCTGCGACATTTCGTAAGACGTGATTGGTCAGTAGACCTAATGTGTGCTTGACCTTTTGACCTTCACCAAATGGCAAAAGCCCTAGTAAGTTCTCCAGCTTTTTGTCTTCGTCAGCAGCAATAAGTTTTCTGTAGATGTAGATCGTCCCGGTTGGTAGTTCTCGGAAAAGGACTGTTGTTGACTGACGTTTCGACAACCTTAGTATAAATAAAACGTCAGTCAACAACAACAAAAACAGTCTTTCACAGGACTCTACTAAACTGGACGATCTACATCTACAAACATGTAACGATACTTCCGTGTTCAAATCAAACCATTTACTTTAATAAGTTGTCTTTTATACATTACAATTCAATTGCTCACACAAGCTTAACAACGAATTCCATCATTTATTTAATGTCGTTATCTGTTTAATAATCCAAGCTCTGTAACCATAACTTTTCATTTCTTGACTTCAGACAAGTATGGCCATTGGAGTTGTTGTCCTTTATCGCTGCTTGTCATGCTTTAAGACTCGATAATCAACCTTGGTTGACGAAGCTGAAGGATTTGGATAAAAAATATGAAAGGACGACGAGCAACAATGGAAAAATGTCAACCGCTCGTGTCGTGATGTTGCCATGGAAGCATTTGACAGCAAGGATTTGAATCAAGGAAGACGTCACGAGGTCGAACAAACAGAGAATGTTGTCAGTTTTACTGCACAAAACATGGCTATAGGTCATCCATTGCGATGTTACGTGAAGAGAAAGAAACAATACGAAATTGATATTCTGTCAAAGGTATCTTTTTAAAAAGTAATGAAAAGTACAAATATTTGCGATTAAGATTTTTCTCATATCGTTCGTTGTAGTTAATATTCGAAGTTGCGAAAAAACTTCAATGTTGGGATATTGTGGTAAGAAAAGATGCTGTCGTGTTTTATAGAAATAATTAGAGCAATGCACGGGGATTGACGCCAGGAGATGGATTAAGATAATCAGATTTTCCCGATTAGGTGTAGATTAAGGGTCGGATTATAGAAAGTATGAAAATATCTGATAATTGTAGGTATAAAGTTCTCATTTTGTTTCTTAGGCCTAACGTGCTCGTAAATTTGATCCTACAGAGAAAAAATGTCTATGCTTAGACAATAGATTTCTTAAGAAATAATTAATGATAATATGGCTACATCAATGGCAAGCACAGTTTTAATTTGCCTACAGGAGTAGCTACTTCCAAGATTCTTAAAACCCGACTACGAATTACAAATATTGTATAGCTTTTTTATTACAATTTCTTTGGTAGGATGTTGGAGCGGGCTTGGGTCATCTTTCTCGTACGTTAAACTACGAGTATGGCTTACGAGTGTTGACGATCGAAGGCGAAGGTTGTCATCGGAAACAGGCGGAGAAAATTGACGAAAAAGTTCGATCGAAGTTCAAGAAACATGATAAAGGTTCGCAGGTAAATTGGTACTAGTAATAAACAGATTGTTTACTTTAGTTGTTAGTGTTTTGTGGTGAACCATCTAGAAAAGTTTAAATGCCCCTATGAGCAAAAATTTTTATTAGCGATATCAAAACTTGGTGTAATATCTAACGTGTCGGTGAAAATATTTTTCAATTTGGTCAAATTGTCTTCTTGTTATTGAGGTTTAAAGTTCCCTTTAAATAGACCTTGTCCGTCGTTCGAAAAGTCTTGAACGACTTACCTTTGTGACGTCATGCAAGGTACTCCTCAATACAAAATATATATACCAACTACTTTGGATGACGTCAGAAGTTGTCTAGACCAAGGCTCCATGCCACGACGGACAAGGTCCATTGAAAAGCAACTTTAAACCTCCACAACAAGAAGACGATTTGGCAACATTGAAAAATTTTTTCACCGACATTGCACCTAGTTTCGATATCGCTAATAGAAGTTTTTGCTGATAAGGGCACTTTAAAGAATTCACTGTTTGCTTTTTAGGACGAGCAAGGATTGGGGAGGAATTTGATTCACATTACACGTTATGTAAGACATGTCATTTATTTGACTATAATGATCTTTCATGTTCCTCATCAGATTTATTTTTATCTTGAAATTTATTTGATCAGATCGATTCGGACATTACCGTAGAAGAATTTTCGAACGTTGTTTTGGAAGCATTCTCGAAGATGGAAAATTCTGAAGGATTTGAGAAGACTAAACAACGTTTTATAATAGTCGGTCTTCATACTTGTGGTGATCTTGCTGCGACATTACTACGAGTTTACACACATTGTTCCAATGCCGTTGCCATCATTTCTGTCGGTTGTTGTTATATGAAACTCACTCATGAAAATCTAAACTCCGATCAAAATAAGAAGATCCTCACAAGGAAAGAAAACTCGTCGAACGAAAATGAGGCATCTCTATCAGCGAGAGCAAACACGAACGCAAGCGAAGGTTTTGAAATCAAGTTCCAAGAAAATAGAAATATATCTTCATTCCAATCATCGGAGAACAAGAATGAAATGAAAAACTCAGCGTGTAGAATGGATGAAATGAAAAACTCAGCGTGTAGAATGGATTCAAAGAAACCTGCAGATCAGATAAACTGTTTTACTAAGCGAGAAATGATTTTGGGTTACCCATTGAGCGAGTACGTTCGCCGTTCGTCAAAACATCGAATGGTTTATAATGCATTTGAATGTGCCTGTCATGCCGTTGAAAGATATCAAAAGAAACTGCAAGGTAAAGCAAGGGATATTATAAAGATTTTACACAGGGAGGGCATTAACTTCAAAAGGGCCTTTGAATTTTGAGAAGAGCGGGAAATGCAGCGTAACAATCGTGATACGACATAAGCATTCTGACTACGTCGAGTAATTTATGTTATCTGCTATAAAATATTTAAAGTACCACTTACAGAAAACGCCTGAAGAGCCAAAGAAGTGGGGGTGGGGGGTGCTAGGTGTAGGGCTAGTTTTGTTTCAGCGCGTAGCCAACAAGAGGACCTGGGAGGCTAAATGCAAGTATTGTTCATCACGTTGCTATTATATGATGTTATATTTGTCTGTTGATTCATGAACTTTTTGACTGTCTTTAGGAATTTTGTGGAACTGTCGTCACTTGTATAGTAAATTGACGAATCTTTGCTAATTTTCAGATCGCTCACCAACGCTAAAATTGCATTATTACAGAGCAATGTTAGAAATGCTCCTTAAACAGAAGGTAGCACTGTGAAAAGTGTGATTTTTCTAAAATCTTTGTGATCTTTATTTGATTGAAGATTTTCCTTTCCCCTCTTTAGGATCCAGGCTCTGAAAGAAGACAAATACGAACTCTACGAACTAAGAAAGCTGCAAAAATGTCTTTGAGCGAGTAAAATGATTCCTGTTCTTGTTGATCATGAAAATTTTATGCTAATGTATACAATTCTAATTGAGTCTACTGTCAATATTTTTTCAGATACGTTCATAATGCCTGTGCTACCTTAAAAATACAAGACATACCTACCCATCAAGGTATATTTATTTATAGTTGTTTCATGGTCAATCTGTTAACAAGATCTTGAAAGAAAAAACCACGATGGATGGCAGAGCTGTTTCAAACTCTTATAAATCACTTTGTTAGAAAGCGCGATGCATTTCTGCAAGAATTCGTTTTTCTTTAAAGAAGACGCGTAGCACATTTCCTTTGACGAGAAGTTCTGTGCCGACTGAGGAGAACTCTACAGAACTGCATCGACATTTTGTTTATTGCCAAGTCTTTTATGCGTGTAGAAAGCTCGATATTTCATTATTAGAGGTCATATTGATATACGCATGTTATAATCCGCCGAAAATAATGTTTTCGAAGGAAGTTAATTCGGCAGATCATGTATTCATAAATATTAGCGCCCATTCCCCACCTCCCACACACAATTATTGCTCTTCCATTGTACATTCATGAATTTACTATTTAAAGGTATTTTAAACAGTTTTTAAGAGCTATACCGTTCGTATTTGTATCTGCAACGTCTTGTAAGTTTGTTCAAGTTTTCAGTCAATTTAATTTCTAGATATTTTTATATTTACAGATATTTTAAAGATTACAGCAATTCACGAAAACAAGGAGTTTCACGTTGTCGTATTTTATGTTTTGAGACTTCTGATGGCACCTCTTGTTGAAGGATTGCTTCTTGTTGATCGATTAATGTTTATCGAAGAAAATTGTTTTGGTAAATTTTAATACAGAAGACTTATGGTGTCAAATCCAAGCAAAGGAATTCCCTGACTTTTTTGTTTAATTTCAGATAGCACTTGCAGGATTACAAAGTTATTTGATCCCAGAATATCGCCGAGAAACTTTGCTCTCTTATCACAAAAACAGATCTCAGGATTGACGAAGAACTGAAAGAAATATATTTAACATTGATGGATAGACTCTCATCGTACGTTTTTTAACGCGATAGTTGACCTTGGAACGAAGTATGTATTTGGAAAGCTGCTTAACATTCGAATATCTCCGTTCAAAATTCCTTAAAAAATATTGATGGTCACGTGATTGCCTTAAGACATTGAAGGCGTCGTTTAACATATAGACTCCTGGGGAATATCGTTCAAGCTTACCCAGTCAAAATTCCCTTCCCTTCTCCAGTGTATGATCTGCATTGACGATGCCATTGTAGATAAATTCTATGAGATCTATGGCTTCATGTACCATCTTAATGATTATAATTTTCTAATACATATTTGTTTAGTTAAACCTTGCATGTACCTTTATGATAGTTGCATGAAGTAATACGGACTACTCGACTTTTCACGTCGTCGTAAAGGCACGTCACTCTAACCCCCCCCCCTTCAATACTGCCCCACCCAGTTACATGATTCATATAAAATGGGCGGGCATTGTGTATAATTATGACAAGCTGTGTTAATAAGGAATAAGATGGTATTCCACTTCTTGCTTTTGTTTGTTCACACCATTGTTTACATACACGTTATCTTTGTACTTTCATCTTCAGGTAAACCTGAACACATTTGATGTGCTTTCATAATGAGATTGGTATCATCGATCTTGTTAACGCTGGAACATAAACATAGTGAAACCCTTACTTACATTTTATTTCCTATTGCATATTCAATTATTCATAAGTTACAACTTACCGTGAAACAATTTCGTGGCATTCCTGCATTTTTAGTAAAAAAATAAGTTTTGTGCGATCCAAAGAATATGCTGGTAGCACTGACTTACATACGACTTGTGCAATTTCCATCTTGCAATTTTTGTCGCTGATGTTGGCGCTCTTCGAGTTGGAAAAAAAGCTTTCATTTTTAAATGGGATTGCAGCCAAACCTTTTCGTTACGTCTTATTCATTCTTGTTATAACTTCTTTCATACCTTTCATACCTTTCATGTTATAACTTCTTTCATACCTTTCATACCTTTCATGTTATAACTTCTTTCATACCTTTCATACCTTTCATGTTATAACTTCTTTCATACCTTTCTGCGCACTGAAAAGATAGAAATTATACTTGTTATCCATATCTCTCCCTGTATTCATATATGATACTGTGTTTGTGATATACATGTTATGTATCGTTGTAATCTTTTTTATTTTATTCAGCAGTCATGACTCCGATGCCATTTCCCTCCATCAATAGCAAAGGAATCCTCTTTCCACATATCCGAATTAATTTCCTTTTTACATGTCTAAATTAATAGCATAAAATGAAATGAGGCAATCCACTGCAAAACAATTTTCGTGGTTGTCCACATTCACCATGATAATTTACTTTATTTTACAATAATAAATACCAAAAGACCGCAACGTAAATGGTCAAATTGACAATGCTATGGTTATTTTTCAACTTGATTCTCCTAGAAAGCAACAAAAAATTTTGCATGTCTAAATAAAGGTAGACATAGAACTAAATACGGAGGTAGACTTCAGAGATAGACACAAAAGATTACATAAAGGTAGACACAAAAGTTGACAAAAAGGTAGACATAAAGATAGACACAAAGGTAGACTTAAAGGTAGACATAAAGGTAGACATAAAGGTTGACATAAAGGTTGACACAAAGGTAGACTTAAAGGTAGACATAAAGGTTGACATAAAGGTTGACATAAAGGTAGAATTAAAGGTAGACATAAAGGTTGACATAAAGGTAGACACAAGGGTACACATAAAGGTAGACTTAAAGGTAGACATAAAGGTAGACACAAAAGTTGACAAAAAGGTAGACATAAAGATAGACACAAAGGTAGACTTAAAGGTAGACATAAAGTTTGACATAAAGGTAGAAAGAAAGGTACACATAAAGGTAGACATAAAGGTAGACATAAAGGTAGACATAAAGGTAGACATAAAGGTAGACATAAAGGTAGACATAAAGGTAGACATAAAGGTAGACATAAAGGTAGACACAAAGGTAGGCATAAAAGTAGACACTTTATTTGATTAGTGATTAAGACTCGTTTGGTATGTATCTTAGAATCATTGATTGCCTAACTTTGTTTTCTCAATGAAAGAAAGAGCACCGCCCCAGAACGTAATGTCCCCTTCCACATAATGTTTTGGGTGCGTGCGCTTCAGACAGTTATAAAATCAAGCAAAATGTGTATTTGGTCTATGTTCTCATGACAAGTACTTCTTCTGAAAAGTTAAACGTTTGGTTTACGCAAAAAAGTAGACATAAAGGTACACATAAATGTAGACACAAGGTAGACATAAAGGTAGACGAAATGAAGGAACCAAGTCAAGTTTGGAAGTAATTCTCAACAAAAACTGCGCACTATCTTTGAAACTTTTTTTGAAGTTATCACATGCATTGCAAGCGTTATAATTATTAGTAAACGCATGCTTTCAGGGATATTAGTGATTAGATGTCCCTGCAAACCGAGGGAGATTTAGTAAAAGTCGGAAGGCGCAATTCAATAAGTTTCACGAGGTTTAAGGTACATTTAATCACTGATGTCCCTAACAGCATGTGTTAACATGGTTGCAGAGGGTATAATAAGTGCATCGAACTCTCCCGTTTGGCAATATTTTCATCAAACGAGTTCAAAAATTTGAATATCAATGGTGCTCAAAGCGTGTATTGTTTCTGGTCAGCGAGGGAACAAAGAAATGAATCGAGCTATTTAATTTTGAATTCTGTTATTGAATTGGTTCATTGAATATGCGTTAAAATTTGTTTTGCAAATTCCTTTTCGTAGTTAAAATACTCTTTAAGGTCTTGATCGTTGATCACCAGTTTCTATAAGTAAGTGATAAGGATGAAAGGGGAAGACGATTTCTGTTACCCCTCGACGACATTAATGGTGAATCAGGAATGATTTAAAGCTTTATTGTAATAAAGAGTTCCACGATTTTGAACTAAACGCGAAAGATTTACTCGTTTCCCAAGTATCGACGATCTAACCGTCGAACAAGAGGATCTAAAAAGTTGACTTTTGTCTTTGTAAACTTGCTCTCGAAGAAGTATGGTTTCAATGGACTTGCGGAAGACATCTTGTCATTAACCTTTTCCATTCATCACAATTGAAAATGATTCAGGTGTGGAAAAGTCAAGAAGCAAGCAGAAGCAATTTCTACATGAAACGAAAAGGAAATGTAAAAACATGGCGTACTTGTCTTGATGTTGATCGGGGTATTTTGTCTTAACATTGATGAGGGATATTTAGAACTAAATATGCTTCGTTCCTGTATTTGGAGGAAAATACGTCGGTATGTGTCCCTGTTATAACAACTAATTTCTTCGACGCAGTATTTAGAGATGTATATTGATGTAACATCAACAGCAATGAAAAAAATCAAGGGCATCAACGAAACAAGCCGAATAAAATGGGGAAATGTAGTTTGGTATTATGAAGGTAAACAGTATTCTTAAACAATACAGCTCAACATCCAAACGACGAAGCAGAAAACCAAACTGATGACATCCACTTAAAGATGCTCCTTCCGTTCATCTCGTTCGTCGATCCATTGAGGCTATTAGCTACCTAAAACAACACCTATATTCAACATTGTTTGATTGACCGAAAAACGAAAAGAAAATCCACAAGTGCCATTCGTAAAATTCACCAACAACTATTGATAACAGCTGCTGAAAGAAATGTGAAAACTGCAAAACCATTGTGAAATATGCAACGGACGTACTTCCTTCGATATCATTGGTAAAAAAGATCTCACGTCTAATGTACTGCTGTTGTGTGGTAAGACTACATGACGATAAACGAATTTCTCTGGCAACTAAATGCGTTTTGATTTATCCGTAATGTTCTTAAAATGTCAATGGCTTAAAAAGTTGATGTTAGGAATATATATTTACTTAGTGCGAATTATATATTGTTTGAAAGACTTATTACTTTTCTCTATCTTTTTCAAAAGAAGACATAAGTAACTATAGATGTTTTGCTTTTGTATTACCAAACTAACATTAATATAAATGTATTTATTTGTAATACTTTTTCAGTCTTTATATCAACACTCGACTACGAATATGATTTTTGGTTTGTTGCTTTATCTTTAGCTGGAAGTGATCTGTTATAATTTTGATTCGAGACCTTCAATGGTCTATTTTTTGCATTAAATCCTTCAAGGTAGGAATGGCACTTTAAAATGACCAGGTGTCTTCAACGAACTCTCTGGTCTAGTGGATAGACACAACCTTTCGAGGTTGAGAGTGGAGGTTCGAACCCTGTCTGGAATAAGATGTAACTATGCTAAGGATGAATAAGAAATAGGAAAATAAGGAAATAGTGCTGGTTAATAGAACAAAAGTGGGATTTCTATTACTAAACTTTTCGAGAATGGAATGCGACACTTAGTATAAATTCAGAAAAAAACGCTCTCCGATGAGAAGGAGAGCGAAGAAAAAAAAAAGATAGGATCCCATGCAAAAAACCACTCTTAAAAAAACTAAGTCTTTTGCTCAAATTTTTTTATGACTCCCTGTGATCAGGGAGTTATTTTTTTAAATTTTGAAAAGTCAGGAAACCCAAGAGCAAACAGAACGCCCTAATCATCCCTTTCTTACTTCCAGGCACTTGTTCCTCAGTTCGACTTTCTGTCTTCCACATCTGCCGCGTACACCTGCCAAGTGTGTTGGCAGAGGGGCGAACCAAGGATCTTGTGCACCGGAGGTCATTGATGTCGAACTAAACGCCCAACATCGGCCAGTTGAGCTAACCGCTCATCATCGAAAGCTCTATGTTTTTTGGAGTATTTGCTAAATTTTTTCAATGTGAAGCGAAAGAAAAGGAGAAGGTCTTGAACCTTAGATGGTCTTGAACCCGAGAAGGTGAGAGCACTGCACCGACATCTTTACCACTCGGCCAGACGGGTGAATTGGAAAACCGTTTAAAACATGTCAAGTGTTTCTGACTAAACAACATTGCCTTCATTTCTCTTGAGGCTCACATTTAATACTGTGTTTATTTTGTTCTTCGTCACCATCATTGCAAAGACGAAGAAAGAGACTTACTAGGCATTATAGTTGTTCAACTCAAACATTGCAGGATAGTAAATGATATAACCGAAAGGAGGAAGACCAATGAAGTATGCACAATGTCAGACATTGCCATGTGGTAAATCAGAAAAATAACGCGCATGTTCGTAGTCAATTTAATGGCGCTGGGAGTTTCTAACTTGTCTGTTCAAAGTTAAATGACATATTTTTTACCATCATGCATGATAATATTGTAATGGTTTGTACAAAAGCATATGGTTCCTACAGAACAGTATCCACTTACT